TATTAACAAATCTTCTATTATTAACAAATCTTCTATTATTAACAAATCTTCTATTATTAACAAATCTTCTATTATTAACAAATCTTCTATTATTATTAAATTTCTTGCTATCAACAATTTGTATTTACATCTAAGCAAATTTAACACCACAATCTAATCCACTTTAGAATTCTATATTTTACTCCACGTCCCCGGCTCCACACACCCGGCTCCACACACATGGCTCTACACACCTGGCTCCACACACCAACACACCAATGGTGACTCCATGGAGTCTTTTGAAAGTTATCTAAGGAAGACGGAGGACGGAGGCCGGATTATATACCCTCCGTCTTCACGCTAATAAAATCCGTCTAAATAATTTTAAATAAATTCACTATATATCGGCTTTTTTAAAAAAAATTATTAGAAATTCACTATTTTAGCTTTTGTATTATTAATTAAACAAAAATAATAAAGATTCACTAACGTGTTTTGAAAAACAATAAAACGAATTATAAAGCGCTACTTTTCTTATCTTATAAAAAGCCTAAGATGTAGGACCACGTTGGCGGTTGTCGAAGTGTAACATTATGTGCTTATCCTGGACCATCATAGGAGAATGATCGACACGAGAAAACATCCTTGACAAAACCCTTGGTCTCGTTCTCGACAGTCTCAAGAGGAGCATCCAAACAGGCTTCAAGCATCTCTTCGTTGCTTTTCTCGTTCCAATGAAAGTTGCCTTGCAGAACTAAAGTGGTTGGTTTCGTTTATACTCGCGATTCGCTGGCCTACTTAACTAAAGATTAGCTGGTGTCTACAAAAGCCATTGAATCTGCGACCGGGGCTGGAATTGATACTTTCGAAGAGGTGTTCATCGCGTCCAATAGCGGAGCTATGGATGCTTGTCGTTGAGCCCATTGCTACAAGACGAATGAAGAATATTGTACCCTGCGGATGCGTATATTCCTTGATCGTATCCGTTCAGTAGCAAATTTTGGTAGTAAGGTGCGGTTGTGGATGTAGTCTTTCGTTGGTGTGGGAGGAGTTGCGTTAAAAGCAGTGCAGCTGTCTGAAAAGACCAAGAGCACGATCCAGACATAAGCACTTGGAAGAGGACTATGGTGTCTTTATCATGGTAAAGTCTGTTTCATTCAGTCCCACATCCGCCCATTGGATTTCAGCGATTCGATTTCCGTTAAAGGGGATTTCAAGAGGGACTTCAGTGAAAGTCCATGTCCTTTGATTACAGGGCTGCGACGCGAGCCATCCACCACCCACAACTAATATTGCCATCATATAAACAAAGATTGTCAACCTACTTTGCCTTTGTGAAGTGATTTCCTGTTTCTTTTCAATCCGCACGTGACTGTAGCGAGATTTCAGTCTCGAAAGGGGGAAAACGTGACTTCAGTGTTTTCATTCAGTTCTGACATCTTAGTTCCGACTATAGTGGAGAACAAGGTGTAGAGTGAGCTACGGAGAGATGGTCCTGCTTCGGGATTACTTGGTAGAGCAGGAGGAGTTCCGACCTTTGTAAAAGCCCAAGGGCATGTACCAGGCTCATATGCTAGTTTGCGACTGATGTAGCACTTAATTCGGTGTCTGCGACCGTCTGAGCTGAAGACATAGGCAATTGTGTTTCATATTCTGAGGTATGTATAAGCCTGGTGGTACACCGTATGATGTGTAAGAAATTGGCAGATTGTACATTAGTAGTGCAGCTGTTTCTTGTTGGGAAGTCGAGTTTCAAACAAGAGTTCAATTGCTTGAAGCTATTCTACAACAGCAAAAACAGGATGGTATCTTATGTCCGCAAAGAGTGGCAATGCAACATGCAGCAATGATAGCATAACGCCCCTCCATATGCCAAGTGTTTGTAATCCTTCAAAATCTACCTGACAGGCCATGCCGCGCTATAACCACAAAATAAACAGATGTGTAAATCCTAATTGCAAATCAGTTTCTCTTCTAGACCTAAGGTCAACCGACATGTCACTTACATTGGAGAGAGACCATCGAATAACACAGGACAACACCTCCAATCTACAAGCCGTGATCATGGGTAGGGCATTTACCGAAATTACCTTTGTCCCACCAGCCTTGAATGCACTCCGGATGGAACTTGCAGAAGCAAGTCAAAAGCGCCAATTCTTGGCTTGGAAAGAATTCGTCAAGACAGATCTGACATTCATCCCCATTGATAGCATCTCTAGCAGTAGCTGTATATTTGGTCATACCTCGTCGAGTTCCACTGGATATTCTAGCTAACTGGCCTGGGTGTTGAGCTCCTGCTCCTGCTTGTGCTGTATGGCCTTGGACTCTCGTAAGTTGCTCCTCGATACAACGTTGGATGTGTGACTCTTGTTGGCTAGGATTGTCTCGCAATGAGGTAGGGTACTCCCGGCGGCATATCGGGCATAAGTCTTCTTCCGGTACAGCGCGCCGGGGAGCAGCCTGGGGCATGGGTTGAGGATCGGGGCTGGCAAACCTAGGTTGGCTTGAAGCTACGGCAACATGGTTGAGTTGATTAGGGTACTCCTCTTCATCCGTCTCATCTGGTCGGTTCCGGTGGGACATAGTTCTCCGTGGATCCGAATAATGCATGAATGGTAGTGGACGCGGAGCACGATTCCCAACCTGCAGAAAGTTAGTATAAGATCCTCGACTTGTGATATGCAAAGTGGCGAATGACAACGCACCATCTGAGAAGGCGTCGGGTTTTCTGCGATCTACAGGTTTAATTAGTACGTCTTCATCAGGAATCTGAGATGATAGTAATTGTGCTTACTTGAACGCCTCGAAGAAGATGGGTAACCGCATCTGATGGCACTGCAAGGTCTGGTAGGAGCGGTGTTGCATTTGGCCGGGGCCGATAGCTGTTCTCACGTCTAGATAGTCGGTGTTCTGCAAAGCTAGGGAGTCGATCCTCCGGTCTAACTGCGCGCTCGTTGTTCGCGTGTGGGCCTACAGAGTATGGGGGTGGTGATACTTGAGGCGGGGCCGTATTGGGGTCTGGAACACAAGGATTGCACAATCTGACGCGCTCGCCAGCTTCGATGTTGCCTTCTCCTGAGCTGATCGAAGCTACAGAATGTCGAGATCGATGTGGTGGTGAAGCATACACTCCTGGAGGAGGTCTCACAATGTATTCTCGAGGTATAGTAATTCGATGTGGGGAGCACGCAGCGCAAACCACTTTGCCACACTTCCTGTAAAATAGTCAATACTACAGGTTCAGACTACTCAAATTATCCAGAGAGATGGCGAACCTGCAGTGGTGTTTTCTGTTAAAGAAGGCTGCCATGATTAGTGTGTGTTGTGAAGAAAGAAGGCCTCTGAGTGGTAGCCAGGGACAAAGACTCACCAAATACAGATCTACAGATAGGACACGTAGTAACTTCAGCGTCTGGTTGCCATCTAGGTAGAACAACTCTTTCAGGCTCTCCAATCACTTGGTATTGCGGATTTGCTTGACCTTGATTCATGTTGTAGTTGACTGTGCCCGGGAGCATTTCGATTCGAACACGTCTCGAACCTCTAGGTTGGTTACGACCCGGAAACGGCATATTGTCTTCTGTGTCAGAGTTTGAATGCGGATTTTCCGGAGAACTGTTTGTATGCGTAGAATTGTTCGAAGGAAGATCGTTGTTTTGTGATGGATCTGGCGCGAATTCAGTCGACGAGCGACTTGCGCCTGCAGGACCCACTAGCTCCTCAGAAGGTGGCCTTGAGTTTCTCTCACCATCCTTAACATCAGACCAAACTCGTTCAGATGATGGAACGTCCTCGCCAATGGCATGAGACGCTGAGCGACTTGATTCGCCCTGGCTTTCATAAGATTCTCGTTCTTCACTGCCGCCGATGTTGGCTGTGTTGGAAGTATAAGGAAAGCTCCTCTGATAGCTTATCTCGTCATCACCTCCAGAATACAAATCCAACTCCGAATCTGGGGTAGGGGGCAATGGACGATCAGCTCCATTGCTCGCACCAGAATATGATACCTGTGCAGAGGCAGCCGGGCTTTCCATCTTCAAACCAGCTATTTTCTCACTGCCAGGACATTAGAGCCTACTTTCGAAAGTCAAACAACACCAGGTATCTTCATCTCCCAAATACCATCCAGATGGATTCTTAAAATAACCACAACTTCCAAAGCTCGAACACGCTTCACTCACACCCGCCGTTGTGAGATAAAATATCCCAACCACGTCCCTATTGTGCTCAGAGTCTAGCGAGGCCTCCAGGGACAATATAGAGAATTATTAGGCCTCCGCGGATTTCAGAGATACAGGGTTGTTTTCGTGGAGCAGAGGGTCTATTTCAACTCTAAATGTGCCTTCGAGGCTCGAAGGTGTGGGGTCTTTCGTCAAATTATCTATACTTGTCAGCTAATTCCTACCCGACGATTCCAGTAAACATCCATACCTGTCCTTCTATTTCAGCGAGTATCCGCGACGATCATACAACTATCCGCTGATGGGTGTCCTCTCAATGACAGCCGTGTTATCAGTGACAGTGGCGGGACAGCAGACGTTGCCCCTCTTTCAAGACTGGCGGATGCTCAAAGACGCAGATTCATGCAGTAGACCCAGTCGTATTCGAAGGAACAACCGCACAGCTGGACAACAAGCAGAGGAATAAGTTGTGGGAGTAGTGAAGTGAGGATGGAGTCAACACGCGACAAGGCTTCAAGTATGTTTGACTTTCTTCTTATCGAGCTGACTACACTGACGATAAGCGTGTCGTTGCTCCCGTAGTGTTCCGGCAGGGTGGGGATCCCTGAAGTCTGGTCCCTAGCATTGGCCTATTGTTTCTCGAGCGGCCTCGAATCCCACGAAAAGCATTTAGCAGCAGACGAAACTATACATACCACTGGGTGGCCATATTCTTGAATCTCCGGAGGCAAACTGCTGAATCTTAAGCAGTTGAGTCAATATCCCAGTCACCCACAGGGAAAGGCAGTTGCGACCAGATCACTGTCCAGGGCTACTCGAGTATTCAGCCTAGCCTGAAGCTGTTTGACCGAATCGAGCCCCAGATATCCCACACATAAGGAAAGGATGAGCCACCGAGAATTTCGTGTCCTCCTACAGCCATGGTCGGTGTGTTCGGAGGCTTATATATACGAAGGAAGGGTGTAGTTCGACCCTGCCAGGAAGGATCGGTGGGGCATGAGCTTAACTTCCTGAGCTTGAGACAGAGCAGGAAAAGGAAGAATTTGTCGAGTGCAAGATTCTCCGGAAGGAGGGACCCTCTTTATGTGCTTTTGGAAACTGTCTGTGCCGTTTTGTTATCTACAGTCGTACAAGTGCAACTTGGGCTTTGCCACATTACAGAAAGTTATGATCGGATTACATATATCCGATACTGCAATTGGATCAAGGGTGTAGATTGGAGAGCAAAGTTGGCTTTCAGATTGAGAACATTAAACCGAAGAGATGACCAGTTATCGTTTATTGTTCTATGTTCATACCCTACTTTGAGAACGTCCAATTTTGCAGGCAACGGAGAGCTTCTAACATCTAAGACGGTGGACGTGTCGCTAGCCCTGCAGTAGTTCAAAACTTGAGCTCTGGACAGTCTGAAAGTTGATTCAGAATGTCAAGGAAAGGGGCAGCCACAAAGAGGCCAGCAATCTACTTGCAAAGCCCTTCAAGTTCCTATTTGGGAGATTTGGATACCAGAAATGAGCTCGACGTTGATGCTATTCATCTAGCTTCCACACAGAGAAGAACATAGCGACAGTAGTGGGTTTCAACCGAGAGATGGCGAAAAGAAAGTCGAGTGACTGAGCACGTCTTGGGTTTTGTATATGGACAGCAACGTCAGCCTTCCATCAATACATCGAAAGCGATTCTGAGCCAACGTTGTTGGACGCCGCTGGGGCAAAGATGGCAAAGCAAAAGTTCGAAGTGCAACATGTAGCAAAGTCGAGTTCTAAGCTAATAATGTATATACAGGTTGATATACCACCTACTGAGAGAGATCTAATCGTCTGTTTTCCTCCCAGCATTTGCCGCTCTCTTCTGTTCATGCTGCAGAAAGCCTCGGCGGTATCCGGATTGTTCCGGTCAATATCGCGAAGAACAAATAATCGAAACGCTGAGCAACAGTGAACAAGCCAAGATTTGTTCTGTCCTTTTGAAATTCCCAGTCTCTCCTTTTAAATGTTCTTGGCGAAGAGGTTCCATCAATATATATAGTGATGCATCCAGTTTAAACACTCAAGGCTCGATGTTTGAAGTGAAGAAGTATAGATACTTAGTTCAAATATTTGAAGCCACGGTCGGTGAGTGCCGTACATGAATGGACGATAATATGATATTGTTACGGAGTCCTGGGACAATGTAAGTGAGCCAGTCTCAAGTGTGAACAAAGATTTCAGTTTGAAGTGGTATAAGAATCTATCGTATTGATCTGACTTGATACTCGATCCACGTTGGGGGAAAAGGACTATGGAATGATACTGCAGCCGTCCAATCCGTTTGCTCCATCAGTTTGACCCTTTCGACCTTCAAAGAGACCTACGTAGCTTCCAGGAGACCTACGTAGCCTCGAGGCTCTGTTTCCGAAGTAGTCCCGTGCGTTAACGCTAACGATGGGCACGGTCCACCGCACTGATCGCACTTGGCTGCACTGTCCACGGATTCACGGCCTTTCCATCGACCGGTCCCGACAAAACATCCCACCTCTTCTTTCAAGATGTCGTCCTTCAAAGATATCGATCCTCGATTGCGGGACACGGCGTCAAACGCCTTCTCTCAGCATGCGCACAACAATGCGCCTTTCCAAACCCCTCTTGCCCCCTCGACTTCACGATCACCTGTCGGCCCTCCTCAGCGGTTCGATTCACCGATCGGAAACCCCTACCTTCCTCAAACCCCACAATCTGGCGGAAACGCTACCGATCATGATGGAGGTAATAGTCAATCCGGCGGAGGAGCAGACGATCCAAAGCGAACCCGCGCCTGCGAAGCATGCCGAGGATTGAAGGTGCGCTGTGAGCCAGACCCAAACAATGGAGATGGACCTTGTAAACGATGTGCGAAGGCGAATCGAAACTGTGTTGTTACCGTCCCCAATCGTAAGAGACAAAAGAAGACGGACAGCCGTGTGGCAGAATTGGAGAAGAAGATTGATGCCCTGACCCAATCCCTTGCACAAAAGTCTGCAGGAATTGCGCCTACAACAGCTGGACCTTTCCCTGAGCAACAAGGAATGGGTGTCGAACCACGTCGCAACGCATATCAACAAGTAACCAACGGAGGATTTGACTCTCTCTATGCCAGTCGTCCTGAGGTCCGAGCAGAAGACTGGAGTTACCCTAAGGAACCAGAATTTGTGGCTAGAAAGAACTCTGCCCCGCCTATGGTTGTTGCCGGTCAAAAACGAAAGCATTTAGAAACCAGAGAGTATTCTTCGACTCCCGAGTCGTCTGCTCGTAAGCTTTCGGAAACTCCCAATGGTTTCCTTGTGGATACTGGCAACAAGCCTGCTCCGAACCACGAATATGCAGATGTCATCGACAGAGGAGTTCTGACAGCTGATATGGCCGCTAAGATGTTCGAGTGTTATATTGAGAAGATGGTCCCTCACATGCCGGCTGTTGTCTTCCCAGCTGGTACGACAGCTGCCGATGTTCGCAAGACAACACCTACCCTCTTCCTTGCTATCCTCAGCGCAGCTTCCGGATCGAATTATCCTGAGCTTCAACGCATGTTGACCAAGGAGGTAATGAGCATTTATGCTGATCGTGTCATCTGCAATGGCGAGAAGACTCTTGAGTTGATTCAAGCACTCCATGTCAGCACTCTGTGGTATTGGCCCCCGGAGCATTTTGAGGAGCTTAAGTTTTACCAGCTCATTCATATCGCTGCTGTCATGGCTATTGACATTGGTATGGGCAAGAAGAATAAATCTTCGAAGGCTCAGTCGTCTGCCGGCTTGTGGAGAGATCATCCTTGGCGTCGAACCCCTTACCCGGATCCTGAAAGTATCGATGCTAGGAGAGCATGGTTGGCCTGCTACTTTCTCTGCTGCAACGCGTCTATGGGCTTGCGCAGACCAAACCTGATTCGATGGACTTCCTTCATAGGCGATTGTGTAGAAGTCCTGGAGACCTCACCCGAAGCAGCTCCCACTGACAAGATCCTTTGTCAATGGGTCAGGAGTCAACATATTGCTGAGGAAATCGGTACTCGATTCTCCATGGATGACCCTGGTGCCAGTGTTAGTATCACTGACCAGAATGTGCAATATGCTTTGAAGGGCTTCGAGTTGGACTTGGAAAAATGGAGCAAGAACATTCCTCCAGAGGTAGAAACACGTAAGTATCAAGTAGAGCTTGGATCAGACCCTTTCTGACATGTGAATAGCAACGCTCAGGGTCACTGAGCATGTAGTTAATCTCTACATGCATGAAGTTGCGATGCACGTTGATCATAACGTTGAGGAATTTAAGCCACCTTTTACCGAGGATAATCTGCGAGGTATGGGTGATAAGGATCAACCTATACCACTCTCGAATGCTCATATTAAAGCACTCTCGACTTGTTTGACCTCTATCGACAGAATATTCGAGACCTTCCTGCAATTCGACGTAGAGACGATTCGCTGTCTTCCAGTAGCAAACTTCGTTAGGGTAGCATATGCTGTCGTCGTCCTGATCAAGATGTACTTCGCCGCTGCGCAGCCAAACAGCGAGCTCGGGCAAGTCATTAACAAGGATCATATGAAAGTCGAGCAGTACTTGGATGGTTTAGTCGGAATATTCAGAGCATCTGCCGCAGAAGAGAAATCTCGACCCTCTGGCAAATTCTTAATGGTTCTACTTATGTTGAAGACTTGGTTTCATCGCCAACGCGGTCCCCCAGGTTCGGTCAATGAGTCTGCAAAAAATACTGGGAAGCAAGGCGAATCTTCCGCAAAGTCATCAGATGCAGCTCAACCATCCGCTCCCGAACAACGCAACGGTCAACAATCTGGCTATAGCCCTGCCAATACGCCCCTTCAATTACTTAGTGAAGTTGCAACCGGTAACTCTGGCGGTCAATCTCGATCTGATACCATGGCAAATTACCCAGGTGGAAACAATGATTGGCAACCTACACCAACCCAAGTGAGCTACCAAAATTACCCTCCTATGAACATGTTCGGAATGTACGGCACAGGTGGACCTCCAAGCTTCGATCCTCAAACTGGACTTGATTATGGATACACCATTGGTGATGGCGTCGAGCAAGCTATGGGTATGCCGCCTGGACTTGGTGATTTTGGCACTATCTTCAATGATGATGCTTTCTTCTCCGGGATCATGGACTCTGTTGGTCAAGGTATTTCTTTCGAAGGACTTTGAGTGGCAGTTCCGGTGGCATAAGTTTCTTGCGCTCTCCTGTGAGCAGATTCGGTGGTAACGGTTTGCTTCTTATGGGCAACACCTTATTGTAAGATAGATTTCGTGACTAGCTGGCACATGGCTTGCCATTCTAGCTAGTGACCCAGATACATACCGACATCATGGTCGATGACAAAATAAATTAATGCGATGCCTTCACCTTCTGTCCTCATGCTCGGTATTTAGATCTCGCGAGCTCAATGGTATTCATCCTCGTGACGCCAGTGCCCGCGGCCACCCGCGGCATAGCGCGCTGATTCGCTGATTCGTCCCCGCACTGCACTCATTTTTTGACATGCAAAATTCTCTACATGGGCTCCACAAATCTGCAAAGGAAAAATAGAAAAATTAGGAGCTATGGCCCCAACAAGATATGCACGTTCTCAATACCTGCATATAGCCAGCCTCAAGCAATAGGAAATGATTGGCGGCGTCCGCCGAAAAGCAATTATCACCCTCCTTTCTCTCGCTTCGCTTAGAGAAATTGGCGGGCTGGAACCTTGATAAGCTCTCTGCCCCGCTAATGCAAGCTACTAGGATCAAGAAAATGTACTAGTGTAATGTGGGACCTTTATCTCGTCTTTTTTCTTTCGAGCTATTGTTGATCTCGTGAGTCTATTGCTAAGGAGGGGAAAGAAAGGCTGTATATATTTTCTTATTCCTACGTTCTTCGCTTCTCGTCCATTCGTGTTGTTTCCATCTTGAAGTAATTGGTTCGACGACGAAGTGGCAATTGGGGTTATCACGAGCTGAATGCTGTGACGCCATTTACCCCGCCATACCAAGAATACATTACCTATTTGTACCGTAGCTCGGATATAGAAGGCCCGGTCTCCCGTGGTGGCACAAAAGTCTTTTCTGGAGTTAGAAGAGGGAGATTGAGAAGTGTTTAGTTTTTTGGACGAGAAGGAAAGGAGAGAAGATGTCGTTGTTGCATAGAGTGACTTCTTACGAGTCGCTTTCTCCTCCGAGAGGAAGGTCGCCTGTGGGATCGCATGAAAATCCTAGGGATCGAAAGCTTTCTTTCAGTCCTTTGCCTGGATCGTGGGACCCTCCTGCTGCTGAAGAGCATACGCATGCCATTGGGGCCTTTGAAGTTCCAAAGTCAAAGAGGATATGTACGTCCATTCTCTCTATCCATGAAACTCTTCTCCTTATCTGCCAGGAAGATACAGTCTGCTAACAAACTTGTGAACAGTACAAGTCGCAATTTCTGTCTTCTACTGCCTGTTTGCAGCCGGTATCGTCTTTGGTTACGCTGCTATCAAACCAGTCCTCATCCGCGAACGTGTGTACAGAGACTATTGCACGAAAGACGAGCTCGAACGAGGCGTGCGAACATGCTTCGACCAAGAAATACACCTGAACTTGATGTTCACAATTGCTGCTGTCGGAACGAATGTGGCAGCTCTGCCCATCGGAGCTATACTCGATCACTTCGGCCCTAGACTGTGCGGCATACTTGGAAGCTTTCTACTTGCTATAGGGGCTGTGTTCTTCTCGTTCGCATATAAACTTCCCTTCGATGGTTATATACCCGGATACCTTTTCCTGGCTTTAGGAGGACCCTTCATATTCATCTCCTCCTTCCAATTATCCAACACATTCCCCAAACACTCAGGACTTATCCTAGCTCTACTCACAGGAGCATTCGATTCCTCCAGCGCCATCTTCCTCCTATACCGCATGCTCTACCAATGGAGCAACAACACCTTCACCCCGCACAAATTCTTCCTCCTCTACCTCATCGTCCCGGCCTTCATCCTCCTCGTCCAAATCCTCATCATGCCCCAATCCTCCTACAAAACCGTCGGCGAACTCGTCCGCCAAGTCGAAGACACAACCGACGACAACGTCCTCGACGACCAAATGGACGAACACACCGCCCTCCTCCGCGACGAAAGAAGACAACACCGCCAATCCATCGTCTCAGACATTACCTCCCTGCTCGGCTCCAAATCCGGCGCCAAACACCTGCAGAAAGAGGAAGTCAAGAACCGCATCTCCGGCGTCTGGGGCGCTATGCACGGTAAAACAGTACGGCAACAGATCACTTCTCCATGGTTTATCCTCGTTACGCTATTTACCGTCATCCAAATGACGCGCATAAACTACTTTGTCGCTACCATCCGTCCGCAATACGAATACCTGCTCTCCTCATTCACCAAAGCCGTGGAAATCAACACCTTTTTCGACATCGCGCTCCCACTTGGTGGAATTCTGTCGATCCCTTTTATAGGCTTGATACTAGACAATACCTCTACGCTAACTGTTCTCTCGCTCCTGGTTACTATCGCAACAACAATCGGGATCCTAGGCTGCCTTCCCTATACCTGGGCCGCGTACGCGAACGTCTGTCTCTTCGTCCTCTATCGCCCCTTCTACTATACCGCCGTATCGGACTATTCCGCCAAGGTGTTCGGGTTCCGGACGTTTGGCACTGTGTACGGGTTTATTATCTGTCTTGCTGGTCTGTTTAATTTTACTCAGGTACGTTCCCAACATCCAACCCTCTCGTTCTGTTATAACCGCGTACTAACGCCCCGATAGAGTGGACTAGATGCCCTATTACATAAAGTATGCAAGGGAAATCCAGTCCCAGTTAACGTAGGACTATTGAGCGCCGCTGCAGTGGTGGGCATCGCGTTATGTGTTTTTGTGGGGTGGAAAGCGTATTATTTCAGGAGAGACCGGTTGGAAGAGGAGGCTGAGCATGCGGGGGAGACGCTTATGCCTGGGGCTAGGATGCCTGAGGGTTTGTAAATAGGTGGAGGGACTGTAGTATGTTTTGAGCGGTTGGTGGCGGTTGGGTGGCTATATATCCTGTTGCAAGTTCGGCATAGCAGGGCGTTGGTTGGGAAAACTTCTTTGCGGGTCATCAGGTCGAGTTGGGTATCATCCTTTTTTGTATTGAAGATAATCTAGCAATTTCGAACATTGACATCTAGACTCTGGTCATGAATCGTTATATTCAGCGAAAGTGCTCAAACTCAGCCCCGCTGGTTCTCATTGCTAGCAACCGGTATCCGCTCAAGCTCATTTCTCATAATCGTCAGTTATTTTCATCATTCGAGTGCCCAGCACCACAACATCAAAATTCATCTCTATAATCCTCGAATCCTTGCATGGTGAGCCAGTCATCCAATCGTCCTTGAAGTGGGAAAGGCGGCTTCTTTACTCTACCCAGTTCCTTCCAGCATTTTTCGGCTAGCTCATTGTTGCCTGGGTCAGTGTCTGTCAGGAACTCGACGACGGGATTGTCGGCGAATGTTACAGCGGTGGGTTTGCAAAGGGTCATGCGGATTTGAGGGTGGTGGTGAGGGGAGGTTGGGACGGGTGCTGTATAGGAGTGGTGCGGGATTAGGAAGAGAGTGATTATCCTGGTCGTAAGGAACGTAGCAAGTGCTTCGAGGGTTTGGAAGGATGATTCTTCGATTGTCTAAGTGTTGCGTTAGTTACTTTATAGATTGGATGAAAGGAGTTCGAAGGAAATTACCTTTGCAACGATCTCTTCGAGCTCAGCCCAGGTATCAACTGCCCTGTCCCATTTCTCCATCTCGACACCACAGATAACGATTTGCTTTGCCAGTCTCTCGTTGGGGTTCACGCCAATGATGGCTGGAATTCTTAATTCATGCAGCTTCATCACCATGCTATAAGCACCTGGACCGCTTCCCGCACCATCGTACAAGAAGGTTCCCTTAACACTGACACCAGTACCTAATAAGGAAGCTTTTGGAAGTTTGACCTCAAGCTCAAGCACGGTGATATTCTCTGAGCTCAAAAGAGGTTCGGCATCTTTCTTAGACCTCTTAGACTGCTTAAGAGCTCTGGTCGCCACGGGACCTTGAGGGATCTTTGGTAGGACATCGTAGCCTGTGAGGCAGTAGTGGAGCCAGCAAACTACAGTTCTACCCCACATTGGAACTCGTAGTCCTTCTTCATCACCGGATCCGATGATGCCCTCGAGTTCCTTGCATGCTCTGATGATTGCTTTGCTTAGAATACCGTAGTGCACTGTTACAATTAGTTTGTTTCTTATCAAGTGAAGCTTAAAGTAAGATGAGGTTAAACAATGAGGGATAATTGTGAGGGTGGCCTCATAATTCGATACCATACAGAGAGAAACGGAAATAGATGTGTCTGAAGTATCAATACGTACCTGTTCCTTTAGTCACAGTATCAGTATCTGAAGCAGATGAGAATGGCTTTCGGAGGGAGATGGATGCTGAAATCAACGCAGGTTGCTGAGTGGCTGGACGACCCCAAGCATCAGTGAGGGGCAAGTTCGTCTGAAGATTGTGGATTTCAATCTTGGATGGAGCTTCCTCGGGTGCCAATCTGTGGAGTGCATGCGGGGTGAGAAGTGGAGGCATGATTATGCCTTGTGTGTGCTTTGATCAGATTGAGATTTGGTGTCTGTGATATGAGCTTCTCGTCGATGATAGCGCGATCAACTCAGGTTTTGGGACTCGATATCGATTTTGTAATCACAAGAGATTTCGAATTGGGAGTTTGAAGGTATTTGAGGTCAACACGAAATTTTATGGGAGAGTGAGCTGGGCATGAGACCTCGAGGCAAAGTTTGTGAGGTGGAGCAATCCCGGCAGAAAATCACCAGATTTGGCACCGCCTTCCACGAAATGATGTCGAATGTTCATTTGTAGCAGGCGCAAACCTGATAAATTGCTGCCTATTCGCTAGGTTAAAGCTCAGGAGAAGCTGCATTCTAGTGGCCCTGATGTCATATCGTACCATCAAACACCAGAAACTCCATCCTCACCGCCCCCCACGCTCCCAATGCCTAAACGCCATGTACAGTATAAACAGCCGCCACGAGACCTTTATTTCTTATTTGGGAGTTTTGTCGTGCCGTCGCAAACTGGACATATCCAGGTTCCGACCGGCTCGCTCTTGAGATTAACGCAACTCCAATGGAACCACTCCAAGGGGCAATCCTCGTTGTCGCAAGCAACCATATCGCCATAGCTAACGCTCTGGCATATGCAATACTTCTTATCATCTCCTCCTTCCTCGTCATCTCCCATCTCTTCGTCTCCATCAGCATCCTTGTGCACGGGCGGAGTGGCAGCTTCGTCCTCTTCTCCAGAACCAGATTCGGCGTCACTAAGTTCACTATCGTTTGTAGAAGATGGGGAGTTCTTATTGCCTGGTCGTTTGAGTCTGCTTAGACCAGACTTCTTAGGCTTCTTTTGGACTCCAGCTTGTCTGCTTCCAGATGGTGCCACTTTCTTGATAGCTGTGCCCTTCTGTGATAATTTCGGTCCTGCACTACCAGCTCTTGCAGATGCAGTAGCTGGAGTATGACCTCGAGGCGTACCTGGGGTTGCTGATGATTGACGTGCAAGACCACTTGGTGGAAGGACACCGAGACCCATTTTTTGACGCTTGACCGCTGCGGTCGCACCGAGCGATGTTTCTCTAGCCTGACGGGACATCAGCATAGACGCAGCAGGTGTAGCAGGAGCAGAAGAGGATGAAATGCCAGTAGCATGGGCTTGCAGGTGTGGTATTCTTTGTGTGTACTGGTTGGGCTGCCGAGTATGTGGTATCGTCGCAGAGTTTGTAATCTGTCCCAACGGCATAGGTACTGTATTAGCATCTAGTCGACTAGGGAGGGCACTCTCTGGTTGAGGGCGGAGAACTGAAGGTATATCCGGATCATTTGGAACCTCTCCTCGATCTTGTAATGTCTTTATGTGACCATCAAGCCATCGAGTATGCTTGTCCATCAGTTGCTTGGTCTTTTGCGCGAGAGCAACTTTCTCTTCCTGCAGAATCTGGCATTTATCGTAATTCTCGAGGACCACTCTACTCAACTGCTCCTCCTTAGGGTTTGGGGTATGACTGCCATTAATTTTAATCCATTTCTGAATGGCCGTGTCGTTTTTCGCGATGATCGAAAGGCATTCTGACATTTGTCTATCTTTCTGTTCGATCTCTTCCTGCATGAAAGCGACTTCTGCAGGCAAGTTTGCCACGCGATTCATCCACTCGTCGAGCAGGCCGGCCGCATCGAGGTGATCTTGGTGGCCGACCATACTGCCTCGCCTGTTGTTAAAATCGATGGAGAGATCGTCTCTGGGCATGATTGTTAATGGCGATATCTTGAGTGGGTCGAGAAGTAAGGAGGAGATATCAAGAACGTCGCGCGCAATCGTATGCTCACCTCGAATTTGTAACGCTCCGTTCTGCGAAGACGAAGGAGAAATTTTGAAGACCCTGGCTGGTTGGGCCCGAGTGGTGGTGCTAAAATTGAAATTGGATGGCAGGGAGAATGACGAAGAAGGCGCGATTGCGAAAACCCAAGAAGAGGCGAGTGAATTTGGGTCCACTCTCAGCCTTGTGCTAGACCGTATGCGGCTAGATGATATGTAGGGGCTGGCAGCGGTTGTACAGTGTGATCATGTATTAGCTTGACAGAAATATGGAGACATGCTGCTTGAATTTGAATGAAGTACATAGATAGAATTTGTAGAAATTTCAAATTTGGTCAGCAATTCAACACTTTGAAGCATCATAATTTCTCTCCTCTTCTCCCGAGATAAGGCGAATGAATTTGAGTCCACTCTCAGCTCGAATATGATAGAACTGTAGAACATTCAAACTCTGTCAGCATTTGAGCACTTTAAAGCGGCATAAGATCTCTCCTCTTCGCCTAAGAAGAGAGAGATGAATTTGAGTCCACTAGCAGCCCAGACATAGATAAAATTTGTAGAAGATTCAGAGTTTGTCAGCATTTAAGCACTTCAAAGCGGCATAAGTTCTCTCCTCGAATTAACGTAATGTTTTTCAAGTAGCAAGAAATAAACAAACGAGTACATCGAAATTTTTTATGAAAGATGCAAAGTCTGTCAGTAATAAAGCACTTTACAGCTATACAAGTTCTCTTTTCAAGTTAAAGTAAGATAGTCAAGTGGCAAAAACCAAACATAGTGAATTTGAGACCACTCTCAGCCTTGTGCTAAATTGTATGATGCAGACATGTATAAAATTTGTCAAAGTCCGTCAGCAATTGTGCACTTTAAGCTAGCATAAGTTCTTTCCCCAAGTTAAAGTAATATGTCAAGTAGCAAGAAATAAGCATCGTGAATTTGAGCTCACTCCTAGCCTTGTGCTAGACCGTATGCGGCTAGACGTCATGTGATGGAGCCCGAGAAATTTTCACCCAATCGGCGTCTCAAAACTTTCTCCGGCGCGATTCCCAAAACAGCCTCACATCTTGTCGATATCGGCAATACAATAATCCGATACGATGCCTGCCAAAAAGAGAGCTTCGCGCAAAGCTGGGGGCTCAGACCCCGACTTCACCCCTCCTCGCTCTCGACCAAGCACGACGAAGAAGACGAACATCGACCAACCCGGCTTCGCGACCGGCTTAACCCTTCGATCTGCCAACCCGAAGAAGACAAACATTGAACAACAACCCAGTGTCGGACCTGGCACCATGGTCATGTCTTCTAACAAGATTGTGAAGGAGTACGAGCACCCGCAAGATGAAGATGTCCGAAATGAGGATTTCCGGCGCAAGGTGATGGAGGCAATTGATAAGAACAAGATCGTACGCCCCAAAGGATACACAGTATCATGGCATTCGAACCCGGCCATCGAGAAGCATCACTTCGGAAATTCTCACCCTATGAAGCCATGGCGCCTCACCTTGGCCAAGAGCTTGATCATGTCCTATGGAATGCATGCGGCTATGGACACCTTCATCTCCCGAACAGCAACCAAGGAAGAATTGGAGGATTTCCACACTGAAGACTATCTCGACTACCTCAAGACAGCAAAGGTCGCTCTCCCTGATGATGAGACTGTGAAGGACTATAACCTTGGTGGTTCGGATTGTCCCATCTTCGACGGCTTATTCAATTACTGCTCTATGTACGCCGGAGCATCGATTGATGCGGCAAGAAGATTGGCAAATGGAGATTCTGATATTGCAATCAATTGGTCTGGTGGCCTCCATCACGCGAAGAAAGCCGAAGCTTCTGGTTTCTGTTATGTCAATGACATCGTCCTTGCCATTCTCCAACTCTTACGAAGATTCCCACGTGTCTTATACATCGACATTGACGTTCATCATGGAGATGGAGTTGAGGAGGCATTCTGGTCCACTGACAGAGTCCTGACATTGTCTATCCACAAATACGACGGCATGAACTTCTTCCCTGGTACTGGTGACTTGGACAGAACAGGTCCGGATGATGAGGCCAACCCTGGAGCACATCACGCAGTCAACGTACCTCTCTATGATGGCATTGATGATACCCAATACATCTATCTGTTCAAGACCATTGTTGGCATGTGCAAGGACCATTTCCGACCATCAGCAATTGTTCTTCAATGTGGGGCGGATTCACTTGCTGGTGACAGACTGGGTCGTTTCAACGTTCAGGTTAAAGGTCATGGGGCTTGTGTTGCATACTGCAAGTCTCTTGGTCTCCCTTTGTTGCTTGTCGGTGGTGGAGGATATACCCCGAGAAATGTCGCTAGAGCCTGGACCCACGAGACCAGCATTGCCATCGACTGCGACAAGGATCTCGATCCGGTCATTCCAGACCACACACCCTACAAGAGCTTCTTCCACTATGACACCCTCTTCCCAACCCTTGAAGAAATTCTCGTTGGCGATCCACGTCCAAACAAGAACAGCAAGAAGAGAGTCGATGAAATCGTTTCGTCCATCCGAGAGCAGCTCCGTATGGTAAACTTTGCACCCAGTGTTCAGAGCTCTGTCATTCCGCCTGATCTTAGTTTCACCAAAGAGGATGTGGATGATGCTATGAACGAGGAACTAGAGGAGCAAGACGAATACAGAACCCAAAAGGAAACCGGCGTTGGTGTTCCCATGGAATTGTCCTGATCGAATTGGTTTCTTTTCTTATTCAGCATTTCAGCAGCGCTTTGCGGAGGATACCAAGTGTGCATATCTGGGGCGTTTATGGGCATCGTTGATTTTTCGGAGGAAAACTAAGCTGCGTGCATTTATGGCGTCTTAAAATGGAGGCGTATCAGTGAATTACAGCATCAAGAGTCAAAGGACAGGGCCATGCGGCCATTCTTTGCTTGATGCACGATAGTTATCAACAAGCTTTAGTGCAAAGTTGAATGCAGACAAATCACAAACTTAAACACAATGTGCCATGTCTGTCTATTGTCTAAGTTTGAGTCTATAACTTTTCTTCTTTCATCCTGCAAAACCTCTATATTCTACCCATCGCTAGCCTTTGACTCCATGCTTCCCTCCAAAATGCAAACATAAGCTCTCATACTGTAAGCAGTTTCTTGCACAAAGGAACATCACCATTAGTAACCTCCTTCACAAACTCAGGGTCAGGATCAAAGAGCATAACATGGAAGTGTTCCACGGCATGAACACTCTTCAAAGATTTCCAGTTCTTAAACCAGATCACCTATTGCACAACCAATTAGCTATTCCCCTTTTCTCACATCCACTTTTCACTTCAATCACAACTACACTTTGTATCAAAGAACAACATAAATAAAATAAGATAAGATAAATTAAAAACACTCACATTCTCACCTCCCACCCTCCTCCCAAACACCTTCTCCACCCATTCTTCCACCTCCCGCCTCGCCTCCGCCGTCAAATCCCCATCCGGCCCCTCCACCAACGCAAACTTAGTCCAAACAACCAAATGCACAATCCGCCCATCAATCCCATACGGCCAATCATTCCACAACACCTTCCAATCGCTCTCTTCCTCAAACAGCCCTCTCCCCTTGGCCTCCCTCTCTCCTTCTCCCCACTGCAGCCGTTCTTCTAGTATAAACTTCATCACGGATCCGTGTTTTTGCTTCAGGGTGTACATGAAGGCTAGATAGCGGCGCAGGTCAGATGGCAGCCGTTGGAAGGCGTCGAGGCGGTTGGAGGCGCTGATTGAGCGGACGGTGGGCCAGGAGAGGGGAAGGTAGAAGGCGTCTGGGGTGCTGATTATGGAGAGGTCTTTGGGAGAGAGGTTTTGCAGGTAGGGGGGGCAGTGGGGGGTGCGGTCTTGGGAAGGGATGTTGATTTGCCAGTAGGGGAGGGGGGTCGTGCTGCCCATTGTAAGGTAATAGAGGTTGATATGGCCGGGTAATTGAGGTTGGATGATGGCAATTTGTGGTGTGGGATGGGATTTGTTGGTTGGGGATCAGGCTGTATGTGAAAGGAGGGTCAGCCTTGTGTGTATGGAGCGTTTAGCCGTTCGTTTAATTTATTGTGCATTTATTTTCTCTTCCCCTTTTTCTTCAGTTCTCCTGAGTTATGAAAATAATGTATCCTGGATAGCTTCAATCTTCACCGCAGTAAAGACTCGGAGAGTGAGGCTTGGATTGGATGCGAAAGCGAAGACCGTTACCTATCAACCTTAAGTCCAAGCAAACCGCCTCAACCCATCTCATCTCAAGATCGTCTCCAGGTCTCGCCCCTGAACCCAGCTCGGCTCTCTGTCCTTTTCTACGCGCGTTCACATCCACTCGTACTTCTATTCCTCCCATTGGCCCTCTTCTGCTCCACCGCAATCTCCCGCTCCAACCACATGCAAAAGTGGCAGCAGAGAAAAACAAGCTTCATTCCTGGGCTCTAATCTCGGCAATGGCGTTGGCGTTTCGGCATGGCTCGTCCCTGCTCCAGATCGGAACGATTGGATGCACGCTTGCGAGGAAGGGGGGAAGAGTCTGGATCTTGCTTGCATGCAGGTCCGTTTGCGTCTCCACTCGAATATCCAGTTTCTTCATCGGCAGGCAGGCAGGCATCGGAGCATTTCCTGTTGGATAGAGTGGAGATGTTGTATTGTTTATATATGTGTTCCCCTTCTTCGTTAATTCGTGTGTTTGTTTGTGTGTTTTGTTTCGAGAGCTGTATGGGATTGATTGATTGATGGGGTAGCTGGCTGTTTTGTTTTCTTGTCTATCCACGCACACACACACACACACACTCACTCACCCACACTCGTTTACATACCCACCATCATCATTCGTTTGACAGTCGCTCTTTCTATCTGTGGTGGTGCGAGATTGATCTAGATTGACAGTCGCCTACCTTCCTCTGTTTCACTTGGCAGAGCATCTATTCGCCAGGATCGCAAGATTCGTGTGTTTGAGTTGGACGACGGCTATTTGGAAGTGTGCTTGCTTGCTTGCTGTCTTTCCTTATTCTCGATTAGGACGCCACGAGGAGGAGAAGAAACTTTTTGGGAGGGTTCGAGGCGATTGAAAGGCACTGGGCTGCAACGAAGGAACGACTTGCAAAGAGCATATTATTCGAACTTCCCTTCGAGGGTTGAGATAGGGGATATTCACTACTTGGATGAGGGACGAGATTTAAGGGTATAAACAACAAGCTGAGAGCTTCGCGAACACACACACACACAAAACCGATCTACGGATACGAACAATCCCAGGAGAAACAAGGAACATACACGAAATGGGAGGCAATCCACGAGCAGGTCGACCGCACGTCGTGCGCCCATCTCCCCTCCAACAAGTATCCCACACCCGACCACTGAGCTCCGCACCACCGACCAGCGGCCTGGTCCGCGATCCGTTGTTCTGGAAGAGATTCAGCGTCGCTGTTCACGCGGCGGAAGTCTGCGACGAAGAGAGCGGGAAGGGAAGTGTTAAGAGCGGGAATACGGTTGAGATTAAGGCTGCTGGGTATGTTCTCCTTTTCCTTGGGGACATCGAGCAGAAGACAGATAGAAGATGAAAGGCTAACAGAAGTATCACCACAGAGACGACTGGCTAGCCCAACAACGAAGAGAAAAGAGACGCTGTCGGGTCCTGTGCGTGAGCATCACCATCATCATCTTGGTGCTGATCGCAGCGGGCGCCTTTTGCGGGTGGTATTTTACGCATCATCATGTTGTTTTATGATGACAGCGCGACGGACGGATTATGGCATGATATGGAAAGAAACGAGAACGAGAATTACGAAAGAAAGAAGAGAGGATAACGAATTTTGACGAACGGACGTATGAAAATGGGATAGAGCCGGACATGCATGCATGCATACATAGAAAGAGGAGAGAGGGAGAGAAGACGAGGCAGTCAGCGGAAGACCTGCTCATTCATCACATAACGGGAATTTTTGTGCATACATACCTACCTAAGGCTACTTTATGTACATCAATCAATCAATATCAAATAACCATCATCCACATCCCTAAAGTAAACCCAGAAATTAAATCTCACGTCACCGTCCTATTCGTCCCTATTCTTCGGATGTTTTCCCAGCCGGCAGCTCACTCCCACGTTTCTTTGTTCGGTGGGAAAGTCTAGCCGAGAAAGATGGGTAGATCCGAAAAAAGAGGTGAGGCGACGCGAGAGAGAAAGAGGCGTTCATTAATCGTTGTGAAGGAGTCCGGATGGAGGGGTTTCCGAGGGGGTGCGATGTGCAACAAAGATTGTTGTTGAGGATTGAGAGGGTTGGTTGGTTGGTTGTTTTTGGATGGGAGTGGGAGGATGGGATGGGAAGGCATGTGGGTTTGAGGGGATCTCGTGATTTTTGGGGAGTTTGTGGGGTGAGAGTATGGAGTGGATGGGTGAATGGTTTGGATGGATGGGATGGATGTTTGAGGATTTGAAGGAGGGTTGTGCTGTTGTGTGGTAGGTAGGTAGGTGAAGTGCTTGGCTTTTTGTCTGGAGTTGTGGTGTTGGGATGATTTGGGGTTGTTACATGAGATGGATTCGACTTTTTTTACATGTTTCGTTGTTTATAATAGCATTTGCTGTTTCATTAATCATTTTGATCTTGTATTATTTTTGATTCTATATGTAGTGCATATTGGGCTTTGTTTTTATTTATTCTTCAAGATGTCCTTTGAAAACGCCCAAGACGGATTTCCTGTTTATTGCTCTGGAAGTACTGCATCTTCATCCCATCTTTATTTCTAAGTTTGATGTACATGATATCCGCTCCAAGTCCTAGCAATATAGATACTTTAGCGATTGTGCAATGCTTCAAGCAGAATGCTGTGAATCTCTTCTTTTCACTCTAGAGAAATCGTTAGCCCTCGCTCTAGTCTTCTAAATCTCTCCAGGCAAATAACTACAAGATAGAGTATCCCAGCATCTCACGGACCATTGCGGTATTGGAAGCAAGTGGATTTGGAGTTTAAATGAAGTGTAAGTTAAAATACTAAGAGAAGTCTGCTATCTTGAGAAGTGGGGATCTCACACATACCTCAACAGACGAGAAGCTACTTTCGCTTTCCACTGCGTGCTTCGTCAAAGCGTTAGAACAGAATAAATAGGAGTACTTTAATCAAGAAGGAGAGTCTTTGCTTCCAAGATACTTCTAGTCCTAACTCTTTTGCTTTAATATACTTAACCCAAAAGAAACACCCGCGGTGCGGTTCCATTGCTCCAACTTCCACATCCAGCTTAGACAAGAAAGCTCATCGGGATATCTGGCTTTCATCACAATGCCATATTTTCCGAACCTCCTATTTGAGAACTTCCCCAAGAGAGCGCTTCCATCTATGAAAAATAGAAAATGAAACTGGCCGATCTTCCAATTCTATTCATCGGGGAGAGGAAAGTTGAATGAATCAACTAAGATCCAGTCTCTCCTCACCTCTCTCAAACATCCGTCCAATCACATCGCAGAAAGAAACAAGATCAACAATTGGCCCAGTTCCTCATTATGATTTTCTGAATCTGAAACCCATCTGACAACCAACCAAGAAAGCTGTACCTCCCATCTCAAATCCTCGAATCCAAAAAAACCAAATAAAAAAAATCAGTACTAAAACCAAAAGTTCAAAAAAAAGAAAAACACACGACCCCTTCCTCTCCCCATTCCTCAAACTCCCCTCACTTACCCCCAAGATTCCAAAGCACCCAAAAAATTCCAAGAAATCAAAGGGGGCTCTTGGCAGCATAAATACTCCTCCCTCCTTCCTCCATCCGTTCCATCCGTTCGCGTTTGATCCTTCAGCCCTCCCTCGCACCCTCGCACCCTCGCACTAAAGAACCAATAAGCTTTAAGCTTCTTTTTCAAACACGCGAATCGTGAATCCTTCGAGCTTCACGCACGGGGTATGGATTGGATTGGATTGGAGCCTGTTAGTGTGGTCTATGTTTGGGATGGGATGGGATGGTGATGGGGCTGAGGTACCAGCAATGAGGTGAGCTACTGTAGGAGCTTGAGCGTGAGCCTCGCTGTCTCGATGGTGGTGTGCAGGCATTTGTAGCTTCATTCGTTTCATTGTTGTGAGATTTTGTTCACTCATTCATCATTTTTTCACTCATTGTACTGTTTGTTCTCCCTACCTTTTCCCTCTCAATCTTTATCCGGGTCGACTGGACCCCTAAACTCTCCCCACAATGAAACTCGACCAGCTCTTCCTAATCCTAATCCTCCACACCCTCACCCTCTCCGTTTCCGTCTCCTGTTCCCACATCCCCGCGCTACGTACAAACACCTACCACCCTCCCCTCCTGCGCGCAAGAGCAACAACAGCAACGACAATCACATCCGCAACGCCCCTCCAAACCGCGCTCTGCGGCTGGCTCGGCGGCGACCCGGGACAACCGTGGACCTGTGCCGTGGACGGCGAGTGCGTGATCGCGACGGCGAAAGCGACGAATGCTGTTGGGTGCTGTGTTTCGGGACGGTGCGCGAGTTTTAGGACGAGTTGCGTGCCCGCGACGGCGGTGTGTAATAGTGCTTGTTCGAGTAATAAGGAGAATTTGATTTGGTATGCAGATCTCTCTTTTTTACATAAAATGAAATGAATGATGGGAGGAAAGCTGATAGGGGAGAAATAGTTCAAATGATGCGCCGCTGTGTGCGACGTTTACTTATCCGGGGGATTATACTGAGTTGCGATGTGTGAGCTCTGCGCCGCCGACGCTGCAGGTGGCGTTTACGTTCTCTGGGTTCACGACGCCGTTGCCGTTGCCGAGGATGTTGAGTACCATGACGAGTTGTGATAGCACGGGGCGTTGTATACCGGATTTGACTATTGAGACGCAGACTCCTTCGTCTTCAAAAGTTGTTGGTTGCTCTGAGATAGAAATGAGTGAGAGAAATGCTAATTGAGAAAAATAGACGAGTACAACGCCCAAAACAGGTACCACGAAAACATCAAGCTCACCAGGATCAACTTCTACATCTGGAGCTCCGGCGACCAGTTCCTCAGATACAGGTGCCATCGTTGGAGGCGTGGTTGGTGGGGTCGCTGGAGTAGCTTTGATTGGAGGAGGACTGTTCCTTTATTATTGGCGAAAAAAGAGATCGCAACGGAATGCAGTGATGGCAGCGGGATCAGGAGCAGGAGTACAGAGTCCATATCATTCTCCTCAATCAGGGAATGCTCAGCCGGCCGAGAGACAATCTCATCACCCGCATGCGAACGGGGAACAAGAGGTGTATGGAGGTGTGATGAAAGCGGAGTTACCGACGCAGTTTCATGAGGGTGGTGGGGGAATGGGGACGGAAGCCGTCAAGGTGGACGAGGTTCCAGGGCCGAGAGAAGCGTGGGAGATGGACGGAGTGGTGAGGCAAGACACGCCGTTGATGGAGTTGGAAGCTCATGAAATGGCTGATAGGCGGCCGAGATGAGGTTTGGAATTTCGTTTGCAAAGAATGGAGTTTAGGATGAGCTTCGGAGCATAGCGTGCATTGATAGATGGGAACTAGACTCTGAAGAATATATACCAGAGTTTTGATCAAAGTTGGAATCGAAGCGAGGACAATCTGCTTCCACGGAGGTTTCTAACTTCTCTGGTGATCCCGCATGCAGATATCAACTCTGTCCCGAGAAAAGAAGGAAAAGTGCTTCTTGATCAACAACACGTGTCCGAGGAAATGAGATCGTCAAAGAGTTGCTCCTTGTTGGAATAGAGCTAAAGCTGATGTTACTCAACGATGGATAACTCCGGTTATCCCTCTCGATATCTGAAGTCTGATACCCATTTCAGAAGATCTTCAAGATCCTCGATGGAGTGACACAAGGTGGAGGACATGCTTATGACTGCATACTTCTCAAATGAGATCTTCGAGATCTTCGAGTGAAACAAGGGTCCAAGAAGCTGAGGAATAGAAGAGCCTCGGAATTTGCGGTGTTCAGATCACTATGATTAGGTGAGATGACAGCGGCTTCAGTTTAGGTAATAGCTGAAAGTATTTATTCCGATTATGCGTGCGCTTTTTTCTTGGAAAGCCGTGAAATGCTCGATGCAGAGAGTCGGAATTTGGAAAGAAATGCTCGTGTTCAAACAGAGGTACAAATTAGAATGCTCTTTACAATTCCTCCGTCTTATCCGGAACTAAATTAAAAAGCTATTGTTCCACAACATGCATGTTTTCTTTTGATGTAGATGAGTGATTTAGCCTTGATTTATAATTGGTATTCGCATATGGACTAGGTTCCGAAGCCAAATGAGACATTTAAAAATGTTGATTACTCTGGTAGATCTTCTCCGGAAAGTCTACGGAATCTATGGGGTTGGCGTCTGCTGGCAGTGACTTTCTGCTCCATGAAAACAAGAACATTCATTTTGCAGATTGCCACAGACTGAAATTGCATGAGTAACAAAAAGCAACACGGCAAACGAGACATCAACACTGCTTTGTTAAGCGGATCCAAGCTCGAGACATACGAAAAACGTTGATCCCGCTCTTTTGAGCAAGTAAGACATAAACAGAGATACCAATGATGATTGCTTGTTTTCGACACGGAGAGTGAAGTTTAGTATTTGCACTTGCAAAACCCTTATTTAGGGATTTTTACGCGAGGATGAAGAGATCTGGTAGTGTGCTGCAGGTTTGAACACGTCTTCTGGAGTCATGATCTGAGGCTTGCAGACCGCTGTCCTCTACTTTCGTGTTCCATATTTCGTCAGTCGCAAGAAGTACCAACCTTGTCTCCTTCATGCTGTGTCACCGTCTCAGTCGTCGCCACGTGCTCCGCAACCAACTTCCCCAGATCGCGGATTCAACCCAAATGCCACAGAAGCTTCCCAATGCTTTCCATCGTTCCACCGTCTCAGATAGAGCCAGTCACGTGTGACGTTCCGTTGCGCAATTGTCGATCGGGTTCGCGGAGAATAGGGGAGATGGGAAGAAAGTAGGAGTTCACCGCTGTTTCCAACACACGGCTCGTTGCTTCTTCCTCATTGCTTTTTGGGACTGTCGTATATGATATAATAACGAGTTGGTGTATGGGGACTGAACGACTCAGCGGAAGAAGCACAGAAACGGACAGCTGCAGCTGTACGACCTTCCTTGAAACGGCTGTCTGCTTCTTCGCACTCCCCGAAGCTCAGGCTTCTCTTGCCTTGCGGGGATGAAAGAAGTGGCTGTCACTTTCGGCCCAAGCTCCACCCGTGCTTGGGAGGGCGTGCTGGCTGCTTGTTTGGTTGCATTACTTGCTTTTTGACGTTGTTGCTTCATCTTCGTCCAAGCACGGCCGGGGTTGAGGATTTGAAATATGAGATATCGAAGAAAAGAATTATGACAGAACCAGAACGACCAGAAGCGGATGGGCTTCAGCCTTCTGCAGCGACCCTTCACAATCAGCTGATGGAGCTGATTGTCTCCCCCACACGAGCACACGAGAACCTCGACAGCCACCCGGAGCAAGCACCTGCCTCTTGGAGGTAGTTTCGACAAGCTGAGGATGCGCGGCGTGAAGAGGCTCGAATCTGAGCAGTCGCGTTGGAAGAGAAGAGGTTGGCCGAAAGGGGAAGTGATGAAATGAGGTGAGCATTTCATTTTGGGAAAGCCCACATTGCAGAAATGAAATAAATTATTTCTCTGTGGTGCAACATGAGGTTTCCCCAATCCCTCGCTCTCAACACGAACATCCGCCTACCCCACGGTCACACACAACTCCACAACACGTTCGTGCCAGCAGAGCGAATAGCTCCGAGAAGGCCCCAGGACACCGGGTGGCCGTCCGAACATCATCTCGCTCGTTTCATTTACGAACAGTGCTTTTGTGCTGCTGGCAGTCGCACACTGGGCTTCTTCGAGGGATCGTGAGGACGACGACCGACGGACAGCAGACGAGCAGACGAGCAGACGAGCAAGCCGATTACCCTTCGCTTCTCCTCCCTTACCTACTCCAGACCCGGCACGGTCATGCAGATTGCTTGTGGCGGCCACTGCAGGTAATTCCTTTTCCGATTCTAGTGCATCCTCAACCCATGAGATCCTGCAAGTGTGTAGGGCACCAAGCTGGCGGTTGGCGATAGGTCCGCTTGATATCAAAGAATCGAGTCAAGAAGTCCCAACCGCCGACTAATCTAGTGTGGTTGCGGAAGGTGTGGAGGGGCGGGAGTGAAGAGTAAGAGTGAGAAGAAGCGGTCGGAGGGAAGAAGAGGGCGACTGAGCCTGGCCTGGTCAAGGAAGAGGAGGAACAATAAACACGAGAACGAGGAGGAGGACAACGAAGAAGAAGCATCAGACTCGTCGGGTAAGTGGCGCTTTCAATAGCTCCGTTTCACTCCCGAAATTCTTCGTCTTGTATTCGTGTTCCTTTTCTTCCTTTTGTCTGTTGTTGGTGGAAGCACGAGTGGAAATTGATTCTCTTTTTCTGTTGGTTCAGGCTCTTCAGGCTACAACAGCCTCTCAACTTTAGTGACGAAAGGGCCTTCCGGCTGCTCCTCGGTTCTGGGTTAGGGGCGATTTATAGGCTTCACTCTACAGTACACTCTACACTATTGGCCGCATATCGAACCATATCGGCTGTTGCTCTCAGCCTTCCGAGTCCCAGCTTCCACTTCCCTTTTTCTACAGATATTTCTCTGTTCAACCACAACCTCTCCTGTCAACAGAGAACCAACGGAGAGACCACCAGAGACAATTGCGCCATCAGGAATATCTACGTACAGCTGCTGACAAAGACAAGTGTGCAGCAAAAGTGCGTGAATATTTGAATGCGGACGGCAACAGTATCGGCCTCTTCACGATCGATTCAGCCACGTTCGCGGGCCCTCCAAGACAGGAATCCCCGACCGCATCCATCCCACGTTGTTTCTGCCCCACCAACGCCGTGTGTGCGTGAATCATTCCGCTGGAGGTCCACCAAAGACACCCAAAAGAAACACCTCCACAACCACAACCTCCCAGGAGTTCCTACCACAAGGACAAGGGCCAGGACAAGAACTAGAACCTCCTCTCCACCACTGCAGGTGTGCTGCATTGCAACCATTACCACTGCCAGCAGGAAACGCCATCTGCAATCTCTCCCACTCTTCCTCATCCCAAGTGACGCTCTACCCACACTTGGCGTCACCTTCAAACCTCTCACCTCCACAGACGCCAAAGAAACCCTCCCAAAGCGAGATTATCCACGCCCAACCTACCCTACGAGTACTCCCGACCTAGCATCGGCGGGCACAACACATAATCAACAGCTCGAATCGGCTGGCCCAGTCCCTCGTTCGTGCCGGAAGCCGTATCGTACGCCCTCACACTCGATTAGATAGACTCCTCGTTCATCCGAGCTACACCGACCCATATCTATTCGATACAGCTGTCGCACCCTCCTCAATAACTCAGCGCTACACAACACATCAGACCAAACTCACATGGGCCTTGGACTACGCAGAGGAGACCACGAGTAGTTCTGAGTGCAATGCTACCGAATCCGTTGACTCCTCCCAACGAACATTCTGCCGAGGCAATAGCTGTCGAGGGAGTAGGACATCCAGGAACGAATGAACCCGTCACACAACCCTCTGTTGCCACTCCAGTTAGCAATGTCAATATGGGTCTCGACGAACAAGACGACTTGTCCAATGTTGGTAGGCCAGACGAGATCATGACGGACGAGGACAAGGACGAGGAGATGTCAGAGGGCGAGGGCGGCGGCGCACCGTTGACCATGACCGTGTCGCATGCAGAGGCTCTCAATGCTGAGTTGGACATGCTCGACGCTGAGATTATGGGACCCCAGAACCTCGTGGAGCTTTATCTGGACCAGCACTTCCATCAGTTAGGAGACCCGTACCCGGATCCATTCCAAGAACCGGACTATTACTCGAACGGCCCAATGGATCAAGAAGAGCCGCCCCACGATATCTACATGCATGGAACAGGAAGTCTAGTGAACCTCCCATCAGCAATGTCGCAAGTCTCTCTACACTTGCAACATCTCCAGGAGGAACAAGAGCATGCAGAATCCGCAGATGCAGAGGAGGATCCACATATGGCCCCCATGAACAATCATAGTACTCCCTCCATTCTCTTAAACCTCTTCTCAAATTTGAACGTCCCAAATCTCAGTGTTGCGAATGGCCCACAATGGGACTACGTCTCACCATCTGAGCTTAACAATACAAATACATTGCCAGGCTCAGCAGGGTTGTCACAACCACTCCCACCGCACCTGTGGCCAACTGGAGGATCGACACCCTCGCCTGCTTTGGATGTTGTGGTGCCCGTACCCTCTCAGAACCCTTCATTTCCTGTTTCTGCTGAGCCTCCTGTTGTTGTTGCGGATGACGCTTCTGATGCTGACCAAAATGAAGTGGACGAGCCATTCAATCTTAGCCTAAGAGACTGCCTCTACACTTGGGGAGCGCAAACTCTGGCCAACGAAGACTCGAAAAAGCAACCTAGAGGTCCTTACCTATGGGCACTATTTAGACAAGGAAATGAAAAGCCTAAGATCATGCAACGTATTGACCTCAATGGCGAAGATTGCGATATGCAGAGAATCAACTGGACGGAATTGGGAGTATCTAGATTGGAGGCCACAGTGTACCGAAAGGAGACGTACAAGAATTACCAAAATCTTCGACCTCATCAAAATTCTCCATGGCATGTGAGTAATTTTGTTCTGAATTTTGGCCATGTCATGATACTGATATCACAAGCCTCGTCTTAACGGAGCACGCCCTCACGACGATCAGAATTTCTTCCGATTTAGGCGGATGGATTTCGACCATAACGTCAACCTATCCCATTTTCAATTACGGAACCTTATGGCCTGTGCCTCACGAGATCACGTATTCTATGCTGGCAGATCGAAGATTATGCAATGGAATCCCAGAAGTGGCACACTTTCAGGACGACCTCGCGTGGCTATGGATCTGACTGACCCCATCGTGCAGCCATTCCATTCCAACCATCAAGGAATCCAGATATCTACTCTGACCGTAGGGCATGATATCCTTGTTGCTGGAGGCTTCAATGGCGAGTACGGCTTGGTCAACTTGCGGTCGCCAAAGGGAGCCAAGCACAGTGAAGGTCTCATCACAGATCACATGAACGCCATCACGAACCACATTCAGGTACACTTGTCCCGAAGTTCGTCATTACCTCTAGCTGCATTTGCATCAAACGATATGGGTATGAGAATCCTTGATGTCAATACCAACAAGTTCGTCGCAGAACACAAGTACGAGCACGCGATCAACTGCACAGCCATGTCACCAGATCAACGTCTCCGAGTCCTTGTAGGAGATACCCGACAAGTTATGATCTGCAATGCAGAGACTGGAGAAATTCTGCAGAATTTGGACGGACATCGTGACTTTGGCTTCGCTTGCGACTGGGCAGACGATGGTTGGACTGTTGCCACGGGAAATCAAGATAAGCAAGTCAAGATCTGGGATGCCCGCAAATGGACTTCAAGTTCCGGCCTGGCTCAACCTCTCGTCACCATTGCTGCTGAAATGGCGGGCGTGAGAAAGCTCAAGTTCTCGCCACTAGGATCTGGTAAGCGAGTTCTACTTGCAGCTGAACCTGCAGACATCATCAGTGTAATTGATGCCGACACCTTTACGAGCAAGCAAGTACTTAAGTTCTTTGGGGAGATTGGAGGTGTGGACTTTACGAACGGTGGCCGCGACATATTTGTGGCTAATTGCGACAACATGAGAGGCGGAATTATGGAATTCGAAAGATGCGATGCTGCCGGCATGGATCTCTGGAATATGGACGAGGAACTTTCCGGACAGAAGGAAAGAAGATGCCTCAGACCCAGAGACGGTTATGACTGGGTTTCGGATGATGAAGTGGTTGAGCATCCTAAAGCTCAAGGAACATGGCAACAACGTACAAGACTTGCTGCATCATCTGGATCCTCACTGCAATACTTCTGAAGACTTGGTAGATATTGTACAGCACCGTCTACTTTGATCTTGGCATCTGGTACGGAGTTCTGCATTTACACATTAACACGATACATACCTTCTCTCGGCGACATTATGGTTGGATTGGACGGAAACCACATGGAACCTAGCATCGGTTCCTGTTGACTCGGGAGGACCTTACCAACCGTCAGAGCCTCTCCACTCCTTCCTCTCGTTATTTCTTCTTGTTTGATACATGTGGCATTGTGAGCATTTTCTTCGGCGTTAAAACTCATTTGATTTCTTTCATGGGCTGCGGGGAACAATATCACCGAGCCACTCACTACTGCATGCTGGAGGGAACATGGGATCGCATCGGGATGGATCAGTTGCATTGATATTTAGCGTTGGCGTTTCATGGCATATTTTTTCTCTTCATCTTCTTCTCGGGTGGTGGATATGGAAGCCAACAAAACTACCTATCTTTCTTTTCTTGTGAAGTGGGTGGTGGATTGACATGCCGTGGTGGTGGGTGTGGTACAAAGTCATTTTAGATGAATAAAAAGTCTTCATTCTATGGAGGCCTCACTCGGGCGGAGTTGTGACAATAAAGTGAAAGTGTGGAATCGGGTGAGTTCTTTTCCACTCCATTTTCTCTGTTCTCTTGTCGTACATTGATAGGGAATACCCCAAGACTCGAACTGTAGCAAGTGCTTCTCTGTTTATATCGGGAAATTGAATTGTTCGTCCCTTTTTCCTTCTCTCACTTATTCGAAAGTAAGATCGTTGTTTCACGACTTACGTCCCGTCTTATCTTTCTATGGCATGCCACTAGTTCACTTCTTAGGTACAAGTCCCAGAAAAAAGAAGAGAGAAAGAGGTGATCGACCAAAAGGTTAATAAACACTATAAGTTACAATAAGGTACGTACATGCAACCCACCACCTCCCTCCATCCATCATCCGACTTAGCTACTCCTCATTCATTCACTTACATGCTCAAACAGATCAGACTATTTCCACCGTCCACAGTCCTATGCATATGATTTAATTCGACAAAAGAAACCCCATCCCGTCCCTCCTTTCCACATCTTCAGAAAGATTCAAGCAATTCACCCAAAAAGCTGAATAGCCCCCCAACTCTGCTCACACCCAAACGCGCCCGGCTCCTTCCAATAATCATCCGTATAACTAAACATGACGCTCTTCCCGCCCGCGCTCTCGGTGATACTCTTCACGGCCGCCGCCTGCTCGCTCGTCCCCGGACACGCGGCGCCGTTACACTCCGTCCCGAAAGAAGGCCATCCCGTCTCGAGGTTCACGCCGTATTTGCCCGGGCACAGCGCGTCCACGATCGCGAGCTGCGACGCGACGAAGGGGCCGGCGTCCGCGGCGCTGATGTCGCCGTTGAAGAACGGGTGGATGTTGCAGCCGACGACGTCGACGACGGCGCAGAGGGCCGAGGTGTTTTCTTGCCAGATGTTCAGGGGCTCGGTGGTTGTGCAGGGGCCGCTGTAGCCTGCGGACGAGAAGGTCGATTTGCAGCTCGATATAAATCCCGCGAGTTCGGACGCCGTGCAGTAGCCTGAGAATACGGCTTCGTTGCCGATGACGATTAACTCGACGAGGTCCCATTGGCCCCAGGAGACAATGTCCGTTACTTGGTCAGCAGCGCCCGAGATACCGGTGTCGGAGATGAAGATGCCCAGGATCATCTTGAGGCCGTGGGCGGAGCAGGCGGCGCCGATGTTGGTTAGCCCCGAGCAGTCGGTGCTGTAGACGCGGACCGAGAGGAAGCCTTTCGAGGCGATGATCGATATATCGGCCATTACGTCCGAGGCGGCTTTGCAGGCGCCGCTGTTTTGGTACGGAGAGTAGGTTATGGCCCACTGGTTGCCGGAGGATCCTAACTCGCCTCCCGAGGAGCCGGAGCCGGGGGAAGACGATTTGGTGGGTGTAGAGACTGCGGCCGCGGATGTGGTGCTCGCGGGCACGGGGGCGTAGGTTGTGGATGCTAGCACGGGGGAGGAGGTCGTGTAGGGGCAGAAGATCACGTAGTCTGTTTCCGTGATGGTGGTGACGACTTCGGGCTGTGTGTACGTGCCCGGTGCGTAGGAGGCCGGCGTGGGGTATACCCAGAAGGTCTCGGTTGAGCAGGTTGTTGTCAGAGGGGCGATGGTGTATGTACCTGCTGAGGGGCACACATAGGTAGTGGTCAGGATGGTGCTGGTTACTACGCCGGAAGACGTCCCGGTTGAGGCGTACGGGCAAGTGACTGTGGTGGATTCCGTGACGGTCGTGGTGTATCCGCCGGCAGTGTGGGTTCCAGATGGGATGGAGGTACCGGTGGCTGCGCAGACGGTGGTTGATTCTGTGATTGTGACGGTCGTTGCTGGGATCGTGTAGACGCCTGGGGTGGGGCACGTGGTTGCCAATGGAGTGGGGACCGTTGCTGGTGGGCAGGTGGTCGAAGATGGAGCTGGTGTGGACGTCGGGATGATGATTGACGTGGTGGAGTTGACTGAAGTTGGGGGAGGGGCCATGGAAGAGTAGGTTGGTGTTGAGGATGGGAAGATAACTAGATGTGTGAGGATCGAGATATCAGACTTTCAAGTGCGGATAGATACGTACGAGTTCCTTCTCCGGTGATGGTGGTGTAGATAGTCGTACATCCACAAGTGGGCTCAGCAGCCGCCCCGGTGGTCAACAACAGACCTCTCTCCAAATGAAAAGCTTCATGAGCATGACGGCGAGCAGCATGGCCTGCCGAAGCAGTGGTTGCCATCGCCGCAGCGACAGCAAGAATCCCGGCCTTCATCTTCTTGAAACTTGCAATTATTCGTAGTAGAACGTAAATAAAACTGGTCGATCGATTTTTGGTATTATGGGAGTCGTGAGGACGTAAGAGTAACGAGTGCCCGCTGAAAGAGTGAAGCGGTGGTTTTGGGTTTGGGAGTGAACGAGATGGGAGACTTTGAAGATCACGGCATCAACATTGAGGAAGGGAGGAAGGGAGCAAGAGAGGAAGGGAGGAAGAGAGGAAGAGAGAAGAAGAAGAAAGGAAAGAGATGTGGATGGGATGTGGAGAAGTGTAAGTAAGTGTGAATTGGGTTGGGCTGCTTGGCGTCTCTCCATTCGGGTGGTACGGGTACGGGGCTAGATTCGATGAGAAGAGGCAGTTGGTGATGTCCATCCTCCTCTTCCTCCTCCTTCTCAGCCAGTCAGGAGCAGCAACACCAGGGCCCTTGAAAACTCCCCGCTTCTCACCACAGCGAGCGTCGCCCCCCGAGAGCAGAGAGGGACAGAGAGAGAAAATGCGGATTTGTTAGGTGGCGCTTGCACCAGACTGTCATCTTGGGAAGTGTGAAGGCTAGCCCACAACAGCTACTCACCATCACCTGGCCTGCGTTGCCGCGAGAGAAAAGAGAAAAAGAGGCTGTGTTTGGTTTGGTCTGGTCTCTCTCTCTTCCCCCTATCGCCTAAAAATACAGTACAGGTCAGTCACTCAGTGGCCCATCGCTCGGCCAGTCGGGAGATTTAGCGATATTACAACGGGTTATCATTTGCGGGGGAGCACCGCATGTTGCCCTGACTAGACCCTGTTGGGAGCCGTTCCAGTGTTTAAGCTCAGCCTGCAAATTTCCCTCTCGTGTTCTGGCTCCACCACACGGGAACCAGGAGTGCGATGATGAGGGTTTAGGGTCCTCGTTCAATTTCCTCAAGGGGCCAGTGTGAAGCCATTCACGACTCGCCATCTCGATTGTTCGATGTGGTCATCAGCCGCTGTCAATCTGAGAGAGATCAACTGCTGATGCTGATGCTAGTGCACACTAATCTTACGCATGAACCATCCTCATTGTTTGGACCTCAACGCCTTCCGTTCCTCTCCTTTTTCTTCTTCTTCTTCTTCTTCTTCTTCTTCTTCTTCTTCTTTTTTTCTCGCCTCTTTTACTGCTGCTGCGGTGCTCAGTGGCAGCTGCAGGAACACGGTCCGAAGCTAGGATCGCTGCATGTCTAGCGCCTCATCCAAGCGCAAGAAAGAGAGAGGCTGCTGCTGCTGTGGCTCTGTGAGCTTAATTCCATTTAGGCCATCGAGTCCGACAGAATTTCCCCTTTCCAGCCGCCTAGCGCGCAACGAGAGTAATCTTACCACAAGCGAAATGAGATGTTCGCTTTGGGGATGCCTGCAGCTCACCATCGCCGCCGAGATCCTTGGGGAGGCGGTCGGCCAGCGTGTGTCGTACATAATCTTACAATCTCGTGTTGGCCGGTGAGGAAAAAATTCCGAGGTATGTAGATGGTGAGATTGCGTTTACTCTTGATCGGTTGGCAGTCTCGTGAAAGAAAGGGGAGAGGGAAGAGGATTTCGTGGGGAAGAAATCCTTCTGGAGTATCGTTTGCAATGTCTTTCTTGTTTTGACATGTGTCTTGTCTCGGAGTACTGCAAGTAATCTCAGACATGCAAAAGTAAAGAGAGTCGCCCTGAAACGGGACCGTTCTGTCTGAGGTCCACAAAGACATTTGTTATCCTGCATCATTGTTAGACATTTGCATTTGCATTTGCTCCTCTCCTCTACTCCAAGCCGAACAGTATTCGAAAGAGACTGTCCTCGTTCAAGCTTTCTCTCTAGCTGTCCTGCCTTTCCTAGAGACGGGAAAGTCCCGACCAGACTTAAAGATTTCTTGCTCTCCCTCTCCATACTCTTTCCTCGGAGGTCTCTCCATCAAGCCAAATGTCTCGCGCCCACAACTCCTTATCAAGGAGTTCGAGATATCGCATTGTCTGTCATCGAAGGTCTCAAGAACGGGCAACATTGAGACAAAAGATGTCATCTGGCTTCGATGCGCGCGGCTTCCTGAGACATCTTATATGAGCGGATCTTGATTGTACCTCAGAGATGAGGAAAACGATTAAGTGACGTCAAGTCTGAATGAGTTCCAAGGTAGACATGGAATGTATTGTTTGTTATATGGTATCTCCATTGCTTTAGTTTCAAGTTGCTTAGGATAGGCTTTATGCTGGTATACAGCACATTCCCAATTTTTGGCCGCTGGAGGATCAGATTTTGTCACAAATGATAGGATCTAGATGGTCGATGTCTTCGTTACAAGAAGACATTGAAACAGCAAGGAGAACGTCGTGGTGATAACGCCAATAAGTAGGCCGCAGCAACGCCTTCCAACCTTGCTTCCTACCTTCTATTACATAACTAGACCCCTTTGATGTCCTTTGTTTCGACGTCGATTCATGTCTAGGCAAAGAGCAGATGAATTAATCGCACAAGTATATCTAGATATAAAGCAAGCTGGGTATGGCTTTCAAGTATGCTTCCATAAATGCCATCAAGAGCTTCCCATCGCTTTGTTCAGTGTCTTCATTCGACTTCGATCACGCAGAGTCGAGAATCACTCCTTTCCCCTCTTTGTGTTGTGACCCGATTCTAGCGAGTTGACGATCCGTCTTCTTGAGGTGTGAAAGAGTAGTGCCTCTCTGCATTGGATGCATCGACTTAAACATAGCCTAGAAATGTCATCTTGGCCAGGCGTGTGAATTGCGTTACATCATCAAAGAAGCTTTTCCATTTCAACAGCATGAGTTTTCTGCTGATTTGATCACCTTTTCCCAGAAAGTGGCGCAGAGCGTTTGGCACTGATTGCAAAAGTCGAAATATGAGTTAATATTGTCCCATAGTTTGTGGGGCAATATGAGAGGGCGAAGTCTTAAATGTTATTTGAAATTTGAGGGGTGAAGTGATTAAGAACGATGTCAATTCACTTTTATTTCGAACTTTCGAAGAATCTGCTTTTCCCACTCATAATGTTCAGCAAGCTTTGGAATAATATTATCTTGCTTGTCAATTTTTACGGTATTTTGTTCAGACCGAGAGTAAAAATCCCTTCACAAGTACGAGCTACTCCCAATACAAAAAGTCATTTAAAAGCATTTCTACATACTACTCTTGTGTCTCAGAAAACACAATTTATGCCACAGATAGTTTGCTATACTATACTTGGAATACGCTTACGTGTTGCGGTGCATCTTTGGCGCCCTATCCGCTCTCGGTGTAGGGATACCGTTTCGGGGTACAATACCTGTCCTTGATTACTCCAACAATCACTTTTTTGCTTCTTCAAAGTTCTCCGACTGGTCATCTCTTGATTATTCCACCCTGAGCAGCACACTGCACAGTCATCAATATGCAGGGGCCGTATATCATCTCGCCTCGGCTCATGCCGATCTACGATTGGCTAATTCAAATTGATTTCCGGTCCGCAGTGCTGGGTCGATGTCAATTGGATTCAGCCCCATGGAAGGATCCTCGAAAGATTTTCAGTGTTCTAAATACTTCTATTCTTTACAGAACTCGAGATTCGAATGAAGTCGTTCTATACGATTTCACTATTGATGGCCTGATCACAGGTACCCAAAATGTCCAACTCACCCCACGAGCCCGACGAGAACCACGCCGATATTTCTACGTCTACAGAAGAGCCAAACAAAGAATCAAACTTCCACCCTCCATCGGAGATGGCATCCCCATCTTCACCTCCAGCTCCCACCCCAAAGAAACCTTCGGCTTTCCAACGGACATGGAACACTCTCAACCTAAACCCCACCGTCATAACAATAATGATCAAGCCCGCCATCGCGGCAACGATCTCCATGGCCATCTACCAATCCCATGACGTCGCGAAACATTACCTGAATCTCGGGTATCTGATGATCATCATTTCCATCACTACGGTGCCGATTCTGCCTCGAGGGAAGTTCCTCATGAATTTGGTTATCTCGATGGTATGAGCCTTTATTACCATTTCCTCTCGCAAACGAAAACCTAGATGAACCTTGAACTAACACCTCCCCAGTTCCTAACTCTCTTCGGCATCGGCATGGTAACATTAGGCCAATACTGCGGAATCAAAGCCCGTCAACACACCACTCCCGCAAACGCTCCTCTCGCAATAGCAAACGGATATAATTCTTCCGCCTCAGCAGTAAACGCTATTTTCTTCAGTAGGCCAGCTAGCTACCTTCTCTCCTTCAAACCGAAAAAAAAACTTAACATTCTCCAGTGATCAACATCTTCGCCATCTCAACCCTCCGGGCTGCCCGCCCAGCTTTCTCTATCCCCGCCATCCAGTACACAATCCTAATCTGCGTCGGCTTCGCCTACGGACCCCAAGAACCCACCATTTCAGCCTCGCACCGCTTTATCAAGGAGCTCCTATACGCATTCCTCACCGGCCAGGGTATCTCCGCCGCGGTCTGTCTATTCATCATCCCTGTCTCATCAAGAAAAGTGTTCTTCGCTGAGTCCAAAGGATTTCTAATGAGCTGTAGAAGCCTGCTGAAAAAACAAGTTGATTTTATAAAGGTGCTAAGATTCGAGAAGGTTGACGGAGACCTACATGTAAAGGAGAAGGCGAAAGCGTTAAAGGAAGCTTCAACGGGCATCTTATCTCTAGGCGCGAAATTGAGAGAAGATGTTCTTTTCGCCAAGCGGGAAAGTGCTATGGGACATTTCCGGGAGACGGATATAAGTGAACTTCACGGACTTTTGAGGAGGATCATGATCCCTATTAGTGGGTTAGCGACCATTGTCGAGATTTCCGAGGGTATGCAGGAGGAGATTGGCGAGCAGGGGGTAGGAGAGGGAGAGGACAGGAAGGAGTGGACGGATATGCTTTCTAAGGTGAGGGACACGTTTGAGGGTATGGTTGAGATTTTGGATGAGAGTTTGCTTCATGTTTTGATTTTATTGGGGTTTGTGCCTGCGTCGACGAGGGGAAGTAGTACGCGAGAAGAGGACGTTGAGAAGGGAGCTGGGACTCTTCCGAGAGCTGGGGAAGTGGGATTTGGAGATCATCTTGAGCAACGGATTAAAGAGTTTCGGAGAACGAGGACGGAGGAGCTTAAGCGGTGGGCTGGTGAACGGGGATTAAACTCTGTGTTTCGGAGTGGGGTGAAGGGTGCTCCTCCTTCAGCTGGATCCGAAATTGCCGCAGCGACCTCGAGGGATATTCTCGCTTCGAAGAGGTTACATATCATTATGTTCATGGAGTACCTACTAGTAAGAGATCCCATCCTCTCCATCCCTCCCTTCCCGGTCCGCTTTTCTCCCCTTTGAACCAGTGACTGACACAAACCCAGTGGTCAACCTCCCTCTCAATCCTCTCCCTAGTCCTCTTCTCCGAGCAAAAATCTACTTCCAAAACCACCCACCTCATCCTCCCCAAACTCCGCACCCTCAAAAAATGGCTATTCGGCCTCCTCTCCGGAGACCCCTCTTCCTCCTCCAACCTCACGGACCCGGACCCTCTTACCATCTCCTCCGAAATCTATCTCGGCTCCTCCTTCTCTCCTCCAAAGGACCCAGAACATCTCCCGCCAAAGAACAGGCTCCAGAAATGCGGCAATGGACTGAGAGCTGCCCCGAGATGGCTGCGCAGCGAGGCGGTCGGGTTCGGGGTCAGGGTTACGGTGGCTGTTATGTCGGTTATGATACTGGCTTTTTTGAGGCAGACGCATGGGTTTTTTATAGAGCAGAGGGGGGTGTGGTGTTGTGTCATGGTTGTTATTGGGAGTCAGTAACACTTTTCCTCTATTCCCCTATTGTCCTTGGACGTCCGCTATATTTAGGTTCTCGAATAACTTTCATCCCTCTGTCGAACATTCAGAGTCTTTTATAAAAGCAAGTACTAATTGCTGTACGTCGTTGCAGTGTCCCCCACGTCCGGCTCCGCCGTCTTCTCCCTCCTCGGTAACCTCACCTTCACGCTCTTCGGCATGGTCGGCGCGTATATAAACTGGTACATCGTGGACCAGAAGACCGCTGGCGTGATCGTCGTCTTCTTCTTCTTCATGATGTTTTATTTTTATTTTTGTGCTAGGTTTCCAAGGTTTCTGGTTGCGATTGTGGCTGGGGCTTTGACGCATGTTTTGGTTGTTGGTGAGTCTTGACTTAGAGAGGGGTTGGGATATGAGAAAGGAAGGTTGATGAGATATTGTTATAGGATACGAACTCCAAGTCCGCGTCATAGGCGTCGAGCAAGCTACAGCGACAGGACAACTCTACTACCCGCTCTACAAACTAGCCCCCTACCGCCTCCTGAACGTCGGAGCCGGCGTCCTAGTCGCTTACATATGTAAGTACCCCTTTTCTTCTCGCTTCCCTTTACACACCCCACATTTACTCTCCCCACCCAACTTCCATCCCTCTATCAAAGCTCCAGCTCTCATTCCTATATAAAAGCCTTACTTACCCTCTCTCTCTCTCCCAAGTCACAATCTTCCCCGTCCCCATAACAGAAGCATCCACCCTCCGCCGCGACCTGGGCCTCTCTTTCTTCCTGCTCTCGAAATACCTCTCCGCCGTAACCGCAACCGTCGACCTCCGCCTCTCAAACCGCGGCGACTCCCAAGACAAAAAATCCCCCGCCAGGAGATTAGAGAAGATGCGGCACAAGGTATTGGAGAAACAACTCCATTTACTAGGCAGTATGAGGACGAACCTCGCTTTCTTGCCCTGGGATTTACGGCTCGGGGGCGAGTTTCCCGTGGCGCTGTATAGGGAGGTTGTTGATGAGGTTCAGAAGTCCGTTTCTTCCTTCTTCCTTTTCCCTTCCCCTATTCTCCCTCATTTCTCCTCTCCTCTGATGATGGCTAAGAAGAGAAAACAGCATAACAAACTACCTAACAATAATATCCTACGCCACAGAATCCTTTCCCTCTTTCCACCTCCCTCCTCCTTCCCCTTCCTCCCCTCAAACTGCCCCAACACCATGGCTAACCCGCTTCTCGCACTTCCGCCGCACGACCACGCCGGAAGCGCACCATCTCACTACCCTCTTGACATTGTTGTCAGCAGCGCTAAGGAACGCGCAGCCGTTGCCGCCGTATCTGGCGCTGGGAGACGTAGGCAGGGTGAGTGACGAATTGATCGATGGGGGAGGGGAGTTGTTGGAGTTGGGACATTTGGATGAGCCTGGGTTTAGGGCGGTTGCTGTTGTGGAGACGGGGCAGAGGTGTGGTGAGTTTGGTGATCTCTTTTTGTTGGTCTTATGGAGGGAAGCTAATGCTGACTTGTTGTGTGTTTGTAGTGGTGCGGAGTGTAGGCAGGTGTGTGGAGAGAGTGAGGGATCTTGTTGGGGAGGTGGATTTTAGTTTTCGTCTCGTTGTTGAGGGGGAGGAGAAGGTGAAGGGTGCTTAATGGAAGTATGTATGTCTGTGTCCCGCGAGAGAAGAAAGAGGGAATGGAAAGTAGTTTTAGGAGAGAGGAGTAAGGAGTTCTATGCTAAAGATTTTATTGTTTGATGCTATTCTACTTCAAGTTGAAAATCCAAACCCAAAAAACGCCATGCATCCATCCTATCCGAACTGAGAAAATCCCTTCCCTTCCCCCCCTCCTCCTCCTATAGCCAGCTACAGTCACCTCCCCTTCCCATGCCTTAAGTAGAATCCCATGTAAATGCCAACCAATCCATCCCATCCCATCCTCATAACCCCCCTTTCTCATGACCCCAACACCTAAGCAAAAACAAAAATCCCCAAAACCCCAACCAACGCCAACGAAACCATCTTCACCTCCCCGAACCCTCTCCCCTCCACACCACTCGTCTCAATCGGGCCCGTAGAATTCCCCTTCGTCCCTGTCGGGCTGGGCGTTACGAGCGAGGTTTGCGTCGTTGTTGATGTGGTGGTGGTGGGTGGCATGGCTGTTTTTTTGCATTAGTCTATACATACAAGAGAGTGGAAGAAGGGAAGGGGGTGGGTGGGGTAGACGTACTGGTAGTAGGCGTAGCGACTCCCGGGATGGTGGTGGTGGTGGTGGTGCTTGTTCCTCCTCCTCCATTCTGGGTGATGAATTAGTTAGTATATTTAATTTTTCAGCGACAAGGGAAAGGAAAAGGAGAAACGCACAACAACATCCGTCACAACACTAGTCATCTCCAGCGGTGCCATCATCGTCGTCGCGTCATCGGCTGGAATCATGGTCGATACGGGCGGGATATCGACCATGATGTTGGAGGAGATGGGCATGAGATCTGGTTCTGGGATTATTGTTAAAGGGAGCGGGGCCGCTGTTGGGTCGTGTTGTTAGTCTGTCTATGTTTTGGATCAGAGGAGTGAGAAGCGACGTACTGGTTGGGTCGGAGGGCGGCAGGATGGCGATGGTGGGGATGTAGGATGGGACGGGGATTATTGAGATGGGTGGGGGTGGTTCTGCTGTTGTGAGGGCGAGGAAGAGGGAGAGGAGGAGGGCGAGTGGTGAGGTGTGCATTTTGAGTGATGCGGTGTTTGTTTGTTTGTGCCTTTAGTGAGTGACTGGACGAGTATAAGATAGAGACAGAGAGACGAAAGCCGACAGATAACGAGTGCTGTCTTTGGATACTGTTCGAAAGAAGAAAACGAGATATCAGAGAAAACGCCAAGATAAGAAGGGCATCGAATTGTGTTTACATAGAAAGGCTGGGTCTCGCCATTTGCTGGTACGGCAGCGCATATCTCGCTACATTCCTGAGAGTGGTCGAGATTCTGAGTGTGGAGTGAGGAATGTAGAATGGCTGGGTTGCTATTTTTGTGTGTGCGGCTTGTTTGGGAGTTCAATAGAATGGAAATGAGGAAACATGATAGATACGAGAACGATATGAGAACATGTTTGGAAAGCGCGAGTGAAAAGTCGATATAACGGGTAGAAATAAGAGGCAAAGTCTTCACTCGGTACAATCCACGATTCTCATCTAAAATACCCACTTAAACAAGAAACGCGATCCGGATGTGCAGGTATGCCTTTATACATTGTTCTGTACAGTTATAGATATCTATGATACAATATTGTACACTTTCGTCAGTCATAGTAGCTCAGAGTATCATTCGGTCGAAGGTGACACCGGATCCGACTGTGGTGATATTGCTTTGAGGGTCGAGGCAAGAGATGCATCTATCTCGGCTACCTCTGCAATGGGGACCTTCCTGACATATTTGAGTATCAGTACCCTCTCATAGACGTCGATACTCTCGATTTCGACCTCGAACGCATCGCCAACGTCCAGTTCTTCTGCCCTCATGCTTTCTGGTATCGGCATGATGCCACCAATACGTAAGTATGGTAGAACGCCTCCTGCTCTTCTCAAAAAAGGATCGACACTTCTGATGTAGAAGAGTAGAGGAGACGCGATTTTACTCTCGCCGAACTTCCAGACTCGGACCAGATATTTCAAGGTCCACTCTCGATTCGCTTTGGCCTCACCCTGTTTGATAAACCTCTCTCGCTCTGCCAAGCGAGGCAACATGGCATCAATTTGAGCTTTGCTATAAGGCAGGAAGTCTTCCTTTGTGTTCCCAACGAGCGAGGTTCCCGTTCGTGCTTCTTCACGCAAAGCGGCCTCAATCTGCCAATGGTTTACCAGATCGCCGAATCGCCGAAGCGGACTCGTGGACTGCATGACCTTGTTTACACCAACACCCAAATGGGGCCCAGGCGTGGTAGAAGGTTGTGTTTTACCTACAAGTCTAAGGTACTGCATGGCATATTCGAGCTTGGGATACCCAGCCTCGTCCATAGATGGCAACACATAGTCGCTGTAGTACTGTAAAGGGTCATCCTTGGAAGGATTGTATGGTGAGATACGGTAGATAACTGGAATTCCTCGAGCATGGCACCATTCCGCCGCTGCCTCTCCAGCTAGCAACATCATGGTAGATACAACCATTGCTCCGCCAGACTGAGTTAGGTCAATTCCTTGGTCGTTGATAGGAGGAATGGAGAGTCGAATGGATGGATCTCCGTGAAAACGAACGCCCCATCCAATGGGCCTAGTCCAAGAGGGACCACCGAAAGAAGTCGATGCATCAACCTGAGTGGTGAAAAATCTCAAAGAGCCCTTCTTTTCCTTGACTGCTTGTTTAGCTAAACTCAGTTTGTGGAGGAGCTTCATGTCTCTCTTCTGTTCGTCCGACAATTCATGCGTTTGCAAAAGTGGCCTGGAAGGCGTGTCTTCAAAAGAGTGTTTACCAATAGTGTAGCGTATTGACCTTACAGGCGGAGCCTCAAATATAGCCTCATGTAAAACAGCTGGAGTCAAATAGGCCACGTTCCTGATCAGCCCCGGGGTCATGTTGATATCTAATATTTCGCCTGCCAAGTTGAGCTTAACGCTGTGCGTTAAGCAGGGCTTATTAGGACCCAGACTGACTTTGCTCTTGACCCAGTCGGGATGAAGCATAGGTACTGTGCGGTCTGGCAGATATACCGACATGGTCAGTGACGAGGCCCATTCGGCCGCGGGACTTTCAGGTTCGAGGTGGGCAGCAGGATCAGCTATGTGAACATGAACCCAAAATTCATCAGGATTATCTGTAGTCTCCACAGAAAAACCATCGTCGATCTCACATGCCGAGACGTCGTCAACACAATAAACTTGAAGATTGCCCCAATCTCTTCGCATTGAGCCCATTTGATCGGAGATGGTGCCATATGTATAAGCCGATGGCTTTATGACTCTCGAGCTGGTGTATGGCAGTCGAAGTTCAAAAGACGCTTGAGTTTCCCATGGTGGTATGATCCCCAATTCCATCAGGCATGTGAACGCAGTAGTTTTGTTCAGAGGAACATTTTGATATCGACCTATAGCACGTAAGATGCCGGATCCTATTCCATTAAAGGGAGAGTGCGTGCTAAAGCTTTTGAGACACGCCCAGGACTCTAGAAAGTATATAAAGTCCCTGTCACGGTCAGTGAATGATGCTACGACCTCTCCGACCCTGATGTTAGATCCTTCAGGGATCTCCTTCTTCGAAGGCCCCAGAACTCCACATTCGGTGAACTCTCGAAGTTTGCGACTAGCATCGATAATTTCTCTAGCTTTCTTGACGAACTTATTAAGATGTTCAGTCGAGGGCAGCTCGAGGAAGCCTCGTCTTCTGCCAATTCGAGCCGTGCGATCTGCTCGAATCTTCTCAGTAATTCGTCTCAAAGCGGTCACCTCGCTCAGTGAGTTGATCTCGTAATCGCTCTCGCCCCGCATAATTTGCTTGAGAGTAGGTCGAAATCCAATATCGTCTTGTAGAATACTGCGGTGTAGGGAATATAGTACGTGGTAGGGAAATTTGCCATCTTCCATCTTGGGTATTGTGTCACTCAAGATTTTGTTGGCGATTTGTTCTAGAGTGGCATAAGTGAACTTGCTCGAGTGTGCAACCAGGCTATGGGCATTGTCCATCTTCGTTGCCGCAGTTTGGTATGCTTGATCAGCTTCTGCCCAAAAAGCTTTCATTTTCTCAACGAGTGGCTTTCCAAAGTTTCTGGGTACTTGTACGAGGTCGAAAGATTGTAGTTTATCCACCATGTCCTCGCTGAGGTCGGCATCTGGGAGCCAGGGCTTGATCGCCTCAAGCTCTTCAGGCTTGACAAAATTGGGGACGAAGAATTTGATGATATCTGCAGTTTTGTGAAGCCAACGACCGCTCATGGTATAGAATTGAGCTTGCTTGGTGAAGTCTTGAATGAAAATTGCCAGTTCTCGACGTTGACCGCCGAGGGATCTGTTGCAAGTTAGATGCATCCGTAGCTACCATAATTGCTCAACGTACAGAACCTCTACCATATCGCCAGGTAGCAAGAAATTACGCCGAAGCCCAACATCAACCATGTCCATTTCATTGGCCCTTATGCTATATCGGTTATGTTCTTCGTCTACTGATTCTTCTGGATCCATATCTATGAAGAATTCGCTACTCTGAGGGCGAATGGCCTGATTGACGATGTTGTTGCCTGACATTCTAGCAACTATATCCGGAAGTTCTGTGTTCACGGATTCTGCGTTTTCAAGTTCCCACTGCTTCAATCTCTCTCGAATATTCGCTTGGTAGAGAGGTGGTTCTTGAGGCAAAGCATTCGCAGATTGGGCTTCAACAGTTGCACGAGCCTATATCAAGAATTAGGCATGAGATTTACATAGGGCTTATAGACATACGGATCGGCCAGCATTGAATTGCCTTTGACCCAATCTGACTCTTGCATCTTCTAAACGCGAAGGACGAGTTGCGTTGCTTGCTTGACGAACAGCAGTATTCGATGTCCATTGTTGAAATTTGGAGAGACATTGCCAGCAGACATACCGCTTCAAGACCCTCTCACGAAGCTTTGATGTAGACGATCGTATCATTATGTGTGCGTCGAGGACACTTTGGAGTGCATGTTCAATTGCACCAAAAAAAATTTATCTCGGGGAGACGCGCAGAAGCGTGACCTGGAAATCAATGATCCGTGCACCGACCCTCCACAAAGTTGTCAAAGCTTTGGATATTATTATTTCTGCTTCGACACTCAAACTTGGTATGTACCCTCGAGTCCCTTCATATCTTCTTCCATGTTTCCAATTCTGTGATGAACAAATTTAGCATGTATTACCTGAATCTGCCAGCTTCTGGTTCGATATGTGGTCTACACCAAGATCTCTGAGTTTCTTTTGCAATCCTCCACTCTTGCACAACGTTACAACTTCACTGGCTGACAGTTCACAAAGTATTTGGTGCTCCAAGACATCAGGATGGGGTCTTCCAAAGCTCCTCCGGGCCATTTCACGATCCTGTACTTCGCATCTGCGAACTCATACACATCGAAAGATTCCGAATTTCTACCCGCTCGTCTTCCTCTCGCAAAATTGTTCGAGACGCTTGATGAGAAATATGGTGGTATGAAGGCAAAGGTGCTGGAAAGTTGTCTCGTCACAATCAATTTGGAATACGTCGATATGCCCGAGAATGGAGAAGATGGAGTCATTATTAATGAAGACGATGAAGTTGCGATTATTCCACCAGTGAGCTCTGGATGAATGATTACAGATTCTACAAGGCAACATCTGGACAACACATTCTGCAGGGCAACGAAGCGCCGGATTGGTACAGCATGAAAAGAGAGCGAGGGCATGGCTCTTGGGTGTATCAACCCTAGAAGAATCAAGTACAAGCAAGGCGACAGATCCATACAATAGGAGGCTGCGCTGGCTTACAACGAAGCCCTCAATCCCCGTCCAACAACGGCCTCCTCTCCCCCTCCTCCTCCTCCCCTTGGACCACCCCTCCATTCGTCCTCACCCTACTCCTCCCCCTCCTAGGCTCAACATCCCTCAACTCAACCCTCCATCTCCAAACCTTCCACCACCCTCTACTTTCCTCATCCGCATTCCACTTCCTAACACAAACCACCACGCCTCCCACAGCTCCAAGAACCAGCATTGTGGAAAGCACCGCTACCACCACAGCCATGACGGTGATAGTAGAGACGTGGCAGCCGAGGGGAGTAGTCCTTAGTTCCCAGCGCTCGTACCACAAGGGACAGATGTCTGAATTGACGAAGGGGGCGAAGAAGGGAGGGTGAGTTGGGTTTGGGATGCAGGTTTGGGACTGTGGGTTTGGTTAGCTCGGGGATATCCCTCATTGGACAGTGGAAAGGCCTTGAAAAAGAGGATATAAAAAGAGCTAGAAATTAAATGAAAAATATAAACCTACACTAGGACACCAACTACACCCAACATCTCCCTCCTCAGACTTCGTACCAAGACAACTCCAACACTCCTGTTTACCCCAGCAAATTCTTAACATATCATCATACGTATCCGTCTGATTCGCCTCTCCTTCCCTTACAACATCTAGTAAACCCTTCCTCGCCATCCACTCTTCATCCCTCTTTTCTTTCACTACATTCCTCCTTGTCACTCCAATTCCATCTCTCCTACAACCTCCCATCCCGTTTCAAAGGTTGATTCTCAATGTCTCTCAATCAGCTGATCACGGACGCCTATCTTGCTTCCACTTCCGCCTGCATCAAATGAAAGCTCCGAGACAAGGGACAGACAGACAGACAGACAGACGCAGTAGTGACAATGCCTCGCATATATGTACAATAAGAAACAATGCCCCGAAAGACGGTGAAGGAGAGGCGGTCTAAGAAGAAGAAATGCCTTCGAGCTTGAGGCTGAAATAAAATGCCGCGCCGCTGAGATCTAGGATCATCGTCACGTGCAGTTTAGTATCATTAAACGGCGAAGGAAAGTTCACGCAAATCACATATACACACAGGACAGACGTGAATCTATGTAAAGACTTCGTATTCACACCCTCTAGACTCAAAAGAATCATTAAAAGAGACTATTACACACCAATGCAGAGACCAGAATGAAGGTCATTCGGCCCTACTGCCAGTGAAATTTGTCCACCAGCGAGTGAAAATGCTAAAGCCATTCAAAGTAGTAAACCCATCGTCGTATAGTTCCGTGAGACCCAGGCGTTATGTGATCCATGCAAAGTAGGTGCAAACAAAGCAGCAAAGCAACGTTGCATTGTCCCAAACAGCAGAACCAGCCAGCCCTTCCGTCCCAGCCATCCATACCATGCCAATACCAAGTCTACGTCTAATGCTCCAACAATCTCAAAGAACCTTGAACCACGACGTTTTCGAGGATAGATCCGGGAGGAATATCAATGGTGCTGCCCTCAGTAGCGACGATGATAACCGTGCCCTTGAGAGTAACGCCTCGGCCGAGGTTGACAGCTCCGGTGATGGTCAAATGATCAAGCTCAATGATCTTGGGGATGCTACCAATACGCTTCTGGAAGTCGGAGACCTTCTTGAAGTCATTTCCAAGCTTGATGAGAGGAGCTGGACCGAAACGGTTAGGGTCAATCGCGAGTTGGCCATGCTTCAATGAGTACAAATCTGACTTGACAAGCATCAAATCGGAGCAGGTCTTAACTGGTAAGAAACGTCTTCGGGGAACATTGACACCGTGTGCGTTCTTGAAGTGGCGAATAGCTGCACCAACAGCAGTCTCAAGTTGGACAATTGAGATATCAGATTCACCCTTCTTATCAGCTGGGACAGACTTGTTGTTGGGAATAATTTCCATCTCAAGCTCATTGTTCTCGACAATACGCTTAACAGCCTTCAAATTCAACCAGATGTTGTTGGTGTTGAAGTACTTGAACTTCTTGATAGACTTAAACTCGTTGGTGTGCTCCTTGGGGACTTGTGCGATTTCAAGGAGACGGACAGAGCCCTCGTAGTCAATAATGGTTCCACCCTTAACATCGGCCTTGGTCTTGTCGGTCAACTCCATGATGTACTCGGCGTCAGTCTCAACCATGTGTTGCAAGATTCGGAGATCAACAACAGCACCCAAGTTGTCAACATTGGAGAGGAAGAGAATCTCAACACCTCGTTCAATGAGTTTGTCAAGGATACCAGAGTTGTACAGAGACTCGAAGACATCTCCGTGGCCGGGTGGATACCAGTCAGAAATGGGGGACTTGAATGACTTTGGTGCTGGGAGAAGCGAATCCTTTAAGATTCTGGGGTATCTTGACTGATTGAAGGTGAGAATGTCGATGTTGTGGCCCTCGTACTTTTTGATGATGTTTGAGGTGTCGACATCAGTGTTGAACGAATTCATCAGAACAAATGGTACATTGACGTCATATGTTCTGTTGAGATACTCGATTTGTCGGACAGAGAGATCGAGGAAGGACATGCCATCACGGACCTCAATGACTGACTTCGGACCAACACAGCCCATGGAGGTACCAAGACCACCATTGAGCTTAAGAACAGCGAGCTTGCTGAGGAAACCAACGGACTCCGAGTTAGCGAGCTCGTTGTAGTCAACGACCTGGCCTTGTGCTGGCGGTGCAATACGGTCCCAATCCCTATGAGTTTTAGCGAATATGCCTATGATGCCCTGATAGATGCTTACAGTGTGTTTCCCTTTGCCTTGTCATTCAGATATCTACGGAAAAGAGCAAAGAAGTTGTCCATCTCAGTCTCGAAAAGCTGCTGGCGTTTAGTGACGTAGATATTCCATGACAAAAGGGTAGCATACCTTCTTCTCGGCTGGGTCCTCAACAGTGTCGGCAAGGTTATTGAGTGCATTTCGCATCTGACTTGCGGCTACAGATGTAGATGTGTTTTCGAAAGCCTTATCAGCACTGATTAGCTGTGCCAATTCTGGAAGATTTGGGTCTATTGGGGGAGGGGTAGAAGGAGCTTCAGGCTGCATGGCGGCGGGTTGAGAAAGGTCCATAGCTTCAGGTGTAAGAGGTGAATCAGGACGTTCCACGTCTGCAGGATCGAAAGGACTGCCGGAGAAAACCACAGGACGCAGGCCAGTAGGATCAATAAGGCCAGAGTTCGCAGACTTCAGAAGAGCAGCTCGTACCGCAGACCGAACTCCGCGTGGAATCCGGAAAGCAGGTTCAACGTCCTCTGGCGCAGCAATATTTCTCTGTAGGAGACCAGCAAGGAATTCAGTAGCAGAGATACCTTGCACAGTAGGATGCAAGTGCGGAAGGATTCTCAGGATCGGATGCAGAGCTTTGAACTCTTCGACTTGAGGTAGAGCGTCGAAATCTCCGACTGTAGGAAATCGGAGCGCAGGGTGCAAGCTAGGATGAATTCTGAGGGACGGATGCAAAGCGGAAAGGTCTGGTAGTTTGGAGGATTGACTTCGAGGTTGTAAACCAGAGCTGACCCGGGGAGTGGAGTCTTCGATTTCAGGAGACTGCCTTCCAGATTGTAGAAGAGAGCTTACCCGAGGAGTGATAGAACCAGAACAACTAGAACGAAGAGAGCTGGCCCGAGGGGTGATAGAACCAGAACGAATGGAAGCTGAAGTAGAACGTGCAGTAAAGAATGAGTCATCAGAGAACGAAAAGAATGAATCGTCGTCGCTGTCTCCTTCTTGAAAGGCAGGATGGTCTCCAATTGGGTCCAGAACGTCGTTGCCAGGTACTTCGTCAATAGCCCGGAATCTTAGGCAGGAGCGCTTGGCTTCCCACTGTTTCTGCAAAGCCAAACTCTCCTGCTCGTCTGGAAGACCGTCTTCATGATCTAGAGGGTGCTTGCGCACTTTGTAGATGCAAACTCCAGGAAGGAACAATGTTGCGTCCATCTTGATCCTGGTGGTACCTTCGAATTTCTTGAAAATTCAAGATCGACCCATTGTTGAAAATCTTTGTGGGCAACATCCTCGTTCTGTTTAGCGGAGCTACTGAATGTCCAAGACGTTATTCGCAGATGCTCGAGGGGTGGGTAGTCGGGACGTTAAAACCTCATCCTTAGCGGAACAAACAAGGACAAATCCAGTGAATTCCAAAACTTGTCCTCGGGAAGGTCCTCGCGCCGAGTTTCTTTCTCTCAAGGTCGCCATGCAGCTCCTGGGCTACAAAAAGAACTGGAACTCACCATGTGTGATTGTGTTTTGCCATGGTGTTTTCTGGCAAATTCGGCCGCATCGCCATTGCTGCTACCCCCCAGGGCAGACTTGGCAGCGCTCTTCAAGTGTGATGGGATTGCAGATGCCATCTTTCAGAATATTCCGATATTTTTGCAGAAGGTTTCGAAGAAAGTGGGATATGAGGTTGAGAAGGATACGAGTTACTTCTTCCTAAAGGGGAGAGCTTGCTGTTAGCCGATACTCGACGATCGCAGCTGGGATTGACGTAATGCAGCAGCAGATTGACAGGTAGAGGAGTCAGTAACATGCAGACAGGGAGGACTCACCAACACAGCAGATGCACTGATGGACAATTGGAACGGAAGAGCAGGCCGCAGAGGCAGGAGCAGCAACAGAAGTTGTTTATGTATCTGCTTCTATTCCTAGCTCATGGAAATTATCATGTCTCGAAGCATCGAAGATGCTGCCGGGCGCCACCCTAGACTTTTTATGGCCGGCCAGCAGGGATGTTTCAATAATTTACATGGACGCCCACCGTATTCCACCAAGCCAAGGAACTTCCGCTACTTTTTCGTCAACCGGCTTCCCAACCCTTACAATGCCATGCCGCCCGTGGCAAATCGCTATCTCTGTCGGCCAATCTTCCGGCGATTGTTGGGGATTGGGCAGTGATCAGAGCATCTTTCACGCACGCACATTGCACATCGGGAGGGAGGCAAGAATTGCTGGGGAGAAGGGAGAATTAGGAGGCAAAGAAAAGCTCTGCACTCCAGCTTTACAACCCGTTCCCCAGATACGGTGTGGTGCAGTAGCAAAACTCCATACGCTCCATTCGTAGGACTAGAGCCAAGGTCCAAGAAGCATCTTCAAATGACGACCAGCATAATAACGACGACAATCCACATTTCCTGACATGGTTCACGAATCTCATGGCCCCTTTTCCTCCAAAAAAGACTCTCGTCCAAGCCAAGACCACGTCGTTGCCAGGAGAAACCCCACCTGTCGTCCGGTCCACCAAAGAACCCAGCCCACCTCTGTCTCGTCTTCTCGAAAAGGGGTTGTTTGACGGGATGCCAAAGTAGTTTGACCCACTGCCAACTCTAATTTCAGACCCGAGACATATCAAGATCTCAAAAAAGCTCCTTCAGCCGCAATTTCTCACGCCCTCGATCAATGCGTTTTATTGTCTTTGGTCCAAGCTCGAGCTATTCGTTTCTTGCCGCTGCCGCTGGATTCTAGCAGACGCTATCAAGCAATAGATAAAATGCTATGTTCCGCATCTTGGGAAAACTTCTTTGGATGTGTTTCCTGCTTGGGACATCGAGGAGATGCCCGAAAGCTTTCTTCAGGCGCCAAAACCATACGCCACATGTTTATCTTGCTTTCATGCAGCTTTTCATGCGCGGTGGGTTCGTAAGCCACCGAGAACCTTGCGTTATGCACGTGGGGGTAAGCTCACTATTCACTGAGATGCAGAACTACAGTAAGGCCTGCCACGGCTGGAGGCCTTAGGGAACTCCCAGCGGAGGGACATCATCATATCAGCCGCTATGTCCCGGAATATCATAGCCATTTCCAATATCTTTGCGGGATGGATGCAAGCCAGCTCTATGGTGGTCATCATTGCATCGTTTGCATGTGCCACAAGTCTCAAGCGAGCGGTGTGAGGTGAGGGTTACATTTTGAACTCAAGGTTTCACAGCGCACTGCATTCATGCCACTATTCACATGCATTCTATTTTCTGCGTTGCGACCCACGTGATATTTCAACACGTGGAATCTCACCGGCTGTGCCACTCTACGCCGCTTCATAGTACGGCACTTGCAGATATCTAAAGCACGAAATCGGTCGATGCATCGAACCAAAATCCGTATCGCGTACCACTGCACTGGAAAATCGAGTCGCTGTCCAATGATTCCCCGCCAAGATGACAGCCACATCTGTGGTACCTCTCAAGATATGGGGCCAACTTCCCCATTTAGTTCAAAGAGAATGCGAGATGCAGCCTTTACCTTTCTGCGGGACAGTACATGTATTAACCCATCCCAAAATTATTCTCCCCTTGCGTCCGTCTCACTTTCGCTTTCTTCAGCTTGTACTTGTTCATGATGGCACAAATCAAACCCAGAAAGCTCTGTTTTGAGGAAAATGCAATTGCTCATGCGCGCGGAAAGATCAATACAGACGAATATCTCGATGGCATGCTCGATCACCTTACTGGTGTTCGTCATGCTCAAGATACACCTCTCAAACGAATTAACGCAGATGGTCTAAGCATGGCCATTCAAAGCTGTCTGTTCGAGCCCAATTTCAAGTATCTAAATGGTATGTTTTTACATTTGCGCCTGTTCTCTCATCAATATACACCACTCTAGTCGGCAGTCTGATCTCACGACATCCACAGACGTTGCCTTGATCAAGCGCCTCCTCGTCTCCTGCTGGAATGACTCTCTCGACATCGAAATCCTCGCCCCAAAAGTCCTCTCCGCCCTCCTGCCTTACCACATTTCCCCCAAAATCCACCTCTCAATGATAACCATTGCCTGCATCCGCCGCGACCTCACACTCCTACGATACTGCTTTACACTTACCGACTCTGATGCCGTTTTCTGGGCAGCAACTACATCTCCTATCTTAGTAGCCGCCACAGCCACCCCAGACCCGATCATCTGGGACGTATTATTGTCATATGGATGGTCGCGGCCCAATGGGCAGTATTGGGACATCTGCGCAGAAGGATTGAAGATTAGAAAGGTAGACAACAATCAAACCCACCAAGATCGATTAGCGAATCTAGCGCTCATTGCTATTAAAGACTCAAGGAGGGTCGAGCTTCTGAATATACTGTTCGACCATGGATTGGTGGTTACAAACTCGCTGTTGAGCAAGGCGGCTGCTAGTGCGGACCCGATGACTATGAAGACTTTGCTGGAGAATTGTGAAGATGATCAGGAGTTGGATACCAGTAAAGCCTTGTTGGTTGCGGCTGAGAGCAATGGGAGGATCATTGAGGTGCTATTAGATGGAGGATTTCACGCTGATTGGAAAGCTGCGAGTAGTCCACCTAGCTCGACTGATCGTCACAAAACAAAAGACGGTAGGGATGAGAAGAAGAAACATGCGAGTGATAAGAAGAGAGATGGAGATAAGCATAACTCAAGCGCAAAGAGGAGAGATGAAGAAAAAAAGAGCTCGAGAGACCAGAAACAAAAGACGGAACACAGGGAACACAAAGAAGGGGCACCGCTTGAAAGCAGAACAGCTCTTCATATTGCTTCAGCGATGGGGAATATGGACGCCGTCAAGACGCTGCTGAAGAAGGGTGCAAGGACGGAGATTAAGGATAGTAACGGGAAGACGGCTGAGAAGCTCGCGGTGGAGAAGGGATGGTTTGAGATTGCGGAATTGTTGAAGATTATTCATGCTGCTAGGAAGAAGTGAGGACCAGGTTGATGATGGAGGACAAGAAGTAAAGGATGGGGGATTTCGATATTTGAGCGGACAATACGGAGCTGGGCTCTAAGATCTATGACTGTTAACATCTTCTGGATAGCTAGTGCAGCGTTGTATTTATGATATCTTTACATTGCTACAAAACTTCTTCAATTTTCTCGAATACTATGATCAAGTGGCAGTATACTCCACTTCCCCACTTGACCAGCACCACACACGTCCACAAACCCAACCGTTCTCAACATACAATTCTTCGACAACCCTCTAATTCGACAGTACACTTCACTCCTCAAGCTTTACCAAGCATCCACAAGCAACAGGTTGAAGCACACCTTCCAAAATCGCGACAGCGACACAAAAACTCAATGAACATAAACTAATCAGCTTCGAATATTTTGTTGCACATCGCAATCACCAACCGCTCCTTCCTTAACAAAGAAATCCTTCAAAGAGAAATTGAGTTTGGCCATCCACCAATTCCAATACGACCAATCAGAGAGCCGCATCAATTTCCTTATGTCCTTTGTTGGAGAAAGCTCGTGAACTGCTACTTGAGAAATATAAAGCAGAAAAACCAAGCACTCGCATCAGCAACTCTTTTGTTGGTTGGACATCGCACTTTGTCCTTCCCTCAATGAAAACGACCTGCATTAGTTGTACAATGCAACTTTCTAATTCTGAGTTCTGATTGGCCAGAACTCTGATTGATAAACCCACTACGCTTCTTACTAACGAGGCGCTATTCTTCTTTAGGAAAAATCAGTTTCTCTTTTTCGTGCGATGTGCAACAAAGACTCGAAACGGCTTAGTATATTTTCACGTGAGTAATTTTATCAACGAAGAAACATCGTTCAGGAAGCAGAAGGAGCATAGGAACTTTAACCCAAAGCTCTATTACATATTGAGAGACTCTCCATCATTCTTTAGCTACCTGGGAGTTTCCTATCTTGTTGATAGGTCACGTGGGGACGGCTCAGGGGTCGGAAGGGCCTCGGTGGCTTTCCAAGCTCCCGATCAAAGGAAGGATGTAAACGCATGGATCACCAGTTCCCCATTGGACTCCTTAGAGCTGCAGCTGCATCGACACAATCCTGAGAGCTAGCAATGTCCAGTAAAGTAAATGCTTAACGGTCAGACTATCGATGATGCTAAAATTTGATTCATCATAAGCTCGCGTGTATGATAATTCGGCGTCATATTAAAGTAAAACAAATCGCGTTGCCCCAGTCACCAAACTCAACTCGAACTTTCTTGTCTGGAATGGATTTCACATTTCTGTTCCTCGCAACCAACCTCTTTCTTGCTGGATCTTGTTACTCCAACCTCTTCGACGTGATACATTGCAAGCATCGAAGTCTTCTAGAAGTTTATGCTTGCCAATAACGCGTTGGACCTATTACCTTAAACGTTGCAATCATCTTGTTTCAGACGCGAAACCCCTGTCCCCTCATATCCCCCCTACGACCGATCCTCTTTCGATCCGACACTCGATTCTGTACTGTATCACGAACTTCCACAGCAACCGTGGCGACTTCAAGAACTGCTTTCGAACTCTTTTGCAGAAAGGCTGCTGCGGGCAGAGTCCATGGTATTCTCCCAGAGCAGGAATTGCTAGCATAATCCTCATTTCGAGCAAACACCGAGCCACCGGGAGGATCGAGTAGGGCATAATCATTTGGAAACACGAAATAGACACAATCATGGCGACGACACCAGAACTCAGAGAGCAGCCCTCATTCCATCGGGAATCTCCCTCGCCATCACGATCCCCGACTCCAGCTCTTGGAGCTTGTCCAGAGCTGTCTCGTTGCGTATCGACTACTTCGACGGGCTCCGTCTTCTCGGGAGACTCCAGTATGGGGCGAGAATCTCTTGGCAGTTCGGTCGGCACATCTGTCTCACGATCATCATCAGCGAGTTATTCTCATCGAGCATCGCTCGGCGGACCTGAGAAGCCTAAACGTCGAGGATATGTTAGACCACAAGGGACGAATTTCGCAGCTTCAGCACAATCTAGAGAAAGTGTGCTCAGCTTAGGCAGCATAGCACATCTACAATATTATTTCGCTAGAACGGGCCTATTGGATGGAAAGGGAGGTCGATTGGCAAAGAAGAAGGACCAACGTGGGACACTAGACTTATCCGCACTGGATACTTCGTTCCTTTCGCCCAAGGTTGTTGGTTCGGATGTCGACTCCTCATATGCCTCAATGGGCAGCAGCCCGGAACTCCATGCACAACTTGGTGGGATGCTGGTGGAAAGCCCTACACAGGAGGAAGGCGACTACTTTAGTGGTGAGGAAGATGAAGACCATCCACACATGCTCCCGCCAACCGTGAGCACTTACAATCACCGAGAGAAGACTATCGAACCGCCACCATCTCTTGATGAGCTCAAGCATGATTTACAGAAGGCCTTGGGAGATGCTGTCAAAGTCCTCGAAGAAGCGAAGCAACGTCCATCATCACAACCATCTTCTCCTTCTCATAACCAGTCATCTGACGGAGAGCCATCGAGTCCGTCATCGGATGAAAACCGAGGATGGTACGAGCTACAAGGCATGCATATTCTCGATATCATGACCCTAGCTATACGTGCCGCCAAGATGTACTACACGGCCCATGATCAACCAGCACGCCTATCAACGATCAAGACAGAGCGAAAGATCAGAGCAGAGCTATTGTCGGTCATGGATGTCCTCAAGCGTATGGCGACGAGGAATTTTGCTTCTGGCATGCGCACCGAGGAACGAGAGACAATGGAAAATTGGGTAGCCGGTGTCTACGAGATGTTGAAGCAGGAAGAGGCTATGGAAGAGGCAGAGAGGAAGCAAAGAGCCAGCTGGTCCTGGCTCGATGAATCCTGGGATGGCAGAGACGTGGAGCGGGAATACGCTTTCATGAAATCTATGGACCCGGATTCCGAGACGCTACCGGAGTTCAAATCCGTGGACGACATCACGGATGAAAAGTTACCTACCTCGTTCTTGGCTGATCTAAGGACTGGATTGAGATTGGTCAAATTGCACAACGCAATAGTCAAGAAGAGCAAGAGGCCGTTTGGCGCTATCGACAAATGGCATACAGAATTTGGGAAGCCATATCGCAGCGCGGAGAATCTACGATACTGGATTAAAGCCGCTGAGCTACGTTGGGAAGTCGTCCTCAAAGTCGATGTCATGGGTGTCGTCAACGGATCCGACAGAACGGCGTGGAAGGGTTTCGAGAATGCCATTTGGCAATGGTGCCGGAAGGTCAGAGAGGAGATCACGGTAGATTTGAAAGTCTGAACAGGGACCTCCCATTAAGAGGCTGAGAGAGTAATGGTTTACGAATATAATGCTTATGTCACAGTATTGCGGGAAAGGAAAGCAGAGCAAGACAAGGAGATGATTAGGCTGCTGGGCTGCGTTGCACTCATCTGTATATATTTTGCACGCTGGCAATTAGGTAGTGGTGGTTTCTTTGGGGGTTTATTCTGTTTCGTTACTATACCCACACTTAGGTTTTCTTTTTGTTCGCTTTAAGGAATTCATTTGTTTTTGACAGCTTTTACCCTTGACATCATATCGCTCAGTGACATGTGAAATGGAAGAAGGAAAGAAGAATGGAAGCGTGAACGGCAGCCATTCCCGGTCAAAAGAACCACGTTGGACATCGTTTCTCTTTGTTGCGGTCCAAAATGAGGGCAACCAGAGCCGAGAGAGCATCTGTAAATAGCACTGTAAACAAAGAAGGTTTTCTGATTGCATCATTCATTGTCTCTTTGTGCCTTGATAGTCCTCGATCCGCACATACTACTTGTTATCTCTCTCATCGGATACCAAACATAGTACCAATACAAGAAACAAACAATATGGCTTCAAGACCAACTATACCACCCAAGCCATGGCTCCACGAAGAAACCAACGCGTTATCGAGCAGAGGGATGGAAGTCAGCGTAGCGCCAGGCCAGACCCCTCCGTCGCCGAACCAGTACCGGGAAATGGGAACAGATAATCGATTCAGGACTTGGAACAGGGTAGCAAATACCATCGCCGCGCAGCAGCAGCGAGAAGCGACGTCGTCGGGCTGGAGCACGAGTGGGTCTTCGCAGGTATCGCCTCGCTCGTCGTATACGCTTGATCAGGGGTTACAACCGCCGCCTGGACCGACGGGGCCGAGATCTCAGTCCTCTTCGCGAAAGGTGCAGCAGTTGACGGGGCTGGATTTGGGGTTCGAGAAGGTGTTTCCGAGGAAGGTGCAGCAGCTGACTGGGGAGACGTTTTTGAGGAAATTTCCTAAGAAGAGTCAGAGTCTAGTTGCGTCGTCTGCTGGCTCGGATAGTGAGGGGAGTGTGTATAGCCAGCCCGAATCTAGTGTAGGCAATACCGAGAGCTGGAGGTCGGTCGATACGGAGAGCTTTGATGGGCAGCGGTCTGATGCGCAGCAGAGGGCTCATACAATTTCTAAGCTGCAGCAGAATGCTTCGCCTAGTGCGGAGGATATCATTACGCTCCAGGAGATTTTGACAGAGCAACAAAGACGGTATGAAGAAGAGTTAGCACTCATGCCTAAAGCACTAGCTATCGGCTCAAGGAAAAAGCGTCTTTCTCTCCTTTCATCCAAACCGTCGATATTGAAAAATGCTCGAGATTCTTTTGAATGGGGAATCAATGAACTGACTGCCCCTCGACTGAAAAAGTCTGAGAAGCCGCAACGGAAAGCTCGCTTCTCGATGTATAGCGGGAATACGACTCCGGAAGAAATGCCTCCAACACCACCGCCAAAGAGCCCTAGACGGAAGAAAAAGAGCTTTGCGACGGGTGAACATCCGTTGAAGAGTCCGTATCCCTTCGCCGGCAAGGAGGAGGATGATACTATCATGAGTCCTTCAGAAAATAGATTCGGGAGCAAGATCTCTGGAGCTATCAAGAGTCTTTCGACGGGTGGGAGGAGAGGATCTTTGACCAACAACAACAATAAGATTGTGATAACGAATAAAGCGAGGAAGAATTCGGGGCCGGATACTCCTGTGGTTGGGAAATCTAGCTTTGTAGAGACGATCAATAGGGGGAATGAGCAGTTGCAGGGGATTATTGAGAAGACGAGGAAGAGCGTGTTGAGGACGGCGGAGGAGAAGAGGAGGGATGAGTTGAAGAAGAAGATTGTTGTTGTGGGGATTGGGGATCAGAGTCCTGGTTCGTATCTCTGAACTCTGGTGTGAGTGAAGAAAAGAGTTGCTGACTATTTGGGGGTTGAAGATGGGAGGGTTTCCGAGTGGTTGTAGGGTATCTTAGCTCGGATCTATTGTAGCATTTGCAGTACTTTTGAATAGAGGCCGATATAGGATTATCAAAACTCCGTGCTGGATTTGAATATTGTAAGGATTGTGACTCGGATATGCGGCTTCCAGCATCATGTCTTCCCAGTTGAGTGATTCTGTACCTGCAGGATTCAGGCTTCCCCACTTCTGATGTTGACCGCTGGTACGGAACCCCTCTTCCATTCTAATTGACTCCTCTAAGCCATCACGAGGTCGTCATGATATTCTTATTCGCCACAAGATAGGATTGAACCATTGAAACAAGAGCTAAGTTGTATGTTGACTTCATTTCATGAAACGTGGTATCGTCAGTGGGTCGTCTCGTCCGCCAGCGCCAAGTGCAGTACCCCACAGCTTATCCCTGTCCACTATGAGACACCCATAGCTCCCTCCCTCTGACCTCCAGCTCCTGCTGACCTGCCACCTTCCTCCACAAAGACCACAACATCTTTCTCCATTCCGCAAGATCAATTACCAACAACACAATTATGGGAGGAGAAACAGTGCATACCGAGAAGAAACAGAGTAGCTATCCTAAGCTATCTCATCGTCCTATCGGACAATGGATTCCGAACATCTACAAGGAACGCATTGCGCAGTTCTATAGTGGGGGACAATATGAAGGGAAGAATCTGCGAGCGTGAGTTGAATGATGCTGAGAATGTGAATGTCTGTTCTGATTGCAGATTCTAGGATGCTCGATGAGGGCGTTGCGTCAGGTACCCCTCATGTCAAGCTCTCAGTATGGGATGCTCCCGACCTCACTCGACCGACATTCAAGGAAGCAATGAAAGGCAAATATAGAACAACATCTGTCGGAGAATCATTTGGTCCATCTTGGTCGACGCATTGGTTCAAAATCCAGCTCACAATCCCAAAAGACCTCACCAAGAAGGAGCTTTTGGAGTTTCACTGGGATGCGAACAACGAGGGTATGGTGTGGTCTGAGGATGGCAACCCGCTACAAGGCCTGACTGGTGGCGGAGAACGAGTCGAGTGGATTATCCCAGACAAGTTCAGAGATGGAAAGGAGCATACATTTTACATCGAGATGGCCTGCAATGGCATGTTTGGAAATGCAAATGGCGACTCCATCCAGCCTCCCGATCCGAACAAATACTTCCGATTGTCCCAGGCGGATATCGTAGCGGTAAATGTTGAGGCGAGGCAATTATGGATCGATATTTGGATCATTGGAGATGCTGCTAGAGAGTTCCCGTCGGATTCGTGGGAACAACATAAGGCTCTGAAAGCCTGCAATGAGATCATTGAGGCTTATGAGGTTGGCAGCCAGGATTCAATTACCAAGGGTCGCAAGATCGCTGCTGAGTATATTGGCAAGAACGTTAGTTCGTCAAAGGTCTACGAGACTGGTACTCAGCCGATTGTATATGGTATTGGACACTGCCATATCGATACTTGCTGGTTGTGGCCATGGGCAGAGACGAAGAGAAAGGTCGCCAGATCTTGGTCGAATCAGTGCAATCTGATGGATCAATATCCTGAGCATCGCTTTGCTGTTTCGCAGGCGCAGCAGTACAAGTGGCTTAAGCAATACTATCCATACGTTTTCGACCGTGTCAAGGAGAAGGTCAAGAAAGGCACTTTCCAGCCTGTGGGAGGGAGTTGGGTCGAGCACGACACCAATATGCCAAGTGGCGAGTCGCTTGTTAGACAATTTGTTTATGGGCAACGATTCTTTGAGAGCAACTTTGGCAAGAGATGTCAAACATTCTGGCTGCCAGACACTTTCGGTTACTCGAGCCAGCTTCCCCAACTTTGCAGATTGGCTGGTATGACGAGATTCTTCACACAGAAGTTGAGCTGGAACAACATCAACAAGTTCCCTCACACCACCTTCAACTGGGTCTCACTTGATGGTAGCCAAGTCATTTGTCATATGGCCCCATCTGAGACTTACACTGCCGAGGCGAACTTCGGCGATGTGAAGCGATCAGTCACTCAACACAAGTCGATGGACCAAGATGAGACATCATTGCTAGTCTTTGGCAAGGGTGATGGCGGTGGAGGACCCACCTGGCAGCACTTGGAGAAGCTTCGACGATGCCGAGGTATGGCTGATACCACTGGCATGTTGCCAAGGGTTCACATGGGCGACTCTGTTGAGGATTTCTTTGACCGACTTGAGAAGAGAGTCGAGGATGGTCTTGACTTTGTTACTTGGTATGGCGAGCTCTACTTTGAGCTCCACAGAGGTACATACACCACTCAAGCCAACAACAAGCGTAACAATAGGAAGTCGGAAATCATGCTCCGCGATATCGAGCTGTTGGCTACGCTGGCGAGTATCAAGTCAGGGTACAAGTATCCTAAGGAGAAGATCGATGATATGTGGGAGGCAACTCTTTTGTGTCAATTCCACGACTGTCTGCCTGGTAGTTCTATTGAGATGTGTTATGATGACAGTGATGAAGTAAGTGATCATTGGCAGTTTTATAATTTTAATGCTGACCGAGTTTAGCTCTACGCTCAAGTCTTCAAGACTGGCGAAGGTATCTTGAAAGAGCTTCAAGAAATCCTCGGCGTCCAGGATGTCGACTCCAAGAAAGCCAAAGGAAACTTTGTTGCACTCAATACTTTACCATGGCACCGCAGAGAGATTATCTCACTTGGCGATGGCCAAGCTGGTGTTGCCTGCGGAGATGGCAACCTGTTGAACATCAAAAACTTCAAGATTGCTGAGACTCCAGAAGTGACCGTCGAGGAGACCTCGAAGGGAGTGTTTGTCTTGCAAAACGATGATTTGCGCGTTCAAGTCTCTGATGGATGTATTACTTCTCTCTACGATCGAAAGGCAGAGAGAGAAGTCATTGCTAAAGGAGGCAAGGCCAATCAACTTGTCATTTTCGATGACAAGCCTCTCTACTGGCAAGCTTGGGATGTCGAGGTCTATCATCTTGACTCTCGCAAGGAACTATCTTCAGGCACAACCAAGATCGTTCAAAAGGATCCTCATCAAGTCAGCGTTATGACCGAGACTAAGATCAGCGAGAAGAGTTGGGCTAAGACCTACATCAGCCTGTCTGCTGCATTCAAGGGACAACAATCATATGTTGAGATGCACAGTGAGGTCGAGTGGAGAGAAGACATGAAGTTCTTGAAGGTCGAGTTCCCGGTCGATGTTCGTAATACGGAGGCGTCTTATGAAACTCAATTTGGTATTGTCCGCAGACCAACGCACTACAACACAACGTAAGTACTTGTTCCCCTTTCGTGAACACAGCTGACACTTTCAGGTGGGACATGGCGAAGTTCGAAGTCTGCTGTCACAAGTTTGCAGACTTGTCCGAACACGGCTATGGTGTCTCTATTTTGAACGACAGCAAATATGGCTTTGCCACCTGTGGTAACTTAATGCGTCTCTCACTCCTTCGTGCACCTAAGGCGCCCGACGCACATGCAGATATGGGTCGCCATCATATCCGTTGGGCAATTCTTCCGCATCAAGGTGATTTGGGATCGACTACTGTCCGCACCGGGTATGCATTCAATAATCCATTGAAGCTTGTCCAAGCACCAAAGACGCTCGATGCATCAGCGTTCAGTAATCCGATCAAGCTTACAGGTAGCCCGTTTTTGATTCTGGATACTGTTAAGCGAGGTGAGGATGATGAAGATGTTACTCGCGGAGAATTGTTGAAGCGCAAGGGCAAGAGTGTCATCCTGCGCATCTACGATAGTTTAGGAGGAACAAGCAAGGGTACAATTGAGACTACTCTGGACGTAAAGAAGGTATGGAAGACGAACATCTTAGAAGATGACGAAGAGTCGCTCGAGATCTCGAAGGGCAAGGTTGATATCACCCTTCGACCTTTCGAGGTCGCTACCTTCAGACTGCAACTATGAATAACGAAAGAACAATGAAAACAAGGTGGCTGTGAAGTATTGCTTTCTTGGATCCTCGGCGTTGAAATAAGTTAGTCCATGAATTGAATATCCATTCGGATCAAGAATGCCGTCTGAAGTGAACTCTGTGATTATGAACGGGTACTGTATGTGGAGTAGTCAGCGCGCAAGATTCCTATTCAAGTTACCCTCTGGACCCCATTCTCACTCCCAAGGGGCAAGAATAGCAGTCGTTGTCGCACATCACCATGTACATTACTTAGTCACCAGGTTTCAATGTTACCGCAAATCCCTGCGGTAACCTTACCACCATCTCTAATGCAGGTGATTAATCTATTCACCACACCTAAATATAGAAACTTACAGCACACCCCACCACCAGGAACATAATTTCCCCGCACAAAAATACTGTAATGGCGCCGAGTTCCTCTCTTGATCCGGGGACCCATGAGAACAATTCCTTCTGTGCAGATAAACATTCGGCAGCGATATCCAGGAAAGGCAACTCGATCTCTCCTTTCGACCAGATGAAAGGAAGGAAGGAAAATTAAGGACGTCGATAAGTGATCCTTCCGCTGGGCGTTGCGGGGCCGCAGGGCTAAGCGAGGGAGGCTGAGTCCGGCTGCACAACGTTGAGAATTGGGCGTCGTTACAGTAGTGGTCCGGCCCCTGGATCTCTAGCGGGCTGAGCCGCTGATCTTGGATCTTTCTGGGTTGGCGGTTCCGAGGTCTGCTTTTCATCTGATGAGAAGAGAGGGTGGAGAAGAGGTTTGTTCAAGGATGGGACTTGTATGCACGATGGGAAGGATCTGACAAGCAAGTGAAGTGTGTACTTTAGTAATCGGCATACTTTCCGACCCTAACCCTATCCGTGGGCCTTCATATCCAGAAGAGGACCTCTTCCCTCTCTCGCACCATGATGACAGGATCCAGCGGCCGACACGATATAAGAACTTCATCCCATCCCTAACCCTCACCCTCACCCTCAGCACCTACCTCAAGCTGATCATGGCCGCCAACATGAAGCTCTCCTTCTCCTCCCTCCTCTGGCTTGCCCTCCAAACAGCCTCCGTCTGTCAAGCCCAAAAATACGCCTTCGCCCACGTCGTCGTCGGCAACACAGCAGCTCACACCCAAGCCACCTGGGCAAACGACATCTCCCTCGCCCAAGCATGCGGCATCGACGCCTTCGCCCTTAACATGGGCTACCCAGACTCCAACATCCCCACCCAAGTCGCCAACGCCTTTGCCGCCGCGGAAGCCAACGACGGCGGTTCCTTCAAGCTGTTCTTCGCCTTCGACTACCTCGGCGGCGGCGAGGTCTGGCCTGCTACGGGGAGTAACTCTGTAGTGAGCTATCTGACCGAGTATAAAAGCTCGACCGCGTATTTCAACTACAACTCCTTGCCCTTCGTGTCGACGTTCGAGGGCACGGGCAATATCGCTGATTGGGCGCCCGGAGGCGCGATCCGGAGTCAGGGCGATGTGTATTTTGTGCCGGACTGGAGTAGTCTAGGAACGGGCGGGATTGCGCCGTATCTAGATAACATCCAGGGTTTCTTTAATTGGGGCATGTGGCCCAACGGCGCGAGCAATATGACGGATGCGGGGGACGTGGCGTGGCAGCAGGCCATTGGGACCGGGAAGACGTATATGATGGGTGTTAGTCCGTGGTTCTTTCACTCGGCCAGTGGAGGGACTGATTGGGTGTGGAGAGGCGATGATTTGTGGGCTGACAGGTGGGCGGAGACTTTGGTTGTTGCACCTGAGTTTGTTCAGTGAGTTTTCTTTCTTAACTCTTTAAGTTTCTTTACTAACGATATTCCCTCAGGATCGTGACCTGGAACGACTTTGGGGAAGCCCATTATATCGGTCCCATCTACTCTGACTCCGAAATTGCGGCAGGGTCAGCTGTCTACGTTGACAACATGCCTCACGAGTCCTGGAGGGACTTCATCCCGTACTACATCGCCATGTTCAAGGGAAGCTCCTTCGATATCTCAAGAGACCAGATGCAATACTGGTACCACCCAGCACCGACAGCTGGTGGATCTACCTGTGGTGTAGTAGGCAACAACGCCGATCAGGGCCAGACCGAACTTTCACCCGACCTCGTCGTCGAAGACGGCGTCTTCTTCTCTGCTCTCCTGTCCAGTGCAGCACAAGTCCATGTCCAGATTGGAACCAATGCGGTTACTGTTTACAATGGTTCAGAAGGTATCAACCATTGGAGCCAACCGTTTAATGGACAGACGGGCGTCCCGACGTTCAGTGTGGTGAGAGATGGGATTACGGTTAATAGCGGGACGGGGTTGGAGATTACTAGTACGACGACGTTGAGTAATGGGTGTACGAATTATAATGCGTGGGTTGGGTCTTTTTAGGTGAAAATGGGGATTGGTGATGATGATTTTGGAGCGAAGTGGAGGTTTATTCATAAGTATATAGTTTAGGAAAATGTGTATATGAATATGAGATATGAAATCTAAGTACCCTCCAGATGAATGTTCCTTGAAGTGTTCGGATTCAGAAAGTCAGAAGTTGAGTCGAGAAGGTGGGCATAGCCGTGCTTGAAGATATCCATCTTAATCAATACACTAATCTAAGCTTGTCGAACTACGATCCAAGTCTTAGCGGTAGAAATGAATGCTAGATCCAGGTGAGGTCTCCCTGGAGCAGTCACGTGGCTATTACTTGCTTCACTTCCGAGTTGGACTCTGGCATAAAGGGCAATTATTAAGTCCATTTAAACCTCTCCATATCATCTTCTCTCATAAAAGTAATTCAAAAGAAATGACTCAAACAATACCTCACATGCACCAAAAAAAAATCAATCTCAGCACGTGTGTCCTCACCACCACCACCACCACAAAAAGCGTAATTTTCCCCGCCTCGCTCAATCTTCCCTCTTCCAGCACACGACTCGTACATAACTCCACAACACCAACACTAACCTCAAACTAAGACAACCGTCATTCGCTCGAATTCCCCGAACCGTTACCCCTCTGTCGTTTTGGGTCATCGTGCGGTAATTCCCCACGATTTTTTCCCTACCTGTTATTTTCCTACCCAGATCTGTCTGTTCATACCTGGGCAAAGTCTCTAGTGAGTGCTGTCATATGGGAGATGGTCGCCAAGCTAGCGATGTCAAGTGGGCATGGAGTTGTGATGATGGAATGAGGAAAATTTCCCCGTGGGTTTGGGTTTGGCCTCAATGAGGGTAGGCTTAGTTGAGATACTTATACGTCTGGTGAATGCTTTCTATTTTTCTGTTAGACAAGTTTTGATACGCATTCACGCTTCTCGATATTGAATTCCAAGTTTTCGTTTTCAAATCCTTCGAAGTTTGAATGTCTTTCTTCGTTAAGTACTGAACCCGGTCACGAATACCTCGAGTTCGAGACAAGAACTACATATCCTTCCCCAACTCAAACAGATATCTACCCCTGTTCTTCTCTTAAACTCCTTCACAATGGCTCCTTCAGCCCTAGAACCAGTCTCCTTCTACCCCGAGCGAGACGGCCTCGCGCTCGAGAACCTCTCGGACGACATCGACGCAGTCAACGTCCTCAAAGCGACCCTCAAAAAAGAAAACCCCATGCTCTCGAAATCCTCATTCGACGCCGAAAAAGACAAGACCCAGTTCCGCCAATACGAAGCCGCCTGCGACCGCGTCAAGAACTTCTACCGCGAGCAGCACGAGAAGCAGACCGTGGCCTACAACCTCAAAGCGCGCAACGACTTCAGAGCCCAGACGCGCGCCGAGATGACGGTTTGGGAAGCCATGGAGAAACTCAATACCCTGATCGATGAGAGTGATCCGGATACCTCGCTCTCGCAGATCGAGCACCTGCTGCAGACGGCCGAGGCGATGCGCAAGGATGGCAAGCCCAGGTGGATGCAACTCACGGGCCTGATCCACGATCTGGGCAAACTGCTCTTCTTCTACGGCGCCGAGGGCCAGTGGGACGTCGTGGGCGATACGTTCCCCGTGGGCTGCGGTTTCGATAAAAGGATCATCTACCCGGATACCTTCGCGGGCAACCCGGACCACGATCATCCCATCTACGGCACCAAATTCGGGATCTACAGTCCGGGCTGCGGGATGGATAATGTGATGTTGTCGTGGGGTCATGATGAGTATCTGTATCATATCGCGAAGGCGCAGTCGACGCTACCGAAGGAGGCGTTGGCGATGATTCGGTACCATTCGTTTTACCCGTGGCATTCGGCGGGGGCGTATTATGAGTTGATGGATGAGCATGATCATGCTATGTTGGAGGCGGTTAAGGCGTTTAATCCGTATGATCTTTATAGTAAGAGTGATGATGTGCCTAGTGTGGAGGTTCTGAAGGTGAGTAAAGTCTGATATGGGGGAGGGAACTGCACTGACTGTGTTAGCCGTATTATCTGGAACTTATTGATGAGTTCTTTCCGAACAAAGTTGTTAAGTGGTGAAGAGAGAGAGGGGGGGAGGAATGGATCATTTAGCGTTTACGAATTTTCTTGGCTTTGTATTTTGGAAATGGACGATACTACCATGAAGTTGTCGTGCTGCACTGCTGGGTTGGAAGCAGCACATGGGATTCATAGACGATAGAACCAACCATAAAATCAATCAATGAACTTCCAGCACAACATAACACCTCCTACAATCCAGCCATAGAAACATAACCCCACTACTCAATAACCCAACTCTCCCTCTCATACCTCCCCGGCCAAATCCCATTCTTCCCAGGCATCAACACCCCCCTCGGATCCAGCGCCTCCTTAACCCGCTCATTAAACCGCATCGACGCCCCACCATTCCAATCATACGTGCCCGCTATCTGATCCATGAGCGCGAGATGCGTGCGATACTCGCCCCAGCCGTGCGCGGCGCAGTCTTTGATTAGGGTTTTGATTAGGTTGTGCGCCGCGGCTTTGGAGGCGGCGGAGGTGCGCGAGAAGGTTATGCATACTATGTGGTCTGTGGATGTTAGATGGAAGGACGGGAGAGGGATGGAAAGGGGAAGGGAAGGGGGAACAAACGCATCTCCCGCATCCCGACGATGAAATCGCCTATAAAGTCCAGCCCGAATTCTTCGCAGCGTTGGCGGGTCAGTTTATATTGCAGCATTGCGTCGTCGCCTGAGATCTGTTTTTTTTTTTACATATTTCGTTAGCACCTGACTACTACCGAGAAGAGGATGGGAATAGGTAGGCGAGGAGTACCTTGGTGATGGGAGAAAAAAACAAGTGAGCCCCGTCAGGAAGCCAGTCTACCCATTTCAATTCATCGAAAGTGGGAATGCCCTGCATTGTTTTGGCGCGCGTGTGTAGGACGCTGTTGGGTTCTGTGCGGTCTCTGGTAGTTTATCAGTCTAGTGGTCTTGGGAGCAAGATGGAGAGGAAAGAGGATTTACTCTGGGAGGAAGAATTTCGAGCTTGGGATCTTTAAGAATGCTGATTTGATAGTTGACAAGAGGACTGAGCGGATTGGTTCTGGACCCTGGACTAGCTTAGCATTTTTGGAGACGGGAAGGGGGGAGAGAGGGTATACGTAGACTGCGCCGTAGAAGTTCCAGCGTCCGAGGTTGAGCTTTTGGGCGATGGCGTCGAGCTCGGTGTCCGTGAGGGGAGCGGTGGATGAGGTGTAGGAGGCTTTGGTTCCGTGGACGGCAGCGTCGAGGAGGATGTGGCGGAGGGTGGGGACGTTTTGGAGGACCATTTGCTGGGAGGATGTTAGGAAGGTGGTATCTGTGAGGTGAAGGTGCGGATGGCATACCATGCGGAGGGGTCGGATGATGTCCATTGCTGCGTGTAAGTCTTCGTCTTTGGGAAGAGTGATCATGTAGGCTTGGTAACCACCAGGGTTTGGCATTAACTACCAACTCATTAGTCTCACTTCTCTTGAATCTTTAAGATGGCTAACTGACCCAGATTCCCATTTTTACCACGATTCCTAAACTGCTCTGGGTGAAGATCCCATCATTGTAAGGACCAAAGCCATAGTTGAACAGTTGCCAACATCGATTACCGGGTTGTTGATCGGGTCGAAGATTTGGATCTGTAGCAATAGTTGGGTCTGGTAGAGCTCCCATGCCCGTTCTTATCAAATCGCCATTTGGAAGGACGACTTCCATTCCGCAATGCATCATCCAATGATCTACTCAAAAATCAGCCTGGAAGTTGGAACAATGCTGGGCACTTACCTCCGTAAGGTGTATACCCAACACCTCTCTCAACCGCATTTCCAATAATAGACCCACCACCAAGATCAGGGACCTGTCCACATCATTAGCCTCAGAAACTCTCTTCAATGTCTCACTTACATCCAACCAAACCTTCTCCCTCAAACCATGCTTCTCCAAATACTCATGCAAATCATAGAAAGTAACCCCAGGTTCAACAAGCGCATACGCCCCCTCAGTATTAACCTCCAGCACCCTATTCAAATGCCTCCCCAGATCCAAACACACACTCCCGGGCACCCTCGGCGCCGCACCCCCATACCCCGTGTTCCGTCCAATGGAGAACGGCCAGACCGGAATGTCGAATTTGTTGCAGAGTCGCATTAACTCTTGGACTTCGGGCACGTCGCGCGGAGAGATGGTCGCGGAGGCCACAAAGTAGTCTTGTGAGAGGATGGCGTGCATGTCGTGGCCTTTGCAGGGGTGCATGTAGTCGCCGTCGATGAGGGGCGAGTCTAGTTCGATGAGGTGTACGTTAGACGGGGTGCAGAGGGTGCGGGCGGCGGTTAGGAAGGCGTTGAAGTTCTCTAGGGTGCAGCCTGGTGGGAGAACCTTTGGGCCGCCTGGTTGAGTGGATCTGAGCGAGGGTTTGAGGAGGGGTGGATTGGTGGTAGGAGTGTTGTCATTGCTAGACTTGCCGTCTTGGTGAGAGGCCATGTTGTGATTTGGAATGATGTACTTGGTGGTAAATGGAAATTTGTGGAGAAAAGGGAGATTAGTAACTTGCAGGGCAGCTCTTCAGCTCATATATCTAGTAGACAGCTAGCCTGCGAGATTCCTTCAAGGTTATGCCAAGCACCGTCACTATGCGCATTTTTGGGGTAGCACAAATTCATTACTCGTGGAAGGAGAGTTGTCAAGTTGTACAAGTCGTACAAGTTGAGACGGCAGCTGACCTTCACTTGGAGGGACTTGTATCCGAGACATGGCTTGACAGAATGAAGCTGTTCACAGGATATTGGCGGATTTCACCTCCGCTTCCAGCTGCCGCTGGAGAGACGGAGATTTTCCACTTGGTGGCATCCGGAGATGTGTACTTTGTAGGACCCCGCCGACCCGAGATTCGACCCCGCATTTCATAGTCCTGTATAAGCTGGGTTGTGCTTCCCATTAGGCCGTCGTTCAGAAGCTTGTCCTTGAAGCTTTCAGTTGTTTCTTCAGCTAATGAATTCTCAAGCTTATTTAGATCTCCCTCATACTAGCTCAATCTTCATGTATTGTTGATGAGAAAGCAAAGCATGGAGATATGAGAAGATAAGAAATGCTGTGTAACTGGCTTGATGTCTCGATTTCTTGAGGACATGTAACCTCCAGGGACGAAACGCCTCAAGAACTGCGCAGAAAATAGCAGATATATGATAATCAGGCAGTGAATGAGCAAAAGGATAGGAAAGGAACAAGACTGAAATAAAAATTGCATAAGAATAGAACTCGATAGCAATTCTCAAACTGGTATCTCTCGCTCCCCAACGCCCAACAACCAGCGACGCCACTATACCAGACACATTCCTAAAACTCTCGACCATCATGTCTTTCATCAAACCACATGCCTCACCTTGCCAGTCTCAACCTCATAAATCCACCCACTAATCTCAATTTTAACGGGAATTGCTGTGTTTGCCTTCAACCACTCCACATCACTTTTCACCGCACCCTCCAGATCCGGAAAAGGGAGAAAATCACTTCCAAACCCACTCCTAATAGCTTCAACTCCTGCCACTCCTAGATTCGACTGAACCACTCCCACGGCATCACGGTTTTGAAAGGTGAGCATTCCGCATCCTGTATGTTTTATGATGAGGATTTCTTGTGTGCCGAGAAGTTGTTCGGAGATGACAAGGCTTCGAAGGGCGTCTTTAGCGACGCCGCCTGCATTGCGGATGATGTGGGCGTCGCCGAGTGTGATTCCGAATGCTGCTGCCGGGTCAATTCGCGCATCCATACAGGTTACTGACGGGTGTTAGTTGTTGATCAGTGGGAGGGAACAGAGAGCTCACCAATTGCGTATTTCTTTGCTGGCGGTAGAGCAAGGTGACCTTCAGTGAAGCTTGAGGCATATTTCTCGTTCGCCTTGACGAGGTTCTCTTGGAGCTGTGTGGGTGCCATGGTCTGGGCTTTGGGTTGCTTCGAAGTAAAGATCTGTTTGGTGATTGTTCAGTTTCTGCGGAGAGCTTCGGTGGTGGTGTTGCTGTGATTTAGTAAAGAGCGAGTGTTGTATATCAAAGGATCTTTGTCCTTGATGAAGGAATAAATCTGTCTGCCTTGCAGAAGATCATCAAAATAGAGCCGATGATCTTGCTCTTTGTTTCACAATGCAACTGAATAGACCGGATGGCATCATCATATTCCAATGATATGGCTGCGAAGGATACCACAGCTGCTTTAGCTAATGATTACACCATTCAAGGCTTGGATTGCTGTTGGTTATCTGCATACCGAAGGCGGGATGTTGGTTTGTTGGAGCTTGATCTGATATCCGGGAAGAAATGATCCGACGTCAAATCAAATAGAGTTGGGGCCAAAGTTGAGACATGGTCTGTGCTCTCGGCTGTTACCCCCACATCCAAGCCAAGCTCACATCTTTCTTGGGTCCGAGGTTTGCCACTTGATACGAAGTTGCCGGCTACCATGAATGTTGACAATGTTCTACACCAAGAGACGGACATTCCGGATAAGCCAGCAGACCGCATAGACGAAAATGAGGTGAATGAGATCATCGAGAGTATCAAAGAAGCACAATACTTCGATGCTAGCAGCATGGCTCCGCTTACTCCGGTTGCTTTAGTATGTTTATGTATTGACCTGAGATCCTGGGTGGCTTGAGACAAAGTGCCCACAAGGCTGACTGAGTCAAAGGCAGCTATCGCCCGATTGAGGGCATATAAACCTCCACCATTCACAATATGGGATCGTCTTCCATTGAGTCGCAGAGCTGCGGTATTAATCCTCCTATTCGCAGATAGGAGAGGGGATTTGAGAGTTGTAGTTACCATGCGGGCTTCAACGTTGAGGAGTTTTTCGGGTACATATATTTGTATACGAAATTGTATCACCTGCTGATCCATGACAGGCCAAGCTGCATTTCCTGGCGGAAAAGCAGACTCACTGGAAGAGACCCCTTTCGAAATAGCTCGACGAGAAGCATGGGAGGAAATTGGCCTTCCTCGAGACGATTCGAAGATACCTCGGCCATTCCGGATAGAACATCTCTGTCAGTTGCCATTTAGTCTTGCGAAGACTGCGCTTGCAGTGCGACCTTGCGTGGCCTTTCTACATTCAGACGATAATAGTGGAAGTAAAGCTTCGAGTGTGGAGGAAAGCATGATACCACGACTTGATGCTAAAGAGGTCGCAGCAGTTTTCTCTGCACCGTTTCATAATTTCTTGAGTGAAAAAGATGAACTAAGGGAAGGAGATACTATTCCTGGAAAGAGGACCGACTGGTATAAAGGCGTTTGGACAGATTTTAATGATACCCGGTGGAAGATGCATAACTTTTTCGTACCAATCAACAACCAGAAAGTTTCGAAACCAAAGATAAGAGAGAGCGGACAGGCATCGATTGCTGAGCACTTAGACGAAGAGGAAGAAGAGAAAATGAGATATAGAGTTTGGGGCATGACTGCAAGGATGCTGGTCGATGCGGCTCGAGTCGCATATGACGAGGAACCAGAGTTTGACGTGAGTCGTTTCCTTTTGCAAAAGTTTGGGCTAACAGATGAAGCACAATCGACACATCGGAGACGAAGATATGATAGAAACCTTGTATAATTTGGGGAGGCTGCAAGAGAAAGTACCTGGTGGCCCAGACCTGACTGATGGTGATATGAAGGCTGTACATGCCGCTAGAGCAGCCCAAGCCGCCAAGACAGCTGCGCCGAAGATGTAGAATGACGGACATGAATAAAATACGCGTAAACAGTCATACCGACGCTTGACAAATTGACAACGGTGGAAGAAAATCTCCGAAATGGACTTGACCGTCCGCTGTGTATATCGTGACAAAGGAATTCTTTATTTCTCCTACCTCCAGCTGAGTCACTGCGGTTGAAAGTTTAAGCTAAGCCGTAGGCATGTGGCCTTGATACAATGATCCCGGACATCTTGTGACATATAGTCAAATTTAAAGTGCTTCAATGTTCCAAGCGATAGCCGCTGAATGTTTAAGACACAATTCGACTCTTCGACATCATTCGGCAATGCCCTCATGTCACCTCGGCCCCTATTTCTTCTCGCTTCAGTCGAACCTGAGGGGCAACTTCAAAAATCCTCATTTCAGATAGTGACGTAGACGAAACCGAACCAGCAACCCTTGCTAAGAGAACGAATTCACCCCGGACCTGAAGAGATTTACGAGCTCCGAAGAATCGGATTCAAAAATTGATGGCATCCCGACACTTGAGAGAGGGGCCGTTCACACTAAGCAGTGACAAGAAAGTCTATTCGATGGAGCAGTTCGCACGAAAGCCAAACGATTACGTGAGCCACAAAGCCACAGAACATTCGACGATTCCAGCTGCAAGATGGGAAATAAGACTTTCTTGGCACTTTGGAGTCAGATGAGCTTATCAATGCTTCCAAATGACTCCAAAGCAGTCCGAATTCTATGGGGGACTAATAGGGGCCCGAGCGAGATGGGCTCATTGTCTTATCAACAGCTTGCAAGTCCAAGCAAACCCCTAGACTACGAGCGCAAAGGGCCCCAAATTGTGACAAAAAGTGACCCACCGGCATAAGGATTAAACATTTCGCTTGTCAGCCAGCCTGTGATTATGTGGTCCAGGCGCGAGTAGGCAGTCTTTAGGCCACCATCAGCTGTCTCCAGTTCTCCACTCCACACAACTTTCTAGATCAGGCCCCTCCTGTATCACACGCGCGCCCAAGAGCTGCATCATAATACACAGCCCCCTTGTTACGACTCCAGTGATAGAACAGTTCAGTATTAAAGTATACCTCTGGTCGTATACTCTTCTTCCACACAACATTCGACATTCTCTGCGCAAACCACACAGTATTCTTATCAGCATACGGCGCAATGTCAGATATTCTTGCAGCGCTCGAGCAATTGGACGACTTGGAGAAGGAGAGACGACCAAAAAAGTCAACTGCGACCAAATATCGAAATCCTCTGACCTCATCGTACGTCTCTATCTCTCGTTTCTGACTCTGTTTCGTTTCAATTAAGCAACTTGTTTCGTTTCTGTACAACATAGCATGATCATTAATCTAACACCTTCGATAGCAACGCTAAATCCGCAAACCAACGAACAGGCCGACCAACACGACCACGCTCTAACCCCGAATCTAAAGCCGCATCAGCCCAGGCAGCAAACAGCAAGAACCATCTCGCTCCATCCTCTCCCTCATACCACACAGATGGCGAGCGTTCACCTTCCGTCGCCTCCACAAGACGAATCTCCTTCGTAGACCTTCCTCGCCCGCAAGCCGTCCAGAGACGTCTCCGAATCCCCACCCGAGGCGCAAGCCTAGCATCAGGCTTCCCCTTCGACCCCAAACTTAACAAATACAACGTCGGCGAAACCGAGTGGAAGGATTTTAGCGATGCCATTATCGATGCCGCGGAGCTGCCCAAGAGAGCTACGTGGGCGTGGCGCTTTCACAAGAACGACGTGATCAAGAAGATGAAGCGGGAACTGCAGTACGAGGGCGACTTCAAACGGATACTCAATGCGTGGAATAGGCATTTTAGGAAGAAGGGGTTCCAGGTCTCGCTGGAGTTGCCTGGGGTTGCGAAGATTAGAGAGGAGGATTCACCTGAGGAGCAAGAATTGGCTAGGCAGGAGGCCAAGTTCTTTAGGATGTGTGTTACGCCGAATGCGGAGAAGGCGGGGAGTATATATAGCAGGACGAGCTCGTTGACCAGGAGCGTTACGGGTGAGGGGGCGAGTGTCAAGACGCCGATCCATTCGGATGAGGAGAAGGAGGAGGAGAGGGAGGAAAATGAGGGCGAATGACATGAGGAGGATCCGGACGGGAAAGGGGTTGGGTAGGGAGGGATCTTGGGAATGATGTTACGACCATCTGACGACTCTTCTTGGTGCGAATTCATGGGTTACGGTTCTTCAGCGGATTTCGGTTTACGGATGGATATGGGCTATCCAATAGCAGCGGATTTGATCACGGCCTTTACTACAACGACAAATTGGACTTTCTTGGGTGAGGAGAGAATGTTATGAAAATAGATAGGCTTGTAAAAACAAACAGGCCGTAGCTCAAGCTATGCATCAAATACAAGAAACCTTGAGGGTATCTGCGATGCAAACCCTCCCCTCCTCAACTATATCCCAATATCATCGCTTGTAGTCCTATGTGCCTCTAATGCCGTATGTAGATTGCATTCCTGCACACTTACTCCCATATGTCTCAATGGCAAGCCCCATCCTTCGTGGCACTGGTATTATTCCCAAACAGCAAGTATCCCACAAATGCCCCAACCCCAACCGCAAGCATAACCCACCCATTATACGTCATGAACAGCAACCTATCCATCCACATCAGCTCGATTCCACTCCTTGGGCAAGGGAAGTACTCACATCAGCATAAAAGCATAGAAATTCTGCACGGCATACAGCGCCGCCTTCACGACATGCGCCCGCTTGCTCACTTCAACTTGATTGCGTCCTGACCACAAAAACGGCGTTGACTCAGTAACGACTTCCCAGCACATCGCTTCTCAGCTTCGTTCCATTGTGCGGGTAACAGAATGAGACCGAGGACAAGGGGAAAGGAGGGAGGCACTTACGAGGCACCTCGTCGGTTCTCTTCTCAACCCAGCGTTCGTAGCGGCGGCTCGATGCACGCAGCGCTTCGTACAGAGCTGTTAGGGCTACGACGGCGAGGAGGGAGAAGATCAGTCCCGGGGTCGTTTGGACGTGCCACCAGTGGAAGATGATGCAGAGGTTTTGGGTGTTCCAGGTGAAGAGCATCTAGGTTCGCAGATTAGCTTCTTCTTCTTCCTCTCACCCCATCTCCAGATCTGGCTGATTGGTTGATGGATTGGAGGAGGAGACGTACGTTCATGCTGCACATATCAGTAGCGGGCATATCGTGTCCCATGGCGCTGTGATCCATGTGTGAGTGGTCCATCGTGGCTGCAGATTGATTATCGAGATCAGAGCTTGAGATTCCGTGGATTCTTGAAGGTTAATGAGAGTTGTGCAGTAGACTGGTAATTTGAACTTAAATATGGAGGAAGTAAAGTTACCCTCGAGTCGAGTCGTGGTCTTGGAGCTTTGTCGTCTAATAATGTGCTCTAAAACACTCATCTGTAACGTGGAGTCGAAATAAGCGGAGCGGGCCGCGGCTTCGGATTGGTTGGGGGTTGTTGACGGGTGATCAGAGCGAGTTGCTAGATTGGGGAGTTGTTTGATTGGCTGATTTGTGTGAGAAAGTTTCTCAGAGAAGGTTTCTTTTGTGAATAAGATTACTGAGTCGTGGATGTTTGTTCTCGGTGAGTTCATTGCTTGAATTTGGTGTGTATATTGTGTTCTTGGTGGTTTATTGTTTCGTGGTATTATCAATCCTCGGATTGGTCTTTCTTATCCCGAAGGACACTGCAGATATATTCATAATGCATTTCCAGTCTAAGTTGACTTTATTCTTGAGATTCTAGTTTTCTATTTCTATCTTTCGTTCCGCGTTTTAATGTACCTGCGCTGTCCTTCAACGCCGAAGCGCGTTCTTGCTTATGCCGATGACTTACTTATCCACAGTCGGAATAAGCTTCTTGCCATCAAAGACCGTGTACTCCAAGGCATCCAAGTCGAGATCCTTGAAAGTCCGCACCTGTTCAAAGTCAGTCCAATGATTCAAAATTTGAACATCTACCAAGACAGGAAGTCAAGGGTAGAGTTAGTACATACATTGATCCCGAAAGTATGTTTTGCTGGATCTAGTTCTCCTTGCTCGGCACGTAGAAAGTCGATTCCGATACTGGTGCCACAGGTTTTGCAAAACATGTGAGCCTTCGTCTTCGTGTTGAACTTGTATGAAGCCATATTTTCATATCCTTTGCGTATGTTAGCTTTCAGAGTTTTGGAAGAAGCTCGAGTATTCTTGATCAAGACAAAAGTGGAAACTTACCTTGAATGAAGACTACATCTCGATGACAGGGATATACTAGGAGATAACCCGTCGAAACGCAGATAGAGCAAGAGCACTTGTTGACTGGGTATTTGGGAAATGGCCATTTGAGTGTTACGTTGAACTGAACTGCTCCACAGTGGCACGATGCAGCGTGAGTTGTGCGTTCGTCTTCAGATGTCTGCTCTACCCCGCCAAAGATGATGGAGGGGTCGAGGGGTCTTGCGTTGTTGGGAGTAGCCATGATGTAAAAGGTAGGAGTTGAAGATTAGTTTAAGGAAGAGGAAGAAACTTTTGGGAAACTTCTGTAGTGAATTGGAGATGTACAAGCTGGAATGTGAAGACTGAAACACCCACTGTTGAGACTCTCAGTAGATATATAGTCAATTGTGGGTAGGAAGTGGGGCGTAAGGGCACGATTTCACTTGACAGCTTTGTATTTGAGATTCTTCCTAGTGGCATAGTGACTCGGCCATATAGTAAGATATCTGGTGCTTGCAATGAAGAGACCAATCAACGCTTCCTGTTCGTACCCTCGCACAACTTGAAAGTCGGCCGGTAGCTGAAAGATATCCTAACTAGGTGTTTGATAAAATCATAAACCCATTGAAAGCTATAAGGCTGAGAAGATGGTGGTAGTCATGATCAATAAGGTTCTTAGCTGACGGGTGACGGATTTACCGTGGCATCTGTTTCCCTCGCAGAAGGTCGAAGAGGATGTCCAATGACAGGATGATGGCCAAACATTTAAAGCACAAGCTCGGACTTAAGAATGAGGTACTAAGATAAGCACATTCTTATCTAAACGCATTGATCTGCAAGGGAGAGGATACGCGTTCTATTCTCTCTTCCTTAGCATTCCGACTGGAAACATTTGAAAGGGGCTGAGATGATTCATGCTCATTTCGACTCATCTGACATCAAGAATTCAATGGCAATCCAAGAGAGAAATTCTGTCGGGAGCGATCGGAATCCCACGTCACGAGGAGCGCAGACAAGGCTGAAGACGGACTAAAAACTTCTTAGTGCATCAAACAACAAAATATTTCCGGGCTCTGGACGAATCCCGGGACTCGTATCGCAAAGACTCGAAACCTGAATAGTCGCCGAGCATTACGAAATTTCTCTGGAGATCATAGTCCACGAGTCTTGAGTGAGAAGAAGTTACGGGATTTAGGGATCCCCAATTTTTTCCACTGCACGCGGCTTACTGTGTGACGCCCTCAGCCTTGATAACCTCCGCTCATCTTCCTTCCTTTATAAGAGTCATTGACCCTTACTCTCTCTCTCAGGCACTCATACACTTCTCATCAAAGGAAATTGTTTCCAATCATAACATATCTCCGATCTCATTATTGTTTCTCATACATTTTGGTAACTACTGATCATCCTCAATGTATGTCACTAGGGTATCGACGAAGGTCCCCCTCTCGAAACAAACAGCTGTCCAGCTGTCGAAGGCTGTAACCAGCTTATACCAATCTCATGGACTCTGCACAAGTACGCCTGGTCTTCACTTAACAGGTCTGCGAGCTCAGCCATCACGTTCTCGCCAGTTTAGCTGGACGTCCAGAAGTCGTCTGCGAGATTACTTTCCAGAACCTGACCATGACCAAATCATCAAAACAGACCCGGCATGGCCACATCCGCCGTAAGTTTTTGTCCAATGACTGCAATTGATACATATACTGACTTATTCGCAAGAGCCAACGCCGAGCAGATGACCAAGATCTCATACGCCCACCGAGAACCCAAGGACTTCTCCGATCGAGTAGCACTATTCATGGTACGCATGCTGCGATGGGGAATGGACACAGCAACACGATACAAGCACGACGTCGAATCGCCCAAGAAGCCGGGCGACGAAAATGCCCTGGTCGGGACGAAGCCCTACGCAATGAGCGAACGCAAATGGCTCGTCCGAATGGTATTCCTAGAAAGTGTTGCTGGCGTCCCAGGAATGGTTGCCGGCATGCTTCGCCACCTACACTCGCTCCGCCGCATGAAGCGCGACAATGGCTGGATCGAGACGCTGCTTGAGGAAGCATATAACGAGCGAATGCACCTTCTTACATTTTTGAAGATGGCGGAACCGGGTTGGTTCATGCGCTTCATGATCTTGGGCGCTCAAGGTGTCTTCTTTAATAGCATGTTCCTATCCTACCTCGTCTCACCTCGAACCTGTCATCGCTTCGTAGGATATCTGGAGGAGGAAGCTGTTCTTACCTACACGCTTGCGATCCAGGATATCGAGGCAGGCAAACTTCCTAAGTGGTCGGATCCGAACTTCAGAGTCCCGGATCTGGCGGTGAATTACTGGAAGATGCCAGAAGGAAGCAGGACGATGAGAGATCTGCTTCTGTATATCAGAGCGGATGAGGCGAAGCATAGAGAGGTCAACCATACGCTCAGCAACTTGAAGCAAAAGGAGGACCCGAATCCTTTCGTCTCGGAATATAAGGATACAAGTAGGCCTCACCCTACGAAGGGTATCGAGAATATTCGTCCGACGGGATGGGAACGAGATGAGGTTATTTGAGTAGCGGTTTTGGTGCATGTGGGGGAGTTTAGAACGGGATTTCACAACTCAGAGGCATTGATTTTGAGCAAGAAGAAGCTCACTAATAACGACGACGATACGACAATTCCACTCATTACAATTGTACATAGCGTTCTGGGACGGCGTTTTCTGGCAACGGCGTTCCGGTAGACAGATCTCCATTCTTCAAAAGACTTGGGCGGCGTACTTGTTTAGATAGCTCGGTTTCTGGCCTTGAGCTTTGCTTTTTTCTTGTTGCTTTAGAATGCTTTAGAATGCATACTTAGAATAGAAGAAAGAGCTTAAGACGTCTATAAGATCAGGTAAATGTGCTTCACTGCTTCAGGTGGAGGCATTTTACTGCCTTTGATTTTTCGTTGCGTGTCTACGACATAATTTCATCCCAACCATGCACCTAATATATCAACCTGAAATACTTCGGGGAAAAGCTCTTTGTTAATCTGAGGTTTTGCGTTGTATTTCGTTGCATGTCTACGGCATAATTTCATCCAAACTACCGTACCTAAATAACTTCAGGTGAAAATGCTTTCCTAATCTAATTTCTTTCGTTGCATGTCTACGACCCTTTTTCACCTGAAGTATTTCCTGAAATACTTCAGGTGAAAGTGCGTTGTGAATCTAATATCCTTCGTTATGTTTCGTTGCATGTCTACAAAATACTACAGACGAAAGTGCTTTACTAACTTTCTTTGAGCAGATGTAACCCGGTCTCGCTTTCAATGAATGTCGTGCTCTTTTGCTGGTGTCTTTCATCCACGCCACTAGTCAGACTTCACAATTAGTGTACATTACGATGCAGAGTGTCCACCATCCATGCACATCGTAAACAAGAAGTGTATCACGGGAGACAGCTTGAGTCAAGATGTAATACATAGCAATCCATGCAATTTATCTATCTACTCCTAACATAATATATATGGTATCTCGACACCTATACTTTTCCAACACAAACAAAAAAACCTTCACATACATGCTCTACCCTGGATATATACAACAACCAAAGAAACCACACATCTCCATTAACGACCACCAACCTGGCCCTTAGGAATAGGATGGATCCACGAAACACAGATATTGATCCCAATAGTCATAACCCCAATGATCCAAAACGTCTTCCCGTAATCCGTTCCCAGGTACCGGAAGATAATCGCAAACACGATTCCGCCAAAGTTACCACACGCACCCGTAACACCGGAGATGATGCCGTTCGCAAAGGGATGGACGTGCGGTACCAAAGAGAAATTAGCCCCGTTGCCGGCCTCGAGGAAGAGGGCCATGCCGGCTACGAGGCCGAACATCGTGGAGTGCGAGTGTGAGTTCAAGACACCGATGGCGATTTGGAAGGCACCGCAGACGATAGCCAAAGAGTGCAGCAATATTTTCTTGCTCCATACGCTGCCCGTTTTTCTGTACAGGAAATCGGAGGTCAGACCGCCGAGGGGGCGGAACACAATGTTCAAGAGCCCGAACATGGCGGCCCAGCGCCCGGTACCGGTCTGTCCGAGCTTGGGGAAGTTCTTGAGGTAGTAAGTCCCGAGCACGGAGTTGATAGCCAGCTCAGCGCCGAAGGAGCAGAAGTAGCAGAATGCAACGGTGGCGGTCTGAGGCGTGAAGATGACGGACATGGCTTCCTTGAACGAGGGCTTGACGACGACCTCGCCGCGGGCCGTGTCGATCATCTCCTTCTCGCCCATGGGCGCTTCGTGGTCGAAGGAGCCGTGCTTGGCTCGCGAGACGCCGGCTTCTTCGTCCAGGCGCTTCTCGTCGGATGGAGGGGTGGATGTGCCGTCCGCCTTGCGGTCGGTGATGGCGCCGGGGACGTTGACGAGGCCGCCGGATGCGTGGACACCGTGCGATTGGAGGTTTTGCTGGACGGCCATTTGGCGCTCTGACCACTTGCCGGTAGGTGTGTCCTGGCATAGAAGGAAGAGGCAGATGGCAGTGAAGGTAATAAGGATGAAAGGTACGACGAAAGCTACTCTCCAAGCAACGTGGGCGGATAGATGCTGGCGTGAGACCAGGGAGTCGAAGATGGCGGGCATGACGAAGTATGTGATGCCACCACCTGAGTTTCCCCATCCGCCGGTGAGGGAGTTGGCTGTTCCAACGACGTTCTTGTCGAAGAAGCCGGTGGACCAGACTTGGCAAGGGACGAAAGAGCCTCCGAGGATACCAATGAAGAATCGGATAACATATAGACCGGCAGCATTGTGGATTGTTCCGATGAGCACTGATGGAATGGCACCGAGGATGAGGCAGGCAGCGAAGGTTACTCTTGGTCCGAAGCGATCACATGCTGGGCCAGCGATCAATCTGACGATGAGACTGCAAGTAGTTGTCAGTTTTCTGCAAATCTGGTTTGTACGGGTTGTTGTTACTCACGTTGCAGTCAATGCAATGATGTTCGAGTTGGCGACTTCGTTTTGGCTGAGCTTGAGATCCTTCTTCATGGTAATTGGCAATAGAGGTGGCACGGCATACCATGACCAGAAAGCGATCACTGTGGAAATCAGTGTTAGTGTTATGTTATTTTGTTAAAATATAAGAAGAATATTAGATGAACTTACTGAAGCCGAACCAAGAGAAGAAGAATACTCTTCCATACTTGTTGAATGGGTTAAGAACAGGAATCGATCGAGCTTTGCCATTGACCGGATTGATCTCCGGCGCCTGCCAAAGTGTCTGAACCTTGAACCCCATGACTTCGACAAGTTGTTTCGTTTCTCTGCAGTAGGTTTCTGTGGGAAATGTCTAGCCGAGTATCTCGATGGCTAAAGTCTTTGATGAAGGCGTTGATGCTTGAAAGCTGTGTCTGGGATATCGAATTCTCGTACGTCGGTAGCGACTGTTCTTATAAAATCAGAGATTAGCGACGTCAACCCGCAGTTGAGACATCTCCGGAGTGCTCACACTCACAGAAATACAGCCAGCTAAGTCAATGGTGTAAATCCGCGGCCTGTTCCCTGCGGAGATCTACAATATCAACCAGTAGTGGGCCCAGATCAATCTCAGACCCGAGAACGATGCGTGGCGGGTGCGCCAAGCCGTGTTGAGAGATATGGGGAAGCCAGAATTGAGCCACCCTTTGATAAGAAGCTTGGGTCGACGCAGCCCTAGATCTTTGATATCCAAGGAGATCTGGTATCAAGAACAATGATCTCCGCGTAAATCGTTCTGGAGATCTTGAAATGAACCAGCTGAGCTGATGAAGTCTCACTTCTTTGAGTCGACGCTTTCTTCCCGCTGTGAGACTATTCGAGTTCTGCACTTAATAGCGTGGACTTTGCAGGTCAGAGTATTTGTGATACACACGGTAATCCGTCGACTTAGGACAAAGGTAGAGTTTTGAGAGAAACTTTTCCGTCCGGGAAGGTTTGAAAAAGCTTAAGGGGACTTCAAGTGGAAAAAGCAAAAGTTGAAGGATTTGCCAGGATATGGATGTTCTTTAGAAGCAAATCCCAGTGCGCAGGTACGGTATTCTTGAGGCTGAGTAGGCATTCAATATGAGACCACTCTTGCGGAAATGGTCGTACAGACTTAGGAATCATGGACGGGACACACTACGTCGTCTTATCAGCAATGATGAAGGAAATTCTGTGAGTAAAGGATCGCGAGCTTGAAGGGCCAATCAACATCCACAGCTATCAGCACAACATCATTCTGGCGATGTTGCTTGGCTTCTGCTTGCGAGCCATTAATTCATAGTGTGTGTTGCAGTGTCGCTTTCGTTCCCTTCTGTTGGGTGCGCTGGTTCACGCCCGTCGTCAGTTCAAGGTTGATGAGAGGCCAATAGACCCCTTATCTTTGCGCTAAACTCGAAACAGACTACCAACCTCATTTCCGACCCACTCCAAGATAAGAAAGCAAAAATCGCATGAATTACAAAAACTTCATAAAGACGCTCGATCTCCGCGGCCTATGCTCTACTTTCGAGTTTTGGTTGATCAGAAGCCATGTTACCATCAAGTACTGGAAAAGTCGAAAATCGGCTGGATTCTGACGTTTCTGTCAACTCAACACCACAAGAGCGAAAGTCGAGAATCTTGTCGACCTGTCGATATCTGCAGCTCAGCTCGACTATCGAAATGCCAGACACTGCACATCACAGATCTCCTTGATGCTTCCAGGGACAGCTTGAGAGTGTTGGACCTGAATTCAACAGCCCCCACGCAATCTTATCAGCACAGTTGACCAATCACAACAAGGTAATATCTCTCTCTGTGTCCTGTTCTCGTCAAACTCTCGGTCCGCAATTTGGAATCTCCGTAGCGTGGTTAGTTCCCGGAGCGAGGTGAACTGCATGTCTCGGGAAGTGTGAACAGTTGTGAGTCGAAGTGAAGTATCAGAACCCAACTTCGATGCCTATTCAATTCGGCATGAGCCGGGCCAATGGTTCGGGGCCATTAACGCCGATGAAAGAGCGAACAGCAGTGCTTGAGTAGTCGAACGAATTCTGGGCTTGGCCTTTGAGCTCCATCACTTGCTTGAGTGCTCACGCAAGAAGACTGCATTTGAGTTTGTTGTGAATTTCTCGAGAAAGAGCGATCAACGGGCCAGACAACGATCTTGTTAGGATTGCTGGCTGATGCAAGACTCCGAATCAGTCCTCTTGTGGCGACGGGAATTGTGACGAGTTCTAGGCAACCTTTCTCTGTTCGTGCTCCATATTCTCTTCGGTCAGCATTTGTGCATTTGTTGGTGGTGTTTGTGATACCGGGTTCATAGAATGAACTACCCGTTTTCATTCGTTGTCTCTGTCGAGCAACGGCGCAAATCTACGCTGTCGAAATTGATTCGAGAAATAGTACATGAAATTATCCATACTATTTCTTACTTCAGTAAGAAGGCTTTCTTGAATCCATATATCTCAGGTCAACATCTCAATAACGCTGTCAACTTGGGATTTATATTACCTTCACCTGGACTCTGCAAATTTGCGACAAGCACGCGGTGAAAATACTCTTGGTAATGCTATCAAAATGCATGAACGGTAAGGAAAATATACAATACGATCGTGAACGAGATTTGCTCAGAAATGAAAATACACAAGAGCGTGCCTGAATGCAGGCTTGCACATATGGCTTGCAGCATGGCGGGGGAAACTGCGGGGTCAATTGCAAAGGAGGAAGGATTTCGAACATAAGAAGTAGAAATCGCAATATAGAAAGAACAATAAGCGCATTTAAACACAACCGCTCAGCTCAAGACAATATTTTTGTATCTCGAATCATTCCAGACAGCAATAAGTTGTGTCTCGAGGACTTTCGGCCCGGTCGAAGGCATTCGTACTAGTGGGTCGGGTCATGTGACTAGGACACGCGCTAGGAACGACCATTCACGCCTGACGCGACGGTGACTTTGTCAATACGACAATCAACAAGGCAAATCGGACGGCAATGCGCTTTCAACTACCATAACGAGTCCAGATTGATATCAATGGGTCTGTCCAGACATGTTCGCAGTATAAGATCCTCATGACTCGACATAATCTCGACAGTCACATTTCTTGGTTGTTATCTCACGAAGTCACTTTTCCGGCGACCGTGTATGCGACGAACTCAGCAGCACCAACTGCGGCAGACATTGTGGAGGAAGAATTCTGGGGAGAGGAAATAATACCAGGCCCGCCGAGGACTGCAGCAGTTCCAGCTCGCCAGCATAGAGTCCTGACGAATGTTGCTCAAGAGTTTATACGACCTCCACTTCCTTCCGCAAAACCACCATTGCCAGAGATAACGAGAACGACTGGGGACAGTTCAATGGGTAACTTATCATCAGCGTCCAGGTCAAACAGGCCTGGACTATTGACGCAACACCAGCTGGCCACTCCAGCTTCGACATCCGGCACTACTTCATCTGCAGGATCGCATTCACGGGGCAGCGGCTTGACAAGGAACTATGCTGCCCAATTGTCGGAGGAAAAAGGAGGTGAGTTCGAAATGGCAATTATCTTAGATATATACCTGACTCATCTAGATACTCCTTCTGCACGAAAAACAGTCGATCGGCGACCGGCTAGATTTCCTCGAGCTTTCGAACCCCCACAGACTCCAGGACTAACTCCCCGATCTACGGTAGGAGCGAAAACGATCGATTCCGTGGATTTGACTGGAGATGATCGTTTCGCAGATCTTGATCTACGGTCAAGCAGTTCGGACGCCACATTTGGACCACCGGTTGTTTTATGGAGGGAAGATTCTGCTTCAAGAGCGGAGCCTCCTGTCTTAGAACCCGAAGTCAGAACGTCAAAGAAGAGGAAGAGTGGAGATATATCACCTGAACGCTCGAGGAGAGTCGTCAAACTTAGCATCGACCGAATCAAAACCTCTCAGTCTCAGCCAGAAAATCTGGATGGTTTCGTGGACATCGACGATGTTCCCAAGCGTTCGGCTACCAAGACACCTTCCGCTCAGACCCAGCGCTCGAAAGCCGTGCAACCTTGTGTTGAGCTTAACTTTGGTATGGATGCTTTAGATGCGTACCAAATCACAGAGACCATCAGCACTGTTCAATCCCGGACAAGAAAGAGTATAAGCCGAGTTTCATCGTTCACGAGTGGAACCCCTTCACGATCAACACATATTCAAGAACAATCAGCTCGCAGAAGCACCGAGTCGACCGGGACGATTGAGCCTTGCAAGACTACGGTCCAGGTCGCAGCTTCTCCTGCCCCAAAATTGAGCAATTCGCAGAGTAACAAAGTCAACCCCACACCTCAAAAGTCTCGAAAGCGGCATGTACAGAGGACTATTCAGGACTCGGAGGATGACGAAAACTTTTCAGACGTTGAGAAGCAGGCGAGCTGCTCCCCGCGTACCCCTGTCAAAGCTACTCCTCGAGTTGTCAAAGCATCAATTAGCCCATCACAGTGTGATCTTTCCATGTTCAGTCCAGCCAATAGAAAGGCTATTGATTTCACTGATTCGAAACCAAGAGTCGGTAGCCCTCTCCGGCCCATCTCGCGAAACATTACTGTTGGCAGGAATCAGCTCCATTCTCCAGCTCGAAGAGACGTTCAAACAAAATCGTCCACTTCTTCTGATGATGCTGAATCAAAGTCAGATCGCCAAGGGAATGGCCAGACTCCAACTCCTTCTCTCGGATTAGACGACAAGAAACTAGTTACCACCTTTGTAAAAGATCTATCCACCATTAGTCTGTATCACGAGCGTGTTAAAAATTTAATTGTCCGAAATTCCATTGCTGTCATGGCATACCACGACGAAGGAGCGCCGGCCCCCACCAACCTCAAGGAAGCACGGAAAGCATTGCTCGACAAGGACAAGGCATACAACGCGGCCATTGACTGTGGGAAGCGATATCAAAGTTTGATGAATGATAAGAAGTTGCTTGCTCGGCAGATCTGGGAGCTTCTTGAAACCAATACCGATACCAGTGACCTCGAGGGTCAGCAGTCAGTACTCACTCTGAATGCCAGGAATCTTGAAAATGAGATAGTTCGGCTTCTGTATGATTCGGGCGCTGTGCAAGACGGATTTGGGACCGGTTCGGACGATAACAAAGCTCTTCCTTCAACGGAACCATCCAAGATCCCCGAAGCTTCAATTCTATTACCTTTCGGCTCCAGTTCGACAGGAAGTGCCCAGGTGATCATGCAAACTCAATTGCCGTCATTACAATCGAGAATAGCCGCGAGCCATGATGATCGAGATCTCGAAGTCTCACTCTCTAGATCATCTTCAGCGAATCGAGGTCTCACCAACGTTGTAGATACTTCACGGGACCATTCGCCACCGCGTCCAGAATTTCGAAATCGAAACTCTATCGTTGGCGAACCTGATGTATACCCTCGGACAATGCAAATTAACGTAACGAAATCATCAAACCAGCCAATTTTCCATCGCGACCCTTCACCTGCTGAATATGATTTTGACGGAAATGACTTTGACGAGTTGCTTCAAGATGAGGAAGACCTTCAGATTGCTGCCGAATCCCAGAACGAAATTGCGGAGATCATCGAAGATGACTTTGGAGATAGTGAGGATGATGTCGAGTTACTCGAAGCAGCCCAAGACTTTGAGAATCGCCAGTCTCTCGCAGAACCTGTGACACGTTCTCGAAGTTCCCCTAGCAAGGAATGGGCTTGGAATGAGCGTAACGACTGCTGGAATCTGCGGCAAATCAGCGAAAATGACATGTACACCAATGTGGATGTGGACGGGTCTCTCTTCGGATATGCCTGGTCCACCGATGTCAAAATTGTCCTGCGAGACCGCTTCGACCTCACAGGTTTTCGAAAACATCAGCTGGAAGCCATCAATGCTACCCTTGCCGGCAAAGATGTTTTTGTTCTCATGCCAACTGGTGGTGGGAAGTCTCTTTGTTACCAACTACCTGCAATTGTTCAATCTGGCAAGACTAAAGGTGTCACGATTGTCATTTCACCATTGCTCAGTCTCATGGAAGACCAAGTACAGCACCTACGCGAACTCAACCTGCGCGCTGGTCGAATTAGTGGTGATGTGTCCCCAGACGAGCGTGCACGCATAATGAGAAATCTAGACGAAGAGCACCCTGAGCACTTCATACAATTGTTATACGTCTCTCCAGAGATGTTAAACAATAACCAGACTCTCTCGAAGGCTCTGACCAAGCTTTATCGAAACAAGAAACTAGCTCGGATCGTCATCGACGAGGCCCACTGCGTGAGTTCGTGGGGTCACGACTTCCGCCCAGATTACAAGCAGCTAGTACAATTGCGAGTTCGCTACCCAGGTGTTCCATTCATCGCCCTGACAGCAACAGCAACCCCCCATGTGCAGATTGATCTCAAGCATAATCTGGGGTTGCCGGATGATTGCCTTACCTATAAGCAGAGCTTCAACAGACCCAATATCTCATATGAGGTACGCGATAAGTCCAAGAAAACATCGGTTGAGGAGATAGCGGAGATGATCACTACCACGTTCAAGGGCCAGAGCGGCATCATTTACGAATTGTCCCGGGCTAATTGCGAGAAGCTGGCCGAAGAGCTACGTAAGCACAGGATCAAAGCCCAACACTACCACGCCACCATGGATGCCCAAGCAAAAATCAAGGTCCAAAATGACTGGCAGTCTGGCAAAGTGCAGGTTGTTGTTGCTACCATTGCATTCGGCATGGGTATCGACAAGAAAGACGTTCGCTTTGTCATCCATTACACCATTCCCAAAAGTCTTGAAGGCTATTACCAGGAAACTGGACGTGCTGGTCGAGATGGCAAGAAATCCAAGTGCTATCTCTACTATTCATATCACGATGCTTCAGTGCTTAAGCAGATGATCAATCCCAAGGATCCTAAGAAAAGGGATAAAAACATCCAGCCCGAACAAATAGACAGGCTACTGAAAATGGTTCAGCAGATGGTTCAATTCTGTCAGAACAAATCGGATTGTCGGAGGCAGCAGGTTCTATCATATTTTGGTGAACCATTTGCTAGGGAGGCATGTAGACGCACTTGTGACAACTGCTCGGATCCAATGCCCCACCATCCAGTGGACATGACCAAATATGCAGTTGCGGCGACCAATCTTGTTAAGAGGGTAGCTGAAGATGATGTGACGATGACTCATTGCCGGTCTGTCTTTCGTGGTTCCTCTGTCAAGAAGGTCAAGGACCTTGGACACGACCAGCTTGAGGAGTTCGGATCCGGGAAAGAGCTTTCTACTGATGATGCAGACCGTCTGTTTTTGAAATTGACAAATGAGGACATCATAATGGAGGACCACCACTTGAACAGGGCCGGGTTTCCTGTCTCATATATGAAGGTATGGAATTCCCTCATATCTCCTTGGCACATAATAACGCTCCTAGCTTGGTAAAAAATGCCGTAAACTTCTTACTGGAAAGGAGAAATTTTTCCTAGACATGCCAACTAGTGGCAAATCAGTGGCTACACATCAGCAGAGATCCAAACCGCAGCCGAAATCCAGGAACGACGTGCAATATCCATCTACTGCTCTCACATCGCCGTTGGCCCCTTCTCCTCGAGCAAATCGATCTACTAAACTACGCGGTACTGTCAAAACCGGGACCGAGCGAGAGAAATTCATTGCTACCGACAGCGAAGACGAAGAGGACGCCTTCGAACCGGTAGCCGCCAGCAAAAGACGTACTCCTGCAGCGCGGCTTGGACCTCCTATCACTTCGGATGATCAGTTGGCTTCCTTACCAGATCGGCATCGTCAACTCATTCATCAATTCGTTGAGGAGGCAAAAGTTGAGGAAGAGAAAATGCGGAACCGGGCCGTGGGCAGACAGCCCATATTCACAGAGGCTAACTTGCGGAATATGGTTATCAGGTGGACCTTGACCTTGGACGATATGCGCAAGATACCTGACATCAATGTCGACAGAGTCAACACTTACGGGAAGAAGCTGCTACCTATAGTGACAAATCACTGGGCCATGTACCAAGCCATGGGGGATGACGATGAAGATCGCGACATTGACCCCAATCATCAAAATATCATTGATCTGATCACGGATGATGAAGAGAGCGAGGAGGAGGAGGACTTCGAGCTTGAGCCAGGGCTCGAAGAGGCAATTCTAGCCGCCGAGAAGTCTCCCTTCTTCACCGCGTCGGCTACCGGTAATCGAAATTCAACGGGGAAGCCTCGAGGTGGCCGGGGCGGGACCAGAGGCTTCAAGCGAGGCAAAACGAAGAACTACGTGGCGAGGAAGAGCACTGGATCAACCTCAGGTCAAAGTAACGCTGGAGTTAGGAAGAGGAACACATCTGGCGCCTCCAAACGATCGCGCGGGAGCAACCGCAGAGGTTCGAGTATAGTGAGATCATTCAGTAATCAGGGAGGATCAAGTCGAGGAGGTGGTGGTGGCATTGGCATGATGCCCACATAAATCGGCGGTCACATCATTACACTTCTTTTATAGAGCATTGCAGGATGCGTGTAGAGTATCAGGGGCATAGCAGCATCTTGGGGTTTTCGGCAGAAAAAAGGTTTTTATTTTGATGAATGTTAATGATGGCGTCATTGATACCAGTGTTGTTGCTCTTCTTGGGTGGCTCATATGATGTAGTTTGTTCCCAATGAGAGTTTTGAGTTGCAGTGAAATTTGGATTTTCGTGATTGATGAGTGATAGCGTGATAACTTCCTAGGCGGCCTGCACTACGAAAGGAGAGCCCGCATGGCTGTAAATGAAATCTCAACACCAATACCCAAAAAGATTTAGTAGTACTAGTAGCCAAGGATCTAGTGGCCGAAATCACAAGTCAAGGGCGTTCATGCTAGACAATGACGATGAAGAGGATAACCGCCATCTGGGCTGCTTCGGCATCAGTCAGAGCTGGGTTCGTGTCTGTCTTCAAGAGGCTGCTCGTACGATCTGCCTCAAGACTTAGTAAAATGATGGGATTGCCTACTTTACTCGATGGCAGGGCATAATGCTGAGGAGAGTGCTGTGGAGGGAAGATGAGAGAGAATTAAAAAAGTGGGGAGAGGAATAGGGCTCATGTGTCGCATTTTGCGCCTATCGCGCGGACAGCGCAAATCTCGCAGGTATCAGAAATTGAAAATATATGTCATGACTCTATTCTGTGCAATAGCAACAAAGCCTGGGACACTTCACTTCAGGTCGCTCATACTTTATTTGCTTTTCTGCGAGGGATATTTGTAGAGCTCCCTACTCATCCCATTATTCTAGCCTTCTTTGAATTGCCAGACAAAAGTGCATAAGTTACCTTTGTGCTAACGTTCAACTATACTAGACATTAAATTTTAACACTCCAAGTAGATGTACACTTTGGTAGTCTTAATTGAGCCTTTTTACACCATGCGATAAGCAACAAAGAGTTCTCAAAAGGTGATGGGCTCAAAGGTGCAGTACTCAACTTGCGCTTTTCTACTTGGTTATAGTTTGCAAATAAAGGGTACCCTCATCTGTAAGAGCTGAGGCCACCGCGCGCGGCCCACTTAAGCGAGACGCGTACGCGCTTTAATTTACCTCCCCCTTTTTTAAAACTTTAATAACTCAACAACCACTTATCCAATTCACTTGTAATTGAAGATAGAAACACTTGTGATACTTAGCTCACTCCTCCAAAAAGATGAAAGAAAATAGCCCACCCCTGCACGCGCTATTATCCGCAACTTGTAGAGGCAAGGTAAATCTTAAAGGGAAATCGTCCAAGAGACTTAGGTGCCTAAGAGGATTGTACGCCGTATTCTTAAACAGGAATATAGCCGCAAAAAACGCAAAAAAAAGTTTTCGAAACCTCACTTAATATCTATCAGAACGATACGCTAATGTATTTGCATTATATTAAAAAACTAGTCCTTTCGCAGGATGAACTTTTCGAGCCTCAAGACCCTACTACGGCTCACTCCCTTTATTCGAACTATACGCCAAAAACTAGCCTGCGTAGGCTACCATCGCTGCATTGCATACCCTCGACCTTATATATCAAGAGTACAAGCTAAAAAGAGGTTGCGCTTTGTGCGGGATTATAGATGGTGGGGCATATTAGATTATGTAGTATATAGGGATGATGGCAGGCAAGGGGGTGATTGGAGGAGGGTTGTTTGGTCTGATGAAGTTATATCCGAGACTGGGAAGAATGGTAGGATTTGGGTGATTAGGAGGGTAAATGAGAGGAGGTGCTTTGATTGCATTTAGTCAATTTATAGGTTAAGAAAAACCACGGTCATGATTTAGGGGGTATTGGGCTAAGACTATAAATTACCATTAGTTTTTATAGAAAAGCTTCCAAAACGCAAGGGTAAATGCTCTAAAGCGTACCTTTAGCAGGTTTTTAAACTTATAATCTTTCCTCTATTTGATACTCTAGGGCTAGAATATATCTTCATGGAAGATGACGCAAAAGTGTATAAAAAGAATGCCCGGTTACCAAGACTTTAGTATGGAATCCGCGGGTTTAACTAGCCTCTTTCTTCACTCAATTTAAATCTTATTAAGAAAGTCTGGCGATAGATGAAAGAAGAATTGAAGAAATTACCTTATGTGCTAAAAAGTAAGGAGGATTTAAAAAGGGAGCTGCAAAAGCTATGGGATCGAGTAGATCCACGTGATTTCAGGCTGTACACAGAGCGTTTAACTTGCAAAATTGAAGATATAATTACTATGCGAGGTTTAGCTATTATTCATTGATCTACAATCATAATATTAGAGAATGCCATAAAAAGTTGCAATTATAATAATAGATATAAAACTAGGTGAGATCTTGAGGTTCTCGCTGAAGTGGGCCGCGCGCGGTGGCCTCAGCTCTTACTATACAGTTTGTACTGTACAATAAGCTCTATCTCCTGACTTCTAACAATCAAGTATGCCCCTAACCATGTCCGCCCCGTCCTCGCTGTCAGAGATCTTTACAACCATCAGAGCGACATCTCATCTTCATCTGAGAGTACTTCAGCCAAGCTCCTGGCTCTTCCCGAGATATTCCTAGCTAAGGCTGTGCGCTGTGGCATATTATCAGCTCGATTAAAATTGAAATGCTGTAGTTCGGATGAACTCACAGTAGGATCAGGGACATGACACAAATCCTTAACCCGATCAAGAAGTCGGTCCTCAATCTTGCTTCCAAGCATAAAAGCCACCATGTCACACAACATCTCGCGTGGAAACGAATCTTTAAACCTGTTAAAGCACGAACTGCGCGTGTAGGCAATTTCAAGAAGTACAGTTAGCTTTCGCAATGGACTGTCCGACGTGGTGTTGGCGTATACATAGTTTAATATCGAGGCGCACAGTGGGTGGATGAGAGATTCTTAACTTGATGCCTACCATGAGTGTGGAGAAACATACGGGCCGCCCCGTACTATTATTCCGACCCAGATAAACTCACGAGCTTCCATATACTGAAGGTATCCTGCAGCCGAGTATAGCGTCTGAAAAGGTGTGTGGTTTCAAAGGTATGCTGGCCAATTAGCCGAAAGCGTGGACGTTTTCCGTCGGAAACCCTTTATCACTCAACGGCAAAGTCTGGCTGTTTATTTCCGACCGCAAATTGGCAAACAAGGTCACCAATTTTCAGCCATAGTTTTAATCTAGGCTGTGGAGGGGAGAAGAGGAATCGAAGCGGATCAGCATGAAGGGTGCATTGAATAGGAAGAAGAGAGGAACGGCAGTTCGTCTTATCAGCAGCATGCTGCACCATGGTACCTCTTCAGTCGGATGTATCTGGCTTTAATATGATTGATAGGATACGAGTCAGTCTTGACAACGGAAGCAATATACACATGAACACAGGTGAAGGTAAAATTTGGCGATCGCGCAAGAAGAAAACAATTAGGACTTCTTATATCTGCTGCATTGTTCAGACAACTCCTTTTCACAGGAGATTTCTTGCCATTCACCCAGTAGCTTTTCTGTTTGTTGTCATCAATACCCATTCCCGACATGTTGTTTTCTTTGCTAGCTCTGGGGCTTGCCGCCTCCTATGCCAGAGCATCGCACACCCTCAGATTTGCTTGTTCCCAGCTCGTTACTGAGAGACTTGACCCGTAAGCAGCATCATCCTGCGATCATATCATCGACTTCTGAAACATGAAATACAGTTTGGTCAATCCAGGGTCGAATCCATCCCCTCATATGCATCAGGTATTTATTTTCATTTTGCTTGCATGACAGCGACCATATGATCAGGCTCTGATTGTGCAATAGATCGTGGGCGGGGTGTGTGACACTCTCCAACCTTTATGTTCCAATACTTAATGACTTCAGAACGCTTTCAATGTTACGATGGACCCCTCTCAGGACATTGCCGAGAAAGCTTCTTGCACTACTTGCACTTTTTCTCAAGATTTCTCAAACTACTGGACCGCTGTTTTGTACTTCCGGGCTCGTAATGGGACATTCAAACGAGTGCCTCAATTAAGCAATCAAAATATTGAAGGGGCAAATGGTGGAATGACCATCTACTACCTCTCTCCGGATAACAAGACAACACCTGTGACCGCATTCAAACCAGTAAGTGTTCTCTTCTCCGTCAGCACATTAGAAAGTTTTGACAATGAAGTAGGGCTTTCGTATGCTCGCCGGAACTGCTGAACAACGCACCAACAACTCTGTGAACTTATTCCGTTGTTATGATGGCTATGACGCAAAGATGAATTATCGTCCAAACCCGATGGGAGTTGCAACTACTGACACCACCGATCTGCCTCAGAAGTATTGTGCAGGAGGGATTCGAATCAATACCTTCTTTCCCAAGTACGTTCATAACTACTTTGCTACTCCGAACAGACCAATGACTGACAGAGTTGGATTACAGCTGTTGGGATGGAGTGAATCTAGACAGCGCTAATCACCAGAGTCACGTTGCTTACCAAACCGGAGCTGATTGTCCAGCAACCCATCCTGTCCAAGTTCCTCAAATCTTTATTGAGACAATCTGGAACACTGGAATCTTTGACAAGTCGCTGTGGCCAGAAGATGGAAGTCAGCCCTTCGTCCTCAGCCAAGGAGACCCGTAAGTTCCAGATCAAAGTATACGGATGACCTGAATCATTGTCTGACTGCAATTATTAGGACTGGATTTGGTCATCATGCAGATTATGTCTTCGGGTGGAAGGGTGATGCTCTGCAGAAAGCCATGGATGCAAGATGTGATGTGTACGATGCGAGCCCAGATCCTCTCGTATTCCCTGCTTCAGGATGTCCACAACTTACAACACAAGACTACGCCGTTGCAAACAAGTGCAGTCAAAAGCAGATCGCTGAAGAAGATCTTGACGATTGTAAGTCACGGTCATGCGGAAGATACTAGCAAGCATATTTTAACCCGTTGATTTCAGGGCTACCATCTCTTCCAGGGGGCATGCCAATTACATGGACTTAATCATCTTCTCGTGACATTCTTTCAATATGTATGGCCGAGGTTTATCAGTGAATGTTGATATCTAGTGAGATTAAGAGATGAAATTAAGAGTCGAGGTTGAACTTGGACATGAGCTTTTCGACATGAATGAGTGGGCCCAGAGAAGCGAAGATTCATATAGAGTATGATAGCAACATTTTTGATGTGTCTAGCTTCTACCAGACAAGCTATGAGCCATCAGACTTTGCATTGCAAATCCTGTCTCTTTGTCTTTAAAGGACTCTTAGAATTCCTTTACCATTTCAACTTATCTTGGCGCATCAAATTAACATATCCAGGTGTTAAAAGAAGGCGGGGCTATAGAACCATGTGATTAGTGACTACTAGTTAGTACTTTATTCCGAATCGTATTTATAGGATGATACGCTGCTTCACAGAGATACGATGGATTACTGTAAGTGCATGTCCAGCATTCAAACGCGAAGACCTAAGGCAGACGTCACAATGAGCAACAGCAAAGAGAAGAATTTTCTGGATTGAATACCAGCAGACCTTCCAATAAGCATTGTGTATAGCGAAGTAACCCTGGAGAAAATAGGCGAAAAATTCTGTCTGTATTGCGCCCACGACCTAAACCTCGCTTTTCTACTTCACTTGTTTGCACCATGCTGATTGCTGAGTCTAATCTGAAGCATTGGCGATATGAGTCCATCTTTAGCTTCGAAACAACCCCATCACGTCTAGTCGTTCACAAGGTTGGTAATTGCGCTTAGTAAGCTTCGCTTAAGCCCCTTTTTGAGTCACCAAAGGGCAACTCTAAGGAGGAAGCCCAGGGGAAAGCGATGAACTCTGCTTCTACAGGATAACAAAAGATCGGAATTAGCTCTTATATAGAATTGAAATTTGAAAAATTACTTGACATGCTCGATTTCTATGCCATGCGCTTCCACATAGCTCATGCAACAAGCACATTTACCACTTGTAGGTTGTATTGGCACAAGCCAATATAGATGTGCAAAGTCGGCGTGGAATACGCTAGAACCGGGGAATCTTCGACATTTGGAGTTGCTCAGTTAGGATAGTCTTGAGACCTGATTTCGTCTGTAATGAGAAAATATTGCAAGTAGACATGTGTGATATGGTCGGAATCAATAGTTACGTCTTTCACAAATATCCTTACAGCCTCACTGTAGTTTGGGGATGTTGGTCCCAGTCAGTATAAGTGGTAGAGTAACGTAAGCCCTTCTTCAATCTGAATTATCACTGTTGCTGATAAGGTTGGTTCATAGGTGTAAAGTTCGTGATAGCATGAGTCTATCTATCAAAGAAGCAGCTTCCAAATCGCTCAACATAGACCAATTGTCCCTTCAATACCCCACTAACTTCGTAGCCTTCCCTCCATTCATTGCATCCATACACTTTCGTTCTCCGTCCTTTCAAAATCAGAAAGGATGACCGAAGATCTTGGCCTCGTCCAAGACATTCATGTCCTTTCAAGTAAAACAAAATATTCTGATATCTCCATGACTTTTGGCTCCTTCCTTTGAAAGCCTTTGAGGAACAGAATCTCAAAATCCAACAAGAATTCTTGGCAGAAATCTTCCGGCACCTGAGTAAGATCGGAAGCGTCGAGGTTTCTGGCGCAAAGGTCACGATATATCTTCTCAACTGGCTCTCCATGGACGTGATATCATAAATCAGATTGATTGGTGCGGCGGGAATGCAGTTGAGCTTCTCTTGGATTGCATGGAATTGGGTGATGACCTCATTCTGTAGTTGTGGCATACCCAGCTCATCAGCAAGAACCCACAGACAGACTAAATCATTGTCTTGGACAGTCAGAGCATGCTGTTCCTCGGTTGAGAGTTGATCGTGGGTATCGCAGCGGTCGTCAAACTGGACAAGGCTAAGTGCGTTGTAGTAGAGGTATTGTAGGAGAAGTCTTGCAGTAGGTTCATCAACATGAGCCATACGATATTCAAGACTAGTACTTTCGACGTAGGAGCCATTGAAGGCGGCATGGAAGACCGGAGAGTGGTAGCATGCAATATTCTTGGAAACCGTAAATCTGACAGACTCCCAGCCCACCAGGAGGGTTACCAAAACATCGGGAGTTCTATCACTAGTTAGAATAAGTGGAGATCAAATCGTACAAAGATTTTAAGAGATAAAGCTTGTTTGCGCCAAAAAGGAATATTTGCAGAAGGAGAATGTCTGACAACATCATAACTTACGAGAATGTCATGAGATCTCTCTTTTGCTGCTTCCTAACTTGCTCTACACTTCCTCTGCGGCGGGATTTAGCTACACTCTGAGATTCGATCTCTTGATTGTTGTTTTGCGCCATGCTGTCGATCTGTAATATTGGGGAGTTGCGACTGGATGACTCGTTAAGATATGGGGCCAGGATGGCTTTTGCTTGCGATCTCGTGCTTGAACTAAGTCAAATCGATGAGCGGAGAATAGTCTGAAGGGAGGTTCTTGTTGGTGGGTTGCGATCGTTTGTTGCTGAAGTCGTGGTGAAAAAGTTGCGCTGTAGAAGTGGCTTTGTTGCGAGACTAAGTGGAAAGTTCTGGAGCAAGTTGGGAAACTTTTTGAGATTGTACAGCTTTGTGCTAGAGACTAGTGTGCGACTTTCTTATTAAATTACTAGTGCACATCCTGCTGATTGATCTATTCTCCTTTCGTGCTTACGTCTCATCAACTAGATGTAGAATATTGGGTCATTCAAGTGGTCCGGAGGTTGGTGTCTAAAAGTGTTTTGAGGTAGCAGTACTTGAGGTAGCTAAAGTCCTGTCAAGTTAAACTTGTAAGACGAATAGCATCTCAATCAGGTGCAAAGGAGATCAGCATAGTATGTGTGCACAAGTTGACAGCGTTCGTGGCATGGTCAAGAAAATGGTAACACCTATATCTGAGTGAGTTTCTCTGACAGATGGCAGAGTTTTGATGCGAAACTCGGAACATGATTCTTCCTCATCGATTACATCTACAGAGTGGCAGTTGCCTCTAGCACGGAACTAATGACAATGCTGCTAGAAGTACAACTTATAATGCTCTTGACAATGGATGGCAACTCGTTTGAGCTCAACATAGATGCCAAAGATGTCTACACTGGCATATAATAGCTTAAAGAGAAGATGTGCCTTGTGCAGAAAAAAGGTTATCTAGCAAGGTCTCGTCTGATATACAGAAATTATGCGTCGGTTTTTGGCCAGCATTTCCCCCAACAGCTGACAAGAAGATACGCCAATATTACTCACACAGCTTCCAAAAATTCTACACACGATAATTAGTGCGACTCCTCATGTACATAAAGCCCACCGCTGCTGCCCAATCTCAACATCTAAAATGTCACACCACGATACCACAGCACCACAACACCATAAACCAGCACTCTGTCAATTCCTACGAATAGTGAAAGTATGAATACCTCTAAATCTTCAGCTGTTGATGATTCGGAGAAGTCGTGCCGTTCCCCTTCCGCGGAGAGCGCAAGAGAGAAGGCGAAGATGGATGATCTCACATTCAGGTCAGTTTGCGCTCGTTCGTCAATATTTTGCACAGCTAATTGTTCAAAGTGATCCTAAGAGTACCATCACACTCTTGATAGGTAGCAGCGATCCTCCTATCGAGATGGTTGTTCACCAGGAAGCGGCCTGTGCCGGTTCACCCGTCTTGCGCGCTGCATTCTGCGGCAACTTTATGGAAGGTCGAACCAAAACATATCGACTCGCACATGTTGACGAAGCCACCGCAAGACTTCTAGTGCAGTGGTTATATGCTGGGAAGATAGTGACGATTCAATTGAAGGAAGACTGGAAATATGACCCTAAAGACACAGAGATTATGATTGCGGAGCACAACAGTCTCGTTGACCTTTGGGTTCTCGCCGACGAACTGCAGATGCCGACTTTGCAGGATTGCGCAGTGACTACCTTATTTCAAATACAACGAAAGACACGCAATCGGTTGAATTGGTCATGGCAGAGAGTATACAGAAAGACGTCAGAGAGCAGTAAACTGAGGCTGTATATCTGCCATCTCTGCGCGTTACAAATCCGGCCTACTAGCTACTCCTACTATAAGGATTTCATACCATATGAGATGTTAATGGACATTGCACAAACCCTATCTGATGGATTGTTCCGGAACGGAAAGCTTGATCTGAAGCTCTCGGACTATCTAGTGGAGGAAGGCTAGAGACAATAGGAAGCACAGTGAGTCGGCGTCTTTTGTTGTTGAGGTTTTTGACTGGTGGCTGACTGCTCAAGGAAAGTCTCTCAATATGTACAAGGGAAGCTTTGCAAAGGATTCTTGAACACCAGATTTGTCTCCTCTCTTGTTATTGGCGAAAAGCGAGAGGGGAGAGCGGGGGGTTGGTGCTGTGTCGACTAACGATGGAGTTTAGGGTTGTCAAATGTCGAGTACCTTCGTACTCTAGAGCAAGGTAACATGTCAATTCAGTATTTTGTATGCTTTCATAATAGGACTTGCGTTTGCTGCTGATGACGACTTAGCATGAATTAATGGTTTCGAGTACCATGAACCCCGGATCTTGACTTGGCTGTGCAGTGTGAACTCAACAAATAGACTTGACTTCGGGGAAATAATCATTGTAAAGATAGTGTGGTCTATCAAGGCCTTGCGGAGGAAGAGCTTATTCCTCTTCTCGGGCTTGGACGCATCCAACCATCAATCTCGTCCAAGCAGCACTGCATCGAAGTGAGGGTCGAGGATTATGCCAGAACGCAGCTCCCTAAAGTATTGTTTACTCCTTCCACAACCAATTTTTCTGGCAAGAATGAAAAAAATCTCTGCAATCACTCCGAGAGATTATCTGAGCGTCAATTCCAAAAAGATTGTGATTTTTCAATCAAGAAGGGTTTTGCCATACGTGGGCTAAGTGTCCGGGCTGCCTCTGGCTACCATCATATTCGAGGCTCGAATTTCGCGAGCACCATCGGATCTCAGCCGAACATCAACAACGTCCCACCACAACAATTCGCAAAGATGGCGACGCAGAATGACTTCTCGTGAGTTGAAAGATGCGTACTGAGCGCCTTCGAAAAGCTAACATCAAGCAGCTACGGAGATGACATCGTCACAATAGTCGTCAAGAATGCCTCGGACAAAAGCAAAGACGAGCATATCCCAGTCCACAAGAGACACGCCTGTCGATACTCTCCTGTTCTGGAGAAAGCCTTCGGCATTGACCAGAAGAAAGAATACAAGTTCCTGGATACAACTGCTTCAGCAGTCAGCGCTCTGGTCAGTTGGTTCTACATGCAAGAAGTCAACCTCGATGTCCATGAAGGCAAATATGCTTGTCTCGACCAAAGACCATTCTCTCGTCAATTACTTCCCGACGAACAGTACCAGAAGGCAAAGGCTTGCAAGGACGAGGTGGGGACATTGATCGATCTATGGATTCTTGGGGGTGAGCTCCAGATCTTCAAGCTGCAGAACAACACAATGATCAAGCTCTTGGCTGTCGCGAAGACCTGTGCGTTGAGCTTTGGTCCATTCTACACTCGTGTCTATGCAAAGACTCAGATAGGAAGCCCCCTGCGCGAGTTCATCGTCCGATTGTGCGCGTGGAGTGAGGATTTTCATGAATTCGAATCCAGACCACACTTGTTTCCCCAAGAAATGTTGTTCGATTTGTTGAGAACTTACAGCGAGGCTCTTCCACCAAACGTTGCAAGTGCCAGAAGACACGAAATGCAGAGACAATACATGGACTTTACTGTCACGGAGCACGCAAGAGATCCAGGTAAGCTTACTCAAGCTGGAAGTCAATTCCAGAATAAGCTGACACCAACAGATGAGGGGAGAGAGATTAGCCTCAGCGAAATGCTGCAAAAATATCCTCGACCAGAATTGTGTCCAGAAGCTGTGGGTTGGGGCGCCTCAGACCCACCTGAGGCCCAGCACAATGTCGTGAAGACGTCGGAAAAGGTGGAAAACAACGAACTTCAAGATGGTGGTGGACTACCAAGCCGGAGACCTTGGGAGTCTGATGCAGGTTCTGGTATATCTGACTTCATGAATCCCAATTACAACACCCAAAATGAAACCGAAACAACTCCCGCGCCAATCACGGAGAATGTAGAAGAAGATCTTCTTGGACTCGGTAGACTTGGTGCCTGGGGAAATGTGACTGTGGTCTCAAGTACGCCAGTGGGTGTTCCGTCTGAAGATCTGCTTGGACTGCTGGGTTCAGATCACGGTGGGGAGGAAGTCAACATTGCATGCGACTGTATGCTTGTATGTATCTGTGGACGTTCATGATCATAAATTCAATGGCTGCTCTGTGCATAAAATGTCATGGAGAGGAAGATAGTATTGTAACAACAAAGAACTTGCTCAGAAGACAAAGGACAATTTCGCTCGGCATTGGAACAGATATACGTATCATTCGAGAAGCAAGTTTCTAAGCACTACTGTCTTCAACTCTAAATCATTGAAAGATACATCATGCTTTCCCATCATTGTTGACTCGGTGACACCTTCCCATTACTACATAAATCTTGTTTCATGACGGTAGGTCTTAGGGACGTTGAGGAATAGCTCTTGCCTTCGGAAAGCACAAGACTAACTACCAGAGTTTTCCTGCCTTTTGAGCTCCTTACATCAGACCAAAACAATTCACCATAGCCACATCCCGTCCAGCAACATACTTCGAATCACGCTGGTGTATTATTATAAGACTTCTAACAAGCATCTTGGGACGTTCCAGAATCTGCCAAGATGGAAGCAATCGCTATTCACCACCAGCTCGATGCTTCAAAGCCTGTAGGACCGTCAGTCAAAAAGGCGAAATCGGTTGAAAAGGGGAACCAAACCCCGAAGCGTCGACGCCAAAAAGCCAAGAAAGGCAAGAACAAAGGCAAAAAGGACTGGGTAAAGTTTGATATCCATGAGAAACCGGAAAGGCTGCCCTCAGGTACGCAAGTCAAGTTTGCTCTTGAAGAAACGGATGGGAATGGTCAGGAGGACAAGCGACCATCAGGCCAGCAATGTGCCGCTGAAGCTCAAAAGAAGGACCCCGAAAGGTGACGCCAAGCTTGTAGATTAATCTACTGTTAGCTAATGCCAACCTAGTGGTGCCGAAGAGTACGTTACCTTCGTCCCAGGATGGGGAGTTCCAGCAAACTTTTCAATCAAGAAATCGGATATCTCCAAACACTGCCCAACGCTGAAAGTGGCTGTCAACAGCAGCTTTCTCAAGACCCAGAACCAAACCTACAAGTTGAAGCATTGCGGCCCTGGCACGATCTCCATGTTCCGCGAATGGATCCACACACAGCGTCTAGACCTCGACGACAAATTGGCCGATAAGGTCCAACGTGTAAAGCTTAGGTACGACTTAGCATTCTTGTGGTGTCTTGCGCAGGAGCTTGAGATGCCTGGTTTGCGAATTGCTGCTCTTGATGGCATATGCAAGATCAAGGAATATAAGAAGGGAGATGGCCAATTCATACCATGGTGTGCCTTGCAGACGATCTGGAGCATCACGACTTATGATAGTGCGCTTCGACAGCTATACATTGATGAACTCATCTGGGGAAAGTTTTATAGTGCATGGGAGAACCATGCTGACCTGTTCAATAAGGAGATGCTGCTTCAGATAGCAACGGCCTACAGAAAAGCGTTGAGCCCTTTTTCCGAGTCAAGGGAAAAAGGCCGCGAAGACTATGTTGTGGAGAAGCAGGAGGGTAAGGGAAAGATGAAGGAACAGTAGAGAGTACACGTTGAGCAGCAGTTGATCATGGTAAAATGAGAATGGTTGTAATGAGACATCGCCTTGCTGAAGAAGACAATAGACAAGTATTGGTTATTGAGAAGCAATGGATTCTCGTCAAAACTCGCTGCACATATTGACTGAAGCTTTGAGCATTGATCCCTCCTAAGCTTTTTGACTATGAACTGCTTTTGACCTCAACTTAGGCAATCGGCAGTCTCAAGATCATGTATTAGGTAGGTCTAATTCGAGATAAACTCTCGCCACGGCCCGTCCCTAACCTACTCTAGCCCATCCAGGCCAAGCTTATTAAGAGAATTACCCTTCCTGGGCAAACATTTCTTCACTGACAAGCAATACCTTTTCAAGATTAAGGATGTAGAATCAAGCAAAAGCAGCCTCAAGGCTGAGTATGACCAGCAAGAAAAGAGGAGACATGCATGCTGCTCGGCGGAGTAGGGGAGAAGGAGTAGAATTTGGCCCCTAGCCAGCTTGAACAAGGAGTAGAACCTTAATCATCACAAAAGTAAATCACATTCAAAGGTATAAAAGCATGGGAGGTTCAAATTGTTTTGATTGATATTGCTATGAAGAAGAGATGGGGGCGGAGATGAGGGGAGGTCTCACATGAAGTCCAGGTCCGGGTCCAGATCCAGAAGGCCTGTCGTCCTCGGTATCCAGTTTGCTGCCGCCAGGTTCAGTGCTTTCAGGTGAGTAGTGAGAGCAGCGTTAAATGCAAGGGAAAGAAGAGGACGGGTTGGAATTTGGAGGGTGAGGCTATACGCACCTCTTGACTTGGCAAGTGGGAAAGGGATTGGGTCATACGTACCTAGGTCTTCGGTATTCAAATCGAGAGAGGATCGAAGAGCGTGCTCGAGGTTTCGTTCGCTGCTGTGGTTTCGAGGGTTCGGGGAAGGTTCGGGGATCGAAGATGGTACGTACCTCACAATCCAGGTATAAAAGCATGAACCAGAATATTCCGACACCATCCAACTTGATCAAGAGACATGAATGAGGAGACATGAGACGAAGAGAGTAGATGCCTAACAAGCCCTTCCCCATCCCACAAAGTGTCCGAAATCCATCAATCTGTCATACCATGAATGCCATGCCGAATATCCTCGCGCCAAAACAAAATGCCTCCATCCTTCAATGCTGTAGGAAAAAGAAACTAAACTCTAACGAAGGGTATGCCTGCCTATCTACTTATGTGTGGTATCTTATCTACAACATCTCCTCATCTTCTCCATTATGTCCAGCTATCGTGACTCCTCCTGTGTTGTGGTGAAATTCTTGATCGAATGCACCGTATTGGTTCTCCAACATGGCGATTTGTCGTTGTTGTTGCGTCTCCCAATCACTACCCACATTTGGGTACTTCTGAATATCTTCGATGGTGTTGTAGACGGGGTCGGTGGAGGGATTGTACTTTGGTCCTCCTACTGCGGAGCCGAAGTGAGAGTAAACATCCTTTGAAGGCCAAGTAGACTGTTCATACTCACGAGCGGCGAGTGCCTCGTATCCTGATTGCATGTATGGCTCAGCTCCATGCACTTGAGTTTGCCAACGTCCGTCACCACCTTGAATAGGCGTGAGAGGGGCTGTGGTGCTGGCATCACTCATCGCATCCTCCGCACTGCCCATGCTATGCTGGTCCCCGCCCGTTCGAGCCATACGTTCCTCCAGCATCTGTCGCTCGTATCGCAACTTCGCCATAACTTCTTCTTGTTGGAAGGAAGTGCAAGGCCAGTTGCCCAGGTCTTGTGCAAGAGCATGTCCCTTATAGTCTGGGGGACAGATGCGCCATAATTCGATGAGTCTCATCTGCTGACTAGCTTCTGCCATCTTGAATAGCTCGATTTGGGAGGGAAAGAGACTGTTTACATCGACCCCATGTCGTCCCAATATAATCTCAACCGTAAGTTGGTCAGTTTGCGGTGGTTCGGAAGCAGGTCTGGCTGGTTGAGGGGCCGCGATGTGCGCGGAGTGGTGGTAGTGTTGGGAGCTGTAATATGTGACAGGCTGCTCAACTGGAGCCTCCACTTTGGGAGCAACGTATGGGGGATTTTGGAGAGAGAGGTTGCGTTGAAAGAGTGCTGCGAGATCTTCTTGTGTCGTCATCGTGGGCGAGTTCGAGAAGTTGAAGACCGAGGGCTATTGAAGCTAGGTCAGCGTGCTGGACTTTTCAAGAATTTGCAGCATACCTTGCTGCGGATGTACTCGAGTTGTGCAAGAGTTGCTTTGCAAAGCGCCAGTCTGTCTGCGATAGTTCCTGAATGGAACCAAGTATGAGGAATCTCTGAATGATAGGAAAGCCTAGAATCAGATTGTGTGAATGGCAAGAGTACTCGAGAAAGCGGAGCAGACTTTGTGGACAAGTGCAAGAGGTTTGCTAGTTTGTTTATATTCACTATGCTATGTATGTACTTGAGGTAGAGGTATGCGAGAAACGAAACCGGGAGATCCAGGAAGAGGGCGATGCGATCGCAGGTGGCTTGGTATTAGGCGTTGGACTGGTGTCAAGGAGGCAGAACAAAGAGCTTCTATTGTATTCGGGATTCAGCAAGATGTTGTTGCGAAATGGGTGTGCATTATGGAATTTGTTCAAAGAAAAGGAGAAGTTGTTGGAGAAAGAGAAAGTGGTGAGGTTAAATATCAAAGGAAATACCCCTCCTCATTTGGGAAGCGATGACGGATCGGTGAGGAACCACAACCACCAGATCTGTGTTTCAGTGCCTCGTTAGCGTAGGCCATCGCTGACCTCAACTCCAATGGATTTACGACACGAAGAACTTGTGACCCGTTTCGGCTTTTTTCATAGTTTTGCAACTTCACCGTGACTTAAGGTGACATTGAGAAGAAGATGTAGAGTGCTTTGGTCTTCAAGATTACATTCTCCGGTCACATCAGTGATTCTACTCTAGTTTCAGGCACGATTTCGAACGGCGATGTCAGCTTGCATATTGCTCAAGATAATGGGGAAAATGAATATAAAAATAGCCATGATAATTTCCTGATCGAGATCGCATCATGTGAGATCGTAGACCAGGCTCGTTGCCTGAGGCACAAATCTTGTGCCTGACCGTGATACGCGACGCTTGATTGCCTGAAGCTTTGGACGTGTCTAGAGATCAATATAACGGAGCTTCAGCAAGCTTCACAGACTCACGCCCATAATTCATTACTGAAGCTCTGAATCAACCCATCTCCCAGACTTCATCATGGTAAGCTTCGCCGTTGCATTGACTCCACGTATGCTCTTCTAGCAAGTTTCAAAGCTGACCTCCGCAGACTTCAATAGGTACGGGTTATGATCTTTCGAACTCGGTCTTCTCTCCCGACGGACGAAATTTCCAAGTCGAATATGCAGTCAAGGCAGTAGAGAATGGTGGTACCTCGATCGGAATCCGGTGTAAGGATGGTGTTGTGCTTGCAGTAGAGAAGGTCATCACCAGCAAGCTGTTAAAGCCTGGAGCCAACAAGCGTATTGCTACGATCGACAGACATATGGGTGCAGTAAGCTTGCACACCTAGATCCGCGCCAAACCAATGAGATGGATACTAATATATCGTTCAGGTTTCATCAGGTCTCGTACCAGATGGCAGACATTTTGTGTCCCGAGCACGCGACGAAGCATCAAGCTGGCGAAAGGTCTACAAAACCCCAATCACAACCGCAGATCTGGCAAGCCGTATGGGTGGATACATGCAAGCATACACTCTCTATTCATCCGTTCGACCTTTCGGTGTCACCGCCATTGTCGGAGGCTGGGACTCAGAGCTCGAGCTGCCAGTTGATGGCCAGGTTGGCAAGGGACCTTCCATAGGTTCAGGTGGCAAGGTTGAGGGCAAGAAATACGGTGGACCGGGCCTTTACATGATCGAGCCAAGCGGAATTTACTGGGGTTATTACGGCGCTGCTACCGGCAAGGGACGACAAACGGCCAAGGCTGAGCTGGAGAAGTTGAACTTGTCAGAAGGAAACTTGAGTCTGCTGGATGGTGTCAAGGAGGCTGCAAAGATCATCTATGCTGCTCATGCAGACAACAAGGACAAGGATTTCGAGCTGGAGATGACATGGATCAGCAACCTTGATGGTCCTACAAAGGGAAGACACGAGGAGGTGCCAAAGGACTTGTTGGAGGAGGCTGAGAGATTAGCCAAGAAGGCATTAGAAGGAGATGATGATGACGAGGAAACGACCGATAAGCCTGCAGAGGAGGATAAGATGGAGGAGTAGACAAGTCCGTAAAATACACCTGTATCAACATCAGCTTAGTTGCATGCATTTGGGGAATGAATTGGCGTGCTTCTACTTTGCCCATTTTTAAGTCAGGCGTTTATTCTGTGAACGTGCTCTGCTTTGGCCTTTCACAACAGGTGCTGGGAACATGTTGTATTCAAGATTTCGTTTTTGCTGGTGTATTAATTATGTCTATTAAATCACTGAGATTAAAGAACTCAACAGCTCTAGTGAGCTGAGATGATATCGACTGCTACGAGACACAAGTCTGCCCTCTACTTATGTCTTTGATATCTCTATCCTCTTATGCTGACTTGATGCGTATTGAGGCTTCTCTTCCTACGGCTAAGAGCGTAGATCCTAAGCTGCTGGTTGGAAAAGTAAATTCTGATTTGATGCCCGGTGTATGGTTCTGTGAACGTCGCAGTCTCTGAAGCCTGTTCTTAGAAGCTATACCTTTATTCTGACTCCAGTGGAGTAGATCTTACATCTGGGGCTTTTTTTCACACACTACAATTTTATTGCTGCACTTGCAAGCTATACCTTTGCTTTATTAGCAGCGTAGAATAAATCAATTCACAGAAGACGTGTCACACAGAAGCAGAGCATCCCTAAAGGTCAATGCCATACGTCCATTCCTCTTTCTTTCATCTCTATTGTGACCCGCTTCCGGGGATCAATAGGACATTAGCCAGAATAACATTTGTTCGAATCACAAGAAAAGTCACGAAGAGTAAGAGAGAAGTGTTCTGGACACGGCATGCATTTATGAGAAAGTAACCATCTATCCACCGCCTGGAGCCAGTTCTCCATAGATCCATCCGGAATAGCTTCTAAAGAGCCATACCATGTATGTAAGAGTCCCAAACAGACAGCCCTCGAAGAGAGCGTTATTCATGTTGTAATGCAGAGTTTAGAATCGAAAGTTGAGAAGAAAAATGCAGGAAGAGAACATGCCATGAACGCCAAAATTGCCGTGCCCCTCCTAAGTGCCCAAGGCTAAGATTCGAAGATGAATCTAAAGGTTGCCGAGAACAAGATCAACAGCATGTGCCAAGGCGAAAGCATCACGCTTGGCCTTTCCACACGGCTGTCCTGGGTAACCGCATCGAGCAGCTGGCTCAGCCTCAGCGATAGCCGCGGCGACGGCCTCAGCAGCTCTCTTTAGCTTGCCACATGGCTGTCCTGGGTATCCACATCTAGCATCCGCCTCTGGGTCAGCCTCACGCTTGGCCTTTCCGCACGGTTGTCCTGGGTATCCGCATCGTGCATCTGCCTCTGGCTCGGGTGCAGCATCACGCTTGACTTTGCCGCATGGTTGTCCTGGGTATCCGCATCGGGCGCTGGCTTCACGCTTGAGTTTCTCGGAGGTCTCTTCATCCTCGAGACCAAGGCTCACGTAGTACGCAGCGGGGTCTTCTGTGGTCTCGGCGACGATGGCTGCGAGATCGCGGGTCATGCGCTTGGCTTCGTAGCAGGAACCCATGTCACATCTGGCCGTAAGGTGGAGATCTCTGGGCTGTGGGAGAATGTTAGCAGATGGCTTAGAAAGGGAGAGTGAGGAGTTATCTGAACTTACCAAGATATGTCCGGGCTTCGGGACGAGAGCTTCAGCGAATGCCTCAGCTGCACGCTTGACTTTACCGCACGGTTGGCCGGGGTAACCACAGCGAGCATCGGCATCTGGCATAGCATCACGCTTTGCTTTGCCACATGGCTGTCCTGGGTAACCACATCGTGCATCGGCTTCGGGCTCTGCAAGACGGGCCTTGACTTTGCCACAGGGTTGGCCGGGGTAACCGCATCGTGCGTCGGCGTTGGGGAGGGCGGTAGCGGTGACGGTCGCTGCGAGGATGAGCGCCGCAATTGCTGCTGTGAACTTCATGATGATGATTGAAGTGAAGGTAGTCTGTTTTTGTGATTGAGTGTAGGTTTGGTTTGTGTGTGTGTGTGTGGGATTGGATTGTAGTTGTATATGGGTAAGGAGGGAAAGAAGAGATCTTATGGTTGGAATCTTGCGTCATTTTATGCTTACTATTGACTCTTGTTCTTATTGACAACTTGGTGGTGATGAACTGAAGTCTTGTTCCTATTGAGGCTCGAATCTGGTAACCGAAAGAGCCTCAATAGGAGTAAGCGACAAAGATGAGACGAAAACTAGTCGCTATTTGGAAATGATTTGGAAGGTAATACAAAGCTTCTACAAGAATATAAAGCTTCTACAGTCATATATGGTTCTTAAAGAAATTAGAAAGAGTTGGTGTGGGAGGGTTGTTACTATTGAGGTTGCTATTGAGGATAGCGTGGATTCACTTTCCCATGTGGCCGGGGTCTTACAAACGCCCGGAGAGTTGCACCAAACTCTCGAACCACACAAAAGTGCAATTTCAGAGAGATCATGGGATTTACGGCTTGCGCCAACCAATCTAGATTGGTACCGCTCGACCTTGATGCAGTGTGATTTGAGAATGGAACGGCAGCATCAAAGGGTTCCAGCTTCTAGAAAGATTTCAAATACACTGCAGATCGGAGCAACCGTTGACCCTGATAAAGAAATCACAGATCTAGAGCATCAAAACTGTAATTAGGATCTTGAAATTTGGCTGTTTACTATTCAGAACCCGGTTCTATTGAGGCCCCGGAACAGGTGGTTAAGCGAACTCTCCTTTGAGCTGCTAAGGCGGGTCGAAGCTGTGATGCAAGAAGATGACGAAACAAAAGGAGCGCCACAATCATCGATCAATGGAATCTTGAGATCTGTGGAGCATTGTGTATTCGAGACTCCAGATAGCTAGCTAACAACGCGCCGGAATGCGGGGATCAAAGACGAGACAGAGTCACGTGTGACAAGACAAATCAATGTTGTCCTGGTTCACAACACACCAACAAAGTGACAATTCTGATCCAATCATTAAATAGGTGAGTTAAGAAGAAGCGGCGTTGTGCTTGCACGTTGGGATTCTGTGGGTCTTGCAGAGGAGTAGACACCGGTGGTTGAACGTTTGTGGATCGAAACACTTGAGCACCACAAACCGTGGACAGCAGTCTTTAGATGCTTTCAACACGTGTGATAAGGAAACAAGAGGTCATGCTATTCAATAGAGATGCGGACTACAGACTATGCTGGTCTCAGATACCGAAGACGTAAAGAAAGGTTTCACCAAGGGCCATAGAGATTTGGAGCTACCAAGGTCTCATTTTGGCATTCCCAAAGAGTACCATGCTAAGACAACATTGCGAAGGTTATGGATTTGAAGGCAGAGCAGATCTGAAGATATTTCACAAATCAGATTCAACTGCTGCTACCTGAGTCGGATCAAGGGAACCCGAGCCAGGCCTTCCGTTGAGTATGCAAAGCATACTGCAAAAAACATATTGTTACACACCAAGGAGACCACATTCCCGCATAGTAGTGTAAAAAAAAATGATTTGGGAATCTTCAATTAATTGTTGTGGGCGGGTTCGTAGTTTTTTGCTATATATATATATATATATGAATCTCTTTTTTTCTTCTCTTTTTCCCAAAAAAATCTATTCGCTGATCTTTTTGTAAATTTCGGAACTATTCACTGTGATTCCAGCGGAAAAGCTTCCCCCGCGGAATAAGGCTATAACTATTCAAAAGTCCGAGAAATATTAGTGAATTCTTTTTAAACTAGAAAACGGCGTCCAGAGGTTAAACTTCTGTGCAATAATTATTAGTGAATTATATTTCTATATCAACCCCGAAAACCCATCCACCGTCCAAGAGCTCTCCTCAAAATCTATATAAACCCCGACCGCCCGAAGTTTCTCCGGGTTCTTTAGCAATATTCGAAGGCCAAAAAAAGATCCTCAGTGGGAGGTGCCAGGTGCCAAGTGCCAGGTGCAGGTGTTGTGGAGAGGAGAGGACTTTTCATGTTGGTAAATAGGTTGGCAAATATTCCGAGGTGATAGTAAAGTAATGTTATCGACTAATGGGTGTTATCAACTAGTGGTTGTTGTCAACTAGTAGCTATTGTTAACTAACAGTTGTTGTCAACTGATTATTGTTGTGACAGCACGGTTGAGAGCTCAGTACGTAGACGAAGAATCGATTGGCTATCTCTTAGAATCTAAAGGTAAAGAAAGAAGAAGGGAGTGGGAGAGCCAGAGCTTATATCCACCAGAGTGAAACAAGCTTACGCCCTAAGCCTGATCTGTTCCCAGGGAGGATCACGTGAGAGACATCGCATGAGATGCGGGTCACGTGAAAGCTGAAGGGTATTGGCAGGTGCTCACGTGATCCCTAACCAGGTGATCCAGGTGATCCGTAACGTAACAATTGTTGTCGTGTGGTAATATGAGGCTAGATATAGGGACTCTCTTTTAATTGAGATTATTACCAAACTAAGTAGAATATTACCTTAAATCCTCTTTTAGAAGTATTATTCTTTCTTAAAAATATTCGAAACAAATACACTAATTTACTAAACGCGAAATTACTTTCTTAAAACAACATATTATATTTACAATTATTTTAAAAATTGAAAACATCCTAAAACTCTTTAGATATTCTCGCCCTAAAATGTGTGGGAAACACGATTTGGAAAGTGGTGGTATTGACTATGCTGACAAGAGGATTTTTAAAAGGCTCATGTCTCGCGAGATGCCGACTCTATCGGCCGTTGCCAAAACAGGGAAGGCGCATCAATTCCAGATCCAAGGTGCGGAATATCTCGTTTTGCAGCAACCTCTACTCTTTGCAATTCTACAACAACACTCCCTACTCTCATTATTCACCATGCTGTCGCGCAGCTCTGCAAGGTCGGTTTCGGTATGTCTCACTCGGTCAAAAGTTCCAATGGCAACTTTCTGTAGCTAACTTGGGCTTCTTATCAGAGCCTTGTCAAATCTGCCCAAGCTCCGCTGCGATCCGCACAGGTATGCCACATTTTCTTCGAGCTCCAGTTCCAGAGCTGCAATTGACCTGCTACGTCTAGACTTCCCGATCCTTCGCCACTGTTCAGTCAGATATCTTCAAACCAACGAAATATGGTGGGAAATACACCGTTACTCTGATTCCTGGTGATGGTATCGGAGCAGAAGTCGCAGAGTCTGTCAAGACAGTCTTCAAGGCCGACAATGTACCAATCGAGTGGGAGCAAGTTGATGTGACTGGTGTGGAGTCAGGCGACAAACATTCAGAGGAGCTTTTCCGAGAATCAATCGCCTCCCTCAAGAGAAATAAACTTGGATTGAAGGGCATTCTGCATACACCTATCGAGCGATCCGGTCACCAATCGTTCAACGTAGCTATGCGACAAGAACTCGACATCTATGCCTCTATTGTTCTTATCAAGAACATCCCTGGCTACAAGACTCGACACGACAATGTCGATCTGTGCATCATCAGAGAAAACACCGAGGGAGAGTACTCAGGCCTGGAGCACCAGTCTGTACCGGGTGTTGTGGAGTCCCTTAAGATCATTACTCGTGCCAAGTCAGAACGTATTGCCAAGTTCGCATTTAGCTTCGCATTGGCAAACAACCGCAAGAAGGTTACCTGTATCCACAAGGCCAACATCATGAAGCTTGCAGATGGTCTCTTCCGAAACACCTTCAACGCAGTTGCAAAGGAATACCCAACGTTGGAGACCAACGACATGATCGTTGACAATGCGTCCATGCAGTGTGTTTCGAGACCACAGCAATTCGATGTTATGGTCATGCCCAACTTGTACGGAGGTATCCTCTCGAACGTTGGAGCTGCTCTCGTTGGTGGACCAGGTATTGTTCCTGGTTGCAACATGGGACGTGAAGTCGCTGTTTTCGAGCCCGGATGCCGTCACGTTGGTCTCGATATCAAGGGCAAGGACCAAGCTAACCCCACTGCTATGATCCTGTCTGGATCTATGCTCTTAAGACATCTTGGTCTTGATGAGCATGCTAACCGTATCTCCAAGGCTGTTTATGATGTTATTGCTGATGGGTATGTTCTCAAAATTCTAAATGTAGCTGGGAATTTGGCTAATGAAGGCGCAGAAAGACACGCACACCTGATATGGGAGGAAATAACAGCACGCACCAATTCACAAGAGCCGTCTTGGATAAGATGGAGGCCGTATAGACTGGGGAAGAACTTGTACGAAGGAGCGATAGACCCTAGGTGTACTCTAGTTTGCATAGCAAGTTCCATTTCAAACTCGTTCAATCAATTGCAAATCATACATTTTTCGTTCTACTTAAATGCAAAAGCATAGACCGGAAGTTCAAGTCGGTTGCTATGTCTGACGCTGATGCAATCTAATCTTACAATTTGCTAGAAGCAACTAATCCTCGAATGTCCTCCCAGGCTGTTTGCAATTTGCTCGTCCACGCCAACACTGTCTGCTCTCACGAAGCTAATTGCCAGATCAAGACGTCTCACCATCACCTCCTTCCGTATTCACACGACGACGCCCCTTGCCCTCATCCTCCGGATCCCTCTTTCTCTTCTTCGCCATGCCCATGATCTCTCGAATGCTTCTTCCCTTAAACTTATCCTCAAATTCTCCCTGCTTACTCTTCTGCTTGGGTTGCTGAACACTCTCATACATCATCCTCTCCTGCTGAGCGACCGCCTCCATGAAGTTTAGTCTGTCTTTTGGGACTTCTGATATAGGTCGGATCGGACTTCGTGGTGGAGACTCGGGTTCAGGGAGGTTGGCGTTTGTTTCTAGATGCGATTGGTTGCCCGTCTTGCTGGTTTGAGAGGATTTGGCTTCATCGAAGGCATTTCTTTGGACGGGGCCGTTGCTTTCGACTGGGGCGTAGTTCTGGACTGGAGCCTTGCTTTGCACTGGGGCCTTGGTTTGGACTGGAGCCTTGGTTTGGACGAGGGCATTGCTTTGTACCGCAGCGTTATTTTGGAGGGAAGACTTAGATTTTTGTTGGCGAAGGCGTCTAGATCGTCGAGGAGGTAGGACTTCTGCATTGGCACCTGTAGCCGCCTTGACACCTGTGGGTGTTTCGACAAGCTGGAACCCGCTTGCTTCTACAAGTTGAGACATGGTAGTCGGATCCTTGTATGCTTGCGTTTCAGCGCCATTGGTTCTGTTGAAGAGTGGTTGACCGGCACTATTCTCTTTATCATTTCCTATGGCTGGACCCACTACTCTGCCATGTTCATCCGTAAGCATAGATCTAGTGGTCTTGCCGTATTGCTTGATGACTACCTTGTAAGGTGATAAAGTAGGTACAGGCACGGCAGCTTTCTCGCTGTCTCCGTACCAGTCTGCAGCAGACGTGAGAGTTGGTCGAGCGGCTTCAAGACCGTTACTCGTCAATGTGGATGAAATGCAGGAGATGTCCTTCTCATGTCCATGTCTGTTTCTGTGAGAATCAGACGTAAAGGTCGAGTGCTTATCTGAGATGAGGTCGGTGGAAGAGCTTGTCGATAGCTGATCTTTTCGCTGGGTGGATACAAGTACCGAGTCGGGCGGGGGTCTCATAAGTGGACTTGTCTCGTGCTCTTGCAAGGACTGTGGAAACAAGCCTTTTGTCCTCTTTGTCTGCTTTAAATCGAGTGGAAGATTTAGTTCCTCATGGAGTTTCTTTGCATCCGCGGCCAGATGCTCCTCGAACTTAGCCATATCTCCTGCTTCCGATTCCCGAAGAGAGTTATTCATCAATTGACTATGTTGGCTCGAGTCCTCCATGGCTACATTGTAGTTGTGGTTCTTACCAGCATTAACAAGTCCCTTGACTGCCTTCTCCACGGATGGGGGCAGTTTATCACCACATGCTTGACGCAACAAGTCTCTGAATTCCCGTTCGATATCTGCAAGATGCTTCTCACATTGGCTCTTCAATTCCTTCTTGTACTGTCCAAGGGATTCAACGCATTGCGCCTTGTACTTGTAGAATGCATCCGGGTGTTCACTGTACAGCAGCGCTACAGCAGTGTTGGTAAGTCGCAGGTTCGGGTGTTCGATCTCCGTATTGACTTTACGGAAACTTTCTGTCAAATATAACTTGAATTCCTCTTGTCTCGAAGTCGTGAATTTTTTGTATGTCTCATTGAGCTTTTGTATGTGCTCGACAACAGCCTGGTGAGCCTCTGCACGGACTTGATTCTTGAAAGACTCGAGAGCTGGGTCATCTTCAAAGGTGGACGGTTGCGTAGCAGGCGCAACTTTCGAGTTCATGCCATCGATATGTTTTTGAAGAGCCTCCTGAGATTCCTTACGGAGTTGCTCTTTATAAGCTTTGATTGCGGGGTGATCGTCCATGTTGAGTGATGAGGGAGGAGTTGGTGCTGGCTTGGAATTTGCAGAGTCTTTTGGAATACCTGTTGTAAGCAAGCTTTTCGGGGTGTACTCAGTAGACTGGCTGCATTCAGCTTGGCGTCTTGAGCTCTTCTCTACTAGCTCCTGTCTCTTTTTCATCTCAAGCGCACCCTTCTCTAGAGCAGCTTTCTTCCAAATCTCGAAACCGTCCATAACACTCTTGGTGGATTGAGCCTCAGGGGCACTCGACGAAACCTCTTGGGGTAAGTTAGAATATCTTGGAAGTTCGGACTTTGCATGACCGTCTTTCTCTGCCCGTCTCGTATCGTACGCTTGTTGAGCTGCTGCGTTCACGGAGAACAACTTCTCGATATTGTCAAGAATGAAGACCAGAGCAGGATAATTCCCAGTCTTCCCCTCAATTGTTCTTCTCCAAACTTCAACTTCGATGGACATGACATTGTGTTCAAGTAAGTCTCCCGCGATATCGGCAGCAAGCTTATTGTCCTTGAGGAATTTCGCGATTTCGAAATCATCGATGAAATCCTTCAAAGGCTGCTGCTCCATATCTGCGGTTGTTTCATTCAACAAAGAGCTTATGTTCATAGTCTTTCGAGTTCGAATTTGTACACCATGGTTGGTGATCGGGACAAGATGATGGTTTGGCGGAAAGTAAATAAACGCGAGGCGAGTCAACACTTGTAGATAGCCATCAATCAAGAACACGCTAGTCATTTCACGAAGATCAGATTTGGGTTGGAGATTGAGAAGCCAAAAGACATTGAAAATCCAGTTCTTTCATGTCCTTCCAATCTTCATACCCTGCATTGCAGCTCAATAGTCTTTTCCACTACAGCGGATTTCGCATGTCCATGAATCTCCGATCAGCAACATGCTGTATCATCGCCTATAAATGTCGGTCACAAACAGAAGCATCATCAACAACCAAACGCCAAGTACTCTGTATCAAATTTCAAAAGAAAACTCAAATGCACCTATTATTCGCTGCCCATCATCCTACAACCGAAAATAATGCGGAGACCAACGAAACACACCAAGGTCGTGCACCTCCGAAGACATCATATCATTCCTCCTCCACCTGTATAATAAAGAACCCTCGTCCAAATACCTTCAAAGTCTTACACGACCGGACATTCATCCTAATGTTCACCCTCATGGAGTGGGCGCAAGCAGAGCTGCAGCACAAGCGGCGTAGCAAGTCCCAAATGCACTATTGCACAGAACAACAGAGGCGGGAGCAGTGGCTCCAAGAGTTGCTCCCCATGTAGCCCCGGCTGCCGAGTAACAAGCCATAGCTAGAGATGCACAGCCTGCTTGACAAATACCATATGCAACGGGACCAGCGAGAACTGGCGTCGACACGAGTGCCATGACTGGAAGTACGAAGGAGATACGCATCCTGATGGGGGTTCAACTTTTTAAAGTGTTTGAAGTGGTGGGCTAACTCGAAAAACTGTTTCTCGTATGAAGAATGCTGCTAAGAATATCAGTAAGGAAGGTTCCAAGGTAATGGAAGGGTTTGTACGTACAGTGTTTTGCGGTTGATGTTGTTCGATGTCCTTCGAATGGAACTGTTAAAGTAAAGAAGAAACTCTCAGCCTCGTCGGAGTCGGGTGAGGGGTTCATATAGTACTCGGTATGCAGGTTACACATGGCTTGCATGCATCCGAACCAATGTCAAACATGAAACAAACTCACCGAAAGTAGAGGACAGAAAGAGAAGCTATAAGCTTACTAAGAGTAGAAAGACAGAACCAGAATCGATTCAAAGCTAAACATGGTATAGAAAGCAACCTTTGCCAAACGCCTCGCAATGCCCCCAATCAAGATGTCCCTCTTAAAAAGTGATATGCCTCTTCCTACCAGTATACTTGGAGGAATTCTTCACCACCTTTCCTTTCCGTTCCATTTGCTCTTTCTTGTTTAGTATCCAAGCTTTGCTTCCCTTTTTGATCTCTCTGCGGCCTTTTTCTCTGTGCTTCTTTCTCGCGTCTAGCACATCCACATCTTCCATACCCTTTACGACCCCTGTGATGTCTCCCCCAGTGCCTTCTTCAGCTGAACCACCAACTGTCAGCACCAAATAAAGCTTTGCATTCTTAGTTCCTGGATCGTCTTCCAGGATACCAGCTCCGAAGCCGGCTTTGATCGCAGCTCCAGAGATCATCGTCCTCTGCAGGTCATTCTTAGGATAGAATTGACACACTGCTCTTCCACCTCTCTTTAGACTTGCATAGAGCCCGTTGAAAAACCTCGATAATCTCCCTGTAGATGATACCTCGCTGCTTTCAGCATTACATAACCATTGAATAGCACTGATTGATATAGCGGCATCGAAACTTCCAGCTCGAAATGGCACACCTTGACCCATATCCGCAAGCATTAAGTCTCCTTCCACATCTCGTTGCAGTGCAACATCTAACATCGATGGTGAGATATCCATGCCGACCCATATGTGAGGGCCACCTGCTGAGGGATCTATTGAGGAGAGTATCTCGCCGGATAGACCAGAACCGCAGCCAATATCAAGGATCATGGAAGGTGAGGAGAGGTCGAGGAGTTCGAGGGCACGATTGGTCATAGATGCTTGGATATTCTGTATTCGAGATGAAGTAGTGTATTTCCTGGCTTCGGCGTCATTGTAATGGAGATCTGGGGGACTGTAGAATCTTGTCAGTGAAAAGCACATATACGAGAAATCGAGATACAAACAGGGTATCTTCGGGACGAGACATGATTGTGTAATATATCTGTCACCGCAGGCAGATCCTAGATATCTTCGAAAATCGATCCCGCCACTTTCCAGGGCGTATTAATTCTTCTTGAAGTGTTGGTCAGTCGAGTCGAAAAATTGTCGGCGCAAACATCATTTTTTGGTGGATTTGGTGGGGTTTTCTGCCACCGCCTAGTCCGAGGAATCTGGAGAACACGGTTACGTCCCCTTTTCTAAACACGCGACACCTACAACTTTCTTCACAAGCATGATCCTCTCATAGAACAGCTACGATGTGGATCTTACCACTTGTTGGGTACATAGGCCTGGCCTTGGGGTTTGGGTTCTTGACCCTCGCCATCGGTATGAAATTCTGATAGCAAGAACTTGTTCGAAGCAGCTGCTAATGTCTGAATAGCTTCTGGACTTTATTACATGTCCGAACTGGTCGAAGAACATACAGTTATCGCGAAACGACTACTTACACGGATGATCTATTTGGTGATCGGGGTACAGGTTCTGCTTTGCTTGATAGATGGCTTTCCTTGGACGCTCTCTCTTCTGAGCATCTTTTCTCATCTTGTCTATCTCGGGAACATGAGGAAGTTTCCAGTTGTGAAGCTTTCAGATCCATTATTCATTGCCTCTTGTGGTATGTTATCCCACGAAATTGTTAGCTGGAAGCTAAATGATGCCAGTCCTCGTGCTATTGAATCACTACGTGTGGTTCAACCACTTCTCCTTCGCCTCCCTAGCCAGAGCTCCTACTTCACGATACGACCCTACAGCCCTTCCTACTTTCACCGAAATCGCATCCTACTTTGGCATTTGTGTATGGCTCGTACCATTTGCACTCTTCGTATCTCTCTCTGCAAGCGACAACGTATTGCCAACCATGGGTAGTGAGGCACCAGCAGGAGCAGCGACAACGAAGAGGCAAGGGATGATTAAGGTGGTTGTGGATACTATTCGAGATTCAATAGGAGAAGTGGGGCGAAAGCTAGGCTGGAGCAGACCGGAAAGGGACTTTTGATGTATGACTATGGAGCATTGCTGGCGTTGGTTGAGGAATCTAGGACGGGACAGGACACGGCATGTGGGAGTATGAAATATCACAACATTCTGAACTTCTTCCGAAACCTGTATGTTACGATGCGTGCATTGTATAAGCTAATTAACGTGCAAGATAAGCTCCAGTGGGTATCTCCTGCTCCTGACGCCTTGGAAGTACTAAAGTAAGTGAGACATGAGTACGTATAGCAAAAGTGTGTAGCAAAAATATTGGCTTCTCATTCCAGAACCCTCCCAATCATGGACGGACAATGACAACTGCAGACGCGTCAGCAAGTGTTCGGAGTTTGTGCTGGTATGCGTCACTTACTCTCACGGAATCAAGCTTCTGGTGTGGACGGCTCTTGAAGCTCCTCGATGCGTCCCTCAAACATAGCATAGAGCTCGCTGGAGATGTTCAGGGTATGAGTCTCGACAGCTTTCATGCTCATGAGGATGGTGTTCTCCAAAGACTGGCGCTTCTTGTTTAGAACATCGAGTCTGTCCCATAAGGCTTTCTGAGACTTGGTCCTATACTCTTTCAGCAAGTGGAGCAGAAAGCCAAATTAGAAAACCTTACACTCTGGACTTCCTAGCATTGGACAACTTGTCGATTCTTCGGCCAACATCCTTTGCATGCTTCTCATATTCTTCTTCAATGGCTTTGCGCTTGGCATCTCTGTTAATGTTGTACTGCGAGACATGCGTTAGACTTTAGCATGTGCAAAAAGGATGAGGCTATCGTGCCTTGACCATGAGCTTCTTCGCCTTTTCAATAGCTCTCTCTGGAGATGTTGGCTGCGTGTTGTCCTCCTCGGACTCAGCAGCAGGCTCTGGAGCCTTTTCAAATTTGCGGGATCCCATCTTGTAGATTAAAATTGACTTCGTGAAGTGACTTTACAATCTTGATCGAATCGGAACGCGTCTGAAGTGTGAAGGAACGTTGAAGAACTGAGGGAGTGAGGCAGACATGTGATTGGTGAGAAGCCCGCTTACCATATTCAGACTAGCTCCATTCTGCTCCACCAAAACTTTTGGTATCCTGAACTTTTCTCGACGTAGCAACTGTACATTCTCCCGCCGCCACGATGGGTCTTGCTGCGCCCAAGAAGTATGTCCCATGACGTGAAAAGGAATAATTATAGACTGACATTCTCTCTAGCAAAATCAAAATCTCCCACGACCCCAATAATACAAGATGGACGAACGACACTTCGAGTTTCGGGCACAAGATAATGACCTCTCAAGGCTGGCAGCCGGGGCAATACCTAGGAGCTAAAGATGCGGCACATGCAGAGTTCCATACTGCAGCAAATGCTTCCCATATTCGAGTCTCCATCAAGGACGACAATCTAGGTCTTGGTGCGAAGATTGGGTCTGGAGTCGGCCACGGTGAATGCACTGGGTTGGATGCATTCAAAAACCTGCTAGGACGATTGAATGGTAAAGATGAGGACGAATTGGAGAAGGAACAGAAATCGAGAGACGACTTAAGAATTGCGATTTATACGGAGAGGAAGTGGGGATCTACAAGATTTGTGTCTGGAGGGTTCTTGATTGGAGACAAGATTCAGCATTTGATTGACGCTGAGGCGGAAAGGATACGAAAGCTTGCCCTGGGATCTTCTACTGAGTCGAGTTGTTCGTCAGAATCCGAAGAGGAAGAAACGCCTGTGGAAACGACCAAGAAATCGAAGAAGCGAAAAGCTGAAACTCTGGAGGAGCCTGAAGTTGTTGTTGTGAAGATCAAGAAGTCAAAGAAGGATCGAAAAGCTGAAGCCGCTTCTGAGGCTATTAAGGAGACATCAAATCCGGACGGGGCAAAGCGTTCAAAGAAGTCTAAAAAGGATCGCAAGTCTACAGTAGAGACCGACGAGATTCCAGATGAAATTGAATTGAAGAGGAGGAGAAAGCAAGAGAGAAAAGAGAAGAAAGAGAGAAGAGAGAGGACAAAATTTGAGGCTGAAGCCACCGAAGAAGAGCCAAAGAAGAAGAAAAAGTCCAAGAAGGACAAGCACAAGGAAGCCGAAGGCTCTTCTGAATCTACCACGAAAGAAAGCACTCCAGCAACACCCATGGCAGCTGATTCCATTGGTCGTTCAACCCCAATAATGATGCAAGGACGGCATGCTGTACGGGCACGGAACATAGCACAGAAGCGGATGGCAAGTATGGATGTAGCGTCGCTAAACCAGGTCAGTCTCCATTGCATCTCTACCTTCACCTAGTCTCTAACTGCTTTCCAGATATTTATGATAAAGTCTCAATGATAGAGTCTAGAAATAGAAGCCTGTCTGAAACTCCAACACCCGAACTCCCCTGCCCCAGTGCACCGTGCCTCAATCAAAAACAGCAACCAACTCTGCTCCGACTGAATCTACCATTGTTACATTTGCGAAAACGGCCCAAATACTCTGACTTCCGTCCAATCGGTACACGAATCCAACTCCATTGCCGAATTTCTCGTTGTCCCATTTCACTTGAAGACTTTTGCTGTTGATACTGAATCCTGTCGACACTAGCGGACCTCCCCCCATTCCTGCATACGGCGCCTGCTCACTTGCACGAACTGCGGAGAATAGCGAAGCTTGAGCGCCAAGTGGTGCCCCCACAGGAACCGTATTGTTTCCGCAAAAGAGCTCAGTGGAAGAAGGGATATAGCATAGCGCGCCGACAGACTTATCGGTAGTTGTTGAGCCGTTCGATGTGAGGTAGATAGGAACGAGCATTGGAAGAGAAGGTGTCGAGATGACGATTTTGAAAGGTGGTGCGAGTGCTTCAGTCCTCGCGGGTCGTGCGGGTCGAGCAAGAACTGGTATCCTGATGCTTGTCAATAATTCCCTTGGGTTTCAACCTGTCAGAAAAGACTTACAGCAGCGAAAGCACAACCAAAAGTAAAGACTTCATCTTGTCGAGTGTTCTTCGTGTTTCTGTTTGTGAATAACTCGGAGCTCGTGTTTTGAAACGGAACAGCTCATGGCGAAAAGCCTTCCAACGCGATCATAACACGGCATGAAGTTCCAAGGAAACGAAATTGAAGGGGACAGAATAATATATCGGTCGCGTGATTTTTGCTCCCAAATTGAAAATATACAGCCTTATGGTGGGGCGTGGCCAGTCGGTAAGGAGCCTTGACATTGGTTCTTAGGCTGAAGTATTCCTGCATCCGGAGCCTAAAGGAGCTGCCAACTGGGACATGGTACATAAATGGCAGGATACCCTGAAGTAACAGTCTCTTCGAAACAATATCGGATCTCGGTACCAATGGCAGCAGGCACTTGTCTCTTACCGCAAACCCATACCTATAATTTCACGAAGATAAGAAACTCTGGTGGTGCTTTTTGTTCATATCAGACCCGGGGAAAATATTGTAGTCTCTGAAATAGAATTCTTAGGATAATCTCAGAGAGTCAGAACCAAACCCTCCTCTCCTTCATTCGGCGTTATAACCGTGTCGTGTGTTGCTGCTCGTACCATCTGCATAAGCAAACATCTCCACAATCCTCACTCCGACCAAAGCTAAGGGATTGCCAACGCTGTCCACAAATGTGTCCGATTTTGTATCTTCATTCAAGTCCTTCACTGTTCAGCGACTTGGTAGGCTTCGATGTTGATATCCAGCTCCATCCTGTTCAAACTTGAGAATCTTGCGACCAAGTCAACGAACATATCATGTGGAATCTGGTCTGCTGTCTCCCTGTAAACAGAGTGCTTGAGGTAGACAACACAGATATCCACACATAAACGACGTAGTGGACTGCCTACTACAGTATCCTCATAGATGGCATGGAAGCAGCTTGTCGGCACTATCATTGCAGCTAATTTAAGTCGATAGAACTCTCTGATCACCATGTTCTGGAGCTCTGGAATCAACAACTTCTCTGCCAAAATCCAGAGCTCAACAAGCGATATGAAACGCGTCTCATAATAGGCTGTCTTGATGGATTCTCCCGTGAATCCAAGCGCCTCAACATCCACTTTCTTGGTATAAAACCAGTTGATCAAGACACGGACGACAATTTCTGACGTATCTTGCAGTCGGTATTCTTGTGTCTGGCCTTCAATGAAGCTACTGTTGAAAGCCGCTTGGAATACTGGGGAATAGTGACACGCAAAGTCTTTGTGGACCATTAATTTCTCGATGCTGTCACCTGCGAATAATGTGACTAGTTGAGATGTGTTCCTAGCACGGATTCGCCAATATTTCTCTTGCGCGAAGACGAAAAAAGCTTCACAAATATCGGTTTATATTAGCGAGTGTTCGACTTTACTAACCTAAGCATAATTCGTCTCTTCTTGGCACCGTTCCTGGAAGTTCTTTGGACCATTGACGTAGAAGCTGGAGTGTCTGATGATATTGGGGTTCTAGAAGAGGACGCCATGATCCTGGCCGACTCCACCAAGTACCAGCTCAAGTTCAAGATTGGTTGTGCGATAAAGAATCTGCGGTGTGAGGACAATGAGGATTTTTCAATGTATTGTGATTTTTCTCGTACCCACACTTTTGCGATTGCGGTCCTTGTTATTCAGTGCAACTGCAAAAATCGAGGTTGTGCGCTGAAGTATAAGCTACTAGAAAGAAGAGGTTGCGAAAGGGAGCTCTCTTTTGACAAGAATCGAAGAAGACTAGCTCTTCTTTAGTGTAACGAATTCACTAGCACTCTTCCTCTGCCTGAAAATATCCTCGAAGGTGAATACTACACTTTTTTATTTAGAAATGGGAGGAAAACCGAACTTTTTGGAGATATTTGAAAGCTTTCTGAGCAATTCTAAGCAGTTCATTCTGCCTTGGATCTTCTAAGCAAGCTGGGACAATTCATTCCTTGGAAGTGTAGTTACCTACATCATGCCTTCATTCCACTTGATAGAACCAATTAGTAATTCCAAGCCCAGGTTGGTCCTCAGTCGTGCCTAGGTCAAATGTGTTAATTTGAATTAAATTCTCAAAAATAATAATACTCTAACACATTGAATGTTGGCAAACGTACACTCAAACTCAAACCCGACTTATGAACCCAAAAATGTTCCCAAAGCGCAAGAACATTCAAAGTGCACGGACTTCAAAGGGAAGAAGAATGACGATACACCTTGAAGCTCTTCGGGTGTCAATTATTTACAAAATTTATCAACAACCACCACTCTTACATATACAACAATCAGCATTATGAGCTCGTCTACTCAAGCAGCAGCGCAACCATCCAGGGTAGCCGTCCGGGCTCACCAAATCAGATCTCGACCAAACTTCAACTCTTCAACCGAATTCGTCACCTTTACCGCAAACAAGGACAATGTTGGCGTCAAGTTCGTCATCCACAAAGAGTTTGCTTGTCACTACTCTAAAGTCCTTAAAACTGCTTTTGCCAGTAGCTTTATCGGTATGTCTATCCTGTAGTGATTATATGTGAATCTAAGGGCTATTGTATCGTTTTTGAGCTTGCAGTGCTAATTCATTGTCCAGAAGGAGAAAGCCAAACGTACACCTTCCCGGACTATGGAGAGGAGGTTCTTCGACTCCTGGTAGGATGGATCTATTCGACTAATCTGGTTATGCCAGAGTGGGACAATATCTTCTTTGAGGACACAAATACCGATTATCTGACGCAACTCTGGGTGCTGGCGGATCAGCTCAAGATCCCGCAATTGCAGAACTGTGTTGTTCGAAAGCTCAAGGATATCACAGATAGCAGTGGCAGGATTCCGACTCATTGCTTAGACTACGTCTATCAGAATACAGGTGTCGATAGCAAGCTTCGAACATGGTACAGTACGTCAATAATTGCCTAAATTCCAAGTAGACCTTAGCACATCCTTTCAAGAAGGATGGGTTCGGATCTTCTACTAAATTTCTGATAGTGCACCGTTGTGCCAAGATCATGAGACCCTACTTCTGGTCCTCTCAGAACTTCCCACCCACGATGTTGCAAGAGGTAGTCGCCTACCTAGCAGAACGCAAGCCAGAGTTTCAACGACCCTTGTTTTCGGACGATGACTTGACGCGCTACGAAGTTCCCGAGGTCGAGCAATGATATCAACTTGCAGAAGTGAGAATTTGGTTTCTGAGAGCCCAAATACGTGTGAGAGTTTGGATCGGTTGAGGGCGGCACGTTGATGGCTTTGGGAAGATCGATATGGGAGCACGGAGTCGTACAGGAAATATGTTTCCATAAAAACTCTTTGCTTTTCATGGAAAGAATCAAATGGAGTTTGATCCACAAGACCTCGATATTGCACTTTCAATTAAGTAATTTCGTCGGTCTGCTTTTGACTGCCCGCAGCTTTCTTGCCTCTACCAATTGACTAGTTGGATCAACAAGTTTATAGTCTACATCTCTTTGCTGTGCGGCATAGAAACAATGTAACTGAGATCTCCGTGATCTAATGATTCTCTCTGACTTGCTTGGAAAAGTCTTGTCCTCAGTCCCAAGACAACCCAAAAACACGAGTGTTATACAGTATACACGTCACCTCACTCTGCAGAGCACCCCACTCTACGTAGAATATGATGCATTAATCTTTACATTATAGATGGAGGGAAGCTTGACCTGTGGCGCCTTGCAGAAGTATAATATGAAAGATTTAATCGCAAGCTGCCCAGGTCCATGAACGACCAACTGTATTTCTTCCTTTGAAATGTCCATATGACGCACCATCTCCGGACAATCAGAGCCACCGTAAGATGGGTTACATTCTAGAAATCCAACCAAGTTTTGTTGCAATCCCAACGGCTCCCCTAGATATTTAGATTAGCTGCAGTCTTAAAAAGAGTCGGAGTCGAAACTCGACTTACCTTTTTGTATCACTCATTGTTCAATAATCTCTCGAACTTCATAACGAGTCATATGATGATTTGGAAGTAGCTCTTCCAGACAGCCCTGATTGTCCCCGATAATCTCCAGCAACTCGGCCAAAAACTCCTTAGGGACCGAATCCAAGTTTTGCTGGTACCAATCGAACTCACCTATCACTGCATGCGCGTGCAGGAAGAAGAGACGCAGTGGACTTCCAACGGGTGCATGAGCCCACGTGTACTCGACAGATAGCCCTGGCCTGAGACCTATTGCCATGATAAGCCGATTGAGAGCGTGTATTGCCAGATTCTGGAGCTTTGGAATCAGAAATCTGTCCCCCAGTACCCACAGCTGAACCAGTAAATGGCGCTGTTGTACATGGACAGCATCATCCTCGATAGGAGCTGTGTTGATCAACTGTGTGTATAGCCATTCAACCAAGATCTTCACGGCGTGTGGGGTGGCATCGATAATCGTGTAGGTCTGCGTTTGTCCTTCGAGAAAGTCGCTGTTGAATGCAGCTCGTAGGACCGGGGAGTAGTGACAGGCAAAGTATTTGTGAACGATGAAATCTTCTTCGAGATCTCCGTCCTTCGCTACGAGTTTGACAAGCTTCGTTGGATTTCTATCTAGGAGTCAGTGTCTCGTGTTTTTATTTGTCATCGTCAGATGAACGTACTCTAGCTGAGGAGGATACTCGCCCCTAATTACGTCAAACCTGAATGGAGATATGGCTGAATGCTGAGGAGCGTGCGTCAGAATTCTATTTTGAAGTCAGCCGAATCAGTATTATATTAATTTGAGGATCATGAGACGAACGTACCCCAGTCGAGACTGCCAGTCGCCCTCAACTATGTTGTTACTTGACGACATGGTTGATATCTAAGTATTCTTGTTCTGCTCCGAATTCTCGTTGGTATTGTTGTACGATTTCGCTGCTCTTTTAGAAGACCCCTTTTGTCTTATGTGTGCGCTGCTTTGTAATGCTTTTAGGAGACGTTGTTTCATGATCTTTGAACTATTTTAGAGTTGTTTCGACAGAAATGGAGCAAGTAACATGTAGGAACAGCGCATAAGCTGAACGTCTACCTGCAAATCTTTATCAAGCTGTTGAAAGTCTCAAGAACTGGCTTAGGTTTTTTTTTCCTAATCCGGTCGATAAATTTCATCACTTCCATATGATCTATTCTATTCTATGGGATCTTTAATCTAGTGAGATAGCCTCATACGTTTGATCCGGATCTTGTACACATGGTTTACTGGTGCTTCTGGGCCTTCTATGACAGATGTGAACAGTCACATGATCGCTTAATCTCGTCAATAAAGGGGGAAGTCAAAGGGCCCGGACTGCAGCTGCGAGAAGGATTACTGCAAACGAACAGTCGGACTTTGTTGTACACCCTCAATTTGAGCTGGGATACAATGGCTGAGCAGGTTTGAGGTCCGCTGGTCCACAGGTCGATCAAGGACGATTAAGTCATCGGGGTCCATTTAACTTGGTGATAGAAGGATTGCTCTTGTCTGTGGCGATTGAATGAGATTGAGGAATCAAATCTCAACATGGTCTGCCTGAAGTTAACTGTTTTATTGCGTATCTCAAATACAAATATACTGAAAGAAGCATGATACTACGTAGTGTTACGGAGTATCGCTGCTAGAGTGAGTGTGAACCGTGGAAAATTTACTTGACGAATAACAATATTTCACTAAGCCAAAATTCATGTAAAATGGTGTGTTGTATACCCAATTGATTCCATATTTTAAATTCAAATTGAAAGTAACTGATTATCGTATGCTTGAGATATTTAAGTGTTGTGGTGGGAAGGAGCCTTTGGTGCACGGCTCACACTCGCTCTTGGAAGTTGATATGTTTAACAAAGTCTGGTCTTGGCACCACACTTACGGTGTGCACGGTGTCTAGACATTCATAGAGACAAGATAATGCAAGTATACAGATGCTGGCACTGATTGTCTATAGCACACACCAGCCCAGATTTCTACCGATATTGTCCCGCATAATTGACTCTTTCTCCCGTGGCAACACCTCGTTGTTCTGCAGATCCACCACAACTAAGAGAAGGACAATGGCACCGCCTCAATCGAACTCACCAGCGGCGTTAGTGCGCCCAGTAAGCAACCCCTCTGAAAACAACCCCGCGCTTCCCATAGCATCGAGTTCCGCCGCTCCTATGGTAGAGTGCCTAGTGTTGGTAACCGGTACCACCCACTCATTTCGATTCCTACTCGGCGACTCCGAACTCCAAGCCCTTCACAATCCCCTGCGACCTCATTGAAAAGCAATCTCCCGTATTGACTCAAGCATTCACGGCTCTATTCTACGAGAGCGAAGAGATGGAGTATCGTTTCGACGACCATGTTGTCCGTACCCTATGTCTCTAGCTTGAAAGCTTGAAGATCAACCTAGACCACCTTCGCAAGCCAGATACGGCCGAAAATCCATTCAAGCTCGAATGCCAAGGCATTAGTTCGACTCTGGGTCCTAGCTGGCAGACTCCAGATTCCAGACCTTTAAGAAATGGTTGTCGATAAACTTGACGTCACCTGGTAAGATGCGAAGGATGTTCCCATCGAGGCGTGTCACTATGTCTACGAGAATACGAAAGATGTTTCTGAGCTACGGGCTTGGGTGCTCTTCATATATACGCACGTTTACCCTATCGAAAACTTGGCGGAAAGAGATTTGGAGTTCCCCAGAAATGCTCCTTGAGATGGTTATCCTCAAGATATTGGAAAGTCATCATCGTGACTCCGAGGATGCATTGAAGATAGGAAAGGAATATGCTAGCTCAGAAGGTCTGTTGCCCCTGGATGATTTTCGACTTGTGGGATGACAAGCTAATTGCGTTGTGTGTACAAGGAGATGATGCTGACTGATGGTATAATCTGTCTTTGTTGAGAGATAATTGTATGGCAATTAGTATGGCAGCTTGGCATTGCTTTGCAACTTTAGCGGGCTTTTTGTGGTTTGAAGCCACTATCCAGGGGATTCTCAGTAGGGAGAGAGTGAAGTTCGGCAAAGAATAACTTTATATGGCGCACGGTATTGATGATTCTTACCATGCTTTTAGACAGAAATAATGAACACCTTCTTCGTCATTCACTCACTGCCCATCACTCATTTCATTAACAATCAAGTAGGTAGTAGTAAAGTGGGTAATGACACTTTTATAGTACTGCTAGGTAATATTGAGAAAGGAACCTTTGCATTAACGACAAACCGTACATAAACACTTATGTCACAGGCTAGGTTCACATGTCTAGGGAATTATACACACACCGCATTAGCTGTATTGATCCTGACGACTCAGCACTATAGTAATTTCCCCAAGGCATTATGGTCGCATGGCAAACTTAAGCTATTACCTCACAATTGTATTCTCCATCATGGCAATACCATAACCTGACTTTTAAAAATAACATTGTCCTAAAGCTTACCAGACAAGATTGATGGACTAAGCCCCAAACGATAGAGAAGATATCAGAAATCACAGAGTTATCATACAACCTCAATTCACCTCTTAGATAATCTCAAAGCGCCTCATCTCTCTCCAAGACTTTTATTATAATGATCGTGAATTCTCACCACAGTCTATCTCTTACACCAATTATGACCGCACCTGAAAATCAATTCCAGCTTGGAAACCCTCCTGTAGCTCTGAAAGCTAAACCCGAACACCAAAGTCATCCATATCAGTGTCCGTATTATCCCCAAACTGTACTTCAAAGGCAACTATATCATATCTGTCAAGCCATCCCTTTCTCTTCTATGTTCTGCTACGTGGCTGGTTACTACGGGAAATTAGTATAGATTTCAGCAAGACCTTCCAATTGCTATCCTCACCGTCCTGTACAGGCTATAGCTACGAAAGAACTCTACATGAGCTACTCAAAAGAATGAAGATCAAAGCCTATGGTACGAAGCTAGGAAAAAGAGGGGTGAAGAGGATATCTGGGATTGATACATTGGCTTTGGGTTAGATCATACCCCGCTCCTCTCGCATTGGTGACGACGAGCGGAAGGTGGTGGTAATGAGGTCAACATGAGCCATGTGGCAATAAGTTCTGCTTCTACTTTTTTGCTAGGTACAGGGAGCTGCTGTATTGCTGACCTAGATCTATCTGGTGTTACTAGTGCCATGTGGAGGGACTTCATCGACAGCAGAGGCTTCTTGACTTCAAGCTAGATTAGATACTAGATGCTTGCGATGTTACTCAACAACAAGGTCGTAAAAGACAACGAGTAGAAGAGCTCTGCTTGCTAGGATCAACAAATCTGGACCTGCATAAAGTCGCCGAGTCCGGAGATGATGTGAGATGAAGGACGTGCTCTTCAGGGACTTAAAAATAATCACAAAGAACAACTTGAAACGATTGTGTTTGCTGCAATGAATTGCTTTGTTTCAACTAACCATCAGAGCTGGCTAAAATACAGCTACAAGTTGATTTTCCTCATCCCCATCCCCACGAAGCTCATCGCTCAAAGCTATCAACATGGAAGGAAAACTCATCATTCGTCATCAAGCCACCATCGTCAAAACGCCCATTGCTTTCCCTTTTGCTTAAGTAGCATAAGTACTTCGCCCATAAAATCAAGAATGAAACGTCCAGCGTACACTCCCATACTTCATAAAAGCAAATCTCCGTATCGTGCGAGGCGCTCTGCCTTCATCGCATCATAAAACGCCATCAAACGCCCTTGTCATTGTGAAGTAAAAGAAAGCCAATCAGAAGGCTGTACTCAAACATCAAACAAAGAAACCATAATATTTCGCCCTTCAATCCATGTAGAAATCACCCTTGAGAATCCGCTCCTGGAATGCATCGGGCTTCTTGCGCTCTGGTCTGGCAGGTGCGGGAGCCGGAACAGCGGTAGGAGGGGCAGGCATTTCGGTGATGCTCTTGGCTCGCTCATGCATCGGCTTTGCAGTGGGAGAGGTGGAGAAGGAAGGTCGCTGACTCTGTGAGACGGAGCTTTCGGCACGGGATCTAAGTTGCTCAGACCAGTTGAAGCCACCTTCACCTGGACGAGCGGAAACAGGATGGTCAGAAGCAGTTCTGGGCTTTGATTGCGTGCTTGCCTGTGTCTGAACTTTTGGAGGGGTCACACCTCCATCTCTTGAACCAGAGCCAGAGCGAGAACTTCGCGGCCCTGACGGGATAGTGGGCAACGGAGAAGTGGTATAGGAGGGAGCTCTACCAGATGTACCTGGGCTTCCTGAACCCCGCACGCTACGTAGAGCTTGTGCACCAAAGGAGACTCGGCGAGTGAAGGGTGTAGTGGGTTGGCTGCGACCGGGGCCTTCCTCGTCATCGATGGCATTCTCATCAATGGAATCGGATCCAGCAGTTGAGACGCTGCCACGTCGAGCACCGAAGGGGAATGCGGTATTCTGAGTAGGAGAGGTGCCCGACAGGCCGAGTGTAGAGATGGACATGCGTCGACGCTGGTCTTGTGCAGCAGCTGTAGTGATAGGACCCGGGAACGGAGCTGTCGGACCACCAGAAGTGCTATTGGAGCGACCGAAGATGTTGTTGAAGGTCTGGCTGGTGAAGGAGCCACGTCGATTGCGAGTGGCAGAATCGTTGGGAGGGGTGGTATTGCCGTTGGTAGACATGTTGCAGGTAGGTAGTTCGAGGATGGATTCGGTTGATATGTGAGTGTGATTTGTAATGGTGAAGATTGTTGGCTGTGAGAGATTGTGTCAATGGCCCTCAGCTGCTCTCTTCAGCTTTGGGGATGGTGAATGACGTGGACTCTCGGTGTTGTTCTTTGTTCACGGGGTTATGCTCGCTCTCCGAGGTCGCTCGAGGCAGATTCCTTTGTCTTCGATGGCGTATGTTGCGGGGAAGAGCTTTGTCGTCGTGAAATAGGGCTCGATATCTTGTAGGTGAGGTATTGGAAGGTCGTTTGTGCCGCGAATTCGTTTATGTTGATGAGAGGAATGGGAGTGGTGGTCGAGGGTGAGAGAGGTGTGCTGTAAATAGAGGGGGATGGAAGAAGGAAGCCAAGCCAAGCCAGGACTTCCACATATTAACCTCCAACCCTAGTACCGATTATCCCTAGCGGTGACGCAGCTCGTCGCCTAATTTTCGAATCACAGCGCGAGATTATTTGGGCTGCAGCAGCCCGCCAATGGCAATTCTCTTCGATCTGGGTGGGTCTTGGCATTGATTGCTTCGTCCAACTGTGGGGAAATCACACCAAACCAGAACGGGATGGGCTCACATCTGCAACCACCAGGCCAAGAACGAACGATACCTCCATCTTGAATCGCGCATCGCTCAACTGCCACCGGCTCCAGAAACCATTCAAGCCTCACCCGCTCGTCTAAACTCAACATCGTACCATGGAGACCGGGAATGGGAGCATACGGCGACTTCTTGTTTCTCTGGTGGTCTAATGTCATGATACAATTGGCCTCACTTTGCAGCACACAACCGTTGAGGGCGTCTCACAGGCTTACACAACATGAGATGCTACAGTAAGCATATCCACGAGTGCCGTTTGACGGATCAGACATACAATGTGATTGGATGCTCGTACATGAGATGCCATTATTATACTGTATGCGTTCTCCGACCACACCTGCAGCTGCTGAGCCGTGTCCGAGAATAGTTGGCTCTACTCAACCTTGGGTCGCGGTTGAGATAATGTTGCATGTCATTTTGATTTTTGACATATGTGGCTTCTGTTTCTCCTGCTTAAGTGTCTGGGCGTCCAATCGAAGTCTATTTGATCTGATATGAAGGAGCGGTGACAGCTCAGGGTCGAAAAGCATCATTTCTGATCCGACCTTCATGCCAATGATAAATTAGACCCTTGAAGATCTTTGAGTGTATCGAGTAATGATAGGCCGTTTGAGACAAAGAAGACCCCTGGGCATGCTGCGAACCGAGCCACACAATCTTTAGCTACAAGAAGCAATATGCCGTCGTCACGCAGAAATGTGCGTCGGTCGATCGAGTGTCAGTTTGATGAGGAGAGGTCCCTGAAGCATTTTGATGTCTCAATGAGGCGTCATAGTGGTCCGAATGCCTGCATGTGTATCACGGCACGTGTTTGAGTCACGTGGACAGCTGATTGACATCTTCTTCTGTCAGCTAATCCAAGTTTCGGGAGCTTCTCTTCAAGTTGTCAAGTCAGATTAGGGATCTGAAGTGGAATTCGTATGACTGAAGAAGGTGGTTGAGAGAAAGAGGCGCGACCATGCCTATTTGGCTAGTGCTATGCTTGATTCTTCCTTCCTAATCTGCTTTCTTCTCTGCTTGCCTTCATTTCTTTGATCTTAAGATTTACGCGAAAACATGGTTGTTCTCGTCCAAATAATTTTCAATAGATGATTCTTGAATCCATTCAATCTTCTGTCTTGCTCAAGTCAATGTGATCTTAACGATGACCACCACTTGATTCGTGTCTTTCTCTGCATAAACCCTTGTTATTGATATATTCGGCTCCTTTGTACAGCATGCGAGTGCAATAATCTCTCTGAGGACTAGGGAGGGTTTGAACAACTTACAAGAGCACATTAAGGCACAATCAAGGGCTGGAGACACCTGACGAAGCTTAACGACCCCTCGAACCTCGAATCTGGTTGCTTGAAAGACCGTAATTCAGCCTCATGCACCCACTTGAAAAGAAAAGTTACACTGTATCAGCTTCAACACTAACGCTCGACTTCATAGAAAAACAAGTTCCCGGTGAATGACTTTCGGATTCGCCTCGCTAGTAGCGCTAGTATAATACCATACCAGCGCTATTCACACCTATCCAGATACAAGCGCAAACACCTTCAACTGGGAAGCCAGAGATTATCACAAAACATTTCCCCAATTCTGAAGTCATCGTCAGCACAATGGCAGACCAAGATTCTTCGAGATCTGCTCAGATGACTGCCGTAAACAATCCAACGTCTTCGCTAGCATCATCACGCGCAACTGCAGCAACGCCCTCAACTTCGAGCTCTTCAAACGAAGATGATACACCTGCTTCGACAAGTCAACGTCGCCCTACCAATGCTCGGAAGATGCCACCCACGTTCAGGTATGTTAGATAACTCGGAAATGTCTTGTCGCAACTACTAATACTGATCAGGAACTCCCAGATGCTTGTCAAGCTCTATCCTGGTTGCGATCCTAAGGCTGAGCCCTTTGTTGTGCACAAGGATTGGGCTTGTCATTCTTCCTCTGTCCTAGAAGCAGCTTTTAACAGCAACTTCCTCGAAGGTCAGACGCAGGAATACCGCTTGGATATTGAAAGCATTGACGAAGATGTTGTTGCGCTGTTCGTCCATTGGATCTATACACAAAAACTAGATCTATCTCCAGTTCAAGCTTCCGGTGCTGAAACTTTGCCGACGAGCTCCAACAAGGACATTGTCTTGGTCAAGCTTTGGGTTCTGGCCGATAAGCTGGTGATTCCGTCCCTACAAAACAAAGTCATTGATGAGATTGAGGAAACTCGCCGAAGCACAAGAAAAGTAGCAGTATATTCCTTGAGCTACGTGTGCAGGAACACTTCAAGAGATAGCCCTCTCCGTCGTCTCTTTCTAGCTCAATGCGCAGGACATCTAAAGACTAGCAGTTTCGCTTCGGATCCCCTTAACTATCCCCAAGACTTCCTCATTCAACTTGTAATGCTCCTGAAAGATGGTATGACTCCGGAGGTAAAGGAACGGCTCCGTCCACGCCACGACATGAGCGTCTTCAAAGTAGCGGAAAATTAAGGGCATGTATTGCTGGGCTCTTTCGGTCTCTGACAAAGTCTGCATTTTGGGGAATTAGCTGCTTTAATTTGCCACACTATGCATTGTGGCTGTCAGTGGGTGTCTGGGCGAAGATTCTAGCGATGACTCTCTTCTCTACGCACTCTTCGTTGGGAAGGAGCAAGTACCATAGCATAGATCAATGACTAGCCCCTCTTAAAAAATACACTCGCATGCTACTGTGAAATCTTAACAACTCAACTCTAGCTCCCGTTCTCCCTAATCTTGACTTGCTACAACAAAATCCACCTCCTCAAGGTCACAACATCGCCGCCTCCATATTTCTCGAACAACCTTTCGAGACCGTCTCTACACGAAACATCACATCAAACTCCAATTGCATCCGTACACTGAGAGACAGCAACATTTTCTACCCTCTGTTCAAATTTCATCTTCAAAGCTCCCACAGCATGACCTGATGAGGAACTGCGCTTCCCTTTCCTTCTTTGAACAAATTCTTCGACCCCCTCCCTTACCTTTTCGAACAAGTGTGAGAGAGGAGGTGTGGGGTGAGTAGTCTAGAACTTTGAATTTTATACAAATTGCTAACTTGCTAATTTTAACACATTTGTCGTCTACTTTGGCGAATGTCTTCAGACTTAAGAGATACGATAGAACTTGCAATGTAGGTCTTGGGGATAACGATTCTCTGCTTTGAGGATGTACGAGCATTACAAGAGAGAAATGTAGGGTGAAAGTGTGTAGTTGAATATGTTGACTTTCAAGTTTGTGATTGTTCGAAGCTTTTAGAGCTAATATAGCACTCAAAAGTGCGGATTTGGACATCTTGATGTTGGTTTCAGTTCTTGTTTCAAGCATCAGAGCTTAATGAGTCTCAAAACTATTGTACTTCACTAACGACTTCTCAATTTATCACCTTATCTACCCTCTTTCTTAACTTCCCAATCTCCTCAGGCCCAACTCTACAACACCCCCCTACATAAATACTCTCCCAAACACCCCTCTCCCTAGCCCTTATCACAATCCCAAAAACTTCCTCATCCCACTCCTTCTCTTGTCCTCCCTTTCTCGCTTCCTCATCAACCTCCCACCTCTGCGTCACCGTATTATACCTCTCCCCAACCCTCGTCCCATCCGGATAAATCACTAAACTAACCCCTCTCCCATCCTCTCCTAAGTCCTTGAGCGCATCTTCAAACTCCCTTACTAAGCCGTCCACCTTCCCGACCTTCGTGCAATTAAGCCCCACCCCCATCGGCCTACTAGCCCCCTCTCTCCTCCCCAACATTGCCCTGACAACCTCTCTAAGACTCGACCCATCCGGCAACCTATTCTCCTCCCCCGGAAACACACAACTAATCCAAAACGGCCTCTCCTCTGCCCTCCCCATCGACATAAAAACAGCCTCCCTCACAGCAAACACCTCATCTATCCTCGGCACCGTCTCGAAAGCCAATAAATCCACATTTCGCCAACACTCTCTCCTCTCCTCCTCCTCCTCTTTTAATGGGAGAAAAACCTCAAGGCGCTTAAAATGCCAATCCCTTAGCTGCGTAATGCTAGAATGAGAACTATCATACACCCCACTATACTCAGAACTAGGAACCATAGTCGCTCCATACGCGCCAAGACTGAGCGCTAGCTTTCCCATCCCCTTCCCTCTCCCTTCACTCAAAGCCTGCCTCGCAATCCCAACCGCGCTCCGCATATAGCGTTCAGCGTCCTTGGCTGCGTAGCCGGGAGCCGTGTTAGCGAAACCTTCAAAGGACACTTGGTACGTGGCTGTGAGGAGGACGTCGGCGCCGGAGGTAGCGAAGGATGATTGTGCGGATAGGAGCGTGGAGGGCGAGGAGAGGAGAAGGTGGGAGGACCAGAGGGGCGTGGAGTGGTTGAAGGTCTGCAAGTGTGGTGGGGAGGTGAGGAGGGTTCCTAGGCCGCCGTCTAGGAGGATTATGGGGCATTTTTGGGGGCTCATTTTTGAGTGGGAGGGGAGAAGATGGGTCAGGATGAGATGAATGGATGAGAAGGGATGAGATGGACAAGGAAATAGTAGATGGAATGTGAGATCTGAGAGGGAGTGATACTGATGAGGAGTTGGAGTTTGAGAGGGTCGAGAAGTGAGGTGGGGCAAAGCTGAGAATTGAGATTTTTAGCGGGGTGCAGATTAGCGAGGCCAGAGTGGAGACATTCAGGGGCTTACCGAGTCTACGGTAACGAGCACTGGTTTTGTGGATATGTATGTATTCGATGAACATACATTAATCATACTGATGGTAGAAAATTGGTATACATATATCAATGCTCTGTCGAATATACAGGACTCGTTTGCTGTGAGGCTACAGCAATGCCACAATCTACTCTTCATCATAAGGTCAACAGGGGTATCTCAGATGTCATGATCGCAGAGCTCAAAAACGCCTCCCTTTCTTCGCCTTCTTAGCACTCTTTGCTGGACTCTTGTACCCCGCCGCCGCCAGTTTCGTAGCAAGTTCTTTCCGTCTCTTCTCGGCAGCTGCCTTCTCATTCGCCAAAACTTTAGCCCTCTCTGCCTGTTCTCTTTCAACTGTCAAATCTTTTTCAATTTTTTCCTTGGAAGTTTTCGCAATGCTGACAAGTCTTTCCTTCTCGACGATCGATTTATCTGACCAGATCTTGTTCAGTTGAGGTGCTGTAGCAAGATAGTACGGCATGCCAATGGCTTTGCGCCAGCGCTCCCGTGACTCATGAAACTCCGCAAACTTGTTAGGAAAGTCTCTCTCTAGTACGTAACCAATGAATGGCTCAATTTCGGTGAAGGACAACTTTTGAAGTACTGTGTTGTCGCTGGTCTGCGCCGTGAGCTCAATCTGTTGCCGTGCAGCTAGACCAAGATCATTCCAGCAAACCTCCACCTTTTCTTCCATGACCTTGCCCTCCTTTGTATCTCTCGGATTGAAGAAGAACGGTTCGGAGTCCAAGCTCAGGGAATTGAGCCAGCCTCGGCGTCGTGTCTCGAAATCGGCTAACCTTTCGGACTTGATCTTGGAGAAGAGGAATACTTGCTCTCAAAGTCAACCCAAGAAGGCTTTGGAGGGTTCAACATGACTCGTAGATAAGCGGCTTTGGCCTGGATGGCTCTTCTCTCTATAACAGAATAAGAGTTGCAGTGCAATTGATCCACAGCTTTCGTTTCTGGGAGATACACACACAGACTACTGTACAATGGACCGTGCAGATTCAGATCCTTGAGCCAGGCTCTCCGCTTGTTCATAGTATTGCGAACATCATTGAGATTGCATCCTAGTGCATTGAAGAATTGCATTGCAAGGACTGAGATTGGCAGCGGAAGGACCTCTGGTGGAACATGTCGCAGGGGTATTGAGTCCAATTTTATTGTTGTCTTGTACTTGAACATAACGGCTTGGCGTTCCACATATTTGCGAAGATGTGGCGGAATTTGAGCCCACGCGTCCTCAACTTCTTGTCTCTGGTATAGTGTAGTATATCTGTAGTGAAACAGCGGCGCGTCCAATCCGATTTCCTTCAGCCAAGCTAATCTAGCCGAGTAGTCCTTTTTGTTTGGGCAGTATATGTTCTCCAAGTCGTAGAATGATAGGTACATATGTGGAGCGAGAATCTGTGGTCCGGCATGGGAAGCTTGAGGATTTGCTGCCACGATGTTGGCAGATTTTGCGCCGAGTGGAGACCGAGCCTGTGCCGCGACACCTGAATGAGGATGCTTTGAATGAGGCAGCAGTTGGGGTTGTGATGACACTACCGGAGCATGAACAGAAGTATGGTTTGCGTTTTCTTTCTGGTCGACAATGGGGGTCTTTGGAGGTGGGTAAAGCGAAACATACACTGCATTTTTTGGTGCGGGGTTGAGTTGTGGGTTGTGAGAAGCAAGTTCAGAGTTAGCTGGCTTTGAGACCTGCGGCGTTTGTTGACTCTTATTTGGCAGATTGTCGTTTGAAGTCACAATCCTAGCACTTCTCAGTAATTGCCAATATCCAATGGAGCTGTACTAACTCTTTGAGAAACTTCTTTCCAGTCGACTCATCAATAGCCGATACAAAATCGCTTCATCCACCCATTTTCGCATAAGCTTTAATCGCTCAGCTTCTAAAGGCCCTATATCCTCTCCACTTATCTCCTCCAGGTCAATCACGAGCGTCTCCATTGCTTTCCCCTTCTTACTTTGGGCACCGACGCGTCTTCTCTTGGTTGGTCGCAGGCTTGCATCACCACTCGAGATGCTAATGATTGAAACTCGCCGAGGTTCAGGACTTGATTTCCTACTCGAGATACTAATATGCGACACACTGCGCTCGCGGATCTCCATTGTCGCCCTGTGTCTAATTTGTGGGGTGTTATTGTTATTTACTTTCGTCGCAAAAGCGCGGACGCGGCTCTCTAAAATTATGGCCCGTGCACATGGTGCGTCATCACGTGTAGTCAAAAAGACGCATTTCCTTTCAGATTTCCAGGTCCTTAAAACTCGTTTTGTGTTAATCTAAGATGTGTTAGAGAATTATATTAGCTGATTGTTTTGTTTTCCATAATACAACTCCTGTTGCTTCGTAAAGCTGGATATCCAACGCCAAGCACCAAGTTTCACGCTTGAACCCAACTCACAATCGCGAGAATGTCCATGTTACTTTTGGACATTCAAAATGTCAAGCGCATATTTTTTCGTCCAACTACAGCTCCTCCCTGCCATCTTCGTCCCCAAATCGATACCTGTCTCTGCCCCAATCCAGTGGGTCACCACCTGGGACACAGAGACCAAGTCTCCAGAAATAGTCTCTGTGCGCAAAGAATAGCTGCCACATTTTGTACCTCGCTGGTATCGGGACGCCCCATCTCTTGCTGAGTTTCTCCCCGTCTGCTTCTTCAATCTCCAAGTCCACGTCACCATCAGCAGAATTGTAGATCTCGGCTGCATCGGCTGCTTGTCCATCTTGAAACCACGATTCATCAACCTCAGCGCTGGCGATGCAGTTGATATCCTCATCGCCAAAGCAAAGGCGAAGATCTGAGACAGCAGGCTGGAGAGATGGCTTAGAGATGAACACTTCTCCTGCATGAGATCTGTAGCCCCATTCCTGGAGTGGCAGTAGAGGGACTGGATCGTCAACATGAGTGATACGCCTATATCGACCAGCATGCATAGGTTTTGTTGCCTCAGAGTCACCATCCGAGGGCAAGTCGAAAATGCCGTCAACATAATTCCTCATGCCTTTATTCCCAATCTTCGGCTCGCCGAACGTGGTCACAACCGGTTCCCAGCCAAGAGCATCAAGCTCCAAGCCAGCAAGTGCAGCCACTGCGCCACCAAGTGAATGTCCCACAAGATCTACCCGATAGCTCGGATGTTTCTCTTTTAACACCTTCAGATGAGGGATAACAAACGGCCTTGTGTTTTGCCATGAAGTCCAGAATCCAGAATGAACTGTGCAGTTGCTGCATTTAACCGGTTCAGGCTTCTTTTCTTCCTCCACTTGCGCGCCAAATAGCTTCTTCAGAACTGGAGGTTTGGGAACGTAATCCCATAGCGATCGATGATGTCCATGTGTGGGAAGTATAGGTTGGTCAGGATCGCTCGAATTATCAGGACTGTCGGGATAAGGGATATATTCCTGTGGCACAGTACTCAAATCCACAATGGTGTTCGCGATGCTGTATGTCCCTCTAAATGCCACAATGATTCTGCCTTGTCCTAATCTGCCAGTACCGTGATCCAGCACGATGTATCCGCAACTGTCGCTCATCAATGGCCCAGTATTGAAGGTGTCGACCAGGTAGAACTTGGGGAATTCGTCGCAGCGACTGACGCATTCGAATGGCTTCGAGATCCCTGTTGTGCCGACGCAGTAGGAGATATCGACTATTCGCGACAGCTCTTCAAGCTCAGCGAAGAGCTGAATCGAGATGTTGCTATTCCATTCTGTGGAGTGAAGGTTGAGGTTCGGCGCTTCCGAAACGGTGTATCGGAGGGGCGAGGGATGCGCAGAAGCAACAGAGGTTGCGATGAGAGTGGTGATGATGCTCGAGTATCGCATCTTGCGTTATGCTCGTCACATATTCGGTGTAAACTTTCGTGCCGGACAAGACAAAGAAGAAGAGTTCGAGGGGGTCAAAAGGAAGGAGGTTTGTTTTCGTCGATCGCTGTCATTCAAGTTCGTCATCCAGCAAGCCACAAAACAGGGGTACGATGCGCTAGTCCAGCAAAGAAGACGACACACATGACTTGTCCAGGTGATGCTCTTTGTATTATTGACTCAAAGCCTCAAAATGCTTACCCGGGAAAGGCTCACACATGCTTATTCACCACGTGGCTCTTCATCTAGGCATCAGATACTTGTCTTTTATCGTGTGAGAGGTTTGAAATGGTTGTTTGTGTACTCTGTTGTTCACAAGTATTCGAATCATTCTTCGCCGTGGTGGATATTCACTTTCGTTATAATGGCTTTCTATGAATGAGCAAAGCCCTCTTCATTTCCTACATGCACGCAGCATTTCTGACAAGAATGGTAAATGCCTTTGCTCATTTGACATCGCTATTCTCGTCCTTATTATCTTTTCCATAGCTGAAGGCTAAGCAAACTCAATTTCATGAATGCTTCCAGGCATGAACATCGAATATCCTTAACATACGCTCAGCCACCTGCCACCAATGCCGTAATGCGACCGCAAAACACAGGTTCCCTGTGCTCGTAATCAGCAATTATTGCTTTACCTCTTTAGAACATCTTACACTTGCTGCGAATTATGAAGCTTGCCGCTTGACATGGTAGTCTGTTGTCGGAATCTCGCTCCGCTTGCTCGTGATAACATTCGATGGTGCGGCATCCCTGTAGGCAATTGCCACATCCACAAGCATGTCTTGAGGAAACTTGTCAGATTTATCTTTGATGTAGTCTGCAAAGAATGCCCAACAGCACAGATCAACTACCAAGCGTCTAAGAGGACTACCTTCCTGAGTGTTATCATAGATCTTGCGGAATTGGCAGCTGCTCATGACACCGCAGATTTGGTATATACGCTTCATGTGGTCGATGACTTGATTCTGAAAGTCTACCATCAGGAATCTATCTGCTAGGAGCCACAGATCAATCAAGTCAGTGTCTTGCTGTGCACACATCTCGATATGTTCTTCGTCCTCCGCAAGCACAAGGTCGTCTTCGGCGTTCAGATTGTGGTAATGAAGGGTAATCTTTCCAGAATAGAGGAACTCGGTGAACATTCGGAATGCGGCAGCACTTGTGTCTTCGAGTATGTAAGTTCCGGTTCTTCCTTCAAGGAATGGACCGTTGAAAGCAGCTCTCAACACCTCTGAATTCTTGCAGGCAAATTCTTTGTGGACAATAAACTTCTCCTTCTTTAAGCCGACGATGAAGGTGACCATGTCACTAGGGTTGCTGCTACACGTTAGTATGCAAGATGAACAAGTGTTGTAGGGAGAAACGCGTACGAGAATTGCGGGGTCTTCATCTTCTCGATCTTTGTCAAGGCGAGGTTGGAGAACTTTGCCGCTGTGTCTTCAACTGTGTCTTGTAAGGCTACAGTAGCCGTGAATCCAATGGATCTTGGCGAGGTGAGTGTTCCAGGTAGTGGAGGGAATGCAGTTGGATCTTCGACGTTCGGAGTTGGAACCCAAGTACCTGTGTCCCGGTACGGTTGATAAGCAGGGGCAGGACTTCTTTGTCGTCCACCTCTGCGTCCAGGCATCTTGAATGTAGATATCAAGGTGAACGGATCGTGTTGTGTCGAAGGAACTGTGGAGTAAGGGTTCGCGCAAAAAAGAAGGAAGGTGAAGAGCTTATTAGCGTGCCTGCGAAGGTGGGCGTTGAAGGTGAAGTGGATGAAAGAATGGAAGAGTCAACAAACAACTTTACTCTACTCGCCTGACGTAGGGAGACTAGAGCCACTCACTGATAGGCATCGCGAGCATGCTCTCGCTTAGAGGGCATGAGTTTCGCAAGGCTGGCATGCAAAAAAAAAAAAAATTTCATAGAACAAAATGGCAAAACATTAATAGTCCACCAGCGAAGGGCACGACTACTTAGTACAAGCGCGAAGCATTGTTTATCCTTGACTGGGTCTCCAGGTTAGACCTGAAGACTTTGGTACTTTTGTCAGAGACCTACTCCGGATTCTGTTCATGACAAACAGAAGGAGCCCGGAAGCCTCCGCTTCAACTACGCCAATTCTCGGAAAACAAAAATGCTTATTTAACATTATATAGGTGCTTGCCAGACAGGAGCTAAGCTAGCCGAATTGAGACACCAGCGAATCCCGAACAGCCATCAACCCTTTCGCAGCTAATTTCATCGGCTCAATCCCAGAAAGAGCAAGGGTTCTCGGCCACTTATTCGCGATGTCGAACTTGCTCTTCGTTCTACACGATTATTGGCATTTTCCATGCAGAGCCAGGACCTCGAGCAACTATATCACAAGCCCTTGAGAGTCAAGCAGAGTGAAAATCAAGAAGCACCACACCTGAGAACAGCAGATTTTCTTTTCCTTGATTACAAACATAATGCAATATAATGTCATCTCCTACTTCACGACGTGCGGTAAAGATTTATGTTGTCGACTTCGGTCACGACTTCGGTCCATGCCTTCTCTTTCTTGATGTGGCGTGTATGCTCAGGTGCAGCAATCTTCATGAAACCCACCACTTTAGAAGAAGACTTTACGCATGTTCAGTCAGGATTTCTAACGTCTATATCTCAAGCACATTCACTCGGCTCCAGTCATCATAATGCCTTATTTCTAAACAGTTATGGATATTCGCAGATCTGCGCTTGCACCTTTCTTGATTGCAAAGCATATTGTAGAGAACTCTTGAGATTTACACCAGCATTCGCCGTAGCCAGAACAAAAGCTCGGTATATGTCTCAAGAGTAGTATTGAACCATTCTCTCGTGCACTTCAGTATGAATACCAGCTGCGGCCGCTTGAGGCGACGCCGAAGATAAACAATTTCGCGATTTATCTTAACAACTCTCAAGATCTTAAGAAATGATCAATTACAAGCGAGAAGCATACCCACTGACTGCTGGTAGTGATAATTATCTTATTTTATAAGCTGAGCCATAGACGAAGCAGCGAAGACGAGGTGTCGACGAGTGATTGTGACGTTCAACAACCTGCACGTGATCTTGACACTTGAGAATATCTCCGCTTCTTGGCAGTGAAAGGCATAAGAGAGCCACCTAAGAGGGATGACCATAACAAATATCATTTCATTAATTGGAGTTCAGACAACCTAGACATATCTTGAAATTACTTGGAGAACGATCGCGTCGAGCATCGACGACATCACCTGAGTGGACCCGAGCTTCAAAGATCAAACACCTCAGAGAGCGTTTAAAGTGACAGACCAAGTACATCGAAATGTTGTTGCGCTTTAACTCCTTCATCCATTTTCTCTTGACATCCCATGAAGCATCCTAAAATATCATGAGAGTCTGATAACATCTCTCAATGCAGCCAATCACAGTCTAAACGGTTATACCTGAAGTGAAGCCGTCAAATTTGGGAAATCGACTTCAGCACAAACCAATGCTAATAGTCAAGTTTGAACAAGACATGAACGCTACTATACTACATAGCATAGTACGGTCGTTATGCTCCAAGATGCTCAGATCCACGCATCTGATTTTTGCAAAACCTTGCATCGATAATATACTCAACTTTCCAATAAACGGAGATCTGTTCAACGGTCTTCGAGTATCTCGTTTCGGAGCCGTGAACAACCTCTTCCTTCGATGATTCATTAAAGTGATCATGTGATCCGACCCCTTTCCTGTCTCGCTTAGCCCACTTAGAGTACCAAATGTCGAATCAAGATCCGCCGAGCCTCCCACATCACCAAACGAACTTTAAAAGCTGCTATTAGAGAATCTGTCGAGCAAGATTTTTACGGCCTACTACTTCGGTGGTTAGCTGAAGTTTTGCTTCCTCTTCCTCTCTCTATGGAGAAGAGGGATTTGGGTAAGTGGGGTTGGGTTATTCTTTTTCCTTTCACGCTTCGCCTGCGGTGCGTGTTTAGTTACGCACAATTGATACTTTTCAAAACCATTCTGCTTTACATCTTGTTGTGTATTTCACCTTGAAAAAGAGTTCAACCTTCGAGGATCCTCCAAGAGCTGTCTGGAAGCTCGCTTCCCGAAGAGCAACTGGCCGGTCCTCGATTCAGAACCCGGAAGATATACGTTTGATAGGAATTTATACCTACGAATAGATGTCAATTCTCACTCCTTAACATAGACTTTACCAAGTACTTCATATAGGCGATTTTGATTGCCGCTGCTAACATGACGTAAGCAATAATTAAAATGCAGTCCATCTTACGCTGCAGTCCAATTCACAATGCATTCTCGCTTGTCCTTTTCTGAAAAGCAGAGGTGCATGCTTTCCAATTTCTTCATCTCGACTAAATAAATTTCTTCTCGGCTTCGATCTTTCCTTCCATAAACAGCTTTGGCAATCGAAAACAAACCAAAGCACACTCATCTCAACTCAAGTTTTATTCAAAATGCCAGCTCTTTCTAAAATTGTCGGAGCTGCATTCCTGGCCGTCGCAGCATTCTTTGCCTCAGGAGTCATGGCAGAGGTGGTAGGCGTCGAAATCAACCAAAAGTACGTACCTTTACACCCTTTTTTCGTTCCGATAAGATATGTCTAACCTTATGATAGCGCTTGGGTACATCTCGGCAATGGTGTTTCTGCCAAGATGGGTGAAGACTCGGACCGCACCAAGATGTTCCTTTGGCTTGACTGTACTGGGATCAATGATTCGGAGATATGTCCCCGCATCGACGGTGCCGATGGTAGTACATGGGACGCTTGAAATCAAACTACCGCAGAGGGACAGGTAAAAGGAGTGTCAATCTTCAGGCGTGCAAACAACTTTTTAATACTCCTTTGAGTTTTGGCTTCTTCAAGAATGCAGACTCCATCATATCTTCATCCACTATTCTATTTGATGTCCCACTGCCAGGTGTCCAATCTGTCAGATGCGTAGTTTTCAAGATTTTACTTTGTGAGGCCACGTTTTGACTTTTTGTGTCCTCCACTACCTGATAAGAATCGCTGGAAAATACGGAGTTTATGGGGGGAGATAGCTCTCGCTACCAGATTCCACTCTGAAAACTTCGAATCCTCATCAATGATTGGCAGATCTGAGGCACTAATCCCGCACAGCAGAATAGAAATCGGCAAGTAGAAACTGTGCTGAAAATTCGATTTGTATTGAATTTCTTACTCCATAGCAAGCACTCTTAGTAGTTCTTAGTACAAAAGCAATCTGTACACTAATAATCTTTTGTATATTGCATAGACCGATAATCTTGGTCCCAGCTTTGTGCCAGACCATATACAAGCGTGACGCGAACATATTCTATACTGCAATTACTCCGTATCAAGTATGGTCACTCTTCGATAGCAGAACAGACACTAGTTAGTTCCAAGACTTTGTATATATAAATCTTTCTCGCACTTCCAATTTTCTCCTTGAGAAAATAATCTGCCATGGAAGACAAACGAAGGCATACAGCACACTCGTTCACAACCACCAAACAACCTACACTCGTTTCAACTCAACCTTAATCAAAGATGCCTGTCGTTCCGAAGATGACAACCAAGAAGGCAATCTTGGCAATCATTGCCTTCTTTGCCTCTGGAAGTTTGGCATCAGGTGTTTCCGTCTGCAACAAGTACACGAATCCCCACCTCTCTCATTCTACACAGACATATCTAACATCACATCAGCTTGCCCTACCAGCTCCAAGTCTACAACGTCCCCGGATCCCAACCTGCATGCGCAGGCATCCAAACATCTCACCACCCCATCGACTCCTGTACCTGCCACGAGCTCCCATGGACCCCCCTCGGCTGCGGCGTCTCCATCAAAGCCTCTAAGGACTTCGATCTCACTCGCGGCATCGTTCAATTCGAGTACACTAGAACTGAATTTGGCGCCGCGGGCTCAGAGATGAGCTTCGATATCAGTGATGTCGACGGTGGCGCTTCCGGCGTTGCGGGTAGTGCCTTCCTCGACGCCCATATTGTCGCCAGAGCGGATGGTGAAGGTGCGGAGACTTGCAACCCTCCTCGTTTGGAGTGTGAATTTGGTAAAGTCTGTGCCGATGCTTACCGTTATCCCACCGATGACGTTAAGATGAGAGTAAGAGATTGGAGCTGTTTGATAGAGGTTGCTGCTGACAGTCTCTAGACTTGCGCCAAGAGAGCTGATCGTTGGGTCATTGAGATCAATAATCCCAATGGTGGCTGCAAAGCTAATCCACCTCTGCTGGAGCAGCAAAGACCAGCAGAAACGGTGTACGAAATTGATGTGCCAGATCCGGACCATGTATGGACCGAGATAGTCGACGTAGCAGTGGAGGTAGAATAAATCTCAAGCATGAGGCAACGAAGTGATGATAGCCATGAATCTCTGCCTCTTCCTCAATTGAATTCTTCTTCTCCCATTCACTTTCCGAAATGACAGGTGTTCGTTGTGCGACGTGCCTAATTCTCAAGAATCTTTTTCGTGGTGCCATATATGAAATTTGTGTTGTTCCAATGCATCTCCAGATTGGTACCAGATTTCCAAGACTGGGACTTTGATACTCACCATTACTAGATCCCGCAACTTATATCCCGAATGTCCGTCAATGATTGGAAGGTCTTGGATTCCAGTCCCACTTTATCGGAGCTAGATTAGACCCCCTTTTCAAACCGTGGTAAGCGAGACGGCACTTTTAAACATTCCCCACATTAGTGGATCGGATCATTGAGTTCTCTAGATGAGCGTAGACTCCGACTTTGTAAATTCTCGTCATTAGAAGGTGTGGAAGAGCTGCTCTACTTTACTTACATGGAGTTTTCCGGATCATCTCTGCTTCGAAGTCGTCAGAAGAATGTTTCTCGAATAAGTCGATACTTCTACCTTGTAAGTCATTCCCTTTCCGTCTCCACTGAAGCCAGATTAACAATCCACCGTATTCTCAATCACTCATTCAACGAACATCGTCCTCAGGCTGACCGTCAAATCATGGCCTTCTTCTCGCATCGCCACCAATCCTAGATTTGACTTAGCAACCAATCCCATCTCCGATCTTCCACCCTACATCAGCCAATTACAACCCCTCGGAAAATTCCAAATTCTCAGCACGAAATATCCGAGCCCAGGCCAGATGAATCCCGCATTTCCATGCTAGCAAGGCTCCATCATCTTTCCAGGCGACAATCCCGCCGATCCCGCCGGGTCGGGTCGCGATCCACTATCCAGGTCACTCGGCCATAGAACATCAAATCCAACACAAAATGCCCGCTCAACTGCGTGAAACTATTGCCAATGTTGGTGTTGGCGACTGCCTTTTCCTTTCGTTTCACTATCCCGCCAATCAGAATTCCAAGGCGGCGTATCAGAGGCCGAACTTGGTCGCGAGGCGAGTTGGGCAGCATTTTCGGTTTCGGGGTCCTTGCTTGTTGGGTGGCCGTTTTCGTCCGCCCTGGGGAGTTGTTTGTCCGTTTTTGAGACCGACCGAATTGATTTTTGATCGTCCTGGGGATTTGGAAAGCCTTGTTTGAAGTTTGTTTATTTTTGTCGAGATGGGAGTGACGCTGAACATAGGTAAGGCGAAATGAAAGGAAAGCCCTGGGAGCCTGGGACTAGCTAGTCTGGGATTGATATTCCTGTGACTGTGAAGTTGTTGTCGCTCTTGTATACCCCAGATCGACGGCCTCGTCCGCAGTTTTTGTTTTTGGTCTGTCGGGATGAGAAGTGGAATTTCAGGTGGAAATACAGCTAGCAGCCTGGAAATACCGGGACTTGCTTGCCAGCCTAAAATCAACCTCCCTTCCCCTGAGAATGTTCTTCTGCTCGCCCCAGAAATTGCAATGCGACTCATTCTCCAAGGCGGATGACTCCTCCAAAGTGACAGCATTAGTGAATGCCTTCATGCAGCCGCCTCGTCCCTTTAGACCAAGCTACATAGCTGTTCGTACCTTCGTAGTTCTAGACACGGAACAAGGACTTGATCCTTGGGATCTAGGAACTCGCCAGGAGACAGCCTACCCGGACCTACCTGACGTCAAGAAATGCTCCTTTGCTGCAGCCTTCACTCATCTCGCTCTTAGGCCATAGAATCGCATAGCTTGATTCCACACATTTCCTCTCTGCATAGCAGTTACACAGCTCACCCATCCAAAGCTTTCACCTCTTCCACTCTCCTCTCCGAGAAAGTCTACACCACCAGAATCTCCTTCATAGAAAGTACGTAAGCTGCAGTTTCTGATGTCAAAGTCGCACGTGCGTCCATATGAAATGTGGGAACTGCATGACCTCCTGGTTTTCTTGATTTCGGTTTCCTCGCTCTCCAGCCTTTCGAATTCCCAAGGCTTGAGTCGTGCATATCCTTTAGGTAGCTGGTACACAGCTCATCGAACTTGCTTCACTCCTCTCCCAGAAAATACAATAGCAGCGGAACCTCCTCCGCACAGAAGGCGTAGGCGGCATTTCATGTCCCAGGTGCGTCCATACGAGATGTGCAAACTGCGTAGCATAGCATCACTCGTCTCGCTCTTGATCGTCAATCTCCAGAATTTGATTCCGCACATCTTCTTTCGTGTAGCTGCTACATATCTCAGGCATTCGACTCATACCCCCACTCTCTTCCTAAGATATTGGCTCTCCTCCATACCTAGGTATAAAAAGATGATATTCGTATACGCACCACCAGTGCGTAGATCCATGTCCCACGTGCAAGCATATCCGATGCGTGTACTGCACGGGTCTGGATATACTTCCAAGCTCGTGAATCAGCTTTCCGAGAATGTAGACCGAGAGTCAAATTGGCGAGATTTTTGACATGGCACTTGCCATCTTTTAATTCAAGTCACTGGTTGAACTGGAAGAGTTGTTTATAGCGAACATCTACATATCAATTTGTTATCAATACCTACACTAAAATCTTTGACAAAAATACAATAGAAAATCCTCAAACCACTCCAACTCCTTTTTTCGATCTGCCAGCTGCCAACGACGAAACATATTGTAAAGACAGAATATCTCTGATCCTGCCTAACTTGATTCGAACGAAATAGATTTCCAAGGAAATGATATTCGTCAACGTGGTATTTTTTTTGGTTGTTATTGTGTTGTGCTTCTTGTAAGTGATGAGTCGCTGACTGGCTGGCTGGCTGGCTCATAACGTATCCTCCGCCATATCTTTTATTTTTTTTTGGATCCTCTCCCCGTCCCCTTTCCTCATCGACCTTTCGATCAGAGCCAGATCTCAGCGTCATATTCCAGATCGCTTCCTCCTGACTCCACCTGACCGACTGATCGGACGGCCAGATTGAGGGAGTCTCGGTCAATGATGAATGTACCAAGATCTGCAATCTGACCGTCCCCTCTCCTCTCCCAATTTCCTACCCCGGAGAAAGAAGAGAGATCAATTCGTAACCGTAAACTTCTCATCATCTTGCTCTTCATCATCTGACTCGTCTTCAAAAGCCTCATGTTCCTCGAATTTGAACATATCCCGCAACATCTCATCCATCCGCGCCTCCGCCTCCTCAACGCTCATCGTGCGCCTGACCTCCACATGCCTCAACACACTTTGCTGTTGCTGCTGCTGTTGAACCACCTGCTGTCCCTGCACCTCTCTTTTCCCCTCCCACGGATTCGCATTCTTGCCACCCAAAACCCGTTCCTGTCTATCGACCGTCTCGCCCCTCAAAACAAGAACCCACTCCGTCTGATCCCTCTTATCGATCCCCGATCTCCGCTCCCACCATCTTCCCCTCCTCAGCCCGCCATGCGACACCTTCCGCCTGCACCGCTCGACCATCCCCACCACTGCCCACTCCCGCTTTACGTTCCGCGCACTGGTAGCAGTCTCGCGGCCCTCGATCAATTTCTGTACTTCCCATTGTGCGTCATCGGGCATGTTCAGGATGTCCTTTTTCAGCTTACTCTCGTGTTGGACAGCAGAAAGGGAGCCCTGAGACGTGGTTCTGAAAGTGGTGATTTCGGTGTTGGACGAGGGCAGCGCTTTGATGTAGTGCGTGGCGGGGGCGTGGGTGAGGGTGTTGGACCAGAGGATGGGGATGCCCAGGAGGTGGGTTATGGTGCTTGTTTTTAGGGTGCTGGTTGGGGGGTTGCGGCGGAGGAGGTAGGTTTCGTATTTTGTGTCTGGGTGGATGGTTGTGGTGCTGTTTGTGTTTATCTTAGATTGGGGATGTTGGAAGAGGGAGGGGAGAAGAAATACCTTGAGCATGAAATACCGCTGTTTGTTCGCTTGAGAGCTTGTTTTTCGTCGTTGTTGGTTGGAGATGCAGGTGTAGTGTTTTCAGGTTGCATCTGTTGTTGTTGTTGTTGTTGTTGCTGAGTAGCCTGTTCTACCTCTTTTTGTGCTCGCAAAGCTTGTCCTTGTTCCATAGAAGCTTCGTAGCGAGGAGGTTGCATTTGCTGCAGAGCCTGAGCCTGTTGATTCATCATCTGCAACTGCAGCGCTCGCTGCAAACTCCGCTGTCTCTCCACCTCAACTAGATCACTGAACGGGTTTCCCACTCTTGGATTCTGCTCTGCATTTTCGAGGTCCTTCAATCTGGGCGTGTAGTCTTTCCATACACCCACCAGACGCTCGGCCACAAGTCCTAGTCTAGCACGCACATTTTGGAACTCACGTTCTTCGTCCATATCTCTGATTTCCAGACTTCGAAGTCCGTACCAGTTCACAGCATCGAGCAGGACCCGGACCCTGTATTTCTCGACATAGAGTCTAGATCTCAAGCTCGCGGCCTTGGCTTCGGTGCCGTTGATCAGGATCCAGGCATTGCGGGGAAGACGCACAAGTCCCACATCATTGGGCTGGAAGATCTTACTCCTCTTCGCGTCCTCGACTCTCCCATTGAGCTGAGAAATCGCATAGACGATATCGTGGCTAAGAGGATTCAGGAACGAGAGATCAGGGGAGAATTCCAGGTCGGGGTATCGATCAATTGCTGTTTGGAGAGCTGAGAGTAGATTTGACGTTACTGCTATGACGGAGATGAGTTCCTCTAGAGGCTCGATGGGATGCGGTAACGTTGACAGGTAGGATGTAGCTTCAGTAATAGACTCAGTCGCCAGGTTGATGACGGCGGCGATCGTCAATGGGTTTCTTGATAGTGGAGGCATCTTGGAAGACTGATTGATACCAGAGCAACTTAACTCCTGATAAAAATCGATGTAGAAGAAGTAGAGAAAAAAATGATCCAGCTGAAGAACGCGATTTATAAGTACTAGCAAACAACCAAAATAATCCAAGGCCGGAGGAAAGCCTCAAAGTCGGTAAAGAAGCAAGGCTCGACCGAAAAATCGTACTCGGCGTTGGCATAGGGCAGTCTACCACCCTCCCCGCTGCCACGAGGCGATCCACATGAGACCCCGCAACCCAGAGCAGACAATTCCAGGAGGGTGTATAAACGCCCCACGGTCGTCATTCAGCTCTCCGGCTGTTCGCAGTAATGGGCTCCTCCAGAATTATCTACAAAAGCCTCCATGACCCCTTAGCGCGTATGCCCTGTTTTGAAAACGACAACAAAAAATAAAACTTACGCTGCTGCGAGCACGAGGCTCGGACTGACTGCTGAAACTGAAACTGAGAGAAAACTGGGTAGCAACCTTAAGTTGGCGTCACACGCGGGCAGGAAAATGGGCATTGCGCTAGGCAGCCAGCAGGCCCATCTCACTGGTCGCACAGGGCAGGCATGGCGCTGTATTGGAAATGCCCTTTTTCTTGATGTTCCTCACCGATTGCGATTGCGGGATTTGATTCGCTTCCAATGCGCTTACATACCTAGCTGCTACTGGAGCTACCGCAGCCTCGCCTATTTGCGATGAGTGAGAAATGCCCACAACGCCCTAAACCAGGGGTTTGGATGGACAGGCCATCATCAATCCTGAAGACCATTTTTCACGAGATCTTCTATGTTTTTCTACGACTTCTTGTGCCTTTTTCGCTTTCGCTTTCACATGAACATCATGAATCATGACCTTGAGGGGCATTCTACCTCAACAGCCTCAGATGTCGCCGAAACAATCATTTGATCGCCCGGCTTGTGCCGTCATGCGCATGTCGTGCTACCTACCGTCCCGCCCTGAAGTCTAAGTCTGATTCCCCTGAACCTCCTGGGCCTCAGCTCTCTCTCGAAAAGGAAACCGAATGTCCCATCACTTAATACGGGCAATGGTCTGATCTATTCCCAGGTCTGCTGTAAGAGAGCCCCTTTTTGCCTTACCTCCAACATCGAAGCCAACCTTCCTCTTACGAAGGTTTGAGAGCTTCCCAACTCATTCCTACGGCTCCTTCGTCGGATCCTAACAAATCCGTCGTCGTCGGTCGCCGCGGCGGGAGTCTTGGTTTGGGTCCTTCGTCTTCTGTTCCATCTCCTGTTATGCTTGTACCATTTGTCCTCGAAGCTCCTCCTGCTCTGCGAGGTTGTGGTGGAGGAGGTGGAGGAGTCGCAGTTCCTCTCTTGTCTTCAATTTCTCTCTTTATGAAATCTGCATCTATCCCCAAACCTCTTGGGGCAATTGTCCGTCGAGGAGGAGGTGTGAAGCTGCTTTGGTCTATTGTCGTTGCTCGTGGCTTTTGTGTAGGTATAGGGTTTCGAACTGGCGTCGCAGATATGTTCGACAAGGTAGGAGAAGGGGTCAAGGAGGGCGAGGCTGTGAGGTGGACTGGCTTTCTTGCTACGGGCGGAGGGGCTTTCTTTGAAGAGGATGAATTTGTTGTTGATGTCGAGAGACGACGTTCGATTGGTCTTGCAGGAAATGCTGGCCTTGGAGTTGGCATATCGTCCTGCAGTGATGCTTGAGAGATAGTTCTCGTCAATTCCGATACAGAGGGTGCAAAAGGTGGAGGAAGTTTCCTTGTGCCATTTGTCGCACCTGAAGTCATTGGCCGAGGATTTGGCGGAGGTTGAGAAGTTGTGTTTCTCGACCCTCGAGGAGGTGGAGGTCGTGGTACTGTCACCCAATCCGGCTCATCAGTAACGCTATAAGGGTTTGAAGGTCGCTTTGGATTTGGTATAAAGCCGTTCTGTGGAGGCTTGATAGCAGATCGAGCAGGTTGTCCACCATCAAGCCACCATTTTCTCTTGTCTGAACTTGCAGGTGGTAAGCCTGGTTCAATTGAATCGTAACCTATAAGGTCTTCATCGTCAGAATCATCATGCTGATTGCTGGCCGAAGTGTTGCCAATGTCAAGTTGACGCTTCTCATAAATTTGACGACTTAGCGATTCTCGGCGAGCCTCGTCGACAATGCTCACGGTGCATTGGAAAGTCGCATACACCGGACGATGGTCCGAGAACCGCAATGGAGCCGTGTTGTAGTTGATTTGCCTTAAGTTGGTGCCTTTTCTCAAAATGCGATCTGTCCAGGCAGGTATCCGAGCCTTCTCTCTGAAGGATGTTAGTAGCCGCTCTTTGCCGTCATTGACTCACAAAACATACGAGGTGTCATATTCATCGGTCCCAAGATCAAACTTGTAAGTAGGACTAAACGTGATCCGTGACTCAGAGTAATATGGAAAAGTGAGGCCTGCAACCATCTGGAGATTCAACTGCAATAGGTAAGTAACATGTGTTAAAGGGTAATAGAGAATATGGTTACCTGATCGTTTTCATATAGAGTCTCCAAGTCACCAATCTTGATAAGGTGCTTGACTTTGTCTGCGCTAAGCCCTATTCGATAATTAAAGTCTCCCATCCAAATGACGGTATCTAGGCAGAGAAGTCAATAGCGGGCACTGCAACCTAATAGGCTGCACTCACCATGATCATCAATTCCTCGATTCCGCTGAAACCTTAAGCCATGGTGAATTGTGGTGTAGTCCCTATTTCTCTCTTCGTAGTTCGCGAACCCAGCAGCAAGATGTGCTGTTACGAAGCAGATTTGAGTATTGGCGTAATCCATCCGAATAGCTACAGCCCCCTTGTTGCCTGCCATACCAGACATACCTGTCTTTTTCACAGCGCCTTCTACGTTCTTGATGTTCCGAAGAGAGGATGATTTGACAAAGATGCAAAGTGCTGCACCAACAAGCTGTCCACTTCGTAGAAGAACATAGTGTTCTCTCCCAGCTGCTCGTGCATGTCTGTTGAGAGTTTTCCGCACCGCTCTCTCCCAAGCTTGTTTTCGAGTGGGGTCACTGTTCATGATCTGCTGGGGACTAAGCTCGACAATTTCCTGAAAGCCTACAGCTACGATTTCAGGATGCTGTTGAGACGGATTTACACCTGGAAAGAGCCAATCTGACAGGTCTTGATCGATGCCTTCAGTACGACCGTTCAAGTTGAATGACCCGCACCATCTGGCATGTTTAGCTTCAACAATAGAGAGAGAAAGCCCAAACGTACATGTTAATTGCTTCGGTCTTTTGAAATTCTGAGCTCCGCTTGGCAAGCTCACTCTGTACATAATCGTTCATTGGGTCGAATAAGTGAACAGGCACTTGCCCCATCATTCGCCCAAGCAACACATCAATGGTGTTCTGACGGCCTTTGTCAGCAAAGTTGTTGATATATAACCGAGTCGCGCTTTTCCTGGCATCTGCGATTGCACCAGCAAGAGACATTTTGCCATGTCTTGTGAAGCTGGACTTAAGTGCTCCTGTGCCAGCATAGATTCGTGATAAAGCATCTCCATTGTCAGCCCAAAGACTTGAGTGACGCATCCAGAAATCCGAAGCTGCTCTTTCTCTTCGATGCTCGAGAAATGATTCAAAAGCCATTTGAGAAATAATCGTCTGAATAAGGTTGGTCCTGTCGAGACAATCAAGGCAGTTGGTCCGAAAAACTCCTTCTTGCTGCAGTACTACGACATTTCTCCTGTGGGGCTTCTCTTGATTATCCTCATTCGGATCTTCTATTTCTTCTGACATGTAGTATGCGAAGCCATCAGCGGAATTTTCGATCATTCTTCGGATCAAGCTGGCAGCTTCATAGCCCTGGGGGCCTTTCGTCTCAGCATGGAAGTCAAATTCCGTATCTCGAAGTAGCTGGTGATCTTTTGAGCCTTTCTCATCCTGGCGATTGAGTGCAGAATGTCTGATGCCATATCGGTATAAGCCAGTTAGCTCTGCCTCACCTGGTTTGGTCTCGCTGAGTAGGTTCACTACATGAACAGCACCATAATTCTGCTCCAACTCGCCGAAATGCTTATCAAATGCTGGTTGGGTTCCTTCGGATGACCGGGTGATGGAAATTTTCTGCTGTCCTGGAATCAGACCAGCAGCCTGCTCCCAGAAAACAGGTACCGATCCTCTGATCTGTGCATAAGAGAAGCATATTCCAGCAGGTTTCTCACTCGTCAAAGGATCCGATTGTCCAACCACTGTAGGACTCCAATATATTGTCTCTGACTCCACGAAGTTCGCTACGTTGCCGTCATCATCAATACCTCGACTATTGAACCTCGTTCCTGCTCTCCTGGCAGATAGCCTAGATATCAGGGTAAGAGAGGAAGGGAGGCCGGTGGTAGTTGTTCGTAGAGGATTAGAAGAAACAGGTATAGTGATCGTGAGAGCAAAGCCTCGAATAGCTGAAGTCAAAATCCGCGAGTTGTCTAATGCTTCTTTCTCATGGGCCACAAGCCGGGATCGAAATTTGACCAGCGGACTGATCATGTATGAATTCCACAGAAAAGATTCGTCTAGGTTGTCTACATCGAAGGCTGTTGATTCTGCAGATCTGCGAAGCATTAGCTAGACCTATAGGCAGAAATATGAGAGTGCTCACCTGTCTTGGAGCCTGTTGGTGAGATCGAAATCCGTGCTATAATAGAAGCTGCCATTGCCCAGCAATTTCTGCAACTCCAAGCAAGGATGTTCGATCCCCTCTCTTCGATTCAGAGCCGATCCATAATCCTGCCCTTCCACTGAATATGGATCCAACCCGTCACTGAAAGTATTATCAAATTCATTGCTATTCAAGCAATGAAACTCCACACCAAATATCTTCTCTACCGTCTCTCCAGGTCTCAAATTAGCCACTTTTGTAGCTCCCGTCACCACACATAGGAAGACATCGTTATTGAGGGTAATGAGTCCGAGTGTTCCATGAACAGGCAAAGGGCTGAGAGTTCGATAATCACTGAGATCCACAGAATCGAGCGCCGAGAACTCCACCATACATTTGGGCGCTGCGGCTCCGTCTACCGATGTCCGTACCTGCGTTGACTGGAGAGAAGTGAGGGATCCATTGCGGGGGTCGTCTGTTGCGGACGGAGTATGGCGGAATATCAAGGCATGTGAGGGCGTCACAAGAGCAATGGATCGCTGGGGGTGCTCCCGCAGCAGGACGCGGATAGACATGACTTGCGTATTGAGAATGGATCTGGATCAGCACTAAGGTTTCGTGGCATTTTGCGATCGATTTTGACAAGATCTGTTGCTTGTATTCATTTTTGGGAGGCTTTGTGAACTGTCATGAATGAGATCGGCGTCATCGGCAGAACATTCACCGCCTTTGGTGGCATTTAAAGGTCACGGGTTATCATCGAGCGTCGAAAATGAATTGGAGCGTTCTCATGGGAACATCTGTTTGATTACTGTAGTATGACGCTCTCTTGATAATGCTCTAGTTGTTCTGTTCAAGTAGTAGAAGTCAAAAGAGTAAAGTGTCACCTGATATCTAGGAGAACCCTCGAATAACTTCATCCTTTAGCAAGTGCTCTTACTCACAGGCCTTGTTCTTCGTCTTAAACATATTCTGTATCTCAACTCAAACGCTCAGAGCTTCCCACTAACTACGTCTCTTAGTCATGAGAGACAGTGAGAGCGCTTTTTGGTCTTTGTTCCTCTCCAGACAATCGAGATCATGCCTCCTAGCATCAGGCCACAATGATATCAAGTCACCCAATGTTCTTCATCCACAATTGTGGCTTGAGAAAGTTGATTGGATCCACCAGTCTCTCGTAACGACAAAGGCCCCGGCTGAACTGAACCATAAGGACACTCCGAATGCTCTGCGCCTTCAAAACGAACTTTGTGCGTACGTGGTTGAGACACAAAAGGAAGTCTTTGCAGGAGCTGTACGTCATTGGATTCCGCACACGATATATCAATTCAGAGTACATAATATCTGGTGATACCGGTAGGTGACGAGTCCCCAGTTTCGGAGTCATCTCCGTCTCCGAAAGCTGAGAAATGCAAGCCACAAAAAGATTGAAAGAATGAACATGAAAGTGACAACAAGCAAACTGACTTGAAATGCAGGAGACCAAGGCTAGTAAATCCTGTGGGCTTGAGGAGTACACGGTCTAAACTTTATTGCTAAGTCATGTGGTACTCGCATGTAGGGTTTCGGAAATAGAGCTACCCAGAATGCTGACACCAGCAGGTCTATGCATGACTATTGAACACTGCCGTGATTTCCGAACTGGCGCGGAGAGTAGGACGGAGTGTTCGTGATTCCGGTGCTTTGTGGCTTTCGGGCCGCTCTGGACTGCGAAAGTACATGACACCGTTTTGCGTGGCTTGCCAAGTGCCAATGAACGAACCCTTCTTACACTTTGAGGAAATTCCTGAGTTAATCATTTTGACGTTTTAAGCGCCAAGCTTGAGATTGTCTCAAGCCTCGTCCTCGGGGCCATCGAATTGCTTCAGGATGCGAACATCATGTTATCAGATCAAAATAGCTATTCTGGGAGAGATCGATAAAGGTGCTTGGCGCGATCTGGTTATCCTGGATGATGCCGAGGAGAATATGACCGACTAGTGGAGCGGTGGTGTGTAATAAGGGCTCACGGAATTCGAAGAAAGGGGGGGGGTGTAAAGTCGACAATTGCAACTCAAGTCCATCTGCTGTGTTCGCATGTCGTGCAATTCCCATGTAACATCTGATGCAGACCACAGCGAATGCGGGATTCTCTTATCTCCCATCCATCAGGAACCGATCGAATAATCTGAGGAAATGTTCATTCATCCAGGCCGACGGAAGCATTTAACCATGAGTTCAGTGCTCATGAGCCGTCCCCTTCATTCCTGAGAAGAATGACGGAGGTGGCACTGGTTCATGATGATTTCTTCTGCGGGTGTCAGCAGGAGTGGGAGAGTCGATGAAGCAGGGAGAGAAATGTGGCTTCTCTTGAATCCTCGATATCTGGTTCGCACGGCATCGAGTTCCTAGTTGTTTCGTTTGGGACGCAGAGCACACGAAGACAACGCCAAGAGAAGTGTCAAAGGTTTGCAGAGGCCGGTGGAGGTCTAGGCTGGTCAGCGTTCGGCTCCTGGGAACACAACGCTAGAAGTGCTCCGGCGGACCTAGCAGTAGGCCCTTCTAGACGAAAGTGTACCGTGCAGCCTACCGAACAGGGGCAGGGATGCTGAAGGAGATGTGTGCCAGGATGCGCAGAGGGGACAGGACAAGACAGCAGCAGCACGGTGAAGCGCACAGCACCTGCAGCAACCCGTTCTGTATCGCCTTCCACAGCGAACACTCCTCAATCTGCGAATCGTAACTATCCTCAACTTCTTCTCGCTCGCTCATTCGTGCGCGAGCTGTTCCGCTCCCACGCATGCACCCACGCCAGCATCCACACCTCTGTGCTGCTTCTTACTCTGCTCTTCTCCAGCTCTGCGTCTTGCCCCAATCATTATTCCCGCTACTGGACGCCCATACCAACCCACGCTGCTGCAGGAATCCCCAGGGATCCGATGGCTCCGTTGATCTGCTCTTGTTTCTGGTTAAGTGCAATGTTGATCGATCAGACCGATTCTCTAACGAGTTGAATACTGCAGCACCACAACCACCACCACCAAAAGTCGCCTACCTCAACCCCAAACAGTTGGCCTTGCTCTCCTTTGAAAGACCCAAGAATCCTATTGAGGAGGAGGAGGAGGATCTTGGCGAATAGTCTTCGGCCCTGCGGACTCAGGCTCCTCTAAGCCTCCACCAGAAAGCACTCAAAGAATCGCCTTCTTCCTGCCAACCAGGTTACCTCAGCAGTCTGATCCCGTAAGCGCATCCCTGAAGTCCCAGTCCCTATCAGGGCCCGGGTCGAAATCGCCAAGGCGAGCCGTCTCTAGCGAGTGGAAATAGACCACCGAACTCCTGGGTCTGGGCCTTCGACTTCCACTGGTATGCGGCGTTAGATGTGAACCTCCCCTCACAACAAAGCCCAGAATTCCCATATTCTCTTGGCCACTCAAAAGAACCCAGACCTGATATGCTTTGCTTGGTGTGTTCTGCTCGGCCCTTGTCACAACTTCTTTTTACGTCCAGACTCCAGACGCTCACTTCAACAAGCCGAACCCGCCCCCATCTCCATTGTCACCTCCACCGAGCCTCCTCTCTTCAACCTTGTTCACATACCTCACCACCTTGCACAATTTCCTCCCTATCATATCGAGGCCTTCCTGCCGGTATTTCACACGATCGGTCCTGACGCACATCCAATTGCAAGTGGTTTGGGATACCGGTGGACTGGGCCCTTTCGACAAACAGAATCTCGATACAGCTTGACGAGTCACTCTTCGATATTTGTTTTCCTCACCAACAGCGCTGTTGTACCACCGCCGTGGCTTGATTCAGTCTTCTCAACACGGCTGGCAGTGCCGATCTTATACTCTGGATGCCTTCCCCATGACAGCCTTCATGGAATGTGTAATGCAGGAAATACTCCAACATCCCGACGCCTTCGAACCCAGGCCTTGCGGCCCTCGAACCTTTAAGCCTCTCCGACAACGAGCCAGAGGACGCTTCTCTGGCGACATAAAGAGTCCGAGCCCATCTCGGGCGGTTGGGGTGGAGGAGATGGACACAAAACCTGAGGAGGGCACACCTGAACCGGACGACATCATCGACCGATCAACATTATGTCTGCCGGACTTTACAGGTAATTCGATTCTGCACGGTGGGGACAACGGCTTCAAGAATGTTCTGCGACAGTACTTCCCATCTTCAGAGAGCAATGCTGCAGAACGTCTGGTGGAGCTCAAGGCCAGACTGAGAGAAGCCTCGACACACGACTTCTGGGGCATATTGATGGAAGAGATGTGTGATATCACTGGATCACAATGTGGGTTTGTTGCCAAACGGATGCTGGTGGATGATCAAGACAGCGCGGTGGAGATGCCAGAACTGGGAGAGCCAGGATCATGTTTGATGGGAGTCGCCTTTTATATCAACAATGGTGCGGATGTTAAGGAGTTATATCGAGATTACCGCTACCACGCCTATGGAACACCATGTGCCCACATGAGGCACGACAAGATTTTCATTGTTCCAGAGAGGATGACGGAGTTCGTTCCAAACAACCCCAATGCCATGCCTTGGAAGCATTCCGAAGCTTTCATAGGGCTACCGCTTTTCCACGAAGGGAAATGCTTCGCTCACTTTGGTATGATATGGTCTTCTGAAGGTGCAACCAAGAGAAAGCTAGGATGGACTTTTATCGAAATGTTCTTGCATTCGCTGGAAGACATGATTCTGCAACGCATTTTGGAAGGGCGAGGCTTCGCCAAGGAGAGTGCAGCTCCTGACTCGGCTCCAGCCAAGGTCATTCCTTTATCAGCCATCACTGCATCTCAATCACTAAAACCTTACGCTCGAAGTCTCTCTCATGAACTGAGGACTCCAATGCAAGGTGTTGTCGGTATGCTGGATATTATGTATTCGACAGTACTAGATGCCATCGCCAATCAGCCAAGTGATCACGTACGGGCTGTGTTCAAGGATCTCAAGAATCACATCGAAGTCGTGCAGGGTATGTCCGTCTCGAACATGAGTGGGCAGATATGAGTGCTGACACCCAACAGACAGTTCCAGACGAGCCGTTGAAGCTGCTGATAACGTTGTTCATGCTTATGACATGAATATGCAGATGCCAGAAACACCTTTGACTCCCAACGACCTAGATATCTTGAAAGGATTGGTAACGCCGAGTTTAGAATCTGACCTACAGTCACCTCCAACATCAAGAAAGCGTGAGCGCACAGAAGAACTAGACTTCTTCCCTGGACCGCCAATGAAACGAATGTTTGCAATGACTGAATCGGATATCTTGCGGACTTATTACCCGGAGGCAATGAACTCGGATGGACCTACCATCTCGATTACCGAGACTGTCACTTCGACGATGCCTCCTTCCGACGTCTCGGTGACAGAGAGCGAACCAAGGTTTAGCCCTTTACTATCTCCAGCTATAGTCAGTCCAACGCTGCGACGCGTCATTACGAGAGAATTTCTGCGCAGCCTTGTGAATGAAGCGTTGCGGAATGGCCATCCCACCAGCGAAGTTCACAATGAGACCGACTTGGGGGAGAAAATTGATGTCCAAACTATTAGCTCCAGGGGTGAGATCCAGCATCGAACGATCCACCTAGAGATTGAGTCCGATGTTCCAGAAGTTATCATCACTGAGGAGCAGTATTTGCAATTCGCGCTGCAAAAGCTTGTCGACAACGCCATCAAGTTCACCGAGCATGGCAGCATCACAATAACGGTCAAGATTTCCAGGAACGCCCAGGTTGTGGAGATATGGGTTGTTGACACTGGATGTGGGATATCAGAGGCATCGAAATCCAATCTGTTCAAGCCGCATTTCCAGCAAGACTCGTCAATCAGCCGCTCGAGGGATGGTCTTGGTCTGAGTCTGTTCAACGCAAAGGCTCACGTGAGGAAGAAGTTAGGTGGCGATGTAACTCTAGAGCGTTCTGATACCGAGGGTCCTTCGAAAGGTTCAGAGTTCTTGATTAGGTTACCTATCTCCAGCCAAGAACCAGGCTTCACAGATACACCACTAGTCGGATCAACACCCCCACCTGGCTTGAATCAATCGTGCCGGGTTTCACCTTGGCCAGACAATAACGTACCCTACATTTCCAGCTTGGACTCGTCGACTTCGACCTTGCCATCCCGGTGCAAGCAGCCAAAGCAAGCCTCACGCAAACGCCAGTCCTTCAATCCGCAACTAGCTGCCGACTACCCATTGAACATCTTGATCGCTGAAGATAATGCCATCAACCGCAACGTCGCTGTCGGCTCGCTGAATAAACTTGGCTATGCTAACGCCAACATCACTGTAACGTTCGATGGGCTGGAGGCTGTGAAGACATACGAATCGTCACTCGACAAACCACCAGCGGAGAGGTTCAATGCCATTCTGATGGATATCTGGATGCCAAACATGGACGGCTACGAAGCAACACGCAAGATCGTAGACCTCGCGCGCGAGAATGGAGAATCGACCAAAGTGATCGCCGTCACCGCAGACGTGACTGGAGAATCGGTCGAGCGAGCGAAAGCAAGTGGCATGGAGGGCTTCCTCGCAAAACCATACAAAGTAGCAGACATCGAACGACTAATAGTCGAGAACTTCGACAGATGCTGTTAAGCATCCTCGGTTTTTGTTCTTCCCATCATGAAGATGAAGATTATTTGAACATGTTCCAATTTGGAGCATTGATTGCGTTTCTAGCGGTTTTATTTTCTTGGCGTTGGAGCGATCGCAAAAAGATATGGCGGAATGGAATGGACTTTTGGGATGGGTGCATGATGAGGCTATGGGGTTGGGCATGTACTGGCGTTGTAGAGCGGCATTTACCGATTGATTGGATTTGGGTGTTTGGCATATATTCTGCTCATAGGCGGGATAGGTAAAGATGAGTTTATATGAGAGAGAAGAGATGAGACGAGGTTGAATGCTAATGTGGTGGCGGTTGAAAGGCATTAGGTAGATGAGTAAAGTAATTAGAGCGTGATGCGAAGATGAGAATGAGATGAAGTTGACAAAGCTATTTTTATGTGTGGGGATGATTGTGATTGTGATTGGTGATATTTCGCTTTGGTGTTGAAGTGGGGTCGGGACTAAATCGGGTTAGTGTTGATTATGTAAGATTCTTATCAACCTCACTTCTGACTTTGGGGCTTCACTCACTACAACATAAAATGACAATCTCGACTCGATAGCATGTAACTTGCGGTTAAGTCTCGGTGTCAAGTTGACATGTTCAGTGCTCTGCGCCTCTTGTCGCTTTTTGATATGCGTTTGCTGCGAGTGCATCAGGAGTCAAACTGAAGTATTTCGATATCAGATGTCCCCGCTCGAGTTATTGTTTTGTCATATTTGGTGTGTTCATATTCTGTAGTGTTGTATCGTGATTGCAATTCTCTCTTGATAGCTCATATATGAACGGTGACGATGGATTTATCTTTTTTGTTCTTGTTGTCGTGATCAACTTGCAAGTGAGACTCGACGGTATTCACAATGACTTCCCAATTCTCGGATGGCGATGCTACGAACTCAATACTCCGACCTCGGCACAGATCTATTGAGGGTCATACTACCTTTTCGTAAGTCTTCATATGAAGTGTTGAACAGATAGCTGCGCTAGTGCTGACTTGACAGTTCCCCATCAACCATGATCAAGTTTTTCATCAGTGATGAAAACAACACCGTTGAGTTCATAGTACACAAAGAGACAGCTTGTAATATCAGTCCAGCTTTCAATGCAGCTTTTAACGGCCAAATGCTCGAGGGTCAGATCCAGCAATATTTTATTGATGACACAACCGTTCGAGCGTTCCGTCTACTAACGCAATACATGTACTCGCACAAGATTAGAAACGTTCAGTTGGGTAGCGAGTGGCACAACACCGTCGAGTGGTGGGAAGAGCATAAAGATATTGCTTATGATGAGAATATGAGCCTCGCAAGACCATTCCTTCCAGTAGTTATTCGCATACGACAATGCTGCTAACACTGAAGGTTTGATTCTAGGTCGAACTCTGGGTGCTCGCTGACAAATATCAAATCCCCAAGCTGCAAAACCTCGCAATGACTGCTCTGCTCGACGTCCAGTATCAGAACTTGACGGTTACCCCTAGATCCTGAGATTGTGCATTATATCTATGAGTATACGTTTCCAGATAGCAACCTACGCAGATACACTGTGGATTTCATTGCGCGTAGTCACGATACTAATTCCTTCATGGGTACCGATTGGAATAAGACTGACTATCCTTTCGATTTTCAGGATGATTTGGTTGTCGCTTTGGAAAAGGAGAGGCAGAAGCATCTTCGAAATCGCAAGAGGCCTAAGAGTAAACGTTTCCGTGCGGCGGTCTACCATGTTCCGACTTCCTAGGTCCCAACGGGTCTCATTATAACTGCAATAGAGGTTGATAAATCCCACTAGAAGAAAGGCTGGAGATATTTAATAATATACTGTAACGGTTCGGAGATTTGAGTGTCACACTGAGCGTTATTTCTATCTTGTTTGCTGAAGTCATCATGGCTATGGCTTCTCCCGTTGAAATTCCTCGTACACAGCCTCGCCTCTGCTTCGTCGTGTGACTCGCGGATTTGACGATGTGTTTGTGAAATCGTATCTTTAATTTTGCGCCAGCCTTTGGCAGAGAGCAACTTAGGATCAAAGCGAAGTTCAAATTTAGCGCTTAAAACCTAGCCACGAAGAATCCAATCAGGTTTCCTGGTCACGGTACCTCTCAACTTCCTCAACCCAAAGCACTAGCGCAAGCGTGTGAGAAATCTCATTGACTTTCAGATCTTCTTTCTCGAACAACACCTCCGTCTTAGAGCCTAGTATCAATCAACAAGATACCTTCTCCGCGCACACGCACAAAGTTCTACGGCTTCCTAAAGTCCTACAAACGAGGTCAATATGCCTGCCCCACATTACCTTGCGCCTTCTTCCGAGGCAGCAAATCAGCTTCCCGGTCTCGTTACTATTGCGCCTTCCGGGCGTTCGACTTCTGGCAACAACGGTGTTGTAGATGCTGAGTTTCCGTTAATCACTGAAAATTCCGGTTCCGAAGACAAACTCCGCTCTCCTTTAGCTGCACCCGACTCTTCCGTCATAGAAAGCAGCGGCGAGTACGATGAATGGTATGATGGGAACGACTCCGCTGTACGAGCAGACTTCATAGCCGCGAATTCTGTCCCTGGTCCTAGATGGTAGGTACGTTGCACTACGATCATGTACTGTAGACTGACCCATCCCAGGCGTGAGATGAACATGCTCATGTTTATCATCGGTAAAGAAAAATAGCCCATCACTATTGGTCTTGACTTCGCATGCTGCCGTTGCCCAGCCTTTATGGCAGCCTTCCATGCTACCTTCGACAGGGGAAAATTCATTCGGGGCAGCACACTTGAATACAGGATCAAGAATACTACGCCAGACGCATTCGGAATACTAGCCGGTTGGCTCTATACTAGAAAAGTCGACCCCTACGATGACAATGACGAGGAGAAAGAGTATCACGGGAGTGCCATTACTGCTTTGGTAAGACCTATTTTACACGCAATTGAATTTTCAATGTTTGTGCTCCACTCAGCCCCAATTGGCACTGACTCAATCCTCGTGCGTAGGCAGAAGCCTGGTCCCTAGCAGAACAGCTCAATCTCCCGGTGCTCCAGAGCGGCATTCTGCAAACCCTCGTCGACATGCAATATTTGCACAAAATCAGCCTCGACGACAAAACTCTTTGCTACCTGTACAAGCACACTTCTCCAGGCAGTCCACTCCGTCGCTATATTACTGTAAACACCGTTCGGGAGAAAAGCATCAGAGATATTGGGTGGGACGGAAGTCTTGGCAATGGTTATCCCAAGCAGATGCTACAGGACATGTTTCTTCTGTTGATGCAGGATAGGCAGGGTTATGGTGACTTGCGGGTGGGTGACAATGAGGCCAAGATTGATGCGAAGAGATTCTTCGTTCCTGTTCCTCCTTTTGCATGAGGGTTGATGGGCTATGGGTGGTGAGTTTGGGTGTTGGTATAAGCTGTAAATAAATGATTCCTTACAATGAAGATCTCACTCACTGACTCTTGGGCTTTGACATTTGGTTCTGGGTTTTCGATTTTTGAACCAATGAAGAACAAGGTGGCCGAAGTACTACTAATCTCTAATAGGCGTTTACGCCACTTGTTTCTGTTAATAGGGGAAGAGACTACTCCGAGTTGGGATATTAAGGACGGAGTTGGGATGAAAGCACTCGCGTGACCCTTCGTAGATGAGAATCTTGCCAAAGCTAGTCTTCCACCTTGAGCCTAGTGTTCATAACATGAACGTTCTAGCTCGATCGCAAACTTATTACCACCCATCATACTTTCTCCTTCTTGCACCACAATCTCCACAATTCCACAATTAAACAACTTCACACCAGAACCTCTTCAAATCGCCACCATGGGTGAAGAACGTGCTACCTCTTTGCCCTCAAATATCACCAAGCACGCAAAGCGCAAAACGAAGATGTCTACTCCATCTTACTGGAGCTCTCTCTTCAAGAAATCATCCAAGTTAAGCTTCAAGTGAGCAACGTTTCTCTTAAGACTTCTGGGAATTCAAATTTAGTATACAAAACAACACGCTAATACTACTCTAGGCCAATGGGTATCATTAGATTTATCATCGGCCCGGATCGACACTCTTGCGATATTCACAAGGAGGCTGCTTGTCGTCATTCCCCAATCATCAGTTCAGCATGGGATGCGGCATTCGACAGCGAGCTCGATGAGAACAACAGATTGGAGTATCGCCTGGAAAGCACAACTCTTCGTGTATTTGAAATGATCGTGCAATTCCTCTATACGGCGAATTTCGACTTTAAAATGGTTAAGTTCAACAAGGACGATTTCGATGCCCGTCTCTCGAATCTGGTAAGTCACAAACCCTAGCTCAGTTATATGGGCTTCGATCCTTATGGCATAGATATTGTACGAAATACTTACTCGATGTATAGATTGGTCTCTGGATTTTGACCGGAGAGCTTGGTATGCACACTCTCCAAATCCTAACCCTCAAAGAGCTTGGGGAGATTTGGTACGAACACAAACTCCCTCTATCTGTCGAAGCCCTCAGCCTCGTACACGACCGCACGGGTCCGGAGAGCATGCTTCGAGCATTTATCGTCCCCATGATTGATGCTCATGATGAGGTTTCTACTATCAAGGTTCCAGAGGGTTGCCCGACAGAGTTGCAGATGGATTTGGTGTTTTGTTTGTGGAGGACAACAGAAAGCAAGTCCGCGTCGGAGCCGAAAAACTCTTCGTCGAACGCCGATGGATGAATATTGAGATTTGATTTTGTTTTCTTTTGTTTTGTTTCTAGCATGGAGGTCAACGATTGGGGCGTCATGGCTTAGATTTTTGGGGTGTCTATCATGGATTGGTCATTGCCTGTGATCACTTCAAAAATTGCATAACTTCAGTATCATTCTCCAAAGCTTTGACTTGTCCGCAAAATCGTAATTCATATTAAATCTGCAAACGCGATCGTTTCTGGACAGGTGATTCACCGTTGTAAGTCGGTAAGAACGCGCCTTCCTTTCTCAGATTTTCTCTTTCTCCCATCCACGCAATCAATTTCTCCTCACGTCAACGAAGACAAGAAAAACAGTCGAGATCACTCTCAAACTGTTCAATTACATTCCAGTGCTTCTGCGCCGGATCCTTTCTGTTTACCAGCTTCGCACTGGCCTTTGAAACAGATTGATTTCATTATCGATCATGGCAACACGCTCTGCTGGCAATGAAAAGAGTTTGGGGCATGGTCAAAAGAGGCAGAGAGAGGACGAGCCCGATTTCTCGTACGTCGTGAAGGAGCTTACGAATCCTGACGTGCTCTCATGTCTTGACTGTTCTCTTGATACAGGAATCCAACCACGCTCGTCACCTTTATCGTTGGTGCAGAACCCAACACCGAGAAGTTTATGGTCCACAAGGAAGTTGCTTGTTTTGGCTCGCCAGTCCTAGATGCCGCGCTTGATCGCACCTCCATCGAAGGGGACGTTTTGAAATATACCATGGACAGCACCACTCCACGGGCATTTCGATTGTTAGTTCAATGGCTATACAGCAGAAAGCTGAAAGTCTTGCAACTACGAACTCTTAGTGAGTCGCCGACAACAACTCACCAGGCACGGGTGGAGGCTGCGCAGTCTGAAGATGAAAGTTTGGCAGAACTCTGGGTTCTTGGTCGTGAGCTTTGCATACCTGATCTCCAAAATCATGTCCTAGACAAGATCTTTGCCATATATCGCTTTAGAAGCCGGATTCCGTTCACAACATACCACTACATATTCAAGAACACCTCGGGATGGTGTGGTCTCGCCAGATATACCATCGATTTCTGTCTCCGATACCTGGAACCTGCGTGCCTCGAGAAGCATCAGATTCATTTTCCTCGGAAGCTACTAGTTACCCTTACGATGAGTTTTACGAAGCAGAGGGACTTGAGAGTGGAGAGTGGCAGTGCAGTTTTGGAGGACATTCTGCCAGCAACGTACTATGAAAGCAACAATAACGATGTGATCCTCGCGGCCAATGAAGAACGTAAGTTCTGTGGTTCTGATTTCATGTTTCTATGAATATATATGAAGAAACATACGCTAACACATTATTTCAGCTGAAGGAATCTTTGAATGATTTGTGATGCTGGCTCATGGTGTCGACTTCCAGTATTATATTCAATTGATAGCTCAATAGCTTAGATATGCGCTGACCTGTCATCCACGCAGTCATTGAGGGGTACGTCTCCATCTCTGGGTGCCGGGTACCAGGTGCCAGGTATCGACGACTTGAAGCACTTTTTGTGGTGGCCCCTTGAAGCCCGTCATCAAGTACTTCGTTCCAGTCAGTGATATTAGGTATCAGCACTTCATGAAGACTGTTATCATGGTATAGTAGCTATTTAATTGAGATCACTCTTTGATGAGACTTTGATGAGCTACCCCAGCCTATGCTTTGACTCTCTCAAAGACGCCATTTCTATGTACTCTCGAAGAGCTAAGCTGAGCTCTTGTATCCGTGATACCAACGTTTTTCTTCTAACGACTGCGCTGGCAGCCTTCAACTGTAATTAGTTCTAGGTCATGGTATTGGTAGTAGTTATAACTAAACTGTTGCCCCGCTTTGAGATAGTTTCCCCGGAGAAGCTCGCTTAATATCAGGGGCTCGCTTATGTAAGGTATAGGTAGGTGAAAGTTCGCTGACGTGCAATATGCCAGTGCTTCCTGATACTACACTGTGTTTATTCACTGCTCATCCTTCTTAAAGTAGTCTCTAACGGGCTGACCAGAGTGATGGTGGAGTGAAATAACGGACTTACTGAGGAGCAATCGCCCGGCTCCATGTGATTGTTCCAAGCAGCAAGACAACACTTGACCAATTACCTTCAACATGGAGAGTTCGAGGCCTCATGTAGTTTAAGTAGAAAGTAGCAGTGGTTTATCAACTAGCCAAATGCGAAATTTTGTCTGTATTTCTGAGCTGCTGCCTACAGGTGAGATGATTCAGTGATCTAGTCTTCTGACAATTATTCCACCCATCTCCTCCCCATGATAGCAGACGCGCCTATATAGGCAAGCCAGGAAGACTTACTACGCAAATAATAAGGTTTCTGTTTGCGCTACATATGCTCCTAAATAACAATGACAGCTTGCGTCTCGTAGCAATTCTTGAATAATGATTCACCTACTAAGTTTGGAATACTTATTGTTGATACTTCCCATCTTATCTTTCCATGAAGTCAATTCCATAGCTCGATCATTCGATTTATATATGTTAGAACTTAGGAGACGTAACGAAAGCAAGCAATCAGTAGTATTGCGCACTAGCAAGCGGTACTTAGCACCTAGTGTGCAAAAGCTTTGAAATTAGTCCATTCTCATTAATGCGCAATTTTCTAGCTCTGTATGCCCGGTTCTATTGCTATATTACTCCATTCTGTCTTGAATACATCACAACACAACACAACGTCCAAATTCTGCATCACCCACGACTTTCGCTCTTGAATGCTCTTGGCTACACCTCTGGACATTGAAACATTAGCACACAATACAAGAACAATCCTTTTCTCTGTCGCTATGGCTGGAAAACCGAAAACCGAACAAGTCGCAAAGCGAAAGGACACCGAAGATAGCACCGGCCCAAGGAAGAAGCATCGAAAATCAGCTTCTACGTTCTCGTGAGTACAGTACTTGAACTATTTTGGCCTTGACCCCCCCGGGTTCTAACATGTTATTCTAGGAAGCCAGCCATCTTCGTAACCTTCCTAATCGGCCCCGACCGCAGTGAATTTGTTGTTCATAAAGAAGTCGTCTTCAATCGATCGCAAGTTCTCGCCGCAGTATTCTCGAGCGATTGTATAGAAGGTCAAACACAAACGATGACAATCGAAGACACCACTGAAGCTGCTTTCCGCTTCGTGGTTCAATGGCTCTACTCTGAAAAGTTAGAGATTGCTCAACTCGAAGCATGGAAAGACAAAGTTGCAAAGGACACCAAGTTTCTCACAGAGGCCGAACAAATGATAGCCATCGAGGAGGATCAGGTACTGGCTGAGACTTGGGTACTGGCAGACAAATATGGCCTTTCTGGCCTGCAGAATCTCGTCGTTGGATACATGACAGATATCTTGAAGTGTACATGCATTCCCTCGACGAGGACTTTCAAATACATCTATCAGCACACATCCGACGATAGCCAATTGCGAAAGGCCTGCATCATCTCACTGCCTATCTCGATGCTGTGATGTTGAAAAACAATCCCGAAAGGTTTCCCAAACAGATGTTGCATGAGTTTGGGGTCTATATGCTGGAGCGACAGGGAATCAATGTCAATGAAGCTTTGGGAGAAACGATGAGAGACTGTGTGGTGCCGGTAGATTAAGCTTCAGTGCTTGGCAGAGTAGTATCAAACTCATCTTTGAGAGGATTGACAGGATGGCTCATGATATGTGCGATTCATTTGCTTGCTCTGTGGGCCGAGAAGGTTGTGTTTGCAAAACCGAACGAAAATATTGAAATCTCATCCAACTTTTCAGTGATACTTGCTTTATGATTCTTAGAACCATTGTTCTATAAGTGACGATAATTTCTTCATTAAGTACCCTTACATATCTAGCCGAAGCTACAGAGTCAATCACATCAGATCTGCTTTTGGAATTGAAGTCAACGAAATCACCCAAAAATTTACAGATAGCTGACGAGGCTTAGGAAGACTTTAGTCGAGACTTTATTGATTTACTAAAGTTCCCTTAGCATTGAATGCAAGCAAAGAACAAAGTCTCAGCCCTACCACCGCTAAATCCACGCAAAAGTTTCACCACCGGTCCCTAACTATCAAGAATCGATTTTTGAAAGTCCGTCACGTCTTGAAGCAACTCAAGCTTAAGATCCTCCGTAGGAAAATCGTAGTTGACCGGTAGTGGAAGCCGTGGAAGCCGACTATTAGCACAATCTCTCATCCTCGCGCGAATTTCCTGGAATAAACCGCTGGCCGTCAAACCACGCAAGTCTTGGGATCCGTTGGCAATGAATGCGATATGTTTAAGACCCGTCAAACTTTCCAGTAGTCCGATATGATAATATGGTACGTAACTCCAAAGGGTATCTCTATCGCAATATCGACCCCACATGCAGCGGCCAAAAGCGAGATATCTGACGGCGTGTTTCTCGAGGTAATGCTGGTCGTTTTTGGACTTGTTTCTTTCGACGAACAACATCTGGGCATATCTATCGTGGATGTAGAGAATGTCATTTTCGCTGTTGAAATAGATACCGTGCTTAGTTTGATGTTGGAAGAGAAGGTCATAGGATTCTCTCATGACGTGGTAAGACTCTCGGCATGTGTGCGCAAGAACGGCAAGAGGCTCTGGATGCCCCTTTCCACGACCAAGGACTTCGAATCTGGGCAGGTATGGTCGAACGTTGCCGTATACTTGGACGATGCGAGAAGTCGGAAGAGCGAATCTCCAAATCTTTTGGCGTAACTCTGGCGGAAGTCGAGGGAAACATGTGAAGGACGTCGTGGTAGTTTGCTCAGCTGTCATACTCATGATGTAAAGTTGACAGCGGATGAAGTAGAAGAGACGATGCGAAGATTGTGCGTTAATTATACTTTCTTTGACGCGGATGTGGGTCCAGTCCAGCGCGTATCACGTGTTTGGAAGGTGAATTCGTATAACGAAAAGGTGAATCGACGTATTGAGGTAGCGGCCCCAAGTCAGAAGACGGTCAAGATCTCATATTATTTTATTCGTGTTCAAATTCGCAAGCAATAAACAAAACTGAGATGCACTAAACAGAATTTATTCTACCTCAAGCACGTGATTAGATGCCCCTTTCCCATCTTCGCTTCTCGTCTTTATCAAGCATCGTCCGGATCTCGTCCCTGAAGCTGCATCTATTGTTGTTAAGCTCAAATCGACGCATCTTGGTAGTCGAGTCAAGGCTAAGCTATGAGTGTTCAATAACTTTCGGCTTCATACGTTATTGATCTCAACAAACAGCCTTACAATTTCATCACCTCCATGGCTGCCATTGCTTGCGAAATGCCTGAAAGTCGCCCTAGATATTCCAGCTGACTTATAATCCACTCCTTTTGCTCCATTGGTGTGATCTTCATTTTACCAATAACGAAAAGTGGGTGGAGGAGAGAATAAATGCCAGCCGTATAGGGGCCGGCTTCAGGTTGCGATGCATTCTGATTTAAAAGCTCTCGTGAAAGCAACTGTTGGTGTTGTAGAAGTGGCAAGTATCCAGCGTGTTGGGCAACTGTAGCACAAACGTCGATGGACAGTTGAATGATTGTCGTAGAGATACTCTGGTACCGTGCGGGCGTCGGGTCAAGAGAAGGGTGGCAATTATCCAAAACCATCTTCTGGAGAAGTATGCGGCAGAGACGTAAGTAATTCCAGTATCGAATGGTCCAGGCATCATCGTATACATGGTATATTCCGTTGTAGACCAGGCTCGAGTGAGAGTACCGAAAGATCTCATATCGAAATGTTGAACGCAACTCTGAAGCAATTGCCTGGAATTCATTATCAAGTTGCGTGGCGGCAGAGAGGACATACGAAGAGCGGTCCGTCTCCTGGTGACTGTTGTTCTTTAAAGACGCCGATAGGTTGGTGAACTGTACCATGAGATCTAGAATCTGCCAAGAGCAGCTGTCCTGGTCAAGGCTTGGCTTGATGTTATTTCTCAAGTCAAACAATGTAGGTGGGACGGCATGCTCCCTCTGCATACATGCAGCAACTACAAGTGAATACGCCTGCAAGAACATCTGACGCCCAGGACGAGTGTTCAGTGACCGAGGTCCACGAATCTTGAGAAGCGCCAAACCGCCAGTTATCTGATCGAGGCATGATTCTACATCTTGGTGGTAAACGTACGTCACAGTCTCGAATGTTGACAAGAGCATCGCCGCAACCAAGGTGCTGTCTTTTGCAGCTGTTTCTGGAGACTGAAGTGCAGTGTGAAGGGCCCGGATTGCGGAGTTGCATTCAACTCGAGATTTATGGAGCATGCTGACTATTCCATGGGAGTTCGCGAATGCAGCGAATCCTGCAGCATTAAGAGAATGGTGTAAAGCCGGATCAACGTGTTGTTGGCTGGCTAGGAGTTCTGGCAGGAATTCGTATTGACCCCTGTCAAGAATCCCGGAGCCCACGACAATGTGATATGACAAGAAATATGCGAGTGCCACATTATCAAGATCCAGACTCAGGCTCTTTGATGGGCTAGCTGACTTGACTACAGGGCTATGTGATCGTCCATAGATCTGCAACGCCGATGCCTTCGGATCTAAAACAACAGTTTTTAGGACTTGTGGCCCAGGCGGTTTTCCTGTCGTGGTCATATATTGATTTCGGAAAGTGAGATCCGTAATGTCTTTATACCCAGGACATTTTCATCTTCCCTTGAGACAACGATTGCATGAGGGCCGTGTTTCGTCCCACTGTGTCTGCCGTCAATAGAAGCAGCTACGAGAAGTATTTATGAGATCTTACTTTTATCTTTCGTTGGCGACAAGTTGAACAGCCTGTTGCAAATCTCCCTCGATATGCCATCACTTCACTGAGACTAAACGCCCACGATCACTTTCAAAGGAGGGTTAAAAGTTCAACCACGGTTGAGGGTGGGTCGAAAGTCTGGAATTGCACAGTACATTCGGCTGATTAAAACATTGTTTCCGGTGAGATTCAGTGTGATCTGAGCACGATGCCATCGCTCAAATCCCATGGCTGAGCTGGTTCTGAGGCAACTACGCAGTTGTTGCTGACGAACATGATGCGGATAAGGTTTGTGGCGCCAAACTTACTAGGCCGAAAACAGAAAAGGGGGCGCCGGGGCCAATCAGCATGAGTGCCTGCAACTAGCTCTTTACTCCACTCATGGACTCTCACGACTTGAACCTCATGCATACGAATGACAACGGCTTCGGGGTGTATGCTATCGGCGCAATGTTCTATCAATTTGAGTGCACGCGGCACAACATTCATACCGACTATGGGTAGATAAAGCCTCTTTGGCGTGGGTAGATTTTCTATCATGTCTCGTACATCTCCTCAATACAATCAATCTATATCACTACTATCCATAAGCCTCACAATCCTAACCTCATGTCTAACGAAAAGCCACCAACAGTTCTTATAACTGGATGTACTGATGGCAGCATAGGGCATAATCTCGTCCTTTCGTTCGCTCGTCAAGGCTACCAAATTTTCGCCACTGCTCGTCGAGTCTCTGCAATGTCTTCTCTAATTGCCATACCCAACATCACCTTGCTTGAACTGGATGTCACCTCTCCTGACTCTATCCGGACCGCTCACGAGACTGTCTCGGAGTTCACGTCTGGCAAACTCGATATTCTCTACAACAATGCTGGAGTGCGCTTCATGTCCATGGGCATTGACACGACTTATAAAGTTGCTATGGACACAATGGCCGTGAACTTCTCTGGCATCGTCGAAATGGTCCATGTTTTCTCAGATCTCCTCATAGCGTCCAGGGGAAAGATTGTCTTCACATCATCTGGGGCAGGGAAGCTTCCCGTCCCGACGCAGGCTATGTATAATGCGAGCAAAGCCGCACTAGACTCGTATGCTATGACGTTAAGGATCGAAATGCAACCGCTAGGAGTCGGTGTGATAAATGTTATCACTGGTCAGATTTCAACCGGTGCGGATACGATGGGTACACAGGCCTTGCCTCCATTGGATGCCAGTATGTTGTCCATTCCTGCACATATTGTTCGTATTGTCGATTGGTAATCTGACTAGAGAACAGAATCACCATACAAGCCAATTGAGAAGGCTCTCAGCAAATTCTGGACAAGTGATCGGCCAATGATGGATGTGAAAAAGTATTCGGATGCTGTTGTCCAGAGAGTGATCGGGAAGAGCTCGCCAGAAGTGATTTGGATGGGTACTGGGTTCGTATGGTGGATGAACTTCCTGAACTTAGCTTGGCTCTTCAATGTCTTGATGGCACGAGAGTTTGGCCTTAACAAGCTGAATATGGAGAAGGTTTGAGTCATACAATCAACTTGCATTCTGATGATTTTGAAGTTAAACGTATTCGGAAAGAGAATCGTGTCACGATTTTGATTGGAATTCTTGGAGCCTTGAATTTTCATCTTTGGCTTTCGGCATCACTGGACATCCCAATACCAGAGTCGTAGCTGCTTGCAGACACATCGCGCCTCCCTCTTCTGCCTTCATCGAACTTATATGCCAACGGCATTTGCTTAGTTGATCCTCGACGTGCTGCTGAATCCGTGGAAGATTCAAATACAGGGTTAGAAGTCTGGCTTTCAGTCCTTGACATTCCAATTCCTGGATCATAGCCCGATGAGGATGGTGCCCTTGAGGAAGTTCGACTCATTTGCGTTTTCTCCGAACTAATGTGGCTGGATCCTGGCGGCCTTTTTTGGAGGAATTTGTCTGGCTTTCGCTCCATATTGGCATTATCTGCCATATTCCTATGGTTGTTCGCGTTATGATCAGTGATTGGCGTAGCGTAGTTACGCAAGTCTCCCCTAAACTGAAGTGAGTTCCTTCTTGGAACAGGTTGTTTTATCTCAAGAGACTCCAAACGCCGACGATCATCCTTGCTGAGGCTCACCCTGTGAGGGAGAGGCGTATCGGGAAATGAGGACGTATCACAGTCCATGCTCCCATTGAAATGAGCCGCATTGGTCTTATGGGTGTGGTTCACCGAGGGTTCCCTGTGCTTAGATCTGCTCTGACGGCTCCTGGGTAATTGCTCAGGCTTGAGGACTGGCGCTATCGAATTATCAATGGCAGTTCTATTTCTAGTCTGATCTCTTGGGAGATCTACGCCAATACCGCTATGGGTTTCAACCTTAGGTCTTCCTTGAGGACGTACATGCTCCTCTTTTTGGCGAACATTCTTCTGTGTGCGGTCATGTTGTGGGATTTTTTCCATGGTGTTGAGTGTTGGACGCTCAGTGAAGTCTCTTCTGTCAGCAAGATTGATAATCCTTCTTTGCGCAAGAGGTAACGGACGAATATCACCTCCCACTTGGTGTTTCTGGTACATGTGCGGTACATCAGAAGGAGATATCTTTGCAGATAGAGGCACTCTTGTCAATGGTACACCGTGCTGCAATTGCTCGTTTTCTGAGTTGTAGTTGGGTGATCTGCGTCTGGATCTTCTGAGCACCGGTTCTGGACGTTGTGACGAGCTCTTCTCAACAGTCACATGACTCTCCTGTTGCGGATGTACGAGCTGCGATTGGATCTCTTCCGTTCTCGTGTATTTATCTTGTCTCTGTGAACGGGGTTTTGTTTGTCCTTGCCTAGTTACATCGGGGATCACATCACAGTCTTCTCTTCTGGATGATTCCTCATCTTTTCGCACAAACAGGTCGACTATTCTAGGTTCTCCGTTTGCAACCCAATGTTTAGCAGCTGGAGTTGGTTGGTATGGCTGGTGGAACGGATAAACACGTTCGAGTTTGTCTTGAAGAACAGTTCTGGGTCCGACAGCTGGATGTATATCCACACGTCGAGTGTTATGTGTATCTGTCGGACGGACCTCGAGACGTGTGTTTGGAGGTCGAACGTCTGGAGGTAGATCATTACGCCGGATATTTGGGCCTGTATTCAAAAGTGGAATATTCAAAGCTATGGTCTCGGCTGGTCCGTGTTGAAATGTGTTTGAAAGTAGGTCCTTTGGATGAATATTTGTAGGTTGGACGCTGCGAGGTCTACGAGATCGTTGATCATCAGGAATTGTCGTTGAAGGTTGGTGAGCGTCTCTTTTGGGAACTTGAATTCTAGTTGACAGATCATCTCGCTGGCCAATGGGTCGGGTATATGTTATTGATGCTGTCAGAGCATTGTTTGCTTCAGGTCGCTGGTTAGGACTGACAGCGCGAGTTGTCCTGTAACGGCGACGATGCTGGTTCGGGCGGCTCTCAATTGGTGGTGGACTTCGTGTATAAGAAATGGATTCCGTCGAGCTCGGTATGCTCCCATTATAGAGTATTCGCCCAACTAATAGCTCCAAACCATCGAGGTCAACACCATTTGAGACAAGATCGTTTCTATTTCTTATGCGTCTGGGATGTTGTATCTGAGTCACTTCGAGAGCTTCTTTCAGATCTTCTCGGCACTCAATCTTTGCCCACCCTTCTTCCACTTTGCAGTACGTAAAGCTCTCAGGAAGGTGGACCCAACACTTTACTTCCTCAGCCCCTCGAGGAACGTTCTGAGGGTGGAGATCTCGATTGATACTAATTGCTCTTGCCTCGGCGCTCAGCAAACTGCAAAGATTGTTACCAAATCATACATAATAATGGATAATTGATGTCTGGTGTGACATACAGAATAGCCATGGTCTGGATTATTACATCAGCCCATTGTTGACAGTCGACAAGTTGGGTATGAAATTCTGTAAATAAATTGAAACCTGGGAGTCCTAACAATATCCAGTGAAAGAACCTGGTAGCAAATTGCTTCCTATACCTCCTGATGAATCTGTCGGCAGCGTCGATACGCTTTCCACAGTATATGCTAAGGGATCCAATGGCCTGGCGAAGTTCTCTGGGAACTGAACAGGACCGGCATTCTAGTCTGTCTTCCATTTTCCGTATGCTGTCCCACAATTTTCTCTGTAGCCTTCTCAGGGTCCGGATGTGCCGCCTTGAAGACATGATCGGTGAGGCTCTCTATTAGCAGAGGAAGCCGTCACGTGTTGCTCCCGTCTGCCCCATGCTTCATTGACGAGCTTCAGGTCGTGAAGACGGTGAAAAAGGAAGTCATTGTCCTCCGCAGGGTTCTGTCACGTTTAGAAGTGATTGTCCCGGCGGGAATCAACAAGACTTGCTAGCTCTCGCCGGAGTAGGTCATCTGGGCATCACGCCACCGTTCTCGGTGGATTTTCTTTGACCTGCATAGTCTTTGCAGAGCAGCAGAGGGTGCTGAGCTAAAGCAGGAGAGAAACCCTGTGACCACTCGCAGCCACTTTGCTTATCTTCACTCAGGCTCACGAGCGATCACTTTGGAAGAACTTGAGCTCTGACTTCGGACGCTTGAGATACCCCGTTCTCCGTCAATAATCCCAATATTATTGTACCACTCATCGAATATATCTCAATCAGATGCTTGTCTCTCAGTCGGTTAACTCTCTCTGCTTTATTGAAGGTTTCAGGATGATGGCTCTCACGCCGCTGTCAGAGCCTTGCAATATGCCTGCCTTGCACGCTTGTGAAATTTCATATGCAAGGACGGCTCATCTCGAGGCTCTAGTAGCTTTGTATTGGTCCACGTTTCGCATCTCGCCCAGGCTCTTTGATAAAGTCCAAAAATTTGGTGAAAAGTCTAGAGAATCCTGGCGCAGCACGCATGCGTTCTTGGCTGCGCAATCGAGCGTTTGCGCCTCTTGCCACCAAGTTTCACTTCACAGCCTCGTCCTCGTCTGAGCTCCCATCTTCCACGACCTCTGCTTTTTGTCGGCATAGGTCGTGGTCCCTACGACTCTATGCGTCAAATTTAATACCCCATATCTCCAAGCGAAGGGATTGGAAATATCAGGGAAGTATTTGGGAGCCTACTTGGAACCGCTCTCTGTCTTGAGCACTCGCTAGTTGCGATATACGTATATACCACAATGAACACCACGAACTCGAAATTCTCGACTCACGTCAACTTCGTTCCTTCTCCCAACTCTCGGGGTACACTGAGTATCTTATGGAGCTCTCTATTCACGATCCTCGCTTGTACATGGACGGTTCAACATCTCAACGTTCCCGAGCAGCGCAATAGCTGCAAGCCAGGATGGATGGGAACTCTCACATGGTATACGAGAAAGTTCCTTAAAAGCGCACGATGGATGATAGTCACGAGCATCGCCCCGGAGGTTGTGATTGGAATGGCTTGTTACGATCTTGTAACTGCAAACATAACTTTACGGAGCTTGGAAAAAATTGCTTTGGAGGACGGTGTCCCTTGGACATTGACACACAGCTATTTTGCAAATATGGGCGGCTTCGTGATAGAAAGCGGGGTTGAGAAGCCATCAGCCGTCTCGACGTATATCTCAATGGCGGATGTGGAAGTCAGAAGCACATCTCAAGCTGGCCCTAATCTCCGGAATAGGAGAGAAAAGAGGCATGAAATTCGGCGTCAGCCTCTTACGAATCATCTTCCTTCATTTGTCACTGGTGGCGTCAACGAGATCTCTTACCACAACCCTTACCATCTCACCGGAAGACAAATTTGTCAACTTAGGAAAGAAGGCATTCTCCCGAGACTTCCTCATATTAGCGAGGCAGAGTTAACGGATAGATCTAAGAGCGATGGCTTCGTCAAAGCAATTGCCTTTTCCCAGATTCTCTGGGATATTATTCAGATTATCGTCAGAGCTGCTCGCAAGCTTCCCATTTCTCAGCTTGAACTGGCGGTCATAGCCTTCGCAGTCTGCGCTATGATTATGTACGGCTTGAACTGGTCGAAGCCAAAGAATATTGGTGCTGTTACAGCTGTTATCCAATATGAAGGTCCTATTCCCCAAGGAGTTCTGACTCTTATCCAGGGATGGCATTCATACTTGGGATATATTCTGATCGCCGACGACAGAGGTAGGAGAAGACATGGGTCTCCCATTAGAAATGATTCAACACAAGATGATCCCCACGATTATTGGAATCTACTCGCTATACTGCTTGGAGCCCCTGTCTTTGGTGGAATACATGTAGCAGCATGGAATTTTGGTTTCCCAACTAAGATTGACTTGATAATCTGGTAAGACTATTCTTGCATCTGTTTGTTTGTGTTATACTAGTGCACCCCGAGCTTTCTTAACAGTTGAGACATGAGGGTAGATAGATCTTACTCATTTGCAGGCTTTCCACCCTTAGCTCCTGAAGCTATCTAGTCATCTATAGGTCGTTCTACAGTGCTAACTGTGGGAACAGGAGAGTCACAAGCCTATATTCAGCGGCCTGTAGCCCGCTTCTATTGTTTGGGGGTTGCTTAGTTCAGGGGGTTCATAATAAGGACGATCGAGTCCTCTATACATTCCTCTCAACAGTGATGGTTTTATATATCATAGCACGCGTTGCTCTCCTTGTCGAGATATTCCGCACGCTTTTCTTCCTTCCGCCCCTTGCTTATGTTTCCACTTGGACTAAAGATATACCTCATTTTGGCTAGTTTATAAACAAATATATACAATGACTCTTGAATTCTACTTCCTCTGTATAGCTTGCTAAATCTGTTGAACTAGTTGATTCGTTCTATCCATGTATTTGTAAACATTCCGTTTAGCTATGTATCTAATCTAACCTCTCATAAACTCAGGAGTATAGGGGGTCTTCTGCCACTGCCGTCTATCACAATATAATACAGTGTTCTAGACGTTTGAGCATTGACAGTTATCGTCATGTCTCTCTGAATGATATATCCTGTTGCAAGAACTTTGTACCACTCGGTAGTGTAATTCTGTCGGCATGAGAAAGCAGACACTGGGAGCTGGAGGCTGCTTTTGCTACACTAAACATATTGATAGGCATCAACATACTCAACATCAGCTTTCGAAGCGTGTACATCCAAAGAATCAAAGCCCGAACTATTAGTCTGTCACACTCTCGTTTTCCCCACCAACAAACACCACCCCTTCAACCCCCTAAACTTCCTCAGCACCTCATACCGAACCCTCGATCGTGTCTTCAGATCAAAAATCTAATATTTCTATCCGCTCGCTGAAGCGGTAAGCCCATCACTAGATAACTCACACAGTAGATATTCAACTCTCAATCAACCCTTAAACCAGCATTGTACAACTTCCCGAGAATTCGCGGATCACTGATATGAAGCGTATCAATTTCGTCGTCAAAGTGAATAGCGTGTCTTCTACATTGATGGTGAAAGTATGTACAAGCCGTATTCGTGTTACATGATGGCGTCAGTGTCTTTGTTGGTTGATGTAGTAGAGTGAAGTGAGAGTTTGGGTGTCGGAGGCTTCAACGACGAGGGATTCTGAAAGTGAATTGGTGGAGAGCTTGATGTTGTGGAGGCTGGGAGGGCAAATTGGGAGATCTTTTGACGGATTTCGGAGGGGAGTTGGCGAAGTATGTGAAGGGCATTATGTGAGTAAGGGATGGTGTTCACTTGGTGGGGTGGAGAGGCTTGGGAAACAGGTCATGGTCTTGAAAGGTTGGAAGCTCATTTGTAAGGATGAGCAGTGTAGAAAAGAAATTAGGCGATGATTCATACAAGTTCTTCTCTCGAGAAGATATGTGCTACGTAAGTGAAAGCAGGTGAAAACAACCTAATCTTCAATGATTATTGGAGTCCGACGTGAGGCACTTGCCTCCTTGCCAACTCAAATTTCTTAGTTGGCGAGCACGAGCATCAATCAAAACGAACAAGAGTCTTTGAAGTCCGTCGTTGTTAGGGTATCTAAAACAGCAATCATTACAACTGGCCAGTCGACTCCAAGCAAACCCATACCTATGATCGTCCACTCCATATCTGCTACTTAAGCAAGTGGAGAATACGCATTCGGAGGAGCCTGCAGGCGAACAAGCTCGAACTTCAAATCATCCAGATTCCATGGACCTCCAACCGCATCTCGAGAAACCCTACTTAGCCAGTTGTTCATTTGATCGATATCCAAATTCGAATGCATGAAAAAGGTGAATTGCTTCAGATCCGGACACAGTTTCATAGCGAAGTAGATAAGACGACACAAGACGCGGCTAAAGAAAGAGGAGTGGTATACTGGGCCTCCATCGATAGGGTAAGCAATATTCAGCTTGGTGATTTTGCTAAGAGGGTTTTGGTTGTTGAGCGAATAGGCCTCGCAGAGCTTGAAGTAACGATATGCGGCCGTTATATGATCGAAACTGATCGTGTCAACGTCGTTGTTGAACCAGATGGAATCTCCGAGTTGTGCGCCGAAGTGGGATTCGTAGAAGCCCTTGACCGCGGAACGGGCATCTTTGCAAGTGTAATACATCACATTTAAAGTGCTTTCCTCGGGTGCTCGTGCAGCAAGCCGGGCTGGTCCCCGCACCTGTCTGTCGGGCGGTCCAGGGATGCAGGTGTATATCGTGATTGTTCGGGGACCAGGAAGCGCATGCTTCCAAACTTTCAGGCGCAACTCTGTTGGGAGTTGAGGGAAGCAAGTGAACGACATGGTTGTATGGTCTTGTACTGGAGAAGCAGACGTGTCAACCACATCGAAGGTTTGATGAGTTTGTGCTGTCGATGGCATTGTGCCTCGTTGACCTTGACGCATAAATCAAGACGAGTTGGTTGTGACAGACTTGCGAAGTTGAGAGGAGCTTCAGAAGTCGAGCTGAAGTTGGCGCAAGTAGGATATCTGAAAACTTTGACGCGTAAATGAAGACGAGATGATGGCGACAGAGTTGCTAAGTTGAGAGGAGCTTCAGAAGTCGAGCTGAAGTTGGCGCAAGTAGAGTGTTTGAAGGAATCAACACGGCGATGAGCTTGTGCTGTTGCTTAGCTGCTGAAACACAGAGCTAAACCTAGCAATCGAAGGTAATCGTTGATGGTAGAGGTGTGAAGTCGTAAAGACTTCAAATCGAAGTGGGGTCATTGCGGCGTAAAGAGATGTGCTGCGTTGAAAGAAAGAACATGGAAAATATTTGTGAGTTGCAGTAGGTTTAACTGTCGTCAGCGGGTCGAGGTCACGAAAGGAGAGAGCGCGCTAGTTGACCAAATGGGGCAAGGCACTTGCCATCCAAAGTGAATTCTCATATCACAACCTTCAACAAACCAAGATGCTCTCAATTGGATACCTGAGTCTGAAGAACAGGTCAAAAAAGCTTCATTCATCAAAAACCAGGCAGTCCCCACTTCTGGCAGATACATGAGCATCCAGCAATGCCATAAAACTATCTCACCACCAGCAGGAATTCTATGCCTATCACCGTCAATGCTCAGTTTGACCAGGATTCCTGAACATCCGTTAGACGCACAAGCTCAAACTTCAAGTCATCCAGCACATTTTCTCCGTAGCCTGCCCCCAAATACATAGGAGCTTCTTTGTCCATGTGATTGACACTTCGAAATTCCATATTGACAGCCTGGGTATCAAACTCATAGGCAGAACCCAAGACAAAGGTAAGTTGTCGAAGATTGATGAAACGAGTGACAGCCTGAAAAACAAGGAACATGATTTCCTTAGCCAATTCATCTGCTGAACCCAACCGCACCAGTAGTAAAGTTTCGAGTGGATATCCCAAAATCAGGTACTTCACGCTGTAAGGCCCAGTCCGGTTTGTTGATCTCCTTTGACTCGACTCAACGAAGAAATGAGACATTGCTTTTTCACTAGCGAACAAGATAGTATCGATCTCCTCGTTGAACCAGATTGGACATTGCATGAATACCCCGTGAAATTGGCGTTTGAAGGCAGCTTTCAATACATTGTGAGAGTCTTTGCATGCGTAGTAGAGAGCGTTCAATTCACTCTCCTCTGGCGCTCGTGCTTTGAGGAGATCATGGCCAGCCCTAAGCTCCATATACATGGTAATGATACGGGGACCGGGAAGAGAGTGCTTCCACTACAGCAGATTAGTATAAGGTCCTCTTACGGAATGAGGGTGGAAAAAGAATGTATTTGATCTGAGGCGCAATACACTAGAATGGAGAACAAGGGACTTTGCTACTTACGATCTTCAAGCGCAGCTCTGCTGGAAGTCGAGGGAAACAAGTGAAAGACATGTTGCTTTCAGTATTCTGGTGGTGAGGCTTGGTATGTTGCAGATAGATGTCTGATGCCGTGAAGCAGTACAGCGGTGGAAGCTTGCAGGGTGAGAAGCTGAGGAAAACGAAGCCGTGAAGGACTGCAAGGTTGGTGACTTGCTGTGGGAGAAGTTCGAGAAATTAGGAAGGATGGCCCAGAAAAGAAGATGACGCGGTTCAGAGGTGGTTTCCTTCCACATTTGAATGATTCTTCACCGCATCAAGTTTGACAAGTAACTCATTAAGCAGGTAGCACTTGCCATTTGGACAGCAGACCACTCCGGCCTCAGATTCTAGGTTGGGGTTGAAGAGGTGTCATATTTTGGTCAAAAAGCATACTACAGAAGCCTAAACAAGAGGTTTGTTTATCTTTCCAAGTTATGATGTTCAACAAAATTATGTGCAGCAAGATTAGTATGCAACTGTGAGAGTGAAAGTAACGTCGATGTCGAAGCACTCCCTCAATCCTCCTACCCCAAAGAAAGCCCACAGATAGTATTAAAAAACATTCTAGAAAATCCTCCTCGATCTCGCACCCCAAACTCCATGTTCCATCCATGATCTCAGAACAAAACATCCGCGCCCTCCCAAAGCTCCAGCCGAGATCGAAAAACCTGAACCTTCGCCTCATCCAAGACCCGATCGCACCTCATCACAGATCACAATCCGCACTTACGTCCCGCCTTTCTCGACCACCGCCTAATCAGAAGCAATACGCGTGAATAACAGACGACCTTGAAAATAATAGTGCGTCTACTTAATTAAAGGTAGACGATCCCCTTGTTAACAAAAGCGATGGAAAGGCCGTAGCACAATGTGCAGATTCAACAAAAGGAACAATGATCTCAGAATAAGCAATCAAGCAGTCTCGAAGCTCCAGCGTAAGCCTTTGCCAAGTTCATGACTCGATTGCACTTCATCACAGATCGCGAGCCACGCGCGTCTCAATACCCTTTCGACCGCCGAGTAGTCGGATGAGTTGTGCGCGTGAATGATGGACGGCCTTTCGATATGATAGAGTCCCTCCTCAACAGGGTCTTGGGGCAAGTCAAAGAGTCAAATTCAAAGAGCAAATGCGGACGGGGACGCGGAGGAGGAAGATTTCAGAAATATTTATTGTTGGAGACCGTAAGTCATTTCGGTATTAAGCGAGCAGATCTGATGGTGAATCACAGCTCCCTCCTCTCCAAGACTGGAAGAAATGTCTCCCTCTCTCAAATTACAAACTCGTTATGATGTCCTTCCACATGACTTCAAACATCACCGTCTCCAGGAGACCAATATCAAGACAGATCTCGGATCCACGACTCACTCATAGAGGAGGCACTTGCCATTAGATTAATGTATCCATGGAACATTCTTAAAGTGGTGAGGTCTCAAATCCATGTCTATATCCATTGCTTGATGAATGCTCCCGGTAGATTCCCAACTTTTTGATACTCTGAACATGGATCCGCCCACCCTTTTATCTATTCTACAATTATACAACACAAATCATGCATCTACCGACCACGGTTACTCTTCTTTCTACGTATCGCCTTCCCGTTCTCAGTCTGAGCGGTTGTCTTGACTTTCTCCAAAACTTCAAAGTCTTCTGCTCCTGAGCTGCTGGTGGGGGTATTCTGTTCTTCGTCAAAATCATCATCATCCTCTTCAGTGACCTCGGCTTTGTTTAGAAAACGACTAGCAATGGAATTGTAAGCCCAAATTGGTACACGGTATAGAGCTGTATCCTTGATGGTTGGTTGTTGTAGTTCATTGGGCTGAATTTGTTAGTGGTTGCGCAGGAGAAAAAGGGAATACATACATCGAGGAGGAATTCTTGAGTCTCGCCATCTTCGTTGGCTTGTTCCAAATAGACATTACCAACAGAGTCAACAACCAAAATCTTGCCATTTTCGGCCACAACACGCTTTCTAGGACCAGTAGCACCAACAGGTGGAGTAGCAGCCGGCGAGGCTTTGGCAGACTTTGATAGCTTAGACTTCTTGTCTCCTTTATCCTTCTTGGTATCCTTCTCTTGCATGCGTCTCTGTCTTCTGTTGAGAGGTTGTGCCATTGGGTCGGTCTCGTCGGCAGGGGGAGGAGTAACCGCTGCATCTAGACCAGGAATGTTCAAGTTTTCACCCCAAGCGGCATGTCGTGCAAACTTGATGTATCTTCCAATGAATTCCTTCTGTCTCTTCCAGCTCATGTAGAGCGCAAGGTAGTGTCCACCGCCGCCAACGAAGATAAAAAGTCCAACTAGAACCGTACCGAGTCCAGGTCTGAAGCGAGCGTAGTAGTAACCAGTACCCTTCCACTTTGGGAATCCATTGCTCAAGAAGTGATCGTAGCGTGCTCTTCCTTCGCCTTTGAGAATCTGGTTCACTATGCCTAGACGCGCGAATCGATCGCTGGCAGCCTTGGCAGCAGCTTTGATCTCTGCTTGAGTCGGCCCTTTCGAGACGTGCACTCCTGGCTTCTTCGACTTCTTCTTGTCCTTCCCAGTCGACTTGTCGGCAATGAACTTCTGCTTGACTTTGTCGGGATGTAACAATTTGGACTTCTTCCTGTATGCCTTCACAATATCGTCCTGACTCGCAGAAGGACTTATACCAAAAAAATCGTAGAAGGTAACACCAGGACCTTCATGGGCTTCGACTTCGTCTCGCAGACGGAAGATTTCTTGATCTACATGTTGCAGTTAGTGATTGGCACAATGCAAGGGACTGGGCAGCAAATGCGCTGTCTGGCCTGCAAGGGCTTACCTTCTTTGCTCCATGCTGCCACAATAATGACTAGTGAAGCCAATACGCCGACCGTAAAGAACGACAGCCTCATTTTTTTTGGTGGTGTTGAGGAATGAAAGAGGGGCTACACCGCTGATGTGTCTTCTTTCTATGGAAACTTTTTCGAGATGCCAGCACGAGCATCTGTGGAGGGCAAGGATGGTGGCTTGCTTAGCGCGCCTTGCGGATAGGAATGTAGCCAATGAATGGAGAGTTACAGTATATTAGGCTGAGAAATGCCTTGATGCCTCGCCGCCTTGCCGCCTTACTGCCGTGCCTTGCTGTTTCCACTGAACGGAGCTGCGAGGAGGAGGAGCTGCGCTGCACCTCCGCAGCCGAGTCCCAAACCAAAACCTGTGTGCCCGAAAGTTGATAGCTTGCATATAAATCAACAACCTCCCCGGCACTTTCTGCCTCCTTTTCCCTATTTTGCCTTTGGTCTTGGTAATCTCTTCCAACACACCCCCAGCGGTGCCAGAGGCCGCATGTGTTTCAGCAGCACCAGAGACACACGAGTCCGCATGGCCACAAACCTGAGGTTCTGATTAAGGCCGCCCTCCAAACCCTGGACCCGCACAGGGATAGCGAGCGGGAGTGGGACAGATCGCTCGTTGAACTGAACTGTACGGAACTGGCCCCTGAAATATTTCACCTGCGACCAACAACGAGCCGATCAACATTTCCATCCAAAAAATATCTCGTGCAACACCCACACGCAATATCACCGCGCCTCCTCTACTACGCGTTATCAATTCCCTGCAGAGGTCAGTCTCCCTCGTATGGATCTCGTTTCTGTTGCCTTGCTAGGGCTGAATATCCCTCGTATCTTTCTGACATAATTTCTAAAATTTGAACAGATTTCGAAACGAACATCACAAAGACCTCCAAACACTCAATTCTCGAATTGCCCCGACTCCACCAGACAGTACAAGTCTTCCTACCAGAAAACACTCGAATAAGTCTTGCGATTCACTTCGGGTTATCTACACACGAACAATAGTCTCCCTCCACTCAATTCCATCCACAACACAACAAAATGTCGCGGATACAGATCCCCCTCGACATCCTGACGTCGCGGTTGAATCTTGGAGATAGATTCGCTGGTGTGCGATCGACGTCGATAAGCACACGATTCGCCAACCTGAAGCCGATCTCTGAGTTCCTTGATCTCAAGAGACTGTCAAAGCCTGCAAACTTCAGCGAAATCCAGTCAAGGGTTAACTACAACCTTGGCCACTTCTCTAGCAACTATGCTGTCGTTTTCCTGATGCTCAGCATCTACAGCTTGCTGACCAACATGCTCCTGCTGTTTGTCATCGTACTTGTTGTAGGTGGCATGTGGGGAATTGGCAAGCTGGATGGCAGAGATCTAAGTATCGGTTCTTTCAAAGCTACCTCGTCACAACTATACACTGGACTGCTCGTCATCGCAGTTCCTCTTGGGATCTTTGCATCTCCAATTTCAACAATACTATGGCTCATCGGCGCAAGCGGAGTGAGCATCTTGGGACACGCCTCATTGATGGACAAACCGATCGATGAGGCTTTTTCCGGGGAGGCGGTCTAGGTGGTCGGCCGCGATCTCCCGAAGTTGTGCCCCCATGGGGAAGACCACCAGGGGCGAGGGGCAGCCGAAGGAGAAGGCAGTGGGAGGAGGAGAGAGAGATGTGGGAGAGGAGTCGTGTGGAGGAACTTGATAGCGATGATACAGATACACAGGGCGTTGGGTTGCATTCTGAATTCAAACGATTTTCTAGCGATACACTTCAATTCACGGGCATAGATTTGGGTTCGACCACTAGGGCGCGGAAAACTTACACTCTTCAGGATTCGGAAGTGTCTGATAGCGATTCGGCGGAGTCTGAATTTGAGGGGACAGATGCTTTGCAGATTGCTATGCGGGATAAGGAGGAAGCGCTTGTACAGTCTGCGCTTACTCGAATTCGCCGAGCTCAGGAAAAAGGGAAGAAGGAGGTCAAGCTGAACAAGGCGGAAGTTGATGCATTGGAAAGACGGCGGAAGCGAATGCAAGCTGCTGCCACAACCAAGCAGAGAAAGGCAAGTGGATCAAGTGGTGGAAGCGAGACTGAGAGAAGACGACGAAGTGATAGGAATATTACAATTCCTATTGCTTCCCAGCCAAACAGTCGTCCAAGCAGCAGCAGCCGCAAGACGTCGAAGAGCACGTCCAAGAGACCTGGTGATGCAACTCCACCAGTCATGCTGGTTGCAGGCCCAGATGGATTGGCATATGCTCCATCTGCGACTTATGTCCCACCAGTGGCCAGTGGCAGTCGAAATTCGCCCACGCGTCCTCGCTCAGCTAGCACTCAACAATTGCGAGGTGCACCGGCACCTTACTTCACTTACCAACAACCTCGACACATCTCAGAAGGCAATCGACCTCCGTCCTCATCTAGCACTTCCTCTCGGCGACCTCTTCCTGATGACGAGAATTGGGAACCTTCTTCTCGTCGCAGCTCGGCCTCTTCTCAAAACTACACTCTCAATCCTTTCGAGTACCAAATTTCCTCTGACGCACCACCACCTATTCCAGCTCAGTACCTATCACAATCTGGATCTCAACCTCAACCTCGACGCAATGTCTCTGGACCCGCGGATGTTTCATATGCGTCTGTACGAAGGAGTATGCCACCACCTCAAACCACAGGCACAGGATCTTATCCTTTCTCATCAAGAGGACCCGCAAACTCTGATCCCAGCATCCCTCGTCGACGAGCTGACTACGACTACGACCTCCGCGACCGAGAGCGCGGTCCGGAAAGAGAAGAAATCAACCTCGTAAGCAGCAGCGAAGAAGATGAAGAAGACGAGAGCGACGACCTCGGCAACGGAGTCCAAGTCTTTGTGGACGAGAGAGAAGAGCGAGCTAGAGATCGTGATAGGCCTGTGAGTAGGAAACCAGTTGCTGGTGATGGGCGGGGAAGTGCGAGGAGGAAGGGGAAAAGATGATAGCATTACTTGCTTATTTTTTCCGCGCTGGCATTTGCGTGCGGTAGGGTGGCATAGACATAACATATTATTTCGCTTTCTTCAATTGAGCTCTTTTGATGTGTGCATTGTCTGTCTTTGAGTGTGTGATTATGAGACTTATAGAGTGAGCTCAGTCCCATGGCCCAATTCTAGCACCTGTATTTTGAGCTTTTGACACGTGCTTTGTCTGTCTTTCGCCGAGTGATCATGAAGTTGAAAAGTTAACTATGAAGAGGGTGATTTTCCTTAATTCACTTATTATTCTCTTTTCTGCGCTTTTAACATATGCATTGTCTGTCTTCTATTGTGTGGGTTTGAGGCTGAAAAGTGAGGTGCGAGGATGGGATGTTATCATGGTTATTTGCACTTGTCTTATGTTTTGGGCTTTTCATGCGTGTATTGTTCATCTTTTGTTTGGTGATTATGGGTTTCGGGAGTGAGGTGGAGGAGAGGGATATTCCAAATAGTCTACTCATTTTACGTTCTTATCTTATGTTCTGCAATGTTCCATTTTCATTGGTGTTTCGTCGTCATCATTATTCTGTTGTCATCAATATTCCATTGTCATCAGTGTTCTGCTGTCATCAGTATACAATTGCCATCAACACCCCACTACCACCACCCATCCATCCCCCAGCAACCCTCCCTATCAACCACCTTCCACCTCTCGTCCCCCTCACCCCGCACGAAGACTAACCATGCACAACACATCTCCCCAGCAAGACACGCCAGGTACCTGCCTCCAGGAACAGCATTACGCCTGCTATTGCGCTTTTCGCCGATGTTTGGAGGTGGGCAGGTTGGGTGTTTATATAAATTTTGTGGCTTGGGTTGTTGAGGGGTTAGGGTGTTGGGTGAATGGAAGGAAGTGGGTGAATGAGGGAATCTGAAAGGTGGTGGAGAAGTTCGGGAAATAAGCGAAGGGCAAGGAGGTGAACGAATAGAAGAATAAAAGGGAATTAATGAGAGAAAAGTGCGGTATATGATGATAAAATTGTCAGCATAGAGACGATATCGATTTAGGATAGTATTATGGTTGGTAATCATAGCGGTGTCTTATTATCATTGACAAGAAGTGTATCTCATAGGTTATAATATTTTATTGCCAATATTTTTCAGTCTGCTGTCAACGATCTTTGCGATTTTTTTTCTTACAATACTGGATGTATTTTCATGTTCATATCCTCAAAGAGTATATTACCCTTAAGCAAGACACGCCGGGTACGCGCATCCAGGAACGCTAAGATTTCATGAAATTGTCCCAGAATGGCTCTTTTCGCTGATGTTTGGAGATGGGCGAAGAAGGGGTTTATATAAGTTTGGCGAATAGGGTTGTTGAGGAGAGGGATCTGGTGAATGGATTGCTGGAGTTGAAAGGTGTGAGCAATTTTAGTGAATGAACTATGAGCAGCGCATGAGTTGAACTAGTTCTAAGACTTGGGTTGTGTAAAGGCAAAGGTGCCTAGGATAGAGACGAATAGGAACGGAAAAGATAACAATGATGTCTTCGATGATAGTTGGTAAGCTTAGCGGGATTATAGTTAGTGTTGGAGCCGAAATATCATCTCATGTTTTGAAACGCATTGTTACCGATTCCCTATAGTATCTTGTTATCAACAAACTTTGCATTTTCCATTTTACAACGTTGAACATGTCTCTATTTCACACCCAGATCCGTTACCGAATCAACAGATATCTGACTCTTAAGTAAGGCGCGCCTGGTACCTGGGTCCACTTCTAAGTTATTGTTGTGTCTCGCAATGTTTTTCGCCGATGTTTGAAGATAGACGAAAAAAGGTTTATATAGAGTTTTACTTTACCGACAGATCCTCGACGGTTTATTCACTCCTTTATTTGGGCTCAGGTAAGGCAGGCGAGGCAGGTGAGGCAAGCGGAAAAGAGTTGGAAAGTGAGGTGAATAGAGTAATACGCAATCCAAAACTATGAATTAAAGTATATAAAGACAAAGTTGTGCTGGTTAGGACGATATTAAACCACACCGGACGAGCTTATTCCCCCAATAGTAATTAGTACTTTGGGGACGCAATAGTTAGGGGCGGCACTTTGGCATTGATGATTCTGTGCATGTTGGAAAGGGTTTTAGGAAGTTGGTGCAGTGTTTACCAATGAAGTCAAAGAGTTGTTGTCAATTCTTCACGTGCTATCAATTTTTCATGTGTTATCAATTCTTCATGTGTTATCAAGACATCCATAGAAATGGGTCTGCAAGCTGAAGTTGGGATGAAAATTGATGAAATTAGCTTTGGTATGAGACACTAAAGTCCGAGCCTTGCTGAATCGATATCACTACTACATTGTCCATACCGAGGAAAAGTTTCCATACATCTATATGTTCCAAACCAATCTACATATTTGAAAGGCAGGTAAGTATATGAAGAGAAAAGCCTCCCTATCCTACTTATCAATCTTCGGACTGAACCTGGTATCCACATACTCCAAACGCCTCTCATTCACATCTCTCATTCAATCTTGATCGTCCCAAGCTTTTCATATCCAGACTTTTAGATGTCCAATCACATGAACATTTTCGCCAAACTCATTGCACCTCCAATGCCTCCCATGCCACCAACAACTTTGCCTAGTCCTTCCAAGGCACCCCCACTTCCATGTCCCTCAACATGTGTGCGTTCCCACTGCATCCCACCTCTTCCATTGCCACCTATCCCCATTCCTCCCTGTGGTTTTCCACCAAACATCTTCTCCATACCGCCAGGTAATCTGATACCGAATTTCGCAAGCAGACCTGTCAGAGCCCCGCCGGTTATGAGAGGCATTAATACCAGCATGAAGACTTTCATGGGGTGTTTCTTCATGTAGTACATTAGGTCGCGGAGAAGGCGGCGGAGTTGGGAGTAAATGCGCTTCAAGTAGCCTCCGCGAGGTGAGCGTTTGTATGCGCTTGAGCTGGATCTATGGCCACCGAAGCCTGTACATGGCTTATATCAGAAACGGTTCTTCGCCTTGAAGGAATGGAGAGGAGAAGTACCAAAAAATGATGAGCGACTGGAGTTATGCTTGTGATCCCCACTCCCAAATATCGAGCGCGAGGAATTGTGTTTTGGGTCTCCCAGCCCGAAGATTGAGGATGCGCGGGGCTCATGGTGGGAGTGGGAGCGTGAGCTCGAATGGTGTTTCCCACCGGAAGAAGATTTGCGATGATGTGACGAGTCGCGATGTGAGGATGATGAGCCTACTGCTGAGGAGCCATCGAACCAACCCATCTTGATAAGAATACTTCGGAACGTGCTGTGGGAAGTTCGAGGGAAGGACTTGTGAGCTTGAAGCTCAAGCCAAGATGGAGGCTGGATTCTAGCTTTGATGTTTGCTTGCTATGCAGCTGTGCGACAACGAAGTATGACAAGCTTCAACTGCTCCAATAAAGGCAATGCAACACCAATCGCAAAACTCAAGAATAATGGCAAATCAGGAGGGATAAAGCTTGCGCATACTCTGAGTCAGTAATAACTAAGTGGCAGGAAGTAGAGCTGCAGCAGCGTGGAGAGAGGTGGAGCTTGGGTTTTGAGGCTTGAGATTCATGTCAGCTTCAGCAGCCCAGCCCCTCCAATAAAAGGCGGTGAGATGTTGTCGCTTCCTGCCGAGTATGAACAGGGGTTGAGCTCTGGTTCACGTGAAACTATGTAAGCAATTCTGAAACTAAGCTAAGGAGATGTGGCTTTTTGCACCGCCACAGTGACGCACTCGACCAAGGCCAAGGTCGTGCGAGGTTCGAGACAGAAGACAGTCGCAAGCTCTCACACCATTCTTCTCAAATTCTTTGCCTCTTTCTGCAGCTTGACCGAGTACCTATCTGTCAGCAATTCCTTATTATTGAAGAAAAGCAAAAGAATCGCAATCATGACTGGAGCTCCTATCGATTATTGTAAGTGCTACAGCCTCGTCAGCCTGATTACCCCTCTAACAGTAATGAACAGATGCTGCCCTAGGAATAGTTTCGACTGCCTCACAACAGCAGATTCGAGATGCTTACAAACGGTACTGTGTATCCTGGTCCCTTTGCTGAAGTTAGTAGCTAACAAATTCATACAGAGCAGCACTCAAAACCCACCCCGATCGCGTCCCCTCCGACTCCCCAGAACGAGGCGAACGAACCCGCAAATTCCAACTGATAAACGACGCTTACTATACTCTCTCGGACCCTACTCGCCGCAAAGACTACGACTCCGCACGCATTTACCACGGTTTCGGCTCTGGTGCCTCCACCGCATCAACAGCATACGATTCCGACACGGACGATATTCCAGACCCGGGACCAACACCAGGCGGGTTTCCGTGGTCTAGTTTCGGGTTCTCGTCGAAGGCGAAGAGTAAGGAGGAAGAGCAGAAGTTCGAGAGCGAGCAGTTTGGGGATGTGTTTGAGGAGATGTTGAGAGAGGAGGGGATGGCGGAAGGGAATGGGAGGCCGACGGGTATGTTTTGGAGTGTGGTTGGCGGATTGAGTGGTGGTGCTATGGGGTTCATTGTTGCGAATTTCCCAGGCATGATTGCTGGAGCTGCGGCGGGGAATAGGTTGGGCGCTATTAGAGATGCGAAGGGGAAGAGTGTTTATGCTGGTAGGTTTTTTTGATTCTGGAGTTTGGGGGTGGAAGCTAATTTGGAGATAGTGTTCCAGGAGTTGGATCAGAGTGATAGAGCGAAGTTGTTAAGTCAGCTCGCTGCAAAAGTCTTTAGCCATGCCGTCGGTATTTAGGTGGAATATAGGGAGTAGAATTTTGAAGGGGAAGTCTTGAGGACGAGGAAGGAGAGGTTGGGCTTTTGCGGCGATGTCTCATGCGATGCTTTCAGAATCAGCAACAATTCGACTTTATTGGGAAGAAAGGTTAGGCGTTGTGGGAAATAATGAAGACCAGAAGTTTTCCAACGGTTTATGCAGGAAACGAGGAATGATGAAGGAGGACTGCGTGGCTTGATACCACATGAAGTGCAGATAGAAACAATAATCAAATAACCGTTGCGAAACATGCATGTTCTTCCAAGCAGCGCCTACATCCAGGGTCATTTTGGCTTGGCAAGACTCAAGAAAGGGGAAGCGAGCCAATTGTAGCCCTCGAAGTCCTGAAGCGTAGAGGATGTAAGAATTCTAATGGAACACTTTTGAGCTCTACAGTGCCATCGATTCCGATGCTTGTACAATAGCTTCAAAATTCCACCTTGATGTGGATTTAGTGTTTTGCATATCTCCGGTTCAGAACTTGCAAAGAAAAAGTCAATAGGCCCTTCTTTATGTCATCTTGAAATCCAAGATGATAGCCGCCGCTGCGCTTTGCTTGCAAACGTCAAGGGCAAACTGTGGCTCCCTCAAAATCCCCAAAAGTTCTAACAGGAAAAAACCTTACATATGCTAAGGGCGATAGGCTAAGCCGAGGGTTCTTCCGAAGTTTGGCAAAACATTTGCCCGGAGGTGCGATGTGCAAAAAAGAGATTGGCAGCCTTACTTCAGGGGTACGTCCGGATAAACAATTGTACCCCATGCGATGTGCAACAAAGATCTTTGGGTGGCTTTACATCAGTGGTAGGTACATTAGCGGGTTAGAACCTCTTATTCGGAGCCGTACAAGGGATTTTTTACAGCTTCGACTTCGCCTTTATAAACTCCACCTGATTTGTACAAGTCCCCACACCCTCAAGTCCAACTTCAACCACATCCCCATCTTTCAACCAAACTTGTGGTTTTCTTCCCATCCCAACACCTTGCGGTGTACCCGTGAAAATCATATCTCCAGGTAATAAAGTCGTTCCTTGGCTCAAAAATGCAATCGTCTTCGCCACACCAAAGATCATATCTTTCGTACTACTCTCTTGCATCACTTTCCCATTCAACTTCGTCCAAATCTGCAAATTCTGAGGATCAGATATGAGTTTTGAAGATACAATTCCGGGACCGAAAGGAGCCCAGCCATCGAAGCCTTTGCCGAGAGCCCATTGGCCGCCGCCGTGCTTGATTTGCCAGTCTCGATGTGAAACGTCGTTCCCAACAGAGTAGCCAAGGACATAGTCTAAGGCTTTGGATTCGGGAACGTCGGCGCAGGGTTTTCCGATTATGGCTACGAGTTCGCATTCGTAGTCAAGGCCAGTGCCTTGCTGGGCTAGGGGATGGATTGGAATGGGGTCTGTGGGACCTGCGATTGAGGTGATAGGTTTGTACTTTGCTTTGTGAGCATTATGTGTTGAATCAGCATGAGGAAACTTACAAAAAGCACGGGGTATTTTGGAATTGGCATATTCGACTATGATACTGTAAGTCACGTTTCATTGTGTAGAGGAACTGGAACCAAGAGACCGACCTCTTTTGCATGCTGTTCATAATTTAATCCAAGGCATCTCACAGTATTTACATCTTCAAGAGCTAAAGGAGCGAGCAGAAGTCGGATGTCTGCAACTTGGTCTGTAACATCGTGCTTGCCAAATATTTGACCTTTAATAATCTTGGCTTGCTTGGCTTTTGCAATGTCTGTGACTCCATGTGGAAGAATTGCATCGCCATAGTACGTTCTACCGTCTTTTGCTAGAAATCTAACAAGTCTCTGCATAAGGTCAGAAATAGTATAAGAGGAGGTTGCGACGGACTTACAGAGAATGAAGACATGTTGCTGATTTAGTGGAATGTTACAGCTTTGGTTCGAGATTCGAACTGTTTTGAACTTAAAAAGAAAAGATGTTTAATCATTTACTTGCACAAGAAGTGATCGAAATTGAAGTGGACGTCTCAAAAGGCCGTCATCGGACCCCCACAATGCCAAGACCTTGGGGAAAGCTACCCCTGTCGAAATCTCGGAACATCGCCCGTCATTGAACGCCCGAAAATCTTCGACTTCATGACACTCTTTATGCAATAATCGAAGCGGCAGAGAGGGAGGAATTGGAACGAAATGAAATACTCAGGTCTGCAGAGGGAGGTCTTATCTTTGTATCGAAAATGTTTGAGAGAAAGCAGAAAGAAAGCAGCAGTGGGTCCTGAATGAACACAGAAGAGGTCCAGTTTATTGACTTCAGTAGGATGCAAGACCTCATTTCGAGGCTTTTGCGAGGTCAGTCCCTCCCTCTCGTTGGCCGCAAGCGGATTGACAGAACTTGGCTGACATTCTGGACTTAGGAATGAATTTCGAAAAGCTCTTGCACTCGACAAGAAAGATTTTGGAACGATAGAATATCTTATGCGAAAAGGACAAAGGCAGCTTGACATGTATTCTTCGCCAGGAATTAAAGATATCCGATGAGAGGGTTGGGATGCGATCATGAGTGCCCATTTAGGTTTGTGAGGAAAGCACGACTCACATCGAAAGTCTACACATATCTTCTTCCTCGGCACCGCAGCTCCCAGGCATTTCCTAAGATGCATCCTTACCAGAACATCACATAGCCCACCAGGCCCATACGATGCCATATCTCAACATTCATTGGAAGGTCTCTCCCCGCCATCATCTGCCGAGAATTCGAGTTGCATCAACGCCTTCCGTATCGGTTCAACATCGCAGCACAGCAGCAGCTCGACAAGTCACTAAGACACCTTTGGAACCAGCCCTTGAACAAGAGCGTAAGAAGCGTCGATTCAACTTTCGAGTCCGACGTCGTCGAGGTCGAAGTTCCAGAACTTCTGTGGTAGCTCAGGCAAAGCGACGTGCTTCTCAGAGAGCGAGGCAGAACATACAGGTCTTCGGATGGGATACACCAAACGCTGAACTTGCAAGTAAAGTTACCACCGAGCTTTATTTCGGGTCAAGACAGTCTACACCACGACCTCCTAGAGTGCCCCCACCTACAAGATATCTGCAGAACCAAACAGAATCCGCCATTCCCTCAACTGATGGCGCGGCAAGCTCTATAGTCAGACGGACTTTCAAGCCGCAGAAACCCGAAAGTCGTTACTCGTTGATGCATGTTGCTGAGCTACCTACGAAGCCACAAAGTCGAAGTAGATTCTCGTTTGAGTCTGACCAGCAAAGTACAGGATCAACAAGACGCCCAGGAGGAGAATACGCTCACGTAGGGCCCCTTGATCTGGGTAGTTATTGCAATGCTCATTATGACTCCAGACCATTGCAAGGGATCGAGCTTATGATTCCAGGATTGACCCCAAGACTCGAGTTGGGATACGAAGGAGTACTGCTGTACCTCGAGAGAGGCGAATGCTTCGTGAGGGGGAATCATTCAAACGCCCGCCGAACAGGAAGAAGCAGCAAAGCTTCAACTCGCCTGAGTTCTGGGAAGCCGTCAACTCTATTGCCTTGCAATCAAAGAAACACAGAAGCGACACTCTCTCAATTACGTCTATCATTCAGTCAGTGTTCTCAGAGAAATCCCGAACACGAAGTCAGAGGAGGGCATTACGCCGCTTCACCCGAGAGATTGAACTTTATCTGCAAGCTGCTCGTACATTGCCCAAACAATCACTCGTTCCATCCATTACTGCAACAAGCATCTCTGCAAATACAGTCCTAGAGCTGAAGCCGTACCAGTCGCAATTTCAGAGTGCTGGCCTTGCTGTGACATCAGAAGAGCAACGTAGAGCAAGCCCACCGCGAGAATTTTTGAATCCACCTCAAACTCCACCCAAGGACGAGAAGTGGGAGAAGATGGCTATACTTTCGAGAAAGTCTAAAATCGAACCGGAGAGCAGTAAGAAAGAAGAGAAAGGCAAAGCGCCCGAGCGAGGACCTCCATCTTTTGCATCTGGCTCTACAGGGACTACTGTCCTCGGATTCACACCACCTCACGAGAAGAGCTATCCTCGCCCGAAGATGGAAAGAAAACAACCTTCGCTGGAATCTGACCATACCATACTTGGCTTTACTCCTCCTCATGAGAGAATGATCACGCCACCGCCTCCTCCGCCTAATTTTTCAGAATTGCGACCAACCACTAAACGATCTCTACCATGGCTTCGCAGAAACAGTCACTCGCCTGAAGCTTCCCCAACCAAGAGAATGAGTTTCGCACCAGTTGAGCAGAATCAACAGCCACGTGCTTCAACTCCTCTTCAAGGGTGGGTTTCAACTTTTGAGATCGCAGACAAATCAACTGGCACAAAGAACGAGGACGAGATCCAAATTCCCAAAAATCGTAACATGCCCTAAGGAGCCTTGTTTGGTCTATTACTAATTGTCAAAAGGACCAAAATCTACCTCTCGTCAATCCTCTGCCACCAGATGGAGGGACTCGAGAGTGGCCTCTCGTAGAGTTACTTCGAAAAGCACCAAAGAAGAGACAAAGAACCCAATTGAACCATCTCCCGCTGTTGTAAATACTACTGTCGACGGCACTACACCGTGTCACCATGTTAACAACTATGTCAACACAGCAGTCCAAGCGGACGTTCCAGACGATGAACAACCACAACCCGAAGTTTCCAGCGCGCAGGCTGAGCCGTCTCTTATTGAGAGAGCTCCGATCCTTATTAGCCGGAACAAAACTTTTCCTGTACCACCCAAGAAATGCACAGGCGACTGCTACCAAGCAACAGAAGACCTAATCCCTATAGTGCCTCCGAAAAAGTCTGCACGACCTTCGCGAGTTACCTGGCAGGGTGTTAATAGTAGCACACAAACCGAAACGCTCAACACTCCTATAGATGAGAAATTGGAAGAGGCTACAGATGCTCAAAAGAAGAAGCTGTTCTTTCCATCGACGTTTCCGACAGCAGACCGAAGCAGCACTTTCCCTTTCTACTCGCGGACAGTTCGCTCCTCGAGACTTGTCCAGCAAGCGCCACGTATGAAAAGTCCGAACAAAAGCATGGATGAAACCAAATCTCAAATTTTTCAGAACAAAGAAAATGCCGGAACCGAAACTTCAAACCCTCCTAGTCGTCGACCTCCTTCACCGCCAGCACTATGTAGTCAGTGTGCCGGCCCTATCGATACTAATGACGAAATTCTGGTCCCAGGACCGACATCTGAACTCGATCCTGAGACTGAAGAGATATCAAAATCCCGTCCAACTCATGCTTGCACCTCGAGGTCGTCTATACTTTGCCAGCAATGTTTCCCATCGAGGCAAGTATCGTTGGAACTATCACCTCTGGAAGCGACTTCGCCTGTTGAGGTCTCCTACCATCCGTTATCGAGGCGGTCTACTAGGCCTACCATTCCTACTGAAATAGTGACGTATCCGGAAGAAGTTCCTCACTTTGTTGAGCAGCCAACACCTCTACCTAAACCGTGTCTCGACTCAGTAGAAGGAAAGGAGATGTATCGAACTATGGTTAAGGAGACATTGGATGAGTTTAAAAAGCAGATTCCAATAGCTGATCCTATGAAGCAATTCCCAATTACTCGGGTGAGAATGGGACCACCTTCTAAACCACAAATGGCTCCACAGCGACGTAGGCCTTTGTCTTCCAGTGCTCCCCGGGCCGCAGCGTCACCTTTGATTGCTCAACGACCTCTCGTAACTGCAGCAGCATGCTCACTTAACCATGTGGCTTCATCAACAACATCCCTCGACACTGTCCCCGCAAAGTCCAACCAAATCACCGACAAGCAAGTCTTCCGAGGCCTCCACGTAGCTACTGCTGCTGCATGTGACGAGGACGTGGACAGGTGGATCGAAGAAATCACCGGGATGGGAGTCAGAAAGTTTCTCGCTGGTCTGAACGCGTTTGAGGGTCTTGGTGTCAATACTCTTGCAAACGTGGCCAAGAGAGCAGCCAGACAGCGAAGAGATCAAATGAACGCTTGGGAAGAGGTCAGAAAGCGAAAGCTAGCATCTCAGAGTCGGGAGATAGAGCTTGATCGAACGCAGTATCAGGTCCAAGGGGTGGCGGACGATAAATTGAAAGTAGGCGAGTTTGTGATTGGAGATCAAGGCGTTTATTGGAATGGAGGTGATGAGCAGGAGGAGGACGACCAAGACGATATCGTGATGGGTGATCAGGGATTAGAGATGAAGCAAAAGAGAGACGGTCTATTGGGAAGCATGTCGCAAAGAAGAGACTACAGGGAAAGTGAAGGTGCACGAGAAAGAGCTGTGAAGATGGGCTGGAGAGAGAGGAGCGTTAGTGGCTAACAACTTTTTGTTAGTCTTCTTGGTTGGAGATCAGATTGGACTTGCTTAGGAAACTCAATTGACCTTCTTTTTGTTAGAGGAGTTTCTGAGCCCGTGCTATATCAAGTGACAGATACCCTATGCAGCCACAGTAACACTTGTACCATGCTCAGCCATCACGCATAAAGCATGCTTCCCGAGCCGCATACACGAACGAAGCAAGATAAGGCGAGTCTATGGCATGGCATTCGTGTTCTTGTACTTGTACCTGTACTTGTGTTGCGAACGAACGGAACGGAAATAGGCGGGTTGCATGAACGTGGGTTTGTGGATGTGTTACAGTAGTTGATAGGCGGGGATGATATTATTGCTGAGAATAAGGTGTGGAGCGGAGGTTGAGAACAATGTGAGGAGAATATTTTATGTGACAGAGAGAGAGAGGGAGAGAGATTCTGGGGGGTTTTCTGTTCGTGGGGAGGGTGATATTAATGTTTGTGGAGGTTTGAGAGGTCATTCAGGCGGTATGTACAGTTCTGATAGTTCAAGATCTCTGGCATTGGAATTCGCAGCTGCTAGGACCTACAACTCTTGTCGACTAAGCGTATCCATATTCTCGCAGTATTTATATACCAGACAAATCTAGGTGGCTTACTGGATATCAATCAAGTCCACAACTCTCTATTAACTACCAACTCTTCATGCGGACAGCATCTTACACAGAAAGCGAGAGTGAGACGGCGTTCGTTCGTGTCCCTCGGGAACTCGCAGCTGTCATTCCTTCTCCACCGTAACACATGTATACATAGGCTGCTGAAAGTCGTACATCACAAACGAGCACGCGGTGTACAACAATCCCATCCCATCCCTCAGCTGTGTCACACAGTTGAGAATGACTGACGGCTGCAAGTTCCCGAATGGGGACAGAACTTCGTGTGGATCACTTTGCTTTTGTGCAGGTGTGGATATTACAGGTTGTTCACACTGATAGCTGGATTTGTAGCGTGAATGGTATTCATATTGCTCTCATGATTTCAGATTGGTGAGATTGAGAATAATATTCACGCACCAAATCTATATGTAGCCGCACCCGTGATCGTGTATCAATCGCCGGTACTGACGGCTCGGGCAACTTTATTTGTTTTTTTATAGAGGAAAATATGACTCAATGTATAGGGAGGGTCCGGGGAGTTTGTGCCGTGGTGGTATTATCTTGTTGCGCGGAAATGGTTAGTGGAGGGGTTATTGGGATCAGATTAAATATTTGCAGTGGCAGAGGGGATTTTGCTGACGATGAGTGGAGGAATTGACAACAGTGAGAGGATTTTGCAAAAAGACGAATGGACTTCATTGGGGTTGACAATTACTAGATAGTGAAGTGATTGTTGGTACAGTACTTAGTAATCTTGTGGGACTGGCAATCACATAAACTCTCGTTTTTCTTTTCAATTCAGAGAGTTTTGGGAATACGAGTTATAAGGTGATATCTCAGCTCGAGTACACGTCAATCAGTGTGATGAAAGCTTGAAAGGAACCACGTAAGGTCAGATATCCGCAGCTGGGCAGCCATCAGCCAGTAATCAGCTCATGCCTTGACTTTGAGGCAGTATCTTCGATACGAACGAGCAGTGATCTAGCTCGTGTCAAGCTCTTACTCGTAGAATGTGTATCTCGTAAACTTTCTCAAGGTACGGCCGAACTTCCAGCTCACCCCTGAGCTTCAGAAATCAAGACCCATTTATCATTAGCTTCTTCAACACCACCACGGCAAGAACTGCCGTCTCGCATCACTAGACCTGGGTGCAAAGAATCAAGAACCAAAAAATCAAGAAACCAAAGCACCGCTCGTCGAATCGGTTTGTCCGGCTTCCAGCTCACCACTGCTGCTAGCATCATCTGCTGATTGATTGATTCCTCACCACCCAAAATTCCCGACAGAGTTCCGGAAAGCAGGGAGAGAGATCTATTGGTGCGTACATGCATGCAGTGGCGGAAGCTATTATGACTTACAGATTTTCCGTCGTGGTGGCTGGTGGTGGACCGTGGTGGTTGCGAGATATCTGTCATGTGGGAGCTGGATGTGATTTGGAGGGTGGGAATGCGGTGGTTTGATTGGAGATGTGGGAGGTGAGGTTGCGTAACGATATATGGATGGGGGATTGAAGGTTGGTAATAGGCTTTTAAGATGGGTGATTTTCTTGGTTTTGGAAATCTGGGGCATGTGATTGATGTGAGGTTTCTCAAAGGTTTTGGTACAGTATCTCACCGAGTAGGAAAATTTGCGTGCTAGAGAAAGTCGAGTCTTGAGTGGTGGTCAAGAGGCTTAAAACGAATAACGAGAGCTGAATGTGTGGGAAGCTGTCTTCTGTTTGATTGCAACACATGTGCGCCATCCTGATGCGGCTTACAAAATCGCGTGTCATTGGACGAGTGGAGTGATGGAGAGGATGGGCATTAAGGGGCTTGATTGACGGTGTTTCAGCACTGTGGTGATCAACCGTTACATTTAGAATTTTGGCTGGGATCTAAATAAAATCGAATAGTAAGATATCTCGAACGGGATGATGATCTGAATGCAAGGGGTCGAGGACAGCGGCTGTTGCGGCCGGGGCGAGAGGGATGTGCTATTTGGAGCTGAGAAGAGAGTTATCGTACGATTTGAACGTCATGGTGACAGTTGAGAGAAGGTTGTGGTTGAGTATGTGTTTGGGTGAGAAGGGTTGAGGTATCGTGGTTGTCTCAGAGTCTGCCGGTTATTTGGTGATTGTGTCTTCTAGATCCGTGGGTGAGGTTTTGGTGGTGGTTTTCGTTGCAATTTAACCTAGATTCGAGGTTCCTGGCGTACTTTGCCATTCGGGTACTGTAAGCAGCTCACTTGCTCGCTAACTGAAAAGGGGGGCAACTTGGTGTGGCTGCGAGATCTGTTCAAGACTATACTTGAGATGTCAAGGGCTCACATCTCGAAGTCCTACCATATTCAATTTTATTTAGGTTAAGCTTTCGGACCAACTTCAATCCTTTCTTCAATGTTTATATGATCGGAAGTAATGGTTTCCTGTAGAGTTGTAGAGTTTGTCAGAAGTAATGTAACCTTATGTCCTTAGGTTCAATCGCAGACATCTTCTAGCCTTGAGTAAAGTTATTGCGTGCACAGGCACCAAACCATCACGACGTTCTTGTTTCAACGACAACGACATTTCGCTTCAGTCATGATGTTCAGGGTCAGGGTGACAATCGCTGCGCCAATAGATTATATGTGGGGTGCGAACAGACCGTGATTTGGCCTGGTCAGCAATCCGGTTGGTCCTTAATGAGCCTGGTATTATTTTATCGCTGCAACACCACTGGAAATGCGCGGTGCTGCCCGTCACACCGACTTTCTTGCTCTCTCCACTGCAGCGCTTGGTGCACTGCAGTGTGTGGCCCGCTGTCAGCCAGTGCTTGCGGATGTGCGATTGTGAGCTAGATCTAATCGTCTTTTGGTGTGGTTATGAGAGGGGTTAAGACAGAGACGGCTCGATATGGAGGGTCAGCGTGATGCAGCCTAGATTCCCCTGAAATCAGGGCTGCTCGTTCACGGTTGATTAAGAGGGAAGAAAACGAGGAGACAATGCTCCGTACCAACCTTGCCAGCGTCAGCAGCAGCTGTCCCGAGGACCAAAAGACGGTAACGGATAACCTTCTTCTTCCTGGTGAACATCCGCGCTCTGACCACAGCAGAGAGCATTGAGATCTGGAGGGAAGTTCCTCTGTCCGTCCAGACTCCAGATTTTCAAGTCCCTAGCTTTGAAAGTATGCAGGGACACACCTTCGGCGCATTCTGCTCTGATTCTCTGATTCGGTCCAGTGCAGAGATGTGGGGATAGGATGCAGCCCTCCTGGAAAGTGTTCTAACTGCTTGGAGCTGCTGTGGCTGAAGGCAGCGCCCGTGGTTCGTTTGACTGCCGTTTCTATAAGCGCTCGGATGGGAATATCTTTCTTTTGTGTGTGTGTGTGGCAAGAAGAGGAGTCGGAGAGGATTGCTTTTTGCTTGACGATCCGGGGTTGCGAATGGACTTGAGCATCGCTATGAGGTGCATGATGATGCTTTGCTCGGCTGGTGTCCTTCCAGTGGCGACGTGGTCACGACCACCTTCTGAATGGAGCGGGTACATATCTGAGACGTCAGGTACAGAGAATACCGAGATCTGTCAAGCATCGGACAGTGAATGGGAAACATGTTTCACGGTTTCACGTCTAGGGAAGAAATGTCATCTCCCTCTGTCGAGTGTCCCCTGTTACCCCAAGCTTTTCGATTTCGCTTTGAAGGCCATGGCGTTGATCGAAGGAGCCGGCTTTGTGATTCTGGATGCCCGAAGACGGCGTGTGGCACAATTCAGATCCGGAGGAGCTTATTTGAGATTCGTCCAGTGACGAGCAGGTACAATCGAAGAGGTTGCGTAAACTTTAGGACGAGATATGGCATTTAGATGAGGCTGCTATCAAAGTTCGAGTTTCCGAACAATAGCCATATATACAACGTTAACGAGTTTAGATTACGACTATATACCGTCGGACATAAGATCCAGGTATGACCTTATCACGACGACAGGGTGATCAGCAGACTTTCCATTTTCGAGATGGAACTGGAGAGCTTGACTCTGTCTAGAGAAAATGGGGTTACGGCGAGTGGGGTCGAGTGTTCTCGCTTGCATGTACCCCTGAGTTGAGTTCAGTTCAGTTCCTGGCCTGACTAGGGACCAGACCAGGAAATGAAGATATTCAAATCCTTCGACTCGACATGCCTCCGTACTGCTGTCGAGAGGTACAGTACGATACATATACACTTCCTTATCTTGCAGCCGCGCAAATGCAGTCTGCATGTTTTAGGGTCGCTCCGTTGACAGAAGGGGTATCTTGCAGATGGGCGTCGGTTCGGGTATCACCGGCGCTCACTGGATTCTGTTGGCGTGCGTGCTTAAGCATCTTCCCGGCGTAAGACGACGACCGCAGTGGTGGGAACCAAGTGATCTCTTCAGACTCGTTTGTCTGCGAGCACCCTGTTACCCTGCTGTGGCGCCCTCGTCCCTTGAGTAATCACTTGGGACGCCAATCAACCGTCTCTGGGGGAAGGGAACCAGCGGCAGCAACGGTGCGGAAAGATCAGCTACTGTGCTGCGATTATGGTACCGTACCGCATTGGAGCGATGCGGTTCGGAAGTGCAAATCATCATGATGCAGCAGAAAAGTTGACGCTGCAACGTGGGAGTGGGAGAGCGAAGGGAGGGATGCAAGAACGAGATGCAATGCACAGGAGACTCGAGAAATAGACGAACGTCACGCATAGGGGCAACCGACCGATGTGGCCAAATAATTGGACAGCCCTGCAATTATTATTCTACGAGTCGAGCATCTTATTATCCACTCCACTCCACTACTACAACTTTACAGACGACAACGGCATTTATTGTTACCCTCAGAATTATTGACTACGGTCTTCTCCTGGCCTCTCTCTCGGCAGCGCAAGAACATCTGCCATCGAGCATCCCTCATCAAATCAAAATTAAATCAAACCCGCACCGAGCCAATCTCAATAATTGCCCGTAGTTCCTACCCCCGTCGTGCATATCGAACCCCCCATACCGTACCACCACACATCCACATCCACTTACACTTTCTACTTACTCACACTGCTACGGTTCTCACTCACAACCAACGACCAACAACCACTTGCTCTCCCATGACTCGCTCTTCCCAGTCGACCTAGATCATACCCGACATACAGTCAGTCTCTTTGTGGCTGACGTGAGGCCTGTCTAGTCGTCGAGCTTCTTGTGATAATTCTTAATCCTTTGTACATATTATTTCTGCACCACACCCAGACCCAACCCGCACCACCAACCAAACAACCCTCACCTCACTCACGCATGCGCATGCAGCCAACGTGGACCACACTGTACAGGAACAGCAGCAGTAGCATTTCCAACTGACTTTTGCTTGCTCCCTCACACCTCCAGTCTTTTGCATCCATCCTGGCCCCGGTGCTGACCTATTGCACGCTCGCTCCGCGTTCGAGAGTCTCGCCTGAACGTCGCTCTGTTGAAGGTGCGACGGCAATCAGGGTCAACCAGGCATTTCGAAACCCTCTGCCCCAGCTTCGTGCAGTCAGGCGCCACCCTTCTTCTGACTGGAGAGCCTTTCCTTCTTGGCTCGAATGTCAGCCAATTGGTAGTCGAGCCTTTCTCTCCATCTGCATAGCAGACGCAGTCTCAGCCGGTGGGCGATGTCGCAGCTTTCGCAACAGAACGAAGGACCCTCCGATGCCCAGACGACGCAACTCCAGTTCTTTCCTCAAGACAGCCCCACTGGAGGGCGTAATCAGGTCTACTACTCACCAAACAACTCATCTCCAACAGCACCAGATACTGGAAGGAGGTATGTAAAGTCTATTTTCATCGGCGGTGCTGCTACTGCTGCTGTTACCGCGTAAACGTGCACTACTGACCTGGATCCTCTCTCAAGGTCTCAGCGCAAGGCTGCTCCCAGTCCTCTCCAAACTAGTACCACAGCTACATCTCCACTGAGCAGTGTCACTCCTACCAGAACCACCTTTCCACGAAGTGGTGTCGATCACACTTCGCCGTCGTCGAGCTCAGTTCATCAGAGCCCTCAGCAACCTCGATCTCCCACGGAGCGTCTAGACGACCTGCTAGCCTCCGAAAAGAGCTTTTATACATCGGAAACCTCATCTGTAGACTCGCTACCAGAGGCAAATCCACCAAGGTAATAGAGATCTATGGCAGAGGAAGTGGTCTTGGCTCTAACTTACTGTTGTGTAGATACGCTCGTCCTGTCAACGAAACGAATGAGGCCACACGAAGTGTATCCGATCCTGTCCTAACCTCTAAGCCGCCAGGAGGCTTCTCTACTGGCACGCGACCAACAATGGCGGCCAACAATCCAGCACATAGGGCGGAAATGGGTCGAGCACCTCCTCGAACATCCTCGATCGATTCTGCCATTTCCTCACTGTCAGGCCATGGACACTCGAAGAGCGGTTCGCAAGACATGAAGTCAGACGGTTCAGCAGATATCGCGAGTCTCATTAGGGCAGCAGGAAGTCCTGAGGCCCTCATACAACACTTGCTGGAAAATAAACAGTCAATTTCGGCACAGAATGCCCAACTATGGCGTTTGGTAGACAAGCAGAGAGCAATGATTTTGGGTCTGAACAAGGATCTTGATCGAGCAGTAAAGGACAGGGAGCGTTATCGAAAGAAGTTTAAGGAGTTGGCGGCACAGCAGATCTCTAATCCTTCGCCAGTGGACTCAAACCCGGGAGTGCCTTCTGAAGCAGGATCAACAACTTCATCAGACACTCGGATTGTAGAAGTCTCGAAACCTACAGGTATGGAAGCATTGGTCTCTGCTGGCTTGAGAGATCCAGAACAAGATCATCCTCACTCGCCGATTGATGTCGCACTGGCTCCTTATCCTATCACTCCTCCCGCAATGCAGCTCCAAGCGCCCAGTCTTAACAATATGGTTGAAGCAGAGCACAAGATGCCATCTCCTACGCAGCATGCTTTCCAGCAATACAACCCGGATGCACCGCAAGCAGGATTTGAGGCCGGTCAGCAGCAGCGAAAGGCAGTTGACGTTGCGAGGGAAGTGCCATATAACGCGACTCTGCCACCATCACGAAGCCTTCCCTCGGATCCACCGAAAGGACCGCCACCCAACGTACCACCTCCAAGAGCACCAATGTCGAGTCAAACACCTTCTGTGGCCATCATTGGGGCGACTCCCAACCCTGATGAAGGCATAAAATCATTCCCTACACCACCTCGAAAAGCTCCACCGGCGCCTTTAAATTTGGGAAAGAAGAACGCAAGCTCACATTTGCGCCAGACTTCTGGTGCAGGAGAAGAGACAGACTCCGATTATGATGATATATTGGAAGTTGATGAACTGCCAGCATTTACGGAACGTGGCCGACGAAAGACAAGAGAAGAGGACGATAAAGAACGAGAAATCGCGGCTATGAAGGATGCGGAAATTCGAAGTTTGTCCAAGAAGAGTGCGAAGGGGTCAAAATCTCGGCCAACGACACCCAAGGAGTCAAAATTTTCCGTGAAAGCAGATCCAATGCCATTAAGTCCAAGGACCATTCCTATATCTCCACCAGATGCTCATCTACGCCATTTCTCTGGTTCTGAATCCAATTCAGGCTCGTTGGCTGGTGTGCTCAGCGAGGCTTCGGGACTGACGTCTGTATCCCCGCCTCTGATGAGTCCAGGTTTGCCCATGAGTCCCAGACCGATGGACCGACCCCCAGGATCTCCACTACCCCGTGGATCAAATCACTCTTCTGTCCATTCGCCACCAATGTCACCCCGAATGGGCGGTTTCCCAGGAGCTGTACCTCTGTCCCCACGTGCTCCTCGTCAGCCTATACCCCTCCCACCGAATACACCAATGTCAATTTCATCGCCGGGTGCGCCTAAAGGTGAACCTTTACAGCTGGTCTCACCGAAGCCTCTGATCATCGCAAAGAAGACAAGTGATAACGTAGATTCGAGTCCCAAGGATGACACCTCTCCAGTCACTATCACACCTTCAATTAAGAGCGGAGTATATAAAGGCCTAATCACCGAGGAATATCCGGATCTATTACTTCCGCCAAACGCTCTCCCATCGATAGATGTCAGAGTGGCATCTTCTCGCCTGAAGCCTTCTAGAGCTAGTATCATGTTTCCTAAGAATTTCGAAGAGGATCCTGTCTTTACGTTGGCTGTGTTCGCAAGATCTGACGGCAAAGAGTTGTGGAGAGTTGAGAAGGATTCTGCTTCGCTCGCCAACTTGGACCAAGTACTGAAGCAATCTCCAAACTTCACTGCCAAGACTCCAGAACGATCGTTGTTCAGTGGCCATGCACCTGCTAAGGTTGATGCTAGACGAGCAGCTCTGGACAAATATCTTGATGAAATGTTGAATACGCAAATGGACATGAACTCCGCTTTGGAGATTTGTCGATATCTCTCAACTAACACCATGGAGCCATATGCGGAAGACGTTCCTAGTCGTGACTCGGGTTCCGAAAGCCCAGTCAAGACTGGTCCAGGTGGAAGACCATTGAAGAATGGATATTTGACTAAGAGAGGCAAGAACTTCGGTGGCTGGAAGGCACGATACTTCGTCCTGGACGGACCTGTCTTCAAGTACTATGATGCTCCTGGTGGACCAAATCTCGGTGCAATCAAGTTGCAACATGCTCAGATTGGAAAGCAACAACAACAGTCTGACAACTCGTCTCCTTCACGTGGCGAAGATGATGTTGACAACCAATACCGCCACGCTTTCCTGATTTTGGAGCCGAAGCGGAAAGATTCATCGAGCCTTGTTCGCCATGTTCTGTGTGCTGAGAGCGATCAGGAGCGTGATGATTGGGTGGCTGCTCTGCTTTTATATGTTGACATCAAGGACGAGGAGGATGAGGAAGCTCCCGTTCAACATGATCGCACCAACTCTGCTGCATCTGGAAATGTCAATGGCTCTAAGTCCAAGAAGAAGATATATGCTGCGTCAACACGCAATCAACCTACACCTGATCCAGCCGATGATGGTCTTAGAGGCGTTAGCTACGAAAACACAAAGGCAGGCAATGTACCAGTCGGTGTCCGTAAGAACTCTAGCACGCCATCACCACCCACATATGGTTATGAACGAGATCCTCTGGCTCAATTGCCTCAATCCAAGAACATCTCAGCACCAAAGAATGCGCAGGTCATTCAAGATTCATCATCATGGGGAAACAGACAGAACATGCTAGCTCCAGCGGGACAAGACGAACGAATCAAGCAGAAGAAACGCAGCTTCTTCGGATTTGGTCCAAAGCCTCGGGCATCTGCTGACATGCAAGAACCGTCACCGAACGACTCAAATACTAATCTGTCGCAGCTGGCATATGAACAGCATGGACCGATCAGACCTGCATTCGGAGCGCCTTTGGGAGAAGCTGTGAGATACAACCATCCAGTCAACGTAGACATCGAGCTTCCTGCTGTTGTCTACCGATGTATTGAATATCTCGATGCAAAGAACGCGGCCGCTGAAGAGGGAATTTTCAGGTTGAGTGGTTCAAGTGTCGTGATCAAAGCACTCAAGGAACGCTTCAACAACGAGGGAGACATTAACCTGGTTACTGATGAGCAATACTACGATATTCACGCCGTTGCCTCACTCTTGAAGCAATATCTCAGAGAATTGCCACAGACAATCTTGACAAGAGAGCTCCACCTCGAATTTGTTGCTGTCACTGAACTCAACGATATGGATGAGAAGATCCGAGCCTTGAACGGACTTGTTCACAGACTCCCACGAGTCAATAATGCCCTCCTCAGATATCTCTCAGGCTTCCTGATCAATATTATCAATCACTCGGATCGAAACAAGATGACTGTTCGAAATGTTGGCATCGTCTTCTCGCCAACCCTCAACATTCCGCAACCCGTCTTCGCTTTGTTCTTGCAGAAATATGATGATATATTCGATCAAGAGCCGGACGAGCACGGGCCGGGAGTCGAAGTCACCGTGACAGCCCCCCCACTGACACCTGAGGATATCCGATCTCCCAGACGCCAGAAGTTCCAGGATCTTCCGACCCCATCGTATGATCAACAATCATTCCAACAAGCACATCCATTCCCAATGCCTCAACATTATCACCAGCGGCCACAGTATGATACTGGTTTCACCCCACTCCAGCCTGCGTATGAGCAAAAGCTTCAAGCTCCCACCATGGCGGGTCCAGAGTATGGTAGATCAGCTCCAACTTTAGCCGGCCCATCGTACGAACAGTTTGGAGGAAGTCAAACTCAAAGACAATATGGTGCGGAGAGTAGCAGTGGTAATAAGACCAAGAGACGTGAAAGTAGCATGTTCGGTATGAACATAGGCTTGGGTCCACGCAAACCTAGTAACAATCGGCTCAATGATGGCCGTAAGCACCCCTTTTCTCTTTCTAATATTTCCTTTCCTACAATATATAATTCTAACAGATGACCTCAGGTCTCGTTGACGAGGAATCTTTCTTCGATTAAAATACCCCACGAAGCTTGATACGAACGATGATAGAAGTGGAGATCTTTCTTCCTTCAATGCATAGATGGCGACCTTGGACTGGTGCCGAGACGTCCCGACCACGATTCATCATAAAGATGATGATTACTGTAATTACTAATGACTTCTTCCTTTACGCATTTCTTTTTACGACTGTACAATAGCATTCGAATGGTTCATACAATCTTGCATTCTGGCTGCGAGAACAGAAACGGCCGAGTTACTTTACTTCGTTTCAGCAAAGCGTTTCTTCTTTCAGCACAGCACAGGAGAGAGCAGAGGAGGTTTATACCCAGGTTGTTTTTAAGGCAGAGTTGGGGTTGGATGATTGCCTTTATTTGATTGTTCTTTTCCTAATGCACTGGCGATGGTGGTTGACTTCGGGCATTTTCATGGGGTGATTGATGGGATTTGTTTATGAATTTGAGAAAAGGAGCGAAGGAGGAATGAGAGAAGGAAAGAGATGCCTGTACGATTTGATTATGTGTGATGGATTGGTATGGTATTGTAAGGGTACTTGTTGATAAGTGGCGCATGATGTGAATGAAAGGGATGAACATATTCAGAGCCAAGCCGTGGAGTGTGACATGTCTGGAGATTGAGAGGCTCGCCGTGAGAAACGGGTCATGCTTTCATATCTTGCCTGTTCAATCTTTCATGACGGACGGTTCCAAGGCTATTGGGGAGAACTCTGTACTGCCAAACACTGATTTACGCTGCCAACGAAGCAGAGCAATTCAAAAGAACTACTTCAGCTGTCACATAGACTTATAACACTGTCTCGAATTGCTGTCCTCGGTGATGGTGGTAATCAATAACTGTATGTCTTTTCTCGTTAACATCTCCCCAACGTTCTTTAGAAGTTGTATCATTTCTCATTTATTGCTTGACAATTAGCAGATATTTGCGCAATTCTCGCAATCAGCGCCTTCCGCGCGATCAGCGCTTTGGGCGGGATATGCGCGTTTTGCGGATAGTGGCAATTCGCTGTTGTTGGGCATACAACACAATTCGCACTATATTCATAGTCTTTCACAACACTACCTACTATGCTATATTCAAGCCTCTCAATCATCTAAAGAGTTTCAGACATACGCTCAAGATTTTTTGTTGCACATCTTACACCGGACAAAGTGTTTCCGACAAGGCTGTGGTACGAGGCTTAACGCTATGTATACTTGTAACCTTTTGCATCAGTCAGTCTTACCCCTTAACCAAAGAAGTGAAGACTAAAGACTGTAAAAAGGCCTCAAGAAAGTCTATTGACCCCAGATATTCTAGACATTTCAAAATTTTGTTGCATATCTCACACCGGCCAAAGTAAACCCGACAAGGCTGTACTGTACTGTAACTACAAGGCTACCAAAACCAAGATCTCGCTAAACTCCCTAGCTCCACACACACGTGATCCACAAAGCCACATCGCGAAACTTTTCCCACCCCATCCACCTCGATATTTCTCCTCCATCGACAAACCCCAACGCCAACGCCATCACGACACCGTCAACCATGGCAGCAGAACGCAAGGAACGCAGCGGCATCGCCGTTGGATTGAACAAGGGCCACGTATGAATTATCCTCCTCTCCCGGGTTCCTCCAAGAGCTCTCAGCTCGCCGATTCTTCGCTCGTTTGCTCTTGTAAACTCGCAAGCAAGCAAGCTCGCCAGTCTCACCTCTTGGAGGATCTCAACTTCACGTCAGTTGCGATGGACCGGCTAACCCCTTCTTCAGAAGACAGAATCCCGCGTCGTCAAGCCGAGAGTCTCGCGCACCAAGGGACATCTCAGTAAGCGCACTGCGTTTGTCCGCGAGATTGTCAAGGAGGTTTCTGGGTACGTTTTTGTCTTCCTTCCCTCCTTCTTTCTATTTGTTTGGGTGGGGGCTGATGGGGAATTGACAGATTGGCTCCGTATGAGCGTCGTGTTATCGAGTTGTTGAGGAACAGCAAGGATAAGCGTGCGAGAAAGTTGGCGAAGAAGAGGGTATGTTACACTGATCCGTGCATGTGGTGGGATGAGGGCTAATGATGATGGTGTAGCTCGGTACTTTTGGTCGTGCGAAGGCGAAGGTTGATGAGTTGCAGCGGGTTATTGCTGAGTCGAGGAGAGCTGGTCATTAGATTCCTTTCTGAGATATCTCGATATGGTTGGGATGGATGGATGGGCGGAGTTGTATGAATGATACTTGCGTCAGTCAGTTGGTTGGTCGGCTTGCTCTTCGTCACGATGATTGCAGCAGCAGCAGCTATGGCAAATGGAAGCAATGAATGACATTCTACAACACAACAATTTTGCGGGTTCGAGAGAGTGAGAAAATGTGATTTATGCTATGTGGTCTTGATGCAGACCAAAAAGAGCAATAACGCCTCGCTATGATCAATGCTAACAGACATCCCGCAATACTCCCCTGACATTCATGAATTCATCACTTCTATGATCATGCATCTCATTTCTTGCCCAAACCCTTGAACCACTTTGGGATTCCCTTTTGCTTGCCTTCTCCTGAGCTCTCCTTGGGCTTCTCTTTTACGACTGGGGTTTTATCTTCTTCGCCAGCATCCACGCTTGGGATCTCTGGGACCGCAACCTCCCTTGCGGTCTGGGCATACTGAGGCTTCAAGATCGTCGCCTTTCTTACGCTCTCCCTCGCATCATCCTCCCAGTGGAAGTTGACCAGTACGCTCCTCTCGAAGCCCAAGTCCTTAATCAGCTTCTTCTCATCGTTCGATACGGTCTGGACTCCCTTCCCATTCCATACCAGCTTGAAGGGCTGATCTTCTGCTACAATGACGCCACGCACGAAGGCGTAGAGATGCGCACCAGTATCAGTAGCAGTAAATGGAGCCACAATGGAAGATTGATCAGGGAACCGGATCTTGATCGAGACTTCTTTCGTGTTTGCCAGCTTTTCTGCTCGTTCCTTGTTGACTCGCTCTTCTTCGGCATCAGAGAGTAAACGCTTGTTGTGAGTATTGTTCAGGAGACGACTTTGGTGGAGCTTGGCATGGGCGATGGTTGGCTCGTAGTCGGATTCGTTGTGAGGTGTGGTAGCAGCGAGAGGGACATGGGCGGATGGTGGGCGATACACGGATACAGGTCGTTGATCTGGTCCTAAGACTTGTTCTGGAGACGGAGATTTCTCAGCGGCGCGCTTGGAAGGTGTGAGTGGTGGTGGAAGGTCGCCGACGGTTTCTGGGTATGGTGATGGGTCTTCCGTTGTTGTGTTTGTTTCTGATGTGCCAGAAGTCATATCCACGTCCTTGGACTCTCCTTCGGAGGATGGGAGTCTTTGGAGAGCGTGTGTGATGGTCTCGACATCCTTTCGGGGTTCGACTTCCTCAGTGGCAGCAGCTTCTTCTTCCTTGAAGTACTTGCCGATTTCAGACATTGCTTCCTCCAGAGGTTGGTCTGTTGTCTTGAAGCTAAGTCGAATCAAAGCACTTCCCCCATTCATACCTAACTGAGCCAGAGTCTTTTGCAGATCCGCAAACGTCGATAGCTCTCTACCCATAATATTAAGATTAGGCATCTCGTAGAATATCCGTCCAGCACCTGAAGCTCCATTCTCTACTTTTGTGACACCTCTAGCAGTGAAGTTCAGGTTCGCTCCTCCACTTGACTCGAATTTCCGTAATATCAGCCATAATGTTGTATCACTAGGCACCTTATCCGTTAACCGTCCACCAGCCGCAGATGATGCTAGGGCTTCTGGTAATTGTAATGCTATCGAGACCGCAGACGGGGTTCGAGAAACTTGAACAAGCTCGAGCTTTGCTCCCGAGGCAAGACCTGTCTGTCTGAAAGTTCTCGAGAGGTCGATTGGCTTGTTATTGTTCCTGTAGACTGTTAGACTTTGCTTGTAACAGGAAGTAGGAGAACGTACTTGAGACCAAAGTTACTTGGGTTGAGGTTACTGAACTTCTTGCAGGCTTCCTCGAGGACTTCTGTCATGTATTTGCCTGGAGTGACTTTGACTTGGTGTCTTCTGTAATTGCCGTCCAACACAACGACATGAGAGGCCATGGTCGCGGATTGTCTTGGATAGTCCTAGGTTTCGTGGGGTCTACGAGAAATCTTCCTCTAGACAAAGGATCCTCCGAGCGACTGGGCTCCCAAGAAACTTTGTTGTGTCTTCAAAGTTCTCTTTGCTTCTCGAATCTTTGTCAGAAGCGGGCGTGGCGGGGTGTTGATAAAGCTTCGCAGAATGTAGCGCAGAAACGTATGATCTCAAAGGTGCAACTTTTCTACAGTAGAGTGAATATGAACATGGAATGAGGAAGGACAAACATGCAAGCGAAGCTTGGAATTTCAAATGTTGGTGTTTGCAATAAATCCCATATTCGTTATGTGGTGCCTGAATCTGATTAGTCCGAGCTTTTTGAAGCTCGACGTGAGGTGCGGACGCGTGCGCCTTGTCTACCTGCAGGAACTCTATTTCGAAATACAGGCCAGCCTCACTTTCTCCACATCACCATCCGCGAAGCTCTCTGCAACCCCGAATAGACTTCTTTAAGCTCTATCCACCTCTCAAGATACCCTCAATCGCAATAACTCCGTCAAAATGGTACGCATTCCCCCTTCACTCTGCCATGAAACACCGCGCTGACCTCGTGCTCCAACAGAGCTCCCCATTCTCAATCAGTATGCCCTCCCCTCCTTCCTTCCGCTCGATTCTCTAACACCTCTCAAGATGGTGGCGCCTGCGTAGCAATGGTAGGCAAAGACTGCGTCGCCATAGCCTGCGATCTCCGCCTCGGCCTCCAATCCCTAACCGTCTCCAACAACTTCCCCAAAATCTTCTCCTACGGCGACGTCTACCTAGGTCTCACCGGCCTCGCCACCGACGTGTCGACGGTCAGCGATCTCTTCCGCTACAAAGTCAACATGTACCGTCTCCGCGAAGAGCGAAACATCTCTCCTTCCACAATGGCGAACTTGGTTAGCAGTTCCCTGTACGAGAAGAGATTCGGTCCCTATTTCGTGTCGCCGGTCGTTGCGGGCATTGATCAGAAGACGGGCAAGCCGTTTATTTGCGGGTTTGATAGTATTGGGTGTATTGATTTTGCGAAGGACTTTATTGTCAGTGGGACGGCGAGTGATCAGTTGTTTGGTACCTGCGAGGGGCTTTGGGAGCCGGATCTTGTGAGTCTTTTTTCTGTGTCTAGGATGGGCGAGAGTGCTAATGGGGGGTCTGTAGGCACCAGAGGATCTGTTCGAGACTATCTCGCAAGCTTTACTGAATGCTGTGGACAGAGATGCGTTGTCGGGTTGGGGTGCACACGTCTACATTATCGAGAAGGACAAGGTCACTAAGCGATTATTGAAGGGCAGACAGGATTAGAGGGTTTGGAGGAGATTGTTGGCTGGACGTGGATGGATGGTGAAGGGCGTTGGGATGAGATGAAGGTCAAGACACAGTTGCTGAGAATAGAGACCTTCAGCACGTCTTGTGTATACTAAGCATTCATGGCATTATGCTAGATGAGAGCAAAACGACAACCTTTACGATACTAATCCTGATTCCCAGACTGTAGTTTCACTTGAACTCCCTCAGCCAAAGCTTTTCGAAGCTATAATAAGACCAATAGTTGGTGCGGACTTCTGATTTGACACATGCAATAGCAGAACAAGGATTTGAAGCAAATAAGTACATTTTTGTTCTATATCTACTATCTAGTAATTTACAGCCCTATTCGGGGATCATGATCTTTATTGCCTTCCATGATCTATTCTTTCTTTGCTCTAATCTGCGCCACTGGTGCTTTCTCGATGAACATTTGTCTCTCGACGAATTTGAGCACCTCGTCAATCAGACTACGATATGTTAGTGATTATCATCCCTAAAAGTGGATCGTTTAGAGAACTTACATGACGGGCGCACTTATCACCAATACAGCTTGCCACTCTGCCCAGTTGAGAGGTAGGATAGAGAACAATGTCTGCAGAACTGGAGTGTAGAGCAGAGCAAAGTGCAAGGCCATTGACAATGCGATGGCATACACCAGCATCATGTTTTCCCAAAGAGGAAGTGTAAGAAGGGACTCGCTAGACGACAATGCATTCATGGCGTTGAACATCTCAATGACAACGAGGATCGAAAGCGAGACGGTAGATGCCGATTTTGCCATATCGTTCGAGAACATCTGGCAGCCAATCTCTGAGAATTGTGAGGAGCAGCGATGGAAATGCGATAGCTTGTAGAAGGTGATTTGTGGTCCCTCGCTGTAGAACATGAACCACCAAGCATAACCAGCTACCGTAGCAAGACCAACGTAGATACCGATGACCATATAACGGAAGAACAACCAACCGCCAATGAGGGCTTCGTCGCGCTTTCTTGGTGCTCTTCTCATAACATCGTGGTCTGGGGGATTGAAAGAAAGAGCTGTCGCGGGAAGACCATCGGTTACAAGGTTGACCCAAAGTAATTGAACAGGGATAAGAGCTTCTGGCATGCCAACGGCTGCTGTGAGGAAGATGGACACGACCTCGCCGATGTTAGATGAGATGAGATATCTGATGAACTGTTGAGTGTTGTTGTAGATCGAACGACCCTCTTCAACAGCGACCTCAATCGTAGCGAAGTTGTCATCAGCAAGAACCATGTCTGCTGCCAATTTTGCAACATCGGTTCCAGATCCCATGGCGACACCAATATCAGCTTTCTTCAAAGCAGGTGCATCGTTGACACCGTCGCCAGTCATGGCAACGACCTCCCCAGCGGACTGTAGGAGATCCACGAGTTTCGACTTGTGACTCGGCTCAACACGAGAGAAGAGAGAGGCCCTCTTAGCTGCTTCCAGTTGCTCGCTCTCGCTCAAGTTGTCGAATTCTCGGCCAGTGTAGCTCTTGCCCTTCAAATCTTCATACTCGCTGAAGACACCGATTTGACGGCAGATGGTTTCAGCGGTGTTGCGGTTGTCGCCGGTAATGACAATGACTCTAATACCGGCTTCCTTGCACTTTCTGATAGAACCAGCTACTTCGGGACGAGGAGGATCGAGCATGCCAACAAGACCAAGGAGGGTGAGGTTCTGCTCAAGTTGGAGATACTCTTGAGTGGATTTAGCCTTCTTCAACAGAAGGTTCGATGCCACGTCGTCAACGCTAGCCAAAGCAATAACTCGAAGTCCTCTGTTTCCGTAATCCACGACTTCCTTCAACAATAACTCGGAAAGACTCTTGGACAAGGCAACTTTCTTGCCATTGGCTCCTACAAGGACAGAGGTACAGCGATCAATGATGCTCTCAGGTGCTCCTTTGACAAGAAGCTTCTGTTGGCTCTTGTTCCCTACGAGGACGGACATACTTTTTCTGTCTCTAGAGAACTCGTAGGTGGAAATGCGTGGGCTTCTCTTTTCGTACCAAGAGCTAGCAAGATGCAGACAATCTTGAGCGGCACTACCAGCTTTTGCCTGATTCTGAGCTGCATCCTGAGTACCAATCTTTTCAACAAGGACACGTAGTGCTCCTTCAGTAGGCTCGCCAACGTTGGAATAAGTTCCAGATTTGGATTCAAAGGCAAGTTGAGCATCGTTACAGAGCGCTGCCACCTCGGCCATTTGGAAAACAGTGTTTGACTTGTTGGCCACATCGGCGACTATTTTGCCTTTCGACGAGATGTTTCCGTGGGGAGAGAAAGTGGTGCCTTCAACGTCTAGCTCTTCAAGGTCGTTTCCAGCTTCGTTGATGTACACAATCTTATTGACACTCATCTGATTGGTAGTCAAAGTGCCAGTCTTGTCAGAGCAGATAACGCTGCAGCTACCAAGCGTTTCAACGGAAGGCAGACTTCGGACAACAGCATTCTTAGCAGCCATCTTTCTGGTTCCAAGAGCGAGACATGTTGTGATAACAACAGCCAAACCTTCTGGAATAGCTGCAACACCGAGTGATACAGCAATCTTGAGGTAGTAAATCGCGCCCTTGGCCCAGCTTCCATGAGTAGGGTCGGCAAAGTGGGGAATGTTGATAAGCCAGACAATGATGCATATGACCGAGATCACTTTGGCCAGAGTATCGCCAAAATCATTAAGCTTTTGCTTCAATGGCGTCGGTTCAGAAATTTGAGCAGTAATGCTTTCGTGGATATCTCCAATAGCAGTGTTTGATCCAGTCAAGACCACAATTGCTGTAGCATGACCAGTAACCACAGTGGTTCCAGAAAAGAGAGTGTTGATTTGGTCTTGCTTGACAGCCTTCAGATCTAGTACTGCGGCAGTATCCTTTCCAACACTCTCGCTTTCTCCGGTGAGGATGGCTTGGTCCACTGCAAAGCTGTTACTTTGAATAGCAAGAACTCTGCAATCTGCTGGTATTCTGTCTCCTACAGCCACTGAAATTATATCTCCTGGTACCAATTCCTCGGCTCGAATCCTTGTGATTTTTCCATTTCGAATGACCTTGGCCTCGTTCGCAGAGTACTCTTGAAGAGCAGCAATGGCTTTCTCTGCGCTACTCTCTTGGGATACGCCTACGACGGCATTAAGAATTAAGATTGTCAGGATCTAGGAATGTAATGTTAGTAGGGATTTTAGAGGCGATTTTCGAGGAGATTATACGCACAACTGCAGGGTCCACAAAAGCTGTCCAGCCTCCATCTTCTTCGAAAAGCGCGAGGACGAATGAAATTGCTGCAGATCCTAGCAAAATAATAACAAGTTGATCTTTGAACTGTTCGAGGATGAGCTCCCAGATTGGCGTTGGAGGGTCTTCTGCGATAGCTGCGGAACAATCAGTCTTTGGTCTATTCTTGCTTCAAGTTGCAAGCTGAAGCTGGCGCAGCGCAAAGATAGATTTCAGCCTACCATTGCGACCATGTTTCTCTTTTGAGGCTTGGACTTGGGAGTCTGTTAGTCCTTGTGTCTCAGACACCGAGAAGAACTTCAGGACCTCTTCCGTAGATTTCGCATATGCGTCTAACATTTTGACTGGAACGTGGGGGAGCTGTAAGGTATGGACCGGGTCGCGGCTAACAGTTTATGTTTGGCAGGGCATGTATGACGAAAAATATCCTTGCTAATGAGCGTTTGCAAGAATACGAACAATTTGTATGAAAGGTAAAGACGAAAGCCCCAGCGATCAGAGAAGATCTTCAATTGTTGCTTGGTAAGTTTGCCGTCGAAAATCTACAAGTGTCCTCTATTTCGAGGCTGTTCTAGCCTGGATTAGCTGGCCGAGCCTCAAGCGAGCTCGGTATCGTAGCACGTTGACCGATTGGCGCTCCTGATGGAGAAGGTGGGATGTCACGTTTCTGGCACTGCATTCGGGATGCATTCCCGCTGTCAACAGGGACATTGTGGTGAAGCTGGTTGACAATGTTCCGAGAAGTCGATATCAGTATCAGAGACTAAGTTGAGCCGCATCGCTCCCCAGGTCTTGTAGTTGCAATATCATGGTAAGGACCTTATCTGGTGGAGCGCCTTCATGCGAATGAAACAGCCAACCATAGTGAGTTCGCATCAGCCAGATCAGATTAGCTAACAATTCTCCGCCGCTCTCAGACATTCCCGTCGTTCTCTCATGTCTCTCATGAGAATCATTCACCCAGTGTAGCCAGGTCCAGCCATCGAACCTCAAAGTCAAAGCTCACCGCGATTTGATCGCCATGATCTATCGACCAGCTTATGGGAAGTAAGAATTCCTTCTTCTAGTCACTAATGTACAAATAACTTTTTCCCACCGAATTTTGCCAGCACCCTTAATAAGATGTTCTTGTTCGCGACTACAGTACCAGAGTGACTGGGGAGAGGATGATACCGTACCAATCTTCTATCAACTGTGGCTTGAATCGAGCCTAAGTCTGCTTGGCTTACATAAGTTGCGGTACTTCAGGCCAGGGAGACGGATGCCGAGTCCGGATTCGGAGACGATTCAAGGACTGTGGATGGCCTCACGGACTGTTGCCTTGTGACACCAGACTGAAATCTTCAGAACCTGGTCGTTGGGCAGTCAACATTTACATGTGACCCCATTGGCCAGCACTTTTTGCCAGCACATTAAATCCTTGCCAACCACAAGGCAGAATCGGACAATATAGAGTGATAAGAGGGTTCTCGGTGGTGTTTGTTTGGGACCCAGCGACCACTCATATCTGATATATGAGATGTAGAAGATCATCGGAGGAACGGGACAAACCAGGCATCAGAGGCTGGCTGGCAGTCAAATGACGTGCACTAGGCAAGGAGGAGGAGCAAGAGAGATTATTGTTATGCTCCGCTCCCCTTCGCAAGATTCAAGCAGTGCTCAGATGTTGTTGACTATGCGCCTTGATTCGAGTCTTGGGAAATGATAGGACTGAGGAAGGACTTCCCTCCATGTTCCATGACCAGAAAGATGTGTTGTCAGGGCATATGTAAGGTAGGTATTTCATGCTGGCTGGTGAGGGACACGTGATGCTCTTTTCCATGATTTATGAAGATGTAACAGTCCCGGCCGTTGCTTGATGACGGATAGGACAATAGAATAATTAGAAGTAAAGTGAATCCCAATAACGTGCATCGACTCGACTATATCGTCGGTCTATACGGCTCATCCGCAGCTGATCCGCAGGAGGTGAATTTGCCCATTTGGTGGTTCTCGCTTGATGCCAAGCGTTGACAATCCGCGCTACGCTACCGCACTTCGTTGCCCAAGGCCATCAACCTTTCGAGAACAAGACCGTCATTTTCCAAACACAACAGAATTGCACGTCCAGACTCATCACAAATACCACCATCTTCGTCGTTGCAGATACATTCCACAATGACTAACGAGGTAAGCTCCCTTCAAACCCAAATCTCTCCACGTCACTTCTTTTGCGGGTCCAAGTTTGGTTCCCCTCCATTGACTCCTTCCCTTATCCACGCGCGTTCATGTCTCCCTCACACGCCTCTCCGATCTGTTGAGTATACTCTGCTAACTGCTGTGTTATCATGTAGCGTGAAAGGTTCGATCTACTCCCTCTTCGCCTTTGAGCGTCGACCTGATGTTGATACTAATACCCGCATAGCAAGACCTTCCTCGCGAGGCTCTGCGAGCAGGCCGAGCGTTACGATGAGATGGTTACGTACATGAAGGAGGTTGCTAAGGTGCGCGACGCGTTCGGCTACCGGGGACGATTGCTGACACGGTGCGCAGTTGGGTGGTGAGCTCACTGTCGACGAGCGAAACCTGTTGTCTGTCGCGTACAAGAACGTCGTCGGTACTCGTCGTGCTTCTTGGCGAATCATTAGCTCTATTGAGCAAAAGGAGGAGTCCAAGGGTGAGGGAATCTTGTACCATCCTCGCCAGTCCTGTTGCTGACTTACTTCCAGGTACCGACAAGCACGTTTCCACCATCCGAGACTACCGTCAAAAGATCGAAACCGAACTTGAGAAGGTCTGCCAAGATGTTCTTGATGTCCTCGACGAGTCCTTGATTCCCAAGGCCGAGTCTGGAGAGTCCAAGGTCTTCTACCACAAGATGTACGTCTTATCGTCGCAATCATATCATGTCACGCAGAGATACATTTACTGACTCCTACCCTAGGAAGGGCGATTACCACCGTTACTTGGCTGAGTTCGCATCCGGTGAGAAGCGTAAGGTTGCTGCTACCGCTGCCCACGAGGCTTACAAGGTATGACATGTTTGCAATAATTAGTAGAAAAGTGCTGATGAATGTTGTACAGAACGCAACCGACGTCGCTCAGACCGAACTCACCCCAACCCACCCCATCCGTCTTGGCTTGGCCCTTAACTTCTCCGTCTTCTACTATGAGATCCTCAACTCCCCCGATCGTGCATGCCACCTTGCCAAGCAAGCTTTCGACGATGCCATTGCGGAGCTCGACTCTCTCTCCGAGGAGTCCTACCGTGACAGCACCCTCATCATGCAACTCCTCCGCGACAACCTTACTCTCTGGACCTCTTCAGATAGTGCTGATGCTGAGGCTGCACCAGCTGAAGCACCAAAGGACGCTGAGAAGGCTGCCGAGCCCGAGGTTAAGGCTGAGGAACCAAAGGAAGCCCCACCCGCCACCGAACAATCTTAGATCTCACCTCTCGCGAATCTCCTCGTCTCGTTTTCATATGCTTCTTGATCTTGCTGGAGTGGCTGGTATACCCGGCTTGCTGGTGGAGTGATTGCAGCATGGGTAGGGGGATGGGAGTTGATATGAAAAGCAGATTGAGTGCCTGTTTGCGAATTGCGATTTGCGAATACACCATCCTGCGGACTTACGATCATGTTTTCCTTTCTGGTTGCGATGCTTTCTTTATCTGCGGTCTTTCACGTCAGAGGCGTGCTTTGTGGATGGAGTCTAAAGCTTCTGAAGCGGACGTCTTTGATATTGGAATGCATTTCTTCACAAGAGCTTCGACGGCACGTGTTTTCTAGGGAGATCCTGTTGGCAATTTGGTACTTTCCAAAACCTCTCTATCTACGTTGCTTCTTGTTGTTTGCTCTGGTGGTTGTGCTTTCCGACTAGATATCCCTCGGATTTCTTACATCCCACTTGCGTTGTCGTCATAGCGAATAGCCTCTCCCTTGCTCGTTGCTTTAACGTAGCTAGCAGGATGAATTCTCCACACCGTTTGTCTCAATATGCTTGTGAAGTGATTTGTCCATATGTGATCAGTCTAGAATGAAGACCTCCTAATATGCCAGTTGTCATGATAATAACCCCACATTGTCCTTGCTTTGCCATCGTGAGACTATCACTCGCACTCACTTGTACAACCCATATGTCGTGATATAATCCTGGTACTTCTCTCGTGCTCAAATCAGAACTATTTTCAAGTTAAAGATAATAAAGATAAGTTTTGATAGTGATTGAGCACCTAAACTGTCCATATGTCGTGACACAATCCTAGCGCTTTACTTTTGTTCAAGTCAGAACTAGTTTTGTCAACTCAAATCACCCACCTGTCGTTACTGAATTATCCCGACTTCTTATTAAAACTTATCCACGAGATTTTACATGCCTCAGGAAACAGGAGCGTTGTCGATTGATTGTAGTGAATTACCATCTCACAACCTTGCTCGACCAGGCCGATTCACTACGCGTTACCGGCCTCAGGTGTGCGAATCATCTGTTCACTGGATTGAGTCGCATCTCGACAATCTTGCTTGACCACCAGGTATAAATACTTCGTCGCCTTCGTGGCCGTCGTCCGTCGCACCAAACTTGGCGAGAGTCAGATGGCCTAGATGGGCTCCGGAGCCGAGGAAGAATCAGGGCTCCCGGTGTAGATGAGATGATCTTTGTAGAATTTTTTTTGTGAGAATATCTCGATTCCGTTGACAACGGTGTTGATATGCCTTCATCGTTCACCCACCATCTCTCCTCCCCTCCTCTTCCTTTTTCTCCTTCCCACCACTCCTTAGCAACCTAGCTGCCCGCTCCAACCTTTCCCTCCTCTCCCTCAATACATCATCCTCGCTCTCCTCACTTCCAAACTGTAAACTACTTTCCCTCTCCCTGTCCCCTTCGTGAACCCCTGCTCCTTTATCATACATCTCCGTCCTATCCCCATTCTGGCCCTCGGCTTTAGAATTCTTGTTCAAAGACAGAGGAGACGAGATAAAAGAGCGACGAAGAATCTTCTTCCAGAATGATGGTAGAGAAATTGGGGGCGAGGTGTATACTTGTTCGGTGGGGGTGAAGGAGCGGCTGACTTCTGAGCGCCAGATCTCGATTTGTGGGGCTGGTCTGCGGGGGTTGGGCATTTGTTGTGGGATTGGGTGTAACGGAGGATATGTATCAATGGGTGGAAGGGCGGTATTCAGTGTATGTATGGAACAAGAGAAGGTGGTAAATGAGATCAGGCGATAGGATGGCCTTGATTTTTTTTGGTGGGAGTGTTAGATTGGATGGAATGGGCAGTACTCAAAACTGATTTACAAAGTGTTTCCCTTTGCTATTGTTGGTGACATGAAAAGGGAAGAAAGATGAGTTCGGTAAATAAAAACACGCGGAAGGCTATCACGTGGATGAATCGAGGTCAGTCTTTATGGTATTCATGAGAGTACAGTAGTGGGGACATTCAGTTATCCTAGTTGAAGAGCTATATAACGAGATCGCTTTGTTGATTTGTGTTACGGTCTACGTTTCTATTAAGTTAGTAGCAATATTACCTCTGATCATAAATCTTAAAGCTCCGAGGTTGAAGGTTGGTGAAGTAGTGTACCGGGTACTCTTACACGCTCTTTGTTCAGTGATAATCCAATACTATATATCTGGTGGTCTATATGGAGGACAATTCGCAAGGTTCAAGTTTAGAGGTGGATGAAGATGCTAATATCTGTGGTTGGCGTCATCGGTTCACGTCACAGCCTCAAAAAAGTCACAAGCAGAGCATACTGGTATAAATGTGTCGGTAACACAGCGTAAGAAGGCCACGTTGGCAACTCGTAAATTCAAAGGTGTACTTGCGACTCAGGAGTGAGGAGCTCAAAGAACAAGATCTTATTAAGAATTACACTCGATTGAGAGCAATGCAAATTCTGCACACAAAATTCTTATCCTCCTAGTCTCTCAAGAATGATGTAGACACAGCTTCTTGCCGTTCTGCTCGTATTGTCATACTTTATCGCATTGATTTTCCCGCTCAAAGTTTTCGCAAACCAAACACAAAAACGTAATACCCCGTCATCTTGAGTATCTCTGCAGGTGTTCGGCGCCTTGGCTGTGGGATACACAATCGAACACGACTCAACACGACAACACAGACACCTTTCAAAGTACAAAGCAGGGGGAATGATATGATCTGAACTGGAAATCCAAAGTAAGTGTTCGAAGCCGAAAGCATTTTCCCCCATCGACTGTGTGCGAACAAGAGCCTAGAGCAAAAGATATTTGAGGCTGATTGTGTAGCTATGGACAGGATGGAGATATTGCCAGAACGATAATTTACTTGAAAGCGCAAAGTTAGATATTTCAGGTTGCTGGAAGTACCAAGCAAGTACCCACGGTGTCAGATCGCACGTAGGCGCAGGGTGCATAGACACAAAGAAAGTAATAGACGTCTTCAGGATCCTGCTGCACCAAGGGAGGAAGTATAAAGAATGTGAGAAATGCAGCTTCAAATGAGATTGAAAAATATGTTCTAGCAGCGCAGAACATTCGAAGAGGCTTCAGATTGGGTCATGTTGAGATCATGCTCTAGAAGAGCGTTCATTCTCTTCCTATTATATGTGATACTGAGTATCGATCATCACCAGCCTATGGAAGGAGAAAAATCAGAATCGTTCCTTCGCGATAGATCTTTTCATAGCAGAAGATGACACTAGTCTCAATGCCGTTAGAGATGCGGCCGCTCATCTAGATGAGGCTGAATCTCGCTCAGCCTGCGAAGATCGTTCGCATTGTTTTCGCGCATTGGATCAGGCTCTTCGTCTTTCACTCGTTCACAAGACACATCCAACGCGATCTCATCACAATCGTCGATTGCAAATCCACTCTCGCGACAATGAGTGACTTCAATTACGGAGGCACAGACGAGGAGTCTGCCGAGATCAAGAAGCTCAATGCTGAAGTGGTATGTGCTCCAAAGCTCCGAGGACGTCGCTGGACGACCTGTATTGTTCTGCTGCTAACAGGCGCAAAGCTCGAGGACACCGATAACTTCGAGAATTGGGAAAAGCTTGTTCGCGCTGCGGAGCAATTGGAAGGTGGCCTAAACCGAAACTCCAGCCCCCAAGCGATTGCAACCACACGAGATGCCTACGATAGATTCCTAGCCAAGTTTCCGCTCCTATTCGGCTACTGGAAGAAATATGCGGATTTGGAGTTCTCCATTGCTGGCACAGAGGCTGCTGAAATGGTGGGTTGGAAAGTGAACCACAAAAGATCGCACGCTGACAAGGGCTAGGTCTTTGAGAGAGGAGTCGCAAGCATTACAACATCTGTCGACCTATGGACCGACTACTGCTCCTTCAAGGTCGAGACGAGCCATGATCCAGACGTGATCAGAGAGTAAGTATACTGGACTCTTTCCTTCCCTTTAACACAGACTGCGACGGATGCGATCACGACGGTTGTGAGCACTGCATTTTGGATATCACAGGTCGCAGACGGTGAGATGCCAAAAGAGTCGCTCTACTTTGATATCTTCTCACCCACATGATCAGGTTCTTTTCTTCTATCACACGTTCGCTTTTATATCGTACCACTGCACACATCTTCGAAGCGGATGGAATTTGAGGGCACCAGTTCAAGCACACTACCCTTCCCGTATTTGCACTCCTTGCTACCTTTGCGCTCCCTTCTCCTTCTCGCACGAAAAACCGTTAACACTTTGTCACAGGCTTTTCGAACGTGGTGCTAGCTGTGTTGGCTTGGACTTCCTCTCTCATCCTTTCTGGGACAAGTACCTAGAATTTGAAGAACGAGTTGAGGGCCACGACAAGATTTTCTCCATCCTCTTTCGAGTCACCAAGATTCCTATGCACCAGTATGCTCGTTACTTTGAGCGATTTCGCCAACTTGCCCACACCCGTCCTCTAGCTGAGCTTGTACCAGCCGAGACATTGGCTTCATTCCGTGCCGAGGTTGAAGATGACAATTCTAATTATCAACATGGCCCCAAAGGTGAAATGGAGATCGAACGAGAGGTCCGAACCAAGATAGACAATTATCATCTCGACAGCTTCAGTCGTACGCAAACTGAGACTACGAAGCGTTGGACTTATGAGTCTGAGATCAAGCGACCATATTTCCATGTCACCGAGTTGGACTATCAACAATTGGCCAACTGGAGAAAGTACCTTGACTTTGAAGAAGCAGAAGGTGATTACTCTCGAACAGTCTTCCTGTATGAAAGATGCTTGGTCACCTGCGCATTCTATGACGAGTTCTGGTTCCGATACGCAAGATGGTTGCTGGCACAAGAGAAGAAGGAAGAAGAAGTGCGAAATGTTTACCAACGAGCCAGTACGCTTTATGTACCAATCGGCAGACCTGGTATTCGTTTGCAATACGCCTACTTTGAGGAGATGTCTGATCGTGTTGATGTGGCTCGTGATATTCACCAAGCTATCTTGGATATCATGCCTGGTCACGTTGAAACAGTCGTGTCATGGGCAAATCTCGAGCGGAGACAAGCCGGTCTTGAGGCTGCTATTCAGGTCTACAAGAATCAGATTGACAACCCACAAGTTGATCTCTTTGCCAAGGCTGCATTCGTTGCTGAATGGGCGATCCTACTGTGGAAGATTCAAGGCTCTGTTGATGAAGCACGACAGGTTTTCCAGAAGAACCAGCAGTGGTATCTTCAAAGCCGACACTTCTGGATGAAGTACCTCGAATTTGAAATTGCCCAACCAACGAGTGCTGCCACGGAGACTGAGCATTACGCTCGCATCAAGCAAGTTAACGGGGATATGATCAACAGGAGTCGCATGGCCTTGTCGACGAAGAAAGACCTGAGCAGCTACTACCTCGGTTATCTACTACAAAGAGGCACCAAGGACGCCATGAAGGAGTTCTTGAAGATCGATAAGGAGTTGAACGGGTAAGCAATCATCATGCTGTTGACAGAATTGAGGCTAACAAAGACACAGACCTGTTTCTGTTCAGCCCGTCCACCTTCGGCCTACTGCTACCAGCTCCGGAAACCAATCATCCAGCAAGAGCTTAGAGAATGGCCACGGTCCAGGTGAAGTTGACGAAGCTACTCTGCGAAAAGGGGAGGTCAAGTACAGCTCTTACTTCCAAGAAGCACGCGAGCTACCACCCAACGCTCAAGGCCTTGCACCATTCCTTTGAATTGTACATCTTTGCTAGGAGGTCATCTCTTGCATTTAGCTACACCCTCCATCGGCGCTTACTTCTGGTTGGATGGATCTTCGCTTGTACAAATAGGGGGTTTCTGCTGCTTTTGCTCACGCTCCAGTTGGGAGCTGGTTTGTTACGCAAAGACGGAGATGTACTTTAGCTAGCTACGGGGGCTACATTACATCGATGCGAATCGTTTGTGCGATCAGTCCCTAGAGCAATCTCAAGAAACGAATAAGATAGCTTTGACTGCAAATTTTCTACCCTCGCTGATGTCTATAATCACGTCGTGATCTCTTTATAGCTAGTGCTCAACCTCGAACCAACTCGCCCTTCTCAACCATTTCATTCAAAACCCTATCCGCGACTCTAAAAGCCTCCATCCCAGCCGGCATTCCACAATACGCACTGTTGTCCAAACATTAACTATTTCATCCATCAATTGAAACAGATACTCAACTCACCTAGCCTGCAACAACGCCTCCCGAATCTCAACCTCACTCGCCCCATTCCTCACTGCGCCCCTAACATGCGTCCCAAGCTCAATCCACTTCCCCAACGCCGTCAACATGACCAGATTCAACAAACTTCTATCACGAAGCGAAAGTCCCGGTCGAGTCCAGATTGTGCCCCAGGCTGATTCCTATCATCTTTTGTCAGTACCTTGTCCATACCCACATAAGAAGAGGAAAGAAGGAAAGGAAAACAAACAGTAGCAAACTGCTGCAACGGCCTCATGAAATCACTGCTCCCTTTCTCTAAAGTGGTAGCGACGTAATCTTCCCCGACGACTTTCTTGCGCATCTCGTAGCCTTGGGCGTAGAGGGTTTTGTGGACGGGGTCGTCCATGTTGTTTTTGGAGAGGGGGGTGCTGGAGTTGGTTGTGTTCTGGTGGGTTTGCTGGTTAGTGGTTAGGAACTAGATAGCATAGGTATGGTATGGTATGGGGGGAGGAAGGGGTACCGTGGGACGTAGATGCTCGTAGGGGTGAGGGTACAGATTCGGGCTTCCGGATTCGGGACCGTAACGTCCACCAGCTGGGTTGGGCAACATCTTGCAAGATCTGCCTTCGAATTATGTGACCGCAAATCGTCTTGATGCTTAGGTCTCCAGTTCACCTGTAACAGGTGATGAACGAAAAAAGTCTAGTGTTCGATAAACGAGGAGGCGTTTCGTTTGAGTTGCCCATGCCGCCAAAGTGCGGGGAAGCCAGACTAGCGCGAACTCTACCCCGGGTTCTGGCCAAACAGGAGGACGCATGAGGATGAACGGGGTTAGAGCGTATGTAACCAGGAATTAGTCTTGGTTAGTTTCACCGTCGAGGTTATTTCGACGTCTTTCTTCTCTCTCTCTCTATCTTATACATGAAATATACTTCGTGAGTTGAAGGTTATTTTTACAACGGCAGGTGAGGTAGGTCAGAGTATGACGGCATACCAGCACAGTTTCGAAAATGTTTCTTAATTCAATGACGCTATAGTACTCTTACATCTTAACACAGGGAACACAGCAAACCTCAATACATCTCTCACCATGGTCTCCTCTCAGCAACAAAGCAATCTACGATCTAAATCTTCATTCCGTCTAAAAACTCCTCTATACCCAGTCTAACCATCAACGAGATAGCACATGTACGGAGTGGGGTATCGTCGTTCATCTAAGCATTGGTGGGCTTGAATGTCATCTTTTCAGTCGATTCAGCGAACGGAACACCGAGCTCGAAAAGCTTGGTGATGACGGCGGAGAAGTCCTTGAAGAAGAGGTCGTTGTCTTTGGCGTACTTCTCGACCCATGGTCTGAAGGACTTGTCGGTGATGAGAGCCATGTCGGTTGGCAGCATCATGAGAGACTTGGAAGTCTTGTCTTCGTACTGGGGGCTGTTAGCAGATACTCTGGCAACGAAATGGCAACAGAATGCAAAAGTGCGTACCTGCTTAGGACCATTCCACTTCTTCCAGCTCCACTTCTCCTTCAGAAGAAGGTCATAGTAATCATTAGTGACCACAGTTGGAGAGAAAGTCCAGGGACCTTCGAAACCACTTCGATCGGTGTGGCAACGACCAAGAGCATGGGCACCACTCAAAGCAACAATCTCCTGGTCATTGAACCCCATTCGATAGAAGATGTCCCGCAAATGCTTGTTACCCTGCGAAGCATCCGGTAGACGTCCATCCGGCGTGCAAGCAGCAATATCCTTATCAAGTCTTCCCGGTCTGTACGGAATCGTCGGGCCCTGCATCTCCTGAATCGCACAAACACCAGACAAGATCCAAAGATCAGAGTACGAGATCCACGGGAACTTCTCTGTACAAAACATCATCAGCATACATTTCCCCACTTATGGCAGAAAGCAAGAAGACCATACGCTTCACAGGCTCGAGGAAATCTCTCGCGGCCTTCAATCCCGCATTCGCACCATGATCTCCCTCTGGCGCAAACCGCATCGTAGCACCATTCGACCCTCCAGTCCCCGTCTCTTTGTCGAATGTCCCGCTGGCATGCCACGCCAATCGCACCAAGACCGGTCCGTACGAGCCATCATCATAATCATCCTTCTCCTCCAACCGCTCCGCCACCTCGTTATACACCTTCTGATAGTCCTCAAACCTGGGGGTGAAGATGCCCTTTGTCTCGCCCGAGGATCCAGATAGCAGGGAGCCGTTGCCTTGGGTGTAGAAGTAGTATCCTGCTCCACCGAGGGCAAGAGCTCCTACACCGATCAGGAGACCGCTCGACGAGGATTTCGTGGGCTCCGAGGCATATCCGCGGCGTTGGCAGCGGAATGTCTGGCGGGAGACAGTGAGGAGGGTATTACGGGTACCAGTCCTGAACGCAGACGAGGCGCGGGCGAAAGTTCGAGTTGCGGAAGCCATCTTCTATTCAATTGATCGTGTATCTCAATTCCTCAAGAAAGAAAGAAAGGGAGCGAGAAAGGGACTGATGGAGAAGAAAATCAGATAGACGTTTAAATTCTGAGTCAAGAATGGATAGCTAAGAAGGCTAGCTCCGAACCTCATAGAAATTTATTTTATTCACGGCTCAAACCCCGACGACGCCCTTCAACAGCTCTCGAAACCGAACCCACCAAGGTAATCAACCCACTTTGCAAAGCACAATCCCGTTCCGTCGCGACGCGCCAGACTCCGATTATCTGAGTGACCCACTCGCCACCCACCAATGAGCACGTTCATGAGTAATGTACCTTTTTTCCACGTGGAACTGCTTTCTCATCACTAAATTCTAGATTTTGCCGTGCCTGGGATTTTATTTGCGTGGTTTTATACCGAGGAGCGTCATGGAAGGGCGTTCAAGGACTCCGATAACGGCATAACAAAATCAGGGGTCCTTTGCAGGCAGGGCTGAACCACAAATTTTGAACCTCAGAAATGGAACTTGGGTTCGCCGCTCTTCCACTTTTATGCGAGTTCCGCTCCGAGCTCTTGTTCCGTCGTCAGCGTAGATCTTCTTCTCTTGATTCGCTGACGATTCCTCGGAGTTCATTATTCAGATGATCATGTGATCCTTACTAAACTTCATCCTTTGGAGAAGTCTAGACTCTGTTGCGGCGAAGATGATTAGTAAGAGGTTGCTGTTTACCATAGTTGCTGGAGTTTGGGATGCTTAGAAGATGTTGGTGTGACACGAGAACTATGAAGGGCGAATCTCACCATGGTGGCGAGGCTCAAGAGCTGAAATGAGTTTCTGCCTAGTCTGCCATTCTACGAGCAGGTTACGCCTTTAGAGCGAATTTGTAGTGCCGTGTGACTATGGGTGACGCAAATTTACAATTGCCAAGATGTCAGGCCATATTTTGATATTTAGTTAAAATGCGATGTTAGCCGATCAAAATATTGTACCATGTAAGGGGGGACTTATGAGACGTAGGTTCGGTTATAACAAACCATATGAGATGGAGATGAAGATAAGATAGTTTGTTGCATGAAGTAATCACATTTCTCTCCTCTCATCTAGACCTCTATGTCTAAACCCGCCCGGTAACGCAAAGCTCTATCCCGTCACGGACCAGCTTTAGAAAGAGCAATGCATTTTAGTACCCCTTTATCCGTTCGCAATGACCACCCAGCAAAAATCCCACGTCGTGAACGCCATGTACTCCTGCGCCCAGCAATTAAGCAAGAAGAAAGTGAACATTCAAGTCGCCATCCGACATCCAAGCTGGTCTAGCTAGACGAAAACTCCCCAGTCAAAGAGACAGTAGGCATCTCACAATTCGTTCCAAGACCAAAAGGAACTTCGGCAGGAATACAGTCCGTAGAGACGAAAACAGAACCATCAATGCATCTATATCAGGAATTAGCATTCATCCTTAACTCAGAAGAAAGAGTAAAACTCACCCAGCACAGCCCGAAACCATCTGATAGATCGTCACACTTCCACTGCTGGTCTCAGTACCATCGTAGCTGAAAGAGACAGTTGGGTCCGAGCAAGAGAAGACATCGTCAGGTCCGTGGGCTCCGGAAACGGTGCAGGTGAGTTCACTGCTCGTGCTTGAGTCGCCGAATTCGAAGCTGGTAGTTTGATTGTGAGTGTTTCCGGCTGCTGGGTAGAATGCGGTGAAACCACTGATAGTGAAGCTTGTGGGTAGGGTGCAAGTATCTCTCTTGGTAACCGCGGGGAGAGCTGTTGTCAGAGTAGAGATGGCGAGGACGAGTAGACTCAGAGGAGTGGTTGAGAACATGTTTGCGGTTGGTGATTGACGAGTGAGTGGTTGTTCTTGGGGAGTAGTGTGTGACTTCAGTATAGAGATTGTGAAGTGTGTAAAAATGAGTGAGTGAAGAGGGTACTTATACTTAGCACTCAACGTCGTATCATGTCATGTCCGTCACCGGACCCAACATTCACTTACGATTCTGTCTGCTGAGAACTTTGACTAACTTTAGACTTCAAGCTAGTGAGAAAGACATTGACAGGGCAGGAGCGAAGCTTGGTTGTAGCTGGAGGTGAAGGGCAAAGTACTGGCGAATTCCTGGGAGGTAGGGGCGGTCAACTCGTACCTGCAGAGGCACATGCAGACAAGTGCTTATGATGTAACACAACATAACAATATTCAATGCGTTTAGCAAGGTCCTCAACAATACGAAAATGTAGAGCCGCAGGTCAAATAAAGAAAATTTGATGTCAGAGTCCGTATCAGTTGGGGACTTGCAAATAAACATCAAAATACAGCATAGGAAAGACTGATAACGGCAAAAATAGATCATGATGATGTACGAAGTACCAAGTCACGGATACGAGCGTACTAGAAACGTGGCGGCCAATCAACCGACCTAAGACGAGAAATGACCCGGCAAGCCGATTGGGAAGACCAGGTAGGACAATTAAAAGGGACGATTTTGATATCAAATTGGCGAATGAATCAATTGATGGCTAAATACCTCAATTCAGGGCTGCGGCGTGGAATAATGTTTCCAGGCAGTGCAAAAGCTGAGATCTTCAGCTTTGTGGTGAGCATCGAAAACGACACACCATAGGCTTGCAACATTTGGAAAGGCAACAAAGCTGGAGTTGCGTCAGTCCTGAGAAGCCATAAACAATGCATAAGCGCTAGGAAGCCACTCTTACCTTGCACCAATGTACCGCTTAGACGCAAGCACTGGAAATGCAAGGGAGAACCTTGAACACTGAAACTTTTTGCAAAGTCATGGTTGATATCATTCATCGTGAAAATGTGCTGTCTCGCTGAATGATGTCGTCTCTTCCAAGCGGTCTTGTTCCGTCATTCAGAACCATGGCTTCTCGATTTCGTCGCCGAATACGGTCATCCTCTGCACTCTGGTCTCTCCTTCGCCGACTTTCGACAAACATGCCATCAAAATCCTCCCCTGCTGTGCTTTCTCCATTGATCATTCTCGTATCCCTCTGGCGTGTACCCATCTCGAACTGATGCGGTATGAGCTTCGCTTTAATCAGCTGTCTCCGCCCAATCCGATCTCTAAAAAGAGGAACGGTTATCTCATTCAAGCGGTAGTTTTTCCGCAGAGACTCTGCAAAGAAGAAGAATCTCTCCTCATCGGTATCACCCCATGGCTCCTTTGCCAGCCATCTCTCCACAAATCGTGCCTTGACTACGCCTTCAATGCCATATTTGTCTACCAATTGTCCCAGAATCATCAAGCAGCCTTGTTCTGCAATGTCCCGTAAATGCCAATTATCCCAATCTAAATCATAACCATTATGTTCGTAATCTGTGACTGAATACTCGAGTGACTTAACGAGAGCTGCGTATGTTGAAGGCTTATTGATAATCTTGACAGTCGCTGCTGAAAATTAGTATTAAGTCGGTGAACCCAGAGTAGAGGTTACGAACAGCTGTTTAGCATCATGGATAAAGCCCGAATACCCTTCTCTCTCAAGTCATGATTAGGTTGCGCAATATGCCACAGTAACGCGTCGATCGTAGTTCCATCGTGAAGTGCGCGTTCGCAGATTATGATAGCGGTCGTTTCCTGAATACAAAAGTTGGGACTGTCGAGAAGCTTGTCTAAAGTACCCAGTTTCAAGGAGTCCTCGACATCTTGAGTGATATATGAAGGCTTGTTCTCAGAAGGCGGAATGATGGACGCATCTCGAGAAAATAGTAACATCCGTCGTACAGTTGCTACGAGCGCAGATGCTGTGAGTCCAAGTCCGACTATGAATAGCAGATCTTTCGTGGCAGGCGTGAGAGCCGCCATCTTGTGTGTGATACTACATTCGCAGTCGAAAGTCGAAAGAATCAAAAGACAATTGAGCTTGTTGAACGAGAGAAGACAAGGCTGGAAGTTTTAGTGGTTCAGCCTTGATCGTGAGACGCTAATCCGCATTTCGCTGATAAGCTGATAGGATTTCTGCCATCAAAAAAAATATCTAAAAGTTTCTCAATATTAATCTCGAACACAAAACATAATGCCCCCCTCCCAGCTGAAGAGGTTAAAATTCTCCCTTCGAGAGCAAGGAATTATAGGGCCTCAACAGTCAAAGAAGCAGAAGAAACAGAATTCTCAGAATGGTGCTAAGAAGGAGAAGAAAGTGCACAGAAATGTGGCACTGAATGGCATTCGAGAGCAATTCAACCCATTCGACTTCCAATCGCTAGTCAAGAAGCCCAAATTTGAGGTTACAACGGAGCATGGAATCAAAGGTGGTGTGAGAAGGCCTGGGCTTGCAAAAAGTCGGGAAGAAGAAGCAGTATGTCTTGCGAGCTTCTCTATTATTGCTCTGCTAACAAGATACAGCGTCGAGAGGCATATATCGAAGAACAGCAACGGCGGCGCAAAGTCGGAGGCATTCTAGACAAGCGGTTCGGCGAAAATGATCCCAGTCTGGCACCAGAAGACAAGATGCTGGAGCGGTTTACACACGAGAAACAATTGCGACATAAGAATAGCTCTGCATTTGATCTGGAGGATGACGAGGAACCCGGAGAGCTTACTCATATGGGAAAATCGCTATCGCTGGACGATCCAGCTCTTGTGGACGACTTTGACGAAGAGGACTTGGAGCTGTCGGATGCGGACGACCACCCTTCAGACGAAGAAGGGGCACGGAAACGACGACGCTCTGATCTCGAAGGCTCTGAGAATGATGAGGAAGATGAAGAAGACCGACCAGAGCGGAAAAAGTCAAAGCAAGAGGTCATGAAGGAAGTCATGGCGAAATCCAAGCTTTATAAGTACGAGAGGCAAGCTGCAAAAGACGAGGATGAGGATCAACGAGAAGAATTGGATAAAGAACTGTCAAACATACATGATCTTTTACGTGGCATCACCCGGAAACCTGCACCAGCTCCGGTGGTCGACCTAGGCGGCATGAATCCAGAGCGCGCGGCTCTCTTGACTGGCCTGGACAAGGTCAAATTTGACAAAGAATATGACATGCGTCTGAAGCAGTTAGCTCAGGACCAAAGAGCGAAACCTACCGAGAAGTCGAAGCCTGAAGAACAAGTGATTGAGGAGCGGGCCCGGAAACTGCAAGAACTGGAAACCAAACGACTTCGTCGAATGCAAGGAGAGGAGGAAGATAGCGAGGAAGAAGATGCGAAGGCCAATAAGAATGCCCCCAAGGACGACTATGAGGAAGAGGAGGAAGATTTTGGCTTTGGTGCCGGTATCAAGACAAAGTCCACGATGGCCGAGCTTGGCGTTGAAGACGAAGACGATTTCTTGATCGACGATGACTTAGTAGCAAGCGGTTCAGATTTAGAAGAGGACGATTCTGATAGCGTCTCCGACGCAGAAGGAGAGCAAGAACTTGAGGATGACGAAGAGGATGACTTTGTCAAAGGCATTCTGACAGAAGAAGAGGCTAAAAGACCTGAATTTCTGACAGGTGCAAATGCTCCCCTGCCTGAAGTAGAACTTCCCGCTGAGAACGGGGTTAATGGAAACTTAGCATATAAGTTTTCATGTCCACAATCACACGAGGAGTTGCTTGAGGTAACTAGAGGCATTAATATTCTGGATTTCCCAACTGTTATTCAGCGGATCAGAGCACTCTACCACCCGAAACTCAATGCCGAGAACAAGAAAAAGCTTGAGAATTTTTCTGTGGCTCTTGTCGACCACATTTCATACCTTGCAAACCAAGATCAACGGCCACCTTTTGCAGTGTTGGAGACTGTCATCCGTCACATTCATTCCCTGGCTAGAACATATCCTGTTGGAATTAGCAATGCTTTCCGTCGACATCTGAAGGATTTAGATTCGTCGCGGGCAATGTCTCCAACTCCGGGAGATCTAGTCATCCTCACAGCGATTGGCACTGTTTTCCCGACCTCTGATCACTTCCATCAAGTTGTCACTCCAGCGATATTGAGTATGGGAAGATTTCTTGGACTGAAGATTCCCCAAAATTTGTCTGACTTAGCAACTGGGGCATATCTATGCACAATCTGCATACAGTATCAGAAGTTATCGAAACGATATGTTCCTGAGGTGATGAACTTCATCGAGAACAGCCTATGCGTCCTGGCTCCAAAGAAGTTTGCAAAACTCCCTGGAAACTTTCCTTATCATGAACCGAAAGCTTCATTGAGAATTGAGAGTGCACCAGACACTAGTCGCAGGTTGCAGATTTACGACTGCATAGCTCAAGATCTCTCGGAGGAAGAACAAGAGGTGCTCAAAAGTGCGCTACTGGACATCAACCTAGGGCTCCTCGACGCTGCAGCCAGTACCTGGACCCAAAAGTCAGCGTTCACGGAAGTGTTCGGACCAGCATTGAGGATAGTCCAGCATCTCTCAGGCAAAAACAGTCGTCCCAAGCTGTCAACCGATACCCAAAAATCTCTCACTAAGCTCACTCAAAAACTCACCCTACTCCTCACCCAAGCACATCTCTCCCGCCGACCCCTGGAGCTCCATCACCACCGACCTCTCGCAATCAAGACCTTCATCCCCAAGTTCGAAGAATCGTTCAACCCAGAACGCCACTACGATCCAGACAAGACTCGCACAGAGACTGCGAAGTTGAAGAAGGAGCATAAGCGAGAACGAAAGGGGGCGATCAGAGAGTTGAGAAAGGATGCGAATATCATGGCTATCCAGAGTTTGAAGGAGAAGAAGGAGAGGGATGCGGCCTATGAGAAGAAGTATAAGAGGCTTGTGGCTGAGATTCAGGGCGAGGAGGGTAAGGAAGCAAAGGCTTATGAGAGGGAGAAAGAGTGGAGGAAGAAGGGGAGGAAATGAGTATGATTATGTAGGGAATGTGAGATGTGGAATTACTACATCACATACGTGAATCAATGTCAAGGTACTGTACAGTACTACGTGTTTTGAAATGTTCCTCCTCTGAATGGTGACTTCCAGCTCCAACTCCCACATCACTGCGCAGCAAGTCGCTCAGTGGGGCACTCAGTGGGGCACAATAACCACCATGCAAAATACGGCAAAACATTTCAAGCTTCAGTCATGAGCAGTGTGCGCTTCAACACTTGCGATCCTCAGAATTTCCAAGTAATCCTTAGCATTCACAGCAAGGAATGGGACGTATAATCTCTGCGATTTTCCTGGAATAGAAACTTTCTGCGGACAGGGAATCGGCCGTGAACAAGAAGGGATATCTGCTTCTTTGCTTTCTACCGTTCAGAGCCAATCACCGGGGATGATGTTGGAGAATTTATTCCGAGTCGTTAAGACACAATCAAGCCTTGTAAGTTTGAGTTTCTGCCATGTGGGAGCGGTCCTAGGTCTTATGTAGGACAACAGAAAGCGTTATCCGAGGCTTCGTATATTTCAATAAAGATTGCGAGTAGGTTGGAGAGGTTGGAGAAGTTAGAGATATTGATGATAGACCTTATAAGGCAGAGATGAAACTCACTTGCTGGAATGCTAATGGTTGCAAAGTTGGTTTGTATGGAAAGAGATTCCTCGTATTAATGCAATGTTTCCATCATGATGAGTCCTTTCTCACTCGTATTCTCTACCTACCAACCTCATGAACGCCGCCGAACATAAATTAAGTAACTGTATTTGTGTACCGGAAATCCAAACAGTCCCCGAACATTGACCCTTTTGTTGCACGTCTACAAAATTGATTATTGCTGTTGCTCCTCTACAGAAAATCTGTTGTTGTACGTCTACAAAAGCTGCTGTTGCTGTTGCTGTTGCTGCTCCTCCATAGAAATTCTTTTGTTGCACGTCCACAAAAATTGTTGTTGCTATTGCTATTGCTATTGCTGCCCCCTCCATGTAAACTCTTTTCTTGCAACAGCTAGCAATGTGCACTTAGGCGCGTCCGCTCAGAAGCTTCATTAATATATTAAGTATCGAGTTCCGTCTTAATTTTGTCTATTTCGAAATTTCATCATACGGGTTCTTGAGAGTGAGAGTTGAGGGGTTGCTGCTTGGCCTCTTCAAAAAGAAGAGGGGTGGAAAGTGAACGGTTTTCGCGCACATCGCGCGAAATACGCAAAATGCGCGATTTGCGGTCTAGTGAGGCAAGGTAGTAATATCGATGCCTTCTTAACGTTGCTACTTAATTTTGCCAGCATTAATATTCGTTCATGCAACTTATCAAGCGCAAAGTCCTCTCTTGTTTACAATGAATATACCTTCCGCAAAGTCTTTATTGTTACAGTAGATTCTCAGATACAAGCATTGCCCAATTATTACTTCAAAGCCAGATTATGCCAACCCCAACATCATACAGTTCTCCTTAGCTTTTCACCAACTCGACCCTCAGCGCCCTCGGTGAAACACTCTTCGCCTTCCCATCCTCACCAACAGTCACCAAAAACTCATCCGTAGCAACTGTCCCCCAATAAGTCGAATCAACACTAAACCATGTCTCGCAAGCACTTCCAAAGATACCTCCAATAACTCCGGCATTCAGATTCTCAAAGACGGCTCTAAATCCCACTTCTGTTTCTCCATTCCCTAGATCTTTCTTCAAACCAGAAGGATAGAGACGTGCACTTGGAGCCGCTATGCCAGCTGCTTCGACGGTGGGCGAAAGCATGTCTGTGCCATTGCTGATCCAGCTCGTTACCCCCAAGCCGGGCTTCATGGGATCTATTGTTATGGTGATTGTTGACTTGAGGCTCTTGTTCGCAGCTTCATAGGTTCCAACATAATTTGCTTCGGCTTCCTCTCTAGCAGCATCCTCAACAGCTTGGAAAACAGCATCAGATATCAAACCACCCAGAATCCTGGAATTGGTAGTGGCGGAGGGACCAGCTGTCAGAACAGTAAATCCCAAGTCAAAGTCTGGCGCTAGTACAAAGACGGAGGAGTATCCTGGCAGGTCTCCCGACTTGGTGTATATGTCCACAACTCTGTCATTCGGACTGAGCTCTAGTCTGTAGATCTCCCATGGTGCACCGACAGCTGCGTTTCCAGCAGAAAGTAAGCTGCGAGGCTTCATCCATCTTCTGGTCTGAGCAGGAGAAATGAGAGAAGAGGTTAGGATCGAGCGAGCGATTTTTGTCATGTCGGATGTGGATGAGTACATCCCTCCAGCTGCTGTTTCGTCTCCTAGATCCAGAGACCAAGAGTTTCCTTCTGGTAAAACACCCGAAGCATTGGAAGTAGGAACAGTCCAAGACGAATGTGTGAGGTTTAATGGAGTGATGAGAGAGTTGGAGACCATGGTAGGCATGTCGATTCCGGTGATGTTCTCAAGTGCATATGCGAAGATTTGGAGGGCGGCATTGGAGTAGACTGGACTAGTGGAGGGAGCAAAGACAGGATGGCGTTCTGTAAAGCCAGCGAAGAATTGAGCTCGAGAGCACATTGAACCTCCTGCACAAGTAGCGACTTCAGTTGCATTCAATGGTGGAAGACCAAGTGCTGTTGGATCCGGGGCAGGATCTAGGAGACCATCGAGTTCACCGAAACCAGCATAGTCACGTCCGACTCCTGCCATGTGGCTGGCGAGTTCCCAGAGCGTGACATCTTCCCATGCCACGTAGTCGATAGAGTCCTGGGTTGCATTGAGTGCTTCTGCTGCTTCTAGGAGCTCGGGAACGTATTTTGTTACTGGGTCGTTCCATTTTCTGTCTCCGGCTTGGATGAGGAATGTGTAAGCAGAGATGAGCTTGGTTGAACTGCCGATCCGAAACATGGTGTCTGCAGTGACGTTTTTGACTCCGTATGGCACTGTTGCCAATGCAGGTGCTGAAAATTGGCTCGAGAACAGTGACCGTTCTTCGTGGATTGAGAACATCTCGATGGAGAAGGACGTCTTGACTGCATCGAGAGGTCCATAAGTAGTGTTACCAGAGCTTATGCTTTGTAAAAGAAGTTGGGTGAGATTTGTGAGCGCTGCTTGAAATGTCTGGCTAGAGGATAGGTTCTTTGGTGCTGGAAAGTCTGGACCGAGCAACGGACAATTTGTTGCAGCAAGAGCTGTATTAGTGAATAAGAATCCTAGCAAGCAGGAGCCGAAAATCTTGGACACCATTGTATATGGACTGACTAGGTTCGAATGTTGTGTGCAAAGTACTGGCACTTCTTATATGTGTATGGGAGAGAGAAGTGTGGGTAGGAGAATATTGAAAGGCATTAAAGAGAAGATTCATATACTTTATATATTCGATCATCATGAAGTAATGGTAAAGAAGTCCGAGTAGATCCACTAAGCCACTATCAAAACAGAATAAGCAGACGCGGCATGAGAGGCGGAAAGTACGACGGCCCATCAGCTGGGGGTAACTGTGCCTTCCTAACACTTAGGTAAGGTCCTTGACATGTGTATTAGACAGTGGTAGCGATGACAGAAATGACGATCTGCCGCAGAAACAAACACCGCCCTGGAGGCTGAGGAGAAGAATGACTATGGATTCGTAGTCCTATTGTGCGAATGGCAAGGCATGAAAGGGGAAAAGTCATATTGCTAGCACATTCACAGCGAGCTATCCTATGAAAAGGGTCTAAATTCATCAAAGACGCATGGCTGACCAATGATCACTGAGTTTTCGTACATTTCGGCCCACAGAGAGCGGGAGTGAGCGAGAGTTCGATGGATGAACTTCCCTGCTCTTGCTCGCGTCGAGGATCCACAGTAAGAATTTATGTAAGCCAACGCCTTTGTCTGATTGGTTGCGTCGCACACCGTGAGACGCAGGCTCGAGGCAGGCTGAGCGAGGAGAGGACATGCAACATACGGGATTTGATCCATTACACATAGAATGCGCTCAAATTGCTTCTTGTGGTAACCCTAAATTTGAACCTTGCGCCAATGCATGATTCGATGGACTAGTACGAGCTCAGACTGATATTTATCTGAACCTGATGTCCCCTAGCTAGCAACGACCCAAACGCCTATATCTGGAGAATGATACAAAAACAACTGTACATCACGATCATGAGTGTCCATCTTCTGGTAATTCTGCAATTACCGCTTCCACAATCTCAATGAGCTCATTGACATCTGGTCGTTCGGCTGCCTCGACTTTCAAGCATTTCCTCACCACTTCTCGGATGCTTTCGTGGATTTCGCTATCTTCCGTTTGTCCAGGTTGATTGGTAGCTTTCTTCTTTCCTCCAGCACCTTCGTCTGGGAATCTCCAGTCGCCTCCTAGAACACAGAGGCTCAAGCTACCTCCGGTCTCATCACTACGCATTTCGAAGGGCGACTTGCCTACAAGGCAAGCATATAGTGTACATCCCAAAGACCATATGTCGACCTTCGTGTCGATTGTACTTCCAGTCTTAACATCGAATAGTTCTGGTGCCCGATATGGCATTGTTGAATGTTCCGCAGCTTGGTCTTGCACCGCAAGGGCCAGAGACCTTGATGTGATAGGCGTGGGAGATGGTGCTAATGATCCCAGGTCCATGAGAATCGGCTGTTCGCCATCGTCGTCTATCATGATATTTCCTGACTGTAGTGAGCTTACTATACCACATAGTGCTTTGGGACTTCCATACCTGGCTTGATATCCCTATGCGCATAGGCTCTGATTTCGCCTGGTGCAACGCCTTCCTGGCTCTGCGTCACCTCATTATCCATCAATGGCTCTTGTTGCTCGCTATCCGGATCAAGCTCTCTTCCCTTTTGTCTCCCTCTTCGCTGCTCAACCTCCTCTTCCGCATCTTGGTCAGCTCTTGCAGCTTGGCCTCGGATCTTCCTCGCATTTTGGAGGCTCCTAGCTCCACCTGGTCCTCCTGCCACTTTGTAATAGTGCATAGCTTTCAATGCTTTGCATACTCCCAGGAATAATATCATCAGCCTCTTTTCTGGAAACTTCGTATGATTGACCAAATTCGCGTTGATGATGTCCTGTAGATTTCCTCGTCGGTAGTACGGTAGAAGTATATATACTGTCTTCGCGCCCGGGTCTGATCGATCCGCCATCACACAATGATCCACGCTGGCAATAATATTCGGGTTGGGCGAAAATAGATTATAAGCCTCGACTTCCTTCAAAGCTTGCGCAACCGACTCTTGCCCAAATGGACATCGAATCTTCTTAAGGGCATATTGAGCTTCATTTCCTGTATCTTGGACCAAGTAAACGTATGAGAACCCTCCCTAATAATTTGGTGTTAGCACTATTCTCAAAGCTTCCAACATTGTCTGGAAGCTCTCAGCCTTGCCCGCTTACCTCTCCCAGCAATCGCAGGATCTTGAAACTGCGATTGTTGATTTTCAGCTGCGGAGAGCCAGGAAAGCAGCTCATACAGTTCGTCAAGGTGTACAGGAGGTCGTGAAAGTATTGCCCCATTGTGCAGATTTATTCGGATTTTGACGTCGGCACAGCTCAAGAAGCTCTCTTCAGCGCAAACCCAGCTGAAACTCTATCGATGCAGGGACCGATTTCGTGGAATGATTTGGCACTTTCACTTGTCGAGCTTCAGCGATGCAATTGCAGCTCTAATCCTGCTTTGTAATGATGCTGTGAATTGATGGAGATATGTGAAGACTGTCCTTCCACTGCGGATTATATTTGGGTGAGCAGCGCATACGCCACGTTCGTACCCCTGTCGGGCTTGCTCAGCCCCCTGTTAAGCTACCGCCCGAGGTGGAGCTCTCCAGGAACGAATATCCATACCATCAAGGTGTATTGTACTTGGACTTTGTTAGGAATTTGACATTTCACTTATCTGTATCAATTGTCCATATAGAGTGTATAGCTTTACAGTGAATTGTAACATGACTAAAACATTGCCTGTGCCGTGATTGCTGGGGTTACATTCGTCAGGACGAAGCGGGGTGACGAACTCTAGGCCACCACTTTCAAAGCTACTACATCTCCTTCCTAACAAGGACTCGACTTCTTTCACTCTCAATTGATATTTACTTGTCCTCTGCAAGTTGAACCCCTCTTGATACAGCGTGTAAATCATAGCAATTATGACGGTCCGCGCGAAGAAGTTCACTCCCGAAGTGCTCCTCTCTGCCCCTCGGCGGTCTGCTGCTGTCCCAAACGCAGAAGGGACACTGGCTTTGTTCAGCGTCTCTACATACTCTTTCCAATCGCACTCGAAGACATCAGAGATTCGGGTACTGGACATCAAGAATGGACAATCCAAGGTTTTGACAGACGATTTGGGTGCCAGTGAGCCAACATGGCTTGGAGAGCAGAACTTGGTCTTATGGTTGAAGGGAGGAGAGAAAGGCACTACCAGCTTAGTGTTGGGAGATGCGGAGAATCTTGATAATAAGTATGACTTGTCTAGTATCTGTATTGTCCGTTCTCTGCTTACGTATTCAGACCAGAAGTCATCACCTCTTTCAATGGCGGAGTTTCGAATATCAAAGTCACTACGATCGATTCGAACACTATTTCCCTCGTCCTTAGCGGTTTGGCTACACCCGAGGGTGAACTATACAACCCAGAGACTACCCCGAAGCCCCAATCCACAGCCAAGATATACTCGAAGCTTTTCGTGCGCCAGTGGGATGCATATGTGACCGAGAACAAGAGCACTTTGTGGTATACGACTTTAAAGAAGTCTCAGGGCATATACAGCATGACTGTGGCACCACTAAGAAATGCTATACCACGCTCGCTAAACCTCGAGTCACCAGTGCCTCCTTTTGGTGGAGCAGGGGACTTCGATATCAGTAAGAACGGCATTGTCTTCATTGCTAAGGACCCAAAGCTAGACCCTGCAAATTATACCAAGACGGACATTTACTACATTCCATTAAGGACATTTGAGGAATCCAAACCTCCAGCACCTCTACTTGTGAAGACCGGAAATCTGAAAGGCTACAGTGGAAGTCCCGTGTTCTCTCCAGATGCCAAGTCTGTTGCTTTTACCAAGATGAAGTCAATTCAATACGAGAGCGACAAGACCAGGCTTATGATTATTCCGGACATTATGGACCTTTCAAATGTCCAAGAATTTTATGAGACAAAAGACGGCGAAGGCTCTTGGGACTTAAGACCTGAAGGCATAACCTGGAGCGTAGATGGCGAAGAGCTTTATGTCACTGCTGAGGAAAATGGCCGAGGAAAGTTATTCAAGCTACCTGCATCACCTCGTCGAGCCAGAGACCTACCAAAAGCTATTATCAATGACGGTACAGTGACCGATGTCTCAGTCTTACCTGACAATCGACTGTTCGTCAGTAGTAATTCGCTTGTGGATAACAGTATCTTCTCTATTTTAGATCCTTTGAAGCCCGCGGACCAAACGACGATATCGTCGAACTCAAAAGGCGGAAAAGCTTTTGGACTTTCGCAAGATCAAGTTGATGAATTTTGGTATGCTGGCGCAGAGGATTATAATGTCCATGCATGGATCCTGAAGCCTTCCAATTTTGACAAGACCAAGAAGTATCCACTGGCATACCTTGTTCATGGTGGAGTAAGTATCACTATCTACATCTTGAATATTCCACTAACAGCCATAGCCTCAAGGCGCCTGGAACGAGGGCTGGAGTACTCGCTGGAATCCTGCTGTATTCGCTGAGCAAGGCTACGTTGTGGTAACGCCCAATCCCACTGGCAGTACAGGGTACGGCATGGCTCTTCAGAACGGAATAAAGAACAACTGGGGCGGACGTCCTTACACCGACCTCGTGAAGGGTTTCGAATATATCGAATCCAATATCCCCTACATCGACACCAGCCGCGCCGTAGCACTAGGCGCTTCCTACGGCGGTTACATGATGAACTGGATCCAAGGCCACGACCTCGGCCGCAAATTCAAAGCCCTCGTAACACACGACGGCGTCTTCTCCACCTTGAACCAATACTCATCAGAAGAACTCTTCTTCCCACACCACGACTTCGGCGGGACATTGTGGGAGAACAGAGAAGGGTACGAGAAGTGGGACCCAGCAGCTCATCTGAAGAATTGGGCAACTCCCCACCTAATCATACACAACGAGCTAGATTACAGACTTCCAATCGCTGAGGGACTGGCACCGTTCAATGTTCTTCAAACGAAGGGGATTGATAGCAAGTTTGTTAGCTTTCCGGATGAGAATCATGTAAGTTTACTTTGGCTCAAAGAAAAAGGGATGTGCTAATTGTGACTGTCAGTGGGTTCTGAAGCCAGAGAATTCGCTGGTTTGGCATCAAGAGGTTCTAGGCTGGATCAATAAGTATAGTGGCATTGAGGCAGAGCAAGAGGAGCTGGGAGGAAGTGTTTCGGACATGAGGATCTAAAGACGAGTTCGATGTATGCTCGGCGCCTCTAATGTTCAATAATTGTAGGGCCAAAAGCGTTTGCCGAACAGTAAGGACTTGAGATTTGTTTCTGTTCCTCAAATATGGCAAGCCGAGAGGTAACAACGTGCATTCTTTTTTTCATAGCAATGGTTCACTTGTGCAAGGTAGCATGGCGTCTAAAAATACACAGGACATGCAAACTATCCACTATCTTGACAGAGGAAAATAATCATTTTGTCTAATGAGACCATCCTGTCATTAGCTCTGTGAGTGTAGTGGAGCTATTGAATCTTCTTGAATTACCTTCTGGCCAATCTCCTGTTCGATCTGATAATCTCTTGCAACACAGCGCTTCAAACCTTGCCTCCATTTCTTCGAGCGCCAACACCATGCTAAGCCATATAACATCAAATCAAGATAAGCAGAAATATGATCCAGAGCTATCAATACCCAGCATAAAGCCATATTCTCACAGTCATACTTGTTCGTTTTGCCACTCCTCAGTGCCCATCTTCGCTCGATCAGTTACCAAAGCCGGTCTCAAGTTGAGTCCTCGGATTCAACGTCCTCTTCTTTCTCTTAATTTCCTCCTTCGCCCCTGTCACATCGAATCCAGCCCTCTTGAACCCAACTGCAACATCCTCCCAGCCACACATAAGCTTAATGCCTCCATCCAGCGTACCTCTTGCAGGATGAAGAGCCATCAACGCCTGAATAACCTTGTCGGCTGTCTTCTTGTTTTCCAAACCGGAGAGAAATGCAGCAATGAAGTCGTATTCAATCTGTGGATCTGTGATGGCCAAGGACTCGAATGCGTCGTTCGCAGCCTCGTAATATTGTTTGAGGGCTTTGTGTCTTTGGATTAGTTTTGGGATGATGGCCGCTGCTTCTTTGGCTGGGACAGGCTCGGCTCGTAGCGGTGCTCCTTCTGAGTTGCTGCGTGTCGATGGACGTCTGTTGGCTACTCTAGGCTTCGATGGTGGGACTGAGACTTTCTCGCGGAGTGGACCGGTAAGCATGCCTGCTGGTTCTTGTCTCGTTGCTTCTCCAATTAGTCGTGTCTTGGGTTGAGAAGGACGTGGTGCGACGGTTGCAGGCTGAGGCTCAGTTGCAGTTTGGACTGGGTTGTTCATCTGCTGAACTCTAGACATGACCTTTTGCAGCTCCTCTAATCATTGTCAGTCTATGGAGCTGAAGTTGATAGAATACAGGGAACGACTCACCGTCCGTAAGGCGACTTCTGAGGTGCTTCTCCATCTCTGCCATCTTTGCCGCACACTCCCTCTCGTGCTCAGCAGCGCGTGCATCCTGCAGCTTCCTCTCTTTCTCCAGATCCAGAACTTTAGCCTCGAGTGTAAGTCTGTGTTTCTCTCCTTCTTGCATTCTCCTCATGTTCTCTGATACATCAGCATCACGCTTCTCCCCAATCTTTCTGATTTGTTCGAGGATAACCTTGTTCTCCTTGCGAAGCTGGTACTCCCACAGGGTGTTTGAAGCCAGCTCTGCTGTCGATTGATTTGGAAATCCCGAGGCTGGAGGCATCGTTGAAAGGAATTCCAGGACAGGAAGGGGATTACTGAAGGAATCAAGAAGTTGTTGAACAGGAGAGGAGATCAAGCGTGCGGCATTCGGTTTTTGTGTGTGTGTGTGGAGAGAAAGTATTAAATGCAGAAAGTGCACAGGTGAGGTAGCTCCAAATTTGAGAGCACAGAAGACGAGACTGGAAGGAGCGTTCCCCTTCATCACTAGCATCACGTGCAAGTTACTTTCCACTGAGGAGACACAATCAAAACAGACACAACACAGTATTTTTCAATGTTTTGATTTTGCTTTGGTCTATGTGAGAAGCAGTAGCTATCACTATAGGTCTCGGTTCGTACAAGATGACAGTTATTGCCATGTTTCCAGTAGAACGAGATCTGGATGATAGATTGCCTGCCTGATGACCAACGAGCAAATCCATGAATACACAGAAGGAGACGCGAAAATCAGAAAGCATCACCCAACCCTCTAGTGTTGGCAATGCCCGATGATGACTAAGAAAGCAGGGCGTTGTACGCCTTTTGTGCAGCACTTTTCTTTTGCTACCAATTATCCTTTTCCTCGCGCGCCGGGCGAACCAGCAACGCTCACTATCACGACCCTTCTCAAGGGTGTCTCAACCATGGAACCTTTTTCAGCGCCAGAAGTGTCGAGACTGTGATATACCGATTTCTTTTTTGTGTAGAGACGTGCTTAGATGAGATCGGCGACGTTCATTGGCATCTCCTCAATTTGAGTGCTGTAGAATTGCTCGATTTCTCTCATCATGCGGACATCCTCGGCTGTCACAAAGTTGATCGCAACACCCTTACGTCCAAAACGACCACCACGACCGATTCTGTGGATGTAGTTCTCACGGTTGGCGGGAAGATCGTAGTTGATGACCAACGAGACTTGTTGAACATCAATACCACGAGCCAAGAGATCGGTGGCGATCAGGACACGGGAAGAACCAGATCGGAACTCCTTCATGATAAGATCACGTTGACCTTGGTCCATATCTCCGTGCATAGCTGAGACTGTGAAGTCACGAGCAGTGAGCTTGTCGGTGAGCCAATCAACCTTTCTTCGGGTGTTGCAAAAGATGACGGCTTGGGTGATGGTGACAGTCTCGTAGAGATCGGAAAGGGTGTCCAACTTCCAGTCCTCCTTCTCGACGGCAATGTAAAATTGCTTGATACCTTCGAGGGTAAGTTCGGCCTTCTTGACCAAGATACGGACAGGGTCGCGCATGAACTTGGTGGTGACCTCGAGAACATCCTGTGGCATAGTGGCGGAGAGAAGAACAACCTGGGTAGATTGAGGAAGAAGTTGGAAGATGTCGTAGATTTGCTCGGTGAAACCACGCTATAAATATTGTCAGCTGTGTGGGCAGAAAACTTTGCAGATTTCAAGCACTTACAGAAAGCATTTCATCGGCCTCATCAAGAACAAACATCTTCATGCTGTCGGTCTTCAAGAATCGTCGCTGGATCATGTCATGAACACGACCAGGGGTACCGACAACAACTTGGGGACCCTCCTGAAGAGCCTTCATGTCATCACGGACGCTGGTACCACCAATGCAGGCGTGGCACTCAACGTTCATGAAGTCACCGATGGCGACAACGACCTTCTGGATTTGCTGGGCCAATTCACGGGTGGGGGCAAGGATCAAAGCCTGGCATTGCTTGATGTTGGGGTCAAGCTTTTGAAGAACGGAAATGGAGAAAGTGGCAGTCTTTCCGGTTCCGGACTGAGCCTGGGCGATAACATCATGGCCTTGAAAGAATTAACATTGGAACGATTGTTCACCACTGCTGAAGAACTCACCCTTGATGACTGGCATGATAGCCCGCTGTTGAATGGCGGAAGGACGCTCGAAACCATAGGCGTAGACACCTGGGCGCATGTTAGAACTAGCTCTCCTCAAAATATGCATGTTGTATCCTACCTCGAAGAAGCTCGGGCTTCAGGTTCATGGTATCGAAGGAGTCGACGGTCTCGTCATAGTTGGACTCGATTTGACCTGCACGACATATCGTCAGCCTCTATCCCCTCAATGTTGCCGCACGGGTCCTGTGGCGGTGTGTCGTCGCAAAGTTCAGCGGAAGCTCACCTTCTGGGATCTCCTCGAGACCCTTATCAGTTGAAGCCATGATTGCGGTTTGACTTCGAAGATCTAGATCGCAAGCTGTGCCTGTGATCTAGAAAGCGCAAAGCTGGATGGTGGTGAGGTGGGGTGAAGTGGCAGGAGTCTCGTAGAGAGCCTGCGACGGGAAACTGTTTTTTGCTGAAAAGACTAGATGCCAAACTCCCGATAACGAGAGTTGTATTGGATCTAGTTGGTTTGTGTGTGATTTGTTGTTTGTAGAATCAGATGTTTGATGGAGGGGGGAACAGGAGGTAGAGGAGACTCTGCAAGATATACTGTTTAATTTTTTCTGGTGCACGGAGCACGGGCACGCTAGCAGAGGCCTAACGTTTAAGGGTTGGGACCCAAGCAAGCGAGTACCAAACTACCACCAAAATACCACCCCGCACAGCAGACCAAATGTGTTTACCCCAAGCATCCTCAAGCAATTGATCACAAGCCAATTCTTTTTGTCTGACTGTGAGAAACTTGGTTGTGCGGCAAAGACTTCTTGTTACTCATTGTTCAGCATCCTTCCAGCATCTGCTCGCAGCTTGATGTTTTTGCACTAGGTCTGAAAGTGGCGAGATCTGGAGACTTTTTTTCTCGAGGCCACAGAACAAATTTTGCTGTCAGCCTCATTCCGATAATTGGATAGGATTGGCTAGGAGATTATGATAGCATTGATGCCATGAAGAATTCAGTCATTCCTCTTGACTCTGGCTTCTCAAGCCGGGAGGATGTCCAGCCTAGTGGCGGTTCGGTGGCATTTGTCGAGTCATCATCCTTCGAAGAGTCACCTAATTCCATACCGCATCATCCTATGGGAATTCGTCCGGCTGGGAACCAATACACTGCAAGCATTATTTCCAGAAACCGCATAGGAACTTTTCAGGCAATTCCAGATGAGATTATTGCAATAATTCTTGAATTCTTCGAGTCTCGTGGTTTGAGGTTGATAGGCGCAACATGCAAGTTCCTCCACGCGCTTACTAGATCAGAAGATCTTTGGAAGACACTTTTCATAGAGTAAGTGACTCATTCTAATTCAATGTTCACGTTATTTTTATTGTTTGCTTGTAGGAATGTATGAGTCTAGCCATTTTGCAGTCATTCATATTATTCAAAAGTGAGGCAGTGACACAGCTAGCTGAGATAGGCGAAGGCCAATACTGCGGTCATGCTTTCATGTTCATGGCATATTTGCTCATCATTGAGAAGAGACACCAAACTAACATGACCTTAGATCTCCAGAATCAAAGTCAGGCTTATTCCAATGGCGTGAATCGTGGCTGGCAACATACTCCAATCTCACCGAGAAGCAATTATCTAAAGTCCGATGTGACAATGTCTTCTCGGATGCACTTTACCGACCGTTTTTATGTACACACACGCCATTGACTCCTTACGCAACCAATATTCCTCGAGGCAATGCAATACCAAGATTCGATAATCTATCGCCTACAGAATTCTCCGAGAAATGGAGTGATAAACCTTTTATCCTGACAAATCCCGTGCGAGAATGGCCAGTCTATCAAACCTGGGACACAGATGCTCTCCTACAGCAATATGGAGGTGTCAAATTCCGTGCGGAGGCAGTTGACTGGACACTGTCCTCTTATGTGGATTACATGAACAACAGCAGTGACGAGAGTCCGCTTTACCTTTTCGATCGAGGATTTGTCGAGAAGATGGGACTGACCATAGGCAAGGATAAGCCGAAGCCTTCTTACTGGATACCAGAATGCTTTGGAGAGGATCTGTTTGCAGTACTCGGAGACAAGAGACCAGACGACAAGTGGCTCATCATAGGACCTGCTCGCAGTGGCTCTACATACCACAAAGATCCTAATGCCACTTCTGCATGGAATGCAGTCCTACGGGGCTCGAAGTATTGGATAATGTTCCCCTCCACAGGCTCAAGTCCACCGCCGCCAGGAGTCTATGTGTCCGAGGACCAAAGCGAAGTGACAAGCCCTCTGAGTATCGCAGAATGGTTACTCGGATTCCATGCTGAGGCTCGCAAGACACCCGGCTGTATCGAGGGAGTGTGCAATGAAGGAGAGGTCCTGCATGTTCCTAGTGGTTGGTGGCATCTGGTCGTCAACCTAGATGCCTCGATTGCCATCACACAGAACTTCGTGCCACGAAGCCATCTTCCAGGAGTCTTGTCGTTCTTGAGAGACAAGCCGGATCAAATTTCTGGCTTCAAGAAGGATGTCGCAGATCCATATGGGACCTTTATTGAAGGAATGCACGCCGAGCATCCCAAGTTACTGGAGCAAGCACTTGCTGAGTTGGAGAGGAAGGCTGAAGGCAAGAAAAGAAAATGGGGTGCTGCTGTGGGAAAGGATGAAGAAGAAACGAATGGGGCCGGCTTCAGCTTCGGCTTTGGTGATGATAGTGACGAAGAAGTTCCCTGAGAACTTGCAAGACTCATGTACTGTACAATGCAAAACGAAAAGATCCACATCTGAAGAATCGTCTTTTCCATGAAATCAGAAGTGGTATCCTGGTATGTTCAACGCCATAGCAGCTCGAAGCAGGAGAGCAAACGCTCATCGCCAATCTTACAATAACAACACACTTTTCCCCAACGCCAGAATCTTTCTGCCAATCCATCCAAATAACGCCATTATACCATCATCATCTTTTCCCACCCCTCCCGTTTTCCTTCCCGCCCTCCTCGAAATCACTTCCTAACAGCCCCAAAGTTCGTCCTGATCTTCTTATTCCCCTCCCTCTCCGTCTCACTATCATCCCCATTCACCCCCTTCTTATTCTTCTTCCCCGCCCCACCAGACTTGTTCGCACTCGTAGCACTGGTCGGCGTAGCATGATTCGATCCTCCGCCGCTCTCCTTCTGAAAGCTCGTCGTGAGGGGTGTAGGCGCCATAGCAGCCACGGGCGTTGATTGCGCTGTATCCATTGGGGATTCCTGTTTTCCATAACAATTAGCCCTTGTGTTTCTATCCTCAGCTCCGGAAAGAATAACTCACAGCGTTAACATTCCAAGTAACACTACTCCTCGAAAAAACCCGATTAATCTCCTGCACGCCCCCTCTCCTCCTACCTCCCGCTACATTGGTAATCCCCTTCGTATAGCTCTCAAACCCCGTAATGATATTCCCACCAGGCGTGTCCTCGAGGTAATCCGTTTCCTTCTTGTAGATAGTTTCCTCCTGCATCGCGAGACTCCGTTCCAGCATCTTGCGCTTGTGGAGCAGTTCTCGGAGGTGTTGGCGCGTTTTGTCGTAGTAGGGTTGCCCTGGGATATCGCCAGTAGCACCAGCGGCGGCTGCTGGAGGTTGGTTTTCGGACATGTCGAGGAAGAGGGCGGGTTGTGAGGGACTCGGAGGGTCTTGTTTGGATTGCGTGTAGCTGTAAGTGTACGCGACGAGCGAGCTTGCTTATCGAAGCTTATCGCCAAAGATGGCATTTGAGCACACGATGGTGAATTGGAGAAGTACGATTGAGGTATTGGTATACCAAATCATGTTATAGAGCAGCTTCTCTTTAAGGTTTCAATGTCTCAAGAGTTTATTGCAGTTATGACTATCAGAGCCACAAACTAAGTCCTACGGATTCTTCAGGTTTGATAGTCGCGCAAGAGAAGTATCTAATAAAAGAGCTTTGAAAGTCACAGTCGCAATTGGTTCACTTTGCTTTCAGAAAACGATTTGAATTGCGTTGCAAATGCTTAAATCTATCTACCACAGTATCCAGCCAACAACACCTGCAATGTAGATGCTGAATCGAAAATGTAACCGAAAAAAGGTCCTCATTGAGTGTTAGCCTGAGCATTCGCAGAGTCGGTACTTAAAGTCCTCATCTTCTTGATCTTCTCCCTAAGCAATTTCTCCCTTAGCTCGTTTGCTTGTCTTCGGGGATCTTTCGTCTGGTGCCATCAGATGTCAGCTTGAGAAAAGCACCCAAGAAGAGGCTGCCGAAAATGAAAGTACCACTCTGAATTTACGAAGCTCTACCAACCTCGTTGGACTCTGTCGTATCACGTCTCGAATCTTCACTTTCGCGTCTAGGAGAGCCCCTGTCGCCATCATCGTCAGAATCAGCTTTTCTAATCCTCGTATCCTCAGGTGAAGAGACAGAAGAAGTGTTTCGTCGCCTCTTGCTTGCAGGTTCATAGCGTTGGATAGAACGACGACGCTTCCTTGTTCTTCCTCCATGACTGGAACTTCTGGAACGACTTCTGTGGCGACGTGGCGGAGTGATACTTCGGCTGTTGCCTCGTGTTAGCCGATGTTCGCTATTATCACGACTCCTACGTGAGCCAGCAGGCGCGTCAGCCATGTCTTCATCTGTTGCTGGAGTCGGCGTAGATGTTGCCCTGTTTCTACCGCGTGACGATCTTCTTCTTGGTGTCCGACTCCTTGACCTTGAAAGAGAAGGAGACCGAGACATCGAGCTGGTATTACGACGAGATTTTCGAGACCGTGGTGGAGGAGATGCGCTGGCGGAAGGAGATGTTGATCTTCTGCGATTGGTGGCCCGCGGAGATCGAGATCGAGAGCACGAGGGAGAAGGGCTTCGCCGACGTGCAGTACGATCGAGACTCCTCCCTCGGCCTCTAGTCCCACGTCCTCGATATGTATGTCCACGTCTATCTGGTGAGCGAGATCTTCTACGTGGGGAAGGAGAACGGCGACGTCGTCGAGGTGGGGAGCGGGAGCGGGACTCAGATCTAGAGACAGAAGGAGAGCGGGATGGAGACGTAGACGGTCGCCCGCGATCATTGCGTCTTCCACCACGTCCAACAGGAACATATGTATCCGACTCTCTCGGAGGGCCTCGGTACTGATCTCTCTCCCTGGAGTCTCGACGACGACGAGGGGATCTTGAATGGCGTGGTCCTCGTCGATCAAACCCTCTGCCTCCGCCTCGTCCTCCGCGATCGAAGTCTCTGTCTCCTCGCCCGCCTCGCCAGCTATCACCTCCGCGTCCACCACCGCCGCGATGTCCACGGTCACTGCGTTCACGGTTTCTGACGTTGTTCATTTCGCGCTCACGGCGTTGCTCGTCCTCCCGTCGTCGCCTTGCTTCGTCCGCTGCTTTCTCGGCATCGATCTGCGACACTGTCAGAGTTGTGCTTTAGACGTCTGTAAGCGTACCAACCTTCTCTTGTATCAGTTCAAGTTTCTTGGCTTCGAGCAGTTCCTTCGGAACCCCTTGCGGGTTTGACTGAGCACTTAAACATAACTTCCAAAGCTCTTTGCAGAAACTCGCCGTATCTTTGTCCAAGAATCCTGTGAGCTGAATCTGCAGTTTCTTGATATCAGGCTGTGGCACATATTAGCTAGGCGCAAAGGTTGTGAACTGCTCTTGAACGTACATAGCGTGAGCCTTCGATGAGATTGAAGCACAGTTCGATCACGACATCATCTTCGTTGCCCAAGATTTCTGATATCTTGCCTGCGATCCATCTGCCAGAATATTGTAGTCAGTCTCGTGCGCGTAAGCTAGGGTTGGGAGTGATGCACGAACTTCTTCATAACCTCCAAATTGACTTTTTCCATGTCCACTTTCTGACTGAACTCAGGGGGAAACTTCGTCGACTTCAACAGCTTCGCATCTACACCGGTCGCCATCGTAAAGAGGTTGCGCACTCTGGGTGCGGTAGTTGTGGTGTTTGAGAGAGAAAGTGTCGTTCCTGTACTCAAAACATATCGTCACCGTGGCTGAATCAACTAGCGCCGGCCTGCAAGGCTCACTGACTCGAGGCTTGAACGCCACAATTTCGACTTCATCATTCAGCTCCATTATGTGTGTCTGTTCTCATAATTTGCTTTTTTGGCTTAACGATCCACTTGCTCGTACAGATTTCTTACTTCCCTACTTCTGTTTGCGAGTTCGCGGAGTATGACCTCATTCTCGTGAGATACGAGTAGCTACAGTGAGGAAATAACGAGCCAAAGCAACAATTTGAGAGTTCAAAAGCGCGGATATGGTAAGAGCGAGTGTTAGAGTGTCTACCAACAGTGTCGAGACGCCTTTCCCCGAGTGTGATCCCCTTTGATCGTATTTACTTTATTCCTTTTCATAATTGCTCTACCGGCATTTTCACTCGCTTTTTCCGCATTGTTATCCTTCTACTTTCTCGCTCTGCCAATTCATCTACTATCTCTACTGGTGTCTCCTATCCAGTGACCTGCTTGCTACAATGTGTTTCAAGGCATGGTCACTCTGCGAGACCTGACTTGGCCTCATTTCGTTGATATCGATCGATCGAAGACGTCTTCGTTGCTATCAGCGCACTCCAGTTCAAGTTCCCAACCGGATCAAATTCTGCATACCAGCTCCAGATCTCCGGAACTTCAAAATTCAACCAGTCCAGTTCGGTGCGTCTCCATCGTGAGACGGCGAGCAATACCGGCCCTCGCGCCTTCTTGCGCTCGGTTCGAGACGTGTGGTCATAATTCTCTTTGGTCTATCGAGAAGCCCGACGATATGTCTGGATGCATTACAAGGGCTGAAGAGGAAGCTCTATACGGCCCTTACGCTCGGCTACCTACACCACCCGACGGTTCAGGAGAAGACATCGGTCTAGATATCAATCCTCACCTCCCTCCAGAACCCCTCAGTATCGACTGTTCAGTGTGTAGCCCGGATCAGGAGAGATACGACGATCTCCCACCTCTTCCAGATTCTCCTTTGGCCATAGCTAAGTTTGGTTTCATCAGTCGAGAATCATTCGATACCAGTGTTCGAGGGCTCGTACAAGAAGAGCCCGACTCGCCCATTGGAGGTTACCCAGCTGCACCGTTGAAGAACAGATTCGCCATTGGCAATATTGGCACTACTGCTATGCTCAGACGGATGGCTGCCAATCTCGATGGGGCAAGAAGCTCAAATATACAACCGGTAGGACTCGATGCGACGACTAGAGAATGGAGTTGTCACGATAAAACCCTGGACAGATATCGACTAGGGCGGACCAGATTCTCGGATCCTTTTGCGAACGCTCTGACGAAAGACAAGCAAGTTCGACGAGGAACAGACCCTCTTGATTCGGGCGCCGATGATAGTGGATATACTACGGTTATGGTGACGGCTTTTGAGACTCCAGTTCGAGGCGAAAATACAGATATGTCACACGACGGAGCGCGAGCTTCGGCTACGGAGACTAACCAAGAGAATAATGGGCGCCAGCCACGCCTTCCTGACTGCTGTATCAGTCCCACCGAGACCGAATACACTGGAAGCATCGAAATGTACAATACCAAAGGTTTTGCCGGAGATAACGTTAAATCTTACGTCTCACAGATGCCTTTCAGTACATCCCGACCTGGCAATGTTCCCGTCAGAGGAATCGGAACTGGTGGCATTGACAGAACCGATTTCGCAATACCTGGCGGGGTCCATGCTCCAACCCTGGATCCAGGACTGCCAAACTCCGACATAATACCACCAGAATTCCCTTCAGTAGGCATAGCTGGCACTGTTCCTGTTGTTACTGGACTGCCTGTGGATGCAAGTGGAGAGCTGCCTACCCCAGGCACACCTAAAAGAGTAGGGAAGAGAAGAAGGGCAGCAAACAAAGGGAAGCGTGGCATACGAAAATGTCGACGGCTCATCTTGAGAAGACCCATTTTGGTCCTTATTGTAGGACGACAGCTAGCAGGACCGACTTCAGAAGCCTTGAAATTGATCTCAAGTGGGGTGCCGATTGAGCCTGATGTTCATGGTCTCACAGAGGCAGCAGGAGTTCCGGCACCACCACCTCCTCCTCCTGTGCCCGCCCCGATGTGACAACGAAGAATGAGCCAGCGCTTACAGCAACGGCTCCACGAGGTACAATGGACTGTTGAAATAGAAAGAGAACTGGATGAAGTAGCAGCGTATCAAGATGATGGACGACCACGCTGCGATGTCCTTTGCGACTTGGCTTCTATTGAGACCATCAATTGCACTTGCTCGACGACGACCCTAGACTTGTAGATGAATTCAAGCTCTTCCTCCTAGATCTCAGACTTCGTTCAACACTTAGAATTAATGAGTAGTGAGTAATACGTGTACGTCCTTTTCCATCCCGTAAAACATAGGGTATATACCGAACGCCGTGCTTCCAATCCCATACCTTTACCGCTTTAGGCCGTTACTTCATGTACGTGAAGGGAGTATTTAAGCATCTAGGTGTCTCGCTTTTGCCGCCTTTTCTCTCTCTTCCAATTCCATTTTGGCGTACTTTTCCACAACATTATCAACTCTCTGCTTCGCTCTCGTCAAGCCAGTATCACCCATCTGCTTGAATTTCCCCCTCATTTCGAACAGTTCAAGAAGCGTCTTTGCCCTCTTCATGTCCTCATCTGGAGTCTAGCCGTAATAAGTCAGCTTGTGTCCACGCTATCATGACCAAGACAAAACACAAAGGAGAAAGAACAAAACCATACCCCTTCAACAGGAGTCCCAACCCCACTCCCACTCCGACTGGCACTCAAACTTCCACCCAAGCTCCCAAACCCATTATTGTTTCCATTCCCATTCAGTCTCCCAAAGGAACTCGCGCTCCGGCTCAAGGGCGGCGGCGGCGTCCCAGTCCCATTCCCGGCAGACGAGCGCGGGACCACGATCCTTCGCCCGAGTTTGTCGAACCGTGCTTGTTGTGGTGCGTCGGTAAATGTGCCGGCTCTTGGGATTGCGTTTGAGGACTTTCGGCGCGACGAGGCCGTGGTGGAGAGGGAGGGTCGCGGGTTTTTCGAGGCGGAGAGGAGGTTGGTTGCTGCTGTGGGGTCCTGAGAGTGATTGTTAGAGAAGAGTGGAAGTGTAGAAGCAGAGAGAGGGGAGGATGTGTGGAGAGTTGAGTGTTGAGTGTTGTGGGGATCTATCTATGCTCGGGATTGAAAAGCGGTGGTTTTGGTGGGGAGGAGGCTTCAAGTGGGAGAAGAGGGGACATACTGCGTTTTGCAGTGTCTGTAGATCTGCAATTACCTGCGCTATCTGGAGACCTTCTGCCATGCTTCTCTGGTCTAGATGATAGGTATGAAGTGTAGAGCCAGAGCAGAGGAGCCAGAATTGCCGCAAATTTGGAATGTTACCCTGGGTGCGTTTGGGACTTTGTGAGACAATGTCTTTGTTGGTTGACGGCTGACTGATGGCTGATTGCGAGCGCGATTGGGGGTTTGCTTGAATCCGATTTGTTCGATTCTGCTTTGTTTTCTGCACACGATGAAAGCGGAGAGGAGACGGCATTTTCTCCGAGACCCCAGGAAATCCCCACTTTCACGTCCACGTCCACTTCCACTTTGACGTGCTTCGCGGGTCCTTGCTCATTCGTTGAGGGGGAACACCTTCCTCTTGCTTGCCCATCCATACATAAGGGTAAACACCGTCTGCCCCCCGATTCTAGCCCACCATGTCCTTGATCTTTCGTCGTGGAATCGCAAATATGGCAAGCTTGAAGAACGCCTCAAAAGTTGTTTGTGTTGGCAGAAATTATGCGTAAGCTATTGCCTTTCTTCTTTTCTAGCCCCCATCTTTGCACAATGCTGATATTTTGGTGATAGCGATCATATCAAAGAATTGAATAGCGCGAGACCGAAGCAGCCATTCTTCTTCTTGAAGCCACCGAGCAGTATCCTGTTGAAGGATGACGGACCAGTAATTCGACCAAGAGGCGTAGATCTGCATTATGAGGTCGAATTGGCTTTGATTATGGGAAAGAAGGTCAAGGACATTGAGGAATCGGACGAAAAGGGCATTTTCGATGCTATTGAGAGTATGCAGTCCTTCAATTGACAATTTGAGCAATTGCTAACTGTGGAATAGGCTATGCTTTGAGCATCGACATGACAGCACGAAATTCTCAAAACGAGGCCAAGAAAAAGGGTCTACCCTGGAGCATTGCTAAGGGATTCGATACTTTCCTCCCAATCTCAGACATCATTCCCAAGTCGGACATCCCAGATCCTCACAAAGTCGACATCTACCTCACCGTCAACAACGAACACAGACAAGCGGATTCGACCGAGTTGTTCCTCTTCCAGATCCCAAGGCTAGTCAGTGATATCTCAAAGGTCATGACTCTAGAGAAGGGAGACATTATCTTGACCGGTACACCAAAGGGTGTTGGACCAGTTGTGCCAGGAGATATCATGCGAGCAGGATTGAAAGTTGGGGGCAAGGAGTTGGACGCCGCAAAGATTGAGGTTGCAGTTGAGGAATCAACAAGCACATATGAATACGCTGAGACATAGAAGAGATCAAAGAGGCCATTTCGTGTAAATATTGTACATTGGATACCCTCAATAAAAGAAGACTCCAGAGTTGAGAACTCGCAATAGTCCAGCTACCATCTTTCTCTCTTTATGCCCGCTCCCACCTCGCCATGCACGCTAGTCATAACCTCGTGTAGCTCATCTCCGAGACATCTCTATTCGAGATTCGGATCCTTGATCTCTCCCGGCTTCGGCGCACTCTCCGCCATCGTCCCACATTTCTTACACTTCCTCCTCTCCTCACTATCCCTGAATCCATTGACCGCCTCCTTAATCTGGGTTCCCAAATCCGTACAATGAAAAGACTGTTCATCAACCAACTCCCTACACTCCGGATTCCCGCAGTACCATCTCAGCCTATCCAGACTTTCTCCTGGTCTCTTCTGCTCCAGCACAATGCCCACAGTATTGGCGAAACGAACGGGATTGTGAGGAGTGTTGGGAGGGAGCAGGAACATGCAACCTTCGTGGATGATGATGTCTTTGAATTTGGAGGGCGAGGGTAGGGATTCGTCGACTACTTTAAGCATCATGGCGCCTTTGTATTGGTAGAACCATTCTGCTGTTTCGTTGATGTGGTAGTCGGTGCGGGCGTTGGGTCCTCCTACGATCTGTTTTTTGTAAGCTAAAGCCATTGCGGATTCCGGAAGTGTGTTGTACCATAACAGTAACATCCTCGTTGTAGACGCAGTAATTGTTGATCGGTGGCTTGAGAAGGTGGGAGTTCTCTTCCAGCCTATGTCAATGTCAGTTTCAGCTGCTCTTCAACCTTGACATTTTCAACGTACCACTTTGGCATATTCAATGGAGTGGAAAGCATTCTGACTGACTATCTCTGGAATGATTTTGAAGTTACAAAGGTGTTGTGGAAGTATGGCGGAAGTTGTCTTATGGAGGGGTAGAATAGTGGCGTGGCGGGGTGCTGACAATTTATCTACAGGGATAAGCTTTGAACAGGGCTGTCAGCCGCTAAAGATTCAAGCTTTACACACTAGAGATTGTTTGTATGTCACTAAAGCAATGATGAGTTGCGGTAAATCAGTAGTTTTTGGCTTACGGCAACTTTTTCCTCTATGGCTTGATGAGTTATCCAGAAGTTGGACGAAAAAGCCTCGGAATCGCCTACCTAAAATCTTATGCCGAAGCCGTTGAAGATTACAAGAAGCAACTAGATTGAACTTAATCGAGGATTGAGAGAGCCGATTTCGGTGATTTGGGATCAGCAGGTCAACGTGTTTCTTATCTCTTGAGTCATCCGGGAATTGCGGTTTCAGAGTGGGTGTGTAAGTGCGCACTTGCTATTGTCTGAGAGTATGGAATTACAAAGCGGTGTTTTGATAATATCATCTCGCTATTGCTACTTTTGCCTTTTTCGGTAGCATACTTCCTACAATCTTTGTCGCTCAACTGGAAAATACCGTAACACAATTGGCATTTTCTTTTGCTCTTTCTTTGCTTGTACAACAAAATACCTCTTCCGCTTATGCCTACCCCCTCTTTTCTGTTCTTATCTCGGAGGTCCAACATCCTTCATGACCTCGACCCTTGACTCTCTGCTGACTGACATTGACGACATGGTGTGAATATCTCGTCCCCAAAACGGACGTTGTACTTGTCGTGGTCGAATATTGGACAAGACGTCAAGACGATCCAAGGACAACGTCTTATCGATTGGCCCAAATTATTGCATCCATTACAACTGGTGATGGGCGCTTTCGGTCTGATAGCGCTCTTAGGTCTTTGGCCCATAAATAGCTCTGAATGTTCTGGGTCTGTTGACGTCAGCTACTTGCCATTCTGATAAAAGCTCAAGGCATAATTCAACATACAGTACGTATCCCAACACCGTTGTTCTATGAAATATTCCTTCTCTCCTTCAGTGACGTTCTCGTTGTTGTGTCCTTCTAGCTCTTCGCGGATCTCTTCTAGTCTTGCTTCTACTACGTCGGCATCGAGACTGAAGGGCACGCCGGCAGGGTTGTCGATAATCATTCCCTTCATGGAGATATAATTCTCAGAAGCAAGACTACCTGTAGCAGCTGGTGCTGGCCCTGAAATTTGTTGTGGCGAAGCGGCAGGTGCACTTCGCTCGGGTGGAGGTTGTTGGACAATAGTTTCCTCTGATGAGTTTTGTAGATTTGGCTTTGCTCGACCGTCGAATTGGGCTGGGGCACTGGAACGTGTACTTGCTGCTCTGCCTTGCGACGATATTATTCGATCTGCCTCGTCGTCCTCTACATTTTCCGAAGACTTGGAGTTGGGACAACCCATGTTGCAAGATGAAGTTGTGCTAACGATTGTGAAGTGGAATGAATTGATGTAATCGTAGCCTGGTAATATCGTAATATGGTGGCATTGGAGTTTTCACCAGACGTTCTATCTGGGGTGAGTCCACAAGCCCAGCATGGAAGGTGCAACTCTAGGAAACGCTCGTAGCACGTGATCCCCTACTTCAATCATCTCTCCTCTTCGCACTCTCGATCTATATTGGAAGTACTCCTTCAATTTTTAGACAACTTGAGCAAGTGTTGAACTATTGCGAGAGGATGACATGCCAGGATGGGGACACACAACTTTGGCCCCAACATTTGTCACTTCCCAGCGCCTGTCATGTTTCGCTTAAGCAAGAAAGGGGGCTGTGTTTATGTCCTGCATCTGTTCACCACAACTGCCGGGAGTTTGGTCCAGGATAAAGTGTATGCTGACAATTATGTAACCTAAGATGGACGAATATCGTCCCGGGTGGCTAGCCGCCGGCCAGCTGCACCTTCGCTTGTCTATAATATTCCACTTACACTCCACTTCATTTGACCTTTTAATACCCTTTTGCTCTCGACCTTTAAATCAGACGAGATTTTCACAAGGCTGGTGTTCCAGGACAATAACTCTCATGTATTTTCTGTTCTTGCCACCATCTCCGTTTCTGAAAGTTTTGCTTACACACTTCACTTATGGTTCTTGCACCTCAATCCCACCACACAAGAATCAACAAACCAGATCCACCCCGCATGTGGCGCATAGTGACCCGGGCATGGACCATACGAATCTAGGCTTTTGAAAGTGATATCATAGATGCAAGAACACGCTCTAGGAGCTAGAATTGGTATGGGTTCTCATTTCGTAAAGTACAGTTGATACTATGCAGCTCTTTGCGCTCGGATGACTAGCAAACAAACTTGCCGTGTAGGGTATATTTGACGACAGAAATACAGCTCCGACCAAAACTCCGTGTCTCGTTCCCACAACAGCAACTTTTCGAATGTACCATGCTCTTCAAGTCCTTGTCTTATTGTAAGCTCATTTCCGTCAGCAAAATTCGATGCCATCACAACTACCTCCAAGTCATATGCATCTTGGTTTCAATAGATCAAGCAGCCAAAGTTCCTTTCTTGGTAGATGCCTTGGCTGTGGATCTGGATTTCGTGGTATCCTTGGAGGTCTTCTTGCCAACAGTCAATGCCGCTGTCTTGATTACGGGAAAGTATGTCAGTATCTGCACTTATTGGTCAAGGCCTGATCATGAATACAAAATAATTGACGTACATCTGGGTCCTTTGGTTGAGTGAGCTTTTGCATCAAGAAAGACTCGAAAGCCTTGAGCTCCACTTCGCTGAGCTTATCTGCCAGGATCTTCAATGTTGGGTCGCACTCGTTCCTGACCGTAACAAGTTCAAACCCTCGCAAACTTACAAGTAAATCAAAACCGTTAGTCTTGCAGAATTTCTGGACAGCCGGCTCGTCCTGATACTTGTGTTGTACAGTAGGATGGTAGATGTGACCTATGTGGCAGTATTTAGTCAGGCACAGGTGAAACTTCCTGAGCTTTTTGCAATCCGCAAACATCCTTAGTGTCTTTGAATCCCTGTTCTTGGTGGACCACCAAGTCCAAGTTACTTCCCTCAGGTTGTCGGTTAAGGTGGGTACGATGAGTTTGATTTGCTTGCAGATGCCACTAACTCGGAAAGTGTTGCGCCAAAACATGCTGCGTGTCTCTGCAAAGATTTGTCGGCAAGTGCCTGTCAAGTGGAGACCACCGAGAATATTCTCAGGGCTATACTGATGACTTCCAATATGAAGCGTCTTTGCTGAGGAGATGGTGTAATCGTCTATTGATATGTCAGAATGTGTTTTACAAAACAGTCAAGGAGCAGACGGGAGCCGGCCCGGGAGAGTATCCCAGAAGGTTGCTCCCAAATGGTCCCTGACACCAAGGGGGATGTCGACTAACATATCTTGAATCTTAACTCAATTGGGAGTTTCAAGAATCGGAAGATTCGCAATTCTGGGAAAGGTTTAGCTTTTATTTCGTGCGAAGAGAGACATGGAGGTCGAGCAACATGTACCGACGAAATGACTGATCGATTCAAGAGAATGTCATAACTTACTGACGCTACCTAAGACTTGTCCAATCTTGAATTCGGACTCTTTCCATTGTTGTTCAGCCTCTTCAAGAATCTGCTGCCTCGCACCAGATTCGTCCCCACGGATCAGACGTCCAGTGTCTATGTTGCCAAGAGTACTCGCCTCAGCGTTTGTCAAATTGAGGATCTCATATCTTCCATCATCCAGCTTGCGAACAATACAAAGACCGTTCGAGAGGTCTGCCGCTGTTTGGAAGGTTTCATAGACGGGCTGTGGAAGAGATTCTGTTTGAAGAACAGTACTCGCATGATTCTTCGCGACATCTTCGTGCTCCTCAACATGTTCGTCTTCGTAGCTGTCTTCTTCTTCTTCTTCTTCTTCTTCTGCCTGAACGATAGCCTTCAGCTTGGCTTTCGCGGCAGCGCCAGCGCGTCTCGTGACACGCGAAGACATCTCTGCGATTGGGGGGATTCGAGGAACTGTCAGTGATCGCTGGCGGAGAAGATATCGGGAGTAACGAGGCCAGAACGTGTATCTGGTTCGAAAGTGGAGGTTGACTGGAAGTTGGGCGCAGTATGTCAAGTTCAATGGCTGTTGAGGAAGGAGCCATGCGGGTCGAACTCGCGCGCTTCCACGTGACTAACCATCGATCGAAACTACCTAGGTACGTACCTACCTAGGTAACCTGCCCAGGTGGAACAGTTAGGTACGTGTCGTTATCCTTGTACTACTACTATCCAAAGAAGTAATGGTCGCACATCTGAATCCTGCACTCTTACTCTAGTGATAACTAAATCTTGAAACAGACTCGGGACCTAGCAGACTTATATTGTCCCATAAACTCTGGGGCAATATTATCTTGATTCCATTTATTACAACAAAACGCCTGAAACAAGCTAAATTAACTGTCCATTTAGTTTGTGTGCGTCTGTCTCTCTTCAATGTTCTATTACCTACCATATAGCAACACATCGAGCCTCAACACTGTTTCTCACTTCTCCATCTTCCTTCCCAACCAACGTTACACCTCCGTGAGGCGCTCCCCAAGGTCTCCCTTCTCTCAACGCATAACTGTCGTAGAATTGGAAGATAAAGACTTCGTCAACATCTTGCTCACTGATCCAATGCCACTTCTGAGTATCTGCATAATTACCCCTCAACATCGACAATCCAGCCAAGTAGTCACCTCCATCACTTGGCTGTTTGTTGATGTGCTCTGCCAAGTCCCTCTCGAAGTCAATCGAATTCGGATCACAAACCGCCACTGGATCACGAGTAACCTTCTTCAGAGGTCTCCAGACAGAAAACATCCCGTACCGTCTTCCATCATACTGGGCGATGTCTTTTCCAGCCGCAGCAGCTGCATCCTCTGCTTCGATGATATCTTTCGCACTCTCAATCACATCCCCACGAACGTTGCGAAGAATCTGCCGAGCTCCGTCGGGAGAATAGTCGATGTGGACAGAACGTGCCGGACCGATTTTATCTTTGCCTGTATATCCTCCCATATATGGTTTCGTGAGGTCCATCTCCGTTGCCTTCAAATCGATGCCACATCGCTCTGGGGGAGCATTGGGATCACGTTCACGTAGAGTAATCGTGTCGGGATCTGGCTCCTTCATTCGCAAGCCTAGACCTAAGACATGGACTGTCTTTGCACCTGTGGCTGACTTGATAATGTCTTGTATCTCGGGAATCAATGTTGCGGCAGCTTTCTCCCGGTCGTGTCCCTCTCCTCCAGCGATGTCAAGCTTGGATTGGTGCTTCACGGCCGTGAAAGCATGGGTTGCGAGTTTATAGAGATTGTTCGAGGAGAAGACCTCGGGACGAAGATCGTTGAGGGGTTGAATTGAATGAATGGTTTCTTTTGCTTTGGGGATTGCGAAGTAGTTGCAGTCCCAGGGATCGACACTGACTTCTGGTTCAATGTATTGGATCCGAGCAAGCTGTCGTCCGTCCTCGGAATGAGTAGGATCCTCTGCGACCTTGGTTGTTGTTGTCGACATTATGAACGATTTATGGTTTCCTATTTTTGATGGAAGCAGGTTGAAAAGGCAGAAGCTTTTATCTTAACTTTATCAAATCATGAAGCCATGCGCGTCAGCTTACGGTTTCCAACACAGACGGCTATATGCTGCGCCTCGCATTATAATTGACACTAGAGTTCCCCCTCCATCGGGAAACTTCATATATGGCAAGGGCACGATAAGGTTCGAGACGCACCAGGTTGGGTAGGTGGGGTTGTGTAAGATCTTAGAGCACTTCTAAGCAGTGACGATCCACCAACACCAACACCAACACCAACCACAGCCTAATTGATTTTGCATTATTTCAATTATAAGCCAATCACTGAGACCATTGTTATATCGCTTAACTAAAGTGCTCGGACTCGTATCCACGTCCTGTAGAAGTACTTCCCTAGAAACCGCGATGCAGAATTTGGAATTCCTGTTCTTCTCTAGCACGACGGTACCTATCCAACTTCTCTTCGAAAATTTTGTACGCCTAGCCTTAGGAGTGTCGCCCTGCTCTCCTCCTTATTGTGGCAGGGCTAGCTCTTTTTGGTCCTTTTGGCGCTGACCGGCACGTGTGGTTGAGGAGGAGGCCAGCCCGGGAACGCTAGTCTTCCCTAGCACTATACTCAACTGGGTCTAGTTTATCATGTGACGCTTCCTATATATTGTGGTCGCGCACTCTTAGAATAACAACAACTCTTCTCCCACTCTTAGTTTTTACAGTGATATGCTTTCGAATGCTTTTTATGATGTTTTAAACCTATTCTACTACTGCGAATAGTGGTCTGCTTCGCGCAGTGCCTACTTGTTGTTGTTTTGGTTGTTTTCGCGTACTGCTGGTTCATGTTCTTACCCCCTCTACATTATACAATGATGAAATAACATCGACGTCTTTCTTCGAAACGAGACTTCAGTCATTGCTTATTTTCACCGCTTGCTCCACGCGTTCTCGGATCTTGGATTCGCGCTGAATATGACGAGCATTTCAACGTCTCAGAATAACTCAAATAATTGACAAACAACCTGAAGCCAATGCTTGTATCTATTGTGAAAGCTCTCCTCGAGGTCACAAAGATCTGCTCACCAAAGCACAATTCTGGTGACGGTGACGGTGAAGAGAACAAAGTGAACGCAATTCCGTAATGAGTCTTGAGCGTCGATTCTGCCATGAAAATTGGAATGCGGGATGATAATGTCCAAGATTTTGCGAGAAATATATATGACTGTGCTAAGTTCCAAGTATGATCTAATCATTAGCCTCGACTCAGACCGTGTAATGCTTGAATGTGAAGATGAGTGCAGCTTACCTAGTCCAAGAACACTTGGGCTTGTTGATACATGAATCTGGGATAACAGCTCCGAAAGATCAAATGGTGAGATTTTTTGATTGTCCATACCATGAAGATTGAAATCCAGAATAATACTGTGCTTGGGATAATATATAGAATTCTCGAGGTTTAAGATAGAAAGGAGCTCATATCGCATACGTACTGCTTTATCTTTTGAATTCAAGCTTCTTGTTAAAACCTTGTTTGCTTATGTTGTCTTACACACTGTGGAACAATGTTATCTTGTGTTTTGATCTTTATGGTAGTTTATCTCACGCCATGCCAATCAGTGACAGGGCATAGAATGTCTTTCAGACTGAATGTTCAAGTTAATCGCAATGAGCAACAGTAATAAAGTCCACATTCTGCGGCAGTGTTGTGTTTGAGGAAAGTGGCAGTATACAAAACGAGACTTTACAGCAAGTTTCAATGTTTGGACGCGTCAACGTCTTTCGGAGCCATTTCGCAACCAAGATCCTTATGGCCAGTGAGTAGAATTTTGAAATCAAACGAAGCCAAACAAGATGGGCGACAAGCAGATAAAACCTACAAACAAAAGGCAAATTCTATGTGGAGCAAACCTTGCCGTCTTCATTACTTAGGTAAGCGACCCCACATCCCCTTTTCTTCATCCCTTTTTTCTCGCTTATGGAATACCGAGGTATATCATGTTACTGAAAAGAAGCATCTACTAGACAACAAAAAACATATAAGCTGTGATCAAAAAGTTTTGAAAGCTTGCATTAAGCAAAGCTCAATCGCCTTGTTCAGATACATGAAAAGGACGGACTTTGACTAGATAATTTAATGCCGTCCCTCTCCGGTGGAGGTCGCTTAGTAGCGCACTTTCTTCGATCTATATGCCCAGTCGAGCCTTGCGTCTTTACCTTTCGATCTCCAATCTTGCGACCTTCAAAACACCACTTTGTTTGGTGATCGATATCAAGAACAGGTTCCCATATCCCAAGTCGAAAGCATGGCTCGAAACTCGCAAAGTGTCGCTGCCACTGCTGCAGAGGACAAGCAAGCAGCAAATGGCCATACCAACGATCGTGATCTGAACGCGGCCGCAAAGTCTGGAGACATGGTGAAGGAAGAACAAGTCCCAACATTCGAACAGTTCGAGACGTTAGCAGGATTGCAAGACGGCCTTTGTATCGTGCGCAAGCTAGAGAACGGCAAATATGAGTTGCTGAACCTCAGCTCTATCAATCCCGGCACGCTTGGTAGCAAAGCATTCGGCCAATCAGTCAGGGGAGATAAGAGTGGTGGACGTCTCAAGGCTTTTGAGGAAGTTGAGAAGAAGTGGAAGAACGTCGAGTTCGGAGTTAGTCAAGCTGTGGGCAGTACCAGTAAGTCACAATTATTCTCGCTTTCAGTGGTGACACCAGGCTTTACCCGAGGCATTACCGAAGACAATACAGTAGGGAAAAGAACCAGCTGCTAACTTTGTTCTAGAGTTGAGGCTCTTTCGTTTCATGGAACTTCCGATTGAGATGCGTTTCAGAGTCTAGTAAGTCGAATACCGCTCCTATTGCATACATACCCAAGACGATGAGGCCTAGTACCTTAAATGACCTCCTGTGCTCTTATATCTTCTGTTAAAGTTGTATACTAACTTGTCAACAGCGACTACATCATGACCTTTGACAATTTGCTCAGCTATGGAAGTCTGGTCAAACTCGCGCTCAGGAGCACTTCTGGTCTACAACTGAGAGGTACATGTCAGGATATCTACAACGAGACTAAAACAATCTTCTGGCGTAACAAATTTTGCATTGCGGACCTCGGAAAATCATTCAAGATGGGCCTATCTGAGTTGTTGGACAATCTCCGAGAAGTCACCTGGGATTGGCATGCTTTGAAGATATTGGATCCGCAAACACTTATCGCACTCGGGCTCTGCAAACAACTCAAGGTCTTCCATCTACGTGTAACAAGAAGTGTTGTCTTCGGAGGCGATCATTTATTTGACCGACGACAATACACATACCAAGATGAGCCCCTAGCAGCAAAGTTCAGCCGAAGCAATGGATTCGATGAGTTACTTCAGCTGAGAGGTCTCGAAACCATCACCGTGGAGAACCATGACCACTATAAATTTTGGGTAAAGGACAAATATCTCAGTAATGCGGAGCTCAAGGCTTTCGAAACCTTCCTGGCCTCAAAGCTAACACTGCCAAAGAAGCCCCCGGTATGTCGTTATCATATTCTTCGATTCTGTGCGCTTAGATGCTGACCGACTCTTCAGGCGATTGAACAGAGACCTGTGAAGAGTAAGACCACCATGACTAAGAAGGAAAAACATCGCAAGACTTAGACATCTTAGGAAAGAGGGACTTCTGAAGAAAGTTACAGTGGGGAAATTTCTCGGTTAGCGAGATAGGAGGCGAACTTTCACTTGGGAAGGACAAGGACTCGAGGAAGCCCCTGTGTTTGTCAATTGAACAATGTCGAAGAATCAAGAAAGGTCTTTTCTCGGAATATTTGTCTCTGCATTCTTTCTGTGCACATCTCAGTCAGCTGCCCTTCTTTTCCTCGTGCGTGGCTGATATACGTCCTGCTGTATAAAGATTTGGAGCGAAGGCATGTTCACTCGAACACCAGATCTCCTATTACCCTACTGCATACAAGTGAAATATTTGGAAGGGAAGCCTCTAATGAACAATGCAATTAATGATGTAACCCTATGCATGATTTAACCTAGCACATCCTACCTCGTCGAAGCTCTGACTGATCTTTGTCCACGTTTCAGCTTCGAACTTGTAGTGACGATGTCTGCCCTCTCGTACTCCAGATTGTCAAGGTCGCTTACAACGTTTTGAAACAGCGCCTGAAGACGCCGTTGATACCACCAGCCACCAAAACAACTGTTGACCCTAATTAACAAGAGAAATCCACCCTTGAAGGCAATGGAAATCTTCACTTACACAACTGCGAGGAATACTGTTGCGGTAATACCAGTTGACATCCAATACTGGCTTGCATCCTTGATGTCGAGTGCGGTGTTTGTGCTAATGACAATCAAAACGTTTCCATGAGGTCTGGTCCACTCCAACTCATTGAAATCACAGAAATCGCTACGATAGACTCCGATGAGTTGCATAACTGCTAAGAAGTTAGTAATTGTATGTTATAGTTGCTGTGTACGCACATGTGCCGCCGATAGTCACAAAGACAGTGCTCAAACCCAAGACAGTGGCAGCACCAAACCAAATAACGGCCCAGACAGAGCGCATTGTGAAGCGAGTTTTGGGAGACCTCCAAGCCAAATAAGTGGTTGTTGGTGTGTAAAATCCGCTTCTATCAAGCCAGCTTCCCTTCTTCAAGAAAGAAAGGAACGAGAGATACCTTGGGCATGTCTCGGGAGCACCACTCCAAGCCCAGAACCTAGAAAGTTGTCAGTCCAAGGATCACTGCTACACTCTTTACAATCACCATACCACAGACACATTAAGAAGATCTGATTGATAGCATGGGATGTGAATGTCAGAGTCCTGCAGCTGAAACCGACTTTGGGAGTGTAAAAGGCAGTCATGAAGGCAAGGACATATGGCGTTTCCAGTAACATTATACTTAATGCTAAAATAGTTGCCCATCCCTTGAGTCCCATGGATGTCTCTTTCTTTAAGTCTTTCGCGCTTGTACTGGGACAAATTGGCACATATGGCTCAGGACCATCTTTGTACCAGTAGTTTGTCCATACCTATCGAAGTTAGCGTCGCAGAATTGAGATGAACTAATTTCGGCTTGAAACTACCTTATCAATCCAATCACGCTTGCTTCTCCCACGGGACCATAACCATTTGGGCCTATAGCGACTCTGATACGCAAGCGCGAAGTATTCATTGAATGGATTGCGGCGTTCAGCCTCCGAATAGATATCACCTAAGCCTTCGATGTCATGGGCGAGCATGCCTTCGAGGGTGTTAGGATTGTTCCCAGCCAAAAGAAGTCCTGATACTATTGCCTCGTGCGGGATCAGCATAAACCACCTGTTAAGTCAGCCCTTGATCAAGTTGACAAGAAGAGAAAGATCATGTTCGGAGTTCGGCGAAGTCGTTGCACGAGACAAAAGGAAGAAGCCTCACATTCCGAACGCAATCTCTATCGAAGTATCGTGATCTCCGTGACTGTTGAGAGTGACTGCTATCGTGAAAACAAAAGCACCAAGGAAGAAGGCAACAGGCGCTCCGACACTTGCGCCAAACGACGGCTGGCAGGCTAGCATCGTACGTAACTATGGACAGTTATGATGAGTGGGATATCAGCGAATATCACAGGCAAGAATCTTACGCGAGTTTTCATCTGAGCAATCTGTCGAAGTGTATCCGGCGTTCGAGGAAGAGGCACTTCAAGGCAATCATATCTGATGCATCCCTGAATTCCACATTTGATATCATGCATTGGCCATTGTCGTGGTGTCAAGAAGGCCATATCCCGGTACGTACGTACTGGTTGTATCATGTATTCAATATGTGTCCACGCAGAATTATTGTTGAAGGGGCCTGAAATCGGGTTTCGCTCGTAGTTCGGCCAGTGTTCGCTATCGGATTGGTGATTGTGGAGCACCTGAAGTGTATCTTTTGAATCGAGATCAGGATCTAGATCTAGATTACCACAGAGAACAACAAATAAAAGCCGAACTTTCATGTCCAACGTTAGCATACGAGCTTTCGACTGTTCGTGTATGAAATGCAGAAGAAGGCTGTCCAGGTAGGCTTCGTAGAAACCGCTCAATAGCATGGGGCTAGCGAAGGCGAAACACATAGACAGCCAAATTATTGTATCAAGAATTGATGAGATTACAGCCATAATCATGCCGAATGGTGCAAAGATCCACCCATTGGGACGAGAGAGAACGGGAGAAAAGAGCTTCTCGTAGATTGTGACCTTTCTTCTGCGAGGAACCGACAGACCTGCGTAGATGACCAGATAAGTACCCACGGAAAACCTCAATCAACAGAAGAGACTTACAGAAGACTACCGCTGGTAGCAGAAAGCCAACAAAGGGTGTGATCCACTGCGATTGGTTAAGGGAACTTGATATTTGCCAGCCAGGACATTCTCGCTCGAGCCAGGAGCCAGGTACCTGAACGACAGGTGCTCCAAGTTTGTTGCCATTGAACGCAGCTCCACAAGGAAATTGAGAGTTCGCGGTTGCAGAAAGTAGCTCCTCGACTGTTGCCTCGATGAAGGATGGCGTATTTTCCACAATGAAACCGTTCACCACGCTTAGAGACTGGTTCACAGCAAGAAGGCAACAATGGGTGAAATCTTGTCCTCCCAAAAATGGATTGCGGCCCTGGAGAATGATGTCAGTGATGAGTGCAGAAGTCACGACAACAGGAACGCAATAATCCAAGGTACGGATAGACAATAAAGTATACTTACTGTGCTCTGTGTGAGGTTGCTGAGCCGGGGGAATGCCCGCGTCAAGGATGTGTAATTTCCTTGCTGCATTGTTGAATACAGATGAGGACTTTGTTCATGTTGGAATGTTGAGGTTGTGTGGAAAGAGGTTCTTCCGGCTTCAACGATGGAAATTGGAAGGAACGATTGAAAGGGCGAAAGCCTTCCTTTCATAATAATTATTACATATTGTTCCTCAACTGAGCTCATTTGGAACGTGATAGGGTTGTTTTCATCGCTTACATGAGTATCTGATGATATATCTCCAAGAGGGTTTCTGCAGCGGTGATTTCGCAGCGCGAATGTTGGTTACCTAGCAATCTGCTTCATTCCAACCTTGAATGTCTCGTAATATTTGTCCTGGCGATTCAGGTCGACAACAGGTTGTAGTATTGTTGAAAAGATGGAATAAGGCCAGGCAATACCCGGCACGGAGTTTCCGTTGTTTGATACGCAGCCCTTGAGGGAAAAAAACCTCCACGGTCTTCAGATACCACGGGGTTTTGACATCAGGCATGATCCACCAAGTATTCTTTCTCCGCGAGTTGAGATTCAATGACCAGTTGAAGCCCCTAAATAAGTTTGCTGTGCACTGAGAGAAGACCATCGAGGGATTAGCAAAGAAAGCCACATGCTGTAAACATTAAGTATAAGAAAATATAAATGCTCTGGAGTTTGGGCGACAATATGAGTGGGCTAAGTCTTGACGTTGAGCTAGTATTTGAAGGACAAGATAGCATAAGAATAAAATGAACTGTCTTTTATCTCGTCTCTCGAAGACTGTACCTTTACCGCTTATATTGTCATGCAAGCTCTAGAACAATATTATCTTATACTCCGATTTTTATAGTATATTTGACCGCGTTTAAGCACGTCCCCAGCAGCATAGAACCTTGAGCCATGGCTGAAAGAAACGAAGCAGCATCTGAGAGAACTTCTCAAGATTCGAATAGAAAAGAAGCAGAAGCTTGCCCAAATGCACGATTCAGTATCATCGAAGCTCAAATACGCATTGGCACTGGCCGTTCAGAAATCCGAAGAAATCAATCAGAAAGAGAAACAATGCAAACCGCGAAGATCTGACGAAGTAGGGAAACAGCCTTCAGAAACCCGAAGTAAAGGCTTCGGATTCCAAACACCTTCCTTCCCATGACGCTTCAAACCCGCAAATACGACGAAACGCCAAACAACAGATGACATGTCTCACCTTAACCCCTCAACCTTACCTCTCATTTGAAATCCTCTCTCACATCGAGATAAAGTTTCGCTTCTATACTTTTACTCATCATGCAAAATCTTCACGTTTGATTTTCCATCGTTTGGCCGCACCTTATCCTCTTCCACCTAATGAAAACTAGGCGACCTTATCTGAAAGATCTTATAGCTATCAGAACTTCAATATCATATCGCTTGATGATATGCCAGCCAAGAGATGTTTCTCTCAGATAGTGTTCCAGCCTGATGAAAGCGCTCGAATTGTTCGAGGCTGGAGGGAGAAAGATTTGTATAAAAACTTTTCTCAATCACTTGAAAGAACCATCTTCTCAACCCATCATCAATAATTCAGTTTTCAGCAGGTCTGGACGCCATCATCTCATTCCATCTCTCACACAACCCAGCCAGCCAGCCAGCCAACCAATAAACCAAAATGCACTTCCCGAGAACAACCACAATCCTCGCCATCGCGGCCCTCTTCACAAGCGCGCTCGCATCTCCAGCGAAAGGCGATAAAGCCGCACTGCAAGCCGAGTCAGGAAAAGCAGTTGATCCGAACTTGCCCAATGGATCGGTTATCATCAGTAATGGGGCCGGGAGTTGTGTTGCTGTCAGTGGGAGGGCAGTTTGCAGTGATAGCAGCGGGGCGACCTTTACCTAGACAGTCGAGGTTGTCAAGAAGCAAGATTGAAATGGAAAGGGGGCTTGTATAGCAAACATAAGAATTCGATGCTAGAAAGACCATATTGTATCTACACGGGTGCACAATCAGCCCATAACGTCCTTCGTCACACCATATTGACTTTCACATCTCGCCATTTTCCCCACCATGTCGTGTCATACCAGCGTCATTTTTCTTTGACTGCTCCCAATACCCCTCAAAGCACTGCTCGCCACATGCCACAAGCTTCTTAAAAAGCCATCTCCTTCTTGATCTCAGCGATTGCCAAGCCAGGGTTCAAACCTTTCGGGCATGTTCTCGAGCAGTTGAGAATGGTATGGCATCGGTACAAGCTCATGCTGTTGTCCAATTGAGACTTTCTCTCCTCGTTCTTGGTATCTCGTGAATCTGCCAACCATCTGTAGCTCTGCATCAGGACTGCGGGACCAAGGTACTCTTCGCTGTTCCACCAGTATGAGGGGCAAGATGTTGAGCAGCATGCGCAGAGAATACATTCGTAGAGACCGTCCAGCTTCTTACGCTCCTCCTTGCTCTGGAGATATTCCTTGCCGTTTGGTGGAGGAGTGGAGTTTTGCAGATATGGCTTGATGGACTTGTATTGCTTGTAAAATTGAGTAAGATCAGGTACGATGTCCTTCACGACGTAGGTGTGTGGGAGAGGGTAGATCTTCGATTCTTGCTTGGTGTCGGTAGGGATGCGGCCTTTGACGATTGTTAGCACATGTTCACAATTTTACAGCTTCAGCTCTACTGTTTCAACAGTGAATGAGGTTAGACATACACAAGCAGGCCAGTGTGTTAACACCATCGATGTTCATAGCACAGCTTCCGCAGATACCTTCACGGCAACTCCGCCTGAATGTCAAGGTGGGATCAACCTCGTTCTTGATTCTGATCAAAGCGTCCAACATCATGGGTCCAGTCTTATTCAGATCCAAGGTATAGCTCTGCATGCGAGGCTTCGAGGTTGGCTCGTCTGGGTTCCATCTGTAGATGTGGAAGGTCTTGATTTTTGCCTCCGGATCGTGGGTGGGTTCTTTGATCGTAGAGGTCTTGGAAGGTGGGACAGCTCCGCCCTTTGCAGTGTCGGATACAGATGCGAAGCTGCGAATTGATTGTCTGAATGCTGGGCGAGCCGCCGTGAAGAGGCGTGAGGTTGCTCTGAGACTTGCCATCGTGGTTGAGTGGAGTGGTGTCGATTGTCTGATCTGAGGCTGTTTGAATTGATCTCAACAACCTGGGCTTTCGGATGTCGAGCCTTCTATTAGAGGTAGATTGGTCTCTTCAATTGTCTGTGAGGCGAATGTCAGACGTTGCCGGCGTCAATTAAGAAGACTCCTCGTGAGTGTAGACGTCGTCGAAGGTAATTGTTTGACCTCGGATATTATTCCCGCGTACTTTATGAAATCAATCGTCTCTAATTGGTTCCCGCACTCACTTGCACTAAATCGACTGGGAGAATTCGGAACAGTTTGCAGCCTTAGCTCTTAGGTATCAACATTCAACGCCTCACCCGACATCCCAAATCATTCAATGCTTCATTTCGAAAGAGTTATTGAGTAACGTGCATATATGGGCTTCGTGAGTAGAACTCTCTGTTTCTATAACCGATCACACCATTTCGTCGGCAGTTATTGATCGGCATACACAAAACCCACGATGGTTGAAACCATCCAAAGCCAAGAGATGAATCTGCTAGTCCCCTTCTGAATTGTCCTCGTTTCTTCCACAAGATTTTGCATGGTACAGTTCCTCTAAAATAGAATTCTTGCATTGCTCTATTACTGTATACCGCGGGTGCCTTTGGAGTATGCCGATCATGGTCGAGTTTAGAGCGCAAATCAAGTTTTCGCCTATCTTGATGTTCGCTCAGTCTTCCCAAGTGACAAGACTGAACTCTGCATGGAGTCTGAATCGTTCGAGACTCTCTGTTCTACTACCGGTAGCCAAACCTTCCCAATACCAGTTCAATGTTTTTACCAGTACAGTGGTAAAGTATCTGCACCAGCTGGGAAAGATGCCCGTAGGAACAGTAGTGTGTATCTTGCGACGGCAAGATATCAACCGTTTCTTGATAAGCTGCCCGTACCTTGCCATAGCACGAACTGTTCAATTATAGCTTTTTCTTTCTCATTGGTTGCAGCAGAGTAGAGTCAAGTGTAGACCAGGTCCACCTTTTGATATGGTACCCCATTTTCGGAGATTCCCCGCACAAGGGTTCTGAGGCCTCTTTCCTTATCTTGGATTTAACGAACACGGACTCGTTTGTCACTATAAATGTAGGGATGCTCTTCATTAATTGCAAATGTTTGGTTGACTTCGTTCTTCTGCCACTGTGTTCCGAACCTTCAGCTTTCTTCGGCTATTGAAAGGCATTCATCCATCACCATGGCTGTTCTCAACAAAAGTCTGGTTCCAAGGAACAGCAAAGCGGTTTGCTTGTTACTCACCGCGGCGTCTGGCTTTATGGCTACTGTATGTGTTCGGACTCCCTATGTTGGGAGGGAAAACTGACAAGTATTGCAGACAATTGGATATGATGGTTCTATGATGTGGGTTCTTCTCGTTGCACGGAGCTTCCCTAGCTGACAAGATCATAGGAATGGTCTTAATATTCTTCCCTCCTATACAGATTATTTCAGTTTGACTACTACGACTCTCGCCTTGAACACTTCTGCAGTTTGGCTTGGAGGTTGCATTGGTGGGCTTTTCTATGGATATGTTGTTGATGCAATTGGGAGGAAGAACGGGATGTTCTTGGCGGCAGCATTTACTACCTTTTCCGCAATCTTGCAAGCTGCGTCTCAAAACATTGCCATGTTCGTCATCGCACGTATCTTTATTGGATTCGGTACCAGTGCTTCAGGTGTTGCTGGTTAGTGACTCACTTTGCTATACGATTTTTGACTAACATACCTAGGCTCTACCTACCTTGCAGAAACTTTACCTCACAATTGGCGAGCTTGGGGTTTGGGAATCTACTACGATTTCTGGTACATTGGTCAGAAGTTCTTCTACTTTTGATTTTCTCTTGCTAACGATCCCAGGTGGACTACTCTCCGCTGGAATCACCTACGGAACAGCTCAGATGGAGAGCACATGGGCTTGGCGATTGCCATCCGCTATGCAAGGCTTCTTTAGCATCCTCTGTATCTTGATTTTGCCATTCATTCCAGAATCACCCCGTTGGCTCATCCACAGAGACCGCCATGAGGAGGCTATCGAAGCTATCTCCCTTGCATATTCTGATGGCGACCATGAAGACCCGATTGTTCTCGCCCAGTACAAAGAGATCGTCGATACCCTCAAATTCGAAGTAGAGAGTGGCGAAACCTTGTCCATGGTGCAAATGATGAAGTCAAAGGGAGCCCGGAAGAGGACATTGCTTAATGTTTCCGTTGCTGTTATCAGTATGCTGAGTGGAAATAACATCATCAGTTACTACCTTGGAACGATGCTGGACAATGCCGGTATTACTGACAGCACGACCCAGCTCCAGATTGTAAGCCAAACCAAGATCTCAGATTCCTCGGCAATTGACTGTGCTAGAACATTATCCTCAACGCTTGGTGTCTCGTCATTTGCCTTTCCGGCACGTACCTCCTTGAGCGTGTTGGCCGAAAGCCACTTGCAGTAGTCAGCACAGCTCTACTGATCCTATTCATATTCATTATTGGCGGCCTGACAGCTGGTAAGTCTCGACAGCTCTCTTCATTGAATTGCATCCCAACTAACACTATTTTAGCTTACGGAACCTCTACCAATACTGCTGGAATCTATGGCACAGTCGCGGCCATCTTCTTGTTCCAGGGTTCCTACTCTATCGCTTGGACACCTTTGACCATGACATATCCTGCCGAAGTCCTGAACTTTAGCATTCGAGCCAACGGCATGGCAGTCAATACGTTCTTCGCGAACGGCATTGGGTATGTACCCTTGATTTCGATACCAAATATAACATTTACTGAGCTTGACGTAGTTTATTGGTGACTTTTGCATTCCCCTATGCCTTGACGGCCATTGGCTGGAAGACATACATGATTAACGGAGCTTGGGACATTCTTGAACTTGCGTTCGTCATATTTTTCTGGGTTGAAACAAAGGGAAAGACCCTTGAGGAGATTGATGAGGTAAGTCTACAAGATTAGTTTATGTTATTCACAGTCACTGACAAGCGACAGCTTTTCGACGGCGTCAAGCATAGCGATGTCCCTGACCTGGAAGCTATCATGAATGGAAAGGCTGATTTAAGCAATCTGATTGTCGAAGGCGAGGGGTTCGACGCTGAGCCAACACAGATTTCGGTGGAGCCCAGCAAGAAGGCTGATTGAATGAAATAATTGGGGTGCCCGAAACATCGAAAAGCTGCCAGACTAGAACGAACTTGAGTTTGGCACTAGGCCGAAGTCGCAATAGAAAAATAAATCGAGGCTTCAAATGCTGTTATTATGGCTGCTCGTTTAATCTCGGATTTATGCGCGTTGTTTGACGGATTTGTCGGCTAGATACGAACAACTGTTCGTCTCCTTGTGAGACACATTTAAGCTTTCCGCCTGACAATTTTCGGCAGAAGAAGAAACGATAGAGCCATATCCAACACACATCATGTAGATAAGCCGCCGACAAGAGAGACCCGGCAGAGTGGACGAAGGAATCCTGGCGGGCCGCATTAAGCGACTCAGACTCAGGGGGCGGAGATAAGACTAATGCTCGGCAGTCTGGAGAACCATCTTTGTCTCCACTTGATCCAGACCTTCGGCATTCTTATCAGGGCTCAACCTCGAGCATCAGCTCGCCCCGCGGCAAGAGAGATGGGATGACCATCAAGAGTGGGTTAAGAGTGGGATCATGGTTGAGGAGCGGACATCAGCGCACCCCGGCATGTACCCCTCATTTTCCTTACTCGTAACTTTGTACAGTAAATATATCAATTTACTGTGTCTTCATATTCTCTCTTGTTGTTTGCTTACAGTACAAGTTCCCAACCTTCACTGTTCAAGAATGCCTGGTACTCTTAAAGTTTGGCCAGACTGGCCCGAGTTCACATCCTCCAAAGGAGAAGCAGACCCAACTGGTTCTCTGTTGAAGTACAAGCAAGAGATCGTCTCGATTAACGGTCAGGAGAACATTCAAAAATCATGGCTGAAAGTCTGCAAAGAGCTGGAAACTCTCACAGATGAGATAGCCGAAAAGGGAACGAACATCATCCCAGAAGTCAAGTATGAGGATATGCTCAACTTAAGCGAGGAGAAGAAAGAGGAATTAAAAAAGCGAGGCTGCTTTGTCGTTAGAGGAGTGGTATCTGAGGAGCAAGCCAACACTTGGTTCAAGGACCTCAAGCAATTCTACCTGGACAACAAGTCAGATATTTCCGGTAAATGCTACTTAGCCTTTTCATTTCTTACACATCCCTAACATTGTCTAGGCTGGCCAGAAGAAACTCCATTCGTTCTGCGTCTCTACTGGTCTCCGACCCAGCTCGCAGCGCGTAGTCACCCCCGCCACCTCCGTCTCCAACGCATCCTCAACGAGTTCTGGCATGACTCTCCAACCTCACCAACTACATCTCCCGATCCACTTTCATACGCAGATGCCGTCAGAATTCGTCCACCAAAGATCCCTTTTCCAGGTCTTGGACCACACATCGATGCAGGATCACTATGCCGCTGGGTAGATCCTGCCTATCGATCCGTGTACGACAAAGTCTTCGCTGGCTCTCCAGAAGAGCTCGATCTATATGATCTTGAAAAGCGGAAAGACGCTAAGCAATCCATGGACGGTGGCTACCACTCTACTGTTCTTCGAGCATACCAAGGATGGACTGCCCTCACAGCAGCAGGAAAACAAGAAGGAAGCCTGCTGCTATACCCAGATGTCAAGACCACGATAGCTTACGTTCTCCTTCGACCTTTCTTCTCGCCCCCAGAATCTGACAAGGAGGAGGATATCATGGACGCCAGCAAATGGAAATTCGATATCTCATCAGGCTGGTTCCCAGGTACATTCCGAAATGAGTCCCAGCGTGCAGCACCGGGTTCACACCCACATCTTCGGGTTCGGGAATGCATGGTCAATATTCCTCGCATGGAGCCAGGAGATACTGTATGGTGGCATTGCGATATGTTGCACGCAGTTGAGGTCGAGCATCTGGGCGAGAACGACGCTTCAGTGGTCTATGTTGCTGCGACTCCAACTACTGAGATAAATAAGGCTTATATGCGAGAACAAGTCAAAGCTTTCTTGGATGGCGGAAAGGCACCTGCTGATTTTGGAGGAGATTATTCTGTTGACAGAAATGAGTCGGAGTTCAAAGGATGGGTAGGCGAGGCGGGGATCTTGAGTGGAGAGGAGGGAAGACGAGCTGCTGGGTTGGTGGCATTGTGATATTGTGAGATTATATTAAATGTAAAGAGACTTGGTTCCATCTTGACGATTCCATCTGCTTGAACAAGTCCTCATTAATTGGTGTTTGAATGCAGCTTGAAGACGTACCATGACGCGTTCGTGGGATTGGACTCGAACAATCGGGCACTTTATCCTGCAGTGGCTTTTGGCAAAATAGAGGGGAGACCCACAGTGACGGTTTGTTTAATTAGAGAGAAATAAGTCCCTGGAATGTACTGCTCGCAAAATGATCCCTCAAACAGAGAATAGCAACAGCTTTCATTAGTCTGATCTTTTAGCTCACAGAACAGCTTCTGAACAATAAATTCCCCCGAATCTGCAAACTTGAAGATAATTCGAAGAAGCAAGCTTCATGATTTCAATGACCCATATGAACAAGTAGAAAAGAATATATACAAAGCATCAAGCCACACGGGAACGAAAATTCCCCGTATCATACCTGCGCTTCCGTTCGTCCATCGCTTAGATCATTCATTTCTCATCCTCCTCTCATTCTCTTTTCAAGCTCATAGCCTCTTTAACTAAGGCACTGAGAATAGTAGGAGTTCGCTGCTGTGCATGATCCAGACGCGCAGCAGGTGGCACCAGTGAAGCCAGTTCCTCCGCATTGACCGTAGAGCGCTGCGCAAGCACCAGTAGATCCAGTTCCAGTTCCCGTGCCGGTACCAGTGCCGGTCCCACTTCCAGTGCCTGTGCCCGTTGTTCCTGTAGAGCCTGAGCCTCCCTTGGTGACAGTCTGTGTCGCAGATCCGGCACCACCCCAGCTCTCCACAGAGATTGTCTGGTAGTTCAAGGAACCCAGAGACATTCCATACGAAGCCCACTGCTTGAAGTGGTTCTCGACGGTGACGGTACCGCTGCTTCTCCCAGAAGTACGGATAGAAAGGTATTGGTTGAAAGTAGACGACGATCCTTGGATGGATGGCTGGTTGACTTGTTGATGTTCCCAGACTGTATAGGTTCCTCCATCACTTGTGAACGTTCCCTTTATAGTGCCTTGTTGAGGTGGGTTGCTCGCGTCCTCCATGATGTAGCTTTTGAAAACGTCAGTGTGTGACTTGCAACCATGTTCGAAAGTGTCGACTTACTATTCAACAAGGGGGTTGGTACTCCAGCCATAGACGGAAAGCAAACCAACTCCGCTAGTGACTTTGAAAGTACCATCGAAGTTGATTGGACTAGATTTGTGAGTAAAATGGATTGAGTCGATAATTTATTGAAACCTACGTAGTATCTCCCGTTTGCCATCCGCGTCCGACCACGAAATCGGAGTTCGTGTTGAAAGTAACAGAGAATGAGTTGCCATTGGGCGTGAATTGAACGTTTGCGCCAGATGCTGACTTGAAGTCAGTATACGAGAGAAGATATCTGCTCTCTAGAACCCACCTATATAATCCTGGCTGTAGTTTGGGGATTCAGTAGCTTGCCTCTTGAGGCTTCGGACATCACTGCGAGGCCCAGCTATGTAGAAGTCTGGGGCGCGACGTTCGACGAGTGTAGCATTATTCTGGAGCTCGGCTAGATCAATAGGGGAAGCGAAGGAGCCAGCAATCGTCAGGAATGCAACAAAAAGCTTAGAAAACACAGCCATGATGATGTTGATTATGAGATAAGGCAATTGAGGGAGTTTCCTTGGCATCTTGAAACATACTCCATAGCTTTATATATAAGTAAACATGTAAGGATGGTGACCCTTGTTCACAGTCCTGGCGACTAACAAAATTAAAGGGGAATCACGTGAAATCACCGGGTATTTCCAGTCGCCCGGGTGTCTGACCATCATTTTAGGCTATGTGTTTCTGCGAGTTCTGCTAGAGCCCCAACCCCACAAACGTGGCGTTTCGCGGAGAAGGTCATTTATCTTCGGAACTCGTGCCGCCAATCTTCGGAGGCAGGTAATTCCTAGTCACTCCGTTTGACCAGGACGAGAGAAGGCTAATATAAAATGCTTGTTTAGCGCCACTGAGACCAAGCAAGAACTCTAAATGCAACCTCCACATGTAACCTGCAAAGGAACTTCCGCGAAGATCTTGTTCCTATAATGTGATGACGAGTCTTTTGGGCTCATCGGTTCTCAGCTGACAGCAAGTAGCCGGCTATTATGTTTTGGAGCAACAGACCCACACACGCTCTGCGGGATTATATATGTAAAGCTGCGAAGTGAGATCTGATCTCGGGTCCACTAGTATACGGGGCCGTAGTTCCGCACAAATATTCCTCTCCGTCTAAAGGAGGTCGAAAAAGATTACTAGGCCACAAGATAGGGTAAAGCAGAAGGTTGAAACGTGATAGCAAGTTGAACTTTTCCAATATCCATACAACTCGAGTAAAGACTGGAAAAGTATTCGATATACCATATTGTGAACGATGTTAATCATAAATAAAATAAAGCGAACAGCCTCACTACGAAGAGGACATCAAAATGAACTCGATGCATGGTGAATTTGTGGCAACATGGCGCTCATGCTTCGTCATTTGACTCTGATAGGTCCGAGATTTCGACTAAGCTTGAAGGATCTCTGCTAGCTCTGTCAGAGCCACTATTGGCTTTCCTCCTTAACCCCATTCGCACACCAACCACTAGACGCCGCTCCTCCATTCCTCCATTCCTCTATTTTTGGGCAAGACCTGGAGGAATGGATGTACGTCGGTGATTCCAACATTATCAAAAGGAGACTCATTCACGATGAATCAAGTATAGTCCATTCCACCTGGGGAAACGGCTAATCTCTTCCCTGGAGACTCAAGATCGCAAGGCGGGATACTACCGGAAAGCCCTTTAGATGCGCCGCAGAGCCCCTTTCCATGGCTAAAGAGAAGAAGCACATGTCCTGCCTGCAAGGTCAAGGACTGTCAGGTAGAAGTGGTTGCATTGTTGTCAAACAAGTGGTAGAACACCCAATTTTCAGACAGCAGTTCAACATTCTGGCCTTCCTGTGAAAACCTGACAACTTCCATGGCGATGTCGTCTTAGGCAATCCCCAGCTACACGAAATCCTTTCTCAAACACTTGAATTTAAGCGACTACTCGCAGGAACAACACAAAGAAGTAGAAACTCTGCTACGCAAGTCCATTGTTTCCAAAGATGTTGATTGAGTCCGCCATCATCTCTGCGACCGAAACATGGCTTTCGCTCTTCTTAAGTGATCTCAAGTGAAAGAAGCCCACCATATTCTCAAATTGAGGAGAACGCCAGACTGGTCCACCAACGAGAAAACCGAAAGGTAGAGACCGGGAAGGTTGAGTAAACGCAACAAACGGTATTCTCTGAACTGCTCATAGAACTCGAAGCATTTGAAGTCAGCACTGGCCGCTATTCTCTCCAGGCATCTAGCACGTTCAAAGAAGTGGAGGCAAAACCCTTAAAACCCTTCTTCAAAAGACGAAAACAGCCGATAAAAGTTTCGAGCAGAACATTTTCTGTTCTGATTGGGATACTTGCTGCGTGTAGTCAAGCAGTATATACCTTTCCGGAGAGCTTGAAGTACACGGTCTCGGTGCTCCTCTAGTTCTGCTGCCACCAAGTCTGCCGAGGCACTTGTTCACATCGACAGCGGCTACAGTAAGGCACGCTTGATTGATCTTGCGTCGGAATCTAAGCCTTCTATCTACCATGCCTTTCTCCGTCCTTCTTCTGTCGTCCTATGTACAACATGGTTCTATAAGACTAGTACAAGCCGTAGCGCATCATCAATCATCGCACTTCCATATCAAGAAACATGACTGTGGTACTTAGGCATCTCATCCCCAATTCATCAGAACTTGCTTCTTTCCTTTATTTCCCTTCTTCTTGCCTTTTCCATTTGCATCATCCGTCTCGGCGAGAGCATCGGTATTCGAGCCACCACCGTTGCTTGCCGACGGCGGACCCCAAGGATTGGAGGTAGTAACTGGACTACTGCCCATATCTCTTCTGACCATCCGACCATTACCATACCCAAAGATAGTGCTTTGGGGCTTGGCAGCTGGAGGTAAAGCAGGGAAGGCATCGCCACCAACATTCCTTGAGGCTGGTCGTGAAGTGGGAGGTGTGGGTCGAGCAGATCCTGGATTTGAGCTCGAAGCTGCTGAAGATGCAGCCCATGAGACTGTGCTGACCTTTGTGGAGCTGGCATTCTGTCGAGTGGCTGGTGGTAAGGTAGGAAACGCGTTCACAACGCTCGAAGTCGACGGTGATGAAGCGGTGGAAGAAGTACCCCAAGAACGAGATTGAGAGACGGAAGAGCGTTTCGATGCCGCCGTACTTTCCTTTAGCTTCAACAACTTTTTGCTCTTGGCGCCACTCCCATTGCTAGCAGCTGACGGACCTGCTGATGAGCTTACAGCCCAGGTCAAGGGTATCGAGCTTCCACTACTTCCACTGGCAGCTGGCAGTGAAGGGTAGTCTTCATTGATAGCTCGCCAGTTGTTCCACGCAGATTTTAGCGCATCTGCTTTCGACTTGTCTTCATATAGGTCTGCAACTTCTCGAATCAAAGTGCCAAGGGGTCCAGGAGTGGTATCTGTGAAGAGGGCAAAGAATGACTCAATAAGACCTGTAGCGGAAAATGCACCGTTCTTGTATGAAGAGATTGAGTCCCGGAATTGTTGGACCTTGGTAGAGTCGTTCTGAAGAAGCCTGCTAGCACGCTCGATTACTTCGCGGTGCCGTAATTGACGAGCCTGTTCTTGCTGCGACAGCTCTGGGGGTTCCGAGGTGTTCACAGCTTGAGTTGCGCCTGAGACGGGAGTATTTGGTGGTGCCCGGACTCGTGACTGAGGTAGTCCTTGGGGAGGGGTTGGAGCGGTTAGCTGTCCGCCGAATGTGCGAGAGTGTGCGGCTTGAGCGGTGCGTATCTCCATCTGACGTTGGAAGGCTTGTTCATCTCTTCGAAGTGGCTGAGCACTTGAAGCCGGAATTGGCTCAGCATTCGGATCTCGTCCACGGCCACGACCCTGATCTTCTCGTTGCTCTCTCTGGCTTCTACCTCCTCTCTGCTCTTGCACGTATGGTTGACGATACTCGAAAGTTGATATGTCCACTATCCTTGCATCTCTGCGAACATCCTTCGATAGATCATTGGCATGCTCACTCAACTGATGTGCTTTGAGATCAATCTCACTGGTGAAAGCAATGAACTTCTTTTCCAAGCAGCTGGGATGTGAGCAAACATAGTGGTCAGCCTTGAAGTGATTGTACAAAGCTTCGTAGTTCAAGAAGTATTGTGGTGGTCGTCCGTCACCTAGCGAATCGCAAAGTTGGCACCTCTCATGCTTCTCCCGACAATGGACAAACAGCTCATCATCTCCATAGAATCTTTGGTTGCAGAAAGAACATATAGGATGACCTTTGAAACCGGTTTGGTCCACAGCTCCAGGATTGTCGTCTCCCTTTCTCATGTGTTTCGTCAACTCGGCGTCTGTGAACAGATCATGCTCGTGAGTAAAGACTTTCTTATGCCTTGAGCATAGATCACAGATCTTCTTGTGATGTACACTCCTGACATGTCGATGTAGATCCGGCCATCCTAGACATGCAACATCGCAGTCTCCATCCGGGCAATTGTACCTGAGTAATAGCCGAGTGTCGTCCTGAATATCATTGCTCTCGTATCTGATCCCAATATTCTGGTCCACGCTTGCAATATCCGCATCGGTAAACTCCTCATATCGCTTTTCTGCATTATCTGTAAAGATCACAAAAGTTCCTTCTGTCTGCACAACCATGTTAGCAACTATGATCAGAAGAGACCACGCGTTCTGGGAGATATTTAAAGCATCCCAGGAATGTAAACAATTAGCAACATACCCGACAGTGAACACAATTCTTGTCTTTATATAATGCCCTCATCCGCAACGAACAAATATGGCACGTCCGGTGGTTGCATGGATAGATCGCCTCGTGCATCACCGGACTTGCGCAAATGAAGCAAACTTCCGCCTCACTCTCATCAGCTCCCTCTGCTATCGTCTTGCCAGCTTTGCTCTCTCCAGATCCTGGCCCTAGAGCTGGTGCTGTACCCGCATTTCCGGGCACGGCCTGCGGGCGAGCTCCATGTGGGTTTGCAGCTCCTCGAAATCCACCTCCTCGTCCTCGATGAGATTGTCGATTATTGTACCCTCCATTCTCATTATGAGCACCGTCGCCTCTGCCACGACCACGCCCGCCCCGTCCTCTACCTCTCCCACCTCCTCTTCCACCTCTAGCTGGCGGATCTCCGTTTCCAGTCGCAGACGCATCAACACTGCCCGCTTCAGTAGCCATTTCTCGCTCCGCTTCCGCTTGCCCCTGAAGGTCGTGTCAATCCCTAGTGGGAGTCAATGTTCCACCTCTGACGGGCGACTATTGTATCTTCAATGTCGTGAATTCGTGATAATTGTCGTTGGTGTCTCTGAACTATGTACAATGAAAGAGAGCTTGTTTGTTTGGTTTTACAGAGACGAAAAGTACGCTACGTTGAACTGCAACCTTCGAAGCGAGAATCTGCCGCCCCGCGCGAGGCTGACAATTCAACGACGGAACCGGGCTGTGGCGGCAAGGAGTCACTCGAGGCTGACAAAAGTGGTTCTGGAATCTGGGAGTCATGAAGACTCATGTTTTGATCCTTCGAATACTTGCTTTTTGATGACTTACTTTGCTTCTGGATACTAGTACTGCAGAAGGACATTGACATCGAGGTAGGATCTTGCGAGTCATAATGCATAAAGTATCTAGAGAAATAGCTGGAAAAGCCATGCAGAATCTGATGTTACATTTGAAGAAGGATCATTATCTTCATATCTCGTCCCACTCCGAATCCAAGGGTACCGCCCATATGATACGTGCAGCTTGATGCAAATGATCCAAGCTGTCAATGCCACGCTAGCTCATCGATCGTAAAATCAGCACCAACAAGCATTATCATTAACGCCATGCCATGAATACCGCCATCCATTGCAATATATTTTCCCCACCTCCCATATGATTTGCGCCGTCGTGACCAATAGCTGATTCTGAGCGTGCGCAGTGTCTACTCTTCAACGTCGTAAAGTTGTTTGCCAAGTATCTTGTTCATAGTGAACATATGAACTTTGTCTTGCTTGAAAACCAACTGCAGTCTCTCGTCGCAGAGAATCTGGCGCCTGTCCTTTGGATCTTGAAGATCTCGCTCTTTGATGTATGCCCATATCTTCTTAACGACTTGAGGTCTCGAAAGCTGTACTCTGTTAGTAATCTGCACGTTTTAACAAATTGTAGACCATGAAGTACCGTAGCTTCCCCAACCAGATCTGCGAGTGGAGCAGAGAGATGATACTGCTTGTGAAAGCCACCTTTCTTAACCTTCTCCTTTACCTCTCCATCACTGCCTATCTCCTCCAACTCACTGTCATCATCCGCCTTAACCTTCTTCTCACTCTTCTTCCTTGGCTTCTTGGTAACCTTCTTTGGAGTTTTCTTATTAGCGCCACCTCTTGTAGCTCTTGCAGTCCTATTCTCTTGCGCCTGCAGCATCGCCGCTAGCTTCGCATCATCGTCAACGGGCTTGTTTGCCTTCCGCTTCTTCTTTGGGGAAGCGGCCTCCTCTTCGGAATCGGAGTCGGGCTCTGTCTTGGTGATAGAGGCAGATGGTGTAGAGACATCGCGGGAGCTAGGAGGCGTGCTTTCATGCTTCACATTGATATCTTCCCTTTCCAAAGGACTAGTATGGCCATTCGTTGTAGAGGCTTCGGTTGATGGCGCAGGTTTGACCGCCTTGGTTTCAGCTATCTGAAAGCGTTCGAGAATCAAGCTTTTGACAGCTTCCTAGATGAAGAAGTTAGCTATTTGGCACAGGGTGAATTTCTGAGAGGGGAGGAGGCGCACTGACTTTCTGGTGTGATAAGTCCTTGCCAAGAGTAGTTGCCAATTCTGCCATTATCTTCTTACGGGAAATAGTGGTGAGGTCGGCCTTATTGAGGATGTTGTCAATAATAGCAGAGTATTGAGCTCGCTCTGCTGGTAGTACTAAGTGACGACAGATTAGCAGAATGACCATGGGCCAGCTGGACTTTGCAAGAAGGTCTTACAAGACATGCTGGGCGAATCAAGGGTGTGGTTCGCTGCGCTGCGCTGAGCTTTGGCGTTGGTATTGGCAGATAGGTAGATGGGGTAGAACTGAGAGGATATTTGTACAGGGTTCTGGGTTCCTAAGCTGTGCCTCTGAAGTAAGACCGTGTTGCAGAGTGAATGTTCCTTATTGTTAGATGCTTTCGCAGCTTTCTGAGCGAGCGCGTGGTTTGCAGGGAGAACAAAGCAAAAGAGTGACAAGTATGTGATGTTGTTCGTGATAGTTCTGAAAGAATACCGTCTGGCAATAGCCTCAATGGCGGGGTGTTGATGGGTGGCTGGCAGTGGTGGAGGAGCTTAGCTTTCAAAGGCGAAAAACAAAAGCTTTGTGGGACGTCTGCAGTGAAACAGTTCGTTGTAGAGCCAATAGCAAAGCCAGGCGGTATTCCTCCTCTGCCTGAGAGGTAATTGACCGATAGTCCTGTGGGCGCTGGTACTTTCAACTTGCTGACGGGGTTGTGGAATTGTCAATTTGCAGGGTAAAGGTGAGGGTGCAGGTATAGTGGTAGTTGCGCTATTGGTACCCAGTGAAGCTTAAGGTAGGACGATGCAATTATTGAAGCTTGAAGCACGAAAAATTTGTTGCGAAATCTGATATCAACAATCGAAAGATGTAACAATCCGGGGAAGCAAGCTCCGTCGAGCATGTTCTCATGATGTGGCTGAAATCACATCAAGCCACAAAACGTCGATCCAAAGTTAGTTTAGCCGCTACCCACGATCTAGATCCCGAGGTTGACAGCAGGTGAAATGCAAGCAGCCGTTATTCCTTTCCTTTATATCCTTGAAATTATTGTATCACAACCGACACGGGTTTCAGCCATGTTTTTTTTTTTGAAGCATCACGACACAATTACAAGGAATTAGAAAAGGTGAGAAAAATATCGCTGTGAATAACTCCGCTGAGTCACAGAAAGACTGCATATAGTACAGAGCCATGCCATTTTCCCTTCCATGCCAACCTTGAACCCTTTTTGATACTCCAAAATCTGTCCCAACTTACAAACCAGCGGGCTGGTAGTACTCCCTGAACCGATCAGATTCATCCCACTCAACCTCATATACAACGTTCCAACAACTAATGAGTAGACTGGGGAATTTTCTCGTCCAGAAACTCAAATACCCATCCGGTAGTGCTCCAACATGGCTCTTGAGTTTGTCACTCATATCCTCGTAGTGATTCTTCTTGTTCCTCAAAGCTCTAAGTAGGTCGAGCAGTCTAGTCCCTGTGTATTTACGTTGCTTGCCCAAAGACTCAACGAATTCTTTCCCTAGTGGTTTCAGGAAATCACTGCCACAAATTGAAGGAGCATATGACTCGAGTGTCTCGAGAGCTTGTGTTGGAGGATCCCGCTTCTCTTTCTCGAAATGATCTGACACATCGCAGAGAAAATTGAGACGTTTCTTCGGTGACCAGAAGAATGGGTGGGCCATAACTTGAAGCGCCGTGGGACGTTGTTTCGGCTCATGAGAAAGCATAGATGCAATGAGATCTCTGGCCTCGAAGGCGTAGTCTCCCAGCACATCTAGTTTATCAAGATTGTACTTGTCGGCTCGGATGTTCACCTCGCGCATGTATTTGTCTCCACAATCGAATGGATGAGATCCTTTGGTCAGAACGTAAAAGAAGACCAGACCGAGAGAGAATATGTCGATAGCACGTGTTGCGCGGCGATTGGGTAACAAATCAGGATTCAGGGCAATTGAACCTGAATTGCCGTCTGTACTAGCATCCACCATTGTCTTATGAGCTTCGTTGTCCTTGGCATCGTCGTCAAGAAGAAGTTCTGGAGCCCGCCAACCAGAAGTTCCAGCAGCGTGAGCTGTTGTTGCGCGAAAAGAGGACTGCTCCCCTTCGAGCTTCTTGCAAAGGCCAAAATCCGAAACGAGTAGTCGAGGATTTCCATCCTTGCCCATCGCGACCAAGATATTTGCTGGCTTCAGATCACGATGCACGATGCGAAGCTTGTGCAAATGCTGGAGACCGTTGGTGATCTGATAGAGCACATTCGGTAAATCTCTCTCGCCGGCGTGTGCTAGATCACGATGAACAGATGGTTTTTCAATAACATCACTTAGTGAGGCAGGACATAGCTCTAGCGCGATGTAGAGGAAGCCGGCAGCCTGTTGCTGTGCAAAGTATCGAATCACTATAGAGCTATTAGAACCCATACGAGTATGTGGCGAAGATCACTTACCGTTTGGATGGTCATCACTCTCCCTGAGCAGCTTTGTTTCCTGTGAAGCGATATCGAAGAACTGTATCATCATTCGCTTCACAGCAACCTCACGCCCATCAAAGATGCCTTTGAACACCATGGTCCCATTGCTGCCGATACCAATGCAAGATTCCTGGTCGACTTCTAGAGCGCCAATGCGGAGAATAGGACCCGAAACCTCCGTGGGATCAGTAGGTACTGTAACAATGTCTGGTTCCATTTTCGCTTGCTGGCCCAGATTCTGGGCATCTCTGACCGCGTCTTCGACGGTGGGCACCGGCTTGGGAACCGGTGTAGCAGCGCCATCTTCCGAAGCACCTTGGGATGTGGCTCGTCCTTTCTTGTGCTTGACACCTCCACGACGGCCTCTGTGGGCCTTTTTCTTTTCCTTTTCTGGGGATGTAGTGGCCTTCTCTTCACCTGGAACGTCCAACTTGGAAGCCGCTGTTTCTTGTAAAGGCCGACCTTCATCCTGAATGTCGTCCGTGGATTCTTTGTCTTCAGATGTCTCGTCGATGACGATTGAAGTAGGCCGCTCTGGAACAGGCAGCTTGATCTCTTCATCCTCGGGAATTTCAGGAAGTCGATCGACGCTTGGAATTGCTCTGGGCTCGCGGCTTTCGAGGACTCTTCCCAAGCCCTTACCACTAGCATGCCTTCCGACCCAGGAACGAATCTCTCTTTGATTGGAAAAGATGACAACGACGAGGATGATGATCCAGAACGGGTTTTTGATAAATTCAAGTAGACTTTCGGCTGCCAGTTTGGGCAATAGTAGCAGGCGTTGTAGCCATGTTGGGTCATCGAGCAGGGAAGGTGTGTTGTCGGCAAAGGTTTGCTCGCTCTGATTATTGTCTGGCAGTGAACCACCTATCGTCAATATCGGATCCGACTTGGCACCTTCAATTGAGTGTAAGCCAACCAAAGCCTCCGACAGCTGGTCGTTGTTCATAACGTCCCATTGAGGACGATGATCAATCCATCCTTGCTGATTGATCCGTGCTTGTCGGGAGCCTTGGACGGCCCATGGGTACGTCTTTCCAGACATTGCAAACCAACTACCATCTTCTGTATGATTGAGAAAGATGCTAGAAGCTCTGCGATCCGTCGTTATTTGGTCCTCGATCGTTGGCGGTGCAGGTTGAGGAAGGATGACAAGTTCCGGGTCACTCTTATCTCCCCATGCTTTGGCAACATCGAAGACTCGGACCACGGGGGACGTAAGCTTGTGCATGTATCTTGGAGCTCGATCCTCGTTAACCTGTTTTGATAAGTCGACTCCATAGAAGTTTCCATCGTGGCCAGGGAATATGAATTGATCGTCCAAAGACTTGCTGTGCTGTCGCTGAAGGTCTTGATCGTAGTTATTAGGACTCCATTCTGAAAATGTCAGTGTCGCGACGTGGCGTCCATCTCTTCTACCTTGAATAGCGACGGTATATTCTATTCGTCCAATGGTCAGAGTAGCCTGTCTAGGACATTCATCGGTGTCACCACGGCTGTTCGATACTTGGCATTGCTCGTTGACGATGGCACCTTGGGGACCGTAGTAGTTGAGGACTTTTCCGGTGTAGGCATCGATAGTGACCATCTGGGTCTTCTTCTCACCATTGTACATGACTGGTGGATCTTCACCTCCGTGAGGTACCATATCTTCCACCAACTTCTTCATCGTCAGACCGGTGTTCACCAATCCAGGATTGGGTCCGCTGGGCCTGTATATGTAGAGGTTTCCATCGCGACTGGGCTCTACGATCCAAATGTAGTCATCAATAGACATTGGGTCGTAGTCTTCCTCGACTAATGATCGATTCCTTCGATGGTATTTCGTCTCCACCATCGGGGTTCCGAAAGGGAATGCCCATTTCTCCTTGCCAGTTAATCGATCCCTGGCATGTAATCTTCCATCGACGGTCGCCAGAAGCACAAAGTCTTCTACTTCCCAATCCTCAAGACTCCGCGCAATATGCGGCGAGGTAAGTCCAGCACTGCGAATGCTGGACAGTCTTGCAGGAGGTGCTGCAACGGCGGTTTCCGCCGGAGCCAAAGTTTCGATGGCTACATCTTTCTTTACGATATTGTTGTTCCGGACACTGAGGGTGTTCTTGCGTCGGTTGTGGGTAAGAGGTGTCTCGAGGGGAGGTATTTTCGTGACTTCGAGGACGTTACTCTCGTGGGGTGATTCGTGTCGCTGCTGGACTGCTGGACGTTGCTGCTGCTGAGCTTCGACCAGCCATGGTAATAATAGAATCGCTGCTGCAAAGAGGAAGAAGTTATTCACGACGTGACCCTCGCGAGGGGGCCGCCGTCGCGGCATTTTGGAGCTTCAACGTTGCTGAATTTGAAGGGAGACAAGGCGAGTCTCCGACAGAACACGAACCAACGACTGAAAGGGGAGAGACGCCGCAAAAAGCGATGTCGAAAGAATGATTGATCTGCTGAAAGATGGTAGAGATGGCAGGTAGGTAGATTCCCGTGAAGAGGGGAAGAGCTGGAAGTAATAAATATGATGCTGAGTGCGTGGTTTCAAGACCTTATTCGAGTCGGCCTCGTTTGAGAATAGGGACGACGCTAGCCTTCTGATGATCCCGGCGCTAGTTTCGAAAGGTGCCTTTCTGCCAAAGAAGAGAACTTCGTTCTGAGGGGCAAAGGAATAATATCTCTTGGCTAAGTTCTTGATAGAAAGTCCAACGGGAGGTTAGACTTGGGGTTAATTGATGACGAGTGACCGTGGTGAGGATTACTGTATCAACGGAAAACTTGTGGGCGGCACCTTCGTTGTGTTTCGATCCTTTTTGCTGCAGCATTAGGGCTCAGCCGTCAGCTCAGAGCAAAAGACCTGACCTATCACGCAATTTTTGTAGCGACCACAGGCTGATTCGTGTTACTTTACAAATGGAACTGCAGTGTCGCCCTGCCGGCCAATCTTCAGCAAGGGGCAGTGCTTTTGTTGTCTCGGCAGGATGGCATTTGCCGAAAAAGAAATTTACAATCGGGAGATGCAAACCCAAATCTGGTCCTGAATTGCTTCCGAAGACCTCTCGAGTCATAAATATATGATTTCGAAACCACGGTCATTCACAGAAGGGATACAAATGCGAGCTGTATGAACCATTCCCCTGAAGCGGCGTACCCCACGGTGTCACATAGATCTTCTTATGATCTGCATAGTGTTACAAAGGGGTTGGATCACTCTGGGTCCAGCCACCTCACATTACGACAATGTTCCACTTTGGTGACTTTGCGGCAAAGCCTTGTTCTCGAGTTCATCCATTCATTATTGAGCACGAACAATATGATCTATGGTATGGTACAAGGGCCCAAAATTTTCGCTTTTTCAGTATACAGACTGTTGGCACTCTTCACCGCTCACGTCTTCTGGGAGCACTACGAATGATGTTGTCGACTCTCAGGAGAAGCTTCACTTATCAGCAAAAGTAAACATGTGGGAGGATCAGGTTACTTACTTCTGCAGCCTCCGAAGCCGATGAGACGACCGCCTTCTTAAGCTTGTAACTCTCGATAACTCCCAACTCCCGCATATCTGCAATACCGCCTCCTGGTGTAAGCAAGTCCAAACCATAAGTCGTCATACCGTCGTATATGGCTGTACGGAGTTTAGCAACAAGATCGCTGGAGTCATAGCCAGCATTGTCAGCGAGGATGGTTGGCAATTGTCTAAGAGCAATGGCGAACGATCCAACAGCAATTTGCTTCTTCCCGTCAACCTTCAATGCCGCTCCCTCCACCGCCTTTGCCATAAGCATCTCTGCACATCCCCCACCTAGAGTTGTTCTGGGCTCCTTGACAGTTTGCGATAAAACTGCAAGAGCATCATGCAGGGATCTTTCGGCTTCGTCAAGAAGTTGCTCAGTTGCTCCACGCAAGACAATAGTACAAGCTTGACCCGCTGCCACTCCCGAGAACTTGATCAGTGTATCCTCGCCAATGATCACCTCTTCAATAAGATCACAATGTCCAAGCTTAACTTGGTCTGGATGATCAAATGTGGACGTGATATCGCCTCCAGTGACCAAGGCCAGCCGCTCAATACCATCGAAATCAGCATGCTCGATCGACATAATACCGGCATCTGAGAACAGTTGTTCAGGCCAGTTGTAGATAAGCTGGCGGTTGATGAAGCAGTTGATGCCGTGGGCCTTGATCTTCTCCACTTTAGCCTTCATCTTATCTTTCTCTGCCTTCTCTAACTCTGCGAGCTTGCCAGTAGATCCCACTTTGACACGAGCACCAAAAATCTTGATCTTGTCCGTGTCCATGGCGGTATTGGCAATCAGGATCTTGGCCTTCTCCAATCTCTTGGGCTGGTTGACACCAATCTTTTTGTCCAGAATGAAACCCTCATCCAGATATGAGTCTATAAGCTTTCCGCCGGCTTTCTTAATGATCTGGATGTGGCTCAAGTCTGAAGAACCCTTCATTCTTAAGACAGCATTACACGCAAGCTCAGCGAAGTGATTTCGGTCTTGCGACAGGACTTTCGAGCTCAAGGTCGTCCTCGCAATAGCTAACAAGTCTTTCTTGAATGCTTCGGTGTTGTTGCTGTGGTCGACCGCAGATTTCTCAAGTGCTGCCAAAGCCGCATGGCTGGCTATTCTGTAGCCTTCGATAATCGTCTGTGGGTGAATCTTCTTGTCTACCAACTTCTCTGCCTCCCGTAATAATTCGGCAGCCAAGACTGTGACTGATGTAGTTCCATCTCCGACTTCGTCATCCTGGACCTTCGAGATGTTGACCAAGACCTTTGCTGCTGCATTGTCGAGAGCTATGGACTTCAAGATAGTGGCGCCTGTATATTTGTTAGCTAACCTACTCCAAAACTCTAAGAGCTCGAGACCTGACCATCGTTGGTTACCATGATTTCTCCAGTAGAAGCGCTCTGCAGGATTTTATCCATTCCTTTAGGGCCAAGGGTACTACGCACTACATCTTGTGAGCAGTTGATCATATTTAGAGATCATGAGGTTATACCTAGGTATCCGGTTAGCTGGTGCACATACAGAATATTGAAAAGACTCACAAACCTAAATCTCCCACGGCGATCGCACCAACAAACGCCGATAAACGGGCATTCTCTCCTTTCTCCTCTGTAGTTCCATCATCAAAGATCTGGGTTGGGTTGAAGGACGCCATGGTTGTGGTTGTTGTATAGAGCTTCAGTCGCGTCGACTCCAAAATTTCGCGTTCGCAGCCTTCTCGAAAAACTCGCTAATTTTAGGCCTTCCACCCACGAACCCAAAAATCTTGAGATGCGACTTGGAAACCACAAATATCTCTCCAACTTACGCCGAGACTTTGATCTTTCACTCTGTACACTATCTACACCAGTATCGTGTCCCCCTCAATTTTACAACGCAAATACGAGCTCGACTTTATCTCGAAATCGAGACCCACAACCAAAGCAACCAGTCAAGTGGGGTAAAAATTCACATTCAACCCGCACACAATAAAACAACACAAATCGAGTGCGCAACATCAGAGAGAGTCCGAGGTCAGGTCGCATTAAACCGCAATCATGGCGCCGAGTTTCGACCACCTGCCAGACCCGGAGGAGGATGATTATGATGAGGATGAGGAGCTAGACTTTTCAGATCTACGAGAGAGATTTGAGGTTCAGCTTGAGCAAGGACTGGATGCTTTCGTGGTTATAGATGGACTTCCAGAAGTTACAGAAGAGACAAAGCCAAAATTGATCAAGTTCTTGAAGAGAAAATTGGATGCTGCAGGAAAGATCAGGGAGGAGTCGATACATATGCCACTTGGTGAGGATGGCAAATCAGAGAGGTATTACGGCTCCTGTCTATTCACCTTCACATGCTAAGTGCCAGCAGATTTGCCTTCGTCGAATATACTACCCCAGCTCAAGCAGTCGCTGCATGCAAGCAACTGGATGGCGTCCCCCTCGACAAGAAGCATATCCTGAGAGTCAACAAGCTGACCGACATCGAGCGATTTGGTCGAGAAGGACGTATCGATGAGCATTATACCGCCCCACACGTCGAAGAATTCCAAGAGAAGGAGCATCTCAGATCATGGCTGTCGGATCCAAGCGGCCGTGGACGAGACCAGTTCGTTATGTACAAGGATGACAGAGTTCAGGTCTTTTGGAACAACGAGAAGGATAATCCAGAGAGCATCGTGGATCGCCAACACTGGACAGAGTCATTCGTACAATGGTCTCCCCAAGGTACTTTCCTCACCTCTATGCATCAACAAGGTGTTCAGCTCTGGGGTGGACCATCTTGGACCCGACAAAAGCGATTTGCTCATCCATTTGTCAATCTGGTCGATTTCTCACCCGGAGAGAAGTACTTGACAACATGGTCAAACCGCCCTATCGTCATCCCGGAAGAAGGACACCCAGCTCTATCGGTCGATGATGATGGAAAGAACTACGTGATCTGGGACATTGAAACTGGCAAGCCACTTCGATCTTTCGCCAACATCGAACTTCCCAGTAACAGCAACGATGAGAACGGTCAGCCAGTAAAGAGAAAGATTGTCTGGCCAGCGTTCAAGTGGTCAGCCGACGATCAATATGTCGCACGTCTCACACAAGGTGCTTCAATCTCGGTCTATGAGCTTCCCCGCATGGGTCTCTTGGACAAGACATCAATCAAGATTGAGGGTGTTATGGACTTCGACTGGGCACCAGCTGTTCCTCACCGAGAAGGTGTCAAAACGTATGAGCAATTGTTCTGCTTCTGGACTCCTGAATTGGGCAGCAACCCAGCAAAGGTCGGTCTGATGAGCATTCCCTCGAAGGAGATCGTCAGAACCCTCAATCTCTTCAGTGTCACTGATGCTAAGCTTCATTGGCAATCCAATGCCGATTACCTTTGTGTCAAGGTTGACAGACATTCAAAATCAAAGAAGAGTCTCGCTACCAGCTTGGAGATCTTCCGTGTTAAGGAGAAGGGAGTACCTGTCGAAGTCGTTGACTCGATCAAGGACACTGTCATCAACTTCGCTTGGGAGCCAAAGGGTGACCGATTCGTCATCATTACCACTGCTGAAGTCGTCGCGCCATCAGCTGTTCCTCCCAAGACCTCAGTCGCATTCTACTGCCCAGAAAAGGTCAAGGGCGCTGGTGTTGGTAATTTCAGACATATTAGAACATACGACAAGAAGAACAGCAATGCCATCTACTGGTCACCAAAGGGTAGATTTGTTATTGTTGCAACAGTTCACTCCCAACAGAGTTTCGATATGGAGTTCTTTGATATGGATTTTGAGGGTGAGAAGCCAGAAAGCGACAAGGATCTTACTGCAAACCTGCAATTGATGAACACTGCCGATCACTACGGTGTCACTGATATCGACTGGGACCCCACTGGACGATTCGTCGCTACAAGTGCAAGTATCTGGAAGCATGCTGTAAGTTTTTTTTTTCATTATATCTCCCCAACGACGCTAACAAAGATGACAGATGGAAAATGGCTACCATCTGTACGACTTCAAGGGCGAGCAGCTACGTGAAGAGCCCGTCGAGAAGTTCAAGCAATGGCTCTGGCGCCCAAGACCACCAACGCTCCTCACCAAGGAAGAACAAAAGACAATCCGCAAGAACCTCCGCGAGTACAGCAAGGTCTTCGAACAAGAAGATGCTGATCGTGGTGCCTCTGCTGATTTGGCAGTCGTTGAGCACAGAAGAAGATTGCTGATGGAGTGGCTGGCATGGAGAGAGCAAATGGAGGAAGAAGTTCGTGAGGAGAGAATCGAATTGGGTCTCCCATTAGATCCAATTGAGGGTCTTCTCAAGAAGAGCGAGCAACCAGAGGGTGATGAGGAAGTTATTGAGATTGAGGAGCTTGTTGAGGAGGTTATTGAGGAGAGTGAGGAAATTGTTTCGTGAATGTGAGGGTTCTGTAGAGTCTCTTCTTGACTTCACTTTTCATTTTCTCTGCACCTGGTAGGATGCACGGAGTTTTTGCTTTGCATGGATTCCGGATATGCATTTATCTCTTTACGGAGCTACGAAGGGATGCATAGATGATAAAAGCATAGCAAGAATCCAAATACTACTCAATCATAAACAGCACCCGCTCGTGACTTGTTGGTTGGCGTTCAACCTGACTGCCGATGTAGATCACATCTTGTGTAACTTCGCCTTGACAATCGTATATATACACATCTGCATATACCGTGCCGTCACAACCGACCTCAATCTATCTGCTTCTCTCCCTTCTTCGGGACCGAGTCAAATGCATCACGTGTACATCTGGGCATTTAACCGTTCTAGTCCGTATCCGTATCCGAAGTCGCAATTCTGTCTACAAATCACCAAGCACTCTTCTTCTGAACTACTCAATTTACTCAGTTCCCCACTACTTTAAACATATACCTTCACTTTGCGAGGCAAGAGTCAAAAATGCCACCTCTAGCGACGGTCGGTATCCTTTCTATTGGGGAGATGGGGATGGGTGTTGCGAAGTTGTTGATTGCTCATAATTATCGCGTTGTGACGAATATTGAGGGTCGAAGGTGGGGTTCTTGTGTTTCTTTCCCCCCTTTTCCAAGCGGTTTCTTGGCGTTTTTATGCGAGATTCGGTATATTTGAGTTATTTATCATGAGAGAGATCCTTGAATTCGTCTGATTTTTTGATACTTGTTTGTTGAAGCTTCTTAAGTCCTTGGGGGTCTGAAGGAGTGTTTCCTGAAATTTGAGACTGCCAAATCATCAGAAAGATCTGAATATGGAGTGGACGTTGCTTGATTTCTTTCGTTGAGAGTTGTACCTGGTCTCCATCGTTACATACAATCAGGAAGAAATCCAGTACCATACTGAATACGGATGAGCTACGTCAAGTGACAATCATCCTTGTCATATCCTCTTCACAAGTCTTGGAGCCATCTTCTAACTCTCATCAGCGCCGATACCCACGCCCGTGTGGAAAGCGCCAAAATCGAGTCCCTCCCAAGCGACTCCTCTCTCGTCTCAGCATCAGACTATATCCTCTCCATCGTCCCTCCACGAGACGCCCTCGCAACCGCCCACCGAATCAAAAACGCCATATCCTCTCTCCCTTCACCAAAACCCACCCCTCTCTACTACCTAGACCTGAACGCCATCTCGCCCCGCTCAGTCCGCGAAATCGCCACTCTATTCTCTTCCACCTCCTCCATCAAACTGGTAGATGGAGGCATCATCGGCGGACCTCCATCGCCCAAAGATCCAGCTGCCGACCCTTCACCTCCACCACCAAAGACTACGGTATCGAACCACCCAATTACGGAGCACGCCTGGAATAGACCTAGCATTCCGACCTCAGGACCAAATCCTTTGGCCTCAGCTCCAATCTCAGGTGAACATCTGGCCTCAACCCTCAACGCACGCCACATAAGCGACGACATCGGTCCCGCCTCCGGCCTAAAATGCTGTTTCGCATCGACAACCAAAGGTTTCACAGCCCTCTGTCTGCAATCCTTCACCACAGCCTCCAACCTCGGCGTATTCGAGGAGTTGCAGAAAGAAATGGAGACCCGGATTCCGGGGATGTGGAAGAGTAGTGGAAGCATGGCCGGGATGCCGCCTAAGGCTTATAGATGGGTTAAAGAGATGGAGGAGATTGCCGTGACGCATGCTGAGGATGGAGGGTTCGAGGGTGGTGCTGGATTGCTTGGGTCTCAAGGGAAGGGAGAGGGGAAGGGAGTGGGGATTTTCGATGCGGTGGCGGAGGTTTATAGGGCTGTGGCTGAGGATACGATTTTGGGGGAGGAGAAGACGGAGAGGAGGAAGAGGGGGAGGACGAGGGAGGATGTTGCGGCTGCTATGGGCGAGGGGCTGCGGGAGAAGAAGAAGAAGGTTGCTTGAGTAGATTCATGATGAAACTGGAAGAAAGATGATGCATGGGCATGGGAATAAGATAGATTTTACAGAGGGTCAATTTGTTTGATAACATGGCTTTTCCAACCCAAAATAGCAATAGAGGTTTGCCTGAAATAACATAGCGCTCTACAACTGTAATGTAGGTATAAATGTGAGAACAGCGCTTATTGTCTGTCCTTGGTAATAAAGATCTTGTTGTCTGTCTTTAGAAATAGACTTCATAAGCTTGTAAAGTACCAAATCCCCGCAGCAATCTCGTCAGCAAAATTGCGACGTGCAACAAAACGGCTTATTATCTATCTTTAGCAAAAAAACCCTATTGTTTGTCTTTAGAGGCATACTTCAAGAGCTTGGAAAGTACCAAATCCCCGCAGCGATCCCATCAGCAAAATTGCGACATGCAACAAAACGGCTTAAACTCATTATCTATCCTCCATCCCAACTTTCGAGAGAGTATAAAGCACCAAATCCCCGCAGCAATCCCGTCAGCAAACTACGACGTGCAACAAAACCCCTCGAACTCATTCTCTATTCTTGAAATGTAACTTTTAAGAAACCATAAAGTACCAAATCTCCGCAGCAATCCCGTCAGCAGATTGCGATATGCAACAAAGATTGCTCAATGTCCGTCCGTCAGGAGAGGAGGTAATTCAATATTGACGGTGAATGTGAGGACCGGGGTATTGATGCTTTTAGCCTACCTATTCGTGTAAGTATGTACACCTTCCTTCCTCCCTTTCCAACCTTTTCTTTACCTTGTGCAAAAAGCGGCATTCGAGAAAAGTGCAATAGGCAGAATATAATTACAAGAAGTATAATCTATATTATAGCAACCCAGGTTAGAAGCACATGATAACAGAACTCCATATAGCTGGTTACCAAACTTCTATCACGAGCAAAAGGGATATTCAATATCAAAAATTCCTAAACAACGAATTCGAAGCTCGCAAATATCTTGAGAAGACAGATATGTAGCAAGCTTTTCACTATGAACTTTATGTAGTGCCTCTGTATACGACCTTTGAATACGTAATAAGTCACACTATGGCACAGCACCTTGCTAAATATCCGGTTATTCAACTTGGTAGCAGTAGAGTGCTCCGATTAAGTCAGTTCGCGAGGACTATGAATAGCCAAAAATGATGTTTTGGGGAAACGCCACTTATCGGAATACGTTTTCGTAGATATTGACGAGGGATTTCGAAGTCTCGAGATGCTCCCGGAAATCTCTGAATGGATTGTTCGTTCCAATCAAATGTATTCGTATTGAAGTATGAAGCTTCCCTCTGTCTCATCTCGGATAATACAACAATACAACATCAAGTCTCTCAGGGCCACTTACCTGCAGCCGCACGTCAGGCACAACGTAACACAAAACCTTGCCCTTTGGTCTAAGCCCCCACCACGGACCGACCTGTTCTGCAACCATTCCTCCCTCCTCCATCCTGCAGGTCCCATCTCATTTCACCTCCCAAAGGCCAGACGCTAGATTATGTTCGAAAGTTATGTATTAAATAGGTTTTGTCTCTCTCCATCTACTTTTTGTGCCGGTGTCGAAATAGATATATACAGGGTATAATGCAGTGTGTGTCCCAAAAATCCTATAGGCACGCCAAACCATCCTTCCCCAAAATGCACATCCCATCCATCCATCCATCCATCCATCTATAAACACCATGCCCATGCACTTCCCCCATTAAAACGACCCCAAAACAACCACAACCCCAACCAACCCCCAAACAAGCGCCCTCGAAACCGAAAAGCTCCCCACAGCACCACTCTTCTTACTCGCCGTCGGCGCACTCCCCATCACCGTCACCGTACTAACAACCACAATCCCCGTCGCCTGTCCCTTCCCCGTCCCACTCGCCAAACTCAACACGTCGCCCCCGACCGTGACCTCTCCACCCGCAGTCAACGTCTGGCCCCCGATCAACACGCTCGTGAGTTGACCTTGCTGGCCGAGACTCAACGTGCTCGTTACTAATGTATTCCCCGACGTAGGCGTAGGCGTAGGTGTAGATATAGAAGATGGAAACGTAATCACCTCCCCACTCTCCGTGATCGCGCCCCCAGGCGTCAAAGTCTGGCTGCCGATGACGAAATCGCTGTTACTAGCAGCGGTGATGGTTGTTCCGCCAACCACTATAACGGCTGCTGATGGGGAAGAGGAGGTGGTAGCAGGCGGCGCGGCGTTGATTATTATCGCCCCGCCAGTGCCGGCTGAGATTACTTCGCCGGAAACGGTTATTGCGGATCCGGGGGAAAGAGTTTGGGAGCCGAAGATGAGGTTCGAGGATACGTCGCGGGTGAGGGTTTGTGAGCCGTAGAGGATTGGGGCGTAGGATGTTGTGCTGGCTGGGGTGGTTGGGGAGGGGGTGTTGGTGTTTGTGTTGGTGTTGGAGGCGAGTGTTTGGGTTGGGGAGGATTGTTGGGTTGCTGTTTGTGAGGCGGTTCCGGTGGCTGAATCTGTTTGTACGGACGAGGTTCCTACTTGCGAGAATGATTGGGAAGTTTCGGTAGAAACAGAGACTGGTGTGCCGATCGAGCTGGAAGGTGTGGATTGGGGCGCCGTTGTTTGTGTATCTGTTGATACAGTAACTCCTGTCTGAGATGTCTGCGTTGAGACTTGAGAGTCTGTTGATGTAGGCACAGTTTGAGAGATTGGACTTGTAATTTCAGACCCAGTCGACACGATAATTCCAGTTTGAGAAGTCTGAGATGTGGGTTGAATACCTGCTGAGGAAGTTGAACCAAGTACCGTAGTTACTTGAGTCGAGGATTCGGTGACAGTGGTGACAGTGGTAGGTGCTTGACCAGGTTGTGTTGTCTGCGTTGTGACAATAGTGTTGGAAGCGGACCCTGATTGAGTTGGTGATTGTGAAAAGCTCGTGGGTGTTGTCACGGGTGTCTGATTGGGAGTTTGAGTTGTTTCCACTGGCACTGTACTAGCTTTCGAGATTACTGTTGACACTGAAACCTGAACTGAACTCGAGCCATCGGAGATCCATACTGGCGGAATGCTAGTCGACGTCGAAACCGGTACAGGACCAATTGATGTTTGAAGAAGACTTGAAGTTGTAAGTATACTTGTAGTCTGTTGATCCGAAGTCGTGAATGCAGGTGTGACGATCTGGTCTCCACTGCTTGTTGATTGGACAATATTGCCACCAATACTAGTCACAATTGTGACGGTGAATGGGCATACTCCTGCCACTGGAATAAAAGCTTGCCCAACCGTTGACGTGACCGTAGCCGTACATTGAGGCATGACACTAGCGGGCGATTGGGAGCTTGTCTGCCCATTATTTTGAGCTGTGCTACTTGTAGAGATGATCGAAATCGAGCTGGTTGGAGCTACTAGCTCAATGGAGGTCGAAGTGCTAGACGATTGTAGAGCCGTGCTTCCAAGATCCGATTTCGTTATCGAAGAAGCCGAGGTCGTAGTTCCGGTGAGTTTCGGTGTTGTGGAAATGGAAGCTGGGAAAATCAGTTACGGCAAAGCAGGAAAAGGGTCCGGACAATACTAACTCGGTGTCGTTGATGGACTTGATTGTCTCGGTGAACTCTCTACCGAAGATGCCGTCGTCGATGGGCTCGTCTGCTTCGGAGAAGTCTCTATCGAAGATGCTGTCGTCGATTGAATTGGAAGCGTCGAAACAACTGTCACGGTCTGACATGATCCTGCAATAGCATCAAGGTGTTGCCCCACGATCGAAGTAACTGTCGTTGTACATGGCGAGGCAGAAGAACTGCTCGCACTCGTCGAGGCTGTCGATATCGTAGTCCCATTCGCCCTTCGAGCCAATCCAAACGCTTCATCCGGGTCAGCTTTTGCCACACATGTACAGTACTGAATACTGACCTTGAAAGCCATTAGGATTGTGCGCCGCAGCCCCATGAAGGAGCAGCAAAGCTCCAAAACCCCAAGTCAAAAACATAATGAAACATGAAGCACAAGGCTCAATCGATTGAGGAAATCATGTACAGATACATGATCACACAAGAGAGATGACGAGAAAGGCACCGAAGTGAAGAAATCCCAACATATTTGACATTGCTCAGGACAGGGTCGAGCTAGGGCTGAGCCGCAGCGGTGCCACCTAACCTTACCTCGAAGCTACGGTCCATTCGAACCCGGTCGTCGATCCTCAAATCAAATATTGAAAAGTCCAACGGACCCAGGGCCAGGCCAGGAACTTGAGATCCGACCGTTACTCCAGATGACTTGCGAGCAGACTAGACCGAAGTATGAGCTCGAGCTCGAGAACCACGCGAGCGGGCGGGCGGTGCTATACCGCGACCCTCATATGGGATTCGACGTGGATTCCATCTGGGGATACAAAGCGAGGAAACCAAAGCCAAAAATAACCAACGACGAGCGACGAGCGAAGGATGCGCTTCAGCAGCATTGCCCTGTTGAGAAGATGCTTGATGCTGGTCCACTGCTGCGTCTTCTGGGATCTCTCTGGGGTGTCTCTGGGGGGGATTGTGCACACTGATGCACAGCCAAACGGACGTGGGCGAATGGGATGTTGGTTCTGCTGCGGATAATTTGGACGTTAACCTAGAGGGTCGGGAGAGGCGCAGGGGCGTCAAGCCCAGCAGTCAAGCGAGACGTAAGATCTTATTTTTAGGCCCAAGCCCGAAGTGTGGTAGAGTAACCTTAAGGCTAAGGCTGCCGACAAGCGCTCTGCGCTAATTCGGTTCCCTATGAACTTCGTCCTCGCTCCTCGCCAACCCCCCCCCCCCCAACGCGTTCTCTCTCCTATCACCCACCATCTTGCATTTTACGCAACAACCGGCACTCCATTTCGAGGCTCAACTGCCATGTTACTGTATGCATGACCAATCATGTCTATTGCGGTAAACACGACGAAGCGCTTAGAGTCATTGGATACTGGACAGCCTTACCCAAGGCTCTCACTCTTGTGCTTCCGCATCCGCATCCTCACGTACTGCTCACCATGATCCCAAATTTATATCTCGGCATCTCGTAGACGCGTTCAAGGGCCAATGCACTTCGAGTTGTACCTGAAATACGCCTGTGCCTATGCTTAGTGGCCGGCAGAATATAACACTCCCGAGGGCCCCCCGTCCTGCCTTTCTCTGGTTTTGCTTGTTTCATGTTTCTATCTGCAAGTCGTTGTCTCTACCAGTTTAGAAGCCACGTCCTTTATCCCGTCCATCATGTACACACATCATTAGGTACAGGCTCGTCTTTCCTTTGTTGTTTCTTTAGATGCCTTTCATTGTGTCGACATGCATTTCTGGAGAGCATTGTGGGTGGTAATATGGTTGCATGTTCAATGCTGTTATGCGACCCCAATCTCTTCAACCACTTCGACGGCCACGGTAGCAACAGCTACACCTCTTGTTGTACCACCAAGCCAACTCTGTATGTTCCCATCTCTTCATGCAGCACTGCATAAACTAATACGCTTTATCTAGGGGATGGAAGTGACGGCCCAGTAAGCTCTCTCATGTCTGATCCGTGGTATAGTCTGGAAGTCCAGATCTATTTCCAACGCCACATCATCTTTGATCAATAATCACCTTTGAGAGTGTCCTTTGTATCACACCTAATACTATACAGTGGTCTTCGTTTTATATCCGCGTCGGATCTCCCCCTCAGTCACTTCGAGTCCTCGTCTCAACCTCAAGCAATCAACCCTTGGTAGTTTTACCGGGAGCGTGTGATTCCGACGACTCGAATTGCGCAACCGATCGAGGTGGTCTCTTTCAAAGAAATGCTTCGACGACATGGTCTCCGAACAATTCTTCCACTGGGGGCTTGTATGCTGTTGTTTTGGACTCGAATGTTGGTTTGATCCCTGAGGTCCAATATGGAAGCGATACTCTTGCTCTCGGTTACCTAGGAAGTGGGGCACCGGCCCTCACCAGCCAACTTGTCGGTGGAATTACAACAACCGATCTGTACACAGGTATCTTCGGTCTTAATCCTTCGGCGACAAATTTTTCCAGTAATGCTCCCGAGGTAGCTAGTTACATGTCAACCCTGAAAGCGGAGAATCAAATTCCCTCACTGTCATATGGATATAATGCTGGGAATGGCTATCGCTTCAATACTGCGTTTGCCAGCTTGACCCTTGGTGGCTACGATAAATCGCTCTTCGATCCTAATAATCTCACATTTGCATTCTCTACTGAGAGCGATTCAGATTTGACAGTTAGTATCAAATCGATCGCTCAAACATCCTCATCAGGAAATGGTTCCCTTTCATCCTCCTCGTTCTCGGCATTCCTCGACACCACGACTCCATATTTATGGCTTCCTGATGAGGTCTGCGCTCAATTCGAAGAAGCATTTGGAATCACATATGACAACACTTCCGGCCTCTATCTCGTGAACGACACCTTACATGACTCTCTCGTCTCCCAAAATGCAAACATCACATTCACGCTCGGGAATGCCACCAGCTCGGAGACCGTTGATATTGTCCTACCATACGCAGCATTCGACCTCACTGCCTCATCTCCACTTGTCGAAACACCAACACGATATTTCCCACTGAAACGAGCGAATGCTACATCTCAAGTCACCCTCGGCAGGACATTCTTTCAGGAAGCCTACCTGATTACCGACTATGAAAGCTCAACATTCTCGGTCAACCAAATGAGCTGGAACCCCAATGCTCAAGCAGACATAATCTCAATCCTGCCAGCTTCTCTCACCTCCGCCTCCTCATCCAGCACGCCCTCTCCTGCCCCCAAGAAGAAGAGCACCGTCCCAACCTCAACAATAGTAGCAGCAACACTCTGCAGCGCAGCATTCCTCACCATCCTCATCGCCTCCATAATCCTCATCCGCCAACGCCAAAAGAAACTCGACATCCTCGTCAAAACACCACCTACGCCCGCCGCAGCCTTCACATTCGCCCACAACGTAACCCCAGCCGACTGCGCGCACTGCCGAACCCACACCCCGTCCCCGTTACCGTCCCCGGAGCAGCAGCCCATGGAACTCCCCTCCGGCTCCCCAACCCAAAGCTCCATGAGCTCCCTCCAATCCTCCATGGCAAACTCCAACCGCCGATCCAGCACGCCCGTCCCCTCGGGCCTAGCCCTCGCCCCCGTATCCCCCATGTCGCCCGTCCCCACCTTTCCCATGCCGCCCTCCTCGCCCGGCCCCGTCATCCCGCCCCGCTACTCGAGCCTCGACCGCGTCGCCAGTCCGACGAGCTACTACTTCCCGCAGCAGAACATCTACGAGCTCCCCGCGCGCGAAGAAGTCCTAGGCCGCGGCACGCCCGTGGAGAGCGTGTTGCAAGCTGCTCTCGACCAGGTCGTTTTAAATCATAATCAACAACAGTATATCCCTTACCAAGCTCCCTCTCCCCGCACTACTACTCAGGTGGAAAGACGCAGGACTCTCCATTCTCCAGTGTATGGCGAAGACGAACATCCACCGCCTCTCCGGATACAGACTCAACACTCCGGTGGCTTTAACTCAACCCTAAACCGCCAAACACACAACTTCACCTTCGACATCCACCCCCAACTGCGCACCGCTCGAGGAGCTCGAGGAAGTCGCGACCTGATCGCCGAGCACGCGGAGCGGATGCGGGAGTGGGAGGATATGCGGGGACCGCTTTCGCCGCCGCCGGATCGGCCGTTGCCTGCGCTGCCGGGGGTGGGCGGGGAGAGAGAGAGGAGGAGGGAGGAGGTGGAGAGTCCTGGGAGCGGGACGTTGGATTTGATGGAGTATAGTTGGTTGAGGCTTCATTAGAGAGAACAGAGAGAGGGAAGGGGAGGGGAGGGAGGGGATGGTCGAGGGCAATATTCTTGTATTTGTTTAATTTTTTTGTTTGTTTGTTTTGATGATGTGATGATGGGATGGGATGGGGAGGCTGTATATATGTGATACCCGGAAAGGATGGAATGAAATGGATGGAGTTTGGGATTGGAATTAGGATTAGGATTGGCGGCATTTAATGGTGTTTGGGATAGTGTTGTATGTATACCTATTGTATTTTGTAGTATTGGTATGTAGAGAGATTTTATGATTTGATGAATGAATGTTTTGAGGAAGATAGTTTTACATTGTTTCTCCGTGATCATGTTTCATTTTGCTAGAAAGGTGGAGATATGCTACTTCAACTTGGGGGTAGTGCATAGACGGAATTCAAAAAGTTTAGAGTCCGTTGGCAATTGAGTAAAGAGGGTGGACACTTCGGAGCACTCAGCTATTCTGCGGATCATATGTCGTTTGGTTGTTGCTATAGGGATTTTTGTATACGATCCTACTTTAGGGTCCATAATGTACTTAAAAGGTTAGCACTCGAGTTTTATGATAGCTACAGCTGTCTGCTCCGATGTGTCCACCCTCATTACTTCGAAGCGGCATAAATCTCTTTTTTTTTTATTAAAATCAAAGTAAAATAAGCGAGTAGCGAGAGACCAATATATGATCAGGGGAGGTTCACTGTATGTTTTCACAGAGCTAATTCCAGTGATTGGTGCAATCTTGAAATTCGTTTCTTCATGAGAGGTGAATACTCGAGTCCTTTTGTTTATTCCTTGTCTCGAGGCTCCATGCCATCCATACCTCGCAACTCTACCGTACCGAAAGACAATATGGGAATTTTATCCTCGCCGCCGTCTCAAAAGAAGTATAGCTCTACAAGATCTCCAACATATCAACATCATCTCCCTTGGCTTCCGTGACTTCAGATGCACCATTCTCCCTGCCACCTCCTCCACCAAAGTAATCCTCCATCTCGGCATCTAATTCCTCCTGTGTCTTTCTTGGTCTACCATCCTTGGCCAATCTCTCACCACCTCGTCCTCCACCGCCACCGCCGGTTCGTTCACCTCTCTCACGTCTAGCACCAGGACGACGACCATCTCTTTTCGGGGCGGTTCGTCGGGGACTACGGGAACGACTACCTCGGCCTGGGACGTAACGATCAACGTTTGATGGGGGAGGACCACTGACGTCTGAATGGCGGATTGGGGAATCGGAACGGGCACGTGGGGTAATGCGATCAAACAGGGAGCCTCGGGTAGCAGCTGGAGCTGGGTTTCTGCGACCGGCTGAAGGACCAGAGGGAATAGGGACTAGACGGATAGGTTGACCTGAAGCTTGTAAGCATTTTGAAAAATGTAGAAAGATAAAGTTATACCTTTGGCATTGGCACCATCAAATTCTCGAATTGCTTTCTTAGCATCGTAGGAGGATTCGTACGTGACATATGCAACGCCCTCGGAGCGGCCGGCTCTGTCGTAGGTGAGGGAAAGCTTAAGGACAGGACCGATTCGGTTGAAGAGATCCTGGTATATGTCAGTTGTTGTTGCAAGCATTTCGAGGTAATGTATCTCACATCCAAATCCTCTTCGGTTAAATCGTAGTGGAGGTTCTCAACTCGGAGCTTTGCGCTGCTGGTCTCGCTGAAAGCAAGTCAGTATGATATGGTAGTAGCAGATATGCCTACTCACTAGACAGGCTCCGGAGAGTAACGTCTATCTTGACGAACAGATCGTCGTCCGGCTGGAAGAATCGTGAGCGAAATGTTGCCAAACAGACCATCAAAGACTCGTACTATTGTCGTCAAACTTATCATGAACCCATTCTCTGCTTCCAATCAGCAATCTACCTTCACTTCATGACTAAGATGTACCCACGAGTCAATATTTCTGCTATCTTCTCGAGTCGACTGTACGAAGGAGGGAGGCCTGGGTTAGCGATATATTCAAGTCAAGCTTACTTCTCTGCACCGCCTCGAGAAGCATCATCAACAAGCGCGGTATTGATTCGACTAGCTAGCTGGAAGAGGATCTGAGGAGGTGTCGAAAAAGCATTATATGGGTGAGGATGAGGATTGAGGAGGAGGTGTATGCACCTGCGGATACGATCAGCTTCAATTCAAGCTTTCCTCACACCTTCTCGAGGATTCTTGCGCTGGAGAGAATGTACCTTTCTTACGCCGTCACGAGGATACTCGGTGCGCTCATTTCTGCGACCACCGCGACGGCCTGGGCCTCGAGCTCGTCCACCGCCTCGCTGTTGAACGCGTTAGCTACGTGTCTCTGCGACCTCTGCGCAAGGCTACACCTCAGGCGCAATCAGATTGGCGGGAACGTACGTGTCGCTCGGCAACAATCTCGTCGAGTGCTCGATCCATTGCTTCTAAATCAATGGGTTTGGAGAGGGATACGAGAAAGGTTATAATTGGTGGTGTGGTTGTTGGTGGTTGGAAGTTTAAACAGGTGTTTGGAGTTGAGGTTCAAGATGTGCCTGATCTGACGTTTGGGCAGGGATGTGGAGACGACGTGACGGATCACGTGAATTTCCATCTTGAACTTGAATTCTTTGATCACTATGCTTGTGAGGAGAAAGATTATGGAAAGTTGTCTCGCTCTTGTACATTTGCATATATACTCTTACAGAATATTGTACAAACTAATACAAATGCTTCATCGCTCTTCGGGAGCATTGTCTATTTCTCTGACACTGGATATCTCCTTTTTATACCACTGCACCTTGCTTGGTCGAGACCAGATTCTCCCATAGGTTCAAGCCTAGAATTCTCGAGCTGCTCCTCTGACAAAAGTCTTTCATCTCGGAGGGTCGGTACCCTGCATTGACCCTGTGTTTTCTTCCTCGACGCCGTGGTATATTCGAGCAGAAAATTTCGAGGGCTTTAGTATTTTGTAATGTTCGGCTGGCGCGTTCATGGGTGACTTTCGCTTCTCAAATACCATTGCCGCCGCCTTGCCTGCATTCCGTTGTGACATTATTCGTTGATCAAAATACATGTACGAGTATGGAAGATCGATCTTGGTCCTTACAAATGTCGGCTCTTTTCGTTCTGCTTGCTGAGTGGTGCCAGATGCTTTTTCGGGCTCAGGGGCGCCTTCAACCTCCAAACCCCTCTCAGATGTCGATGTGGTCTTGCTGCTCGGATTACCGTGCTGAAAGAATATTCCCGAACCTGAAACGCAACCAAAGTGTCCTACACGGTATTGGTAGCGAGTTTCTTGTAAGCTATCATTCGTTTCAGGAATGTCGTCAATGGTGCTAGGAATCGAGCCAAAAACTATGCTCTTCCGTGTCGAAGTAAAACGTTTCCTTCCCATAGGCAGGGGTGGAGGCAAGCCGTCGTCGACAACCAAGAATTGGATGGAAGCTCCTGTTTCTGCGATGTTACCTAGGCCAGAGATCATGTCCTCATCCATAGTCTCCAAAGGCTTGTCCTCAAGTTCCGAAGCGGGTCTGGGTAGTCTTGTCTCAGGGTCAAGAGACAAGAGGCCTTGCTTTGGACCCCAACCTCCACCTCCACTGACTAACATTTTGTTAGCATTATAAAAGCCAAAGAAAGGTAAGCACACACCAACACGGCACATCTTGCCCCCTCTTCGCAGCCAAAATCCAATGTATTCTGGACCCGGTTCCGGGAGATTCCCTGCTTCGGCATCGGCAACACCAGGGGGCACGATGAGAGCCCAAACATCAACCTTTGAGCCTCCCAATCTGTCCGAGATTGTAGATACAACCTTCTCTAATTCCTGGGAGGCAGGTCCGACATCATCTGATCCAAAGTCCAGAGTTCGAACAATATTGCCAAATCCGTCCTTGATTGTGTGAAACGGCGTTACCGGACACGCAGGTATGAACGATTCCATAAATCTGTTGATACCGGTGAGTGCGTGGATGTATACAAACCTCATGTCCTCCTTTTTTATGATCTCGACGAATTTCCCCTCCTCAGCTCCCCATACAGAGGATTCGAGCACAGAAGCCTTTCCATTCTGAAACATGGTATTCGCTAGGGGAACAGCCACTCCTTGTGTCTCTGGTCCACCCCTAGCGAATAAGACCACAGCTGGTGTAGGTATGGCTGCTTGAGAGGATTCATCTTCTATCGCCTTTCTCCGTTGCCCTATAAGTGTCTTTACCGGTGCGTGAAGAAATGAAAAGCCTTTGGTAACTGGCTGCCCTTTGAAAGTGCCGTAGGATTCCTCAGGAGCAATACCATCAACGCAAGCACACACCACCCTATACTTAACTTGTACTGGTGATACTTCATCCGTGACACTAGAAGAACTGTGTGATATTCGATCGAGTATCTTGGGAATGAACGTATTATCGTTGAACCACGGTAAGAAATCGGGTGTAAAAAGAATGACCAGCGATTTATACTCGAATGGCTGATGTCGGCGTGAGTAACTCATCCATTCCACATCCCATGAAGGCTTTGTAGGCCGAAGGGGTGTCAGGCATGTAAAGAATTCAGGGTCCGGCTTCATTACTGTCAGTAAGTCATAGCCGAACAAAGATTCTTCGCATCGTACTCACAGTAGCGTGATTGTTGGTCACTTCAATCGTTAATTGCCTGAAACTAGGGACGTCTGTTGCCTTTCCCTTTGCCTGTTTCCAGAAATCTTTAAAACGTGAATCCTTCATAACCCTTCGCATGGTTGAGCTATACTTCACGTGTTGAAAAGAGCCTCGAGAAAGAGGGATTTGTGAAGCGGCTCGGATCCGAAGCAAGAGCGCAGCCATGATTGGCTTTTGGAACGGTGACCGAGGTCTCATTTGCATCTAGGCCTAACATTCATCTCTCGAAGTCGAGTGGCGCGTTGATGCACCTTTGCTGCAATCGCCTCTCACAGGATTTTGGTGATGCTTAGGTCACAAATATTAGCTAGCTTCAGGGATGAAGACTCGCTTAGAAGTGTTCACCGCCATTTTCTGCCACCACGCAAAAATTCTGCCTCCCACGACGAGGCGAGGGCGGTGAGCACTTCTTCGGCCTTGGCAGCGTCCATCACTATTCCAATCGTTCAAATAAGTTTCTGTCTCCCCATGTTATCAGAATCCCTTCATCTCTGTCAAATTATTCTATACTCGTTGGCCTCAAACCCCTTATCGCATCTACCGAGAATTTGCCCCTTCTTGAAAGGAGGTTTGTTTGATGCAAGCACTTTCAAGGTGCATACATATCACCAGCAGTTATGCACAGGGAAGACCTTCAATGTCTGAGTAATTTATATGCGAGATTAGACCCTGAACAGCTGTCGCCCAATCTCGCTCAATCAAGCATTGTCCAATTCTATAAGTGATTTTGCCATTCAAGGCTATCCTCGTTGACATGCTCATTTCTCAAAGATACCCGTAGATTAGTATCATCAGTTCTGATCGATTCTGACATCTGAAAGTCACAGCCGTAGAAATTGACGGGTCGGGGAGCGCGGCTTGTGGCTTCTTGTCTCTTATCCCTTTCGAGGCTGAGGGGCTTTGAATCAAGGCCAATGAGCGCTGAATCCAAGACAGTTGGTGGCGGATCTCTAACAAGGCTTGCCGTTCGAGGTTAGCAACACCTGCATGTTCCTGAACTCGTGCTGCAGCCTCTGCGCCAAATCACCTCGTCCAGCTGCTGACTTTCCACGGATGAGCGGTGCTCCCGAATCAGAATGCAGGAAGGCGCCAGAGATGTTCTGGAACCTGAATTTGCAGGACACGGCATGGCGTACAGGAATGTCAGTGCCCAGGAACCTGAGATCGTGGATAGGGTGAGGAGTGAGGAAGTTTGTTTTTTCCCGAGCTGTTGGCGATGCAACAATGAATGCGACACTGTTGAGAGGGAGGGAGAGTCTGAGAGAGATAGGAAGGTTGAAGACCCCCGATGCACGCTGCACGACCTTCTTCTGCACGGAGCCGGCGGACTTGTTCAGTGGCTCGGGCGGCTGAGACGATCATCACAGGGTCCTCGCTCAACTCGGCCGGCCCTGTCGTGCCTGCATTGCATTTGTTGTTTGATTCTTCAAGTGCCTGCCAAGCGACCCATACGGGCCATACCAGACACATTCATACGAGATCGGATGCAAATTTGGGTGAAGATCCATCCCCATTTCTTCTCCCTGTACCGAACTCGTAAGGAATTAAAGAGCTCGCAGATTCGTAATGAGCGGCCGGGTGGACATCAGGGAGGGAATCTCGGATTCTCCCAGAAAAAGAATCTCAGCACCGCCAGGTTGAATGCCATACCAAATTGGCAATAATAATCTCATCCGTACCGTACTGTACTGTACTGTACTGTACTGTATCCATGACGAAAGTTGATGACGGCGCCTTCTATCTGATGTCTCACTCGGAGACGAGATGAGCTTTGGGCGTCGGTTGCCCCGCAAAGAGATGGTCGACCAGGGAATCGTGTATCAAATGATCAGACGAGCGATATTAGTTACTGTAGTTAGTCCAGTGCTGAGCCAGGCCCATGTTTGCTTTCTGAGATCGACCACGAGGACCGATGAGCGATGACCGCTGTTGATGGCTGCTGCTGCGTCCGCCTGTTCCATGCAAACAAAAAACACACACGAGTTGTACGAAGGACAGGACAGGACAGGATATAGTAGGTAGTATCGCTTGACTGTTTTTGGGTTTTGCCCGGCGGTGAGAAAGCTGGGCCGCAGTACCCAAGCCGGGCCTCACGCTTCAGGAGCCGTGGCCAGTGGCACTTTTGATTAAAGATGAGTTTGTGAGAGGTGGCATGCAAGATCGAGTAGCGTATCTTGGTGGACGTGTAACCAGGACGAGGCCCGCGATCTCAGAACATGTACCGACAGGCAAAAGTGGTGCATGGAGGAGCAAGAAGGAAGGTGTGAGTGAGTGGGAGTGTGTGTGTGTGTGTGTGTTGTGCAAATTCTTGAGTCTAGCCATGCCAGGCACAAGGGGGAGGCCTTTCTCCTGAATCTCTCCCACCTCGGGGAGCAGATCCGTCCAGCGCAACTCGCGCACTGCTTCGTAAATGATAGAGAAGACGGGAGAGAGACAGAAATTCAGCCTTGGAGAGATCAATTGAAACGGACCCATTCGCGAAGATTATAATTGATTTATGAAATACATCTCCACAAATTTTCTCAGGACCGAAATAGCTGAGCGTCGGTGCTTCGTTTCCTCGATGATTTATTAGACAACTTTGAATCTCGCCTCAACCCCGGCCCATTTCGGATTTGGTTTAGCGGGAAGCGAAGGGTGGGCCAAACAACCAAGATTTCGATTTCCACCTCCCAATCCCTCCTCCTTCAGATCAACTTCCAAACAACAACCCAACACCGCCCTCACCACCGCAACAACAACTCCTCCTGGTCCGGAACATTGCATCTTTTCACTCTTGAAGAGGTCGCTTTGGTCTGCTGGACTGTCCGCTCCTTAAACCAACAACCCACACTCCTTTGTCAACCAAAACACTCCCTCTTCCGCCCACTACCCCGGCTGCTCACGACGCTGCAAGCCTTCTGAGACATCCGTAGAAACTTCACGCAGGTACGTCAGCAACCTCAACACATGTTCGCAGACTCTTCAGGGTGTACAAAGGTGCAAACAACGGTACTGACATCTGTTGCTCGAAGTCAATTTCGGCTCAAATCTGCCTCTCGAAATACCACCCCATCCGACTTCCTATCTCGAAAGAACATACTGCATCAAGTGCCGAAAAATTGTTTGGAACATTCAGGAAGAGCTACATTGTTTCAATCAAGTTTTCATGACCTCGATTTGAGCTGGGCTCGCTGGATCTGGCCGCGTGCGGCGTCAACATGGCTGTTGTCTCGAACTCGCCCAAGATGTCGTCGTTCACCAATGACCTCCGATCTACTACAATTACAACCTCCCCTCAATTATCTCCTCGATTGAATAGCCCTGGCCCGTTACCCTTACCGGACTTTCAATTCCCTGCCAGGGGTCCTCCAATGTCTGTATCTGCCCCTTCGTCCTTCTCTAGAGCTACTGGACGCAACAGGCCTATCTCCGCAGTGGAACTTGGTCGACCCACCGAGACGGAAGCCCTACCACAATTCAGCTTCGGCTCTTCATCATCAACCTCGCCAAGAACCATTGCAGCAAGACCAGGCTCGATGCATCAGAGGAATGTATCCGAGTTCATTGGAGGAGATGGAAAGACTGGAAGTGGAGAGATCTTATCGACCAGTCCTACAAAGAGTGAGAGTGCATTGCCACTACCCCAAGCTGCTCTAGGACCGCCAGCAGGGCGTCGAGGACATGCTCATAGACGATCAGCTGCCATATCAGTGTCAGACTTAAGTATGGTCTTGAAACCAAATCCTGGAGCTGCACGAGGCAGTAGTGCTCCTAACTCTCCGTCTGGAGATGCGGCATATCAGAACTCGCCTTTTCCTGGTTCTTTCGATACTACCATCCAACCAACAGGTGTGAATGGAAACCCTGTTGCTACCGAGGCCCCAGTAAACAAAGTCCCCAAGAATACTCGGGTCGGTTTCTCTGATGACCTTGAATTTATTCCTCGTCCTCTATCGATGGTCTCTAGCGATTCCGCTTCTACGGTTCGACCTGGTCATTCGGTCTCGAATTCCATGTCCTCAATCATGTCTGCTGCCACATCATCCCCTCCAGCCAAGGAGAAGCGAGGTTTCCTTTCCAACCCAAGAATCAGTGATGTCCGCCCTCGTACAGCTGAGCCAATTTTGGATCAAGAAGGGTCGAAAAGTCAGGATCACCCACCGAGACGACGCAGCTCTTTGCCACTACTGTCCGATGTGAACACTGCCACTACCTCCGCGCCTAGTACACCGAGATCTGTGAAGAAGTGGTCGTTCTTTGGTCATGACACTACCTCAGGCGAATCATCTCCGAAGTCTAGACCGACCAGCTCAGCATCCTCAGCCAAGGAATCGAAGAAAGCAGAGACAGCCCCCTCATCACCAGAGATTAATACAGATGTTCCGTTCCCAACAATCGAGCCAACGATTTCCAGACGATCCTCAATGTCGAGAAAGCCAAGTAAGAAGCAAAAGCGAGTCAAGTCGTGGGCTGGATCTATTTTATCGCGGAAATCTCGACAACGAAAGCAGAAGCTCTCTCGTCGATCCCCAACTCCACCTCTCCGATACACTTCGCCCATCGATGAAGCTCCGACGTTCGAGTTCAATAAGCCAGACTATACAGGACCCCCAAAGCCCGAAATTCAAACCGATTTTGCATCCTGGAAGCCACGTAAGGTTGCCAGCCAAGAAGAATCGATGAGCCCAATCATCGATCTCGACGCTGCTTTAGGACCTTTCAATACACCCTCAAGCTTCGGAGATGAGTGGGATTCTTCACAGAAGGGAGCTAGGCGAAAGAAGGCAATGCATAGTGCTGCAGGTCTAGGTGGATTCACTGGTCCGGGCATGCACTATCACCGTCGTGCTGAGAGCGCTCCTGAGTTTGAGAATCCGCGCTTCGGACTTCATCGTCTGGGTAGCAGCTCTACAATGGGAATGGAAGATGTCTTTGAAGAAGATGAAGACGAGGAATGGGAAGACTCTAAAGCTTCGGATAAGGAACCGAGTATCAAGACCGGTGAAATCGAGGATGAAGAGGAGACAGGTTTAGGAATTGGCATCAAGGTCGTCGACTCTGATGGTCTCGAATCCGACAAGTCGATTGATTTTGAAGATCATCGAGGAATCAAGCGAAAGGATTCCAATCTGAGCGATGGCCGACAAGTGGGCTCTACCAAATCTTTACACTCTACTACGTCCCTGGTAGATGAGCCAATCGAAGAAGAATCGGGCAGTCCAGTTGAGATTGTTGACGATTCTATCCCTCCTAGACCAGACTCCGGAGCACAGTCCTCAGATTCGACTGCTACACCACCATTCCGAGCAAACGCAGTAAAGGGATTAGCACCTGTTGAGATCCAACCTTTCAGCTTGCAACCACCTTACCAAACTCCTGCGAGTCCTCGGTCTATCCCTTCATCGTTCCCATCTCCGCGCTCCCCATTTTCATATGATGCTCAGCGCATCTCAACCGCTCCATCATCTATCACTGATGAAAATGCCTTCCAGTCTCTCTTATTGGGTGAGCCAGGCCCAGAAGTCAGAATGTCGGTTGATGACGTTCCTTCCTTGACCAGCAGCAATTCAACGATGACTCGAGAAAGCGGCCATCCTGGCTTCAATAATCCTCAATTCCGCGACGGTCAACGATCTGCTTCGCTCTCATCGGCAGCTGTGACTCGTAAGAGATCCAGTATGGCTAGTTTGTCACGCCTGATCAGCAGCTCCCATGGCGAAAAGAGTAAACTCTCAATAGAGAATCGTGCTCCTACACCAGACGGCGAAAAGAAGGAGAAGGCGAGTAAAGGAAAACGCATCAGTCGTATGATGCAATTCTGGAAGCCAAAGGATACCTCCTCATAACCCGAACCTAATCCACCTCTCCACTCTCGACACCTCACAAACTCTTGCTCTCGCCCCGATATTGAACAACACCAGGCCTGTTGCTCAATATCATGTTGATGTATGGATGATGAACAAATGGATTTCATGTGCATATTTGATGTTTCGGACCACTTGATTTCAAGTTGGCATCCGTTTTCTTTTTTTCCTCGTCTACTTGTTACTGCGCATTGAGCAGATCTCTCGGCATTAGCATTTGGCACTGCGACGCATCTCTGGAGCTTATGCATTCAATCAGTTCTGCATGGTTTTCACAAACACTCCTGATTTGGAAAGATGGCTGCTTCTGCTTCTAGACGGCATCTGATAATACCAACATGGTATTTGCTCTTTTAATGATAGTATGGGTGGATTGAGTGGGATGATGGATGGATGGATGGATGGCAAGGAAGATGACTTAGCGGTTGAGTTTGTGCTTGCGATTTTTACCTTGCTAAGATGACAAGCAATGGCTTGGCATATTTGTCCCGACCCGACGAATTCATAGGGGATGAAGGGCAAATTCTTCGTTTCGTATCGAAATCTGATGGGATGAGATGATTGATAGGGAATTGGGGGACATGTATCCGAATCTGCTTGGTGCTTTTGCTTTCCATCCTAGTTTCCGACTCGAGACTGGGTGGAGTTTCGGCGCTGAGAGGATTTTGAAGCATGATTGCTGAAGCATATTGAGACGCTCGCTCGCACTATGATGCTGATGCGAATAATGAATATTACATATGAATTAGATTACATTCTCAAGTGACACATTCCTCGATGTGAGAATTTGGTCATCTCTATTTGATAATTCACTTGCTCCCATATGTGGTGAAGGTCAGCTACACAGGCTTGGTTGGATCGTTCATCAAGCTCTTCTCTCCCAAGCAGCAAAGCTAGAGCTTCGAATGAACAAAATGGTCTAAAGTTTCTAATACAAAGTCTAGTGGAACGGACCTTTTGAACCATCACCAATTCATCGAAACCCTAGACCCGACCAACTGCTCTTTAAGCCCATTCTCCACTTCCGCTTAGATGATACTCCCGCAGAACAAATCAGCACAGCAATACAAGCCAAAAACTTTCTCTCTCAGCCACCATGCTCCTGCTCCCTTGTCATTATTCCACATTCATTTCTTGGCAACTGCAGGGCTCAAGCGTTGTTGGAATTGGATTTTGCGCTATGTGTGAGTCCAGTAAGACAGGGAGGGGAGTGAAAAGAAGGTCTGAAGCAAGGATGGTTGGGTGAGTTGAAGGTTTCGCCACGGAAAGGTGGTTCTGGTTCGAGAATTTTTTGGCTTGGGTTGATTTTCTTGTCTGAGTGCAACTTTCGTGTGATGCGTGCACACTTTATTGATATGAGGGGAGCAACACACACAAGAAGTTGGTCAATTCTGAATTATCATAAAGATTAACTCCATTCAACCCCAATTCTTATTCTAACAAACCAAACTCCAGATCCCTAGTACTACTATCCAAACATAAAGATACTCGTCTCATCCCAACACATCTCCATTACCACATCCCCTTTCCTCTCCTCTCCCTCTTCTCCTAGTCCAGCCCAGCCTACTCTAAACAGGACTCCCACACAAAACATCACTCCAAACATTCGGCACATACGGATTCACACTCTCCAAACTATCCGCCACACTCGCACTATAGAGATTACACCTCGGCGCCCCCGTCCCATCCGCGGGGTAGAACTCGTATGAGATACAGCTTCCATCGTAGTTATAATCCGCCTGTTAATCACCATTTAATTAGCATTCCTTCATTCATTTACTCTCTTACCTCCCTCTCTCACTCTGACAAACACCTCAAGAAAATGAAAAATGAAAACACGAAAGGGAAGAGAAAAAAACGAACCAAACAAAACTCATAACACCCGCCCAAAGTAACCTCCTGCAACATATCATCCATATCATAACTCCCCATAAACCAATCCCCGTCCGCCAGCCCGTGCACGCCGCAGTGCAGCGCCGCCGGGTTCGGCGTCCCCGTCGGCGCGCTGGAGACCAGCGTCGTGGTTACGGGGACCGTGGTCGAGGGGTGTGTGATGGTTGAGGCGAGGGTGAGGGGGCTGGCGGAGATGAAGAGGGAGGTTTGTGAGGGGGGGAGGGAGAGGGTTAGTGTTGTTGTGGATGAGGAGGGGGAGGGGGAGGAAGAATTCAGGGCCTGGGTGGATGAGGAAGAGGAAAATGAAAAGGAGGGGAGGTAGGTTGTTGATGTTAGGGTTGTGGTTACTGTTATTGTCCAGGTGAAGGGGGAGTGTGTGGGGCAGCTTGAGCTTGATGAGGTTGAGAGCGCTGGCGTTGAGATAGCTGGTAAAGAGGTGAGGACTTCTATTAACTCAGTGGTGGACGTCGATATGTATGAGCTGAGAGCCGCGGACGAGAAAACTGCTATTGTCGTAGACAGGGCTCCTGAGCTGCTCATAGAAGAGCTCTCAGCCGCTACACTCGACGAAAGAGCCGCTGAGCTAGACGCTGCCAACGAGCTCGATAAATCAGCTGAGCTCGAAGCCGCGAAGCTCGATGAAACGGCAGCTGAGATCGAACTAGAAGCCGCTGGACTCGAGAAAGCAGCAGAGTTAGAAACAGCTACAGAGCTGAACGCAGCCATAGAGCTCTCAACAGCAACTATAGTCGTGCTAGCTGCCAACATGGACGAGGAGGCAGCTGATGAACTACTACTCATAGCAGCAGCAGAAGAAGTCACACACCCCACTTCTCCTTCTAGACTACACCAGAACGCAGCTTCTAGCGAAGAAGCTGCCGCCTCCACGGAGGAGGAGGAGGAGGAGGAGGAGGCTGCTGCTGCTGTAGCTAAGCCTAGGTAGGGAATTTTCAGTGATCTGGAAGAGAGAAATGAGGGAGAAGACAAACCTTCAGTGATGAACACTTCCACCGTCGTAACCGCCGCGTCGGTGATGAAGACCTCGATGGTAGTGACAGCGACTGCTGCGCTCGAACTAGCGGCAGCGGAGGGGAAAGCGGCTTGGGGGTGGTGTAGGGCGGTTTGGAGGACGATGTGTGTGCGAGTTATATATTCTCGGGGGTTTAGGTCCTAGTTAAATTTTTAGCTTGTTAGGTAAATTGTAGAAGAGTGTAGCGGAACTTACTAGATCTCTTTTATCCATATTTTGAGGAATGGCGTGTACTGCATTCAACAGCGCAGCAGCGCCGAAGAGGATCCCTAGATGCATGGTGAGGTGATGCTAGAGTAAAGACAGGCTGGGAAAGAAGAAACTGAACTCGTATCACCATAATGAGCAGGTCTGAAATCTCTTATATCGACTGCAGACTACTGAACGAAGGGGGTATCTTCAATATCAAGGAGGCGAGGGACTCTCAGCCAAGATAGGAAGAGTAAGGGGAAAGAAATCTCACAAGCGAATACAGGTGAAACCATCAACCACAATTCACTATCACAAGAACAAATATCTTCGGAATGCAATACAATTCTGATTGTCACTGATTCATTTATTGGATTTGCTTGCTTCCTCCCATAGTATGTACAAGCCTGTTGGAAAAAAGCTCCAGATGAATCGCCGCGCCTGAAAAAACGCCAGTTTGTACTTGCTAACACTTCAGCAATGCAATGCTGAGGGGTATCATGCCCAATAATTCTCGATTCTTGAGCAAGGAATATGCTATGCGCATTGAAAGCATTCCATAGCTTCTCTTCATCCTGTTACCCTCCCCGAAAATAGAGTTCTGTGCCTGCAGATGGTGCTACAAGCTGTCAAAGTCGCGCGCAATCAAAAAAACAAAAAACCTCCCTCCCTTATGCTGACCTGAACGCCATCACAAATTGTGAATGCAGACTATGTTCCTCCGTCCATGGTGTTCCTCGGATGCAAAGATTTCTCAACTTCCATCTTCCCAAATGGTGTCTAGGTTAAGATCACCCCTACGCTCTGCACCACATACAGACCAACGCTTTCTCTTGTCTCGTCCAAACGCAGCTCCGAGGCTTCTTCCACGAGTACCAGAAACGTCGAGATTACCCTTCGTCTTGTGCTCCTCACCACTGTCTGCCGCATCTGCAGCTGCCTTCAATTGTGCAATCCTCTCCGCCTCCAAAGCAGCTTCCTCTGCATCTGGTGAATCGGGTATGGTCTCCAAGCTCGAAATACTGGGGCTTCGTGATCGTGCGGAGGTGGGTGTGGAAGGTACAGAGGAGGATGCAAAGGAGCCCGGGTAGCTGTACGTGCCAGAGTAGCCACTCGTTCCTAGGAATGTATCACTGAATCTGGAAGATTGGTAGGATGGAGACGAAGTAACAGAGGAGGGAGTGGAAGGTGCGGTACTACCAGCTGCTGAATTCTGTGCAACGAGATAGCGGAGAGGGGAAGATGGACGGCGTGTTCGTGGGAAGTTGCTCGTCGAAGGGGGTAAACCCAAGATGGGAGAACTGCTTCGTTCCGTAGCTCTTGGTGTATAGTCGTCTGCAGCAGGACTTTCCGTCTCACTGATATCTCTCAAGCTTCTCATTGGCAGACCTGGGAATACCTCATCGACTGGCTTTCTTGGTGTACGAATAGGACTGCGGACAGGACTTGCAGGGCGCACTTGTGTAGTTACAGAAAGGTGACCAGAGGTATTGAAGCCAGGCATGGATTGAGCTCTGGACATTGCTGGTGCAAGAGCACTTGCAGAAGACTTCGATCGAAGGTGTCCTCGCGAGTATGGAGATGTGTTTCGTGGTCGGTAGGGTATGGCGGGAGAGGAGGTGACTGGTGATCGAGGGGATTGAGGGGTAGGTTCTGTCGATCTTCGAATCGTAGGAGGTTTCTTGTTGTCCCACTCATTCATAGACGTGTCTTGCGTGTCTAGCAGGCGAAGGGTGGGGACAGGTGAAGCTCTGAATTCTTCCATCCTCTCTGTCTCTGGTACCGGTTCCATGATGGTGGTTGGGGATCCAGGGGTCGAGGTAGGTGGGAGGGTTGGTGGAGATCGATATGGGGGGGACGAGGTAGAATATAGCAATCGCAGACTGCACACTGCAATGCACAGCCAGCAGGAAGCAAATTGTTGAGGAATTGTGCAATGGTGGATTGCTGTCAGAAGGATCCAGGTTGTCCCCGGCGTCTACGCGGTGGGAGCTGGGACTCGGGCATCCGCGATGCCAGCGTGAAGGAAGTATGCTTCTGGCTTTGGCGAAATGAACTGTAATAGTAGAAGGAAGATATGACGGGGGGGCGAGGGGTTTGTTATGAAGAAGATGATGACTTGCACCCCACGATGATTCCAGAAGCCATCTATGGGGCTCTAGAAGTGCAGAGAGTGGGCGCCAAAGTGAACGAAAGAGAAGTGGTGCAATCTTGTGGTGATGGTGGTTCTTCTTAGGAGAAAGTAGGGACTGAGGAGGTTCTGGGCCGGCACCAGGATGTTCTCGTTAGCGATTGATAGTGGCCGCATTCAGGCTGGAGAGGAAAAAGCTTCACAGGAACGACGACGGCGCGCAAAAATGAATGATCAAAATAGCGCCAGTAGATTGAAGCCGGGCAGTTCCATTATTGGATTTTAGCTGGCAAGTAGCAATTTGGGGCAGCACAAGTCCGGGGTAAGCGCCCAATAAAGGAATAAAGGCGTTGAAGCAGGGCAGATGATCGAGAGACCAATACTGTAAGGTTACCACATGTGCAAGATGTGAAAACTACTCTACCTAGACCCTGTCGACCCCAGTTCACGCCTCTTCTTCAGCATCTTTACTGTAGTATCTTCAGCACTGGCCCAACATCCTTCAACCTGCATATCGCCATGCACCGTCCAAACGTACACCGTGATCATGTCCAGTTATTTCAGCGCATCTCCTGTTGCCGTCGGCGTCGTTGCCATTAGTTTCATCCACCACAGACTCATGTGTCCTGCCTGGTTCATTCGGCCTGCATCCGCCGCCAGCTCCTGCTCGTGCTCGTGCTCGTGCTCGTGCGTGTGGTGCCTGCGCACTGCAAATCGAAACAGCTCTCGTGCAATTGGCCGTGTTTGTGATGTCTTGTCACACACCCGCCCAAAGATCATCACCGTCACGACTTACCTCTCCTATTTCCCCTCCCCTATCCGTTTCATGCACGCTGTTCAAGCCTTTGTTTGTCCTCATGTCCAGTGCTGGAAGCCGACTGACGACCGGTGTAACAGTCATGCAGGACCTTCGAGATCATTCAAGTATCACTTCATGCTATGTTTCAACTCTCTTACTGGCAAGTTGCAGGCAAAATCCCTCACTGAACCCCGTTTGACACCGGGAGACCGTGTATTCTTGGTCTGTCAATGCGGGCGCCTGCAGTAGATCTTGGACCATCGTCTATTCGAGCATTTAGGGGTCTCAAAGTCCCTCGATTCAAGGCTTGGTCTTTGCCCCTTTTCGAGTACTCAATCCTCCTTCACGGAGCCTCCGTGAAGGAACAATGAGAACTTTAAAATATCGTCACTCTCAATTAGCAATCAAATCCCTCATATACTTCTCACATATATTATCTATCCATCGCCACCTTGCGTTTGTAAAGCACTTTCTTTCTCTTGCCACTCGATGACAAGTCATTTCGGATATGGATGAATACCTATGCGTAGGACGAGCGGGTATGCATGACTACACGATCAGCTGATATCAAAGAGTACAGAAACGCCCCTATCCGTCTTGCTCTTACCATTTCTGCAGACGGCCAGCTTTGAGCTTTCCTGGTTATCAAGTCGGGAGGTGAAGTGAGACTTGAGTACTCGGAGCAAACAGCTACTGTCTCTGCTACGACCTCGGATAGACACCCCAGCGGCCGAGTCGAGGCATTGAGGTCTGTCTTGAGACAAGAACCAAATGGTATCTCGCTCATACCTCATTCATATGTTCTTACCCTCGTGCTACTCGACAACTCATAGCGTCTTGTCACACACGATATCGTGCTCTGATCAATCGACGACGGCTGGAATATATCCGAGGAAGAAGTAAGGTCGGCGGGAGGAACATAATGCAATGATCCGCAAGATACACAGAAACGGTCTCGATAGGACGTTTCCGATCGTCTCTTGGAAGACTTGTCTTAGAGCTGATTTGAGATATATCTTGGGGCCAAAAACTCTTCCTAGTCTGCTTGTTATACAAGATATCGGATCTTGGAATCGTGCCATGGGGCTGCATCTGAGGCCAAGAGTTTCTCCAACCTCTTCTGTGTACCTTTATCCCTCCCCTAGATTACTAGGCTCTATAAACCTTCATGGCCCTTTGAATCCATTGAAATCAGATTCTGTATTGTTGGAAGCCTCAATCTACATGCCCCAACCATGAGCATGAACATCTTGGAAGTATAATTCATAAACTAAGCTTTCAATCTGTAACATATTCCTTCATAATGTCGTCATTCTGGTTCGATCATCCAAAGAACTCCAACATGTACAAACAAACTTTGAAGAGATCAATTGTGAAGCTTTGTGAAGTGTACTGTAGATGTTTTTTCTCTATGTGTTATCTCGATAAGCATCAGCTCGTATCTAGGACCGAACTTCACCCCTATCCAAATCCGCTTAGAAAGTTTCATGAAACAAAACACCAAAGTGAAGCCAGCCGCCAAGCAGCCTCACTCGTTTCTTTTTCACACCTCAAACTTGCACAAAATACATACCCACGACATCGCATACTACCTCACGGGCGCAGTCATCCAGACCCTCTCTGGGGAGGATTGTCATAACCTCTAGGAAGAAACACGCACGACGCGACCAACACCTCCAGCTTCCGCACATGCAATTCCCCGACCTCGAAGACGCATCGAAGATTGAGGACACCCAACTGTACACATCGCCATGGGGCCCGTCCGGACATTGCGGCGGTCGAGTCCGATTACGATGGTAGTGGGCGTCGTGCTGATAATAACCATATTCGTCTTCATACTGTCGCCGTCGAGTTCCGATTCTGCGGCTTCACAACTGCGAAAGGCGAACGCGGCTTCGAATCCCCTCTCCCCTCCCACATCGCCGTTTCGGAAACAGAGCGAGAAGGCGAATGGGAAGAGGATACCGCCGCCCGTTGTTCATTATCACATGAATAATGTGACGAGCTCGCCGGATCCGGTGGGCAATAGGGAGACGATTCTTATTCTGACGCCGCTGGCGAGGTTTTATCAGGAGTATTGGGATAATTTGATGAAGCTTTCGTATCCGCATGAGCTTATCACACTGGGGTTTATGATTCCAAAGAATAGGGAGGGGAATGCGGCTACAGCAGCGCTACAGGAACAGATCACCAAGACGCAGAAGTCTGGGCCTATGAAGGACAGATTTGCCAGTATCATCATTGAGCGCCAGGACTTTGATCCGCCATTGGCATCGCAGAACGAGGCAGAGAGACACAAGATGGAGAATCAGAAGGCGAGAAGAGCAGCGATGTCAAGGGCTAGGAATTCTCTCCTCTTCACCACGCTCGGCCCGTCCACTTCCTGGGTTCTCTGGCTCGATTCGGATATTATCGAGACGCCCCCAACTCTGATTCAAGATCTAGCGTCCCACGACAAAGCGATCATCGTCCCAAATTGCTTCCAGAGATATACCGATTCCAAGAACAAACCAGCCGAACGTCCTTACGATTTCAACAGCTGGCAAGATAGCGAGACAGCGAGAGATCTGGGTGATAAAATGGGACCGGATGATATTTTGTTGGAAGGATACGCACAGATGGCTACGTACCGTACATTGATGGCATACATGGCAGCAAATGGCGGGGATCCTCGACAGGAAATTGCATTAGATGGCGTGGGAGGGACGGCATTATTGGTTAAGGCAGAGGTACATCGTGATGGGGCTATGTTTCCTCCATTCCCGTTCTATCATTTGATCGAGACGGAGGGCTTTGCGAAGATGGCTAAGAGGTTGGGGTGGAGTTCTACTGGGTTACCGAATTACAAGGTACTTTTATCTCTAAGTATACCCTGAGATCAAGATCGATGCTAATTTTATACAGGTATACCATTACAACGAGTGAGATGTCAGGCACAGATCCACTCTCATCTTCTTCGACTTAGATATTTTAAACCAGCAAGCCAAGGCTGGCAGCAGAGGGAGGAAAGCATCAGCTGTATTGTAACACAGCAAAAACATCAAAAGTTGTACAGGAGGAGCGATTGTGTGTACTCTTTTTTTTTGTGTAGTAGCGGCGTTCTTGTGGCATAGCATTATCGATCCTCTTGAGGCTTGTTATTATGATGAGAAAGCCTTGTGCATACCATAGAACGAGAATGCTTATTGTTGAGATATCCATATTAATCTTGGATTGCTTTTGAATTGTGTTTATTGAGCTGGTCTTTGAAAGTGTTGTTCCCATGTCCCGAGAATGTTCTCTTTTCGATTTCTGAAATTATGGCAGACATTCTGAAGCCTTCCATCTCTGACATGTGTCTGAAGTTTGGTATCCTCGCTCGCTCGCTTGCTTATACGCTCCTTATGCCATGATATCTGAACACAAACGCCCTTCCAACGAAACTCCATCAATACCACTCTTAGGTAGTCCTAGAATCCAAGTCATCTTTCCATCATAAACATTCTTTCCTCCATCTCCCTTCCCAACACACCACCTACCTCATTACCTCCAGATCCATCATCTCCAAACACTTCCCACCTCAACCACCAACACCCCCCTCCAACGCCCCCTCAAATCTCTCCTCCGCACACCAGTACCCAACCAACCCCCTCGCACCCACCACATCCCCCTGCCTCAGCAAAGCCCCCATCTCAACATTCAACGGACTATCCACGCCCGGCTCCGCCAGCAACCTAACCACGCTCTCCAACGCACCCACGACCCCCAACACAGGCGTCCAGTTCTCCTTCAGCACATCGAGACAAATCTCCCCCGTCGCCCACGCGATGTTCGGATGGCAGATTTTCGTCAGGAATGTGATGGTAGGCGGATTGTTCGGGTAGGTCGGAGGGATGCTGATAGAGAGCAGGAAGCGGCCGGTGGAGTAGCCGGTTGAGGGGGGGAGGTGGGTGGGTTGTAGGATGCAATTTAGCGAGAGGAGGTTTGAGGGAGTGGGGAGGAGGGAGTGGATAGAGGGGTGTGGGGAGGTCGGTGGGTAGGTTGTGTTGAAGGCGGTTAGTTCGGTGAGGATTCGTTTTGTGGGTGTGCGGGAGGAGGAGGAGGATGAGGAGGAGGATTTTGAGGGTTTGGACATCGTGTGAGTGGTGTGGGTGGTGGACTGCTGTTTAGAGGGTCGGTAGAGTAATGCTTGAGGTTGTATCGTTGTAGGAGAGGTGAGAGGTTAGAACACTCTTTGTGAGCAGCGGCAAGAAATGGATCGTATCTCCAGCTAATCGTTGCGAAGGTCTGAAGCTGCGTATCTAGCTTATAATCTTCTCCTCCTATCTCGTTGTCGTCGTCGTATTGATCGTCGTCGTCGTTGTGTACCTTTAATTGACAATCGCAAAGTGAAGCTCAAGCTCGAGCCGCGATGATCCAAAGCTCTGTCGTGCCTCGGCTCAATTGGTCAAATCTCTCTCGGCTCGGCGAAACAATCTTCCTAGCCTTCTTCGCCTCGTCACGCCTTGCCTCCTCTCAAATCCTCATCTCATGTCAGACAACGAGAATACGAATGTCAATCTTCTGATCCGCAGCCAATGAACAGCTGATGGGGCTTCATCACGTTTTCGGATTTGATCTCGTTACGCTCGTTACTATAGCATGTGTAGGTTTTCCTGGCAGGGCTGTGCTTCAGCCTTCAGCTCTCAAGTGAGGTCTTGGCGAAGCCGCCGTGGAGGAAGAAGCATATCCATTTCCTCGGGACGTTAAAGCTACTTTTCAGCATGTACCTATATTGAGAAGTGACTTGGGACTTTCTGGAAGATTTTTGCTAGCGCATGGTGCAATTTGAGGCGAAAGCTTGAGTTGCTGCGAGTTGCTTACTCAAGAGGTCTTTTGCACTCTCAGACTTTCTTTGGGGATTCGGACACGGCAGGAATTTGGATGCGTGCCACTCATTATGATCTGCTTACTTATTTTATGTTTACTACGTCAGAAGTTTGGGATGGCTCATCTTCTCCCATTTTATGGTGCTGGAATGTTGTCATGTAGCTCAAGACGACAGCAAGGGCGACACTGTTTCGGTTGAACGAATTTTTCTGCACCATTTTATTTATCAAGTGTGTTTCCTGTAATCAGTATTGTAAAAGTTGTTGTAGTACAAAATACAATTTCGTGCTCCTTTCAGTATTCTAATGATCACCTGATCCCAAAATTCCCTATGTCTTTGAACCGTCAAGTATCTGCGAAGCCGGTGACCGGATACCCCGAAATACCTCCCTACGAATCATATTCCGGATTCCAGACTTGGTAATCTTGTCTTGAGTACGACGTGTGGAGCAAACTGCCTTACCGCGGGTGCGGCTGCTTTCATCCCAAAATGCTGCGCCTCACAGCCACAGTCCTGACCGCCGGTAAACCCCTGATTTTCCGAGCAACAGCCACTTAGGGCTTATTTACTAGGACAGAAGGTTAATGGCACGTTACTATCCCAGCTCAGCCTTATGTCTCTCATGACTGAAATTATGTTCCGAGAACCGCCATCTGCAAGCACGATTGGCGAGCGGTAATGATCCGTCTCGTGTTCAGTACCGGCTTGCTCCTTGCCCCAAAATAGAATTGACATCACTGATGGCTAAGCTTGCTGACAGTCTCGTGTTGAGAATGTTACTGCTTGACGCCTCCAAAAGGAAAAGATATAAAATGGAAGTCACAACCCACGAGAAAGAACATCATCACACAGCAAGCACATTCACAATACAAGCATCTCATCCAAACAATCTTCACTCTCATCATTAACAACCAAAACCAACCTTCAACCACTCAGACCAACCTAAACGTCAATATGCGTTTCACTGCTACCACCGTTGCCGTCTTGGCCTCTACCCTCATCTCCTCCACTTCCGCGATCATTACCGGGGTCGAAGCTCCTTCAACCGTCTACGCCTACAACCCATTTACAGTCACCCTCACCACCGCAGACTACATCCAATCCGTCTACGATGTCGCAGTTGCCTTCGGTGTAGCACCAGGAGCTGGTTACCCCGAGTCTCTCGGAAACGTCATGTCTACCGCCTATCTCGGTCCCTCAAAGAGCAACATCCTCACCCCCATCACCTTCGACGTCACTCTCCCATCTGGCACCCAAAACGGCCCGTACACCTTGTCTGCTGAGGTCTTCAGTCTCTTTGGTGCTGCTTATTCCGGATCTGTTTCTTCCTTCAACACTACCATCACTGTCGCCGGTTTCTAAATTTAAGAGAGTCTGTGGACTAGATGGGGAGAGATAGAATAATTTGCATTGCTTTGGAGTTTTGTTAAAGGCGGGCGGGGCTCGGCATCGGTGCATTACACGGTCATTCATTAGCATTAGCATTAGCATACAGGCGGCGCATGTAATTATACCTAAAATATTAGAATGGCATTCCTCGACAGACACAAAATCATTTCTTGCCCTTGTTTCTTGCCCTCTTTTATGATTCTTTGCTTAGCCTAGTGATGACTGAAAAGGAATCTTCTTTGTCAATTCCACCTGACTATGCGCAATGTTGACACTAACTTCCACTTACTCTGAACATTCCCGAGACGAAGTGTATTTCAGTATTCAAAAGATCCATCATACATTTACTAGTAAGAAGCTTTCTGATATTTCGAAAGAGAACTCGACCGACTCTCTGCCCTCCAATCCCATCCCATACAACTTAAACAGGCAACATAACCACAGCCCTCTCCTCACTCTGCCTCTCAGCACTCAACCTCCTCGTCTCCCCCACAACAACCTTCGCTTTCAACGCACTCCTAATCTCCTCCTTACTCCTCCTCTTCCAATCCCCCTGCGGACTATTACTCAACGGCCAAAGCACCTTATTAACCCTCTCGCTCCTCTTCATTAAATCAACAAAACTTCCATCAGCCCTATACGAACTCATCACCACATCCAAATCCCTCCTGATCTCGTCGCAGAAGTTGTTCAGGGGGAGATCATTCACGTTGTTGCCGAAGGGGATCTCGAGCTCGTTGCCCATGGCTTCGAGACCGAGGATGATGTAGGCAGCGACCATGGTAGCGGGAATGGTGTTCCAGCCGAAGCTGGGGAAGAGTTGAAAGGGGAGGATGTAGATGTAGAGGACGACGACTTGGGAGATGAGGGTCGCGTAGCCGATGGGTAAAGGGGTAGCGAGGACGCGGTTCGCGGTTGCGATGGTATCTGTCACGGCTGCCATTGCGTTTAAGACTTGACCATAAATGATGGTGCTGCTCAAAGTGCCGTTATTGATCACCATTTCAAAGTAGGCACTTAAATCTAACATGACTTCGTATGGCAGATTTCCAACTGGCTTGATGGAGCGCTTGATGGCTTTGCGAGGATTGCTGGTAGCCATGTTGAGGCCGAGGCACTCTCCAATTTCCTTCCATCTGCTTATGGGATGTTTCGGGTTCTGAAGACCTGGATGCTCTGCCGCCTTCGCAAAAGTATCGAGATGTCCGACCAGGCTCACCATGTCAGGGTAGAAAGTATAAGGTTCGAATCGGAGTTGATGCTTCACAGAAACTGCGAGAGCATGGATGAGGTTGATGGCGGTTCTGGAAGGTGGTCAGGACCAGAGGAACAACCCTGAAAGAATGGCTTACATCTTGGCCATTAAATCTTCTTTTCCTTGATCTCCTTCGCGTTCTAGGACATGCACCCAGATGTATCTAGCCAAGTTACGACTCTGGACAGTCAACGCCGTCCAGCATTTGCGACCTTCCATGTAACTTGAACCGTCAGCTAAAGGCGTAGCATTCAGAAGTTGATTTACCGTTCGTAAGCTGTTGAGCCTCGAAAGCTCAGAGACAGGCCAACAACGAAACCAAGAACGGTCAAGAGAATGCTCGAAACACCCACTGCGATAATATTAGCTTCTTCTTGCTGGAAACATACCAATCACACTAACGTGGCTTCGTGTGTTTCGAGACACCTGTAACAATGATTGACCAGAGCGTAATGATAAACATAGGTAGAAGCATCCTTGGTGTAATGCTTCCATGCAGACGCATGAATGTTGGCCACTTGGAATGTTTCTCCATTGCTCTCGGTCCGACCTAGACATTTTGTCAATGTTCAACTCTAAGCCAAATATTAGATATGTCATACGAAATACCCATCTATATTGATGTCGACATTTGGAATCTTGAAGTCCACGTTCGGCACATGCAAGTCCCCAGTATTCATGGATTTGATGCCCTTCATACCAACCCACATCGGATGTGAGAACATCCTTCTCGGTGATGCTGGACTCGACGAAGGCTCGATCTTGTCTTCGAAAGCAGCAACATGTTCCCTGACTGTAGTCTTCTCATCTGCAATATCGTCAGATCCTGATGATTCGATTCTGCTTGAGAGTGCTGCTTCAAGTCGGGCAATACGAGGATCAGGCTCGTTTGCTTTCATGAGGAGTGCTTCCAGGCGAGCAAGGCGAGCTTCGAATTCATTGAGTGGGTCTACAGTTGTGTCTGGGAGTTCCGGAATCTCGGGTTTCTTCTCGTCGAAGATAGGTACGGAGGAAGTAGATGGTCCATTGTCCACAGAAGAAGTCACCGCTGTGCTGCTGTCTACAGTCGTAACGACAGCAGCATCGAATCCTCCAGCATCACCTCCGGAGTCCATTGTGAATTGTAGTTCAAACTTCCAACAAGCCGTCCCTTATTGAGGATCCGAAAGAGGTCGATGATCGAAATCAGATAGAGCAGTTCCTCTGATCTTTATGGGCCTGAACCGTGTCTGGCAACGGCAGACACTGTCTGGAGGCGCTCACAATAGTTTACAAACATAATTCGAGTATAGCCTATCGCCAGCATCCGTCTTTCGCAGTGGCCAAACTGTACGAATAATGAACACATATAGTAGCCACGACTTTGGCGAGAATGCACGACAATGAAATGTGCTGCCGTTCTTGAACACTGTGGTCGGGATTCGCTGTCCGAGGACGGCATCGTGATATAAGATCCTCCATTGGAGGCTTATTGTCTTGAATACAGTACGATGATAGGGATACGCGAAAGACGTGGTGGAGAGTAATGGAGGTCTGAGACAAGTCATGATCAAGTGAAGCCAATATTTTCATCGAAGAGTGAAAATGACATCGTCAAAGATTATGGAATAGAATTTTTCATCACCTTTCAGGCAACATAAGCAGCAGTGAGGAGCAAGGTCGAGACCAGAAAATTCTTGCAGCATAATAAGGGAGCAGCTTAAGAGATCTTGACCTTCGATTTGGTCCGCTTTCGGGTAGGACTTGCTTCTTGAGGCTGAGACATATACTTCGGTCGACCCGTGCCGTCATAGTAGATCTTGAACGGGGTGGGGGAATTGGTTTCAACAATTCAGACATTGATTGGTTCTGTTTGAGCCCTTCATGACCAAACAGCAAAATTTGCCACTTTCCACCTTTACCAAAGATACTGTACATGTCGGCTTCTTGGATATCCTGCCAATGATCCGGAGACCGAGTAGCGAAGATCTATTGTCGTCTAGCTCTGCGACCTGTGACGAAGTCCGTGACTGATCGTAAACCAATTTCTAGGCTCTTAATGGAAGAACATGTTGCATAGCAACTTCTCTCCTGCAAAGCGGACACTCGGGCTTTTCTCTCACCCAGTCACCAATACAAGCCCAGCAGAATATATGACCGCAGCTCACTGCACTGGGATCCTTCAGTTCCTCCAGACATAACGTACACTTCCTGTTCTGTCCCTTGATCCAGGGCATAACCTCCGCTTTACTCAAGTCATACCTTGGCCCCTGCAACACGGCCGTATGGGTCGTCTTTCCAACTTCGACACTGCTATGTTGAATGTAATCTCCTCCTCCTGATTCGAACAGCAACTCATTATTCGAGGCCATAGCATGAGGGTCGAGAGATATTTCTACCCCTCCTTCTAAGACCGCACTTCCACCCATAATACTATTTGCATTCGCTGGGACCGGATTTCGTATCGTATTCTGGAGATGTAGCCACGTCTGAACACTCATCTGCAACACCAACAGCACCCCCAAAACTTCGTAGCCAACCCTAGCTTCCGAAGGAGCTATCCTCTTCGTGAAGATGTATCTCAATCCCCATAATCGTTTCGAAAGCTGGTAGTACGCACCAGAGAAATAGAATATCGTCAAAGTCAGAGCGTGTATTGGTGACGGAGAAGTGATTGTTGAAAGGTGCTCGAGGATGTATGCTTGGATCTGGTAGCTTCTGGTTGTGGTCTGCTTATTCCGTCCCATCCGCCGTAGATTTGCCTCTAATTTATTCCGTATTCTTGAACGGAACCCGGGGAGTACCTTCGTCAATGAATATGGCAGCAGTATGCTCGTGAGGATATATCCTGCTCGTCTTTCGATTGCGGGTAGCTTCAGAGTGTCGTCCTCGATTTGAATAATATCACAGTACTCTTCTCCCAATGTTCTGTTTCCAATGAATGTTGTCAACCCAAGGTATAGGAGTTCAGAAAACGTTCGAGCTTCGGACGTGTATGTATGCAGGAATCGAGCGCCATACAGCCGCCTAAGTAGATTCGACAGATGGTTGAGTAGGACTCCTTCGAAGTATGCATCTTTCTGATGAGCGCGAATGATATCCGGAGCTGCTGCAAAGGGGTAGTTGAATGTAGGCGCTTCAATCACCTTCTCTGATATATGGTCTGTCATTTTGTAATTGTCTGTCCTTGAAAACAACTAGAAAAGAGCTTTGCCTCAGAAACATCAGCAGCACGAAGAACACAGACCTCGGCATGTCAATATCGGCTTGTTCCGCCGTCTCACCTTAAAGTGTGGCTTGAGGTTTAAGTGGCTAGTGTTGCGGCTAAGAATAATTCTCAGCCTCGAAACATAATCTACGTAACTCATTCCTCCCTTTCTCCCCTATACACGAACTGAGCTCGACTTCCCTTCTCTCACTCCAGTCATTCTTTTCCCTTCGATGCGGCGCTCATTTCTGCGATAACAATGGATGGAGACCCGGCTGTGGAGCCTGAGCTTGACTCCTTCAGTTTGACGCTGCCTTTACCTTATAGAGTTGCTTTGGTTGTAGTGTTAGGTATGCTTCTGTGCTCTGTTTGCTTGGTATCTTCTCTGTCGCATTCAATTTAACTAACATTTGGACAGGCGTGTGGGCTTGGGGCGCAAATCTGCATTTTCTATCACTGCTTAAAATTGTTTGTTCTCCTCGAAACACTTGTCCCCCTTTGCGCCCATCACTAACATGCTTTCCAGGACGTGCCCGCTCTCCTACACTACCCACCACGCACTTCTCCTCGAACAGATCCTCCACATCATCTGTCGACTTATCGACTCGCCTCACTCCTCACAATCCCTCTGGCCCTGTCCCTGTTCCTCTTCTGGATCCTCTCTCACCGAAATCCGACCCTGGTAATCTACTACGATTTCCTCCCAATATCCTACCTCTGTGTCCTCTTAGGGCTGTTCCTCCTTCCACTCCGCCGATTCAGCTCCAGCGGACGGACGCGCTTCCTTACTACCCTCCAACGAGTCTCTATTGGGGGTCTCGCCCAAGCTCATGACGGGAAATTTGGCGATATTCTGTTGGCAGATGTATTAACATCTTACGCCAAAATCATAGCAGATCTTTTCGTCTCACTATGCATGTTTTTCCGTCCAGACGGTTCCGCAACGAGAAGACCAGATAGAGGATGTGGAGGCCAATATCTGGTTCCTATCATTATAGCGATCCCTTCATTGATCCGGTTGCGACAGTGCTTGATCGAATACGTCCGAGTACGAGCTTTAAATGCTAGGAATGGAGGCACAATAGGACATCACGGATGGGGAGGCCAACATCTTGCCAACGCCCTGAAATACGCATCCGCTTTCCCAGTCATCCTCTTCTCTGCTCTCCAACGAAACCTATCCATGAACCACGCCAACATAGGCCTCACAGAAGTATCCCTCTACCGCTGCTGGGTCATAGCCGTATTCGTCAACTCTTTCTACTCCTTCTACTGGGACGTAGCCAAAGACTGGGACCTAACCCTCTTCTCCTCCCTCTGGTCTCGCATCCATCCCTCCTCAAGAACAGCCTACACGCCCCTAAACTCCCACTCCTCCTCCTCTTCAACCTCCGCTTCCCATCCCCAAACCAACCAACCCTTCGGTCTCCGTCCGCGTCTCTACCTCGTCTCTTCCACCGTCTACTACACAGTCATCACCCTCGACCTCCTGCTCCGCTGCACGTGGTCCCTCAAGCTGTCCCCGCACCTAGACCACTTCGCCGATTTCGAGTCCGGCATCTTCCTCATGGAGTTTCTGGAAGTGGGGCGCAGGTGGATATGGATCTTCTTCCGCGTGGAGACGGAATGGGTGCGGAATACGGGGTCGGGCGGTGGGAGTGGTAGTGGGGGTCTGCTGGGAATGGGGATGGGGATCGAGGATGGGGTTTTGTTGGGGGATATGTATGGGAAGGATGATGAGGATGATTGATGGAAGGGATCCTGATGAACATTTATGTGAGTCGGGTATTTGATGGTTGTGACTTGGAAAAGCACCTACAAATAAATGATGGTGGGGGAGTGAAGATGTCGATTCGTGAGGATGGTGTACGATATGGATGTTCTTCAGATGTGGAGCATTGAGAATAGTAGGTGGAAGATTCTCGAAATCATCCCAAACAGAGGGGAAATCGTTGTAGAACAAGGTGTTGGCATGGAAGGCGTTGATCTATATACCACCTAGAAAGTTGAATTGTATTAAATCGCAAATCTGGACAATTGAAATCGATAGACCCCGGGACATTTCAAAATAGAATGACAAACTTGTCAAGAAAAGGGTAACAAGGGTACAGTTTTGAACAATATATTTGTTATCGATAGCCACTCACTCATCTATTTATTCTACGCCTAATCCCATCCACCGCAGAAGCAATCCAAACCAGACAGGAGGAGGGTATAGGCATGCTAGTTCCAGGTTTCCTAAATACTATATTGTTGACCACCCACCAATGAATGACCATCCCATCCTGAGAGCCAATGAATTCAATACCAGTACGCCGGATTCGAAGGATGAACAGCGAAAAATAAAAACGAACAATCTTTTGAATAGACAAACGACCTCCATGAATGGGTACAAGTAAACTCCAGTCCTGAACACCAGAAAAGTATCAGACTGCCGGCCATGTATGGTGTCTGTGTGGGAGAAAGAAACAAGCTTGGAACCAGGACCAGATGCAAAGTCCTTCGCCTTGTCTGCGTTTCGATGCAGGAAGGAAGGAAGACTGGTTTGGCAGACTAATCAAGTATCTTAGAGCCGAACGTGAGGTATCGTAGACTGAAAGTTGGGCAGCCCTCATGCTCGCTCAATCATCTTCGAAGTCCTTGTCCTTGTCGCCCTTGCCGGGACCGTCTTTGCGAATTGGAATCTTGATACCTTGAGTGGCAAAGCATTTACTGAGACCGGTGCTCTCCACAACACCGGGGAATCTCTTGGCAGAGTACACGGTGAAGCTTTCCGAGAAGCACGACGCCAGAACAGGCGCTCGGCCAGTGTTGACAGTGGTCGAGGAGACATTCTTTCCTGGTCCAGTACTAGCAGAACCTTGAACGCCAACATTGACGAAGGAGAAGCGGAGTCTGTGATAATTAGAATAAATTGTGCAAATAACGAGTGACACCTACCGGAAAGCGCCTTCTGTTCGAACAGAGAGGTCTTGAAGAACAAACCAGATTCCAATCTTGTCCTCTGGATCGGTCAACCTGAAGGCGCTGGCTGCAAGGCTTCCGATAAGATTTCTGGTGAACATGCCTTGTGGCTGACCACTGTTGACCGGAGCACGTTGGACAGCCATGTCTGCAGGCGTGTATTGACGATTGCCGTATGAAAGTTGGTGCTGGCCATACTCAGCTCCTTGGGGAGGAGGAGCTCCATGAATACCACCAGGTGTTGTGGTATAATAAACACCTTGAGGTGCTTGGGAGTAGCTTTGCGGAGTATATCCTGATCCATTGGTAGATTGGGAATAGCTTTGGTATTGAGAGCCATTGTTATATGGAGCTGGTTGACCATTGCTGTAAGGGTTCACTTGCGGTTGGTTGGGATAAGGATTATATGCGCCTTGTTGTCCTGGTTCAAGCTTGAAGGGTTGCTGTTGTGGAGCAATGTTTGAGTAGACTCCTGGGCCGTCTTGGTACGAAGCAGGGGTAGTAGAAGAGATTCCAGGTGAAGAACCAGAATGGCGGACCAGGTTGACTTCCCGGTGTCCAAACTCGTCCCAGAGATCTACATTCAAGACGAACATGCCATGCTCGATTTCGCTATGAACTGTCAACTTGTGTTCTCACAATGGCTGCAATCCACTTACTTGCAGTCTACCTCCTTTCCGGTAAGAATATCAGTTATTATCAGTCGAACACAAGGTGGAGGAGTGATTGGGCGTCGATCCTGCATAACGTTAGCTAAAGAAAGGACTGAGGCGCAAGAAGATTCCTGCTTGGAGCTGCATACCTTGTCTCCAAACCCACACATGCGAGCACGTCGGGGCTGTTGGACTACTACAAGCCTGAGAACCAACTTAGCAATTGTTTCTATGTATTCTCTGCAATGGAGCATACTCATATCTGCGACCATCGTGGGTCAAAGACTTGACTAGGGGAGGTTGAACTGCTGGCTGGGTGCCCGAAGCCAACGGAGCCAACCCATCCTGTACCTGCATTGCCTCTGGTGGAGGGGCTCTCGACACCATAGCGTGGTATGGATCATAAGTCGAGTGCTGACCCATTGGCGCATTGTGGGATAGAGGATATTGGGGCGCGCTGCCTGGAGCGACAGGACGAGGTCCATCATTGGGATTTTTTGAAGGAGTTCGGCCCATGTCGTGCGGTGGTGATGATTGCGGGGGGTATCCTGGATACATGCTGGTGGTGGTTTCGCAGCAACTGTGGTGCAGCTGGTAGATAGTATTTGCAGCTCGAGCTTCACGGGTGAAGCTGCGTGCGAGGTGTGCTCGACGGTTCGCGACTCGTCTCGTCTCGTCTCGTCTCGCTCGGTGACGGAGGGTGCGTGTATGTGGAGGTAGTAGAATTATGGTAGCGACTTATGTCCAGCCGCACACTCGTCGATTATAATTCGCGATTGCGACAGGTAACGTTGCAGTATGTGAATAGAATTGGCAGATGATGGAAGATGTTTGTATAACAAAGCTCGAGGATCTCTGGGAGTAGGACGGGGTCTGAAGTTCGAGAGTCGAGAAAGTGGTTGTGGTGGTGGTGAATGATGTATTGTAGGTAAGTAGGTAAGTAAGTTTGAAGGTCCGTGGCCTGGTTGAGGTCGGTGTCGGTTTGACAAGTGCGGTGCCAGTGCGGGCTTTCGCGAGTGGAAAGGGCAGCCCGAGGCTGGAACCGTCTTAGTGTCTGCTTAGTGCGTATTTAGGGCCGTCTCGCGGGCTGGGGGCGCAATGGCAGACGATCTCCCGGGGATGGGGAAGGGAGCCAGGGAAGGGAGACCTAGACAAACACGACCGTCAGATATCCGACAGACAAAGATGCGTATTCCTTTCCTTACTAGTACTGTATGGGTCGGTACGGGTCGGTACCTAGGTACGCAAAGATACGCAATACGAGACCAAGTGAAGAAAGACAAGGCAAAGCACCAGAAATAGTCGCAGTGTCAAGTCTGCCACTCGTGCAGACACTGAGACCGGGAGTGGTGCGATGATGTGTATTTATACATACATTATACTATGTCTCGATTGGTATCTACACTTCTGTAGGTAGCCGACAAGAGAGGAGGAGAAAGTCCTTGCGAGCAGATATTTCAAGACTCATGTTCATGTCAGAAAAGAGATGGACATGCCGCGCATCGTTCCAATGAGTCTCTCGCCCCAACCGAGAGTTGATCCTGCGCATGCTCGTGTATCTACCAATCCCCACTGCTCCCACAGGCTTGTCTCCGGTACGGGTTACGCAGGAGAGACGAGGTTGTGGTCTGGAATAACTCGAGTGGTGCCGCGTGCAGCCGTTCTGCACGCCCGTTGGGACCCAAAAGGGACTTTTCTACGTGGCCGGGTCGGGTCTGCTGTCGAAGGGAGGCGTAGTCGACACAGACATCCTGTCGGTCTGAGTCCAGCTTGGAACAGCTGGGAGCACCCTCAGTCAGTGATCAGAGGTAGAGCCGACCTGCAGTCCCTGCACACCAAGGGCCGGATTGAAATGTGCTGTGCGGTGCGGTGCGGGGCGGGTGCGGTTACTTGGGTGGTGGCTTGAGTTGGGATGCAAGAAGTGGACGCAGGGTGAGCGCACTTCTTCGCAGTGATGGAGGATGGATGGGGAGAGCGACAATGATGCTGGCGCACTGCCGTGGACGATTCCGCTGATCTGGTCGAACAGGGCTGGAGAAGCAGCCACGGCTATGCACTACAGTACGATCGAAAGAGTCACCTGCAGGTTATTGGGAGAAGGATTCGAAAAGCCAACATCCCCGTCGACATGGCTGAGAAAGCCGGAGGTGCATGAGAAGTTGCTGATGTCTGTCTTGCAAATGGACGACTCATTGCCCTTATTCTTGGATTCGACAGTGGGACTGTGAGTGGGAGTGGGAGTGGGAGATCAGGGAAATCAAGTCATCGCGGTCCAAGCATAAATCATGTCGGATCGTCGGATCAGATGAGATGAGATGAGACACGACGAGACGAGACGGGATGGGATGGGATGGGATGAGATGAGATGAGAATCTCAGGGCAGAAGAAGGAAATACAGCATAGTACCTACTGTACAGTACTGTAGATTCGCTAAGTCCTCGCTACTCGAGCCTCTCTGGTTTGGTGGGTCCAGCACGGTCCAGTCCGTACGATAAATTACTTCGGCTTCCAGGCCTTCGACGGGATCGCTTGTGGCTGGAGCCTAGCCAAAAACGCCGACATGGCATCGAGGCATGGTGAGGTGAGGTGAGGTGAGAATGATGGAGGAAGGAAGCACAGATCAGAGATTGACCATCCCCTGCGCTTTCCTATCTCAACCTTGACGTCGCTTCCTGTATGCCTGTCTAGCTCTCCGTCGCCTTATCCCTTCTCATATTTCCTACTCGCTCGTTCGCGCACTTACCCGTTTGCAATGTCTCATTACTGTACACCTACCTCCCTACCTCCCTACCTCCCTCCCTACCATCCCTATCTCAGATCCCTTCAGTCTCCAGGCTCGGTTCCAACTTCGGCTTCTCTCTCCGTTTGCTCTCCCGGAACCGTAGTCATCTGTCCAGGGTGAGTGATGCCGAAGTCTCATTCCAATCGTGGCAAGTCTCGGCTCCAGTGAACGTTCATTTGGTACCAGCAATTGCCGACTCTGGGTTGCATCGAGCAATTCGCAACGAACTACTGTACTTTCCGCCTCCAATCCGACAGGGAACACCCACAATCTATATTGGACCACCAATGAACACCAAACGAGGCTCTACAAACGGCGGTGTGGTGTAACCTGGATGACTTCCCCTCTTCTCTTACCGGTACAAAGGACCCCGACCGAGAGCTTGACGGTTGTTGAACCTGGTGATGACAGGTGCGAGACCAAGGGAGAGAACGTCCATTGCATATTCCTGGATATCCCTCAGGATGGAATAGCACATGCGTATCTTTTCACTTCGGCGCAAATACAGTAGCGCGAATCGTGTGACAGTCTCACCGACCCTCCTGCACAACACAACTGCCTTGCATATGCCGAGCCACCAGCTCGTCGGCCTTCCCTCACACTCAGCCATTCGGGAACGCCAAGTGCGCTTCCGGAGCCCAACTACAGGGTCTTGGGTCTCTCCTCGATGCGACATCGTGCGGGATGATTCTTCATGTTACTGTATGGGCGTGCTATCGATAAGTGGCGGTGCGAAGTGGCAGCCTTGTCGTCAAGTATCAATAGAAGTTCAGGGATACTAAAACGACGTTACAGTATCTCGCTTATTTTGCCCCCTTTTGTGAATTCTGAATTTTGTCGGGTCGGGTTTCAAGCGCTTTTCGGTTCGTCTTGCGGAGGCCGTAGGATGGATAGGCAATGCCAAAGCGATGCGGAGTTTCGAAAGGCCTTCTGCAGGTTCTATTTTGCGTTTGACTCTCTTTCAAGGATGCCTGGGAATGATGGCTGCATGGCTGCATAGCTCCATAGGCTTGTTATCGATATCTCATAACCACCAGGTACAGAGAGTTTGGTATCTTGAGCAAGTTCTGCGTTTGTGGCTTTAAAAGTGCTGTTAAGCTCAACGGCCATTCTGTTTAGCGCTTGCTCGCTCTTAAACAGATATAGCAATTTCTCACAAGTTTCTGATGCCCAGGGACAATGCTCAAAGAATGGACAGGACATGCATCAGGAAAGAACTTTGATTTTACATACCACATCTCTGTAGTCGGAAGCTTTCCTTGCCTAGCTAGGCGGCATGTTGAGCAGCTACGACTGACCTCTTTGTATTGGTCAATCTGCGCCACCTTGGACGCTTGTCATCGTTGTCTTCCGTATTCGCTAGCCACAATGCAGTCATGCAAGTCATCACCACATCACGTGTTCTTCACGAGTGGTACCAGGATTTTGTCTTAGTTGCGTCTATTTCCACCGGAGCTGGCTTATAAGCCACATCTGCTTATTATTGATGCCGTTTTTGTGTCGATCTTGACATTGAGTGATTGTCTGAAACGGAAGTCCCGTGGAAGCTCCATGGTCCATCTCTCTCTCTGCTAGGCTCCTCACCGAAGCCTAGTGGAATGTCACTAGAAGACATGTATTCCAAATTTGCAGAAGCTATAAACGCCTCTAAGATTTGTGGCTTCCTGTTGTGTCATCTTACGTGCCGAATCTTTTCAAATGATCCAATACCACGGGCCAAGACCCTGACTCGGTGAACCCTGATCTAGGTCATAGCTCCAATGAGGCTGTTGTCGAGAAGTACTCGAGGTCGACGATCAGACAATGTGTGAAGAAGCACAGTACTTTCCTTTCTCATTGCCCGCATGCTGCAATACCACCTTCCATATGCTTGTTAAAGCACTTCTTAAAAACAGGCCATAACCCATTTCTCTTTAGTGAGATCCAAGGATTGACGTTACTTTGACCCCTCCCTCCCGACCACTCGGTCGGTACGTGCTGACATTGTGCCGTGTTGGAAGCTCGACACGAACCAATACGGCCGTATTCTTCTGGATCTTCAAACAAACAATCGGTCCCCACTGCATGTTCGGAAGCCCTTCATCACCTGGTTTCATGTTTTGGTAGCCGGAAGGCGCAATCTGTTGCTCCTAAACTTCTCAAGCTCAATCTTGGCAATTTTATGAACCGAATTGCGTATCTTGTAGAACGCAATTACTCGTACTTTCCAAATAATCTCACTTTCAATGACTTGCTGGCAATTGATTTGTTGGATTTCGGTACTTGCTGACATCCCACCAATGTTTAGACAAGATTTCGTCTCTCAAGAGTCGGAGAAATCTCCGAGTCACAGCAGCGCCCATTCCCAAGGTGTTGGGAAATCCAAGTTCCAGAATATCGCGTCGACTTCCCACGCCCAGGGCACTGTTATCCTTCTCGTTCATAACTAGATGCATCTGTACAATACCCAAGGTCAATTGCCGAAGTGGCGTATTGAATTGTGCATTGGTCTCGAAAGATTTGTGCTCTTGCTATCGAACGTCGTGTGTCAAAGCAACTGTCGTCAGCATTTTCAGCTCCGAGACCGTTGCTTCCAACACATGTCGAGTACTTTGAGAGCAAATGGTCGCCGGCTCGAAAAGCCAGATGATCCTTGTACATGCTCAAGGGCTCAGCTGCAAAGGAAGTCTTCTTCCGACTTTTTACAAGTGTCCATTCCTAAATGCATACATCTTCCAGGTAGTATTCATAGCCTCCAAACTCTATTTTCGGCAGCCTTACCGCCGTGCAACCGATTCTTTCGACCCCACACAAGGGTGTGCATGCATCGTGCATATCGTCTTCTTCCATCCAACTCACCGAGTATTTAAAACTTGCTCTTTCAGTAGATAATCGACTGACAAACTTGTTTCTGCCCACTGAAACGCCCAATCAAAGCTGATCCATGACAGCCAACAAGACCCCACCTAACCGCCACTGTAACACAAACCATGTCTATCCGTCGATAGCTCCGACGCCGATCATAGCACCTACCAGTCTCGGTATAGATAGCAATTCTTCGGCTCGTCCCTATCTAAGAACATCGGGTGTTGTTCGGATACCGGATTTGATTAATCCCGTTCCGGGGTCATGGTAAAGCGGCTTATGATTCATGGGGGTTTTGTGTTATGGGGACGGCAGTAGTTGGGGTTGGGAGTATATGGACCGAGTCTGGGAATAGTTGCGAATAAGCTGGGGATGGATTGGCTTGAAAGTACGAGGTATACCTCGAGGTTATTGGGTCGTTGGGTTGTTGGATGGATGAATGTGAGGGGGCGGTTCGAGGTTCAGGCTGTGCTGCGTCGAGTTGGTGATGGTGATGTGGGGGTGGGATGGATGAGCATTATTTGTCCGTTCCGATCACGAGGGCGGGACTCAAGATAGAGGGGAAGTGGGATGAGAGAGGTGAAAGGGAGTTGGTGATGAGGTGCTGCAGCGCTGACTTTGGGTATCGGATTGGGAAAATGAAGTTCAGACCAAAGTGTGCGAGTGCACAACATTACTATGCTTGAAGTTCAAGCTATGCTGGGTTTGATTTGGGACTGTGAAGATTTAGCGGCTTCGTCTTGCTCCTTTGGCTGCACTTGTCCACTCTTCAAGCCTTTTCTTCCTTCCAATTTCACAGACTCTTTCATGTTTACATTACCTGTCCTTGACTTAATCTCAAGTTACGGCAAAATATAAAAAGCGTCTTGAGTGTAAGGATGCAGGAAAAAACAAGCAGCTAGAGTTTCGAGCTTCCGATTGCCTCTTTTCTCTCTTGTTCTAGGATTTTATGTTCCGCTTCCACTTTCACTTTATTTTTGCTTCTTTTTTCTTTCATTAGTACCTAGGAACTAGAGTAAAAACAAACACTCACCCGTCCCTCACTTCTTGGATCTCTTCTTGTCATCAGGTATGTAGAGGGGGATACCAACACCATTGAACTTATACCGAGCCTGAACAGCCTAAACGCCAGCGTGATTGTAGGTTATATGTATCGCCTGGAATAGAAACAACGCGAACTCCATCAGGAGTCAAGACCGCCGGTCAAGTTCTCCATGGTCACGACGTAAGCAGTGACTTCATATTCGTTCCATGGCTATGTTCGAATCAACAGCCCTGAATATGATTAACACGCTTCTAAAACACGCTTCGGGGTAGAGGTTAGGATGAATAGTGAAGTTTAAGTTTGCCCAAACTGTGCGCTTTGCCTGTTTAGGACGCAAAATCGTGCAAGCGAATTACTCAGGGGTAGCGAAAGGATTTTCAGATTTCTCCCTCTTTATGTACATGATAGCATGGAAAATTCCTGAGAGAAGGTACTGAATTCGGTTATATTGCTCGAGCATGTCAATATTTGGCTCGAGGACTTGTCACATCTCTTCTTTGAGAAGTCGAACTATTTTGCGACAGGCTTATTTTTGCAGAATGGAAAGATTGCAGGTATTTAGAAGTAATTGTGACGATAAGAAGCTTCATCTCTGGCTGTCGACGATGATATTGCACAATCATCGAATTGATTAGAAGTGCAGACTAAGGTCATGACAGAGTTCAAGTCGCACCTTCCTTTAAACAAAGCAGATTCGGAATATAAACATCTCCGATCAATTCACTCCTTTCAATACAACTATCATCAACATACCACAGTCGCTCCAACATACACATTCGCTTCCATCAGTATCTTTGAATTCATATCTGTAATACACTCGCTCCATTATCATAGTCCATCATTCGACTACATCCTCCCACAATGTCCTCATACGGTAGCTTCCTCGACGAACTTCACGTTGACCGTGGAAGTCCTCACTACGATCCACTCCTGCTACTCATCAAATTAAGCCTGACCTCGCGACCCGCAATCAGAGAGGTCCGAATCGGCTATCCTAGTCTCGTCAGGACAGCAAAACGCCATCGAAAACCAATGTGGAAATCTTCAGCAACAGCGACCTTCATATCTTACACATGGACAGAATCCATACGAAAAGTCCACGCACAAGCTAACACCGCTCAAAAGGCTTACATCGCTGTCCAAGAGGCCATGTTGGCGGAGTTGAGGAAAGAGGAGTACACGAGACAATATTATCTTGGTGAGCCTGAGAGCATACTATCGCATTAGGGTCGAGGAACAAGTGGCTAATATCCAGCATTGCAGATGTTCCCAGTTTCTTCGATCATTTGGAAATAGCTGAGTTCTGGCCTCCTCTCGCGAAGGACCCGAAGTTTATGATGAGGTGTACGTGAGCCGACCACCTCGACCGAGTCTCGTATCTTGTTGCGTGGACAACTGTTGACGATTTTTGCAAACAGTTATCAAAGCCTGCAAGACAGAGTCTCAGCCATCGACCATAAAACAATGGAAGAAGAAAATGAGGGAGAGCAGAGAGAAGAGGGACAAAACTTTCCACTTCAGTGAAGGATGAATCCTTTTTTGCGTTGCGAGTGCTGTGGCATTCCTGAGTTCGATGGGAGAAGGTTACATACCATTTCATGCCTGGAGACTAGCGCTGGAACATCGGGAAGTGAGGATCAAGTGTACGAGAGTGCAAAGTCGACATAGTTCATGGTTACATTAGCGTATATTCTGGAAATGGACAGCGTTCGTCGACGTCAACTTCTCGTGCCATCATTCTTTGATCTTGCACCATCGGTCTCCTTCGAAGCGATGTACGATGTGGAGGAGCAACGCACCTTGTACAGAGTTTATACTAATTAAGCTCACCTTGAGCATTAGAAACCACGGCGGCACGAAGAAGCTCCTGGATCACCTTTTCATGACATTTGATACCATAGAAAGGGCTGTGTTTAACTGTGTGGATCTTGGATTGCAACAGCTTGAAGATCGTTCAGCGGTACCAGCAGTATTCCAGCTATTCTTCTTGCAACGACAAGACAAGAAGATTCGATCATTCTACCGCTTCTTCCAGCAAATGAATGCAGCCCATCCACATTGTAAATACCCTCGTTCACACCGAAACCCCTCATTTCCACTTCAACTCATCCTGCCCAAAATATCATTGGTCGAAATCTCACCACCTTTCTCCCTCTTTCCATCCTCATCCTCCTTCTCCTTTCCACCCTCTGTCTCCTTCTCCTCCTCTCCCACTTCCTCATCTCCTCCCTCCTCAACCTCACTCCCCGTCGCCATCTCCATCTCCATCTCCACCCTCTCCCTCCACGCCCCAAACCTCTCCCCAACCTCCTCAGCCGTAACCCGATTCTCCGGATCCAGCGCCCAACACCCCTCAATCTTCTCCTCGATCGCTCAACTCAATCCACTTCCTCAGCTCCCTGATCCGGGATACGACGCGGAGTCCCTCTTCTCCGGCGTGTTTTTGCAGGATGAAGTCTTCTAGGGCGGTGACGCGGGTTTCGAGACGGGCTGTGCGGCAGAGGTTTGATGGGGATTGGGATGGGATGGGGGAAGATGAGGTGAGGTGGCGGGGGAGTTTTGGGGTGTGGAATGGATGGGGTTTGGGGAGGAGATGGATATGGAAGGGTTTGATGGGTCGGAACATGGGTTTTGATTGTATTGTGGGTTTGTTGAGGTTTGAGGAGTTTGATGGAGGGGAGAGAGGGATGGAGGAGTGGATATATAGATTCCACGATGTGGGGTTTGGTGGTGGTTGAAAGAGGGCGGGATGTTGCTCTCGCGTTCTCTCCTCTTTCAAAGGATGAAGAGAAACAGTTGAAGGATTCCCTGCTTGGCTTAACGGCATGATGCCTAGGCGCCCTTGAAGAGGAAGGTTACTTTTAGTAGCAGCAAGCCGATATTTGAAACGTTGAAAGATATTCAGGGAATTATTGGGAGCTTGTTGCTACTTCCTCTCTTTGTGTGAGTGAGAAGACAGCTGGAACATGATTGCTAAACCAACGGCATGTCTCAATGTTCTTTCATTCAATGAAGGGTTCTTTTCGATAGTAGCTAGCTGGTGTATAGACGTTTTTATTGATTTTGATGGTATGATGAAGAGCATGCTTCTGCTTCCTCTCTCCTTTCGAAACGGATGGGAAGACACGACCTAAGGATCTTTGCTAAATCAACGGGAATATGCCTCATTCTTCCCCCAATGCAGACAGGGCTTCTTTCAGTAGCAGCTAGCCGAGAATGAGAAATTTGAAAGATGTTACGAAACTGTGGGAACTTGCTTTTGCTTGCTTCCTCTTTCAGGTAAGATGGCAGGAAAGTGTTGAAAGGGCTTTGCTTGGGTTAAGGCAATATGGATTCATCCTTTACCAATGAGACTATGCGTTTTTCAGTAGCAGCTAGTAGAGAGTTGGGCATTTGAGTAGAACCAGGAATTCTGCTGAAAGGGTGAAGTTCGTATATCATGGAAGCAGATATGAATCGGTAAGGCATCTTGGTACCGTACTTCATTGGCCCTAGACATTGGAAAAGACAAAGAAGCAGGGCAATAAAAGTAAGGAGCGAAACTTCGCTTGGAATCGCAGAGGGCAGATCACAACCACCATATCAAAATGGACACCAAACCTTACACCTAAATATCTGCATTTCATTACTCCACTTATTCTACATCAACACAACGTCCACGACCTAGCACTCATACATCACCCCACCCCTCAACCTCCTTCTCCCAATCATCAACCGCATCTTCAACTTTCTCTTTTTTCTCCTTCACCACTTCTCTCTTCTTTCCTAGAACAGTAAACGAACTCTTGACGCCTATGTTTGTTTGCACAGGTCTCTTCGTCAACGCTCCACCTTTCGCTACCTGACTCCAACCTCCTGCACCTGTGTTGTCATCTTCCCTCTTCAGGACATTGAGATAGGTATCTACTGCACAGAGAATAGTGCCGGAAGCTAGCGAGAGAGCCGCGACTTTCTTAGCAACGCCGGGTTTCAGGGCTTGGAGATCTTTCTCGATGTTCTGATGCCAGGATCCAGTGACGGCGGTCGAAGGACGTAATACTACATCTCCGGATGGCAAGAAAGAGATTTCGAAGACGTGAGTGGAAGAAGAGAGTTCGGTTTTGAGATCAGCGTGAAGTTCATCAATCGTCAATCCGAATTTGGGGTTTGTCAATAAAAACGCATTGAATGGCTCTACATTCGAAATTGAAGACTTGGAAAGTGTAGCTGGTTCAGGAGCAGCAACTACGGGTCTGAGTCTGACGCATTGAGCGAGAGTCTTCATCGGACTTGAGACGAATCTTGGAGTCTTGAAGATGCAGACATGGCGATGAGGTTCCGGATCTTGAGATTCTGAATCTAGGCCAAAGTCTTCTGCAAGAGAGTGCAAGAATCCTCGTTGATGGGCTTGCATTGGCTTGAATCGAAGTCTCTTTTCCTTCTCATCGGCTGCGAAAACTCGGAACTCGCGCTCGTATTGCTGAGCAAACTTCTGGTTTTGAGTAAAGAAGTCAAGTGTCTCTTGCGAATAGGGGATATGGTCATCCATATGAGTTGCTGGATCGATGTTGAGAGCCGCGGCAAGTTTGGCATTACGTTGAATCTTCAAGCACTCGTCATTGCATTCCAATGTCTTATCGGTATTGCCAGGTGAGGATTTGCAAGCAAGACATTTGACAGCCTGCTTTTGGTGCTGGCAAGCACAAGTGATGAACGTCTTGGCCTGGCAGGGAGTGAGTTCCTTGCATGGATATGGAGCGTGACATTTGTCTTGGCAAGAATCCGAGCAAACAGTCTTTTGACGTCCACACGGCTGTTGACAAGGCCAAGTAGCATCCTCACATTGACCCGGACGGTGACAAGGCTTCGTACAAAAATGTATACCACATTTCAGCTTCTTGCCGCAGGGCAGACCACAACTGACTTCGGAGAACCAGCAAGGCTGATTCTTCAGAGTCTTCTTGCCGCAAAGACATCCTTTCTCAACCAGGAATGGACATTTCGGGCATGATTCGTCATCTTCGTGGCATTGATGCTTGACTGGTGGATGACCACAGGTACTTGGTCGTGTGCAATCGAACCTGCATTCCGGAGGGCTTGTTCCACATGGTTGAGGAGGCTGGAGTACAGTTCTACCACAAGCACAGCTGATTTCTTCGAAAACAGCTTCTAGGCATGATGCACATGGCCCCTTATGACATAGTAATGCACAAGAGTGGTTGCCACATTTCAAAGCTCGACCACAGGTTCTGAGGCAAATATGCTCAGGCTCAACGTTGTCGTCACCTGTTGGAGCAGCGTTCAAAGCTCGATGCTTACGCTTTGAAGCTTGTCGTTCGCCAGCCCGCTTCTCCCCAGGGCAGCATCTTTCACCACATTCGTGGCGACCACAATTCATTGTAGCCCGACAGACCCGAGGACACATTGGTGGTTCATCAGTACCTTGGTGGCAGACAGACTTTGAACTTGTTCGGCCACAGCGACATGTAATGTCGACGGTTTGCGTGCAGAATCTTTTGCACTCTCCATTATGGCAAATCTGTTGGCAGACATGTCCACAGGAGAGTGCTTTCTGGCACTTCTCTAGGCATTGTGGTATCGGTTCTGTACAGTCCTTTCGAGGTTCAGGAATTAGACTGTCGATGGGAGTCTTGCCACAAGGGCAATGGGTAACGACATCTGGTGAGAAGGGACAATGAGCAGGTTCAGGATCTTGAGGATGACAAGTACTTTCGCAGACGTGATCCGCAACTCCACAATCGTATGGTCGTCGACATTCTGTTCCGCAATTGAATGATCCCATCCAGGTCTTGTCATCAATCTGACTCTCCATCTCATCCTCGCGCTCTGAGCAGGGTAACTCTTTCTCCACTCTTCCACAGAAGCATTTTGACTCGACCATTACATCGCAGTCTCCACACAAGCCTTCATGACAACTTCTTTGGCAGGTGTGCAAGCCGCAAGGAAGCAATTCATCACACACCTGCTCGCAACTCCATCCAGCTTCGTAGTTTGTATCAATACATCTCCTGGAACTCGTCTCCTTTCCACAGAAGCAAGACAGTGAAGGTCCCATGCTATGGCACGGAGGGCAAGGACCAGCATGACACATAAGCTCGCAAGGATGTGGGCAGTGTCCAGCTCTTGACTTTCCACAAGATTGACCGCAAGAATGAGGAGGTAGTCCAGGAATTGATCGAGGTTCAATCTCCTTCTCGCACCAACATGTATAATTGTTCGGCAGCTCCCGCTTCGGAAGATTACATCCTGGACATCGCCATTGTCTGGGAGGTGGCAGCTCTCCGTTATCCACAGCTCGCTGCTGATGTGTAGATACCTCGTTCTTAGACCATTTCTTCACACACGAAATATGCAGAACTGACCAGCAAGTCTTGCATGTCCAGATCTTGGAATTGGGAAGAACTTCGTTTGTGCAGATCACACATTCGTATTGTCCATTTGCGATATCTTCGTGGGTTCTTGTGGCAATGTCTGGTGCTTGGGATTTCGACATTCGACGATGGGGAGGGTTTGGCGGTTGGCGGGGTCGTGGGGCCACTGGTTGGCCAGGAACGAATTCTGGTGCATCTCCTGCGAGAGAACCTTCACTTGCTGGCGGAGCCGCAGATGTAAGTTGTCCTCCAAATGCTCGTTGTCCATTGACCATAAGCTGTGATCCTCCTCGGCCGCCGCCACCTCGACCTCCTCGTCCATATCCTCCATGTCCTCCGCGTCTGCCACGACCTCTGCTGGAAGATTGTGCGGGTGCTGGACTTGATTCAGGAGCTACAGAGGCAGGTCGCAACGCCAAAGCGGGACTCGACACCTCTGTAGTCGTCTCTGTAACTGTGTTTGCTCCTCCTCGATGTGCCCCTCTCCTAGGACCGCGCCGATGGCGTGGCGGACGGTTCGACGTAGCAGGAGCTGGCGGTTCAGTACTCGCCATGATTGCGGTTGGGAGTGAAGAGTGGATTGTGGCTTGAGTTGCCGTCTTATCTGTTGCTTGAATTGTTTCTGTAATATTTAGAAAGTGGCGTATGATTTCTTCGCTCTTGATTATCAAGCTGTGTGAATGTCGTGGTTGGGAACAAAAATTTACAGATTGGTTATGCACCTTAGAATATACGGCGGCTTCGGATAGCAAAAAATAAAGAAAAGTAAAGGTGAATCCAATGATTGTCTAAGAGTGAATTCGTTGAATGGTATGAGTAGGAGAAAAAGAGAGGACGAGGCTGAACTTTATCAGTGGCAAAGGCTCCCTGGCAAAAATTTCGGGCTAGTGAGCCGAAGCGGATCTGCCGCAGCACCACAAGGAGTCATTCAGTCATTGCCTGAGTCATTGAGGTCTTCGACCGCAGCACAACATCTTCCTGCAGCATGCACAACGACCGCTTTGGAAATCTTATATGACATGTAGAGAAGGTTCAAAGCCGGGTAATGTAATTGCTTAGCTAAATGAATACCCCTGAATTGTGTAGCAGCTTCTGACAAACGCAACCTGGAAGTACCTGTATGCTGCAGGTTGAGTCTGGAAATACCTGATAAGTTCTTCGATATGGCTTTCAAATATGCTACTTAAGTTCAATTGGCCTACAAACTCATTGGGTGGAAGAATCCTGGACTCCGTCATTCTGGAAATTGTGGAACTCTAGCTAGCCTTAAGTCAGGATAACTTGGAGGATAACTTGGAACCATCAAAAGTTGTTAGCTGGGACTTTCTATATCCAATTGAGAGATACTTTAGGAGCACTTGAACACTGGATCCCAAGATGGTTGGAATCCTGGAAGTTCTCTGAAACTTGGGTTGAGACGAGGAACGGCTTCCATTTGAGTACGTGATCATGCTGATATCCAACTCTCAGCAGCTACAGTGCTCGAAAACCTTCTTCACTTCACATACTAATAGTAGTCTGGAAAATCCCCTGACTAGCCCCAATATATATAACATCCTTATCCGCACTTCCCCTTCCAAACCCACAAGAAGTCGACCCCGTAACAGTCGCAACAGTAGTCGGCTTCCCAACCGCCGGATCAACCTCAATCACCGAATTCTTCCCATTCGTAGCCACATAAATCTTCCCATTCGGCCCAAAACAAAGATCATCCCCCATCAGATTCGTCCACAGCGTTGTCACTGCCCCCGTCGCCTTCCCCGTCGCGTCAACCGGCACCTTGTGGAAGCTATTCTTGAAGATATTCGTATACCACACCACGCCGTCCCGATACTTAATCCCATCGATCCCGAACGGGATACTACCCGACGGCGTCATCGTCGGATCAGACAGCGCAACGGAGTACGCTCCAGTCGTAACGTCGAATCGATACACATCCCCCCTCCCCGCATCCGCCACCAAAACAGTATTATTGTTCAACACCGCCAACCCGTTCAGATTACTCGCTTCAGTAATCTCCTTCACGAGCGTCTCTTTCGGCGTGGTCCCCGTAAAATCAACCCGGTATATCCCCTTCCCTCCAATAACGGCAAATACGTCGGGTAGCACCTCTCCGATCCCACTGAGGCCCGAGGCGCCGGTGAGGACGATGGCCGTGGAGGATGTCTTGGCAACGGGGTCGACGGTGTAGAGGTTCGGGCTTTGCATGTTGGTGGCTAGGATTTGGCCATTGGAGCGGACGGCGAGGTTTTCCGTCGAGGTGAGCTTGACGACTTGAGCGGCTGCTTTTTGGCGTTGGGAGAGGAGTACAGCGGAAGCTAGAGAGAGGATGCTGAGGAGAGGGAGGAATTGGACCATGGTGACGATGGTTCGAGAACAAAGTGAAAGGAAGTAGACTTGACTTTACTAGTGTTGAGAGCTGAGCGAAGAATAGGAAATATTTGAGGTGTTAAGATGGAAATGCTTCATTAGCCATAGCGGATCAATTGAGGTCGCAGAACGGCTGAAGTGTTGAACAGAACTGCATAAAAGTACTCTTCTATAGAAGCACTTTGGGTAATATCGCACCAAAGAAAAGAATACAAACTTAGCATCGCGTGATTTAGAAGCTGAGATCAAGAACGGCAGTTGTATGAGTATATGTGAAGCTGTTCACAACGGCGAGCCTCACTGGAGGATATTGCCACGAGATAACTAGGACATGCCTCTGCACAAGATCGCAGAACGCGCGACGGACATTTAAACCAGACAGGGAGGAGGAAACTCATGTTGAGCACGAGAGAATAACAATGAGAGAAGAGGAGAAAGTTCCCGAGAAAATGTCAGAGCTACAGTAGCCGAAGCGGGATGTTCCACAGAACGGGAGTCATGCCTGAGTCACCTTCCAAGGTTCTGAAATCTTGCAGTGATCTGACCGCATCTACCATTCCATGTGCAGCATGCACCGTGATGCCCTGCATGGCGGACCAAGATTGAAAAGGAATGGTGTTGACCACGAATCAGCCTTGGTCCACAAGGCTGTCTCAAATCTAGAATTGGCATATATAGTGCCCAAGGGATCATCTTGTGCAATAGCGTTTTTGAGGAGAGAAAACAGTCTCGAAATCCATTTTGACTTCCTATTAAGCTCGAGTTTCCAGACAAGAGCTCCACCTGCAATATCGAATCAATACATGAAAATGCTACAATATGGTATCATAGAAACAAAACGATCTCTCCACGATCATTTTTCTTCATCCGGAGACTCCTCCATAATTCCTTCTCCTCGAGCGCCTTTCCAAGAGCAAGTCCTTTTGATACACGCTCGCGGTGGTATCTCTTCAGTGCTTTGTTCATACTAACGCCTCGCTCGCTGTCTGGCCCCTTGTTTACGAAAGATAGAAGTAGCTCTGCTCGAGGTGAGTGAGGTGTGTATACCACCATCTGACTCTCTTCTTGCACTGCTCCCTCGGCCATTGGTTTGTACTCGATCATTTTTGGGCGATCACTTGCTTCGCGGTGTTTCCGTTGTTTCCTCTTTGGACGCTCATCAGAGTGCTCCCTTGACGAAACTCGTTTTGACCCAATTAAAGACATGATGCCGTTGCTGATGGTGTCGACTCGCCCACGCTTGACAGTCTTCGTATGCTTGGTCTTCTTCAATGGACTACCTGGTGACGGCTCGGCAGCATCGCCTCCAGAATAGTCGGGAGACGGAGGGAACACTTCAGGCCTTGACATTAATCGATTCAGTCCACCAGTCAATCCAGAATGTAGAACAGGTGGGGCATCGGTCATGGTCTCGTCTTCGCGGGATGAAAGGTCATGAGTCTCGACATGAAGACGTTTGCGCTTTTTATCCTTCTTCTCCTCCTTGTGATCCCGATCCTTCTTTTCTTTCTTCCGTTCACTCCGTTGTTTTGGTGCTGGGGTCTCGTACTGGTATACATCCGTCGCGACTGGTCCGTTTCCGTATTCGATCAGATCATTGACGGTTTGTGCTGCATCTCCGAATCGAACTCGTACAAGCGATCTTTGGGTATCTTCCTCCTCTTCCTCCTCATCGTCGTCGTCCATCTCTTCCTCACGACCATCTGTAAACATGTGCATCGGCTCCGGCGCTGTGAGTTCGAGTCGAGATTGGTTTGGCGTCGAGCTGGCGACGAGGAAATCAAAGACATTGACTGGGCTGCCCTCTGACGTGAAGCCAGGAGCGGCTGAGGGAGGTGAAGGAGCAGCTGGCATTGGAGATTCGACGATTTCAACATGCGTATTCTCTTGATATTCGTCGTCGGCGTCTTCGACGTATGCTTTGTGTGGTACCAGGGCTTTTGAATTGTTTTGCTTGTTCTTCTTCTCCTTCTCCGGACGATATAAGGCTCCCTGATACTTCTCGGCTTCGCTGATACAGCTCTTCAAGGATGGTCAGGGTAAATCCGCTGAGTTGGCATGTGGGTACGTACGGTATGAGAACGATAATCCGTGCCTTGAAAGTGTATCATACAATCGAGGCACGAATATGATGCGCCGTAACATTGGTTCCGATGACCGTCGAGCTTCTTCTTCGTGAGGACATCTCCGCAGCCCTACAGTGATGAGGATTGAGTCAGATGCTGACAGGTACACGATAAGGAGGTGGGAATGTCTGGAGGCGCGTAGGGGGGAAATAAACAAAACTTACCTCGCACTGGAAGGAGACCATGATCAATTAAAATGTTTTTTTTTCTTTCTTCGGTCCTGACGTGGCAGATTTGTGGGGGATGTGCAGCGACTCTGGATCTCGTTGGGACGCGATGGAAGTGTGTAAGTTGGGTGCGACGATGGTCTTCAATGGATTCCAGCTTTGCGGCAGGGCGGGGGGGACTGTATTGGGTGCGATAGTAAGGGGTGTGTGGAAGTTGTAGGAGGATGTTCCAAGATACTTCCAACCCTATTTCTGGATCAAGGATTTGCGGGCTGTGGGTGCTGGGAAGGGCACGCTTAAGCAAGGTCGCGTCGTCGTGCCTCCGTGTGCATAAGCTGATCAGCGCTGCTGTTTGGCTGCCGCTGCTGGGGTGAAGGGCAGAAGAGAAAATGAGGGGCGCTGATTTGCTGGATGATGGGCAAAATCCTCCTTCACGAGAGGGATGTGATGTATGGTTGGTGGAGCGGGTGTTGTGTTGGTGGGCTGCTGCTCGGGCTTGGACTGGCGATTCCTTGAAGGGCAAGGGGCTGAGGATGTTCCCGCGCGACAGGAGGACGGAGTGATTGATGGCGACAGGGTCACAGAGACCGGACAGGGCACCAAAGACAGACCAGAGGAGCCAAATTGAGGGCTTGACAGGTCGGAGCAGAGGTCACGGAGTTGTGTGTTTCGGCTTGGGCCACAGATTGGGACGACGAGGGGTGACGCAGTCAGTTGGTACTTCGTACGAACCTGATGGACAGAGCGTTCGGTTTTGGGCTCTCGTTCTGGCTCTCCTCAGACAGACAGACAGACAGACAGCCAGACTTAAAAAAGGATGCAGGGGACTTCGGTTTCTGACGTGAACTTGCGTGGTCTTGACTCCTTTCGGCGTTGATCTGGGGACTTTTGGGTCCTCTCGTCCTTTTCTGGTTCCTCTGAGGCCGAATGTCTGGTTTTCGTGCCGATTGGAAAGGAGAAATACTACCACATTCAGGGGCTGCCGGAACGCCGTCGCTTGGATGAGGTACTGAAGCTCGTCAAACATCCACTTCAGCCCAGCCAAAAAGGGTGACCTCCTTGATTGGTTTGTATCAGGTTGGAAATGCTAACTGGAAGCTAACACTCAACTTATATCAAATACATCAAATACATCTTAGAATAATCACGCTGATATCATCAATATCATCAGGTTATTCGTCACACACCCATAAACAACTACAACCTGACCTATGGATTCGTGATACCAGTCGACAGACAGGTCAACTGATCTCATATCTGCGTTATTTACCCGATCGGGCGGGCGACTTTATCTGGTGTTTCTTTTGGCGGCCGAGTATCATCATCGTCCATGAATGAGATTCTTCAGATGAAATCCGGCTTTTGGGCTCCAACTTCAACCTGCCTCGTCGAGTCGAAGGTACATCAGACGACCCCCTATTGGAAGAGAGGGTTGGATGACGGATTGGGCCGTGACCTCTTGCAGCCATCAAAATTCTCACTGGCTGGCCCGAATGCTGAGTTTGGGCAGTGATCGTGTGAGTACACATTGGAAGGCTGTCTGTCGGTTGTCTGTCGGTTGCCATAAGTATGCTGTACTATACCTCTGGCCGGAAATTCGGTGAGGAGTGGGCGGAGTGACGTTGGGCTGCGATGCTTCTCAGGAATGAATGAACAAATGAACGAACGAGAGAAGCATGAAGTCATACTCACGTAACCCTTTGAAAAGATAAGATGTTTTCGGCGGCAAATTGGATAAACATATAAAGTGTATACAAGAACAAATAATGCTATGTAGAATCTTGGATAATCCTGTAGTAGCACGACATTGATACTCTCATCTTTATCCAGAGAGAGGTTCTGGTCTAGATGTTTGGGTGGAATGACAGCCTGTGTGCCACATGTCAGACTGCCATCATATGGCCCAGTAAGGCAGGCTGGGCATGTAGTTATACATGATCTCGAATTCTGTACAGGAGAGTAGCAGTCTGTATAACATCAGTCCTACCAGAATCCACATTTGCCCTAACCCTCATGTACCTATGTATGTTCCCCACTATTCGCGGTGCTTCACATGAAAGTTCGGTCTGGACCCGAAGCGGCAGCTAAAACTTGCGATGCGCTCTCATTGGTTTGCCTGCTCCTACAACCTCTCGTCCAATTCTTCTGCAGCAATCTACAGACCATCATCGCCACTGGTTGACAACAACAACCAAAATTTATTACTCTACTTCTGACACGAAATCGACGCGTCGACGCCCCTTGAAAGCATCTCTTCTCGACCATTAGCTGGACTATTGATTTTCCCATCCCGCGCATGAACGGACCTTTGCCGAAATACCCACTCCCCAAGCTCATTTCCATTTTCATGCACGCATCGTCCTTGCCAACATCAATCCTCCTGGCTGTGCCCTCGCTCACCGATATCCAATTCTGCCCAGACGAGGCATAGGCAGAGGCTCTCTCCCTGGTCTACTTGTGCATACATACGCCATTGAGACAATCGCAGCCTATTCAGGCCACGAGACATTCATTCCATTGTCAGGCAACCGAAATCGAAACAGCTAAAGCCTTCTTTGTCTACCACCACAACCACGCGCCATGTCTTCCTCCCAAGATAATTCGGCCAGCTATCTACAACAGATGACCTCTGTTCTTGGTGCTGTTGCCAACTACATGCGACTTCCAGTTATAATCTCCTCGGTACAGCATCCTTCGTTAACTTGAGGCGGAGCATGTCATCGTACTTACCATGGCGGCAGGGCATCGCTGCTCTCTTGAGTTCCCTGTTATACTTCAAGCAAAAGTATTGATGATCTACCCGCCTCCGCAAAACATCAGTTAACCTGGAACAGAGCTCTGATCTATCCCTCCCATGTCCCAAATCAATCCCGTACAACGGTTCCTCGACCTTCGGAATTCGGTATCACGGACTTCGAGGAGCTTATGATCCCCACCCCAGATGGCGAGAAGCTCTCCGCATTCTACATTCGTCCGCCAAATAAACGTGCGCAGAAGAATGTGACGGTATTGATGTTCCACGGCAATGCCGGAAATATCGGCCATCGAGTACCTATCGCGCGGATGTTTGTGCAGAGAATGGGATGCAGTGTGCTCATGTTGGAATACCGTGGCTATGGACTCTCGACAGGATCTCCAGACGAGACTGGTTTGATGATCGACGCTCAGACTGGTTTCGACTATCTACGGAAACGAGCAGAGACCAGAGATAATGATATTGTAATCTTTGGGCAGAGCTTGGGTGGGGCGGTGAGCATACAACTTGTTGCCAAGAATCAGAACGACAAGAGAATGGTTGGATTGGTGTTGGAGAATACTTTCCTGAGTATGAGGAAGTTGATTCCATCGTATGTATCCTATTGCCTTGGCATATGTTACCGCTAACGTTGCCAGTATCATCCCACCAGCCAGATACCTCACACTCCTCTGCCATCAAGTCTGGGCCTCCGATACCTTCCTCCCATCTATCACCGAAGTACCTATACTCTTCCTATCTGGCCTTCAAGACGAGATTGTGCCGTAAGTCCTTCTATCTCCTTCCACATTTCATCTGAATGATGACCCAATATTCCATCCACAAAACCTGATGTCCCTTCTGGGACTTGATTATTAAACCGAGTGAAAACTGTCTGACAACAACTCTCCCTTCTTCATGCCAGACCCGTCTCTAGACAAAAGACTAATGAAGAAAACAGACCAAGCCACATGCGTCGTCTCTACGAAATCTGCCAATCCCCAACAAAGATATGGAAGCCCCTTCCGGGAGGAGACCACAACTCGAGTGTAATCGAAGAAGGCTATTTCGAATCGATAGCAGATTTTGTGGCCAATTTGGACACGAAGACCGGATGATTCGTTCTATCCTCCAGCAGGAGACAGTACTGGGAGACATAGATCGATTGCTTGCTTGCTTGGGTGGTACTCTGCTGCATCTTTGCGAGGCGTTCTGCGTTCGGTGCCATCTAGTATATGGCTTGTGATTTACGATTCACGATTCACGTTGTATGATGTTAGTATCTAGAGGGGTTGAGGAGATGGCGTTGGGTACTAGATAGATATCCTCGACCTGAATAAGACTTTGCTTTTTGCATGCATAGGATTCTGAATTACTGAAATGTGGACCTGGCTTTCATTTGTACTGTTTTCTTTTCGTCGCTTACGCCTCTGGGCTTCTTTCTCGGGTGTTGGGAAATTGTAGGCTGAATTTGTCTGTACTTCACTTTCAATTATCAAGCACTTCTAAATATCCAAGTTGGAGTTCGTGCTCAAGCAAGTCAACGCTCTTAATACTCTTGCCAAATACTCTAACATCCTCCTTCTGCTACTTATCCATAATGTCCCATCTTATCCTCGTGATATTTCGCCCGAGCATTGGCTCGAAATTCTTCTGCTTGCTTGTCGTACTCGATCTTTTCCTCTAGGCTTAGCAGCTCGTATTCCTCAGCCGCTTTCTGCTTTTGAGATTCTCGAATTGCTTGCTTCTCGTTCCAAAAATGTCTTAGAGCAGGGCGTTCTTCATCAACTTCCCAGCTACTCAGTTCCCCACAATGTCCGGGCTCAATTTCAATGTCCGACACACGTTCAAAGTCTCACTTTATTCCGAGGATCCTTCTTTTTTCAAAAAGTTATTTTATTATGAACAAAGCAAATGTCACTATTATCGCCAACACCAACCTTCAATGCAGATGGACAGATGCAGGGGTAGAATAGCGGGACAAAGAATAGACGACAAAGATCAAAATAGGATGAATGTCCGTATTGATTTTGAAGTCGAAAGCTCAATGTCCGTCATTTGGGCCCCGACTTTACGATATGGCTTGGGGTCGTAGTAAGCTCTCGATCAGTGATCTCGGAGGATGAATACTTGCTTTCGTTGGTAGGGGTATTTATTTTATTTCTAAAAGATTAACTATAATTTGTTTGGGATTGAATGTCAGGATTTAATGTTAGGATTTCTGTGGGACATTGGCATTTGGGTATGTCAGGTTCTGCCTTGAGGGAATGGACATTGTTTGGGCGCATTTTGCGCGAAACGCGCGGAATGCGCAGAGAGCGCAGAAAGTGCAGAAGCCACGGGATCAATCTAGGTCCAGATCTTGCACATAGAAAGAAAGTGAATGTTTGGAATTAAAGGTTGGTATTTGCAGCTTCGTTTTGCTAAGAACCCTGGAATTGTCTTGATGATTCTACGTAGTGAAAGTACTCATGTATTGACAGTCATTCTAGATCGAAAAGTCTTTGAGGTAAGAATGTCGGGAGCTGGAAAAGTCTCGTTTGTTTAAAGTGGACGATGGTTTAGAGAGGAAGCATGATCGAAGAACGTGCTTGTATCTTCTGATCTCAAAGTCGTATATTCAAGAGTGTCCTGGGACGATATCTACTAAACGCCCCCGATGCAATATAATGCTTGTCTAAGACTCCATGCTAGCCAAAATGCGAACATCTGTCCGACCGTTATGCATCCAAACGCCGATTGATATATAATTCATAATCATCACATCATACAGCAATCCCACTCTCCCACCACCTCTTCCCGTTATACCATCCCACTCCAAGATGTTCCCAACACCACCACCCCGCATCCTTCTCTCCAAACCCTAATCTTCTTAACGGAGAGATAGGAATAGGCTCATAAAGCCAAATTCCTCCCCTCGCAAAATCATCCGTCAACCACCACCCCGTCCAAAACAGCCATCCAAACACATAGAAAAAATTCCCCATTTGTCTAACCGTCCGAGGCAGGGTCCTGATAATGGGATGCAATAACGCACAGAGGGTACTCTGAACAAGAATTCCCACAGCCTGCAACATAAAAAACATAGGAGCATGCCAATGAAACGTCCTCGGAAACTGCGAGATCGATCCCCCAGCATGAAGGAACCCCGAAATCCCAAACGCGAACACTAAAGCGGAGATCCTCGCTGCAGCCGACTTGGCTTTCACGTACCCTTCAGCGATCAAAAAGTTAGAAGGCGCAGAGAACGCAAAGCGGAATGTTTGGTGCCACCAGCTGCCCCAGAGCCCATTGAGTCCCTTCGTGGTTATGTTGGAGAAGGAGCCCCAGGATGTGGGGTAGTACCAGGGTTCTGCGCGGAGACCGAGGAGAGAGGGGCCGAGGGTGAGGGAGAAGATTAGGGGCGCGAGGAGGAATACCATTTCTAGGGAAAGTATTATGGAGAAAGAGCTAAGGGCTTGACGGATGAAGCGGAGGGCAAGAGGGGAGAGACCTTGTAGATAGGAAGGTAGGTGGTGGGTTGTGGGTCCGAAGATGAAGTATGGATCTTGCATCATGAGGACCTTCAGGACGTCTAAGAGGAAATATCCTACCACAAAGGTGGGAAGTCGAGCTCGGGCAAGAGCGGAGAAGGTGTCGTAGCGGCGGAGACCTATTGTGGATTTTCCGCTCCGGGAAGACGCGGAGATAGGTTCGGAGAGCTGGGTCATGATCGATGGTGGTGGAGAGGGGAGTGGTGGGATGGCCCAGTTCCATCCCGGACCGCGGAAGTTGATAACAAGGTCAATGACCCATGGGAGGCGGTCTTTGAGAGTGTCTGGGTATGATTGCCAATAGTATTCTGCGACGAATTGTCCATCTTTGGAGATTTCTTGTGATTTGCCATTCGCGGTTGCGTGCCCATTTGTCTCGATTTTTGCATTGCCATTCTGTTTCCGTTGTTTTGCTATCTTTTCGTCCGAAAAGAAATTTGCAGAGCTCTCTCCCTTGGTATCCTTCGTCTTGGTACTCCCATTCATATGTTCGACTCCACCAGCATTCTTCCTCTTAATCCACCTCCTCTGCACCCTCTTAACATCGAATTGGGGTCTATTGAACACCAACCAGGTACACGCCCAAACCACACCCCAGGCAGCCATCAACCCGGCTGCGAAACCAGTCGCCATACTCATACTGCTCGCCTCCCACAAAGTCTTCCATTGCCACCAGGCTATCACTCCCAAAACCGGCCATCGTGCAGCATATACCCAAGGTCGGTTCGTATGCGGTATACAGAGGTATATAATCAGGAGGACGTAACCGTACACATGATATGGTATGACGAGTGGACGTAGGGAACCTTCCGAGACGCGGGCAGAGAACGCGGTACGGTATGCATTCATCACTTCGCGTGAAGGCGGTGGCGGACCCGTCGAAGTGAGATGAGGAAATGGAGAGGCCATTGTTGCTGCTGCTGTGATTAATTGTTAAGGAAGCAGAGAAAAGTCTCGGGAATAGGAGAAGGACTCCATTTGTGCGACGAGTCAGCTGTTATGCAGCCTACTTTCAGTTCTCAGGAAAGTTGTTTGCGAGCTTGCGAGAAGACGCGTTTTCAAGTTGGTGACGTCAAAGAACGCCAAATCTTGTCGCGAAATTTCTTTTCGTTTGCAACACATTTTTGAAGGGAAGAGCGATGTTGATTTGTACCATATGTTCATGATGGAGTCTGTTGCTTGTTACCATGTGTTCTCGAGTGAGACCGAGGCTCGGAAAATGTTTTCGTGATGCTTGGCTGGTCACGATATTTGTGGTGTGATACCTATCGAACCATCTCCATTGCGCTGTTTGATGCTTCTCGAGAATAACCTTTTTTTTCATGAAGTTGAGCAACTTGTTGCTACTTTTGCACTAATTATGCAAATAATTGCTTCCGTTCTTCTTTATTTTGTGGTCTTTGAAAGTTCTAGGGCATTTGTGATCAAGTGAAATAGGCAAAGAGACTTCAGCAGCTGAAAGCTAGAGTCAATCTCCTAAGCTCTCTTTGAACCCTTGAATTGTTCTCGTCTACTTTGGAATCCGAGTTGAAGTAGTTTGCCAGCTGGATGTAGTAGTTCGGTGGTGGATATGATCATTACTAGGCATGATAAAGTCGGGACAGCTCGTCACCTCGTGTTTTGTGGCGTAATTGATTACAGAGTTTTGACTTTACAATTTACACTTGGACAACAGGACACGGCAGAGCAGTGCGAAAGTAGACATGTTTCAAATGTCCATGACGGAAAGCCAAGCGAATCGTATTCATTATTCTGATTTATATGTCATTGAAGTTTTTTGGGGACGATGCATTAGAATCAGAGCATATCGCTTTCTCAGCTTTCGGCATGACATTCTTCGACTTTGGAAGCGTGCCGTCATTTACGATTACTTGTACGACGTCCGCAGACCGCTAGATTACCAGCATTGTCATTCCTTTCGTCTGCCTAGGTAACGGAATATCCGGACCTGAATCCAATTTCCGGTGGATGAGATTGCATGGAGAGTACGAGATGTTGATCGACGGCTTTGGTATCAAGGCGCTTTCAACCATCCGTGAGTTCGGACGGGAAACCCAATGCCAAAAACGGTGATATTCGGCCGAGACTGAAATATAAGCCCGATGCCTTAATTCCGATGTTTGCAAACTGCAACAGTGCAATTCGAGCTGCTGAAGGATTTAAATTCGATCAACTCAACTCATCAAAGCACCCAATATGGCTAGTGTTGTTCCGAATGAGAGAAGATAGAATACAAGTTCTCAAATCTGCACGAAGTCCTTTAAGTCCTTGGACGTCCCTATCTGCTACGCCATATTGTCTTTGCCCCTAAGCCGAACGCAATATGTGCCTGAGAATTGATAGACCCCACAACTCTTGTATCCAAAGTTTATGCTTTTGATTGTCATCTTACTTTATGGTTGCTGTGCTCTCGTCGAAGCTAACACCCCATTGGCAGAAAATCTGTTGGACGAACGATCCTGTCAATATCAAGATCGAACTTGTTTGAGACTTACTAGCATCTGCAAACTGATCCAGATCTATGTCTATATGGATTAATTTACTACTGGGTGCTGTGATATAGCCATTGTTTTGAGCAGAATTTATGATGTAATACCCGCTATCGATAGGTTCTAACATCCATGTTCGAGCAATCGGAGTTGTAGTCAGCAGGCCTAGCATACATGAGCATGCTCAGCTTCTTCTTTGCAGACGAGTATTTGGAGAGCGATATTCACTGACTTGGAATTGGTGTCCCAACCATTAACGGGTATGAGGGTATCTGTGCTGTGAACGTTGGGTCAAACTGAATAGCGCAGAGAATGCAAAGGGGGAGCAGTAATCTCTTGCTTTTGCCATATTGTATTGCAGGAATGCCATATGTTCCTGTTGTTCTTACTTATGAAAGTAGCTAAGGTAGTTACTGTACCGAGAAAATCATTCACGCGGCTTGGGATCCGACTATTATATTTCTTGCGATAATATTGGTCTACAAGTTTCACTTGTGTTCGCAGCTCACGAGCCAATTGCCATTGAAAATCAAAACTGGTACCGAATATTTCGGCGTTTTCCCAGACACGGCTCTTTCCACTGAATAGGGAATTGTCCGGAGCTGTGAACTTCAAATCATTGTTGACATCGCGCCACCCGGTGGCCAAGCGGCCCGTCGAAACGGACGATGATGATTGCACAAGGATACGAAGATTACTCCCCTTGCGTCATTGATTTCCATGCTCAGAACATTGAGTTTTCCTTTTGTGATTACCAGAACATCTGCACTACGAAGTATGCTTTCCTTTTCTTTAATACGGATCTGGAAATTGCTTCCCATAAATGACCGTGATTGAGTAGCGCAGACACGTCAGACACGCATGCAATGCATGTCTTGCATAAACTCGAGATGCTCGTGGGATCCGACACCGAAGATTGTCCTGGCTTTTAACTGCAAAGCGAGGTTATGGTCGTGGAACGAAATTCGAGAGCAATATAACATTGTAAGCGGTCGAATTTTTCTCGAATCCCGGGATTAAGTTGCTCGACTTCCAATCAATGATTTTGATAAAACTCCAAAATTCATTTTATGTCTACCAAGAGGCTTGCTAGGCGCAAGACTTGACAATAGTTCAGTAGAAAGCTGGAGAATTTCATGGTAGAGCTTCCCGTCTGCGAAGGTGGCTTGAATGAAGGCTGTGATCTCTCAGATAGCAAACAAATTACATTGTAGAGGCAATTATGCCTCTTGGTGTATCACTAGAACGCCAAACCACCCATCCTCCCCTGGAAAGCACACACAAAGAAGGCTCCAGAACACCGAACTCCCAATCAATCTCATCAAGTCCTCATTCAAGGATCATGAGGCGCATCGAGGTCGAACGTTGTCCCCTCTGCAGAAGATTCGGGTGGGGAGAGCAATTGTCCTTCGCTAGTACTCTGTTTTCCATCGTCTTGGGAAGTTTTCGGCTCTGGGAGAGCGAGGGCATGCTCAATTACACCCTTCAGTGATTCTGTCGTCTTGAGCAGTGATCGCATTGTCTCTTTCATAGTTTTGTTGTATTCTGAATACTCGGCGATTTCTTGACGAAGCTCCTCAACCAGTTCCTTGTTTCTCGCCCTCCAAGCAGCTTGTGATACTCGATTTTGCTTCCGTCTCCGGGCGATGGCTTCTGCTGATGGGCGTCTTGGGCCTGTTGTATTTCGTGTGTTCGGCTCGGGGAATGTGTTCGCCTTGGTAGATCTTGGTCCTGGCGAGAATTCTCCTCCGGAAAGCATATCCCCTGAAATGCTACCTCCCCAGTCCGAGTATGATATGCCACTTGGCTCGTTGGTCAGGCCTCGAGCGTAATGAGGACTTGATGTGTTGATCTGCTGCACATCAGCCTAGACTTCAAAAACCTTTCATCTTAGTTGTCGAGAAGTATGATAACTTGTAAACATACCGACAACCCAAGTGTAGCTTGTTCAAAGAAACCACTATCAATTGGAGTCGTAGCTAGACTTTGCTGGTAGAAAGCCGTGCTCTCCCAGAAGCTGTCTTGACTGTAATCAAACGGCATCTTAGGGTCTGCTTCCTTTTCTTGTTGAGATGCCATCGCAATCTCAGTGTCATGCTGTGGCGAGTCCATTCTTTCTATATCTGCCGTTTCTTCGACGAAAGATTGGAGCAGAGTTCCAGTCGTATGTAGTGTTTCAACGAATGTGATCTGCCGGCGGAAGGCTGCTCGCGAGTTGGACCCAAACACTAGCTTCCAAAGGCTGAGCAGTAGTTAGTTTGATATTGCAAAAGTTGTGCCCCATAAACTTTATATCAACAATGCAACACAGATGCTGAAATTTAGACCAAGCCCCTCCTACCCAACCGTGTCACAGTATCCACCTATTCCATTGCGATGGGAAAATCCCCGTCGATGTACCGAAGAAAGCTTGGCGGCACAGCAAGCCCTCCATTGCGCTTACCCTGCATCGAGTCCTTTGTCAGCGCCCTGCTCTGTCTTCTCAACCGTAGGCGTCAATTAGTGGCTGGAAGACTTCGCTAGCTGATGACTACGGGACCGGATGGATGACTAGCACCCCTGATGTAATCAAAAACTCAGACCATTTGGGTCATCACAGGCGCGGGTAGGAATTATGCGCGATATTTGCCACCTGGCGTATCAGAACGTGGTTGCAGGTCGGTGAACGGGAATATTCAATCAGATTGAGGTTCCTATCGGGAAATGCGTCTTCACGATATGCAACACTCTTAGAGCGAAGCTGTGATTGGCAAGTCGTAAGCCGTCAAATTCTAGAATCTAGCGTATCAAGATAATATCGGTGAGGGAGCTTTGGTCTCAACACTCTTTTCAGTCTTCTGTGCAGAAACTTGCAATTGGGCTTTATTCTGCTTCATCTATCCGGTCATGCGATTCGGCGAAAGGATCAAATTCGCTCATTACTTTAGGGTCACTGGACTGTTCCCATTTCGAGGCTTCTCTCAGGAATAGTCAGCCTCTGACAATCTCCATTTTAGTTTCATGGTGGGTTGCGCGTCTACAGCCCCTACCGTCCCTCCCTGTATGCGGCGCTGTCAATTCGTACCTGGGTATCTCAGACGCTTCCCCGCCGCAATTCATGGGATTGGACACAATAGTGCTTCCTGAAAGACTATCCGTAAATGGCAAGCATGTTCTTTATCTAGGTAGATCCTCTTCCATGGAGAACTTGCCAAAATAGGCCTTGAAGATTTAGTCGAATACGGCTCCAATGGAAGTACAGCCCTCAGGGTGGGGGGTTTTTTTGGAAGTGGGGAAAATAAGCTTTTGGTATCTGCACTGTTCGTGTAGCGGAAGGTTTGTCAGTTGGCTTTCGGGTCAACTACCCCCGGCATAATGAGGTGAAGGAAAGCTTCAGGTCCCACCTCACACGTATTCATCAACCTTCAACCAAGAGTTGGATCTGATCTTGCAGGCAAACTTTCAGGTAGGCTTTAAGTCTACCGTCTGAGTTACCAGTGGAGGCTTGACTTGCAAACAGGACCCCACCAGGTCTCCGGAGCTAAGAGTATCAAATGGATCAGCCTTAGGAAGATCCGCCGATGCAAGTCTTAGGCACGGAAAGTCTATCACTACCTATTTATTCGTAGGAAGGCGATAGCCGTCTTTACTAAATACTCGTCTCTTGTGAGGGAGGATGGGGGGATGCGGCGGTTGCGGCTGTAGCACAGCTTACCGCATTGGGCTCGTTTAGACCTCGTTCCGAATCGGTACACGATCTCCACTCTGAGGTTGTTTGCAACGAAGGATGCACGAATCCATGAACTAAGATTTCACCGTTGAGATGGTGGATGAAAGAACATCTCGCTCACTCTTCTAAACTGACACTGTTTCACGTTTGATGCGCGAATTTGGAAGTTGGAAGGCATTTTAGTTGACTGACTCGCAACCTTCATCCACCCTCAGGTTGGGTTAATTTCTCTCTAAAGCCTTAATTCCTTGATGCAAGAGACTTTTCATTGGATTCTGATTATTTGAAAGCTAAGCAGAAAATACTAGTCCTGCTTGATCAATACCGCACTTCCTAGAGATGTCCATTCCATTCTCTATCAAAGCTCCCACGCGACAACAGTCGTGAAGAGCATCCATCCTGTTCTGCATCATCGTACTGTAAAGAGACAAGAAGCTTGATCAGGTAATTTGCCAAACATTCATTGAACTTTGGGAGTTGATGTGGGTTGCTGGAACCCGTCTTGAGCAATAGCTTACACGTGACATCGACAATTGTCGAAATCCTCCAGCTATATTGAATTCTCAAACCTTTATGGCAAGGAGACCCCGCTTCACTTGAATGCAAATAACCTGCATTGTAAGTTTTGAGATGTTTGGTTCAATAGCTATATGCCTACACGTTCATAGGAATAGTGAAGTTGTGGTTCAGAGGAAACTGCTATGCTGGAGCTTGGAATCACAATTGAACTAGGTGAAATGAGCTTTCCAAGAGCTGGCTTGTTTGACGATAATCTGATCTAATCAGATTGTGAGACTAATTTTGTTGTGGATCGAAGATAGTTGTAGCTCTTTGTTCCCTGCTCCCTCCTCGCCACTTTGAGGGCTAGTTGGACGGAATGTTTTGTGTGAGGTGTTCAATTGTGACAAAGGTAGCAAGCAAAGTGGGTATCCTTATGACTGCCAATTCACTGGAAGAAATAGCCTCACGTATTGAGCAGACCAAGCAAATGAAAAATCAAGACAATGCACATAAGCATCATGGTATCGAAATATACCGTATAAGGACACCTCGAGATTAGAGCGTTTTCTTGGAGAGATTTGCAAAGCGACTATAGAGAACTTCAATTTGATCGTGAGAAATGAAAAGAAGGAGGAACACTCTGACATTTGAAATATGCTGCACCAGAGCAATACATCACATGTACAGGCATGATCAGAGATACTCTTGCTATTTCACATTTGGCAATCTCCACGCGACATTCTAATGCTCAACAATGTACAGCTGACCGCAGATGAGGAAGAGGAAAACAAGCATCGCACCACGTCTCCAAAAAGTTTGAATTTGTGACAAGTTTTAGGGGAGAGGTTTGGAAGACTTGGTATGTCCACAACTATCTTGATCGAATTCTGTGAAGAGTAAAACACTGGCTTCTTCTCAAACTAGCAGGTCAGGAAACCTGTTGTTTCGACGATCGGATATAACAACAGAAGACTGCAGATTTCAATTATTGAGTGAAGAGATTTGTCAAGTTTGATTTGTCAGGGGTAATCCGCTACGCGCCTTTGGGACTAGCTATAACTGTATCTGGCTGAAGTAATCAACGTGACACAGCTTTTCACCATCATAAGTACCTACAATACCAGCATGTACATCAAGATGTGCTCCAGTAAGGAAGACAAAACTCTCTTGAGTCGGGCTTCGGAGCGCAGATGTGCATTTGAATTATCAAGTCCCAATATTGCAGATATATCGGGGTACGAAGCATTTTGGCACGCGCCGTTGGGTGGGAAGTGACAATGTCCTCTTTCCGTACGTTCACTGGTTTCTCGTACACTTGCGCTTATTCAAACCCTCATATATGCATTCTGGGCTGATCTCCTGCAGCTCAAGATAAGGGGGGCGACCAAGCTCTAAATTCGCCACGTGATGTAGGTCAGGTCTTCCAAACGTCCCAGCCAGTGAAAGGAGACCAAGATGGGGACTCTATGTTCATCAATGTTACCGAATCCCCGTCGCTCGACAAAGCATCACGTACCAAGGTCAGAGTTCAGGTCATGCGAGACTTTCACCAACGCCGAATACAAAAAACAACCGGGAAGACGAAGTCTCAAAATGATGGACATGATCCAACGAAAGTCGATATGAAAGGTCAGACTCAAAAGTTCCGACTTGGCAAGGGGGTCCTTAAGCGATGGGTACCCGTAAAATCCAAAGCTGGAAGACAAAAGAGAGCACCAGAGGCGCAGAAAGACAAGCCCGAGCGAGAGTTCGAACCCAGCGTGGAAACCTCCTATGCAAATGCCGAATTCAACGAGAACATGCTTGAAGACGAAGATCTGCTTCACCCTTCTTCAATCTGGGAAACTGCTAGACTGTATCAAGCTCCATCCAATGGGATGCTGGATCCATTTTCGGCTATGGCTGTTCTTATCACTCCTCGTACACAGCTTCTCCTGCATCACTATTGTAAGCACCGAGTGCCTTCCATTACACCTTTTCTTTCTGAATGCTAATATAGCTTCTGATAGTTAGCGATAGTTTGCTCTCATCCTGGCTCATGATGCCAATGAGGAGGACTCTACTCTCACTCGCGGTGCATGATACTGCTATGTTTCACTCATTCCTGTGCCACTATGCCACGAAGTTCAATGTTCAATTCAGGACCAACAATTCAACAGAAAGCATGTATCATGCTACTACGACTGCTTCATTAATCAATGAAAAGCTCTCGGACTCATCTCAAGCACTGACGGATGAAACTATTGGCACGGTTGCAAACATGGCTGCATATGAGGTACGAATTCATAACTAGTCGAAGATGCACATGCTCATAATTAGTCTTCGAACGGCTCTATGTCTAGCATGGTTATTCATATGGATGGATTGGAGAAGATGGTAAATCTTCGTGGTGGTCTTCATGAGGGAGGATTTTCTATGATTATACAACGCATCATTGGATGGTAAGCTCCCGTATATCACGGTATATGGTGCAACTTGTATCTCTAATTACCATATCTAGGGCCGACTATCATGTCGCAACTGCTATTTTACAGAAGCCCCGCTTCCCGCCTCTATTACTTCCAGAGACAGCTGGGCCTCAGGACGACCACAGTCTTCGTACAGGGCTTCCACAGTGCTGCCCGTTCAAGGGTTCTGGCGCCCCAAACTTTGAGCAACTTTCATATGGGATTCGAGATCTAGCCGAGAAGCTGCGAATCATTCGCCAAGCGTCTAAGATCCCCTCGGAAGACATTTGGTACAGCGACAAAATATATTTTCTCCAGCGCAATCTTTTCGACCTTGCCCAAAGCGGCTCGGATGCTACTCCACTTGATAGAGTCTGCGCATTAGCGGCCCTTATATACTGCGGCCACTGTCTTCGCGATATTCCTCTGAGCTACGCTGTTACCGCTAATGCCGTGACTCGGCTGAAGAATTCTCTTGAGCTCCTAGAATTGACCTCCCTCCACGAACAGCATTTGACTGACAAATGCTTCTGGATTCTTGGTTTTGGCGGGGTTGCTGCTGAAGGAAAGCCGGAACAAGAATGGTTCGCGGTCAAGTTCCGAGCGATGTCCGATTATATGGGATTGCCAGATTGGACTGTTGCTAGATCATGTCTCGACAGGATTCTATGGCAGGTAGAGCTTGACGCAGCTGGCGAGCGCCTTTGGGAAGCGTCTCCATAATGCACTATCCACATGCCCTGCAGAGACAGTCTTGCGGCCCCTCAACCCCGAGACTTCATTCTTGCTTCCCTGCGCTCTTTGTACCTGAAGGCCAGGCTAATGCTAGCAAAGTCAATGACCGGCAGACGTGCGACGAAGAATACAACGGCGCAGAGAGGGATGGCGATTGCGAAGTAAATCGCCAAGCCATGTCTTGTGATGCTACCATTCATGCTGAAAAGACTCGCCACGAATGACAGTGGTACAAAAAGCAACGCAAGATTGGTCAATCGAGTGACATTTGCTGCTTCCCTCAATGAGCGACGTGTGTCTGCGATCTGGAGTACCGAAGTAACCACTGGCACCATTATCTCGAGTCGATGACCGTAAGTATAGACCAACCCCATGATGTGTTCGAAATCTTGAATCATCATGGAATATTGTTCTAGCCCTGAATTGTCCTTGGTGTGGTGTTTGAGGAAATCAAGGGCAGCCTGCAATTTGCTTGAGGTCTGCAAGCAACGACGACCCCATGTTTCGAGGGATCGCAAGTCTGAATCAATTTTTTGGAGTCCGTCTTTCTGTGACGGAGCTTCTGTAGTATACTCAAATTGTTTGATGCTGTTGCTCATCACGGAGATGTAGCTAACCCACTCTGCGGCTGCAATTTTGAGAGGGTAGTAAGACAGAGACAGTAGCGTGGGTTGCTCGTTGTCGAAAGCGGGAGGCAACTCTTTCGTCCAGAAGTATATCAAGTCTTCGAGAAGCGATGATCGTTCAGGATATCCCCTATCATCATCGAAAAGCGATGGACGCTTCGAGAAGTCTTCGTACCCACCCTGGAACGGTCGTGACGGAAGGACCATTTTCTTTTCTGGAGATGTGTACTTGTCTGAATTCGGCTTGTCAACCAGTATTACGCCTAGATTCTGGTCAATTTCAACCGCTCAGAAATGGTTCATCGTACCTACCTAGCCATGAATTTGATCTTGTAGTTGACATCAAGATGGAACAGCTTTGTTGTTCCAGTCCGATTCGTGTATCCTTCATGGGTGGCAGAATCACCACCTTGCGTGGCACATTGCAGTCGCGTGACATCTTCTTTGGTACCATCGTACATGGACCGAAGTCGACCGAGCGCTGATACTGAAGACTGAGGAAGTTCTGGCTCAACATTTTAGACGGCAGGATGGCCGCTGATGGCTTAGATGATGTGATCTCTACCTTTGGTCCATGAATATGTGATGCGAAGAACAGCGGATTAATATCCAAGCCTGATCCTAGCGTTTCTATGACAGCTCCATTGAGATCCTCGACAATGATGAGACGGCCAGAGCCATGAACATCTGAACATATGATGGCCTCGAGTTCTTGTAGACCGAGATCGACTCGAGTAGGCTTTTTACAATCGCTGCGGAATTGAAGGCTGGCAATTCTACAACCATATCTCGCATCATCATTTGCAATGAATTGACAAAGATTGATGAGGCAGGGATTCCGCTTGCTCTGCGCAAAGACGTAGTCTGAGTATGAGGGTGCCATCCTCTGTACTTCAGCAAACATTGAGATGGGATATCCAACTCCGACTAGAAGCCAGAAAGCCGTCGAATTCCTCGTCGAGCACAAAAGATGTCCACAAAGCCTAGTCAAGCTGACACTTTTTTCAGGCAGCTATCGATGCTCAGCCGCAGTGTGCCTCGTGAGAGCTGCAAGTCGGAGCCAGAGCAAATTCTATTCGCTCTCGGTTACGCCCGCTTGACAAGTTTGCTGCATGCCTGCTTGGACGGGCGTGTCGAACCCATTTCAACAATCAAAAACAAATTATTTTCGACTTGGCAATCAATATCACTGTTCTGCAACCAAGGTTGTGTACACGGCAACGAAAGATCTCTAGCTAGACCATCGATCGAAGTAAATTCCAGAAGTTGTTCTGTCAATTACCACACGAGGCTGGGACATTAATTGACCTCAGCTGCGATCCCTGTCGCTGCGTTGGCGGTCAGGCAAACTGAGAATGGAGACTGATTCTCTCTCAGTCTTCGAATCCAGCAACAGGATCGACAATTCAGCCGACGTAATTGGATCCTTCATTGCAGATTGGGTACAAATCAAATACTTCTATTCCGAAGCAGCTAGTCTTGCGCAAGAGCTTTGCGAAACTCTCCTTGCTAGCAACGCCATTCGTGCAATCGTCACCCATCGAGTCAAGCAAGGCCATCGGTTGGAAGCGAAACTCAGAGAGCGAGTGCGAAAGCTAGGGCGAGAGTACAAGACCGCCAGAGAAATTAGAGATGATGTCGTTGATCTTGCTGGAGTGAGAATTGCTCTCTACTTCCCAAGTGACAGAGAGAAAATCGACAAGATAATTCACGATGCTTTCACTGAGGTTAAACACAAGACATTCCCAGAGCAAGATAGCAACCGAGTTTCTGACTCAATGTCTCTCGTCACAGAGACATCTCTCGACTTCCAGCAACGATTCCATGGCTATTCAGCCGACCACTACCGAGTTCGGATGAGGGTTGAAAATTTGGCTACAAAAAAGCTTCGAGACGACTTTCAGAAGACAAATCCGGTAATTGAGATTCAGGTTGCATCAGTGCTGATGCACGCTTGGGCGGAGATAGACCACGACCTCGTGTACAAGACTCTTACTAGTGGACCTGCATCTCAGCAAGAACTTCGACTTCTCGATGCCACCAATGGTCTTGTGCATACTGGGGAGGTCTTGCTACAACAGCTGCAGACAGCTATGGACGATCGTGTGGCGTATCAAAACAAGCCCTTCAGCGAGCAGTATGAGCTTTTGAGCTTCTTGCGAGGGCAGATCAAAAAGGCTAAAGGGTCGATGGAGCACTTGGATATTCTGCTTCTCGTATGTGATAATATCTCCTAGACCATTAATCCTCTGAATGGCTCTACTAATACTTCCCTAGGTGCTGAAGATAACAGATCTCGATTCCCCACGAAAATTGGGAGAAATTCTGGAAGGCTTTATGATTCCACCCAAGAGCAACGCTCCTATCGCGCTCATTATCTTGGAGCATATATTGTGTTCGCTTGGTGAAGATCAACGTCGCAATAACAATCTTTATCTCAGACCTAGATCGGTTGTACTCAGAGAGCTCGAGATTGACAAGACAAATTCCAAATGCTATTCGACCGACGTCAGCACGCGTGATAAGATTCTCGATCAAAGAGACATTCTCGAGATGGCCGTATCTGTTGCGGATATTATGCGCTTCCCTGAAAAGTCTATCCTCGTTGTCGAAGGCATGCCGCAGAAGTTCAGAAAGTTCTATGCCCTTTATAATCTGGTACATTTCGCTACCATTCGTCCTGATAAAGAAAGCAAGGAAGGCGAGAAGTGGTTGTGTGAGATATCACTAAGAGAACTAGATCCACTTTGGACATGGTTCGAGACCAATGAAGATGTTTTGTTCCGTGTTTCTTTGCTACTAGCGAGAATGAACGTGGAGGAAGTTGATCAAGAACTGATCAAGTTGCGTCCATCAAGCGGCTTTCAACGTCTGCCTTCCGTATACGAGCCGAATGCGGGTTATCTGAGTCCTAGGCATATTAGCCCTGGTAACATGAGCCCTGGATATTTCAGCTCAGGATCACTCAATCGAGGCGATGATAATACCGACTCGAGGGTTTCTAGGACGCCAGAAGGATCCAGAAGCCCGACGACCAGTCCAATACCCGGCAACCAATCAAAGAACCAACGCCCCGAGAGAGGATCTCCTGCTGCACGAGCAACCCCCCAAAATTTCGATACTGACGAGGAAAACGAAGAAGACGATTCACCAGTCGTCATACCGGAACGTACCAGACGACCATATATTGAATCAACCTCCAGGCCTGAGTCAGAAAACAGGCTGGACCGCGACAAGGGCGCTCCCATAGAATCGAGAGCAGAAAAACACAGAAATGAGGCCGAAAGATCGCCAGAGCACGAAAATGTCACACCTACGCCTGGAAAGCGAAGATATGCATCGGAGAGAGTACCACAGATGGATTTCATAAGCACAAGATCGATGCCAGAAGCAAGAGTAGAAAGAGAAGAGTTCATGAACGATCAGCCCAGACTCACGTCCCGGGGTCCTAATAGGAACGCCTATGTCGAGGAAGAGAGTTCTGATGGTTCTGACGCAGAACCAAGAAACCCAATGGTAAGAGTCCACCAACAAAGTGGACGGCAATCATATAGGCCATCAAGTCAACTACCACAACCAAGGACAAAGCGAAGAGAGTCCTACCACGCCACCTCAAGTCCAGGCGAATATACTATGCCTGAGGTTCCCGAAGTTCCGGAGCCGCCCGATTTAGAACAAGATCCTGAACGGGTTGCCGAGCCAAGATATCGCGGGCAGTCGTCTGCATCTATGACATCTATGCCAGTAGCTGCAGCACCTACGAAACCAAAACGAAGAGATACCGGGCGATCAAGGAGAAACGACTACTATCGGTCCAACGAGCCAGCGCTGCGCAGGAGATTTGAGCCATTAGGTGGGAGAGCGAGATCAATGGAGGAGCCTGCACCATCCTTTAGTGGGCCACCAGCATATTTCCCAACAGATTACCGAGAGCCGCAACCACAACGACCTCAAGCCCCAAGATTGTCAACGTACTACCCAGTGTCCGCACCGTCTGGCCCTCCTGGTTCTGGTTGGTAGTCAGGTTAGATGCCGCGCCAAGTTCTTGGTTGCGGAGGCTACTTTCTCTTTTGAAGGAATGGACAATCGTCTTCAACATTAAAGTAGTCTATACGCACTATCATAAAATAGCAAGGCCGTCAAATGAATTAGTTCGTTACTTGCAGTTCTGTAAGACACAGAAGCGCCTTTGCTCGTCATTTCCTCGAAACATTTTACCACACCGCTTTTTGACGTTCATCTACCACGAATCCCCTTCATTGCCACCCTCTCTTTCTCCAACTTTGCACCTATGCAGCCACAACAATAAACGAATCAAAGTACCAAACAGGACCATTCAAACAAGAATCGATATCGATCTCGATTGTATCCTCGAGTATGCCTCCTTGGAATATTGCAGAATATGTAACCCCTATAATGTCACTCATCAGCTACACTCTAATTCAGACAGCCCAGTGGAGCTCAAAGGAGGGTCAAGTGGATTAGAACTTACAAGTTGTCTGTCCCGTAAACTTGCTCAAATCCATCTGACTCCAATCATCAATGGGACTGTCTCCGGTACCAGAGTATAGCCATCCCTGACATCCAGTCGTATCACTATTTTGAGCATCGACTCTGACCGCAAACGACAAGTTATACGCAGGAGGAGAGTTGAACGTTGGAGAGATTATGCCAATGCCAGGATTATTGTTGCTGAGGAACTCGACGCCCAGCATGCTTTTCAACGATACCAATCAGCTCTGCACATATAACATGGAATGCAACTTACTAGTTTCCTTCATATGCTGGATTACTCACAGTGCCTTGCACCTCAGTCATACTTGTTGCTCCCGTCGTTCCATACTCATAGAAAGTCCACCCCGCGTCATCTTCCTCAAACCCACCATTGAGAATCATATCTGGTGTGGATGTTGCATAGCATGGAGTTGCTGCAATGCTGGTAACGGTGCTGAACAGCGTCGAGGCACTCAGGGTTAACGTCTTCGTTTTGGTTTTGAGAGTTGTCGTGCTGATTGAGATTGCCGACACGGTCTGGTTGACAGTGACATACTGTGTGAATGTGGTGCTTGAAGTGCTAGCTGGCAAGGTTGAGGTTAGAACTATGGTGCTTGCTGCCTGGGTGTACGTCTGAACGATAGTGTTTGGCGGCAGGGTCTGAGTGATTTGGATCGTGGTTAGGGGTAGAGTGGACACATTGCTGGCTGTGACTGTTAAGGTCGTCGTTTTTGTCTTCGTGCTGGTTGATATCGACACAGTGAACAAGTCTGTCTGCGTGATATAAACTGTAATGGGCGAAAGTGTCTGCTGCACGGTCAAGGTGGACGCAGGCTGAGTAGAGTAGACGGTCAACGGCTGCGTGGCGGTAACAGTAAGAGTAACTGTCTGCGTAGCAGAGGTCAAAAGTGGGAGCAGAGCTCCAAAAAGGATTCTCGACAGCATTTCGTTGTTGTGGAAATAGGATAAGGAAGGATGTCACTTAACATTGAAGGTCATTATGGCTTGAAGATTCTTCACATTCGTAAAGTCTCACTTGAGAGATTATTTGGGATTTAGCCTTGACCACGAATCAAATCAAGGTTCGGGTACAGAATTCTAGGACTCGGGCACTCTCTAGGGAAGTCACCTATGAAGAAACAGGCGAGGCGAGAGGAAGCGAAAGACCGAATATTCGAGACTCGTGCTGATGTCTGTGACATTAAAGTCGGAAATTCTATCGATAAACAGAAATACATTGTAGGTCTCAAATTGAAACAGTCTTCAGTCGCTGGCCTGAAATCTGTACTCTTCGTGATGAGGTGCAGAACTTATGCGTGGCCAAATCTGCTAGTCATGAAGAACGCGAAATGCGCAAAAGAATTTCACGTAAAGTAGAGTGGTGTAGCTAGCTTATTAAAGAAATTGAAGGTGTAGTTTAGAGAAAGATCGTTGCAAAGGGAAGCAAGATCCCAATCTGTGTGCATGTCTCAATTGCTTTTTGGGGCGTGCTGCTGACTCGGCTTCTAGAACACGATCACGGCATACGCCATTAGGAAAGGTAGACCGGATAGCCCTGAAAACATGACAATTTTTTAATACGTTTCTCGGCACGCCTTTTCCTAGGGCTCTGATTGCATGGGTGAGGTCGTCGATAGCATTTGGCATACATCATTGAGATGTATAACTGTACGTCAGCGAAATTTCCCATCACAGAACAGCTGATGCGCTCAGGCTTGACGCTCAGAAATCGAGATGGTTCAGCGATGTAGAAAGAGCATTTCTCATTACTTTGACAAGACGAAAGTAACCATTGATCGTCCCGAGACGCTCCCGCTAACCAGCCCGGAGCTAGAAATTGTGGTAGCTGTGTCGCTATAGTCGTGGGTATTGTCCGTGATCCATGCTTTTGTCGTATTCGCCGTGAAGTCACCAGCCGTGCTGATGCTCACACTTGCATCACTAGTCCCAGTATTGAGGACCAGCACAGCAAGGGTACCATCGTCTCTCAAGTAGGCGCTCGTTTGCAATCCACTTCCTCCCGATACTCCAACTCTCACGCTCCCAGGTGTCGCAGCTCTGGCCCACTGAGCAAAGGCCCAAAGTCTCTTACTGACTATGTAGGAGTCTCCGTCCACTCTCACAAGCTTCGAATTGGTTGAGCCACCCTGAACACCGACCCAGTAGACATACGCACTACAATTTGCATTCACGACAGCCGTGTGAATCAGACTCGCCCAGTGCATGCCCTCGCCTGCCCCGCCGCTGCTATACCAAGCGGATTGCCACGCTCCCTGAAGATCAGCATTCTCTGTCTGCCAAACTCGCTTACTCGTGCTGATCGGTGAACTGGGAGAAGACGTATAGCTGTGCGAAGTGATTATTGCGAGGAGGGATTCGGCCCCTGCTGACTTGATCTGGGAAGTCATTGTGCCTTGATTGGACCAACCCTCACTGTCGCAGCAAGCAATACCAGTGCTAAGATTCGCTGTATAGATGGTGGGGGCCAAGATCTTGATAAAGTCTGCTGCTTGTGTGCCAGATGAAAGCATGCCTGCATAGCTTGCACTATTCCAGCGTCAGAACGAGTCCTAGAAATGACTTATCTAATCTTACCTGTATTCCGGCTCATTCAGGAAGCCTACATAAGTGATGTCTATGCCTGCAGCTTGGTAGAACTTGATGTAGGCCACGAGATAATTGGCGTAAGCTTGTTTCCAGTCACCACTCGAACATTTGGTCCCACTGACACCGCATAAAGATCCACCATTATTTTCATTACCATTGGTCTTCATAAAAGAGGGTGCACTCCAAGCATCAGCATAGAAAGTTCTCACACCTCGAGCATATGCTTGCTGTGCAACGAAGAGCTGTCCACTATCCTTGCCGTCCCACACGTAGTCGGGCGTGGCAGTAGGTGATCCGGGATTCTTGGGCTCGATTGTGTTCATGTGGTCACTGCTTGAGTCTGGGGAGGATCCAATGCCGATTCGTAAGATGTTCATTCCTGCTCCGGACGTGGTATTGAATAGTAGGTCGAGTACTTCTTTCTGCTGCTTATCCGGTAGCTTGACAATCACATTTGCTCTTTGAAATGCTTCCGAGAACCCAAAGCCATCCATAGTTTGATATTTCTTGCTGACATCGACTGTGATGGCAATATCTGACTGTAATTTAAGTAAGTCTGGAACTGCCACGGCCTCTTGCAAACCCGCAGCAATGATGACCCATAGTCACTGCATTTCCAGCTTATGAATGTATACAATCCGCCGCAAATGAAATAGGTGCTGCGAGTTGCGGAAGCTACGACTCGAGATCTATATGCGCGAGGTGGGGCGTGCTTCATGAAAGGTTTGGTTAACAAGGGGCTGAATTATATACCCATGCTCGGCTGTTATGGTCGTCCCGAAATGATTGCATTTGCATTGCCGACAATCCAAAGACTCGGAAGTATTTTGCTTCCGTAGGTAGACAGCGTTCCCCGCAAATGGCAAGGATGGTGGATGAAAGGGTTGATCGTGAATTTGCTTCTTCCCAACCTTCGCAGAACGAGAGGAGTCGTCAAGAATCAGTTACTGACCAAGGTTCATGCCAGCATCCATGTTGAACCAATCCATTGAATCGAGCCAATCTAGTCGATTATCGGCCATCTGAAAGCTTGGAAGATACATTTCCAGCTCGTCGCCCGCGTTGTTGATGGCCTCGTTAATCTGGTCATCTGACATTGCAGAGAAGGGTAGAAGTTCTGACATCTGGATCGGCGCAAAAGCCGCTTGATTCTGATATGTTGGCAATTGAGGTTGTATAGGAACATTTCGAGAGATAGGAAATGATGTTTGCTGTAGTGGCTGGCTCAAGCCATCTGGTCGAGCTGGAAAGGAGCCCACAACTTCTCGAAGATGCCTGCCATACAGGGCCGACGTTCCATTTCGGTGTGGTGGGTTGGAACCAATTCTTTCAAGCAAAGCTGCTGTTTCTTCGATCAATTTGCGAATGGAAGGGGCTAAGCTTATGTTTGCAGCCGAGCCCATTGTGCTCAGATAGAAGGCGAAGCATGCGGCGAACGAAATCATAATCGCAGTATTATTGGGCATTGATTTCAATCGATTCTCGCCCTGAACAGCGGCTCGCATAACATTCAACGCGGACGAAAGACCTGCAGCTCGAAAAAATCGTTTCACCTCCACAGGCGCCGTAGGATGATTGATTACACTGCTGTAAATAGAGAGTCGCCCATGGGTGACTAGAATTTCAACATATGGCGGGATTGAGTTGTCTGAAATAGGTCAGCGTTGTCGAGAAGTAGGTACAGTGCGAGTGCAGCCAAACCTTTCATCCCCCCAGTTGCGAATGCCCATGTTGTATACCATTTTGTGAAAAAGCCATCGATCATGTGCTGAAGTCTGCAAGATGAGTAAGACATCTAAAGAATGCTCGTTGATACTCACGATTGAGCCGTATTGTCTCCATTCATAACGCGTATGCCATTTCCGTCACAAGTTTTCTTTACATCTGAGATCAAGACCTCCTGCGAGACATCAGTAGTTGTAAGAGAAAGGGTCATCATTAGTGATTTCTCACAAGATCGCGCCTTAGCATAGCTGACGATACCATCGAGCCATCCCAAACGTCGGCGATATCGGATTGATGCCAGTTGTCACAATGCTCGATGATGGGCGTTAAGGGAACCGTAAAACCTCTTCCTCTTGCTAGACAGACACTGTATGGATGAGAACGTGGATCTTATCATAGACAACCGGACTTACCCTCGGTCCAGCACGAACAAAGCCAACCAGATTCTTTCGCGGCGACGGAGCAGGCGCCTACCAAACTCAGACGCAGGATCTACATCATGGAACCCATCAAGATCTAATGCCTTCCTTGCAGAGATGTAATCTGAAGGTGGCCGACGTTCATGGATTCCTTTAAGAGATGGACTTGGAGACGGAACGATGAGCTTATTGAGAGAGATATCGATTGCTATTGTCAAAGCCGCTCCCATGTATGAACACGTCTCATCGTCCGCCCAATGCTTCCCAGGCGCCATCCAGGGAATATTGACCATGAAGCCTAGAACTATTTCTGGCGATCGGTGTCTCTTCACCATGATAGACTGGGCGAGGTGCTTGCAATGAGACGAGAGTCTTTTCGAAATCGCTGCAGCAGTGGGAATGAAAAGTGCAGAAGCAGCCATGATGGAGGCAAAGAGAAAAGAGGATCGCTTTCGAACGAAGTCCGGTGTGTGTAATTTTGCGTCGAGGCCCCATCGAGTATGTGAGAGATTGTCGTAAAAGCTAGCTATGTTAGTCTTGCGACTTGGAGAGAGGGATGTATTCTTACTATGCAAAGAGTGCAATTGCTTCTTCTTCTGTGACTAGACCTAGGTCAATTGGATCAATATCAGGTCCAACGTCAAGACTCGGACGGAATGGGCCGAAGAAGTCTTGTAAGTCCTGATCATTACCGGCACGTGATGGATTGTGATGTATTGATGCGCTGGTGGCGAAGGAAGTCTGAGCATTCGGAGCAGAGAGATCAGATGCTCTGGCCAGTAGTTGTAGAGGATTCTCTGCATCGTCAACCGCAAATTGCTCCTCAGCAGAGCTTTCAGGAACGGTCTCATTGATTTCTTGTTGTGGTAGATGACCCGCACTTCTGACTGATCCGGCAGAGGTTGGTCTTTGAGGGAGCAGCCCTTGTGCTTCATTCAAGAGATGTTGTAAATGGAACGTATTTCGATCTTCCTCTGATTGGGTGCTCTTTGTTCTTGACTTTTTGATAGCCTGTTCAATCGCGAAAACTGCCTTTGAAAGGCCATCGCGTTTACTGAATGCAAGTCAGCAGCTGCAAAGCCAAGGTTTCGTAATTCCAAATCGATCTCCTCCCTGAGGTAGGAATGGTGGAGAACATACTTCTTGATTCCCTTCTTCCGACCAACGCGATAATCTGATACGAATCAGAATTGCAATGATCTCACGAGCTCAGGGATAACGTGACCGACCTGGTATGATGCACTCTGTTTGGGCTTGAGAACATTTCTTGCACTTCAGATCCCCTGCGTTCCGCAAGCACCGAGTTTTGCTTCGTCTACAATTCAAGCAAGCTGCTTGCTTCTGGCCCTGGCTGTCGCCCTTCTCCGCCGTATTGGAGCTGGATGGAGACCGGTCTTCCATAACATCAATCCTGCTACGCGTTGTGAGGACACTCCCATAGCGACCGAGGAGATTGATGGGCTGAGATATTCCAATGAGTCAAGGGATAGTGAACAACGAATCTATAAGATATGGTAATTGGCGGTCGGCCCGGAAGAACCTGGTGAACTCAAAAGACAAGAAGCAGGGTGAAGTGAGGTGCGATTCGGAGCCGACGAAGCGAACCACACCACGTGATCGACCCCGCATATGTCTTGAAAAAAGTCTTCCGATCTCTCGAGCTTGAACCCACCCTGAAGATCCTAGAAAATCATATTGCTATCTTGAGAATTGCCAAATCTATCCGTCATTCATTTCTCCACACAACTAAAATTCTGTTTGAAGCACAAAGAGACTCAGAAATTGCTCAAGATGGTTGAGATTTGGAAGATAGTTGTGAGCACGAGAGAACAATTGATGCTCTGCGGGTGTCATTCATATAGGTTTCTTGATGTTCGTTTATTCTTCATACTATTCTCTGTATATACAATTTCCCCAGAAACGCCGGATCGCTCAGTGAACTATATCTTGTGGTATACTCTGTGCCTAGAAGATCCGAAGACTCTAGCACCAAGTGCTGCTATTTGTTGAAGAACCTGACTTTACTGTTGATTTCTAATTTGAGATTGCCTTTCCTCCAAGTTGTCACAATGTATTCTTTGCAGCAAATAGTCGTTGTAGTTGTTCCATGAAAATAAACATGAGAACGGTGTTTGGACTTTCAAAGTCAGCGCCGTCATATTTTCTTGGGGCATCTCAACCTACGCAAGTCGCAACCATGCTGGTGTCCAGCCTCTCAGTAACACTCCCGGCCCTTCACTCCTTATTGCGGTGACGATGATCTTCATGAGGGACGGAGCCTGACCTTTTGCTGAAGCCGCGTTCTGTAACCTGCTTTTCAGTACGTCTGCCGGCGCACATACTGTCGTTGCGACTGTCCCTGCGATCAGAGAGGCCGCAATGTGTACTGGAACTCCGTCAGATAATGGGACGAAGTTGTTTGAGAGGAGTTGGCGCTTCGCTGAGGTGTATCTAGACGTTTGTCAGTGTTTTTCGTATCACTCGGCTCCCTAAGACTCACACTGCGATTTGGGAAACATCTGCAATAATTAGCACTGCTTTTACACCATTGGAGATATACACTCACTCATCAAGATACTCCTGACAATATTCGGACCTAATCCTTTTGTGAAAGCACGCACTCCCTCCTCCCTGCCAATTCTCACGAGGCCGGCTAGCGCATTGGGATATCGATATCTTTGTTGAGTTTCCTTGACACCATCTGAGCACATTCTCACCAAGACGACCTATCCATATCAGCAAAGCTTCCGCCCATTCAGCAAGACTCATATACTTCTGTGGGATTTCCAATCATGCCTGCAAGGCCTCCAGCGAATCCCGCACAAGCAACAGTTTGTGCTGCTGATAGCTTCCCCCCAGTTCTTTGTTGCATTTGTCGAGCTAAGGCATCGTACAGGGCGAATCGTGCAGTGGAATATGTCGTCTGTCTCAGGATCGATGCGGAGAGGCCAGACCAGAGAGACTGTATACCTGAGATGCGTCAGCCTCTTCGTTTGAACTTTGGACATTTAGACCAACCATCACGGACAGCAAATGTATGCATTGCTTTCAGCATTGGCTGCTTCGAAGCGAGGACTTGCATACAGCTGCTATTCGTCAGCTAAAGTTCCTTAGCTTTTTCTCTGTGGAAAGACTTTACTATTTGGTCCGATCAAGAGGATGAGCTGTGTCAATGTCAGCAGGATTCGCTGTTCGTGGGTTAAGCACTCACTGAAACAAGCTGCCATCGATGCAGATGCACCACTATCCACATATTCAGCATGACATATCTCTGTTAACATGTCACACTTACCCCAGCCAGAAAGGTTGCTGTGCCTTCGCCATCCCAAGAATTGTAGAAAATCATACAACCTCAGCCCATTTTGTCGCTTTCAGCACGTAGCCAAAGTATAAGTCGTTTTGGTAAGTATCTCCAAGGCATTGACCAGACCAATTCGGATTCAAAAGTAGGTCCCGTTAGTGTACGGACCCACGGATGTCATTTTCTTGCTCTCATGTGCATCTCACGGCGGTTAAAGAATCAGCCGACGTGTTCCAGTACTCCACAGAACGCCCTGGTTTTTCCCTCGGCAATTGGGGAGCGGGAGGCAAAGAATGCCCGAATTTTGACCGCCTGCGGCAGAACGTTTTCAACCGTCCGGTCTTTGCATTTCCACTACTGTACAAATCGTCATCAACATCTAAAATATACTCACTTCCTTTCTTTCTCATTATCCCTTCAAGTTGTTCAATTGCATCTTCTCAAAATGGCAACAAGAAGAATACCCTCAGCTTGTATAGCAGCAAGCTCTCGCCGGACTACATCATTCATACCCCACTCCCGCATTATCCCCAGATTCCACAGCTCACGGCAGCTGCACGCGACATGCATACGATTGGAAGGGCAGAAAGCCAATGTTGGTGCGAAACGAGACCCAGCACCGAAAATTGTCAGAGGGCAGTCGAAAATATTCAAGAATGCAGATGAAGCTGTTAAAGACTTAAAGAGCGGGGCGATAGTTTTGAGTGCGGGTTTTGGACTTTGTGGTACTGCTGGTAAGGAGACATTTATCTCAATCTTTTGATTCAATGTACTTTGGGGATAGGCATTGGAAACTTTTGTTGTATCTCGCAGCTGCGCCAAAGCAGGTCCCTCGAGCTTCTTTTGTCTCGAAGCATTACGAGTATGCCGAAGCGAATGGAATAAAACTTGAGATCTCGTTCTCAAACAATTGCTTCCCTCAATAGAGCATCTTGTCACTAACTAATAATTGTGCGAAAACAGATACAATCATAGCAGCAATCGAGAAGAGGGGAAAGGACAGCTTGGACAATCTCACAGTCGTCACAAACAATGGTGGTACAGCCAGTGGAGGCGGACTTTCTCCTCTGGTCGTATCAGGGCAAATCGACAGATTGATCATGTCATTCCTGGGTAACAACAAGGCGTTGGAAAAGAAGTATTTGAACGGCGAAGTTGCAATCGAGTTGACCCCGCAGGGAACGATTGCAGAGAGAATACGTGCTGGTGGTGCCGGAATTCCTGCTTTCTTCACTCCAACAGGTGTTAGTAAGTCATTCCGCCCTCGTCATGTCGAATGTGAGCTAAGTTTGTCTGCAGATACACTGCTACAAACTGGAGATATTCCTGTCCGTCTAGGACCAGTTGACAAGACAACGGGCAAGACCACTATCCTCGAAGCTGGAAAGCCACGAGAAACCAGAATCTTCGATGGCAAGACATACAATATGGAACAAGCTATTAAGGGCGATGTTGCAATTTTGCGAGCATACAAAGTAGACGAAGCGGGAAACTGTCAATTCAGGTGAGTTCTCTTGGTTTGTAGATGGCACAATTATCGTTGACTGACTTGTGAAGATACACCACCAAAACTTTCGGTCAGATTATGGCCAAAGCTGCCAAAGTAACAATCGTCGAAGCCGAAAATATTGTCTCAATTGGCGACATCGATCCCGATAATGTCCATCTTCAAGGAATTTACGTTGATAGAATCGTCCCAGCCACTGTCGAGAAAGTTATCGAGATTCGAAAACTCAAGGAGGTCGAAGGACAAGGTGATGGCAAGAAATCCGACTCCCTGCTTAGACGAGAACGTATCGCTAGGCGAACAAGTAAAGAATTGAAGCATGGGTACTATGTCAATCTTGGTGTCGGGATTCCTACTTTAGCACCTAGTTTCTTGAAACCTGAAACCAAGGTTTGGATCCAGAGTGAGAATGGACTGCTTGGAATGGGACCGTATCCCACTGAAGAGGAAATCGATGCGTAGGTTCTCTCCTTCTGCCCTTAACACTTACTCTAACAATCACTGATAGCGACGTAATCAATGCCGGCAAAGAGACTGTAACCATAATCCCAGGCGGCTCAACCTTCGACTCCGCTGAATCTTTTGCCATGATCCGAGGTGGACACATCGACGTCTCCGTCCTTGGTGCTCTCCAAGTCTCTGCCAATGGCGATTTGGCCAATTTCATGATTCCTGGAAAGGTCTTCAAGGGAATGGGAGGTGCGATGGATCTTGTGGGCAATCCAGATCAGACTAAGATTGTGGTTGCAACAGATCATGTGGCGAAGGATGGAAGTCCAAAGATTGTGGAGAGCTGTGAATTACCGTTGACCGGAGCGAGATGTGTGAGCACTATAATTACGGATTTGGTAAGTCTGCTAGGATGCATTGAGAGAGCGAAGTGTTAACGTGTGATAGTGCGTCTTTGAGGTTGATAGAGAGAAAGGTGGATTGACCTTGACTGAGCTAGCGCCAGGAGTCGAGGTCGAGGAAGTGAAAAGCAAGACAGGGGCGAAATTCAAGGTCGCAGATGATGTGAAGAGCATGGAATAGAAATTTCCGTCATGTATAGAATGCATTCACATCGATGCACATAGCTGGTCTTTGTCATGTTATATATATTGTACATATCTATCTACAAAATTTCATATGTTTTGCTATCTCTAAATCATCTACATCAACTCTATATTCACAACTTGGACTTGATTCTCTCCATGCCGGGCGCAAAAGTACTTCCCTTCCCTTCCCCAATCGCTTCAACAATCCTATCAACAGCCTGCAACAACCAGGCATTGCCCTCCTCTCCCGCTAACCACTCACCACCTTCAACGACCTCTTCACCTTCTGCGTTTGCACTCCCGTCCTCAAAAGCCTTCCTCAATCCAAAAACATGACTCGTAACTTGAGGTCCGACACCCGTCTGGGCCCTCAAACAAGCCACAGCGATCACACTCGTTAACACCCTACCCACCTTTCCCCTATTCAGTTCAGGCGGATCAGAAAACAAGGCACCATATTCGTGGTTCACGATGAAAACTGGTAAATCTGGATGCGAGTCTGCGAGTTTCGAAAACAGTTTCGAATCGAAGGGTCGGTATATGGATGTCCAGAGCGAAGAGCCTCGAGAAAGTGTCGCGTTTATGTTTTGCGGTGAAGAGGTTCGACTGGGCGTTGTAGAGAGGGAGGAAACTATTTCTGAGGGGAGGCTAGAGCGGAAGGCACCTAGGCAGTTGATCGTTCGTGGGACCTGGGTGCATTGTTAGCATTGTAGCCGCAGAGGGAGGAACGAGACGGGGAAACGTACACCGTTGAAACCAATACATTTTAATCCCACTTCTCTCATCAATTCTGCTGTTTGTACACTTTGGTTCTTGTCTTTTGATTTGTCTGTCACTAGCTCGTATAATTGAGTCAATCCTTCAGGGGAGTTCATCGTCATTGTTGCTGCTGTCTATCTCTGGTCAGCTTGCTACCCTACAAATTCAATCGTGTCCCCAATTGGATATCTGGGACATTGTCAACGCCTGCACATACAGATAAGCTGAGCCAAGCTGGTACTCCGACATTCTTCCCTTTTGCTTCTGTTCTCAAAGCTTCATATATACTCCGGACATGAGGTGATGCGGGAGTTGTGTTGGGTCGTGCATACGGAGCTGCAATGAGCGCTTTCAATGAGGAAGAAAGTTTAGACATCGTGACATCAACTGCTGCTGTATTTCTTCTTACACAGCTGCGTTCAGTTCATCAGAGAAATAGTCTAGTTTGACTTGATCTCACAAGATATAAAGACGTCAAGCGTGCGATGTTCGGAGTTGTCCTTATCGGCAAAGGACCACCGAAGCACCTCCCCACAAAATTCCCACAGGTGGCGTCTTCGCTCATTCTTTTGTCTCCGATGCCAATTTTCTGACCCCGCGCTCATCTCATACGCCGCGAACCTAAATTGGTAGCGCTGACCGACTTGACTGACCATCAAAACTTTAACTGGATGGATGCACGTATCCCCGTCTGGGTGACATTTGGGGCACGGAGAACCCTGGCTCGAGTGCTGTACGTACCAGGAAAACAAGCTTACACGGCACGGCTTCTGTACAACGTTAAGATGCACAAAAGAGGGCAGGTATGGACAGGGGAGGAAAGATGGAGGTGATAAGAGCTGAGACCCCAGATTCCCGTTCTTTTGTTTTTGTTTGCGGGCCCTTCTTGATCACTGAACCGAATTGATTGTGCTTCTTACCACCGAGATGGCAGAACTCGAGAAACGTGACGGAATGGCCGAAGAGAAGTACATGGAAAATGTCCACGAGAAGAACCCGACTGCTGCGGGACAATCAAACGAGAATGCAGCTCTCACGCGCAAGATCCTCTTCAAGCTCGACCTCAGGTATGTGCTAGACTTCTCCGTGTCATCTTCCTCACAAAAAGCTGATATTGATACTGTCTAGAATTCTTCCAATCCTCGCCCTCCTCTTCCTCTGCTCATTCCTCGACCGAACAAATGTCGGAAATGCGAAGACCTACGGTCTCGAAGCCTCGCTCAAAATGACCGACCACCAATACGACACTGGACTCGCTGTTTTCTATGCTACATATATCGTCAGGTAAATTCCCCAAACTTTTATACTCTGCAGGCCAAGCTGTCACATCCTCGGCAGCTTGGCATCGTCGATCATATGCTAAGATGTATATTCTCCAGTGAAATCCCAAGTAATCTGGTCCTTCGGAAGCTCTCCCCGAAGATCTGGCTCCCAGTCCTGACAATCTTCTGGGGCATCGTTACAATGTGTCTGGGCTTCGTGAAAAATTACAGTCAATTCATGGCCGTACGCGCCATTCTTGGCATTTGTGAAGGTGGTCTCCTACCTGGAATGGTGCTGTATCTCTCAGGCATGTACACGAGGGGTGAGATGGCGTTGAGACTCGGTCTATTCTACACGGCGGCTAGTCTGAGCGGCGCCTTTGGAGGCCTGTTGGCTAGAGGGTTGACAAGTATTGGGAAGAGAGGAGGACAGGCGGAGTGGAGTTGGATTTTTATCATTGAGGGGCTATTGGTACACACCCTTCTCTACGAGCTGGGGCTTGAGCTGATTTTAGGCAGACCGTGGCCATTGGGATATTGGCATACTTTCTCCTTCCAAATAATGTCGAGACAGCTCCATTCTTGAAAGAGAATGAGCAGATCTACGCTCGTTCGAGACTCCATCTTGACATGCCTTCTCGTCTTGCAGAAGATGGAAGCGAGCACCACCACGAAGCCTTCCGATGGTCAGAAGTGCGTCGCGGCATCTTCAACATCTCAACCTGGCTCTCGGCATGCGCATATTTCGGTATCCTCGCTGGTCTTTATTCCTTCGGTCTCTTCCTCCCCACTATCATCGTGGAGTTGGGATACACGGCCAATGAAGCCCAACTTTGGTCCGTGATTCCCTATGCTGTTGCATCCGTCGTAACAGTTATCATCGCTATCGTGTCAGACCGAATGAAACTCCGTGGAGTCATAATGCTCTTCGTTCTCATTCCAGCTATCATTGGATATGCAGTCATCGCCAATATCTCAGTCGCTCATCCAAAGGTCAAGTATGGAATGACGTTCTTGATGGCGACTGGAATGTATGCTTCTGTGCCTTGCGTACTGGTTTGGAACAGTAACAATTCTGCGGGACACTACAAGAGAGCAACAACAACAGCGTTGCAGTTGATGATTGCGAATAGTGGTGGATTTGTTGCCACTTTCATTTATCCAAATAAGGATAAGCCGCAGTATCACAAAGGGCATACTGTTGTGCTTGGGTTGTTGGTCATGAGTTGGTTCCTGTGAGTCTGCTTCATGCATTTGATGAAGAAAAAAGCTGACGAGAATAGAGTGCTAGCTAATGTGTTGTATTGCCACAAGGTGAATATAGATAAGAAGGCAGGGAAGTATGATGAGTTTATTGGGTCATCGGACGATAGAGATCCTGATTTCTTGATGGTGCTGTGATACGAATGTGTCCTTCGAATGAAATAAAGCTGAGGAACATCAAATATTTCAACACAATATGCATGATGATTTACTTCTTGATGATAAAAAATCAATCAAGAGAGCAAACCGCTTTTGACCAATGTGAGAATTTGTAGTTGTCTCGCGTCGAGAGGAGAAGAGGACGATGCAGAAAGCATGAAATCAGAAACTAAACTTACCTCGTATTGAGAAGCATATCATGGAAAACTGATTGCTGATATAAAATGCCAACGAGAACGACTGATATGCAACACTGACCTGCTCTCGAAGCACGTTATTTGAGCTTCTCTCGGACCTACCACTGGATATCAAGTCATGCCAGGACAAAGTCCTATAACACAGTCCTGTCAAGCAGGATCAAGCCCCGAGTCAGGTACCTCTTTCTTGGCCTTGAGCTCAGCAAGTCGCCGTTTCTCGACTTCTTTTCGAACTCGATCGAATTTCAACTTGATCCTTCTATCAACAATCTGGTTTATCTTGATGATAGGAAGCTTCCAATTAGGTGAGAGTCCTTGCCAGTTGCCAGTCGCAATTTGTCTCCACCTGAGAGCCTCGAGCCGGTTCAAGTCAATATCAAGTGGAGGGATCTTGGGGGATGCCTTGAACTTGCTGCGATCTGACGCAGATGTTTCCGAGCTGCTATAATTGTCGAATGCTGGAGCTAGCACGTCAGAGTCGAGAAAGACATCGTCTGATCTGTGCTTGGACTTCCACGATTTGATATCAAGCCAGGGCTTATCTTCGATAACAAGTGTAAGGACTTCCAAATTGCCAAAACAGCCCAAAAGCTTCAGTAACCAATCCTCCTTGTTGGACCATCTATTGCATCCAGCGATTGAGAGGGCTAGATGTCGGACCGACTTCAGTTGACCGGCAGATCCAACAGCCAACTGCGTTATAAAACGATCAAGTCTTTCCTCGGGACCGTAGTCTAGATCGACCCAGGACCATGGAGATTCTTCAGAAATATGAAGAACGTCAATCTCGGGATTGAAATAGGTCTGTGGTATTGTCGAAGGGCCTGAAAAGTATGGTGTGTATTTGCATGCTTGGAAAGCATCTTGGCAGGTGAATATGATTTCGGGTCTGTAAGAGTCGGATTCGATGCCCCATGTCCCGGGAAGTCGCCCTGAATGTGGCGAGTCTAGAGGAGTCTTTCCTGAGTCCGCAACGAGCCTTCGGTTCGATTTATCGGGAGATGATGCCAACGGTGTCGATCGCCTGAGCATTGTTGTCCAGAGGTCTGACATTCCGTCCCATCTGGAGTCCGTTCTTGACCCCTCCCAAGTTTCCTCACATTCTGACTCCCAACCAAACTGTAGCGACCTTCTCAAATTTAATGTTCTTGATATGCGAGGCATATCTGCTCGCCGCGCTGCCCGTGATTCATCCATTCTTTGTGCGTGTGCATTCCGCTCTGGGTCCGGTCGTAGCTGTTCGTGACACGAGTTCGTCTCTCGTTCAACGGCTTGCTGCTCCAACCGCTTCTGCCGTTCCTGCTCAACAGGATTACGTACTTTGCGTTCATATATGTGTACTATCCGAGGGCCAGGCATTGCCATCCTCCATATTGCGTGTCTCAATTCTCCAGGAAGGTCTCGAAATTGTGGGAACGTTGGTGGATTGGCTGCGGATTCGAGAGAAGACAGATTCACATCTGCCAGTGAAGTCTGCATCTTGGATGTCAGAGTCGATATAACATGTTGCTGAAAGGGTCTCTGAGGAATTTCATTGGTGACAATACTGTCAATGCAATTGAGAGGTTGAAGTTGGGTCGAGATCTGGAATGGATCCGCTGAGTCAGCAAAAAATATGCCCCGCAGAACGAGCTTCGTTGTGAGATCATCACAACAGCGATCATGGATGGTTGTTGTTCTCTGGACTCATAGTCCTCATTGAGCTTGTACGGTGATTCCTCCACGAGAGTCATCAAAGCTGTTGATTACTCGATGCAATCGAGGTTCCAGAAGAGGTGACTTGAAGTTATGCCATGGTTCTCAACACGCTTCTTCAGTACCAGGTCGAGTGCTTCATGTTCTCCGTCTGTGGTCGTTTCTTACTGAGTTGATTTGATCAGTAGCCTGGAATGTTATCCCTTTGAGCCATCCGCTAGGTCTGGGTATGTGCCAGCTGCCTTGGAAAGTCACAGTCCATCCTCAACTTCTCAGTGGCATTCCCAATTCAATCCAGTCAAAGTCAATTATTCCGCCCCAACGACATTGGTAACACGATAATTCAGTGTCTGCATTGTACTGAAGGCTATCGCTTTGCGGAATGAAGTGGGCGTTGTCCTGCCTGCGGATTTGCGTTTGGAACTTCCAGAGATGAAGTCGGGATTGACCCATGAATCCAGAACATCTCACCCATGGAACGAAGGTTTTGAGGCGTTCTGTACGGCATAAACTGTTCTTCTAGACCATGATCTGGCCAGTTCTGGTCCTGATATCCTTCAGCTGCATGTCAAATGCTCCCCATTTCTCGTCAACATCGCGGCCAACGTTATCTCTTATCTCTCTTCATACAACGCAAGGGCCACTATCAACCCAGCGTTATGGGTCATCATATGAAATTCGGGCCCAACGAATGGCTAGCTGAAATAATATCAAGATTATCGAAACCCCTTCTCAAATCACGGACTTCCGCGCCTCATTTATCTGACTATCTTGCCGGCTCTTATCTACGATGCTGACAGCATGGTTTTGCTGCATCTCCTCATGCATCCAATGAGCCAATGAAGTTTCCCCAGACCAGCTTTTATGTTTGTGGGTCAGGGCAGTGAATCTGTACAGTTGCCCACTTTTAGTACGCCCTTTTGTCGAGTATTGCTTTGTACGATGTACAGAAGCTCCCCACCCAGTGGTGGGCCCGCTACTTTTGAAGAAATGGGGATCTGGGAAGTGAAGATAGCTTATCTGGATTATCAACCTCATCTTCTCCCTTTCTTCTCTGATTTTTCGTCACCTTCCATACCCCCAAGCACAAGATGGAATTCCAGGAGAAAAAGGGTCCCGAGCCAGATCTCTATCAAACCGATTCTGGCCCTCGTCAAGGGGAAGTGACTCAGGTTAAGAATTTGAGAGATTTGGAAGCTGTTCCGGGATTTTGGACCAAAGTTCATGAGTTGAGCGAAAAGTTGGGTGCCGAGACCATCGGTGTCGAACAATTGCCCGAAGAAGCCAGGAATCCCAATCAGAAGCCAAGAAGTGAGCATTATTTCTTCAGAATTCGAAAGTTGCTAACAGCTTCAAGGTACGTTTTTCGTTTGGAGTACGGCAAATTTCCATTATGCTGCCTTCACCACCGGAGCTCTGGGGCCACTCCTTTTCGGCCTCGGATGGTGGGATTCATTTCTCACGGTTATCTTCTTCAACTTCCTCTCAGATCTCGCACCGGCAGTCATTTCTTATCTTGGTCCTAGACTTGGAATGAGAAGTATGATCATCGTCAGATATAGCTTCGGATTTTACGCAAGTAAGGTGATCGTTCTTCTGAATGCTATTACTTGCATTGGTTGGATTGTAATCAATACCATTGCTGGCGGAGGACTTTTATACGACGCTAGCGATGCCAAAATGCCATTGGTGGTAGCCATCATTATTGTGCTTGTTATGTATGTACCCCTTTCCGTCCCTCATTCACAGGAACTAACGCGAAATCAGCTCCCTCGTCACGTCCTTTCTCGGATACAAAGCCATCCACCTCTACGACAAATACGGATGGGCTGTCCTGATCGTGATTTCTATAATTGTGATCGGGTTTGGAGGCAAGCACTTCGTCAATGTCCCCATGGCAAAAGGTGATGATGCACGTCTCGGTGTCCTCTCATACGGAGCTCTCGTCTTCTCCTGGGGTATTACTTGGGTTCCCCTCGCTGCTGATTATTCGATATACATGCCCAGCAAGACACCCAGTTGGCAGACCTTCCTCTGGACGTTTTGCGGTATCTACATCGGCTCTACGTTTGCCTTCCTCATCGGCATTGCTCTCGCAACTTTGATCTCAAATCCAGACCCTGCGTATAATTTCCCGGCTGTATACGACGACCGAGGAATCGGGGGCCTGGTAGGAGCAATTTTCGAAGGACATGGGACAGGCGTGAGAGGTTTCGGAAGATTCATCGAGGTCCTGCTTGCGCTCAGTATCATGGGAGCCAATATCCCCAATATCTACTCATTCGGCCTTTCCGTCCAAGCAATCTCAAGTTGGACGCAAAAGATTCCACGGATAATTGTAACATTATTTGGATTTGCGGTCGCTGTCACGGTTTGCTGTGTTTTGCGTAATCGGTTCGTTGAAGCTCTCGAGAATTTCTTGAATGTACTTTCATATTGGTGTACACCATTTGCTGCCGTGGTTATGACGGAGCATTTCATATTCAGGAGGAGCATTGGCTACAATGTGTCGGTTTGGCGCGACGGAAAGGGCTTGCCTACTGGTATTGCAGCGATTGGATCTTGGGCTTGTGGTATTACAGCTGCATTCATGGGTGCCGATCAGACTTGGCTTGTTGGCCCTATTGCCAAGGCCATTGGTGGTGCTGACATTGGATGGGAGTTGGTGAGTACTTTTGACGTTTCACATGTGCATCGACTTTCAGCTAACTTTTTGACAGGGTGCTGCTGTTGCTTGTGTGGTATACCTGGTGTCGAGAACCCTGGAGCTAAAGACTACTGGCCGTTAGGAGATTGTTGCACGACAGAACTGCGTTGATACTGTGCGATAGAGATGACTTGCTAGACCATTTGTGAAAATATAGATAAAAAAGGTAATCTAAGAGAATTAATGACACTGTTTTATGATCTCCGAGTCCCAAATTTGACTTTTGATGTCCTCTATGATTACGAACGCCGAAAGTAATTGAAGAAGAAAGAGGCATCGAGCATTAACCTCTAGGTTGAAACCAGCAGACCTTGTACAACATACCAGTATTGGTGGTTGTAGTACACGCTGTTCTCTGTCTCTTCAATGACCTCCAGTAATGGTCTCATACCCTGCCATTTGTTCTTCTCCCCATCGACCAGGAATTTCGCGTCAAGTTTCTTCAGTATCTCAATCTCCTCAACCATCTCCTTTTCATTAAATGTCGTGAACATAGTGCAGTGAGGTGCATGGACCAAGTATCTGATCGTTGGCGTCCAATCATCAACACATTCCTGTGAATGTCCTGTCTGGAACGCAACAGCAAGATCCGGCTTCTTGTATGCTGGCGATTTGGCAAAGTCATGATATGCGCCTTTATGCATCTCTATACTTCTCACTTTCTTCTGTTTCGTGCATTCTGGACAGCAGTCAAGGACTATCCTCCCACCTGCATCCATCGGATTTGGTAGCTCCAGGCCAACGAAGGAGCAGTTAACCTCTTTGAGGCACGGAAGAAGATGAAGCAATTCTTCGAAGAGCATCAAAGCATCGAGCTCCTTCGCGTTGGCTCCAATCAAATGAAGATCCACTTTTTCTTTCGTCCCAAGATCCGGATACACGGCTTCGAGACCAGCGATGATGGATATCATCATGCTCATTTTCTCCGTCGCAGCTCGCAATGCACTTGCCATTTCGTCATTTCCTGCCAGTGGTTTAAGATCATGAGACAACAGCCCTTCAACCATTTGTTTATCTGATATCTTGGTGTAGTAATCGTACCAGGAACTAGCTGTGGATATTGGGAGGTAGGTTGTGCGAGGTGTGCCGGTTGGCATGGAAAGAGAAGGCTCGCCCGTTTCGGTATAGTGAGCCACAGCGAAGCGTTCTGCAGTCATCACCTCTCTGAGATCGGAACAAACAGAGTCGTGCAAAGAGAGATCGCATGACGAGCAGTGGGCTGCAATTTGACATTTGGGGCAGAGCTTCAGTGTTGAGCCTGTGGGAAGCTGGAAGGCATTCAAGTGGCAGCCAATACAGTATGGTTGGTACTGAAGGACGCGTTCGTCATTGACAGTAAATTTTGCCTTTTGGGTTCTGAATGCTGAAACTCGCGTCCACTAAATCGTCAATTAGTAAGTGGAAGGGCGATTGGGGATGGATGGAGAACCATTCCGTCTCGATATTCCTCCCATGTTTGAGATTGCTTCGGAGAATCGAGGGCATTGATACCCTGAAGTACCGGACACAATTGCTTATGACCTCTTCTCCAGTCCTTCTTCTGGCACTCAGCTGAGCAGTAGCTGAATCAAAATATCAGTACCAGATATAGTGAGAGTCGGGAAGGAAAACATACCAGACGCGTCTGCAACCGCTACATCTGTTCAGCTTCGTCGTTGCCTTGTAGCATGTGAAACATATCGCACCCTTGACCGCTGAAACCGGCGTCGGGAATAACACGCGCTCCGATTTCGACATCTTGAGAGTGGCGCGCAATAGATATCCGGGATCTTCTATGGGTGTCGTGTTTATTTATTCCTAGATGAGTGTTTAACGAAGGGTGCGTAGATGGCGGGGTCGAAAATTTAGTGGTGGAGGGGTTTCAGGGGTCTCGCTTATTTTAGCGCGTCATAACACAACGTCCTTGTTGTCAGCCCAAGATTTCATTTCATCAACGCAATCTTTGAACTAGTAAGATTTTCTATTGTCTAACTATCTAACAAAATTTTAAAGAGAGGATGTTTCGGGACTCAAAATCGATCTGGAAGGCTCTCTGCACAATATCACGGTCTATGCATTTAGAGAGACCAGGTTCTGAACAATGATAGCTAATGCTTTGCATACCCACGGACAACTACAACCAATTAGAACACTCTGCAGAGTGTGCTCTCTTTTTGACTACCTTCTCCGAAACCTCCTCAGACATTCGCTTCCTCAGTCTTCTGCCTCGCCGCTCTTCCCTTCTCACTCCAAGGAAAGTGCCAAACGGGAATCGTAAAGAAACTGTTATTGTTATCTGCGATACCAGCAATAGCCACATACCAGGCCAAAAATGCAGCTAAAAGCCCAAACATTCCTCCTGCTTTCTGACATGCAATATTCTGGCTACCGCCTGTGACATTGGGAGTCAGGAGATAAGATATGCCTAGAAGCAGGAAGGTCATCCAGACGCTGAAAAAGAGGGTACAGAAGACGACTGTGGATTTCATGGTGCAGAGCCAGAGAAGGAAGGTGAAGATGAACCAGCCCTAAAGCAAGAGTTAGCGTGAGTTGAGCTTTGGACGGGGTTGTTTAATACCATGAGGAAGAACCCGAACGCGTAGTTGAAATGAACCGGATTCGTATATGACTGTGCGATCTCGAAACCGCCTGGCGTGAGCATGATTCCTAGAGAAATCCAGAAGCCTCCGTAGCTAGATAATGCAGTGGCACCAAAGGTATTTCCTGCTGCCATCTCCCTGCCTTTGTCAGTCGATGTATCCAATTAAAGCTCCCAATGTCCGGAAGCCTCAGGACATTCATGGGTAGTCCTAAAAAGATTCAATCAATGCCAAAACGTACCACATTCCAGAAAGTAATTGAATGAGACCACCATAAGCAAACGCAGGTGCAACCACGAGGTTAGGTTCTGAAACATCCCTCGTGTGCCAATTAAGCAGCGACAAGACGAAAGTCGTCAGTGCGAACCCACAGAGACCCAACGGGGCTGGGTTAGCGATATTGCTCTTGGGTGGTTTGTAAAGACCTGGCTGAAGGTATCCCGCGAAAGCAGGGAAACGCGCAGAGTCACCAGTGTTGACATGTGCGAGAGGATTCCCACCATAATCCCAGTGTGAGGCATACCCTTGACGACTGTTGATGGAGCCTGCGCCATTCTCAGCTGGAGCAGAAGCTTTATCGTTATTGTGGGCGGTGGTGCTGGAAGAGCTGCCGTTGAGGACTCCAGTGGACGACATGTCGAAACCCTGAAATAAGGTAGAACTGTGTGAATATTCAAAGCAAGAATTTTGAATGCGGAACGACAGTCTTAGAGGAGGTTCCCCTCCATATGAAGGGAAACCCGAACGAGAGATGACGTTCCAATTGAGGGGTTGACCAAACACTATTTCGGTAACTCGTTTGCCAAAGACACTTGCTTCGCCGATCAAGATAGCTTAGATCTATACGGAACTTGCAGTTCAGACTGATGCTACTGCGATTGGAGTGCATGACATCAATGGTATATTTGACGAATTGATATGAGAGGTCGGTGAGAAGAACCGAAAAGACGGTGCGGCGGTAGTGGTAGAGACCATCTCCACAGATCAAGAAATTGGCGCGCATTGAAGCTCTTAAGTCCGATCTAAGATCTCGTGATCTTCCTTCTCTTTGATAACCCGATGTCTCATTGATACCGGGTCATTGCGCTGTCTTACGGAACTTAATGATAGCTGGAATGTTCTTCGAGGCCAAAAAAACAAACCGAATGGCAAGAAACTCGTCAACGAAGAAGAACATCGAGATGCTCAAGTCACGTGAAACCTTGCGAACTTAATTCTGATCGTCGAGTTTCTAGCCATAAAATTAGGTATATGAATGTACCGAAATCGAACGGACGTTCATGTCATAAATGCTGACCTCGCCTAGGTATTTTGCGTTCCTCAGAGTTGAATGGCACTGCATCACATTATTCAGCTTATGTAATCCAGTGCCAATCTACACTCAAGTCTATCGCTGTCTTCAACCTCCTCAGAAAACTTGCTTCAAGCCCTCACAGTATCTCGTACCAGAGAACACCTTGCCATATATACGCGTTATTCAAAGTCGAAGCGCTCCGTTGTCACACTTTGCATTCTTCTATTGTTTAATCGATGCACTTCTTTGTTTTCAGCCACCTTTCTTTCAACGATGAGACCCACATCCGCGCGCGTTCTTTTCGGACCATTCATTGGACCAGTGTACAATGGATCAAAGAAATCGCAAATATGAGTATACCGCGCCTAAAAATCTCGTATACATTGCGTGAGACTTGCTGAAAGAGGGTCACAACGATTGTGCGCAACCCCCATTCCCTTTTATCACGATGCATATGACTTCAGCAGCCGGCGGTCCGGCTCTGACTATGCTGGCAGAAAGATATACGCATCCAACAGGAAAGGAACACAAGGTCATATCATATACAGGATTGTCTGGCATGACACCACTCGTATCGCCGTCAAGCCCCACGATCAGAAGTCGAAAAAAGCATGCACAACTTGATGGCTACCAAAGACGTCGATTTCAGGCAATATCAACGAAGGAGCTCGAGTCTATGGGTGCTTTTGCCCCCCGTTTTTTCGATTTTCTGTACGCTGTTAACATTCCGATTAACCCCCTCTTCCATCGCGACAAATGGGACTATTCGTTGTCGAATGCTGCTCCTTCTTATCGCTTGCCGGGTGGCCTGGCAGGGTACTGGGAGGTATGTTATGACCTCACTTTCGCTTCTTAACTCATCCCAGTAGGCTCAAAACGATCTGGTTTGGCAGATGATCCAAGAGCCACTGAAGCTAGCTAGTTGCTTTCTGGAGAATCTCAATGTCATCCCTTGGTAGGACGGATGATTCTCAGCGCTGTTATAGACTAATGGACGTTCAGGTCGATTATACTTCTCAATGGGGATTACACGTCCATAGAAAACGGCATTCCGGATGTGTGGAAAGGTGGCAAACTCCAACGAGTCCGCAGACGCCCAGGACTTCTAGGTGTTCCACCGGGGTTCAGACCGAAAAGAGAGAAAATGTTCAAGAATATAATTTTCAGAATCACGAGTGGGCACACAGAGCCACATGCAGGATGGCAGAGTGGGGATTTCTTTCTTGGTCGAACTTGGTCAGCTGGAGATATGACTGTGATTGATTTGGCCTTGGAGGTGTTAGAGCCGTTCTTAATTAGCGATATATCTCCAGCGGAGCGCCAGCTTGACGTTTTTCGGGTTGCAGTTATTCTCCTGCACGAAATTTCCGTGAGTAATCATCATACTAGAGACATGATGGCATGGCTGATATTCTCTTCCTAGCACGCCATGTGGTCACGAGCTTATCAAGGGCTTGGTAGGCCAGCCCACTTCCCAGAACCATATTTCGAGGAGCAGTGTATTGCGGAATTGGGATTCTCATTTGAAGAGGCGGTATGGACATTTGATATCTGCGAGAGCCTGAATACATCTAACATATTCAGGTTTTTGGTGGGCGGCCGACTTACCTCACCGCCCTTGGAACTGGGAAATTTGTGGATGGAAATGGACTCTCATGCGGAGCAGTTTATTCTAGCGGATGGTTCAACAGTCTTGCAGCGAAATATGTCCAACCTGAAAGACCCGATTCTTTCCCTGCAATTACACCGCTTCCGCCCGATTGGAACGAAATGAAGTCATACCCTATTCCGCTTGAGTATTTCCAATCGCTTTCCCATTCTGACTTCTGGACAGTCCATGCACGAGCATATCAGGACGCAATCAAGATGGGCCCGAAACTATTAGGGACGCGGCTTCTCATCACAAATCAAACGCTCGATATCATGACTGTGCAAGACTCGGAGGATAGGACACAAATTCCGATTGATGTTTCAGCGGCGCCAACTGTCCAGTCAGCGACAGAGTTCGAAAATATGAGGAGAGCGAGGGCACGAAAGATCATTGAAGCCGGAACGAACATTCAAGCTAAAGCTAACGCAAGACTGCCTCAACTTCAAGCGACAATGAATAGCGACATCAATGCGAGGGGAAGGTCAAATAGCGCGTCGAGTGGGAGTGGGAGGACCGAGGATAGCAACGCTCCACCATGCACGCGATATGAAGAAATCAGAAGATATTTGTTCGCGAACAGCGGACAAGGAAGGTTATGTCTTGACACCATGTATTTTGATATGCCAGAAAATACTCTACTCAATCACATCATGCTCCTAGGAGGCATAAGACTGACGGTCCAGGAGTGGAGAGGCTTTCTACGGCTAGCAAGTGATAGGAACGAGTTTCTTAAGTGAGTCTTTCCTTCAAACAGCACATCCCCTCCCAGTCTTTAACTAATTGAAAATCAAGCTGGGTTCCCACGGGACGTGGAATTGTCCGATGGACAGCCCTTCAGGAGATCTACCCCAACCCTTCCTACGTCTCTCCCTTCTCACAATTCCAACTAGCCCAATTCCAAGCAATGTCAACCCATAACAACTGGCCAGCGTCTTATTTTCACGACATCGACCCTAACATGTTTCTTGTGGAGGCGAATAACTATTTTCAAGATATTTTGTCGAACACCATATGGGATGCGAATGACCTGAGAGCATATATCGATCATCATGATGCGACTATGACTCTTTGGTGGTAGGTTGCTTCCTTTTATACGAATGAAATGCTAACTTGAGGCAGTTGGGGCCCAAATGGAGTTATCAGAAGATTGTGAACAATTTCCTCAAAGATTACGGACACACTTTTTTTTCAATCGTGATCCCAGACTAACGAGCATTACAATTCATTGAAATCAAAACCAAATCGGTTCGAATAAAAGCGCTGAAATTGAATTGACCCACTTTTCCATTTATCCAATAACCAAAACCAGAACCAACACCAACATCGCCCATCTCGACAACGACGCATAGTTTTCTGAGATCCTGCTTTCACAAGACCTAGAGTCGGCGAGACGACAAGTAAAAAACATGAATAGCAGACTCGCTCCTCCAATTCCTCCAGCAGGTGAACGAAAAGATTACATCTGCAAATTATCCACCAGAGAACACGGTCTTTGGATTCTCAAACGAGATGATAATATCGCAGCATTTCAAGATGCCATAGCTTCTGGTCTAACAGACGATCAAGCCATGGAAAAGCTGGGCGGAACTTTCTACGCCACCGGTAAATAACCCACTGGCTAGCTCTCTCATTCCCCTTATTTAGGTTTCACTAACAAACCTTCCAATAGTTGACAGGGCCTCGAAACCTCCCAAGGAATTGATTCGAAAAGCAGAAGCCGCTTACTCTCTTCTTGCAGAGAGTGGAGAGAGATTCCACGCAGCCCTTAAATCATCAGAGATCGAGAAATCCGTATGGTATTTTATCGTAAACACCGATCCGTGGTTTCGACCTCGTGGGAGTGCTCGTGGGACATTGTTGCTTCACGATAAAGTTGGGAGAGGTGTCTGGGTTATCAATGGGTCAGATGAGGCTAAGTTTCAGATTTTCAAGAATCGAGAATCGGGTGTGGATGATGTGGATTTGATTGAGGAGAGTGGTGGAATTCATTATGAGAATAGTGAGTGAGCTACTGTTCTATCAGCTCGAAGAATGGCTAATAAAGTTGGACTTAGTGGAAGAGTTGGAGGCGGCTGAATCTAAAGCCAGAACAATCCATGAATAATTGACCTTAATTGGTCTAACACACTGTTGGTGGCCATGGAACGGGGAGGCCAATCTGAGGAGAGCTTCGAGTAAACAATTCTTCTTCCAGTTCGCAATCTCACCACATTCATTCGCAACATATTATTAATCGTTCATTATTGGTCACTGGGGACATCGTCTGCTGCCATTTTTCCTCCTTCTAGAAAGTAGATCGTCGCCTTCACTCAATTAAGCTTTGCCAAGGAGCAATCGATATCGGGATCTGAGTCTGAAAAGAGACACCGGCAGCCTTGATATGCACAAGATGTCACCAGAACAAGCAAGCCGCATTCATTCCTATGCACCTTGGAGCACACGAAGCACAAGTGTACTTCGTATGTCGTCTAATCAAAACCACAATTTTTGTCAGACCCCGCGAAAGACCCCGCTGTCACGAATCGTGAGAAACTCTCCTCTCGATCCCTCAAAATCGTGCATGGAGTCAAGATAAGCTTCAAGATTCTCACCTCTAATTCGTCGTCTCACATACGATTTCCTCCATGCATCATGCACGCAGCTCTCCTCGCAAGGAAAAAGTTCGGCTCATGGGTCAAAGAGGGGCAGGCACCGCACTTGCATCTGAGGAAACTCGGGACGAGCAACGGCAGAGCCTAGGAAGCTTCCTTCCGCCGCATGGAGACTTCCGTCATGGGCTATGAGTAACTGATACTTGTGACTTCTCAAAGGAAAAGCTGCCGGAGACGGGTCCTTGGATCCTGAATGATTGCACTACGGGTTGTGGAGAGGAGACGAAAACGGTTGCACTTGCACATGTAGACGTATCGCGCGCCGGCGCGGACGAGAGGTGGAATAAGTACCTCTTGACGTCTCCACCACGTGCGTACTAATGCCGATTCTTTATCTTGATTCTTGATAGCATCTTCTTTACTCATCAAATTGCTTGATTCATTTTGGAGCTTCCAGTGACTCTGTTGTGTTGACGAGATGGTAAGTTTCCTTTCTCGACCTCGGCATGAGCATGAACTTGAAAAACATCATCTGACGTATGTAGCACATCATAGTTATAGGCTGCGGCCTAGCTGGCCTCACAGTTTCGATTGCTCTGGCGAAGGCGGGGCATAGGATTACTATTATTGAGAGCGCGCCTTCCATTCAATATATTGGAGCTGGTGATTATATCCTCCTCTGTCCTGCAACACATCGGATTACAAGGCGTCAGAACTAATAGACTATGTACAAAAGGCATTCAAATATCTCCCAATTCCTCCCGTATCCTCCGCAAACTCGGCGTCGACAAATACATTGAGCAGTTCTGTGTTGACCCAGTTGACCTCCGTATGATGAGATGGCGAAACGGTCAGATCCTCGTTGAATGTCCTCTGAAAGAACCGGCGCAGAAAGAATACGGCAGTCCATATTGGCACATCCATCGCGCAGACTTACATCGAGGACTCTTACAAGCAGCTGAAGAGTTGGGATGTCAAGTACATCTGGATAGCCGAGTCATCGCAATCGATCCTTCGAAACCATCTCTGACAACCAAGGATGGAAAGACGTACGAAGGAGACTTGATCGTGGCTTCAGATGGCCTTCATTCCATGGCACGAAGTGTCGTTCTGGGAAAGCCAGGCCCACCAGTACCAACAGGACAGATGGTTTACCGGGTGACCCTTCCGGCACGAACTTTGAAAGGGATCCCGGAGCTGGAAGAAATTGTTACCGTGCCAAGGAATAATCATTGGTTGGGTCCTAATGGTACTGTGCTGAGTTATTTGTTGGAAGGCGTTCATGATACCCTGATAAATTTTGTGTTTACGTGGGTTCTGCTCATCCGGAAAACCTTCATTGGAGTTGACGAGAAGCAGGTGCGATGTTGAAGGTTGGATGCCGGAGGGTGTAAATCAAAGACCCGGGGATCTTGCAACTGTGAAGAAGCGTTTTCGAGATTGGGACCCGAGGTATGTGGAACATCGATGTTTGTGGAGTGACGGCTGACATGGGTAGATTGGTGAAGATGCTGGACCACATAGGTGATGTGCTGGAATGGCGTGTAAGTCTCTCCACGGTACAAGGTAACATGTCTAACTCTCACAGCTTTTCACACATGAGGAAATGCCGAGCTGGATTCATCCATCTGGTAAAATGTGTCTGATTGGTGATTCTGCTCATGCAATGACTCCATATCTTGCCCAAGGTGCTGCTATGGGAATAGAAGATGCAGCTATTCTAGGTGGACTTTTGGAGAAGTACCCTTCAACCGAGACCCTTCATGATGCACTTCTCAAGTACGAGAAGCTGCGCTTGAAACGAACGGCAAAGGTTGCGAGTGCGTCTGTTGATTCTAGATGGTTTACCCAAATGGAAGATGGGCCAAACCAGGAAGATCGAGATGAGTATTTGCTGGCGCATCCAGGAATTCAGAAGGGACACCGGAATATCCGATCGCAACAGGAATTCTTGGATTGGTTATTCGGCTATGATGCCTATGAAGAGCTAGGATGTAATCTTCTCAATGGGAAGAATGGGTATAATGGTGTGGAGCATAGTGGCGTAGCTTGAATACCAAAATTACCAAGCATCAAGACCAAGAATCGAGAGCTTGAGAGGTGATAATCACTGTATGCAATCCAGAAAGAATGCATGCCCATGCTTTTTCAACGTCCAGACATTCGGAATGGCTCCTGTACATCGCCAATCAAGGAATCAATACCGACAGAATCAGGTGCCGGTATTCATGGTTGACCCATGTGATTGAGTGGCGGCTTCGACATACTCCCATGATGCTGAGCAAAAGGTGTATCGATTGCTCCCCATTGAGTGTAAGCTGTATGCGGTGGAACGGGTGCAAGCAAATCCTCTCCCTCAGCAACCTCAGGAAGGTGATTGTGGTAATTCCCACTCAGTGTAGCTCCAGGCCCAGCCATGGTCATTGGCATCCCAGGGTAGCCATGCTCAGGAGGCATCTGGTTTGGTGCAACATAAGTGTCCGTACCAAAGAAGTCTTTCAAGTCCCAAGGTAAGTCAACCGGATCTTTTTGAAACCATGTCTGCAATACATTTCCAGACTGACCCTGTGGCTGTGCACCATAATCGAAGTGGATCGCGCCTTGTTGTTGTTCCATGTATTGTCGGTATTGTTCGGGTTGTTCTGGTTGGCTAGGTTGCGTATCGAAGATGCCCACAATCTTTGCGAGTTGTAGAGACACTTGAGTTAAGACTGTGAAGGTGGGACACAATTTGACTCTTTGAAGCGCCCCCATGACATCTCGGACAGCCTGCTTACGAGCATGATCTTCTGGTGTATCTTGCTCATCCCATGGTCTGGCCAGGAAGTCGAGAGCGAGAATAAAGACTGAATGGTAGATGTAGTAAGCATCTACCCACTGAACACCATCAAACATTCCATTCGCAATCAATTGATGCAACAAGAGAGCCGACTTCATCGAATATGTCCCACAAGCATGACTTAAATTTAGCTCTTCCTTGTCAAGATCCTGAGAACGAACATGTCTGCCAAGTTTCCGTGCTAGCTGGACTCCAACCTTTCGAAGGATAAATGGTCGCGTGACCAGGGCTTGGGTGTTGTGGAAGTGAACATGAAGAAGGATAATGGCTCGACGATGCTTGGGAACAGGTGACATGCATTCGAGACGAAGAGCTGGAGGTAAGCTGTGATGCCAAGAATCTAGATCAAGCAAGAATTGAACGGCGATGCCCATCTTTGGATGCTCTCCCTGCTGGGTCGAACCGGTCTGTGCAGCGTAGATTTTTCGTCTGATATCCGACAGAAGCTTCATAAGTCGGACAGAATATTCGATGTATCCTGGCGGTACTGAAGATCCACCATCAAGCATGAGCTCGTCGGGGAAGCTGACATTGACTTCGGAGTCATCAATTGCACAAGGTCTACCCAGAATCGCGCACTGATTTTGCTCAAACATATAAGCTGTCCACCAAACACGCTTCCGTACCTCCCTCTCCATATCGTCAAAGCCTCCAGAAGTCCCTTCTCTATGCATGCCCAAAGCCATCGCCATCCGGGAAGCACATCCTAGTAACATGAACGCACTGTTGCGCTCGGTACAGTTGTGCTGATAAAGTTGGAGTAAGAGAATCGCTTGGACGTTGATGAGAGTGGTAGCGCTGATGAGTTGGTGCATTCTAGCTTGGACGAGTTGGAGGTAATGCCGTTGTATTTGCATTGATTGTCTTGCGTCCCGTTCCTCCAGTGCCTGAGCGCCGAAAACCAAAATCATGAAGACGCAACAGATCCATCCCGGTTCAAGGTCGCGCATGAGAGCCTGTGGTTGTGACCACATAGCTTCGTACCTCATCTGAAACGTCGGTCGGTGAAACAAGAGATAATTTGGATGAACTCTGTCAAAATAAGTTTCAAGGAAAGTGTCTGTGACTTCTTTGCTAGGAAGGAGGGAGAGAACCGTGGTTCTCTTCAGCCTGCTAGAGAGCGCATTGCTGTCGACTGAAGCTGGAAACAAAGATGGCGCACGAGATTTGCGAGTTGGTATCCTTCCAGATGGCTCCCCTAAGCTTCGATCAATGTTGTCTTCGGATGAGTCCTCGCTCTCTTCCTTGACAATAGGTTCCAAGGCCTTGCTCCAGTTCGATGCTGCAAAGTCAGACGAAATCTTTGCACGTTCGTCATCCGGCTGTATGCTTCTCAATGCAGCATTGAACTCTGCGACCATGTTCCGAACTGTAAGCACGAATCCAAAAGAGCTTGACGGCCCAATATAGTGAGATGGTCCTTGGGGCATAGGAACCAACTTCTCTTCCACAACCTTGCCTGACTTTCCATCTGGATGTACACTTTCGGAGTCTCTTGATGCAATCGACGGACTTCCTGCGCTTCCTGCAGAGTGTTGAGGAGAGGAAGCAGCTGGTTTGGGAGGTTGACTGAAAACCTCTTCCGCCACCGTTTGCTCGTCAAATGTAGGTATTGCAATATCGTGAGCTTCTGCAATCGCATATAGAGTATCGATGTTATTGGTATCCTTCTGCGGGTATAGGCCTTTGATCAGGGCATCCAGAACCCTATACCGTATACTGAGGGTCTCAACGCTGCCATATATTCGAGTCTTTCGAGGCAAGGTCGATTCGCATTGCACGCCGACCTCGAGACAGCTCTGGCATGGCTCATTTTGATCGCTGCCACTGGAACGCGAGCAGCGTATGCGCCTCTTCTTACATCGATCGCAGCTGACCAGAGCTCGTCGTCGCAGATGGTCGGGGATACGTGCCTTTCCGGTCTTCTTCGCCTTGGCGTGATGGTCCATGGTGCAGTCAGCTCTTTGCGGCGGAACACCCGCGGGTTCCGTGGTCGCGGTAACGAGAGAGGGAGAGGGGTGTGCGGCGGCGGGATTGTCAGGAGATGAACGGATAGGCTGTGTCCCCCTTCTTCATGGGCGGACGAATGGTGATTGGCGATGTCGAGATGGAGTATGCGACACAAAAGCAAAAGGGCAGAGAGAGGGTTTCGGGTTGCGGAGTGTGGACAAGAAGGGACTGGGATTGAGACTTTCGTTTGGTGGAGCTTGGGGAATGTGGTCCAGTGTCCAGACCGTGGGTGTTGGAGAAAGTGTGGAGGGGAAGGGGAAGGGGAAGGGGAAAGTTCGGTGGAAGTGAGTGAGGGAAGAAAGGCCAAGGGAGTCGGCACAAGTTAAGCTTTCTCGGGACGCTGAAGCAAGCAGCTGCAAGCAATGATGCTGCAATGCACTTCGCAACTCCGGCCAGGTTGAGATCACTGAGACTGAGACTGAGGTCTGGTCTGTCTTGCTGACACAACCACCGGCTCAGAACCGCAACCGCAACCGCAACCGCACCCCACGAGGACGGTACTGTAACAACAAAAGTCGAGTACGCCGAACCGGTAGCGGGTTGCCCGTCGACTGACTGTGCCGTTGCACTGTTCGGTTGCTGCAAGGATGATGACGGGACTGCAGATTGGAGAGCCAGGAGAGGACAAGGAGAAACACCTCGCAGCTTTCTTTCTTTCTTTCTCTCCTTTCAAAAAGGATGATGACGAATTCCAATAATCACGGGCGCTCCTCTGCAAAATGAGGCTAATTGAATGGTGCAGTCATTGGCCTGTTGACGTCGCTTGAACCAAAAGAGTTGGTCTGTTCGAGGTCAGTCAGTCAGTGGTGGTCTGGTCTGGTCTGATCTCGTACGCCCAGCATGTTTGGGGCTACAGCAGACAGGGCTAGATTAGCTAGGCCGGGATAGGAAGAAGCATAAAATACAGTACAGCGAATCCCTTGCGCCCTCCACCATGCTCGAGCAGCAAACGGGGAATCGTTGCCCACGTTGGGCTTGTGCTGGACTTAAAATAATACAGTAATATGGAGAAAGTGTTCGAGAACCTGCGCTGGGCCCCGGACTTAAGAGGGGAAATGATCAAACATATATTGAGGTCGACGTTGCCATGTGCCTTGATCCATGACGTGCAGCATATATCGCAGGGAGGGATATATCATGAACGCGCGCCCAGCAATGTATTTCTCAATTTCTGGGGTGTTCATGTCGCCCTCCTCTGACGATAGCACTGCAGCAGCGTGTCTCTCTCCAGGGTGCATGTGCCTGAGTTGAGAATGGCTTCGCTGCAGAATGATGGAGGAGGCGCTAGGGAGTTGTTCAAGCACCGGCCGCTCACTACGACCATATGGCACCCCACTGCTGATTTGTTCCCCTCAAGGCCATTCGGTGGCAGAGACAACTAAGTCTGGTAACAAACAAGTGTATAACTGGTTGCGAATAATTCTCTCACATCCCATTTCCCATCACTCGCATGAGGAGATCCCTCCCCAGGACCGAATTAAGTATATAAATAAATCTCATCTCACTCTGAGATCCCAAGCATCGTCTTTCCGCGAGCCGTCCCTGGCCCCGCCCCTTTCTCATCTCAGCTCACTGATTGGGGTCCCAGAGGGCACGAGCCGAGTGCCCAGAGCTTCAAATCCCGAATATCACTTCATGTACAGTACTGTAACTCGAGCACGCTCGCACTCCCACTGATCCCACACCCCCAACGCAGCCCCCCAGTCAAACGCGAGTTTGCCGGACCCGAGCCTGATCCTTGGGCCGTTCTAGCCGGAGCACCCCCCGTTTCGAGTGATAGTCAGGCTCTGTACTGTAGTTCTCGAAGTTTTGCCGACCATTCAACACCCAGAAAACTTGTAACCGATGCTCAAATTCACAATACCGGGGAGCGTGAGGTGGGGTTTAACTTTAGCGGGACTTTTTAAATCTTAGAGGGATGATCCGCTGGCCTTGGCGGAGAATAGCTCGAGAGCGCCTGTGGCGTTCTGAGACCCAAGCCTCAACCCCAGCCCAAGTGCCCAGAGATTTACACTTCAGCTCCCCAATCTCTGGGGGGAAAAGAGATGTGATGGTATTTAACAGAGCCTGCTGCTCCACTCTTCCATTCTCGTACACATGTTGCATGTTACACAAACAGTTTGTGTCGACTCAACCAGAGATTGATAATCGCATGCAGTCCCCTTGCGATATTCAAGATGTCGATGGATGAATCCAAGAGTGGCCGCGAGGAACGTACGACGGAGGATGCGACCAAGTCTTTCAGCGAACGAGATCCGGAGAAATACGAAGAAAGCAATGGGTTCAACTCTTCAGAAAATCTCAGGCTCGACAACAATGGCCTGCCACTCGTTCCCCAACCCAGTCGCTTCAAAGATGATCCTTTGGTCAGTACATCCAATGCTATTCCTGGTTCCTTTATCTCTGTACAACCACCACGAATTCCTCTGACCGTAAGCAATAGAATTGGCCCTCATGGCTGAAATGGGCAGTCCTTATCCAAGTAGGCTTCATGGCCTTCCTGGGGCCTTACAACTCCGCCCTGATCAATCCCTCCCTCGTCCTCCTCTCCAATGCCATAAATGTCTCCTCGAAAACTGCCGCTTACACCACCACAACTTCCATAATCCTCGGGGGTATCTCGCCCTTCATCTGGACCCCACTCACAAACTACCACGGGCGACGACCCATCACTCTGGTCGCCATCCTCTTGACAATCCTCGGCGGCATTGGTTCGGGGGTGTCGTCCAGTTTCTCGGAATTGATGGGGACTCGAGTGGTGGCTGGTTTTGGATTCGGAGGGATGATGAGCGTAGGAACGGCGTGTGTGAACGACATGTTCTTTCTGCATGAACGGGGAGAAAAGACGGGCGTCTATTCGTTATTCGTTACCAACGGTGCTCATGTTGCTGCGTTAGGTATGTCATGTTCTGTCGGCCGTCTGTGCATGCATCTTCCTAGGATGTTTGGAAACTGTGCCGCATGCACGCTTCTTCGCTTTCGGGTCAATCATCAACTTTTATATCTACCTGTGTAACATTACTAACAATTCGTCTTCAATACAGTTGGAGGTTTTCTCGGTCAATCCGCAGGTTGGCAATGGGACTACTATCTAGGAGCTCTCAGCACCGCTCTCTCATTCATAATCGCTTTCTTCCTCTTCCCCGAAACGCTTTTCTCCCGCGACCCAAATTTCCTCTCGAACCGCCACCATGAACGAACATACACCCAAATGCTCTTTGACTTCAAAGGCAACATGATCCCCGGCCGCCATCTCCACGTATCCGATTTCCTCCAATCTTTCCGCATGCTCAAATACCCATCCGTCCTCTTCCCCTTCTGGTACTATACCTGGTCCTGGACTTTCATAAATGTCATGCCCGCCGTCTCCCTCGCAACTATATACACGCAATTCTATCACCTCAGCGCTGGACCAATTGGCGCCTGTCTGGGCATCTCTCTCATAATCGGCTCAGTCCTCGGTGAGCTCTCCGCTGGCAAGCTCTCAGATATCGTTATGCTCTTCTTCGCGCGCCGCAACTCCAACATCCGTAAACCCGAATTCCGTCTCTACCTCTGCACCCTCTCCGCCATCTTCATGCCCCTCGGCCTCATCATTTTTGGTGCCACAGTCGGAAAATACAACCAATACGTCCCCCTAGTCGGCCTTGGAGTCGGAGTCTTCGGTCTCCAGATCGCAAGCACAACACTCTACGCCTACGTTTCCGATTGCTACAAACCCCAGACGCCAGAATCAGGTGTACTCTTTAACCTGAGCAGAGGGTTAAGTTTCGTGGTGGGGTATTTTGCGCTGCCGTTTGCGGACAGGGTGGGGTATTTTTGGGCTTGGTTTACGTTTGCTGCTGTTTTGTTTAGTTTCTTCTGGCCGATACTGGCGTTGATGAGGTGGGGAGAAAGGTGGAGGATAAGGTTAGGGGAGCCGAGATTTCATCGGTATTTGTGATGTTTGTTATGTATGATCACGATTCACGAGAAAAGGCGTACCGGACAAAAGCTAGAGTATGGTGCCCCAGAGTTTGTGGGACAATTGGAACAAGCATCAGTAGAGCTGCATGGCGAGAACTATGACCAAATCGAGATATCCATCTTGCAGGGGCCCGCTAATGGAGTTCAAGTTGGCAGCCACGAACAATACAGCTATGTCAGCTTGCCAGAAATATAGAGACATGCAGCTTCAATTTGAAGAGTGCATCTATGCGAATTGTGTAAAGATTCAAAGTCCGTCAGTAATTGAGTACTTCAACGCGGCATGAGTTCCCTCCTCAAAGCAAAGTAAAATAATTGAGCGGCAAGAAAGTAATACATGATTAGGGAGGTACCCTGTAATTCGTGATGTCCGTCGTACCGTCGTGCTTTTACAACTTTCTTCCCTGGTCATTTGTGAGCTTCGATTCAAAGAGAATGCATAGATACGATCTGTATGAACATCCAAAGTCCGTCGCTCAGTGAGTACTTTAAATAGCGTAAGTCCTATTCCCATGTTGAAGTAGAATAATTGAGTAGCAAGAAAGTAATACATGATCAAAGAGGTACTCTGCAAACGATGTCCGTCGTATCCTCGTGCTCTTACAACTTTCTTCGTTAAAACTTGGCAGCAAGACATCAAGACAGCAAGACAGCAAGGGTACCTGAAATAGTGAGAGATAGTGCTACAGCATGATGACCAAAAAAACCGAGTGAGTGAGCATTCAATCACTTCATACATTGGAAAAGCGTGATGTTTTGATGATTTCTTTTGATCTGCATCTTATGCTCTATCCGCATTCATGCATAGCTTTATAACCACCAGCTCCACTGTCCAACTCCAACATTATGTTCACCATGGGTGGAATCGTTACCACCTTGAACATATCATCCCCTTCCTTTTTCCTGCTGAGAAAGAGCCGTCATCCCATCGTCTCTGTAAATACAACCATTCATACCGTCATGCCCTCCTCCGAATGTGGTACACAGACAGTAAATGCCGAGAATCGAACAGAATCGAACACAAAACAAACGAAACCTCGAAATGGCGTAGTTGAGATCGCTCATCAAGCTGCCTTCAAAGCGCCTGACCGCTGAAGTGCAAGACGAAAATCAGAAAACCAGAACTGAACTCCACAAAACGCCTTATCTTCCGTCTTCCCTTCCATGTGCTGTATCAACCATACTAGATTATCATCCGATGATCTACCCTATTACAAACTCCGCCTTTCGAAACTCAGATCCGTTTTTCGAAACGCCATTATTACAAAAGAGCACATGGAACTTTTAGTCGGCAGCCAGGCGTGCAAAGTGTTTCGACCAGATCCATCCAACCTCGTCAGAAGGGTCGTCTTGGTTCTTTGCCAGCCAGAGCTCGCCCTTTTCACCAATGACATCAAATATCTGGGACATTGTTAGTATGTAAATGGGACGACAAGGGGGTAGACTTACTTCACCAGCTTGATATGTCAGGTACGGGTAGCCTGCCTCAGATTTTGTGGCACTGATGTTGAACTCGAACAAACTAGCAGCAAGATACAAGACATTGTACCCCCCAGAGATGTTTCGGTCACGAGAGGAAGCTCTCGAAGATCGTTGACTCTCCTCAGGACCATCTGGCATCGGCATAGCAGAATGGAACAATCCGGAATATGGTCTAGAACTTGGCGGTTCCCAGTGAGAGTTGTATGTCGAGCCGGACTCCCGTCGATGAGGGGTATTGTAATCACTGTTGCCTCTGGCCATTCCAGTATCCGAAGTGTGACTGCGGGATGTACCTGGCCTTACCATGGTTCCATGATGAGGCCGTGAACTGGAAGCAGTATCAGGAGTCGCAGGAGACCCAGAACCCGCTCGAGAGTGACCATTCGAGTAAGGCATGTTTTGGTACGCGAACTGAGGAAGACCTGGACCATTCGACATGAGAGGAGAAAAGGAGAATTGACCACTGTTACGCTTGGCAAACTCCGGAGTTGGAAGACTCGGGGACTTGTCGCTGTTGATGGATAGTCCACGAGATCGATTGGAGAGATTGGAGGGCCGAGCTCTTCGCGATTCATCGTCTTGCGTCGACTGTGAGCCTCTGGTAACACCACCATTACCGAACGAGCCATTGTTGATTCCTAGTTCCTTCAACTTGACTTCTGTGTATTTGAAGTCCCTGTGAAACATCTCGAGAATGTCGTTGTTGTCTTTCGGGATTTGGCTGGCTTCGAGAACTCCACTCAACTTTTTCTGCCAAATTCCATACCATTCAGTCTTCAAGAAAAGGAGACGAATCTGACAGAGTCTACCAAGGCTTTTGGTCAGAGCCGACAGCTTCGGCAACTCAATCTTGAGCGTCTCGTTGAGAGCCTCATACTGTGCGACCTGGGCTGCCAATTTTTCGTCAATCTTCTTTCCTTGCGACTTGTAGCTGAGTGACTTCTCATAATCGAGACGGCGTTTGTTCCGCTTCTGCATTGCATCGCCGGGCTTATTGTACATTTGAATGACCTTCTCCAGCGGCTCAACCACTTCTCGTTGTATCGCACCAATCTATTACGGGTCAGTGTCATTGAGTCGTTAGGAGTGAGATTCTTACATGATCGTCAATGGCAATGGTTCCCATATCCCGCATTGAGAGGTTGAAGCGAACCCATTTGCTCTCAATTTCTGGATATTTGCTTGCACTCATCCGCATGATCAATTCCATGGAAGAGAAATATTGCAAAGTCTTTGCAACATACTCCTTCTGGTGCCGGGCGTAATCTTCAACATCGCGAAGGACAACTTGTAGGCGCAGGAACTCAACACCAAAGGTATTGTGCAATGCTTGGTAGGCCTCATCTTCTGGAGGTCGATTTGCATTCGATTGAAGCTTTTCAGCTCGTCGACCAAAGGCCTTTGCAAGGTTAGTGCGTACGTCTGACTCCTTGCGTTTCCGGCCTACGATCTGGCTGACCACGTGGAGTCGTTTCTTCATTTCGTCGATACCCTGCAGTAGAATAAGAAGCTCTTCTCGAGCAGACTTCAAGGCTTCATAGTCCGGATGATCTTCAGGTGTGCTCTCGGCGAGTTCCTTGAGAAGTAGCTGATATCGAGTGATACGTTGTACAGGCTTCACCAGAAGTGCATCAAGATCCCAGGCCTTTGTCAGATCCTTAGCAACAAGATTGCACTCACTCAACCAGACTTGAACTGCGGCATCTTGCTGTAATGTCGCAAGGCGGGAGCTGGCGATTTCGCTATGCTTGAGATAATCCGTGTAGATTGCTTGCATCTTCTTCAAATGCTTGCTGAAGGTGGCACCAATGAAAGTTTTCCGGTCTTTCTCATCGTCCGACTCGTCTGTCAAAGTTGCAGCAATTGAGAACCTGTCAGAGACAGTGGGTGAGGTTGACGATCCAGAAGGAGCTACGGCTTTGCTTTGTCTGGCACGTGAACGAGGAGAATAGATGCTCGACGCAGCGGATTTGAGCTCGTCCAAGAACTTGGCTGAAAAGGCGATGATGTCAGCTGTATTTCGGAAGATAGTCTTGACATCGGAATGATCAAGCTTGGGGCATGCCTCTGCTGTCCCTTTGTAGATCTCCTCGACGACATTCATATCTTTCAAGTACACTGACTCTGTCTCAATCAACTCTTTGATGACCATCTTCCGTTGATATAAACGCTTCCTCGTCTTCTCGGCAGCCTTCTTCTCCTCTTCAGTTTCCAAACTTGGCTCTGGCACAGCTGTAGATTTCGAAGATGATTCGATTGTTGCATCATCAAACGATATCTGTGTACTAGATCTAGGTGTTGATAAAGAAGCTCTGGGAGAGTACAAATCATCGCTCGCTCTTCTCGACTCTGTGTATCTACCATTGTCGTTCTGGCTGGACTGGTACAAGCTTGATGCTGGGCGCATACTCGATGTGGTAGTCGGTGGAGGAGGTGTCCTACTTGGAGGCGCTGGTGATGCATCATCTGCAAGTGGAACTGGAGGCGGAGAGTACTCTGGCCATAGAGGAATTGATGTTGAGCTGCCGAAGTCATGAGACGAGTCAGAGAAACCGAGGCCGAGACCTTCCCCAGTAGTCAGAGGGGGAAGTTGATGCCGAATTGAGAGCTGTGATGATTGTGGAGGGAATCGAGGAGACGGCAATGGGCTGTAGCCTTCTGGTTTGGGTGGAACCACCGAGGACAGCTCTTTTGGCGGCGGGACTGGCTTATCCTCAGTCTCGTAAGTTGTGACGGGACGAGAATACCCCTCTCGTTCTGAATATTCATCATTTGTGCCCACAGAGTAATCTGTCCAAGCAGATTGATGACTTGAGCGGAAATTTCGACCCGAGTCTTCGTCGTCTCGAGGACGGTCCATGTATTCTCTGTCATACAAGTCGCCCTCACCACCGCTAATCTGTGCAAGCCCATCCGAACTTTCATAATCAATATCGGTCACAGGGGTGTTGAGAAATTCTTGACTTAATCTGTTTATCATGACAGAAGGAGCTAGAGCAGTGCGTAACGTCGGAAGCTCAAGCCTGGTTGCATGCTCTTGAGGTTCCACGTAGTTGACTTCGTCGGGAAATGATATTTCGGGTGCGACATGGATTTGTACATCATGCTCAACATGCTGTGGAAGTACAGTTTCGTTGGGTAAAATCGGACTCTCGTCGTTGCTGATTTGCTCGTCACAAGAACCTAGCGGGGACTGAGGCCTAGAATGTACAGGTGTAGTTTGCTTGGGACTTGCGGTGGTAACGGTCGAGGCAAATATGGGTAGCTCCTCTGCAACTTCTGGAGACTGCTGATATGCACCTGGAGGTGATGGATCTCGTGCAAAAACATCGTTCGTAGGTGTTGATTCAGGTTGATGCTCTTCCACGGGTGTTCCATCTAGCATGATTCGTATCGATTCGTTATCGGGGGAACTCATGTTTTGCATACCGAAATATGCCTGCTCCGGACTCATCAAATCCTCAGTATATGAAATGTGACCAGAGAAACCATCAGGCCGTGATGGTAACAGACTCAACCTCGGGGCTTCCGTCTGCGGCTCATTGTCAAATTCCGTAATTCCTGTTGCGCACGAGATGGCGGACGCAGGCTCCTCATCCTCAACAAAGCTTCCCGGCATCCCCAATGTGGGAGAGTCTTGATCAATTTCAGCTCTGTGTGCTGTCGCAGGTGGGACCTCGGGCCTTGGGAATGATGTAGAAATCTGTAGAGGTTTTGGTGAAGGCTTCGTCTCAGCCGGTGCCTCGAGTATTGGCTGTGCTTCTGCCAAAACAGGTTCTTCATCCTTTTCAACATTGTGCGAGGCCTTTTCACTCTCCTGGGCTGCTAATGAAGCTCTCGCCTGTCTCTCACTCAATCGTCGCAGATTGGCTGCGCGGATCTCCTTTTGCTCGCTCTCGTGGATTGACTTCGTGTAAGCCCTCTGTATCAATTGCCTCCGAGCAGCAAAGTCGACAGCCGTGAGAGGTACATCCGATATCTTGCGCTCCCGCTCCCGTGCTGTGAAGCCCTCCCCATTATTTCGAGTAACTTTCATGCCAGTCCTGACGTGTTGTGGAGAGCCAGACCTATCAACAGCCTTCTGTCGCGGAGTTGCAGTAGTTGCGGATGATACGGGCTGTCGGGGCCGTGAGCTTCGCAGAGGTGGGGATGTCTTCGGTGGAGGGGCGGAAATATAAGCCTTGAGACTGGCATTGTTTGATGTTGATTTCTCTGGATCCCGACCCTTCCCTCGAGGAGAGTGACGAGTTGTCGGGGTCTTTGCGCGGGACGTGGGCGTGTTCGCACGGGCTGCCGGACTCCACGGTCGTTGCTCAGGCTTGCGCAGCTTAGAGTTTGTGATCCGGTTCGACGTAAAGGGCGAATTAGACCGTGTTGACGGTATCGACGACGTGGAAGAGGTGCTCTGTCTTTTTGATGGTCCTGGTAATCGAGTGGGAGCTTGCACAGAAGCGGGCGGGTTTGAAGTCTGAAACGATGGAGTGACACCATTCATCGTATTAACTTTCGAGTCTGGGAAGTCGCTGTGATTACGATTATGAGAGCGAGGTCGGGGCTTGTTGGGGTCAACATGGTCCAAATCTGTTTCTCCCTTATACCATGCGTCGGGAGATGTAGGTGAGATGTCGTTGGATTTACTTCGCGAATGTTGCTGCCAGCTAGGGTGTAAGCTGGAGTCAGATGTCCTGCGAGTTGCGGCGTGAGGGATGCCATAACCTATACTTGATATTCCCTGTTCATTAGGTACGACTTCGCCAAACAGAGGTCGACTTGTTTGTGTCTGAGGAGAGGTTGGAGAGGTAGGAGAAAGGTTGCTCATAGACTTCGAAGCTTGAGGATTGATGCCCGAAGCGCCATTCCGAGGCCTTGATATCCGTGCAGTCCCAGAAAGAGTGTTATTTGAGTGTTGATCCTCGGCTGCAAATCGAGTACGTTGAGTAGGTCTGGTTGATACTGGTGACTTCTGTTTCCCTGCTTCCCGGGTTGCCGTTCCTGCTCGTGATGTACTTGGTGTAGGAGTATTCGCATTTCGAGCCTGGTATCCTCCTCGATCTCGCAGATATGCCGGAGCTGTTGCACTGGTGTTAATTCTGGGTGAAGGCTTTCGGGCAACAGACGTTGACGATTCCGTGTTCTTCTCAAACTGCTTCGAGATCGCTTTGACACTGACACTAGGCTGCCGTGAGTACCCATTGAGAGCGGGCGTCGATTTTGCATTGTTGAGTCCGGGTCGGTCTTCTAAAGGTGAGGAGGCAGATCGATATGACGACGGCTTCAGTTGATTTCTGGCTTGTGCCAGTGATGGATGCTTGGGGGTGGTTCCGTTTCCATTCGACCGTAATGAAGACTGCAGAGGTCGTGACTCCGATGCTGTGGCCGCCATGCCTGATGCCGAGTTGTCTGAATAGTTGTGTGAAGCTTGCTGAACACCACGATAATCTCGGTAGAAGTCGTCCGGATCGTGCTCTCCTCCATTACTCAATGCTCCTGCTCCTGCATATCCATTTGTGTTCCGTTCTATCGCTTGCAGGTTTTGGCTCGTGAGGAAGGGTAGCTTGGGTGGCAATTGGGGGGTGCGAGCTTCGAAATCGGGTAGAGGGGGAGGTTCGTATCGATGAGGCTGTTGATGTTCGGGGGAGGAGGAGTTTGGGCGCCTAGAGTAGAAGTTCTGGTCTGCGTTGATACCGCCATCCATCGTGCCTGAACATCGATCAGGCTTTCTTTCCTTACGCTACCTACCTATCGCACAAAGGACAAGACGGTCGGGTTGGGGCACGAGCACCAGGGCAAGAACGAGCGAGCAGGTAGGTCAACGCAGCACGACGACACCGCAGAAGATTGACTGACGGCAAGCACACCGCAGCGCCGGGCTGGACAATGCAAAAGACGATCGTTCAGTGATCCATGCAAGTGTATGAGGTCGTGGGCAAAGCTGAGTGGCTGCGCAGCGTGATTCGCTGTCCAGCGTTTGAGGATTCGACGTGGTCCTTGCTTGGGGTGTGGTGTGTAGTGCGGTGCAGTACAGTACAGACAATCCAGGGCAGTTGGTTGAGGGCGAACTTCAGTTTTCCAAACGTTTCGCTGCGGGAGGCCGATCGATAGGACGAGAGGAGGGAAGGCGGCGAGATGTGCTTCAGGGGGCAGATGGGATCAGTCTCGCGGAGAAGGTGAAGGTGATGGTGAGGGTGCGTCGTGTCGTCTCGTGCGGTATATTATTGCGGAGAGGGACATTCAATTGTCCTGACGACTTAAGGTGTGGTCGCTGGTGGTCGGTTGGTCGTTCAGGTTTGGTGGTTGAAGGTAAATCTCCACCTATCTGCTGGTTCGTTCGCTCTGCGACCCAGCCAGAACCAGAACCAGACTCTCTCGGTCGGCTAAATCAAGCATCATTGCACCGCCCAATCTTCAGCAGAGTCATCTTTTCATTTGCTGCTCAAGCGCGAGGATGCCAGAATAGCGATTCATCCCCCCATTCTGCCCAATAATAGAAAGGCCAGGAGATAAACATAGACGCAAGGGCGATGGACAGATATTATTCGGATTCATGTCAAAGGGATCCTTTTTCCCTATTCTGGTGCTGTTCCTTGTTGGATTCCTCCTCAATCTATTGAATGAATCCTCCCTTCCCGGCCTGACATTGAACACTGTAGGTATTTTTGTTGGCGGAGGCGGTAGCCCAATCGTACCCGATTTTATCTGTTCTGTTTTACCTTGATCTCACTCCCTGAGCTTACTCCACTCCACTCCACTGATTCTCCCTCCCACTCTCGTTCCCCTCGTCAATTCGATTCGCTGCAATCTTCCCCCAAAACCCCCCACGACCTGGGATTCCTGGCTTCTGGCTGGCTTCTAGCTTCTACTGTAGAAAGAAAAGAGAGCCCGAGAGCCAGTGGAAGCGCGCATCAGCATCTACCCGCACAACGCGTTTCTTCGACAACCTATTGGCTGCGGTTCGCGTTTGCTACCAATGACCATCGAATAGGAATTGCTTCCTGCGCGACCTCAAAGTGGTGCAGCAGCTCATGATCGAATAGGAGCCTCTTTTCCCCGCCAGTATTCGTTGTCCCCATCATATTCGTTCAATTCGTTTGTTGCATCTCGTGGTCGATAAAGGGATGTGGCAGAAGTCAAAGTCGGAGATTGTGCAGAACTTCGTGGAGAAGTTGGGCGCACAGTGGGAGTTCAACGTTGTCTCAACCCCATTCGTTCCTCCTCCGCATTCGTCTGGACTTGTGACCAAGAAGAGGTCATTTCTGAATCGGGATATCAGACGTTTCTTGCTCCTGTCCCGCAATCGGACTCTCAGGGCTGCGTTACATGTTGACTTGGATGGTATATGATTCAGTGCGCCCTGCATATAGCAAATCACAAGCGGATCCTTTCGAGTGAGCCTCCAGATCTTGGGCTGGTTGACTGCAGAAGGGATTGGAGCAGAGGCAGTTGACATGGCCGGAAAGAGGAAAAGAAAGCGAACTGGGCATGCTGATGAAGGGGAGAAGCGTCAGAAGGTTGCTGGTGGCTTCAATGGCAATGATCCGATCGTCAAGCACGCTTTGCTCCATCAATATTATCCTGAAGTCACCTCGTTACGCGAGTACCTGCTTGCACGACTCCCATTAGCTTCCAAGATACGCAGAAGAAAGATTCTCTCTCTTGGACGCAAGCCAGAGGATAAGGAGACCGATCAGAACATCTCTCGCTTCTTGGACCGCACTTTGGTAGGAGTATATCAAAATGGCGATTTTTCTCAAGATGAAAGGTGGCGGCAATGGACAACATTCTCTCAGAAGCCTGACGAGTCAACTTCATTTGCAAACTTGAGTACTGCAGGAGTTTACTCACAATCAGAGGTATGTAATAATATGCTGAAGAGATTGGGTAGCACAAATTGATAGTATCCTAGATCATCGACTTTAGCATTTGGTTGATGTTTTCCAAGACTCAAAAGTTCAATGGAAGAGTTCAACATCTACTGTGTCAGGGCTTTCAGAAAGATGCCACTGCGCGCCATATGAATCGAGAAGAGCATGCAACATCAGCAATTCCTGGAATCGTTTCGACTTACCCCAATGTCCACGTGACATCCATGAAAGCTTGGCCATGGCCCCAATTTCTGGCGCTATTTGGAAGGCAAGGAGAGAAGATGATGATTGATTTGATACTGGATTGTGGCATCTTTGTACCTGTTGAGAACGCTCACGGGTCATACTACCAACTCAGTGGTAAGTCGTTACCTCCCATGTCTCAAGAAGACTCACCTTTCTAAAGTCATCCAGGTCAGCCCTTGAGTGAAATCCAAATGATTGGCCAAAGACCACACGCGAGGTCAATGGCAAAAAAGAACGCAGATGACAAACACGAAGCCAGAGCTCCTTCTAGCATCAACTTTGTCCGAAGTCGTATGATGTATGCTCGAGCATCGACAAATGTCCAAGGTGAAGTTCACTTTGGATTCAAGCACAATCGTGAGTACTTGATAAATCGTGGCGCGACTCGACTGACATGGTAGATTTGCTCAACCGATGGCCGCTAAAAGCAAAGCTGCTCAGGAACAGGGACGAAGAAGCTCAAGGTGCCGCGCACGAGCGCAGTACTGTACAAGTCTTGATGTACATGTTCCCACGACAATTCGGGCTTCATAATGTTTTCGTAAATGAGATCGATTTGTGGCAGGCCATGCAGCCTTTCAAGGACTACACTCTTCGAGACGAGGAGATTATCACCAGATTTCCAGGAATTCCAATGCCAAAGATCCCGAGGAGATTGCGTGGAGCAGCAGTTTGTCTGGCACGTAAGCTACAGATCAATCACCATAGATGTTCATATAAGATGTTACTTGATCACTATTGCCCGGTATGATCTGCACCGATTTCCTGTGGTTCTTCTGTTAACTCTTCTAGATACCTGGACAAACATCAAGACATGTCTCTTCGGAGACCTCACAATGTACAAATGGATCAACGAAACTCGGAACACAAACGTCACTTACCTCGAATGGCTCAAAATTGCATACTCAAGCAATCATTCCTGCACGGAAACCTTCGATGATGGACTATGCCACACCAACTGCGATGGTTTCTGCGTTCTGTCGAGCAGTTCTTCGTAACCTGGTGCCTTTAGACTTCTGGGGAACTGGTCTCGTCGCAAAAGAGAACAGAAGGATCATAGATCAGCATATCAATACTTTTGTAGAGCTTCAAAGGTTTGCAAGCTTCTCAGTGCACCACGTATCTCAAGGATTGAAGGTGAGGCTTCTCATTTAGGATTTGGAAGTACTAGCTGACTTATGAATAGATCTCAGAGATAGAATGGCTTGGACCTATCAATGCAACGGGTGCGCATTCTGACACCAAGAAACGATGGGAGATTTTTCGTGAATTTCTGTACTACTTGTTCGACTCGTTGCTGATCCCCCTGATCCGAATTAACTTCCATATCACGGAATCGAATGTCCACGGTTCTCGCCTGTTTTATTTCCGACACGATGTATGGCGAAAACTTGTAGAGCCAGCATTGACCTCGTTGAAATGTACAATGTTCGAGGAGATCAAGCGAGATGAGGCACTGAAGATACTTGAGTCACGGCTTCTTGGGTATAGCCAGGTCCGCTTAGTGCCCAAGGAGACAGGTGTACGACCTATCATGAACTTGAAAAGGAGGCAATTCGAGATTGGAACGAAGAATCGGCTTGGAAGCAGCATCAATACTGTGCTTGCACCAGTTTACAACGTGTTGACACTCGAAAAGGTATGCTTTATGATCTTACACGTACTCGCGGCTAATTCCTTTAGTCTCTGAACCCGGATCGACTTGGCTCAACAATGTTTTCCACAGGAGACCTCTACCAAAGACTCAAAGACTTCAAGGCTAAGCTTTCCACCGCAGACGGTCTCTACTTTTCAAAAGTGGATGTTCAAGCTGCATTCGATACGATCCCGCAAGCTGCAGTCGTTGCACTCCTTTCCTCTGTGCCTTCAGAATCCGAGTATCGGATCTCGAAACATGTTCAAATCAAGCCCAGCGACAACTTCAGAGAAGATGGAAAGGGGAGGCCAATCTCAAAATGGACTGCTCTTGCGAAGCCTCTGGATGATATCGAAACTTTTGAGGAGAATGTTGAGAGTGATCTAGCTATCGGCAAGAAGAACACCATTTTCATTGAGAATGTTGTTTCTCAATTCAAGAACAAAGATGAAATTCTCGATCTGTTAGCTGAACATGTTCAACGCAATATGGTGAAGATTGGCAAGAAGTTTTATCGACAGAAAGAAGGCATTCCTCAAGGATCGGTCATATCCTCACTGCTGTGTAATTACTTCTATGCAGACCTGGAAACGAAACATCTCTCCTTCCTCCAAAGCGAGAACACCTTGTTACTCCGCTTGATCGACGACTTCCTTCTCATCACCACAAATCGTTCACACGCGAAACGCTTCCTCCAAACCATGCATGACGGTCTTCCATCCTACGGCGTACGAGTCAATCCCGACAAAACACTTGTAAACTTCGAAGTAACTATCAACAACAAGAAGGTACCCAGAATGGTACACCAGAGTGGATTTCCATACTGTGGGAGTTTCATCGACACTAAAACTCTTGATATTACCAGGGATCGCGATAGAAAGAAGAATAAAGGTATGTTTGAGCTCGGGTTTGTGGGGTCATGGCTGACGTGAAAAAGCAATTGTTGACTCTCTGACGGTGGAGTTTTCGAAGACGCCAGGGAGGATGTTTCATCGGAAGATGTTGAGTGAGTGCATCGCAATTTTTGCTTTTCTTATCGATGGATTTCTTTTTGTGTTGTAATTGTTCGTCTATTTTTGGGACTATTGCGAAGTCGTAATAGCAATTCCGTTTGCATGAATTCGTCATCTCGTCTGTTCTGATGAAAGTGAGTCGGGCACGGAAAATTTCAGCGAACGGAGTGGAGGAAGAAATTTACTCCGTTCGTCGAATTGCAAGGCTTAAAAGTAAGATGGCAGATGGACTATAAGGCTGGATACCAGTCCTTGCTGTCACATACGACCATAGACTGAGGAGAATTGGGCATCCCGTCCGCTCTGCCATACACAAGCCTCAGATCGGCAGATTAGTAGTTGGGTGGGTGACCACCAGCGAATACCTGCTGTTGTATGTTTTTTGTTGTTTTTTTATTTTATCTTTCATTTGATATAATATTTAATACGTAGTGGAGTTCTGGGTTGCGTCCTTTTGCTCACCTGTGGCCGAATTGCCCGTTTCTTGCTTGATGCATCATTGATCCGTCATCGTACGGATAATTGAGTAAACAAGAAGACTAGGATGTGTTGTGAAGTGAATACAGAATTTCATGATACTCATTGATTTTGACGTTTGCACGTGCCTTCCTCGAGTGTTGTCATTTCGATTCAAGATGGCAGGTGCTAACCTCCTCTTCACAGACACGTTCAAAATCCAAGCCCATGCCATGTTTCTCGACACCTCGTTCAACTCTCTGAAAACTGTTCTCTCAAATGTCTACTCGGCATTCATCGAATCAGCGACCAAGATGTGGACTTATGCAAAATGCCTGCCAGCTGGGAAACAACCAGGAACTCAGTTAATTCTCAGTAAGTCTGTACCCCTAGATTTGAACATGTCCTAATCGTGGCAGAAACAATCCGCGACTTGATTGAGTTAGCTTTCGTATTGATGAAGAGCAAAGGAAAGAACAAGAAAAACGTGGGATATAAGTTTGCACTGAGCAAAATGCAGGTGGAGTGGTAAGCATTGGCTGATAATCACTGCTGTGGCCGATGCTGACGAGGACCAGGCTAGCAATGAATGCATTCTTCAGCATCTTGAAGAAGCGACAGAGTAAGTACGGGAAGGTATTGGAATGGTTGGATGGCAAGATGAGGCTGTTCAGAGCTAGGGAGGCGGAGACGTGCCAAAGGATGCAGGGCGTTGTGCGGACAATATCATTGTCGAGTCCTGACTGAGGTCTGAGTGAGGACTTTGAGGACTTGGATTGTGGAATTATGTCTATATATATTTGAGATACCCTTGTCATAGCATGTGCTACATATCTCTTGGGGTGTTCGACAGGCTTCGAACGGAATCAGAGACTTCGAGGACATCCGTTGTTTTAGATCACGTGAACCTCAGTCTCCCTTCTTTCCGCTCGACTTTTCACAGGTTAATGTCCGGGCTGCCAATTCTAGACATATTCTTTACCTTAATATGAATATTTGTAACCCGACTTGAGAACTCGTTATGTCCTTAGACTAGAAGAGAACACTAAAATATAGAGATCATGTGATCACATATTATCTCCTTGAAATTTTGCAACCATGCCAATGGAAATATTCCAGCACTTTGGAGGATGAACAATTGCTTCAAGAGTACTTTGAACTCCCGGCTCTCTCCCCTCTCACACTTATCTACTCTACCGTGTCTTACAATCCGAAACGTCCGATGATGTCTCTTGCGGGAACTTCCACATCTTCAAAATGATCATGGTCCGAGAGTACAATGCACGCCAAGAATAGCTTGGTACTCTGGTGAGGCTCGCAAGCCCTGTTGAATATTCTATGCATGCTAGGACATTTGAGTCCTCATCATCTTCAATTTGTGGCACGAGTGCTTCTTGGAGACATTCAAGAACATTCAGCTCAAAATGAAGGTCGATGTCTCAGTAATCATCTCAAAATATTTCCCCGTATCCCTCTGAATTGAACCCCTCATCATCCAGCCCTCGCACTTCTCAAGCCGCCCGGCTTCCTTGATCTTGATCCTCGTGCAGAAGATCAGCCACCAGTTCAACCACTCCCAGCCACGACGCACCATGGCACACACCCTCTTCTGCAACCGCAACTCCTCACGAATCGGTTGCTTGACACTGGAGCAGCCAAGGCCGGACCGTTGAGGGGAAATGCGGTTGGCGATGAGTGAGCGATAAGCTAAAACCAAGAAAATGCTTGAAAGAAGGATGATGATGAGTCTTGACGTGGTCGACGGTCGACGGTCGACGGATATGACGCCAGCGATGTTATGTGCGGGCTTATGTTCGGTCATCGATAGCAGTGCGACGGGCTACCTAGGTAATAATGACTGGGATCGACTGGGAACATCGACGGCAGAATTGATTGTTTCCTCTTCCTCTTCCTCTTCTTCTCACATAGAAGTGTTCCTGCTTCCGCCCTCTTTTACCCCATATTGCGAAGTCAATTCATGGAACCAACCCGGCTTCTGGTTTATTACTCGTTGCACAAGTCTTCATAATCTGGTGAAGACGGTTTATCCATCGAATCAAATTGCTGACTCGCTGTGCCCCATTTAATCTCCAATCTTAGCGGGCATCCACACAATCCACTGAATCCAGGCGGCATTTTCAGGGGGACGAGGAGAACCGACAGCGAAAACCAGCAGAGACTGCCCTCCTACGCAGGTCGCTAATAAGGCTAACACGCCCCGGTCAACCACCACACACTCCACCGCCGCTCAAAAATTCCGGTGCAGCGAACCAGCCGCGGACCAGCACCAGCACCAGCACCAGCAGCAAGGAGAGAAAGCGAGGAGAGGAAGGAAGGAACAATCAAACTCAATCCGGCGACCCAAGATCTCACCTCTCTCACCCACTCACTCACTCACCTCACCTTACTCCAACCTCTCCTCTCCCAACTCTATTCGCATTCCAACTCCATACCTTCGTTTTAATCATACAGTACTCCCCTCCCACTGTCTCTCCGACACACAGCTTCTGCAGCACCCCCGTACCGTCCAGTTTCAATTACAACAGAAATAATTGTTCCATCCCTCGTTGAACATAATTTCTATTCTTAAAATACTTTCGTTCGTCTCAACTCCACGACACCCGCGCGGCTCTTGCGACCGCCATCCCATCCCCCATCAACAATCATCATTCAGGGGCCCGGTCTGATCCCTCTCTCGAAACAATTCCTCCTCCTCCTCCTCCTCCTCCTTCTTTATCACCGCCACGATAGCTACCTTACGGAGGACCCTCACTTCCCCATCTTCTCTCTACGAAGATGCGATGACCTTCTCCGGCCATGCGAGTCCCAATTCGCCCATGCCTGGCTCTCCTCCCGACCTGACCGGCTCCAAGTCCTCCAAATCCTCCTCGTTCCACTCCTCCTACCTGTCAGACGACAATTCCATCCTTTCGGATGTCGGAAATTTCGAAGATATAGGGTTGGATGACGAGTCCAGGGCAGAGGCAGAGATTGGGGACTTTGAAGTCAAGACCAGCAGCAACCCTTACGACGCGACGTATAATGCTGATCTCCGATCTGCTGCCAAACAGAGGAAGCGTATTCCGATGTCCACTACTCACGGGAACCGAAACCAGAGGGAATTGACTTCTGGGAAGACTCGGCCAGCGTTCCCAAGTCTGCGTGGACAAGTGAGGAGTGCGACGACTGATGGGTTGGGTTTATTGCCTATACATAATGGAACGGCGCCCAGGAGGTTTACGACCAACGCCCAGTCACTGCCAATTGCCAAACGTAATCGAAGTACGAGTCCGAACATACCGCGAAGTCCGAGCTACAATTCTGCGTTAAAAACAAGGAGGGGAAGCTGGCAAGCTAATAGGGAACGCAAGACGGCTTTGGAACTTGAAAAGGAGTGTGATGAAGAGGACGGCGACGATGTTCCGGACGAATGTTTTCTCGAGAACGTCCCCATTTCTCCACGTCCGCCTCAAGAACGAACGAAGAGCATGCCTCCATCTGCGTCAACGAGTCCTGAACGCCCCCCAAAGGAAAAGGTTCGAAGTGTCGGGAATGGTACATCACCTAGACCTGCTGAGCAGGGAGAATTGCGTTCACCAAGAGCTGGGATGAATCGTAATGCGAGCATGGGGCAATTCCCAATCAATCATGACAACTTCCCCAAAGGCAGAGCCAAGAGCTGGACTGATGCCTTGTCGGAATTGAGTCCTGAAGCCAAAGCTTTGACTGAGGCATTGGAGGCACATGCAGAAGATGAAGAACAGAAAGTGGTAGATCCACGGCTACGAAGGAGTTTCAGCAAGTCCAATCGACCAGCAACGGTTGAGAAACAGAGAGTCAGATCTGCAATTGCAGAGTTGCCGCCACTGCGAAGAACTGACATAATGATTGATCCTTTGCCAATCTCGAAAGAGAAGGAAGCGGTTCTATCTCGTACACGGCCGTCATGGTTGCCACCCAAGAACCCTGCCGAGGAGAAAAAACACCTGAAAGAATATCAGAAGATGATGGCATCTGCTATCGAGGCAGAGAAGAAGAGGGAAGCTGACAGGCGAGCGAAGACTACTTGCAGAGATGATACTGCCAATTCCTTGCTGCGGATTTGGGAAGAACATGTTTTGCCTAACTGGGATGAAGCCACACGTCAGAAGCGCACAAGAGAATTATGGTGGAGAGGAATTGCTCCTCGAAGCCGTGGTGCTGTTTGGGCGAAAGCCATTGGCAACGAGCTTGGCTTGTCGGATTCTTCATATACTGCGGCTTTGAGAAGGGCGCAGGCCTTGGAGAGGACGATAGCCAGCGGCTCGCAGCTCAGTGGTGAAGAGCAGAAGAAGAAGGCATCGTTGGACAGGATTGCGAAGGATGCTGAAACAACATATCCTGAGTTGAGAATATTCCAGCCAGATGGACCTCTACATAGGAGCTTGGTGGATGTGTTGAAGGCATACGCTATGTACAGAAGCGACGTTGGATATGTGCCTGGCACAAGTGTAAGTTTGTTCCCATGATCACTATGAGCAGTTGCTGATTAGCTTGTAGACCATAGCAGCTCTTCTACTCCTCAATCTGCCAAGTCCTTCTGCTTCTTTCTGCGCTCTTTCGAACATCCTCAATCGACCTCTTCCTCTTTCCTTCCACACCTCCGATTCTGGCGCGACATCGCGTGCCTACTCACTTCTTCTCTCAACCCTCCAGGCTCGTTCTCCTCAGCTACACAAGCACCTAGCATCCATGAACCTCAATCCCGAAATCTATCTCCGCGACATCTTCACCTCTCTAATGACCGGTTGCTTGAGCCTGGATAATGCTTCCCGATTATGGGACGTGATGGTTTTCGAGGGCGATGCAGTAGTTGTCCGCGCTGGTGTGGCATGGTTAACAAACATGGAAGGCAAGCTATTTGGTGCAGAGTCACCGAAAGCTGTCTATGACATTGTTCGAAAAGGGTTGGATAATATGGAGGAGGAATCATGGATTACTTCTGTGAGAGCAGCAGGTAAACAATGAACTGGCTGTTGATAATGCATACTATTTGGCGCCAGTCAATCCTAATTGAAGGATTCTTGCATTGGACGTAGATGGGGTTCGTGTAATGTTTGGCGTATCAACGATGGAATGATTGAGGGAAGTAAATAGAGTCGGTGGCTTCTACATAATGTATATGTATATGTATATTTGTCATTGTTTTGTCTCCATCTACTCAACTTTCTACAGCGTAGATTTATTTGCATCTTCAAGTGAGATGAGTGTCTATTCCATTTCTGTTCATTTGCGTGTTTTCATGCGATGTGCGATGTGCGATGTGTGCCATTTTGCTGTTACACCCTCGCATTTGGCTCTGCAAGTAGCTATTATCACTTTAGAGTGAGAATATCAATTTGAAGTTCGAGCTCTCTATGCAGCAGAAAGACGAGACAGCCACGTACTTATCTCTAGCAATACACAACTTCCCAATTTCCACATGGCACGCCAAATTCGGCAACAAACGGTGCCTCCATCCTTGTCATCTTCGAATCTATCGTCGACTACACGCCAAAGCCATTCAAAGGCCAGCGAGAGAACATACCACATCCATATTCATCAACCCTCCGGCTTTGAATAGCCAGGGACGATATTGTGGTGCTTGTTTCCCGGGAGCAGTTCACGTGGAGGTACAAACGAGTTGGGGTAAAGGTCAGAGAGACGCTGGCCGGAAAGACACAAAACCTGCAGCTTAAATTGAAGCAAGGTACTTGTATTAACCCTCGGGAGGTACTTGTCGTTAGTCTGTGGCTTCTCAGATCTCAGGATAGAGGAAGTCTCTTGCATTCTTGAAGTCTGAGGTTGAGTTGATCACTGTCTTAGTTGCAAAGCTTTAGCACTGAGTCCGACATCGAAGACGAGCAAAGGGTGCACCACAGCAGGCCACTCAGTTTTGATTCCAGTGGGCCAGTGGAATGTTGCTTCAGCGCAACAAGTGAATATTTGGATTTTAGGATAGTTGATTGAGAAAAGGGTCAAAGCCTTTCACAATGTCTAGAATAGAGGTCACTGTAGTGTTTCCTTACGTCACATAGCTTCCCTTCTGCCATTTAAGGTGAGCAAGTGCCATACTACAGCCATTTGCATTTTTGAGCTATTCGTTGCGTGTCCTCAAGCCAGAGACGAAAAGAAACCAAATCTCTGTTTTACTTTTGGCCAATTTGCTTCGTTGAAGTCTTCAACACCGAGGAAGACTTTGATGATAATGGCAAAGCGCTATATTTTTAGGAACCAAAGCCCAATTCCCTTTCGTCGCCACAGCATTACTACTCAATCTTTGGCTCTTCGGGCAACGCATCTTGTGGGAGCTTCGACCACCGACTGTGAAATACCCTCCCGTCCTTGATTACCGCCAGAAGATGCTTCTCCGGCTTGTCCAAGATCGAGATATCATGCAAAGGGTTCTCGTTCAAAATCAACAAATCAGCTGCGAAGCCTTCCTTGACCTGGCCCAAGAAATCACTCAAACCCGCCCTTCGTGCTGGATTGATGGTTGCGCTTTGAAGTATAGCCTTTGGGTTGAGAACTTGGGCACGCAGAACGAATTCTTGCGTCTGAGCAATTCCCAAAGGGCCGAGGAGATCAGTTCCAAAGCACAACGTTACTCCTGCATCTGAAGCAATTTGAAGTGATTTCAAGCCAAACTTTAGTACTTGAGCATTCTTGGCTTCAGACTCGGTTGGTAGGAACCCAGGGAAGTCTGGTGAAGCCATCACCGAGTAAGTGATAAGTGTGGGAGTCAAAAAGACATCTCGTTCGGCCATATACTTCGCTGTCTCTTCGTCAATGAAATTCCCATGCTCGATTCCAGTGACACCATTGTCGACAGCATGCCGTATCGACCTGGGTGTGTAAGCATGTGCTGTCACATAGGTATTTGCATTTCTGGCCACCTCAGTGATAGCCCTGACTTCCTCTCCTGTAAACTGCACATTCTCCAACTTATCAGTCGGACTTGCAACTCCGCCACCAGACATGATCTTGATGAAATCCGCACCAGTTCTCAACTCCTCACGTGCAGCTTTGATGCAAGCAGGTACTCCATCACACACCAAGCCCAAAGCAATTGGACCACAACATTCTGAGTGGTTGTGAGGACCACGTGAATCTCCATGTCCGCCGGTTTGCGATAAAGCATGTCCAGCGATGAACAGTCTTGGTCCTTGAATCGCTCCTTCTTCGATAGCTTGCTTCAGAGCCAAAGATGCCCCGCCGCAGTCTCGAACGCTGGTGAATCCTCTCCTTAGCATTTGCTGAACTACAAATGGTTGACGGCTCATGGACACTTCATTGTCTATTTGATACATTCCTCCCAGAGTAGCTTCTCCAGGCACAGCCCAGAGATGGACATGGTTGTCGAAGAGTCCTGGGCAGAGGTATTTTCCTTTCAGATCGATAGTTGTTTCGTTGGAAGACTCGATAAGGTAGTACTCATTTTCAGTCAGAGTAACGGATTGGATGATGCCGTGTGATATTTTGACAGTCCGGTTTGAGAGAATATCCCCGGTTGCTGTATCTATCAATCGAGCATTTTTGAAGACGTAGGTATTTTGAGGTCCGTATTTCCAGGGCTTGATGAGGCGTTCCGAAGTCATCTTGGTATGGAGATTGGAATTCCAAATCGAAAAGCGTTAGTTGCACGACTTTCAAGGAGCAGTGGTGGGGTGATTCAACGAGAAGTAAGTCTGAATGAGGTAAGTGTTGATCATTGCGCCACGGCCCAATCAGGATCTGCATTGAGATAGGCCAACTAAAAACAACCCCTCTTCACAACACCGCACTTTCCCATACAGCGACTTCAACCTTGGACCATGTGTATAATTACGATAAGCTGGGATAATCGGCTCCTTCCGAAGGAACCTCAAAGGTGGGAGGCGTTCGTCTGTCAAATTTCGAGTCCTTGCTCGTCTTCTTCACGATTGCTTTTCTTTTGCGACCTTGGTACTGAAAGATCACTATGCCGGAGATTGAGATTAAAGGCATAGCTGCTAGCAATCAGTTCCCTACCGAGAAAGATGGATCTCTGGGAGAAGTTCTCGATGTTGAAGTTGGTGCTCTGCCGTTCACAGCCGAGGAAGAAAGACGCGTGAAGTTGAAGACTGATCTAGTTATTTTGCCTCTCCTTTGCTGTGTCTTCTTCCTGCAGTATCTTGACAAGCAAAGCCTGAGTTATGCATCAGTCTTTGGCCTGATTACGGACTTGAAGTTGAAAGGAACGGAGTATTCTTGGTGTTCTTCAATATTCTACATTGGCAAGTACTTTGATTTCAAAGTCAGAGCTTCTGCTGATAAATGTCTAGGGCAACTTGTCTCGGAATACCCTTTCATCTATTTGATGAGCAGATTGCCATTGGCAAAGTTTGTTGGATTCACAATGTATGTGCAACTCCATCTCCATGAAGCATCGAACTGATTGTTCAGCGTGATTTGGGGCATTGTTTGTATGTGCTTGGCTGCACCATCCAACTATGCTGGCTTTGCTACTGTCCGCTTCTTGCTCGGTTTCTGTGAAGGAGCTGTTTCCCCGGCATTCGTGACAATTTCCAGCATTTGGTATCGCAAGAGCGAGCATCCCATGCGGATTGGGTGAGTTAAGAGAACCATATTGAGGACTTTATATTGAGTGAATGTAGGGCATGGATTACAATGAACGGACTTGCACAAATTGTTGGAGCGCTCTTGATGTACGGAATCGGCAAGAACTCTAGCTTCCCACTTGCTCCCTGGAGGATTCTCTTCTTAATCTGCGGTGCTTTGACATCTGCGATGGGCGTCGTCTTCTTTTTTGTCATGCCAAGTGGTCCAGACACAGCGTGGTTCTTTACAGCAAGAGAGAGGGAAGTCGCTGCTATGCGCCTCGCCCGGGACCACGAGGGTGGAGATAAGACGAACTTCTCCATGCCTCAATTACTTGAGGCTCTGACTGATATCAAGTCGTGGATCACCTTTGGTTTTGGAGTTTTGGTGACGATGCCTTCGCTTGTCTTGACGGTATGGAAGCCCTTCCCTCACAATGACATCAAGTTGACTTTTATAGTTTGCTTCTTTGGTCATCAGCAACATCGGATACGATAAATTCCACACCATGTTATACACAGCACCTTCTGGTGCTGTCCAAATATTCTTCATCTGGATCGGCGTCCTCGGTTGCCACCTTTTCCCGAGGAACCGGTCCCTCATCGTCATGATCCTTGTCATTGTTCCATTGATCGGGAACATCCTCCTGCTGAAACTTTCACTAAGCTCTGGGTGGGGCATGATCGTCGCCTCTTGGCTGGTAAGAACTCCCACTCGTCTAGAAGAAAGCGCTCTAATCACAATATCTCTTCCAGGCATCGGTCATTTCTGATATCTTCTCCATCACCTTGAGCTTGAGCGCTTCAAATGTGAAAGGGAATACCAAGAGAGCTGTGGTGAATACCATGTACTTCATTGGGTATTGTGCAGGTTGTATTGGCGCTCCTCAGCTTTGGTTGTCTAATCAAAAACCGAGGTATAAGCAAGGTTTGATTACTGACCTTGTTGCTTGGGGAATACTTTTGATGGTGATGCCTTATTACTGGTATATCTGTCACTCAGAGAATAAGAGAAGGGATAAATTGGAAGCCGAGGGAGGAAATACTGCAATCTTCGAGAAAGGAGCTGATGTGACTGATGGGGAGGATCTTTCTTTTAGGTATAATTGTTGAAGTTAGCGAGACATTGTGGTAAACTAAGGCTTGAACAAGTAGCATAAAGCCGTCAAGCATTAGAATTATATATATTTTGAACCCCATGATAATTCTCGGAATTACATCCCTCCACAAAAGCTAGATGCACATACAGATCGGAAAGAAAGCGAGCAAGTGCCCAAAAAAGTATATACGCCATCCCTCAACGTCTCCGTCCACGCCAGCTCACATCGTAAAGTCTACGCAGCTCATATATGTCTGATCCGACTCTCTAGAATCCCACCACCATTGAACAACACAAGCTCCAGCGGTTCCACATTGCGAAGACACATCAGGCATCGTGATGTCGAACTGTGTATTGTTCTTGGGCAATTCGGTCGAGGTGCTTGCGTACACGGGAAAATATATCAACTCGTTGCGAATCATCGTATTCGTAGCGGTGTCAACAACAGATACGTTACAAGTCCCCGTATGCTTGGCTTGAATGTCTACCGTGATAGGCACGACTTGTCCTGGTGTGAATGTCTGGACGTTCGCAGAGTTATCGTCGAACTGGAGGCCTTTGCACAAGCTCACTTCGCAGGTAGTGGCATTGAAATCTGGTTGTGATGAGCCAATCTGGGATAGTTGCTGGATGTCTCCGTATTCGTTTGACTGTAGGTTGTTGGTAACTTGTTGGCCGCAGACGGCTTTCATTGCATTCCCCGCTGACCGAGATGTTGGGTTGGTGACAATGCCGTGCCCAGCACTGAGGGTGGCGAAAGCGAAAGTAAGAAGTTGAGAGCGCATTGTGATTAAAAGGTGGTAAAGGTAAATGTTGGTTGGATTTGAAATGAGTGTTCAGTGAATGAGTGACTTGAAGATATGCTGGACAGTTTGGATCATCGGGGATATTTATACTAGAGACGAAATCTCACCAGAACGGATGACGGATATTGAAATTTCGGACAACGACATAACCGTTCGCAACTTCGCCCATCACGACGGTATCGACATCCCTGACACGGCGTGTAGATCAGATATTATGTTTCAACTGAAGAAGCACAGTGTGGAGGGTGAATTCAAGACGGAAGCTTCGACTGCCAAGATCAGATTTGCAACAAGCATTGGGTGAAGATCACTTGAACATCATGCAGCAGTGTCTGTGCATGATTCGGCTGTAGAGTTACACAACACTTGAGATGTGAGTTGTTTCCAAACACTTCGGATGGTGATAGACTAGCCATAAAGAGTGCTCATGCGCGAATTCTAAGCACGAGCTTGATAGACTCTGAACTTGACTTCAGCCAATCGCAAACTGTCGCTTCAAACGTCGTCCAAACGTTCAGAGGAAGTATTCGTTGTTTCAGCCTCGACCGACGGACATTTGAAACAGAGTCTGTCGATGCCTCGGCAAACCATTTGAGGAGCGCAGATACTGCGAGAACGTTTGACAACCTGAGCCGTTCATATGTTCATTGGAATACTGATGGACATCAATACACGGACTTTGCCGTGCTAGAGAAGTAGAGCAGCAGATATCTTTCAGAATTGAGAATTCCACCAATTAACATTGCCGTCGAGATCTTGCCTTTGATGGAAGAAGTTTTCAGCTAGGACTGCGAGCTCATCATCCGAGTAAGCTAAGAGGTTATCTTGCGGCAATCTCACAAAGTTTGTGTCCATCGGGGTTTGTTGAGCGCTTGGTGCTGGAGTTGAGTTCCCAAATTCTTGTCTTTCAACTCTCGTTGGTGTCGGAAGGACGGAGGTCTGCGCCATTTCGGTTCTTGAAGTTAAGAGACTGGTCTGTAGGGATGGGCCGAATAGTTGTCCCGCGATTCCCGGCATCTCACTGGATGCTGAATACTCCAGTACTTCGAAGAATTGCCCAAGGTCAATCAACAGCTTTCTGTTCTGTCGAATGTGCTCTTCACTAGCAACATATGTAGATGAGACGGTTTCTGCAAGCTTCTGAAGTTTCATTGCCTGCTGGGTTGTTAGGTTGCGCCCTATGTTACTTGAAATCACTTACTATCCTGTCTAGATGTGGCCATTGCGGCCCAAAGCCTCTAATGAACTTCAAGCATTTCTCAAAACAAGCTTGCTTCTCTTCTCTCGTACCAGCATCTTCAACAAAGCTCTCTTGTAGGTAGATAGTAGAGACGATCGCCACACAGTGCCCCAGAAAAGGATCTGTGACCTTGAAAGGCTTGGCTTCCAACATGTCAATGAAGTTGATGATCCAAGAGGCATGTGATGATATGAGATCGGCTGTGTGCTGAAGAAAGATTTCTGGTATGACACACTTGAAGTTTCGAAGTCTGAGTGACAGCAAGAGGGGGTGATTTAGGAGGCATAAGTTGGTGTGATAAAGGAATTGGACGAAAAGCCACGGTCCCCAGTAATCACGATTGGAGTTCAGCTGCTCCACTGTCTTTTGGGAGAACTTGGCAGGTTCAAAGCGGTGAATGTAGGGCATCCTCGTTTCGAAGTCCATCTGATGGGCTAGAATCGTGGCATAATCAGACTGAGAAGCCCAAGGAGGTTGAGCGTTTGGCTTTCCACGACGACGAGCGTATCTAGTGATTTTGAACCACACTTCACTCAATTGGATGGCATATGCGACGATACCTTTGTCTGGATGCTCGATTGCCTCGGGGTTTGAGCGCAGACTTGAATTGAAAGAATCGCCTGTTGTTTCGGGATACCAAGGGAAGTTGTCTTCAGCTGAAAAGTCGAGTATCATGAAGTCAGCCCCGTGAAGCCTCTTCAGGAGGAAGAGGCTCCAGAAACATCGTCGTCGTTCTTCCCTTTCGCGATCGTAGAGATCTGGGTGAGGTTCTGAAGTCAAGCCTGCATTGTGAGCTAGACTCATAGCCAAGCTGCAATTGAAGCTTGCCCGCCTGGTGTTGCCATCTGAATTTTGTCAGTGGAGAGGAGCAGTTATCAAGCAAAGTGTGTTACCTGAAAAGTCTACAAGGGTCAAGAGACAGAGAGCCTGAATTGTGGAAAGTTCGACTCTGCCTTCGAAGACTCTCTTCGAAATTCTGTTCCGAGCTGCCTCCTCATACCCACCAGAAACAGTTCCATGTTCTTCGAATCGAAGAGCCAGCGCCAATATGGAGCACAAGACTTCTGGGTCACGCTGCTGCAGTGTTTGCAGGAAGGTGGCACGGTGAAAAAGTGGTAGTGGCTGACAGTCACAGAATTGGAGATATGTCTTTGCAGCTGCGAGGATAATGTTCCATGAGGGTAGAGCACTTCCAAATGTTAGAAAACTTCAGAATAGCGAATGTAGCGCTCACCTGTCAGCGTGTTGGGGGGTTTCCTGTCTGGCATAAAATTGGCTGGAGGAAATAATTGGAGATTGTGGCAGCTGGGAAACACTCCTGCGCGGATGTCCTTGGTGTGCAAGGACTTCTGCAAGCTGCGACTCGACCAGCTTTAGTCGATCTTCCTGGAACTTCATCAACATCAACCATGCATGAGGGGGAGTTCAGACACACCAATCTCCCCTCTGATGATGGTGGGAGATGCGTGCGAGTAGGCGGTGTGCTACGACGCTCGCTCTGTTGCCTTTCATCGGCATAGAAGCACGTCTGGCCTAGTCGCGAACAATGAGAACAGATTGGTTGTTCTCCTGGGCATCGTGACTTTTTGCGCCTGTCATCTCAATTAGCAGAACCTATGGTTGTGCCGTCACCAGCTTACCTGCATGGCTCACAAGCCTGTCTCACTCTCTTCGCCGGACGTTCGGAAGACATCATGTATTCTCACCTCCTCCATTATCAAAAGAAGTCTTGTGGCTGAAATTGTTCTTGCTTGTAATGAGAGTTTTGAGGTCGGAAGGTTACGATCGGGCTGATTAAATTCCACTGGAATGCCCCGCAGCAACACCCGCTGCCGATGTTCTGCCCTGAAGATAAGGGATTTCCAGGCTTCTTCAATGGAGCGATTTACCTGGTGACTAATTATCATTTCATGCGAGGATTTCAACAGGAGAATTCATGAAAGGGAACATGATTGATTAGAGATGGAACATTGTAAATTGGTATTGTGCTATCCAAGGACGTCAACTTCAGAGTGCTCATCCAGTGACCTTCTTCTCCACATCTGCATACATATCATAACTATTCATCTCTTCAATGGTCAACTTGTTCTTCTCATCCGTCACCTTGTACAAAGGGTTGCTCGTGTTACTTGAGAACCCTATCCTTTCTGTAATGTTCTCTCTTGCTCTCAGGCTGGCCTCTTGAACCCTCGTAGCCCTTGGTTTCCTCACCTGCTCGTATATCTTCAAGCCCGCACTGATCTTCTCTGGTGATCCAGTAAAGTCATGTCTCCGACTATAGATTATGCCGATAGCAGCAGCATCTTCAATGGCCATACATGCACCTTGGCTCTGATCTGGCATCATAGGATGAGCAGCATCTCCCATGATGCATGTCAAGCCCTTCTGCCAGTGATCATACGGTTGGTGAACAAATAGTCTCCAAGGTTTGATGTCGTACGAATTCCGGAATATGGCAAGTAGCTTTGGATCGAGGGTACCAAAGGGCTCCATGAACTCCTCCACGCCGATAGAGTGATTCCAGCCTTCTCCCGGGTTCTTGCTTAGCTCGGTAGGGAAGAAGCAGTAAAACGAATTGATTTCGCCTCCTCGGCAGGGAGAGTAGACAATCTTGTAGACATCCTGGCCACCCCAGTACTCGATGGCGGAATTTTCAGTATAGTCGGTAAGTCCCAACCGCTTGACGTCCTCTGTCGTGATGATGCAATGAAGGCAATGCGACGTGCTTTGTTTTCGATCTGGGATGATGCCGATTGTTTTGCGGACTGTAGATCCACTGCCATCTGATCCTATGATGAGATCGTGTTTTGCTTGGACACCATTCTCGAATGTAATTGTCCCTGTTGCGTGATCGATCTCGACGCACTTGTGGTTGCATTTGAGGATAGCCGGAAGTCCAAAATGACTCGTTCCAATAGCAGAATCCATCAGCATTTCGTGCATGTTCACTCGGTGGAACATGTTGTAGACCTGCCCAGCATCAGTACCAGCGGCAGAAACTCAACGACCCAAACATACGTAGCCCCATTTCTCCTTGTAGTCTGCCAAGTCGTATACATTCGTCGGCTCACCAGTCTTCCAATCCCTCGAGATGAGTTTCTGCAGAACCACGGGTTTGCCGATAGGGATATTCACGCCCCATTCTTCTAGCCATCTTGTTCCATTCGCTGCGCAGCTGATTGATGCTCCGACTTCGCCTGCAAAATCCGCTCGTTCGTAGATAGTGACTCGGTGTCCTGCTTGTCGAAGGGAGGTTGCTGCTGCCAAACCACCTGCAGGAGTTAGCTTGGAATCCGAAGCAGAGATGGGAAACATACCAATTCCACCACCCACGACAGCGATGTCCAACTCGCGCCAGTTACTTTCGACAGAACCCATGGTTTAGATTTAGATAGAGATAGGAGATATGCACTTCACTTTGCTGGACAATGAGGAAGACGGCTGATGATGTAGATCGATCTGAACAGACACGAACCTACCTTTGCAGCCATCTTGAAAAGCACTTGCATTGAAGCTGGGCCGGTAATCTGATGTCAGAGATAGGATAGTTGCGGGCACTGGATTGCACGCAGACCGTATCCGTGTCCAATATGGCTCCAGTGAGGGTTGTGGTGGGCTGGTGACGAGAAGTCAAGAGAGGTGTCGTGAACCTCGTGGAGAATCGAATTCCATTCCGTGTTCCGCATCCGTGCTTCCGGACCACTGCCGGCTCGCTATCCATCTCGCGGGTGAGCTTCAATCAGAAATTTTGAATCCTCCGCGCAAACCGCCGAAACCCTGGACAAGAAATTTTGACTTTTGATAATGAGTGGAAGAATACTCTCATAGCTATAATCTCTAAGAGGTGTGACGAAGCCCCCCAATCACGTTTCTGGCTCATTGTCGCTAAATTCAGGGGAAGTTTCGGGCGTCGTCGCTAAAGACGTGCAGTGGCTGCTTCAGACCGGAACGTAATGGTTTGAAAGGCAATCTATCATTTTGGCTGGATATTGCTAAGCTCATGGTTGATTTCCATGTCTCCCATAGGACCCAAAGCAATGTGGCCCGTCTAAGCTACGCCAAAAATTGCCACCAACGCTTGCCCTATCTGGCCTTATGCAAAAAAACTATCTCTACATCAAGGTATCCTTGTATCTCTAGTCTCGTCTCTACTTTGCTTCAAGAAAGGAAGAAGCTGTGTCCCACCAGTACCGTGCAACTCCTTTGTTGAAGACGGGTTTGCTGATGCTACAGCGAGGTTCAGCCCCGCATTCGCTGCGGGAGAATGTTGTCTTGCCGGATTGATGATGTATCGGGTGACAATGCCAATGTGAACATCTCGGAATTTCTTCAGCTCTTCGACAGCTCGGTTGTATGCTTCGGTGACCTGGTTATCGGATGTGGTCTCGGCGTAACTTCTGATGTTGGAAACCGACTCAATGTGTTGCAAAAACTCTCGATGTTTGCCTGGCATGTATTTGCGCATTTCCTTTATTCAATCAGCTTCGTCTCACTCTAGGAACAAGCAAATACAAACCCGAAGGAACCCGTTCTTTAGCCCTATAGAGCCTTTTGTTGGAGAGTGTTGGACTCCAAGAATGACATCGAAGAATTGAATTAGAGAACTCTGTGCGTTGCTACCGCCACTATACTTTCGCCATTGTCCCTTTCCTTCTCCCTCATCGTAAAACACACCATTTGGTAGGCCAGCTACCTCCATGTTCTTGCTTCCTGCGAGGAAAGGTCTGATCTCATTGTAGAAAACTTGGGGTCTACACTTCTTTGTCATGCGCTTCAATATTTCTCCGATCTCTTGGACGCAATGTGAGAATTGGATCAAAGCATCAGTAACCACACTAGACTCATTCGCTCTGACAGCATCGATAGCTTTCATCATGGTCGGAATGACGCGAGCACCGTGAGCCTCGATGGTTACTGAAATCAAGTAGAACCATTCTTCGTCTTCACCACCTGTGAAAGTGCTCAATGATCTGAGGTTCTCGATCTTCCTGATATCGGCATCAGGTGAGATGGCAGCAAAATTCCATAAATTCAAGGCAGAATAAGTAGCTGTTGTTGGGAGATCGAAGTGGTGTGATATTTTGAGAAAGGGTATTGTGATTTGTGGCGGTAATCGCTATTCAAATTGTCAGCTCCGAAGGATGGAGTGTACCGTACAGAAACACTCACTTGAGATGGGCCGCCAGCTTCCCAAATGTAGCCATGAGTGAAGAAAGAGAGAATCAAATAGGCCCTCTGCCATTCTGGTTCTGATTTGAGGTGATCGGTTGATAATATTTGCATACGGTCTATTGAGGCTCGGAGAGATTTTGTCTGCAATAGTAATGGCAACTTCTCAATTATGGCCTCCCATTCCTGATACGTTTCTTGCAACCGCTCCAGGGGGGTTTCATCCGGCAGAAAACCATTTTCACATGAAACATTGAAGTCGGCTAGATTAATATTGAGAGGACCTAACATTGTGCAGAAGATAAAGGAGGAAAAGCCTTGAGATTCGTGGTGTCATAACAGAAGAGGACAATCTAAAAAGGGTTTTTATACACACGAAAATCCAGAAATCAGCTCATTTCTTAGCAAGTGAATGGAAGGTACTAAGCCGGTCACTAAAGTACCGACATCCAAGTCAGTAATCTCTTCCTTGCTGGAGTCATTGATGCAATCATTTGTGGATCAAAGAGAACCGAAGGGTCTCATGACGCGGATGCGGATGCGGGAAGAAGGCGGATGTACGTAAGAACAATCAACCAAAATCTTTGTCCCGATGCAACGCGGCGAGGATATGGGCGCTGGCCCGCGCCGTCGAGAAGAATGTATGAGGGGTACAAAGTGAAATGGCAAAACTGAGTTGAACAGGCCATCTTCTCTCATCTCAAGTCTCCAACATCCACCCCATCGTCATCGATCTGAATAACCTCAAAATGGGATCAATCGCTGTAGAAACGCAATGCACGAAGCTATCATTTCCTGCCGATGCAAACTCACTGGAGTATGCGCAGTCACTCGATGCAAAGGACCATATGCGACTATTCAGAGAGAAATTCGTAATTCCATCGAAGGCAAACATCAAAGCGAAGAAGCTGAGCAAGCCAGGTTTGAAACTTATCTTCCCCGCACATCATATGACATGTCTAATGATAACCAGATCATTCTGAGCCATGCATTTATTTCTGCGGGAATTCTCTAGGTCTCCAGCCTCGTGCAACTGCAGAATATGTCCAAACTCATTTAGACACGTGGGCCACGATTGGTGTTCACGGTCACTTCAGACAACTCGAAGACTCACCCATGATCCAATGGCAACTTTTGGCTGAACATGCATCAAAGCAAGCAGCTCCAATCGTGGGTGCTTCACCTTTCGAAGTAGGGACAATGGGCAGTCTCACTACAAACTTACATCTGCTGATGGCAAGTTTCTACACTCCAACTGCAGAGAAGAAGAAGATCATCATGGACTGGAAATCTTTCCCAAGCGATCACTTCACAATTGAGTCTCAGATTCGAGGTCATGGTTTTGACCCGAAAGAAGCAATGGTGATGATTGGTCCAGACGAGGGAGAATATGAAATCTCAACCGAGAAAATCCTGTCAATCATCGACGAGCACTCATCCACAACCGCTTTGGTTCTCCTTCCTGGAATTCAATATTACACAGGACAATTCTTCGACATGAAAACGATCACAGCATATGCTCAATCGAGAGGCCTGCTTGTGGGATGGGATCTTGCCCATGCTGCTGGTAATGTTCCTCTCGAGTTGCATGATTGGAATGTGGACTTTGCTGTTTGGTGCACGTACAAGTACATGAACGCTGGACCTGGAGCGATTGCTGGGTTCTATGTGCACGAGAGACACGGGAAGGTTGAGTATGATGGTGATGAGCCAATATTTCGACACCGATTATCTGGATGGTACGGCGGCGATCAAGTGGGGAGAATGAACATGGACAATAGTAAGTTCTCACATGAGGAGTGGTGGGTAATACTAAGATCCGCAGACTTCCGACCAAGTCCTGGAGCAAGTGGATATCAAGTCTCAAACCCATCAGCAATTGATTTAGCTTCCTTGTGCGGAGCCCTCTCTGTCCTGAATCAAACATCGATGGCCGATATCAGGAAGAAGTCTGTTAAACTGACAGCGTATCTTGAACACCTGCTCTTGACGACCAGCCCTTCAGATCGAGCCTTCCGAATCATTACTCCTTCGAATCCTGATGCTAGAGGAACTCAACTAAGTGTCCTTCTGAGGCCGGGTAGAATCGATACTCTATTTGAAATGTTGGAAGATGCAGGGATTGTGGCAGATAAGAGAAGGCCGGATGTGATCAGAGTGGCTCCTGTGCCTCTTTATAACACATATGAGGAGGTTTGGAAGTTTGTCCAGATCTTCAATGCTGCGTTGGAAAAGTGTGCATAAGAGAATGAGGAAGGATGTAGATGTATAGATTTCGAGGAATGTAATATTGGTGTCTCCACTTGCCAATAAAATTTTCCCCAGTTCCGAGAGGTCCATTTTGATATAGTTCAGGACAATGACTTGCGTGAACTGGTGAAGAGGGGCTCTGTCGTCCTGAGGTACGGGCCGTAGTACGGCTTCTTGAATTGTCCCCAATTTGATGTTGGGCGTTCAATCATAAGACTGTACATCCTATACCTACAGCCAAATGCCACATTACGTCTTTTGTCCAACCTTCAGTCCTTCGAAAAGTTCCAGCTTGCGGAGTGTCCTCTCAGGCGAAGAAATAGACACATTCTAGCTCGACTATAACTGCATCGTAGCACACTTTGAAATATTTGACTTAAATAATTTGAGGAAGGTTTCTCGATCTTTGGTACCGAAAGTCACCTTAACTTGTAAGATGACGCAGACTTTTGGAGCAAGAAAAAGCTCAGTCGTATCTATAAAGGCGAAATAATGAGCAAGTGGAACAAACAATTCAGATCTGACTCGATTCGCATCGAGAGATTGACTTTCAAATAAATTTCTCGAGAGCGCAGAACAACTCCAGCTCCCTACATAATCAAATGAGCAGTATCCGTACTGGATAGGTCGGATTCTTTTGAAGCGGCACGCTTGTGACATCGCATTGAACGACCAATGAAGAGAATAATACCGCACATTGGCATTGCGGCGAAGGTCGTCCGAATGCGGAATTGCGGAACTAACATAAACGCGGAGACGCCCAATTCGCAAAACCTTCTTCATCAATCAACTGCTGAGCTAACTGCTGAAAATTCACAAGCGGAAGAATGAAGAGTGATCACTGAGATTGGTACACTCAAGGAAGGGGTGATGGTGATGTCGCCGCTACCTGCCTTCCGCGAGCCAGTGAAATGAATCTCCCCAGGCTGGCAAGAATCACGATCACAGTACGTTACAAGCGGTCGAACCAACCCAAGACGGCATTCCGAAATCCAACAAGCAGGGAAGAAATTCAATGACCCAGCTCACCACCCCAATCGAGAATTTCCTCACATAACAAGATTGACGTTCACTTGAACTTTGGGTCACCACAAAAAGCTTGGCAGGCTGGTTGCGACAGTGTGAAGATAGTTGGCGAAGATGTTGCGCTGGACCATGAAAGTTGACATCTGACTAGATTGATATCGCAAGAACCACATCTGCGAAGTCGCGTGTAGTGCATCGTCTCCACAACCTTCCCATGGATGCGAGCTTCAGTCTCTATCGTTGAGAACGCTTCTTCGTGTCTGTGTCACCCCTTTCCGAGAACAAGACCTGGTGCTTATACCCCGCCGAATCCACATCGCCTTTCGCCATCGTCGCGGCACGGCTCGTTGTCAAATGATATTCCTAGTTGTATTTTCTCAAAGGGTCTCAAACTTCCTGCTTCGGCTCTCTGCATTCTAGTATTGCAATGTGCAAGCATTCTTCAGGAAGGGAATGTCAAGTTGCCCGCCATAGGAGGAATCTGCTCAACTGTGGGAACTGGAGTATATATCGGGCTCGCGGGTATTCCAGAAGGAGGGCAAGTCACTGTCCCCGCTGTGGCAGTGACCTGTTTCGAAGTGGGTGTTTTGTTGTTCGATATAACCGCAGGCTTGGTCCCATTCTTCGCTGCAGATATGTTGAAGAGTTGCGAGTACAACAGAGTGTCATCGGTTTGATTCCAGTTCACAATACCCCATGGGCCCCATTGGCAGTTTACGATGGTGTAATTCGCTATGAAGAGTCTGCAAAGGTTGATCCCGGTATAGTTGCCGCCGTTGCCGTTTCCAATGTTCCAATGAAGCGTTCCTGTGTTATTGTCTACAAGCGTTAGAAAGTGAAAGCTGAGGAAAAGGGTTCAGCTTACAGGTCTCGGTTTTATCGAATGTGGCGCCGTTATCGTTCTCCATGTCTTTGATGCTGGCATAGCAATACTGCGTCACTGCTAGTTGGCCATCGCTGTCAGGCAGTTGGTATTCCAAGATCATATTGTCGTTGAAGTGCACAGAGATATTGGCAATTGTCGTGTCGTCGTAAGCCTGGGTGGCATTTGGAGGGAAACTAAATTCCATCGAGCTTTGACAGCGACCGAAGGTGACAAGATAAACTGTCAAGAAGAGCAGAGCGCAAAGAGCCATGATGAAAGTTCCACCAAAGGAGAGAAATGCATCAGAGGAGCGATCTGGAGTCAGCGGGATGAAATATCTTGCATTTCCATCAGCTCAAGTGCAACTACTGCAACTTCCCTGCAGTGGTTCAATTAAACTATTCCAGATGAAACCTAGATTTCGGGAAGATGGGATCCTAGCGCCACCAGATCTTGGCTTTAATTCTGTGCGAGACCAATGAGATGCCCTCAGCACAGACTTTGCGGGCCTGTCAGCAATTAGATCTCTCGCCTTATGCAAACTCAGCCCCCAAATACGGCTGGCTCGAGGCTGAAATTAGCATCAAGAAATGTTAGCTTGGGATGATGATCCTTGTGCCACGGGATTGATTATCATCCTCTCTCCGCCACCAAGTTTTGTCCCGATCATTGAGCATTGGGGAAACCTGAGACCCTTTTCTGGTCCCCAAGAAGTATTTGCATCTCTTCACGATGGATCGACCACCCGCAGGAGGAGAAATCTCGCCAGAATTCACTCCTTCACCATCCCAGTATTCGAGCATTCAGCAACCTCCTCCCAAATTCGAGCAAGAACGTTTGGTCACCAGGAAACCAGTCCCAAGCCTGGGAAAGACGCATTATGAGCAAGTCAATCCAGTTCCAGATTCGTGGCAAGGGTTTCCAGATGAAAAAGGGTTCCAGTGGCTGCCAGGTCTGTGGACGCATGTTCCAATACCTGGAATGCTGGCAGTGATCGGTGCTTTGATCTGCATCGCTGGGACCGTTGCTGTACTTGTCAGATCAGATGGGATGCCAGTTACTGACTGGACGCTTTCACCTACCGTTTACATTGCCCTGATGACCACAGGCACAAATATGCTGTTGCGGTTCGCTTTTCACGAGGGCAACAAGATTGCCTGGTGGTACAGGGCGATTCAAGGAGGGACTTTGCGAGATCTTCATACTAGGTGGGAATCAGGAGATGGATTCTGGGGAGCTTTGGGAGCAGGTCGAAATTTCAACCTTGTCTCTCTGGCATCTCTCGCAGCAACCTTCATCGTCATCGACCAGCCGTTGATCCAAAGAGCTTCAACAATCGTCCCCGCCCAGTTCTCACGCTTGACGAATGTTACTGCCACGATTGCTCCTGAGATTCCTTATGGGTATACTGGAGCTCAGTATGGTCGAGGGTCATATCAACAGGTTATGACGCAACCTATGATTTCTGCATTCAACGATTACAATACCCAGGCTTCGATCACTACTGGTTTTGCTGGATGTTCAGATACTTGCACCGGTTTTGTTGACGCTGGTGGATTGGCTGCTGAATGTACCACGATCAGTGGACCTATCGCCTACCTACAGTCGCCGAAAACGAACGCCAGCAACGACATCTTGGACAGTGCTTTTCTTGCACAGTCTCCCTTCAATGTCAACTTCACTCTGGTACCTCAAATGTCGGAGACAAATGCGTCGTATATCCTCATGATGGTGTCATACACAACTGATGCACATTCAAGCAACTGCGGCGGTACTCTGATTCAGAGATCTTGCAAGCTTCAATCTGCTACGCTGAGGTATCCCATCACTCTGAAGAATTCGACCTTGGAGTTAGGGAATATAACTACGGATGCAACCATTCAGTCTTTCCAACCAGCGGGGAATAATTCCATTAGCATAGATGGTGGATCTGATTATGATAGATGGACTCTTGGAGGTTTGTACCTGGCCGCAACTAGCTTGTTTCAAGCGAATGCTACCTATCAATGGATAGGAGCTTTGGGAAATATGTTGACGCTTCCCGATACTCTGTCGAATCAATTTCTGGAAACGCCAATTGGGAATGATACTCTCTATGGACTTGGACTCCCTGCTGTTTGCTCATCGAATTGGACTGATCCAACAAGTCATATTCTGTCAGCACTCAATCAGATCGCCTTTCGAGTGTCGATCAATGCAGCAGGATTCCCTTTTCGAAATACGACTTCCCCACCATCACCGCAGATCCTAACGATGCAAGAAGTACGGACAATCAACGTCTTCCAGTCCGTGTACAGATTTTTGGCGGCTAGTACGGTTCTCACAGTGGTATGTGTTGCTCTTGTGCTTCCGACGTTCATTGGATGGTGGGAGCTTGGGCGAAGTGTGACACTCAATCCATTGGAGTTGGCAAAAGCTTTCGATGCTCCACTACTCAGCGGACCGGGTTCGAATGCACCACTGCATGAATTGGTTCAGACGATGGGAATGAGGAATGTGAGGTATGGAGAAGTAGAAGGGAGGGGACAACTTTCGAGAAGGGAACTGAAACTTGCAGATCCTCAAGAGCTTGTGAGACCAAGTCCTGGGGTGGTGTACGAATGAGGAGATGCAAGTTGAAACATAATTCTTACAGAAGCCGCCCTCCCTCCTGAATGTCCTGTCTACCGGATTTCGAATACCTCAGTTTGGATACCCCAGCTTGGCTGACAGCGTCCGGAGATGAGCAAGGTACATATGCAGAAGGAAGTTCGTCTGCCCAATATCTTGTGCCGACAAGTACTGTTACCGCTAAGTTGTAGGATTGCAATTATGGTTCTGCATTCCAAAGACCTGGCATATGTAAAGACCTGGCATATGTTGGCTCAACAGGTAGACTGCACGAGAATGAATGCCTCAGCATCATATCGACAAGCCTCCAAGTGCCAATCTTTTCATAGAGAATCGCTTTGTACCTAAAATCTCGCGTCCAATACTAAACAATCTCTCGATATCCACTTTAGAGCCTGGTGTTGCAAGGAAATCACGTGTAGCAGCTGCCATTCGAGGGTACTCGCCTTTGTGTGTCTGAACTATTTAATCTAAGTAATTCAATTCAAGGAATTCAATCCGACCAATTTAATCCGACCAATTGAATCTAAATAGTTTAATCTAAAAAATTCAATCTGAGCAATTCAATCCGCTCGATTCAACTCGCTCGATTCAACTCGCTCGATTTAATCCGCTCGATTTAATCCACTCGATTCAATCCGCTCGATTTAATCCGCTTAATTCAATTCGCTCGATTTAATCCATTCAATTTAATCCGCTTAATTTAATCCGCTCGATTTAATCTGCTCGATTTAATCTGCTCGATTTAATCCCCTCGATTTAATTCGTTTAATTTAATTTATTCGATTTAATTCGCTCGATTTAATTCGCTTAATTTTATCCGCTTAATTTTATTCGCTCGATTTTATTAATACAATTTAATTCGTTCGATTTTATTCGCTCGATTTTATTAATATAATTTAATTTTATACGCCGGCTTTTTTTGATTAAAAAAAATCTTTTTAGCGAGGCGATGTGACGGGTTGAACCCGATATCTGGCTGCACTACTACGTAGTGCAGCCTACACGTGACTACGCGGGCCTGCACATGACGACGCGACGCTAAAGCGCGCGGGCCATTCGAGGGTATATACCACATCTCACTTCGACCCAAAAGGGGGCTAGGCCCGACATGGAAGGCGGTCGCGACGACTTTCTGCCGACTTCATCCTCACCTAATTGGGGATGCAGGGGGGGTAGAACTGGCTACACGGACCACCGTGTACGCGCACAGGGACGTCGACGCGTCTTACTCCTCCTTGCCTGCTTGCTTTTGTATCGATCCTTTAATAATAAGTCGTGCTAGACCTAACGGCGCCTCTCGTCTAATTTGCATAGAATTTTTAATTTATAATAATAGATCTTCTCTCTTTTAATCCAACCTATAACGTCTTGATTTGTACGAGCTACAAATATGCAATCTAGTCTAGAGCCGTTCCAGGCCACTTGTACGACTATCACAAGGCTACTATCCCTCTCGGCAAGGTCCAGGAATACGCCCGTCTCTTTACCCCGGACTCTCTCCTCCCTGCTCGGGAAGTAAAGCGGCTCCATATCCCGACTAACACCCCGCCTATCCCACATTTACAGATCTATAACAACGCTTATTGCTATAAGTTCTGCCCTACTAATTAGCCGTATGTAATCCGGGGCGAGCAGATTCTGATCAACTACTTGAAAGAGGCCCATTAATAGAGTCTAAGTAAAGGTTTTGCAGACCGGCCATCCAAATCACGCTTCCCACTTAGTATAGCTGCTTATTTCCCCGTTGTCTGCTAGACTTTCTACATAACAAGCTATACTCGCTACTTTCTCGTTAATAATAGCAAGCCTGGCTCTAATCCAGCACCAGCATAGCTTGTCGAAGCTCTCGAGAAACCACCCCTTAGCCTCCGAGAACAAGTGGAGCAGACCCTTGCTCAGAAGCTCCAAGCACCTAAGCCTGATATCACCTTGCGCCACAAGACTAAGGTCTCTCCATAGCTCGACCTAACGTAATAGGAGCGGTACTTCTAGGGTTATAACTTGAGTTGCATCGCACGCCTCCTTAATCTACCATCGCCTCACCCCCTATTCGACCCCGATTAGCCAGATGATCACCTCGTCCTCGTACTTGAATCCTTTGACCGTCTTATTGAACAAGCCCGTGAATTACTCCAAACCGACCGGATTAACATCTTTGATTAGTAACGTGTTAGTAGCTTCCTTACCCGCCGGACTACTAACTTCTCATTAGTACACAAGCTTTAAGAGGGCACCTATACTACGTACAAAAAGGTGTGGAAGCAACTGCTGAGCTTCGTTTATCGGCGCGTTTGGCGGAACCAAGGCCCTGAGCTCTCATATCGTCTAACCGATAGTCAGGTAATAGCCCTCGACCGAGTAATGCAAGCTACGGCCGAGCTTGCCTAGGAACAGCGAAGCACTAGTCTAGCGGTAGTATAGCTTTAGCAAAGTCTCGATTATACTACAATCCAACTATGTATCTCATTGCTAGACTATGCTTTGTTCGACACAATTTACGACAGTATCGTCGTCGTCTTTATGGCGGTTCTCGGCATCAGAGATCCTAGATTATTAGTCAATTAGAGTATCACATTTAGTGATTCTCTACATTATACCCCATACCTCTCTGCCTTTATCAAGATAGCCTAGCTCCTTGTTATTCAAAGGGTAGTGCTTGTAGTAGATCGAAGTGAGGTTCCACATGTAGCTAATATATTAAATGTTATGCAAGAGCGCTTTATGGTATATAGCACGCATTCCCCTGTGAACTAGGCACAAAAGCTACGTAGCTTTGGAAAACAGATTAATGAGATCACTACCTCTCTAGGATATATCTCCTGGAGCGACGACGGCGAGCACTTTAGCTATAAGGGCCTGGAGCTAGGGATGACCGACTTAAAGAAGTTCCTGGCGACCTAGACAGCCGTTGCACAGTCGCTCCTAGAGGAGCTGCTACGTGTACATCCAGACGAAGAGCGAGACGAGGTTGTTCTACTAGTTAATCTTTTCCGACTTAAGGACGATCCGGCTAATAGCAAGCCCGGCTGGTGCTTCCTGGACGACCCGCGGAATGACCACCTCTAAGGATATGATCGATGGCTGTTTAATCGTGTGCTAGACGAGAGTTGGCTACAGCAAGAGTTCCTGATCAAGGGTACAAAGGCCGTGTGGCGGCGTAAGGCTACTAAGCAATACCTAAAGCAAGCCAGCACTTTCCTTAAGCTATTACTCCTCCTTATCCACATCCTGGGGGGCTAACTTGCACAAGGAACTAAGCTTCTTAGCCTGTAGCTACATAATACTGTCCATAGGCCACAGCGGAATATCTTTATAGAGAATGGCCTTGTTGGCTTTGTTACCTTCTACCACAAGGGCTATAGCGTCTCGGGGTCAACTAAAATCATCCACTAGTATCTGCCCGAGGCAATAAGTAAGCTCTTAGTCTACTACGCCTGGATCGTCTAGCCATTCTGCGAGTAGCTATGCATGCTTGCTCTAAACGAAAGCCCTAGCACACTAACTTTCCTCTAGGCGATTAAGAAGGGAACTCATAGCGAGCTGTGGCTAAATAGTCGCCTAACGAACGTCCTCGCATAGTAGTTCAAGCAACATCTTAATACCGATGCAAATATCCTTCTTTGGCGGCACGCAACGATTGCTATCTCTCGCCGGCATCTACAGCAAGCCAAGTTTCGGAAGGACTATAGAGCAGACGCTCCCGGAACCTAGAATAACACACAGGCTGCACATGCGGCTAATATAGCTAGTATGATCTATGCTAGAAGGATTGAAGAAGCACCTAGTCACGTTGCCTCTGCACGTGCAGAGTACCGGCAGATTAGCAGAGAGTAGCATACATACCTAGGGTTTTCTGGCTTTTAGAGGCTAGCTCAGATACAACCCACGGTTTCACAGACATCCGACCTCAGATAGCCCACTAAATCCTTGGTTAATCATCAGGCGCTACTCAAACGCAAAGTCCTCGGTGAATTGCCAATTCAAAGTCAAATAACTAAAAGCAATAAATTTAATATCTATTTACAAGACATACAAAAAAGGGAGTCTTTACGCTAGTACTCTCAGAAACTAGTACGTTTTAGAGACGAACTAAACGTTATATTAGACTCCAAAAAAGGTCTTGTGTTTAAACGCCGCCGTTCTTAAGTATAGACTTGTAGGGTTGTTAGAAATGTATATAATTTATAATATATAATTCGCTAGACTACTTAAAAACACAAAGTTTCAATTGCTTCACAAATCCAAGCCATAGGCGAGATCATAGAGGCCTTAGCTCTCGAGGATAAGGAAGAGGCTATGCTAGCTCTTAAGCATGCTATTCGGCGATTGTACTTAGCCCTGATCTGCCAGACTATTAGCAGCGTGCTATTCAAGTCACTAGTCTTAAGTTTCTGCGCTATGCTTAGTAGGAAGGTCCGTGGGAAGGGCCGAGGATTGTGGGAGGAGCCGGGGAATTTCAATAGCCACTTATTAGCTCTGACTTGGACTGCTTAGCTTGTGCTCTTTGACTATGCTTGTTTCTAGGAGCAAGACGACGAAGATCAAATCCCCGTCTTTTTCACCAAAATCTATAAGAAGTTCTTCTAGTAGTTGGCTAAGACGCTATTTGGGCATATTCTATAGTAGAGACTATACTTGTTTAAGGTTAGAAAGGCTATAATTGCAAAACACTAAGCTCGGTAGTTCTTAGACGGGCAAACAGTGGAATATCGCGGGGTGGAATTACAAATGTCGCAGATCTCCGACTTAGTGGTTTCTGAATATTAATAAGCCTATGCCTTACTATATAATAAGCTATTGTTCCAAGCAAAGGACCTGACTCCTATGGAATCGTGGAGGCTAAAGGACGATCTAGATCTAGAAGATTTTGGTGGCTTATGGCTCTCTCATCCTACCTCTAGAAATGGGCGGATTTGCGGCGTAAATCCAGAATCCGTAGGCGAAATGACCCTGGATCAGGGGGAGGGCACAGACCAGTTCAC